GGTTGCTGACCCTGCTGATTCTGCAGTGATCTTTTATCGTCGACATTGTGTAGGTCAATACTAGGGTAGAGCCGACCTTTTAGATGCTGGAAGCCCTTAGAGAAGTGACCTACAGCGGACGGCTCAACGGCACTGCTCGTAAAGTCGACGTTATAGGGCGCATTCAGGAACGTCTCATAGTCGAAATTCTCCAAAGTGTCAGCTGCTGTTTCAGTCGTAGGATAAGATTCGAGGTTGCTAAAGAGAATCATCTTGTCGTCATCACTACCTAACGAAGAATCTGGGTCCGTGGCACAGGTTTGATCTGCTTCATCAGTCGAAGTCCGGCCCACGAGATCGTTGCCTATATCTGCAGTACTGGTACCACTGACCAAGTGACCTTGATCCAATGTAGGCTCTCGAGCAGGAGCGCGATCTTGAGCCTTTCCAACTTCATTCTCGTCAGTTCGACATTGCTCACAATAGTAGTTGTCCGGAACACGTGTTTGATCTGGAAGGACACAAGCTCCGTGTTGCCACACATGACAGTCGTCGCACTGAATCAAGAAATTGTCCCGTTCATCAACACCAGGATAACTAGTCGCTCCACAGATGCATCGCGTATATTCATCTTCCATGCCTTCGGTAGACGAGCTCTCTTCCTCGTGAGGTTCATCATCGGCACCATAAACGTCCCTTGGCAAGGTAGTAAGGGCAATGTCTTCCATATGTGCACAGACGTGCGAGGTATACTTTCGCTCGGTATTGAAGTCGGTCTTCTTGCATAAAGGACACACCCAGTTCCGAATTCTCTCAGTCTTGACCTGAGCTGCGGCAGCCACAAGTATACTCCTTTGGGCCGGGTTTGGGTTTTCGTGAAACACGTCAACGTGGTCCTGAAAGAGGGACTTCTCTTCACATATGGTGTGGCAATCTCGACACTCGTAGATGGTCTTTTGGCGATGCTCCTGCAATTCGTGGTCGAACCATGTCTTGCGCGTAGAGAAGAGGACGTGATCACAACCTTCGTGTAAGCAAATATATGGTTTGAGGTCATCGAACAGATGTATTTTCCAGCCAATGCGATTGTGAACATTTGAGACTCTTTTTTCACATACCGGGCACATGAATGGTTTTCCAAGGGCGACTTCGGGAGGTTCGGGTGGAACACGATTGTAATGGTGTGTGTCGACTGCCATACTTGAGGCAAAGGAACTGTGTGAGGCGGTCGAATGTGCCACCTCGGTGGGCTGGAGTGAGGAACCTATGCCAGAGTCGTGCCAGGAAGGGCAGAAAACAGACTTCGCTTTTTCCAATTGCTTTGCAAGGCCTTCGTCTTCCCTCATGCGAAGTCTACAGAAACGCTGCCAATTTGCTTCGCCCAAACGCTTGACAACGTCGTTAGGTGCATTCTTGTAGTTGTCTGCAATTTGAGAGATCCAAGATTGTGCAGGAGCTGATACCTCGAACGCAATTCTGGATGATACCTCCAAGTTCGAGTTAGCTTCCTTGATATTGGACACATCAGCGATACTTGGTAATAAATCCATCAAGAGCGCTACATTCTCTCCCAACACTTCAACATCATCTCCAGGATCTGCCTCGGAAGGAGTTGATCGAAGTGACTCGCCGTCAGACTCGTTGTCAGAGGAGCTTTCCGCATCTGCCTCCAGTACATAGTCTACCTTTTCCAGCCACGATTCTAGAATCGAGAACTCTCTCGAGATCGAGTCTATATCTGTTGCTAGCTTGCGACATAATCTCTGTATTCCTTTACCACAATCGCGGAGCAACTCAGCTACATTCCGATACAGGTCCGAGGCGGACGCTGCGAGGAAGCTGGCCTTTTCTGACGAGATTGCATCGCCCCACAAGACGAGTTGAGCGACATAGCCGTTGAGTTTCCTGTGTACTGCTTCTCTTGGTGCCGCGTTCTCGGCTTTTATGATGCGACCGCTACGAAGGACTCGAGGTCCTAGAGTATCGCTAGCAGGTACTGGAGGGGGCACATGCTGTCGCAGACATAGGGTTGAAGCTTCGATGGTGGCATTGTACAGACCCGCCAGCAGACCGTTGTCGCCGCGCAGTCTCTCCTCCTTGGATGGCTCATAGCCAGTGTCAAAGGTGGACGCAAGCTGGTCGTCGCTGGACATAAGAGAGCTTAGGTATGGAGGCCCCAGGCTGCCACTTCGTGCTTGTGCCATTCCGCCAACAACATCAGCAGAGGCATTACTCTACCAAATATCTGCTTCAACTCAGCAGGACTTGAGGCTGGTATGCAGTCTAAGCAACTGTACGATTTGAAATGTTCGAAAGACGAGGTGCTACAGGCTAGAACAGTTGCCTGCATGCGGCTTGATAGGCTTACATGTATACCAAAAGGCAACGAATCAGCCCCCAATCAAAGAGACTAGGACTAAAGCCAGCGCCCTGCATAAGTTCGTCCTCCAGAAATAGATCTAGGCTCATCTCTCAGCACCAGTGCACTGCTGAACATCAAAACTATCGTGGCCACTGTCGGGTACTTACCAAAAAGATGTCGAGCAACCTACATTCCAATTACGCAGCGTGAGTCGAACAACAGCAAGAAGCGCGACACCATTTTTAGCTCTGACAACGAGCAAAGCACGACTGTCAAAATGAACGGTTGATGCCCTATATACTGTCGATGTCTACCTATCCAGCTATCAACCTCTCGGGTAATGCACGGGCAATCATTGGCAACGTGTATGGTCTGGACAATCATCTGTTCCCAGATGCTGATCGCAGAGAACACAAAGTCGCTCTGCTGCACAGATTAGAGCATACATCTAATCCTATCGAAGAAGGTTTGGTGGTGGTTTCAAGCCAGCTCTCAGTCTTAGTTCTTAAGGAATACGAGGACGCAAAATCGCTCATTAATGGCTTCCGAAAATACGAGTCTAAAATCGAGAGATATGCCAAACAAATCGGCATCCGCCAGACCATATTCAAGCAAGCACTTTGTAATCTCTTGGTTCCTTACACTGGGGTCGACACTGCTCAGGAGATGCTCTGCGACCATAAACATCCCACATGGTCAGAGGATGGATTTCTGCAGTATTTCAATGATCGCTTCGGTGACGGGATCCATGCTGTCCAGAATGTTCTGGAATTGATCAGCCTGGATCTTGAGGCGCTCACAGCATTCGGACAGAAGTGTGCAGATCTGAAGCGGGATAAGGGCAAAGTAAGTACGAACAACGTGGACTTGAGCTGTCCACAACTCCTATCGTTGCATATTTCGCCTTCAGTCCACATCCTGCACCTTGGTGTAAAACTTTATCCCTGGTGAATTTTGCTAACGAGTCAAGGAAAAGGCTGTCGCACATCTCAAAGGTAAGATAAAGACATTGATTGGCAATTTATTAGCCGAGCAGAATATCTCGGAGCATCTTGGCAGTCTCAAGGACAACACCGATGATTTTCGAGCATTACTGCAGCAGAGTATGCCGCAAAAGCAGAGGAGCCACGTCTCCGTTGCTAGCGGACAGTCGAAACTCCGTGTAGGTAGATATCGAAGAATTCAAGAGGCAGCTAATAATCTCTATCACGCTTTTGGCCTGGCTTGTACCAAACACACCAGACATGAGGCTCGTCTCAAGCTTCAAGCAGATCACGAAAGTCCTTTACAGGTGCAATTCACCCTTTTACTCGAGCGAACAGGCGTTCTTTCAACTATATTTCCAAGCATGACAGAACATCCTGCACTGAGGCTCACGATTGATTCTCAGGTCACGGGCACAATTAAGAATACAGATTTGGCTGAGGCCACGTCCGGCGTTCTTGCTTCCCTGTCTAGTTGCAGGAAGAGAGGTCTGAATTTCGAGAAAAACCATGATCAGACCGAGATGAAACCGAGTAGAAAGCCGAAGAAATCTGTAAGCTTCGCAAGCCAGTCGCCCATCTACACTACGCCTGCCGTTGCTAACCACGATCCTCTGCCGAACTTCTGCAACAACAGCAACTTCTGTACTCATGTCAAGCATCTACTCAACCAAGGATGTCGCGATGGACGACCCTTAGGATACCTTGATTCTAGAGGTTGTTCCAAACACCTCATATATCTCAGCAGCCAGAAGCAAACCATCAGTCTCTCTACGGAGCGTCAACAGCACTTGACAAAATTCAAGACACTATACAATGACCCCGAGCGTCCACTTTCGAGAATTGAAACTGCTTCACTAGCCAAACAACTTGCCGTGGCTGTCCTCCAATATCATACGACACCTTGGCTAGAAGAGACCTGGAATAGTGATCACATCCTCATCGAGAGTGATCGATGCTTGGAGACTCTCTCTACGCAGCGTACTGATCGACAAACAACGTCATTTGATCCCTATCTAGATGTCCTTATCCACAACCCACAAGAAGGCGCACGCACTCCTATTACCGACCGCTCACGAACGCTGATCCGCAACTGGACGCTATACAGTCTTGGAATCATGCTACTCGAGCTCGCTTACAAGAAATCTATCCGAGAGATGCAGAAAGCCCAAGATCTCGACCATTCAGGAAACGAACACAATACAGATTACTATACAGCTGATCGGTTGCAACAGAGTGTGTCCAGTGAAATGGGTCTAGACTTTGCCGAAGTAATTAGGAAGTGCATACAGTGCGATTTCGGCCATGGCGCTGATCTAAGTGCAACAAAGCTACAAGAAGGGTTCTATGAGGATGTCGTTCAGAAGCTAGAGAACATCGAAGTGAAGTTCAAAGATCTTGGTCTGTAGATAATGACAGAACAGATCGGATTTGATGCGACGATACCTTCCAATGACCGAAATGGAATTCGTTCGACCTCTTCACAATCTCGCTTGAATCTGAAGGTCGCCCCTATTCAGGTCCTTCAAATTCTTTTTGCCCATTTGACCAAGACCATTGTCAATTTCTGCAAGCAAACAATTCAAAACGTGCTCGACACCCTGCTGTCCACCAAATGCTAGTCCGTACATATATGGTCTGGCAATAAGGACAGCCTTGGCGCCAAGACACATGGCCTTGAGCACATCAGTCCCTGTGCGAATACCGCTGTCAAAAAGAACTGTCAGACCACTTCTCCTCACCCTCTCATCGGTGCATATCTCTCTCAGTGCGTCCAAGCTTGCAATGGCACCATCCAACTGTCTGCCACCGTGATTCGAAACCACAATTCCGTCAACACCAGCGTCGATAGCCTTGTGTGCATCTTCCAGCTTCTGAATGCCCTTGAGCACAATCGGACCATTGCCCCATAGTCTTCTTAGTATCTGGATGTCTTTCCAATCTCTATATGTACCACTATTCATCACATCCAACCACATCTTACTCCTCTGTAATGTTCTTAGATTTCTTAGAACCTTTAACGCTCCCCAAGGTGTGCCCGGCCGCAGTAGCAAATCACCGACCTCCCTCATCTTCTCACTTGTAGTCCTCGTGTCCAACGTCAACGCCTGCTGAAATCTCCTCTGAAATACCGGATCTGAGAACCCTACGGCACATCCCTGACCCCACAAGAATGGCAAATAGCTTGTATCGAGATCAACAGGCCTCCATCCTATCGTGAACGTATCCAGGGTCACGACGAGTACGCCGTATCCGGCCTTCTTGGCGCGGTCTAACAGACTCGCAGTGATGTCTTCGTACTCGCTCCTTGGCCAGTAGAGCTGAAACCACCTCTCTCCATCCTCGTTCGCCTCTGCGACCTGTTCGATACTCCTGGTAGCAGCCGTACTCAATATCATCGGCACGTTGACATTTTTACATGCCTTTGCAGTAGCGACTTCACCGTCACGATGCATGATCTCCTGGACACCGACTGGCGCCACAAGAAGTGGATTCGCATAGCGTTTTCCAAACAATTCAACGGACAGATCACGACGCGTGGCATTAACAAGCATAGATGGCTTGAGACGGTAATTGTTAAACGCAGCTACGTTATTCGCACATGTTGAGCCTCGTCCCGCGCTGTCGTGGACATACCCGAAATTTGCCGCTGGAACAGCGGCTCGTGCGAGCGACGGCCATGCTAAGGAGTTGGTAGAGAACTTCGATGCTTTTAGTGAGGTGTAGATGGTGCGCTGATACGATGTTGGAGCTTCTGGGTCGGGAGTGACTTGAGATGGATGTGATAGATCTAGTAGGCCTTCTGGCGTTTGCGAGGTGGTAAATTTCGAGTCACCGGATGAGATTGAAGACATGGTAGCTTCCTCGTTGTGTATAGCTTACGCTGTCAGGTATTGTGGTGCTATCAATGAAGTCAGAGCTTCGTTTCACAATAATCAAAAGTTCCGTTACGGGTGGTACTCGAGTACAGGGGAGGGAAGTTGTGGAGGAGCCGAGGCATGATGATTCGAACTGGACTCGGAACATCTAGATCCCGATCGTCTCCTGCATCTTTCGCACTCGTGTCGCGTCGCGGACGAACCGATACTGCAAAACTTCTTTCAATTCACATCAAAAGTATGTGTTCGGCAAACTGTTCCAGATCGAACATTGGCAGTATATATCAAGATGAACAACCTCGTGTGCTGGCGCAATATGTCTCGTCTAGTAACAACAGCCACTTACAGATCAGACTGCTCAAAGATCCAAGATAGCCTTCAAGTCCTTGATAAGAAATGCGAACAAGAACCGAATTAGCCACAATGACTCCTTCTGGGACTTCTGAGCTATTTGTATGGAGCTTTTTACCAGGACACCACACGCGTATCGAGTTTCAACATATCAATGGTCGATTATGATGGCGGTGCAATTGGACAATCGCTTCGGCAGGCCGTGACAACGCTATCAGGTCCAGGCTTTCCAAGTATAATCGAACGACCGACTTCGCAATACGAGTCAGCAAAGAACGTTCACGATGCAGTCTTCAGAGGCGACTATTGGGCAGCTGTCTACACAACGGCTGGAGCATCACAAAGACTTGCCGACGCGCTTTCTGGTGCTGGCCAGTACAATTCTAGCGACGCTATTATTTACATCTACAACGAAGCGAGGTATCCCACAGCCGAATCCGGATATGTTGCAGCCAACATGCAACAGCTCATCTCCGTCACCACAAGCGTGTACCACACGATCAGCGGCACTTCAGCTCTGCAGACTATCAACACTGCATCAGACTCTGCTCGCCAAGCTCTCTTCAATCCAATTATGCCGTCTTCCATCAACATCAAACCCACCCCACAAGGCACCAAAGTCCTCTACAGCACCGTCTCAATGATCATGCCAATCATCATGCAATTCTTCTTCATCATGGCAGTCAACGGCGTCAGCGGCCACTTCGCATTCTACAGCCACCTACCCCTCAAGGACAATGGTATGCTCCGTCTCGGGCTTTCCACGGTCTATACCTTTATCGGCGCACTTTGCACCGCAGGCTATCAATCTGCCTTTGAGGAGAGCGATTGGCTTAGTCCCGGCCAGTTCGTGCTCGTGTGGATGATTATCTGACTCTACATGCATATTAATTTCCTGGTCATCGACTGTGCGACAGCATTCATCCCCATGAGCTTCATGCCATTCTTCTTCTTCAGCTGGGTGATTCTGAATATTGCGAGTGTTGTGCTACCGTTCGAGCTCAATCCGGGGTTTTATAGGTGGGGCTATGCACTTCCAGCACATGAGGTATACCAAATCCTCGTCACGATTTGGTCTGGTGGTGCTGCGAACCAACTTCATATATCATTGCCGATCCTGTTCGCTTGGGAGGTCTTGTTGCTTCCACTGGCTGTCCTGGGACTACGGTACCGCTGCGCAAATGCGAGGGAGGAACATGAAACAGATGAGGAAGCGGCGCGAAAGAAGTATGGCAGGCACGATTCAGCGGCTACGGCGGACCAATCGTTGAAGGAGCAGATAACACGTCGGCTAGATGATACAGAGGCAGGCACTTCTAGACCAGCCGTTGTGTCAGCACCTGGTGCCGGCAATGGGTACTTCCCAAGCACTCCTGTGCCATTTCAGAACACACTGAAACGCATAGTGAGTCCGGGAAGGTCGACACAAGTATAGCCATAGCTGAATAATGGTCTGTGTTGTGGTGATAATGAAGATGGAACTCTAGCGAAATCCATAGACGACTTAGAAATAACATGATAAAGTAACGTTAGATCAGAACAATACCCATTCTGCCTTTTTAGACTTCAACGGCTGTAACCATATCCTCAATGACAAGCTTCTTAGGCATCGTCTTCATCATCCAAGCACTAAGTTTATTGTACTTGTTCCTATCCGTTTCCTGTTCCACAAGCTGTACATCATGTCAGTATAAGCACCCTAAACAACCCCGAGCAACGCGATCAAGACAGGCACTCACATCCCTAATATACTGCGGCACAATCTGCCAGCTCAACCCATACTGATCGGTAACCCATCCGCAATTCATTTCTCGATCCGCAACACCGCCTGCGATCCCATCCCAGAAATGATCAATCTCTTCCTGGTCCGTACACATGACCATCAATGAGACAGCAGGTGTGAATTTGAAGGTAGGTCCGCCGTTGAGGGCCATGTATTTCTGATCACCTAGATTAAAAAAGATACTGATCACTGGACCGGACTCGGAACTGGTCTCGTTGGGCATATGTGTTGTCTGCTGGATTGAGGAGGACGGCATAGAACTTGCGCGTGGTGAGCTGTTGAAAAGGTTGACGTAGAATGTTACAGCCTCTTCAGCGTTGTTGTCGAACCAGAGGCACGGGCATATCTTGTTGTTGGTCTTGCTGGGAGGAGTGGACATGTTGGCTTGAGGTAGGGCTCTTGTTGCTACAATAGTCTGTTTCCTGAGAGTTTGAACATGCCGCACGAGTATGTTTACATACTTTCTCTGCAAACTTGTCGAGGCTCATAAGGGCTGTTGATATTCAGGCATCTGCAGGCACCACGACCCGCTAAATCTTCCCCGCAAGCTTGGCTCCAGCATCTCGCTGCTTGGCGCGAAAGCGAATACGACCCAATACACCAACCAGGACAGAATTCCGTAAGTTGTGGCACGGAAATCTCCATAATCCAGGGCGACGCTGTGACAAGACAGATCCAGCAACGACTGCGATTAGCATGGAGTAACATCAAATTTCGACGGTCGTGTTCTGTTAAGGTGGTCCTCAGCCCAGCAAGCGAGTCTCTCTCACCTGGTATCGGAACTAACAGGTGTATTGGGACCGCTGTAGGTTGCTGCGAAGCCTCTCCGTATTCAGTTCAGCCTTGGGAGTTTTGCCAATGGCTGCACGAAAGCCCTCGCCTCCTCCTCCCTTTTGAGCCATTTCAGCCATGAGAGATCCGTAACCTCGATGGGTCGAGCGAAGACGTTCGAAGATCAACTCGAACCATCTTCGTTGTGGCAAGTCATATTGAGCCCAATAGCCGAATGCCACATTCATGGGTACACCGAGGAAGCTCACAGCCACGGCACTGACTCCATAATTGAGAAAATATTCTAGTGACTGGGTGATTCGATCGGCGCAAAGATGTTGCTTTGTCAATGAAGCTTGTCTGGAAGCATCAGTCGAGTAGAGTGAGATTGTTAAGGACGTCCGGGATCGAATATTGAGTTCCGTTTTGTATATGAGTAGGTGCGTTAGTAGGGAAAACCCCCAGTAAAGGATCAGCTGTTCGCCGATGTCGAGGTTTTGGAAATGCATATATGTTGAATAGACGCGCTGGGGACTTTCGAGCGGTAATTGGTCGCTTAGGTATGAGTGTTCCAGCCAGAAGAGCTTCTGCTCATCCCCATCGCTCTCGTTCTGCAGAAGTTGATCGTACCAACCATCTAGATTTGATTCAAAGTTCTGAAACATGTACGATAGAATTGATATAGCCGAGTCTGCATTTTGCGTCTCCATGTTCTCGAGCATTGCATTCACGATATCTGCTTGTTCCATGATTGCTAGCATTGTGAATAAAATGTCGAAAAGCATTGAGTACGAGGCAAACAAGCCCGTATATGTTTGAGGAGGAGGTGCAGCTGCATTCGTAATAGCCTTGCGCTGACCAATACCACAGATGAGCTGCCACATACGCGACCCGAGATAGAGTTGTTGAGCGATGCCACTCGAAGCGTTCTTGTTGCCTCGCATTTTGACTAGCTGGGAAGCACCCTTAGCATGGGAAAACCAGCCGGTCAAATTCTGTTGTGTCGCTGTGTAGGTCTGTGGAAGGTGTCAGTAGGAAGCGAGCTAGGAGGGGTCCGCTAACCTCAAATGATAGAAGGATCATGACAGCAGCTAAGGTGGTGTCCGCCATTGCTTCCTCCGTGGTCTCGAGCCTTGTGTTCAGCCTTCTGATTGTCTTACCGTACATCTCACGACTTCTATGAGAGATCTGACCAGACGCGTCTTGATGCTCGAGACAAGACAAGGAAAGCGCGCGTAATGCATCGTCCAGTAGCGGATCGTTCAGAGAATCTTCGTTGATAGCGTAAAGCCAAGCTGTGGAAGCCGTTGGTCGTACGTTGCGGGAGAGGTAGCCCTCTGCTAAGTTTCCACGAATCTGCAATTGAATAGCACTTGCCAAGCACGAAGGTGGGAGATCAAAGAGCGAATTTTCATCTGAGCCAGTTGAGCCTGGGCTGGAGCTTTTGCTGGATTCTCGAGAGCGTGCGACATGAGCGCCTGGGTTGACGTAGACAATATTTAGGTCGGTCTTGTATACGCATTCGACTCCTCTTTTGATGCACAATCCGCAGATAGGTTTTTGCTCGTCGCACTGATTGTGTCAGCATTGATCGTGCAAATGAGGGTTGGACCTACCTTCTTACGTCGAGCTCTGCATGGCTTGCAGGCTCGAGATCGCGGGATGCCAACCATTTCTCGCTGTATGACAGAGCACAAGCGCAGTGCTATCCATCAAGTGAAGATCAGCGACGTATAGGTGAGGATTTCATGATGTTCTTGAAAGCATTGATTGAGGTTGTGGATGAACAAGAGAGATATGATAAGCATTTGAGCACATCCCACTGCTGTACTTTGGAGTCGGCCTGTGGTCCTACTGGCACAGCCATGTGATCTTGCGACGCGACGTGGACTGGGCCTGCCAAGTACAATGAGGATAACGCTGCCTACTCGCATCTCCTAGCAATAGATTGTTGCGAGCTGCAGTGATGAGGTGGTAGGCCATACGAAGCCATGTTCGTACGCTAATAGAGATTTTGTCACCACTTCTGCAAGGTTGTCTTTCCAATCTCAGTGTTGAATTCTGCAGCGACATGGGTGATGTGGTTTTTAGCGGTTGGTGGCCTGAAAAGTCGTATGCGCTGCAGGCGCAGGACCCCGTTCGTAGGGCTATAGGAGCCAAGATTGCAGCTTGGCGACTTCCTCCAACCATTTACCTTCCACTATCGTATTTTCAGGTCGTTTTCGCGATTGCTATTCTGCCGAACACGCTCTATGGTATCTTGTACGGCTAGTTCAACTCGCTACTGCCTCGATACAGTGGAGTGGTGTGAGATAGACGCGTTAGAACACATTGCACAAATACTTCTTGATACTCATTTATCGATCTTTGGAGTTGTTGAAAAGTTTTTATACTATGAAGTTAGCTCGCTATCTTGCTGACCTCAAAAAAGGCCAGTCACCTCTCAGTCAAACAGCCACCATCCGAACACTAAGGCTTTTATCGTATCCTCAAAACACTCGACTTTGGAGTCACTCAAGTGCTCTTGCAGGAGAAGAGGAACAGAATCTCACAAACTCAAGCCTGCCATCCAAATCAAACCCAATAACTATCGTGCTAACGCTATCGAGCTCGTGGCGGCTACCCAAAAGTCCATCATTCGTAAGATGGCTGCGCCACACTCGTCCAAACCACTGCAGAGTCCTACCTACGTACGTGACCTGAGGTGCAGCAAATTATGATGCGAACTGAGAATGGCAACAATGTGCGCATCCGTACATGCCACAGTGGTTCGACTACATCCATGATTTTCAGGCCAGAACTCCCGCGAGCACAGTCAATAGGTACCAGGACCAAGATGGAGATGCATCCAACACCGCGCCACCACTCGACCCTGCTGATGCCGATGGCGATGCTGTTACTGTCACACTAACTGTTGCTGTGTCAAGTGGTGCACTTGACCTTGTCGTGGTAGGCGGTGAGATCGTGGTCGAAATCGAACTTTGTTCTAGTGGCGACATGACTCTGTCGAGGACATGCATCACTCCATTGTTCGTCATCACGTTTTTGTTGATAATCCTAGCGTCATTGACGAAGATGTCCGGACCGCGAAGCGTTATCCGGATCGTCTCATTCGAAAACGTTGTGAATGTCTGCCCGTCCACAAAGAAATTGCTGTATAGCGGTTCGACAACAGTATGGAACTTGATCAGTCGCTCGAGCTGTGTTATGTTAGCAGTCACATTTGGACTTCCAGCTTGCAGGAAGGCTTGGTCGTTCGGCGTGAAACATGTCACGTTCCGTGTGATGTCGAGTGGTGTCCCTAAGCCTGTCTTGTCTAACGATTGCCGAAATGCAGTCATTCGCCACCTTCTAATCGAGTCTGTGCAATTTAATGGAAGTGACAGGAATCTAATCGGGTCAATACATCGTCCCAACAATTCACAACCACTCACTTGTCGACAATCTGGAAATACCCGCCATCCCATGTACCATCCACTGCAGTCAGATTCTAATAGACGATCAGTTGTGCCCTAACCAGCTAGGAATCACCTTACGATTTGATGGCCGAGACCACCTTGAGCATTCACAGTCGGATTTTGCAACTGGCGGAGCACGAACTTTCTCGACCCGCTAGTGGTTTGTTTTGCTTGAAAGAACACAACCTGGCCATTTCGTACATCACCATCCGCCCCAGATGAGCCAAGTGCGGCTCCGGCAGATCGATTGTTGAAAGTCGGTCCTGTCAAATAGGTCGGTACTGTAACTCCTTCTGACGCGGTGAAGTTGTCCGCTGTAACTAATCCAGCTAACAAATGGTACTGAAGATATGGCTCCAATTGCTGAATGCTCAAGTTTCCCATAGACACATTGTAAAGTGCTGAGACTTTGGTGAAGGCTGAATTGTCTGGAACCAAAATCGTTGACTGTCCCGTCAGTGAGGAGCTGTTCGATGTAAGGAGGGCTCCTGCTAATTGAGGGTTGTCGGTCATCAAAGCTGTAAAGTTGGACAGCTGTGGAAAGGTAGATATTGCCTCCAGCAGCGACTGTGCTTTCGCAACTGCCGCGAGGAGTAAGACGTGGAAGCATGACTTTGCAGGTTTCATGGTTGCTTGAAGTGCTAAGATTGTGCAGTGTTTCAGAAGCAAATATTACCATTCAGCTTCCAACCTTCGATCATATCAGACCGCTTTCGACTGCAGAGATTGACCACCACGAGCTTTGCGGATCGCGTGTTCTAACGCATCACGGGCCAACAGCTGTGCCAAGCCATGGCGAAGCGATGGCTTGACAAGGCGGAGAGCCTGTTTTGTTACATCCAGAATCCTGCGAGACGGTCTGCAAAACAACCTCACTTTTCTGAGCTGTGGCTGACCTACGTCCAATAACAGCTCCGCAGTCGTGCTGATGAGTGTGCAGTAGAAGACGTGAAAAGAGCAGAGAAGAAGCACGCCAAGATCATCAAGGTTCCCTAGCCTCTTGGCTCTCGCTTAAGAAGAGTCTGGATTGGGACCAGCTCATAATATTACCAGTTTAACAACTCAGCTGCTCGGTAAAACGATGAGCTTCACGAGCTACAATACAGTCCGATAGGTCGCGGGAAGTTGTAAGCCTCTGCCGACTGGAAACTTCTTACATATGACGGCTACGAGAGGTATGGCATTTCCATACTGGCCCCTCGGTAGTGCATAACGGAAGAGGTTATCAGGCTCAACAAGGTAGCTGAGCAGCCGAAGGTACACAAATCCGACCTCATGGTTCGAAGACGAATGGCAGCTCGATAAATAGTAACGATGAATCAATTCTGCTGAGAACTCAATTGGAGCGAACGTTGTTCTGCCAAGTCGACCTCGTATTCAGCCCTTCTCGCACTCGCATGGACACACTTGCGATCTAGAAGCGTATCAGCAGACATTCTTCTAGCCGAATCAGTAGACTGTCAATATCTGGTAGAGCGAGGTCATGGCGTGCCAACCCCACCATACCTGAAGTACAGCTTATGTTGTTTTTCACATCTCCCAGAAACAACATCTTGACCTTCTCCTGAGATCCAAGTTGCACACCAAGACCCTTCAGTATATTGTTCCGGGTCAATATGTCTCCATGGCACACAGTATATATCGTGGCAAGTCTCCTCGTTGCTGTGCACCAAGCCAATGCACTTGCGCTTAATATACCGACAGCCACTGCCAGCTCGATATGTCCTAACGTTGGCTTGCAACACGATCTTCTACCACAGGTCACAACACCGCCAGCAATATCCGAGCTGCGTCGTCGTCAGCAACTAACGAGTCTGTCAAGCAATGAAACTACTTCTACGACCTCAGAAGCAACATGCGGGTTCATTGACGGCGATGCAGGTTAGTCGAGACAGAGTTTTCAAAGGACCCCAATTCTGAGTGAGCACAGATAAGCCAGTGACTTGCGGAACATCGCTCTATTGTGCCACCACAAGCAGTTTCGTAGGCTGCTGTGAGCTCAGCAACTGCAGAGATATTTTCACAAGCTGTTATGACTTGCTGGGTGGCGTGTGCGATCAAGCCTGCCAGAACAATCCCGCGAACCTCGTTTGGTAAGTACAGCAGTGCAGCAGTCGATTCGAACTAATTCGGGCAGCCCCTCAGCGCTACCATATTGTGCCCGGTATAATTATGAGGGTGGCTCAGTTGGTCTAGGTTGTGCAGCTGTACGCGGTTACACTAGCACAGTCTATCTTTCCACCTTGACGAACATACCTCAGTTAAGCACATCGACTACCACCTCGCCAACAAGCTCGACACCAACAGCGACTTCTATACCTGCTGTTGCCTCTGGTCTTTCGACCGGTGCTACAGCTGGCGTTGCCGTCGGTGTGACGCTCGTTGTCGTCGCCTTAGCACTTGCAGGCTTCCTCTTCTGGCGCCGCTCGAAGAAGCAGAAGAAGAAGGTAACCGCCGCAGCAGCTCTTGCACCAACTCCACGCGCTACCTCGCCACCACCGGAAACCAAAGAAGTAGTGCCCAAGAACGATCATAGGTTATCCCAAGCAGTGAGCGAAATGCCTGGCTCACCACGGACGCCAATATCTCCTGATTTCAAGGGCAATACGAGTGTTGCGGGCCAGCCAAGTCCTGGATTACCACGGTATAGCCAAGTATATGAAATGGTAAGTATATTGTTGTTAGTACGGTACCTCTCTAATCAGGTGACAGCCTGCGAACACGAATGAACGACCACTTAGCTATCCTCCGACAGAGCTTAGCTCGGAGCGTGGTGGTTGGAGATGAAGCAATTACGGGACTCCATATTGACGCTGTCTCGAAAGTCTGCTGCAGCAGATGTGCCACGGTAGTTTGTAGGCAGCGAGATGAATTGTGCCAAGCCCCAGACACGATGTAGTGATAAGGTCATGCAAATGCATGCATGGAATAACTTTCCTATTAGCGGCTATACTGTTTTTATTGCAACTACCACATATTGGTCCCATCATTGCTCCCAGATCCCGAGTCGAGTGTCTGTCCACGGTTGTCTTTGCATCTGTCTTGTGTGCATGTACTTGTACATTGTTCAGTTAATGCCACCAGCAGTTTCCCAGCGTCGAGCATGGAATTCTGCAGCTTGATGGTGGTGTCGTCGGAAAAGGAACTCCGAGTGGCTGACGTCACAGCAGTGGCAAAGCTTCTCTCCAGGCGATATGAGCGATGAGTAGCAATGAAAGGCACGTTAACCTGTATTTAAAAATCACAACTATGATTGTTCCATCTTGCCATCAGCCTCGCTGGCTATCTAAACACGTATGCAAAGACTGCAACGGCTAATATCGCGCTTTGTCAATCCCAAGATACTACCCACTAGCACAGTAGCTGCACATAGCAACACAGTCGTCCAAAACCATCAAGTTGAGATGTCTAAATCCGAAAACACAGATCTATCCACCAACTCACCAGTCTCATCAAAGCCAAGCACACCCCGACCACGAGACCATCCAGTCGCCGCACCACCACGAACTTCATCCGCACTACCCCTCGATGACCCTGGTCCAATCATTTCTAACCTAAAGTTTCCAGTCAAGAATAGCTACGGTGGTTCTGCCCATGGCTTCCTTCATATGCCTCCGACTTCTGCCAAGGTATCACCTGTCCATTCGCGGACAGCTGCAATTCTTCTCTCGGGTGCGGGTGGAGGCGTTACGGGGCCGTCGGGGATGTACCTCTCTCTTGCCACGAAATTACCGTCGTTACCGCAATTGCCTATCAAGGTTTTGAGATTGGATTATCGGTACGCTGCTCGAACGGGACCTTGTGTTGAGGATGCGAAAGCTGCGATGACTTATATGGGCGAACACTTTGCTGTTGATCGGTTCGTGTTAGTCGGTTGGTCGTTTGGTGGCGCGCCGGTATTCACGCTTGCTGGAAGGGATGAGCGGGTCGTGGGTGCTGCGACGGTAGCGAGTCAGACTGCTGATGCGCTGAAAGGTGCTCGAGAAGCAGGAAGGCGGAATGTACCGGTTATGCTGTTGCACGGGACTGGAGATCGGACTTTGAGTGATCGTTGTTCGAGGCACTTGCACGAAGCGTGGTATGAAGGGTACAAAGGGCCCGGTGAGGGTGAAGAGAAGACGAAACTGATTCTGTTTGATGGTGATGATCATTCTTTGAGTCGTAACGTGGAAAAGGCAGAGCAATTCGTGGCTAACTTTGTTATTGAGTGTGCTGGTGGAGAAGTCGAGGATGGCAAGGAGGTCGTGCAGAGTGAGGTGATGGGAGATAGTGAGGAGAGGAAAGATGCCATGAAGAAGGGCGGTGATTTGCGTGGGAACGAAAGCCTGGAATAGGTCGGTCTTTCCTCCATCTCGAGCGTTCTTAGGATCTCTGTTGTGCTCGCGAAGATGCCACCGAAAAAAACAGTCAATGGGACTGGGTCGAAGCTACGCAAAATGTCGACGCACAACGTACCGGCTGGACCACATTGTGCCCATTTGGGGCCACAATGACTGTTGCAACGACTGCCCTGTTCACATTACGGAAACACGACTGATCCTTTCTGAGAATCATCAATTAGCAGACCCACCAAGAAACTGACAGCGCGAGAAATCATGTGCTAGTTGTCATTAGACAAGGTCGCTGCTGATCTACTCAGTACCGCCTAAGCTGTGCTTGAGTGCTGTCACTTTACTCGAGCACGATGTGTAGGCTGCTCGTGTGGCTTTTGCACGTGCGCGACACAAATAGCACCATCACACGCGAATGTCTTTGTCGATGATTGACTTGTGGTACAGCGAACATTCTTTCTCCTATATAGAGATTGCGTCGTGCATTAGAGAGGAGTGAAGATGATATCGGGTTGTGGGCTTGCAGAAGAGCGGCAGTAAGCAGCTGCAGGGGTGAAAGTCTTTTAATGCTCGTGCAATTTACAGCCAGTAAAAGGAGAGCATCAGCACCGTTGCGCAGATCAACCAGAGAACAAGCCAACTGAAAGCTGAGGGTACCTGAAAGTGGGTCGGAAATTAGGTGCATTAGTGCCTGTTTGGACAGAAGTGGCGCCTGTAAACAACAAGCAGAGCGGCAGGCGGAGGATTATTCTCCACGAAAGTCGAAGGAACAAGCCAGATCCTTACAACAGAAGACCTGTTGTTACGTCGTGTTGTTTACCCATTTCTTCACTCGTCAATACACAATACATGGTATTACACTAATTCAGCATTGAGGTAGAGAGATACTACTAAGCCAAAATGCGAAATCCATTGTCCCCTCTTGAGAACACGATCGGGGCTTTGAGTTGCGACGCTACGACAAGTCCAGCCAAGGTGCCGACGCCAGCATTGCCATATGATTGCGATGTCGACGTAGAGAATTCCGAGCCTCAGACACACTCCGGTCTCCCTCCATCTTCAGCCTACGTGTCAAGCCCGACGAAACGGACAGCATCTCCTTCGAAACGTTCGCCAGTGAAATACAGACTACAGGATGATACTTTAGCCATGCAGTCACCTCCTGACTCTCCTGCGCAATCGACTTTACGCTTCAATGAAGGCATGACGAGAGCGATTGGTGAAATGGAACATGACGCTGGATCGAGGAAGAGTTCTGTCAATTATACAGCCCTGAATGAGGATATGAGCACGATACATGAAAATGGTTCGAAGGATCAACACGACGAGGACACTCTCGACAACGATGTCACACTCGGCATGGACGATACGTTGCACAACGGCACTGCTGGCGACTTGAGCACTATTTCAGCTATACCTACTGACATGACTCGTTTCGCAAGTCTACAAAACTCTCCTGTAAAGGGAGTGCCTCTCGACGGCTGCACTCCACGTGCCAATCGCAACTCCATAGCCATGTCGACCCCTGCTACTGGTCAGAGGCCCTTACAGCTGTTATCGAGAAGGAGCACCTCCTCGAACGAAGATGAAGAAGCTACACCTAGGAAGTCTAGATATTCTGCAGAATCCTCAGTCGACCTAATGAACTTCACAGGCCAAACAAACATATTGATGCCACCTCCAGGATCCGCACCAAGGACTGCTAGAAGAAGTCCTTCTGGTCGCGGCGCCTTTCCTATACGTGTCAACCCTACCCTTGCACATAGATCGCAGGCTTCGGTCGATCGAGAACGAGCTACTGGGAGATCACCACAGAAATTTAGTCCCGACCAACCAGTGCCTGAAACTCCAGCCAGCTCGCGACATAGTCAGTCTTCATCAAATGGCTTTGGTTTAGATCTGCTTGACATTGACCTTGGACCAATGGCCACTCCTAGATCAATTCCTACCGTCACCCCTCGTGAATTAGAAACACTTCGATCGGAAATGCAATCAAGAATATCGGGCCTCGAGGCTACACTATCCGGCAAGGAAGCAGAAGTAATGGCTCTGAAAAAGTCTATCACGGATGCTGAGGTTAGAGCTGGGAAGTCAGGTGAAGAGCTGAGGATTGAGAGACAGGAGAAGGAAGAAATACAAATTCAGAAAGACGAGCTAGACAGGAGAGCAAGAGAGATGGAGGCTGTACTGAGAGAAGTCAAGCAAAATGCGTTCGTTGAGGAACGGGAACGAGAGAAGCTGAAAAGACAGGCCGAGGAGGCGGAACGGAGGACAGAAGAATGTGAAGTCAAGATACTGGAATTGAAAGCGTCACTGGATACCCTTCGATCGGACCGGGTGAGATGTTCGCCGAGCCCGCTGAGAATGTTGGACGAGCCAGCAACGCCTGGCTCTAGCTCCGGCTCACCCGTCGATGTCGACGCTGCAGTCAAGAATGCTACAGAAACTGTTGCAAGAGAATTACATGCATTATACAAGTCGAAGCACGAACGAAAAGTCGCTGACCTCAAGCTCAGTTATGAGAAGAGGTGGTTGAAGCAGGTCGATGCTCTGAAGGCTGAGCTAAAAGAGTCACAAGATGAGGTAGCCAGGTTGTTAATTGAGCGAGATGCAACGCTCACTGGTTTCGCACCAGGACATAATGAGGCGCTTTCTAAAATGGAAGGTCAAATAGAAGAGCTTAGGAGGTGGAATGAAGATCTTTCGGCTCAGAAGAGGGTCGTCGAGGCTGAACTTACTGGGTCCAGGTCCGAGCTTGACACCATCAAAAGAGAGAACGATCAACTCCGTCTTAATCTCGAAACAGAACGCATCGAAAAAGGCGATCTTGTTGCTCAAGTCGAGGTTTTCTTGACAGTTAGTGCTGAGCAGGAGCGCGAAAGGGAAGCTGAACGAGAAGCGCGTGAAGCAAGAGAACGAGAACGGCAGCCTGTCAGTCCGCCTAGGAGTGACGCATCAGGCGAAAGCTTGGTGGGTAGTGTACCGCTGCAACAAATACAGAGCCCAAACAAACCAAGGACCATGAATGGTGCCGTAGGATCCAGTGGTAGGCCAAGACCTATGAGTATGCTGGTGAAGCCGGTAGCCAACAAGTATGGCTCAGGGATTCCAGCGCCTGGAAATTCAGGACTGAAAGTACCTACGGTTGGAACGAGGCCGGGTCTGTATCAAAGAGGATCACTGATGGATGGAATAGCAAAAATGGGGGCTGGGGCTCGATAGGCTTGACTACAAAACCCCAAGGTATTGTCGTACGCTGTGATCTGCTTTGCAAGTTTGGACGATTTCATGAACAGTGCTTAAACTTTAGCGTCTATAGGTTTCCAGGTCAGCACTGGTGGTGGGATATTCTTAGGACATCGGGAACGGTGGAAAATGCTGTTGAGCGATCTGGTAGCACCGGACGCTTCTAAGAAGCTGATTCGAATGCAACGACAATTCGAACCACTTCACTATCTGTACAAATATTACTTTTATACTGCTGTTGCGTAGTTAGTCTTCCTTCCCAGCTGTACGTGATGAACCCCTGATACGTCAGGTCTGATCTATTGCCAGTTAGGCAACTTCACCGACCGCAAATGCCAAATGTCCAGAAGTTCACGATATTGCACAAGCGCACCGCTGGGTATGCTGGAGAGCTTTGCTGCTCGTTCACAATGCTACTCAGACCCGAAGTGTTAGGGGTACTTCTCTATGCAGTCAGCTCGGTAGAAGCAGCAGATGCGAAGTCTGCCGAGTCTGGCAGACCGCGAGGCGTAGGTCCTGAATGTGAGTTCTACTATATAGTTCACTGCTGGCTGCTAGGACACTCCTTCAACCGTGTATCTGCCCTGAGTGTTGTGTCTGACATCTTTGTAGTCGCCAAATTCTACAAAACAAGCGACAACTTCTTCTCCTGTATATCGAATCCCTCCCAGCGTATACCATTCTCCCAAGTGAACGATGACTACTGTGATTGTCCCGATGGTTCAGATGAGCCGGGAACCGCAGCCTGCTCATATCTGACCCCGTACTCCTACCCTCAGCCTCATCTACGTCCAGGATCTAGCCTCACTCCAGAGAATGAGACACTAGCACTGCCTGGCTTCTACTGCAAGAACAAAGGACACGTGCCTGCCTATATACGCTTTGAGAACGTCAATGATGGAGTCTGTGACTACGATGCATGTTGTGACGGCTCAGATGAATATGCTGGTGTGGGTGGTGTAAAGTGTGAAGATCGTTGTGCAGCAATTGGAAAGGAGTGGAAGAAGCAGGAGGAGGTACGGCAGAAAGCACAGCAGCGAGCGCTTAAGAAGCGGAAGGAGCTGCAGTTTGAGGCTGATAGGAGACGGACGGAGCTGAAGGACAAGATTGAGGCGGGGAAGATTAGGGTTCAGGGCTTTGAGAGGAAGATAGTCGAGGCGGAAGAGAATCTGAAGGAGGTGGAGAGAAGGGAGAAGTTGAGGCTTGTGAAGAGTGATGCACAGGGTAAGGGCAGAGGCAGGCTGGGTGTACTCTTGAATCTGGCGAAAGATCGAACAGCAGAGTTAAGGGGTGCCCTTACGAAGGTCAAGAAGCAGAGAGAGGATATGGTTGCGAGGGTCTCCGAGCTAGAAGCATTGCTGAGCGAGTTGAAAGAGACATACAACCCGAACTTCAATGATGCTGGCGTCAAGAAGGCGGTACAAGGCTGGGAAGACTATGCTGCTAGGGAGTCAACCGACACCTGGACTGATGCCGAAGATCGAGATCTGACAGAAATTGCCAAGGAAGATGGTAGTGAATCTGGCGTCAACTGGGCAGAGTTTGAGGAGAGTGAATCGGAACAGACAGCCAGTGACGCAGCAGCAATTTACTCACTCACATCATATCTACCCGGACCATTACAGAACTGGCTCGGCAGCACAATGAGCAGCCTTCGACAAATCCTCATCGACAACGGTGTCCTGCCTGACAACACAATACATGCCAACCTCGACGACTCAGCAGCCGTCAAAGAAGCACGAAAATCCCGCGACGACTCACAACGCGACCTGACCGAGGCCCAAAACGGGCTGAAACACGACGAAGAAGACTTAACCAAAGACTACGGTCCAAACGGCATCTTCCGCGCTCTCAAAGACCAATGTACAGAAGGCGACTTCGGCGAGTACAAATACTCTCTCTGCTTCATGCAAAAGACCACACAACAACCCAAAAAAGGCGGCGGACAAACCAACATGGGCAGTTTCACTGGCTTTGAAACAGAATTTACCGACGACGATTTGCCTTCAGGTGGTAAAGGTCTGGGCCGCGGCGAGCGAGTAGTCATGAAATACGAGAATGGCCAACACTGCTGGAATGGACCTGCTCGAAGTACGAGGGTGATTCTCGCGTGTAGTGAAAGTGAAGAAATTTGGAAGGTTAGTGAGAGTGAGAAGTGTGTTTATCGTATGGAGGTTGGGACTGCGGCTGTGTGTGGGTGGGAGGGGAGTGCGAGGGAGGCTGAGAAGGGGCAGGCTAGTGTTAAGGACGAGTTGTAGAGTAGAGTGTGTAGTCAAGCGAAACAATACGTGATGCTGACAACTTGAACCGTGTGTGGCTCTTCCTCGAAGAATGTTCGTCCTTGAGGCGACTCAACCGGCCACAACTGTTCATGCAGGTTTCTGATTTACAGCCCTTCATTTTTTATTCATGCCGATCATGCACATTGCACGCCATCACGAACACAAACAGAATGACTTGAATTCTTACAAAGTCTACCCATTGTTCTAAACCAAGCACTCTTGGCTTTTGGCACCTTTCGCGAAATTCGTGCTCGTTCTCGGTAATATGCAAGCCATATGCACGGCACCAGACCGAGGCTTAACAAGTCAGTTGAGAGAGGAAGTGCTCGCTCGCCGGCTCTACTATACATATATCATAGCGATAAATACCTAGATTTGATGGGAGAAAAGGTTTACAGAGAACTTCTAGACATTTCGGCCAGAGGGCAATAGTTATTCAAACAATCGTGTTCGAAAATGGGTGATACTTCACTTCCGTCCACCAGTAAAGCCGCTTGTGTTGAGAATCCAGGGGCGGACTTCAAGGTCGTGGTTAGAGATGATGTTCCTGTGCCTCAGCCAGGTAAGTAAGACGAGTGTGGCATTGTAATCGTGCAAGTAAGCTGACGAGGTGCTCCTCACAAAATGAAGGCAACATGGAAGTCCTCATCAAACTCTCCGTGACGGGGATTTGCTACTCCGACCTCCACTATATGCTCGAAGACCTTCCGATGCCCAAGATGTCCGAGTTCAACGTTGTCTCACCGGGTCATGAAGGGGTAGGAACAATCGTTGCTCTAGGCACAAACATTCCGGTCTCGCTCAGTCTCAACCTTGGCGATCGTGTTGGTTTGAAACCCGTGTATACGTCGTGTAACTCGTGCTTGATGTGTACGACAGATCGGGAGATGTACTGTTCTGCATCGCTGCAGACGGGCTTGCACAGACCTGGGACTTATCAGCAGTATGTGATCGGTGCGGCGGAGCATGTGGTCAAGATTCCTGATGGGGTGCCGGATGATGTTGCGGCGCCGATTATGTGTAGTGGTGCGACTATTTATCGTGGTATCACGGAGGCTGGACTGAAGCCTGGTGATTGGGTTGCGTTTGCTGGTGCTGGTGGGGGTGTTGGGCATATGGGGGTGATGTATGCTAGAGCAATGGGCATGAGGGTCATCGCCATTGATGGTGGAGAGGAGAAAGACCAGATGTGTAAGAAGATTGGAGCGGAGCATTTTGTGGATTTTACCAAGGTCAAGGATGTCAACGCGGAAGTGATCAGGCTGGCCGATGGATCGGGAGTGCATGGCTTGATCGTCACAGCAACTAGTGCCGCAGCATATCGAAGTGGTGCAGGCATGCTGAGAACTTCGGGTGTGCTAATGTCGATCGGCTTGCGTGAGTGCATTGACCAACTCTCCGGCGTGATGCTGACGCTTGATAGCATCTATTGCAGACGTACCTTTGATTGCAGACCCGTTGACATTGGTAGGCAAGAACCTAAAGATCACAGGCACTGCAGTAGGGACCAGGAACGACGTTAAGATGGCTTTGCAGTTCGCGGCACAGGTGAGCTGTAGCAGTTCCCGGAAAGAGTAAACTAATCATGAAACAGGGACTTGTCAAGCCAGTCATCGAGCATTACAAATTCGACAAGATTCCTGATGCTGTATACAAATTGAAGAGTGGCAAGGTTGCAGGTCGCTGCGTGGTGAGCTTCGAAGATTAGCACCTGCTGGACTCAAGCAGTTCATAGCACCTTCCTATTGAGATTATGCTCGCCATGTATGCAGGAGCCAGCTCTTTGGTTGAAAAGTCCATTGCTTGGTGCCGTGATCGACTGTACGGAATAGACAGATTCTAACCGCTCTTCTGACCTGTGCTTAGCTAGAACGGAAAAGCAACATTTGTATCGGAACCTCTAAAATTCTTTCATATGGTCAAGCTGGCTCACGTTGAAAGAGGCTGAAACGTCCGATTATCCCAGATGCTGAAATTGGCAGCTCCGTGCCGTCGTAACCAAATGGTCTTGCCACAGAAACACATGGCGTTAGTGGTTGGAACGATTACGGCTGAATGTGCTTGGCAAAAGCCGAGTGCTTACGAATGCGCTTTCAAACAGCATAAGACAATCTTTGTGTGATTGCCTCTAATTCATTTCATCTCGCCTTTACAGAGGGTAGGCTACTGCTATGAACGACCCTCGCGAGCCATCTCAGCCGCGAAGATCCTTTGTATCTGTGCTCGTGCAGCAGTACTTCTGGATGCCCGACTTAGTGATCGGCTTTCACGTAAGTTGGTCAAGCTTTCTTGGCAGCATCGGCACCCCAGACCCACTAGCCTCGTTTAGTCCAGGTTGGCACGGCAATCAGGGCAAGACCATGTCACGCATCATCTCCTGGCTCCATTCAGTGACTTCATTGTGGCTGTCCTGAAATCTCGAGTGCCGTATTACCAAAGTTTGACGCGTGTCGAGCCCAAAACAATCGGTGGTACGGCCAATCACTACACTGGCTGCGCCCTGTTTCCAAGATATGGGAAAAGTTGGCCATGGCAATGAAAGTGGTCGTCAGATCATTCTAGACAAACCAGATTGACGAAAAGCTGCGAACCTTCCCCTATATATGCACGGATCTGCGTCTCTTGCACTTGACTCCCACCACACCACCAACGCTCACCTCAAATTAAAAACACCAGTTCACATTCTTCAAATCCTAATCAACTCAAACCAACCAATCAACAACATGCAGTTCAAGACCCTCCTCTTCGCTATTGCTGCCACTGGCGCTCTAGCTCAGTCCTCGACCAGCGATGCTCAAGCCTCTGCCAGCAGTGCTGGTTCCTCAGTCGCCTCATCATTGGCTTCAGTTTCCTCATCAGCCGTAGCCAGCCTTTCTAGCCAGCTTGCCACCGTCACTGATTCCTCCTCAGCCGCCAGCCTCTCAAGCTCTGCTGAATCCCGAATCAGCAGCGCATCCAGCGCTGCCAGCTCTGCAGCATCAAGCATAAGCTCTTCAGCCAGCTCCGCCATGTCATCCGCTGCTTCTGCCGCATCCAGCGTTTCCTCGCGAGCCTCCTCCGCAGCTTCCAGTGCTGCTTCATCTGCCTCAAGTGCAGGTGGAAACGCATCTTCCGCTGCCTCTTCAGCTGCATCCTCGGTAGCCTCCAGTGCCGCCGCACCAGTCGCAACCGGTATGGGTATGATTGGTGCCGGTTTGATGGGTCTTGCCGCTCTTCTGTAAATGATCTTACAGGCTTAGCGAGTTCAGTTTGTTGAGAACACCGTTTGATCGATAATGGGATACCATACACTAGAATAGATGTACAGAAGTGTACTTTCATGTAATTTAGCTTCCGCTGCTCCAATGATACCAAGTTGTGTTCGTTCATCTGTTTCTTTATTCTCACGCGCACGGCAGAGGTTCAGATTGACATCTTCCGGCTTCCGGAAGCTCGACTACCCGCTCTCGACGACAAGCTGTGACCTTCCAGATCGCACGGCATTAGTACTCACTTAAATAACTGTCAACTTCTGCTTCACCTGCCTTCTCATGGCCTGTACGGCACCTTGTCACCACCTGTTACGCGGTCCACTTTCATCCGTGCGAAATCACTTACACGAGGATCAGGACGCGACTGTCATGTGCTCCCGGAAAATGCCCGCGCGCCCTGAGAGAGAGCTGCTTGAAGATACCACTCCAGGCATCTCACTTCTTAGCAAAATCGACATCTTGTGCAATCTCAAGCTCAAGCTAATTTACATGGCAGGCAATGGCTACCAAGGGTGCGGCTTGAAACGATTGAGAAATTTCTCTCGTACCGCGCACTATGGCTGTACTATGCAGGTACGTGTAGGCGCCTTATGATCATTCGAAGATGTCTCCCATTCTGTGTTCAAGTGGACGAAAGCTCATTATCCCAACCACTCAACTTGGTTCACGAATGTCTGGGCATATGCCTTGAGGCCTGGACGCACACTAGCGTCGAAGCGCGTGTGCGCCTTCCTCGTGGCCTTTCTTGATCATTGTTTTACCAATTATGTTGTCTTTCATCTCTTCTATAGACTGCGCAAACACGATGTGCATTTACCAAGACTTTTGGGCCACTTCTCTATGAGGTCGTTCGACCACTGACTCGAGGTAGTGGACGCCACAGCAGCCACATCGAAGTTGTAATTTGAAGACCCCCAAATTGAAGTGTGTCATGGATATCCAGAATTATGAAAGTCTGCCACGATCATTGGTCGACGGCTATCACTTGGATCGGACTTGTGCCTCAGGACCCATCCTCGCTCGCTTTTGACTGCCTATCTCAGCTGTATAGCTTCCCCCACAATCGAAGCTCATTCGTTCAAGATGTGATAGCTCTATCGCAGAATCGCGACCTTGTCCTTCTGCAGCCTTTCGAGCCGTGCGAGGCGTGAGCGAAATTGTGTACGACCATGATCCTTTCGCAATATCGCATTCCTTTCCTGCTTCGTTTTCATCAAATTCACAAGCTGAAGAGTTGATGATATGCGAGATCTGTCAACATGGGTCCAGATTCAGAAGCACAACAACGCGCGTCAGTCGGAAGTCAGCGCGATGGTCGCGCAATTCGACATGAGAGTGTAGTAGAGCAAGACGCACAACTTCTTACTGAACTCGGTCATTCGCAGGAGCTCGTGCGTCAATTTGGATTTTGGAGCATGTTTGCTCTTGCATTTTCAGTATTGGGAACTTGGTCGACACTCGCGCAGAATCTGGCTGGCGGTATCGGCAATGGAGGACCAGTAACAGTTCTATGGGGACTCGCGCTTGTGGCATTCTGCAATTTATGTGTTGCAGTGTCTCTCGCGGAGCTCACCAGCGCGATGCCAACAGCGTTGGGTCAGGCTTATTGGGTATACCGCTTATGGACGACACCAACTGGACGCTTCATCTCATACATGACCGCTTGGATCAACACTTTTGGCTGGTGGGCTCTTACGGCATCTCAATCGGCATTCATGACAGATTTTATTCTGGCTTTGAAGGTCAACTACGATCCGGAGTGGTCACCAGCAGGTTGGAACTGGGTCAGATTTCTACTCTATCTGGCCATCACCATCTTCCTCACTGTAATCAACGTGGTAGCTACTAGAAGGGACAAAATCCTACCCTGGATCAACGGTTTCATCGGCACTACATACATCGGGCTCTTTTTCGTCTTTGCATTCGCTCTCCTCATAAGTGTCGGTGTCAAATCTGACCTGTCTTTCCAACCAGGTGGCTTCGTCTTCGGCACATGGATCAATTCGAGTGGCTGGCCAAGTGGTGTCACGTGGTTCACCGGTCTCATCCAGTCTGCATACGGCATGGTCGGATTCGATGCCTGCATTCATATGATAGAGGAATTGCCTGATGCAAACAGGACTGGACCTCGCGTCATATGGCTCTCGGTCCTCGTCGGAGCGATAACTGGCTGGTTGTTCATGGCAGTCTGTCTGGCCTGCATCCAAGACTACGATTCGATAGTCGACGCCGACTACCCTTTCATCCAACTATGTCTCGACTCAATCGGTCTTGCCGGAACAACAGTCCTGCTAAGCTTATTCGTCATCAGTGGCGTTGGCCAGAACATCTCCCTCAACACGACCGGATCCAGATTGACATGGGGTTTCGCTCGTGATGGCGGAATACCCTTTCACAGATATTTCGCAAAAGTCAGCCCCTTCTGGCGAGTCCCCGCTCGAGCACTGTGGGGCCAATGCTTCATCATCGGCCTCATCGGAATCCTCTACCTCTTCGCGAATACTGTTCTCGAAGCCATTCTCAGTGTCAGCACTATTGCCTTGACAGTTTCGTACGCCATGCCAATCGTCGCACTCCTGATCGTGGGACGCGACAAAATACCTACGAATATTCCGTTCCATCTCGGAGGCTTCGGTATGGCAGCAAATATCATCAGTATTGTTTATTGTGTTGTCACGACGGTATTTTTCTTCTTCCCAGGCGAGCCGAACCCGGCACCAGCTGACATGAATTGGGCAATCGCAGTGTTCGGTGTCATGCTGGTCATTGCTATTGGCTTTTGGTTTATTCAAGGACATAAATCGTACCTCCGAACCAATGATGCCATGTTCAGAATTGTTACTGGTCAGGGTCACGAAAGTCCTGATTCGGCTTTGGGTGGCACCAAATCAGGTGTTGTTGCGGGTAAGGGCAACAGAGCGGATTAGATGGTCTGGACTAGACTTTAGGATTAAATTCTGCAATGCATACGTGTTAATTGCTACTCCTGCGATAGTCGTGATATCACTGTCTCCTTCCTGCTCTTGCTCGGCTGTCATTAATGGTGTAGATTGACGTAGCAGGCAATGGGAAGCAACAAGAGTAAATGATTGTTCCACCTCGTGGTAGAGGAGAGTTCAATTATATAGCGACGAGATCTGACTGTAACTGCCATGTTGGGTTCATGCTATCCGCCATCAAGTAGTTCTGGAACAGGTTATCGTAGTCGTCCTCGACTAACCACGATAGAGCATTGTTCGACTGCTCTATACCAGGGGCAGTTATGTTCGAGTCATCCAGTATCGAGTACGTATGTCGTATATTTGATTGCTGCAATGCAGAGGTAGAGCTAGGCTGGTTAAAGGTAGTGCTTACTGCACTAGCGTTCATGGCTTGCTCGCTACTGCGACGTCGCACGTGAAGACGTCCAAGCAGGGGAACCTTTAGTGTCAGCTTAGGACTTGATGATCTGTCATGGCCTCCCAAAAGATCAGACAGTGAGTGTAAAGTATTCACAGCTTGACGAGTAAAGTCCGAGCTAATGCGGTCCTTGGATCTCTCTTCAAGGAGATTGAATGTTTCTGTTAGAAGTGGGTCGATGTCGGTAGAACTGGCATCAAAGGCTGAAGCACCGATGCGACCCGAACTGTAAGATATTAACATCAACACGACTGTGGCAGTGAATGCTTGTACATCCATAACTCGACAAAGGAAGAATCCTGATGGCAGAAGTCGACGCAATCGCAGCCACTGGCGAGCGACATCCTGACACGCCTTCCTTCCAGCGACTTTGCTGTAGGTGTACTGTTTTGTAGGGTCATCTCGCAGCACAAAGTGAAGATGTGTCTGCATGACAGTGCAGTGATGGACGAAACACAATATCTGACCGGCAGTACTTTGCGGTTGACCACCGGTCAGCCATGAACTCGGCATCGTGGAGCTCAATGCCCTTAGATGTCCATCAAGCTTCAGAATGGCGTGGTAAATATCGTTATTTGAGGTTTGTAGTGCACGTGCATCATCCAGGTCCTGAACCTCAACCAAAATACTGCTCAGTTGAAGGACATAGTCTAGTGGCTGAATGGTTCCGTCGAATCGTGGTGGTAGAAAAGCTGGCACAGGATATGCTCGTGTAGCGATCGGCATATTGTGCAAGATCCCAGTGAGCCTGTCGACGATACAGAGCTCCGCCCACAAACGCGTTTTGTTGCTGTCCTCTATGGTGCCCGGCCTGCCTCGTGCGACTTGCGCCTGATTCGCTTTCGCGGACCTAGGCAAGCCCATCAATTCTGCAATGGCGACAACACGCCGTAGATAGAGCCAGGTCCTTTGTATACCGCCCCTCGTCACGGAACTATTCGGTGTCAATCCGAGTGGAATTCAGCTTATGGGTTAACTTACAGCCGAAGAAACTGCATTGCAGTTTCGAGACCTCGAGGTGTTCCTAGAAGACTCTCATGTGAAAGCAAGGTTTGCTCAACCGCGTTTGTCAACATCTCGGCAAAGGCATAACGCCTCTCGACAGTTTTGATCAATTCAGTAGACTGCTCTTCTTCATGTGGCATCTGCTGAGCAGTCATTGCCAATGCCAGCAACCATTGTGCTAACATCCAAGTGTCGGCATCCGGTTGTCTGATCTGTGTGTATTGAGACATGATCTGTTGCTTCGATTGAGCTATAGGAACCAAATTCTCCGAGAGAGGAGGGAACATTTCCCTTGCGATCTCACTCCAGACCGTGACGTGGTCCGCAAGTATCCTGACATCTTCTATAGAAGGTATCAGCGTCTGCAAGGCTGTTCGCGCCTTAACCAGAAGGTAATCTCCACTCTTCTTGGCCTTTGTTCGAGTAAGGTGCGTCGCATAAGGATCATCTGTGCTGAGCCACTCATTCTGAAAAAGATTTCTCATGCGCGAGTTAGAATCGTCTATCAAGATCTCATCCTTCTCAGAGGTATCGTCGTCTTCAGAAGTGTCGATCCCAGATGGCTCCTGCAATGTGCCAGCTGAGCTTGGTGGCTGTGGAGTGTGCTCCAGAAAGCTTGAGTGATTGATGTTAAGTTTGGCTTCCACTGTACGAAGAGCTCTCTTTATATGTAGCAGCTCGGCTTCCAAGTGCGTGAGCCGATCTCCCGAACTCTGTTTTGATGCCACCGTTGAGACTGAAGTACGCGTTTGTGGCACACATACCAGATTCCTTTCCTCGCACCTGCGGCAACTTTGGCTAGCATCGGATGTCCACGAACAACGAAGTTTGCGACGTCTACCTGTAGTGCTATCAGAATCGGTTCTGCGTCAATATGGGGATCTTACACTCGATGCAGCTCCGAGTCCCCTTGCGCATCCTGGAGGACACTGAAGGCTCGGCCATAACTTGAAACCGCGTCCGAAGCGCCAGTAAAATCGCGGTTGCTCGCAAGCGAGGTGAACGTTACGCCATAGATTATGGCGATTTTGCTGGTTCCATATGGAACTATGATGGCATTGATCTCGAAGCTGCCTTTTCCTGAGAAGTGTGAGAGAGCTGAATATCATGAAGTTGCGGTCGAGGTGAAGGTCCGAGGACGAATTTAAGTCTTAGCACGCCTGAACCCCACTCTTCTGCTTGAGCTCTCCAACCAATGATTAATTATGGACCGAAGACTTCCGGCAGCTCGTTTCTGTTCCGTTACTCAAGTCGTGATCGATAAACAAAGTAGCCACATTGTAGTACAGTAAATTTCATGTTCGCAGATGGCTGCGCCAGTGCAACAGACTCAACGGTTTCTAAATAGGTGCGTGATACGCTCGTAAGAGAAGGAACGAAGAAGGAGAGAAAAGAGCGACTGCTGGGGTGGAGGCCTGCACCCTAATATACACAGACGCTTTCTTTCGGTTGTAGCGTGCGGTAACGAATTGGCGTGGACAGTTGTGCGGCTGCCCTACTCAGGCGTGACGTCCAGTATTGATACACAGTGATTTGAGGAAAAGGCATTCCTCGCACAGGCGTCCTACGGAGCATTCGTTTTCCTCAAGGGGAATGTGACTGGACAACGTCAGTGATCATTCAATCACTGATCATGCTGTCCTGGTCGCTTGTATCCTCTCCAGCTTGCTCGGCAAAGAGCTCGAAAGTTTCTAAACCACTACCAGTCAGATCTCTCTTCCACATCTTGACAATCCCATCACTGCCGCCGCTGAGTAATGTCTGTCCACTAGGATCCCAGCAAAGAGACCAGGCATCTGCATGGGCATGTACAAGGACAGTCAATGGCACAACGGAGTGGCTGTATAGGAAAGGATGACCTTCTCGTGAGTGAGCTTTTTGTGTAGAGTCGGATGAGGTCGTTGTGGGATGTAGTGCAGATGTGAGATTTGACTGGTGCGATTGCAATGCGGGACGTGGATATTGCTTCGAAGTTGCTATTGGGGCATCCTGGGTATGACGCAGCTCTTTCGAGCGAACAGCAACCTCATATACCGTGATCGTTCCGTTGATGCACGCCACAGCTACGTTATCGGTTCCTCGAAAGTTGCCAGCACACCAAGCCAAGTCTCGCAACAATGTTCCGGCCGAAGTCTGTGTTTGCGTCTTTGTGGGAGAAAGCTTGAGTACTTCGAAAAGGGCAATTCGATACGACGCTCCTCGTCCCACGTTGTGTGATTGCTGGGAGGTCTTTATAGTGTTGATTGCATGAATGTCCGTTGACGATCTGTATATTTTCAGATCATTCATAGCCGTGACTGCAATTGAGATTTGATCCTGGTCATCGTCCAGAGAGAGCTGATATGGTAGGGGTAGAGGATTAGGATCGAACTGCACTCGAAAGGAGGTGTGGTCTGCTCTGGAAGGAGTTGGAGTGTAGACGTAAAACTGATCTACCACGGTCCATTCATTGAATTCGTCAGGGTTTGTAGGTTCGTACAGCGTGAGCAGTCCTTGACGGTCTGTTACCACAATGTAAGTATTATTGCCGACAGTTTTGACGTCAATGCCTGAGAATGGCACCAGTTGTTCCGACTTGAGCACTGCTATCCTCTTAAATCGTCGGCCAGACATCGGTGCTTGATAGACATCCTGTGTCCATATTCTCATTTGTAGGTCATTAGCGATGGTGACGAAATATGTGCCGACACTTGTGTGAAACCACTTTGCATCTTTAATCTCTGCATCGTGGGCTGTCCACACATCGAGCTGTTTGCGCTTTGAAGTAGCTCTATCAATCTCATAAACTGCAATTCGATGGTCGACGGAGGCTGTAAGAAGTTTTGTACCGTCATTGTTTAGCTCCAGTACTGTAAGGCGATCTGAGTGACCAGGCTCGAATGGTTGGTCAAACGACGTAGCCTGTCCCCGTTCATTCATTGCTCAATTTGTTATCAGACTAGAATCGCGGAAGTTCTCAGCACGTTACAGTCTTTGTCCTGAACACGATATCGTGGTCAATATACTCGTAGATTCATTCTAGTAACGTGTGCGATTTGGCCTTTGATGGTTATAATTCAAAGAGCAGACAAGCAATATAGTAGAGTGCATGGCAATCAAAACGACTCGTGGCAAGGTAAAGGCACGGACCAACTCGTTCAATCATACTACGAAGAAGTGGTTCGAGCTTGGGTGATGAAAATGAGGATGATGGGAAAATGAAAGACGCGGAAAGCACGACGCGTGCGTGCAGCTCGAGGAAAGTTTTGCCGACAGATTCGGTTGCGCAAGAGGACAGTTTGTCTCGACGATGAATCCGCTGCAATGGTAAATCACAGTCAACATGGTACGAAAACGATCGATCGTTCTCCAAGTGAGCATGATCATAGTCTCACAAGATGCTGGTACCAGTAGCGACTTAACTATGTGCCATTCTTCAACTCAAGCCTGACACGACGAGTGACGCGGCGAAGTTCACAACATATGTGATCATCTCAAGGAAACAATATGTCTTCCACTCTTGACAGAAAGGAGACATGGAGTCTCTTGTCGTTGTTCGGCGGCTCGTTGGCGGTTTTGGCAAACACTTTTCAAGGTGATGGAGCGCCTGTGGTAGCCTCGATTGCTTTCTCAGTATTGGCTTTTACAGTCACCTATGCCTTTGTACGATGGTCAGGGCCATCATTCGCCAAAGCAGGTATGAAAGGAAAAGACTTGAGTAAGCGCGACGCGAGAGAGATGTAAGTCCGGGTCGACCAGGAGTGTGCGATAATGTGCTGACGAAGAGTAGACCCGAAGGAATGGGATCAGTGGCTGCAGCAGTCTTCATCCTCGTCCTCATGGCCTTTATTCCCTTTGCATTTTACAAAGACATCGTAGCTGCCACGTCTGGAGGAGGCAATCGCGACGTGACGATACCCAGCATACTCAGTCAGGTCGACACCGGTCGTCTACTGCACCGATTCCCCCATTCGAAGCTCTCCTCATATCAATCCGCTCTGAACACACTCCAAGCGACGACAATTCTAGGATTGGCCGACGATATACTAGACCTGCGATGGCGGCACAAATTCTTCATTCCAGCCGTTGCATCCTTGCCACTACTGATCGTCTATTACGTCGACTTTGGAGTGACTTCCGTGGTGGTGCCAAATTTCCTTCTCCGATACATGCCTCATGGAGTACGTCTCATAGACCTCGGACCATTCTACTATGCATACATGTCTGCACTATCGATCTTCGCTCCGAACAGCATCAATATTCTCGCCGGCATAAACGGCATCGAAGTCGGCCAATCGATAGTCGTCGCCGGCCTTCTAGTCCTCAATTCATCACTCTACCTTGTGCCTTTTTCTGGCAATCCCGTCCTTACCAACAACGCAAACAGTACGACTTACACACCTCATCCCGCCACCGACTCCCACCTCCTATCTCTGTACATCCTCCTGCCCTTCCTCGCCATCTCTTTGGCCTTGTACATCCACAATCGCTACCCAGCTCGAGTCTTCGTAGGCGACACATACTGCTACGTCGCAGGCATGACCTTCGCAGTCGTCGCGATACTATCGCACTTCAGCAAAACCCTCCTACTCCTCCTAATACCACAAATCTTCAACTTTGTCTACAGTGTACCACAACTCTTCAAGCTCGTCCCCTGTCCACGACATCGACTTCCAAGATTCAACGCCCGCACTGGCCTTCTCGAACCAAGCGTCACGCCCTGGGAAGCAGATAAACAGCCGAAGCCATACCTTATGGCGGCGTTTAACCTGCTAGAACGATTCGGCCTCCTCCAAATCACTCGACAAGCAACCGTAACCGCCAAGAGCAACACCACAGCATCACCAATCGAAACCTCGAACGGCCACCTCCGCAAATCATCCTCAGTAATCTCCCTCTCTCAGAGCCCAACAATATCCACGCCACCACGTTCAGCGTCACCTCTTCCACAAACCACCACGAAGCCTGGTGCGACAGGCCGTATTGTCGCAACCTCAAACCTCACAATCATAAACTTGTATCTCGTGCATAGGGGTCCACTACGTGAGGATCAACTATGTAGGGAACTGTTGCTCTTGCAGGCTGCTTGTGGGCTTTTGGGCCTGTTCATACGACATAAGCTTGCGATGTTCTTGTTTGGAATGGATAATCGTCCTGTTGGTGGGGTTTGGAGTTTGGTTTGAACGTGTTTTTGAGACAAGGAACAAGCCTGGTCATTGTGGCTGTGTATAGAATTATCTCATGTTCATTGATCACGACAACGCTAATGGCGATGTATAATGAAGAAAAGATTTTCGCATATAGACGTTCATTAAGACTGACCACTTACAGATAGAAAGGAAGAACGAGACAGATGATAACACATTTCATTGATTGCAACAACTACTTATGTCTATCATCGAAGCAAACCCGCCAGCTGTGGCAAAGTCACCAAACAAATCTTACTATACTGTATACTCGCGCCAGATTATTCGGACACAACTTTTTCCGGATTAATCAAAAAAATTCCAAACCTTCACCAAATTTTTCCAGGGTATCATAGCCCAGTTCTATGCATATGTGCATGTGTGCGTGCGTGTGTGCGTATTGTCATAAGGATCGTATTGTCCTTGGCTGATTCTCCGAAGATCATCATGCGCAATTGGACTTCAGGACGTAAAAGTCATTAATATTCTGTGATTTGAAGTGCATCTTGCAAAGAATTGAAGATTTAGTCTTTGGTGGGACTAGGTGATGTGATGGAGGCGTTTATGCAAGAGCGACGACAGCCATGATGGCAGCGATGGCTCCCATCGCTGGCTTGACATTGTCAGCAGCACCAGTGAATGTGGCAACTGGAGCTCTGCTCGTGGATGACGCAGCCTGGGCCCTGGTAGATGTTGCTTGACTGGCAGCTGGAACAGCTACGCTCGAAGAGACGGCAGCGGGGCTGGAGCTAGCTGGGACTGGCACTGGGGCTGCGGATGAAGCCTTTGATGCTGGTGCAGAGCTGGCTGGTGCTGCAGGAGATGATGATGCTGGTGGTGCTACAACAGGAGAAGCCGTGGAGACAGACGGCTTAGGAGCAGGGACGACTGAGGTAGTCCACACTTGCCATGTTGAAGAGCTGACTGGTACAGGTGCTGGAACGCTTGAGCTTGAGACAGGTGCAGGTGGGGCTGGAGCTGGCTTGGTTGTGGTACTGGTCGAGGCAGGTGGTGCAGGGGCTGGCTTGGTAGATGAGACAATTGGCACAGGAGTAGTGGTGGATGGTTTTGGAGCTGGCACAGTGGATGTAGTCCAGACTGACCACGAGTAAGGAGCATTTGGAACAGGAACCACCGAGCTCGAAGAGGGCTTAGCAGAAGATGATGGGACTGGCTTGGATGAGGAGGAAACGACTGGCACAGGGGTAGTTGTCGATGGCTTGGTAGATGAGGATGCAACTGAGCTCGACCAGGCAGACCAGGAGTGTTCAGCAACTGGGCTCGAAACTACAGCAGCTGGGCTTGACCATGCGCCCCACGAAGAAGATGCTGGTGCAGGCTTCGAGGATGTGGTCGGAACCACAACTTTGCTGGTCGTGGTTGGTGCCTTGGTAGTTGTAGTAGTTGGCTTCGGCACAGTGGTAGTAGTGCTGGACGACCATACTCCCCAGGAAGAGGACACTGGTGCAGGCTTGGAGGAAGTAGTTGTGGGCTTTGGCACCGAGTTGGTTGTGCTAGAAGACCAAGCCTCCCAGGTGTGGCTGACGGCTACTGGGGTTTGGGTAGTTGTCGTGGTTGTGGATGGCTTTGGCGCAGTGGTAGTCGTGCTAGACGACCAAGCTTCCCAAGTGTGGCTTGAAGCAGCTGGAGATTTTGTGGTGGTAGTGGTAGATGACTTTGGCACGGTAGTGGTTGTGCTCGATGACCAAGCCTGCCAATCGTGGCTCTCAGACGCAGTTGTTGTGGGCTTTGGTGCAGAGCTAGTAGTGCTGGATGTCCACGCTTTCCATGTGCTAGACGAAGCGCTTGGGGTCTTCGACGTTGTGGTGGTGGTGGTAGTTGTGCTTGAAGACGAAGTCCACTGTCCCCAGGTTGAGTAAGTCGAAGTCTTGGTTGAGCTAGTAGATGCACTGGGAGTCTTGCTGGTGGTGGTAGTGCTGCTGCTTGAGCTCGAGCTCGACCATGGGCCCCAGTTGCTGGATGTCGAAGCTTCTGGAGTTTTTGTTGTCGTCGTAGTCGAAGCCTTCGGAGTGGTGGTCGTGGTCGTGGTGGTAGACTTGCTGGTAGTGGTGGTTGAGCTTGAGCTCGAATCACCCCACACACCCCAGGTGGTAGACGATACAGCCTTGGGTGTCTTGGTAGTTGTAGTTGTTGTGGTAGGAACTGTCGTGGTGGTGGTAGGCTTGGCAGTTGTGGTGGTAGTAGCGCTGCTGCTTGAGCTACCTGGCCATGCCGACCAGGGTGTGTCGTTGGCAGCAACAGAAGTGGCCAAAAGGGCCAGAGCACTAGTAGAGAACTTCATGGTACTTGAGTAGATGTAGATTTGTTGCTTCAAGGAGTAAAAATTTACGGGGAATTTGAACGAATGATGAGCGAGGCCTTAACGAGAGAGCGCTTGCTACAGGATGAACAACGAATGAATGCTGCTTGAGAACGAAGAAAGATCAGGTTCCTGCATGAGGACAAGCAGGTGTTATGTAGTATGTACCGGGCAGCGTAGTTGTGCCGTGAGCCTTCTGTTCTTGAAAGTGTGACCTGCCATGGCCTCTGGGAATCGATCGTGGCTCCAAATCGATAGCGAAAGATAGGTTATGGATATCGATAAAGAGGCTTGTACCTGAATCAAGTGGATACGTGGTGTCATGATGGATGCACCTCCGGAGGACTCCATGTCAAAACGTTGGGATAGCTTCCTTTCGGTAATAGCGTGAACAGGAAGCTGATTGGCTAACAACGAGGTGGCTCGAAGTGGACGACCTGGTTAGTGCTGCAACGTCGTAGAAACAACTGAGCAACGACCATGACAAACCTCTGCGTGTTTGCAGGGAACCCATATAGACTGATGCTTACCTACACCACAGGACGAGATCAGCCCTGGGTTTTCTTGCAACGATCGATGACTTTGAACAGGTATTTTCATCGCATGACCTGCGCGTTGCCTATTTTGCTTGCGCCGGCGATATGTCCAACCATCAGGTCAACCAGTGGCAATAACAGGCACTGTAATACGCTTTTGTCCACCTGCATTATTGAGGTGACCTAGGATAGACTTTGCATCCGGGTTACTGCGGCTCGCATATGAAGCTATGCTCACAAATGCCTAGAATGCCAGTAATAATAACACCTAAGCTTTAAGCGAAAGCTTCGGAAAGACAAAGTGGGTATGCCAGTGGTGGAAGGATTGCCCTCAGTTGCATGGTGTGCTGATCTCTGTTTTCCGGAGGAACGGCAACGGAGAGTGCTCGCAAGTTTGTCGATTGACGCACTAATACGTCGCAAGGATGAACGTGTTATCTATTTTTGCATTAGCTCGAGCTTGAAGACCAAAGCACCAATCGGGTATTTGTACCTGAGCTTGGCATTCGAGAGAGCTTGAAACATGCAGGTTGAGCTCAGCCTTTTGTTGCCCAATGGGTTGCTTACGAATAGCCAAGAAAGACGTTGGCCAAAAGAGCCTTCTTTGCATCAGCAAACACCTGTTTTCTGCGGTGGGATTGTTGTCAATGCATCAGATGACCGGTATAGAGCCCTACTAAGGGAAATGCCTTTTTCATTCACAGGAAGCAGGGTCGCTTCGTGACCTATTCCTCTGTATGATCGATCAGGTGCTACTGTCGAGTCCAATGTGATGCAGCACATGCTTGCGATGGAACAGATCGCGATGCTTGACATCCCCACCAGTTAGTTGTCTCCATTCTTTTCACGCAGCTCGCGGAGAACAATGTCTTCCCCCTTAGTTACCTCTTTCTGCCTGGCAGTTTCTTAGCAGTATTGTGTTGGTGCATTTTCTATTCTTGCTTTTGCACCCGTTGAGATGACGTATGAAACACCTATCAATATGTTGTAGTAAAAGTTTCGTGCTTAACGGCGCAAAGTTATTATGCGTCAAGTGTGAATAGCGCTGCATGTGCAAAATCTAGGAGAAGTGAGTTCAGCACGCTGCATGAAAAAAGGTACAAGCGTCGCTCAGGAAGCTCCACAAGAATCCCAGTATTGAACTCCCCCGAGACAAGAGTATGCGCGGGAAAATGACGCGTCGGTGGAGATGCTCTTTCCGGATGTCGAGGATCACGTTCATACCAGCGTGCTGTAGACTGCACACGTCGCGAACAATAAAAGTGCGAACAATCTAAAAGTACGAACAACAAAAGTGTCGGGGGCACGCCTGCAATTTTGCTGCAATAACGCCATCGGGTCGATCGTTTACTCCTCCACATGTTGTGCGCGTAGAGTAACGATCAGCCTTGGCATTATGAATCCGGGAGAACGTGGTACTATTCCGAGTGTGATAGAAAAAGCTTGAAGCTTTGTATGCCAATTCACATGCAACCTAGATCACATAAAACTTTCGGCCATTTTCAGAGCTCAAAGGCAGACAGGTGTGTCTCGCCTCGAAAGCTTCACTTCTTCCATTGATCCAACCAAGGGCGGAAATTGATCGGCGTCATGCACGACGCAGGAGATGAGAACGTTCGCAAAGAAAAGCACTTTCCGGCAAAGAGTGATCGCACGGCACGCTAGCTTAGAAATTTAGCTTCCCTGGTGAGCACAAGACGCCACTTTCGAGCATTAGCCTTTTCTGGCTCGGAATTTTTTGCCCTCGAGTTCTCATGCAAGGTACAGGAACTCACAGTATGGCCCACGTGAAAGATTTCAGGCTCAGCAATCGTCCTCCTAGTAGGCACTTCTGTACTGTAGCCGTCGTCGATGCAAACCACGCAGAACCCTCTAGCCGCCTGACCTGTTGAGCTTGACTTCGCACGGATAACGCCGACATGTGGTGGTCAGCAAAAGCAACCGCTCGCTTTGTGAGGACGCCGGTGCTGACCATCCCATGGCCGAGTAACGTGAATAGCCTGGAGCACGTTTTTCAAGCCACGAAACCATAAACAGTGTTGCTTCTGCTAGAGTAGGCAGTCACGCCAGTGATCTAGCCTTCTATCACGAATGCAGCAGTACATATGCGCAAGTCAGTAGTCGAAAATGTTTCGACCTGGGTAGCGGCAAAATGTAGTGACATTGTCCTCATGTCGATTTTACCGTTCGAGACCATAAACATTTGTTGAGTGAGCACAACCGGGCTTCGTGAACGACAAAAAGACTTTCCATGGCGTCCTCCCCAATGAACAGGTTGTCGAGACCATCATGCTGCAGCGTCTGTACATGGTGGTGAATGCTGTCCGCTGTTTGCGCCTCTTCGTGCGCCAGTCGATCCAACCGCTATCCTCAAACGATCGATGTGATCGCAATATTATGCACAATCTTCTTACCTTTTCTACAGCTTTTGCCTTTGCACCACCCTCCCAGCAGCCTCCAGGCAATTCTCGCCATCAACCAGCACACACCACCCCTCACCTCCCACAGTCCCCGCATCAAATCCTCCGACCGCATTCTCAAAATTGTCTTTCGCATACTTCATTACTCCCTCGTCATAGCTACCTGGCTGCAGCCAGACTGACTTGACCCCAGCAGTTCGGGCATCCTCCAGAACTTTCCGAGTGACGGACGGAGGCGTAAGGAACGATAGCGCGGTCTGTGGGGGATCAGGAAGTGCGCCCGGAGACGCTACTGTGGTGTACGTCTTTGACGGGAGGGCGATCGAGGGTCGTGAAGGGTTGATAGGAATCACGGCGAGTGTGTGTGCATGGTACCATGCGAATACTGTTGTTCTCTTTGGTTAGGCATGATGATCAAACAAGGCGACCTCTCTAGTGCAACGCTCGGCCATTTCTCTCTGTTCAGGGCATGTCATAGTATTAGCATGTCTAGGTAGTACGAACTCTTGAAGCCGAATTTCGACCTGTCTTGGGATGCGCCCACGACTGCGAAATAGGGAGAGGTGAAGAAGCGTTTTGCTGCTGCTTCCATTGTCGACTCTTCTAGTTGTCGCACATACAATTGCTTGTAGTATGAATCATAACTGTCTACATGGTATGTACCTTGTCGTAGCAGCGACATCTTCGAGTGTCTGGTGAAGCGACCGTCCAGCAGCAATACGTCAGTGTTTGCAATGTTTGTGAATAATTGACCTCGGCATGTGGTGGACGTCAAAAGCGGCCGCCCTCCTTAGATTAACCTAGGCAAGCTACCTCCCTGACAAGGGCTGCGTTTCGGCCAGATGAGGCTTAGAAATAGTCGGGTTAGGCCTTGAGGTGGCTAATATCTATGGCTGACGTAACTAGAAACTTAGGCCCTGTAAGGTAGGTAGTCGGTCTGCCGCCCACCACGTGCTCGGAATTTGCAGCGTGAATAAATTTACAAGAATACCGAGAATGTTTCAACTTGGTCTACAGGCAATCACAGACGACCACGCTCCTCCTGTTGACAGTGCATGCTCTCATACTAGAGTGATGATTGTCTGTATACATTACGAACTCCATGCTCAATTTACTGTATCAGGTAATGCCGCCTGCAGCATGAGTCTGCCAAAACACTATCCGCATATTCTACTTCTCGGTATTGTTCTTCATTTCTTTCTGATCCTTGTCCTTATTATCTGGCCTGTAAAACTTGCTAGGTATGAATGGCATTCTGCTAACCTCTGCTTTCCGCACACTCTTCCTCACCTTAATGCCAACCTTGGTGCCACTCTTATGGTACCCGTTCTTGATCAATCCCATCGCGATGTTCTGCCCATCCATACTAGGTGCAGGACATCCACTGGTGATTCTGCCAATGACCTCGTTGTCCTTGTCTGGGTCTACAATTTGTGCTCCTTCACGTGCTGCAGGACCCTTTTCGACAAGAAACCCTACACGACGCTCAGTCATACTCTTCGGCGAGGTGAGCTGTTGCAAGATCGTCTTCTGACCATTGAAAACTGGTGCTGCAGATTCCGAGCGTCGATCCTTGCCCACGATCCAGCCTAATGCAGCCATTGGTGGCGTAGTTTCTGTCGAGATGTCGTGGCCATACAAGCACATTCCTGCCTCGAGTCTGAGTGAATCACGAGCTGCTAGACCTGCCCATCTCACGACGGAACCATCATCGACCATCGCTTTTGATATTGCAGTGGCGAGATTCGTACTGTCCCCATTCTCAGGCGGAATCGAGATCTCAAACCCGTCTTCACCAGTGTAGCCAGTTCGAGAAATCAGAAGAGAAGGTGTGTTCATACCATCAGGTAAAGTGAATTGCAACCAGCGAGATTCTCCGAAACTCAATGTCGAAAGATCAGGCGAATATGTTTGTTCTTCGGTGTCGTTGAAGATCAGCTTCTGTAGTACCTCCTGTGCTTTGGGGCCTTGTAGAGCAACGAGGGAGTGGCAGTTGAGGACGTGCCACTTGATGTTCTCGTCCTTGTTGGATTTTGAGATACCTTTAGCCTCGAGAAACTTCTTCATCTGTGCTTTTATAAATGCAAGATCAGTCTCGCGACATCCAGCATTTGTGACGAAGTAGAAGCTCTCTCTACCTAGTCTCGTGATAACTGTATCGCCAATGATACCACCGCTTTCCTCGAGCAGGCACGACAGAGACGAATGATGCTTCTGAAGAGTATTTATCGAAGAAGGAGTTATTGTCATAAGGAATTCTTCGGCTAGTGGTCCTGATAACTTGTGCTGTACCATATGGGAGACGTCAAACAACGAAGCATTCTCGCGTGTCCACCTATGTGATTCTGGATGTGATTGATCCGGATACTCTAATGGCATATCATAGCCAGCGAAGGGACCTGTCTTGGCCCCAGCTTCCTTGTGTACTGCATATAGTGGTGTGTGCTTGAGCTCGGTCGTGCTCGTGGAAGCACATCTTTTCTGAGGCACAACTCTAGTAGGAAGCTTCTGTTGGTGCACAAATGGTCGCACTTCAGCTTGATGGGTCTTCGATGGAGTGGGTATGACCGAGCACGTGCAGACACCACGAGTTGGAGCTTTGGGACCTTCAGGCTGCCTTATCTGCTGCCGAGTGGCACGAATAGTAGATTTCAGAGCATTCTGGATACCTCTCGTTGGAGGCATAATGGCTGTTCACCAGGAGATGGGCACTTCAGATACCTTGAATATTGAAGCTGAGATTGTCCTCGATTAGCAGGATATCAATGTAATCTTCTGAGGTCAACGTCCACCGATACGTATCACAGAGAGGAGAACGGAAAAATGTCCGAACTTTTGGACAAGGCTGAGGACTACTTCAAGGCTGACAATTTGTAGCAGAGAGTCTTGGCGTGAAAGTCCTTACTTCTGCATTTGCAGTTCATCATTTTTAACTCTCTTTCGATATGTCTCCGCGTACGAAGAATCGCATTCGAAGCTTACGCACAGCAGTCGCCTCTGGCTTGACTCGCATACAACACTTGCTTCGGGAGAAAGTCCCCGGACCACCTACAGAGACTCGATCTCTGGCAGGACTTGTCGAAAGACGCCGCCATAAAAGCACATTCACCGTGGCTTACTGCCTCCCACCTCTCCTGCGTCCGTCTTGGTCGATCTTGTCACCGTCTGCATTCTGCGTGAGTGGAAGAGGAGGCAAGGGTTTATTGGATTTGGAAGGACTGGGGCTCAGAGGTAGAAAGAGGTTGCGCAATTCGTCGTATGCGTACAGATATGCGGTTGCTTGACTGGTAGCAATACTGGCCAGGAAACTCGATGGGGCTTATTCTCGTTGCGCGGAGACATATCTATTTTTTTTACGAGTCTGTAGCTTATAGCAAAGCAGCATTTTTCGTCGACTACGAATTGCGGAAGTCCCTTCGAACGGACCAGACTCAGATACTGTCGTCAATAAGAGATGTACAGCTTCTGCATGATGAATTTATCAATCATAGAGTCAAGCACAGAGACTCGCATGACCTCAAAGAGCATGTCTTGTCGTTGACGAAAAAGATTGAACAAACGTTCTGAATGAAGCTGGCGTATCTTAGGCCAAAACAATTCTTATTATTCCTCTCTATCATTTCCTCTTTTCAGCTCCAACTGCTACCTTCTGCTTCTCCGGCATAGCTGTCTCTTGCTGCATCACTGCCAGAACAGCATCCCCAACCATGGCTATGACACTCCCACAAACTATGCTCCAAACATTGATCGAGACCGTACCATAAGGACATCTAGGAAATGCCAGAATCCACTCAACAGGCCACGGCAGCCATCCTTGTGGATATGAGAATACTGGTGTCTTTGCGTGCCAAAATTGCAGAAACGTTTTCAACCCGCTAGTCAAGATCCATCTCGCAATGTTAACTTTCGTGTCGAACGAGCTGCGATGTGCTGAAACATCTGTCCCTGCTTCTCATCAGTAGCCTGCCAACCGCTATGCTGTATAATTATCCTACCTTTCTTATCATGCGCAGCCAGAACCTTGTCATACTCTCGTCGTATTTTTGCCCACCTCGCGAAGTCGTCCTGAGCACTAACGGCGTTCATTTTCTTCCTGATCTGCAGCACTTCCTGCCGTAATTTCATTTGTTCTTTTGCATCTTTCGACGAACTCAAGGGTAGTCGCGCTGAGAATTGCCATGCCTGTCGTTGTGTTAGTTGTGAATGTGGGTTGAGACGAGAGTCACGTCGCTCACTAATTCGTTGATTGTCTTTGCGCCGATCGCGTTCACTAGGTAAACTGCGAGTTGAAGCAGCAGGACTGTTGCGAAGAGAGATATTATCATCGTGTTTGTCGTACGTCTGGCAGGAGAACTAAGGTGTTTTGTTGTGCTATTGGATTTCCTAGGAATGGGCACGATTTCATAGATACAATCTACGAACTATGACGTTGCAATTTTGTGCCCGCATAAAGGTAGTGGCAGGCGTGGAAGCACGACTTCACATCGTTCTCAATCTTCTGCCCGAGTACCTGATTTTTAATCTTGCGAATTTAAGTGTACTCCAAAGCCTTTCTCCTCGAGTGTACCATCAACTCATGTCGTCCCTGTCAACATGCCGTTCTGTTGGGCGCGTATAACCCACAACGCATCTTTATGCCTATAGCTCGTCCGACCTCCAATTGCCGGCATACAAACTGCATAAGGCTCCTCAACTGGAGCGTAGACACATGCTTCCTGACATCTGCTTCATCAACATCGCAAGTATACCCATAATCTCCAAGTCCGCGAGGCCATATACTTGTCCGCTCATCAGTCCGAAAAGTCGTCCTCTAAGGGCTCCATCTCCTCCTCGAAGAACATCATCTGCTCCTCGCTCGTACCTAGTGGCGTTTCAGGCCTATTCATTTCTTGTGCGGCCATGGCGACCTCTTCGTCTGGTTGGAATGCTTGTTGTAGAGTAGGATCGAGGTTGATGTCCTTGCTTGTAGTGAGAGAACAAAAGTCTGTATCCACTTCGTCAAGCGCGGCAAGGATGTCTTTCTGACAAGACTCCTCAAGCTCGGTGAACTCTCGGGAGTTGGATGATATGAAGTTGAGGCAATCTTGTCGAAAGCCGCTGCACAGCTCGTCGACTTCTTCCTGAATAGTGGTCTCCACCTTTGTTAGCATTGCCTCCAGTTCCGTTCTCACTCGGTCTGCTGCCTGCAAGAACATTGTGTCTCTATTCCCCTGCACGTGCTGCCGCATCTCAGCCTTCATGCGAGCGTAAGCGCCTGTGCCACATTCTTCAGCGCAGGCTCGATATGCTGACTTCATGGCAACCTCAATGCACTCTTCAAAGAGTCGATTAGCCTCCTTCTGCTCCATATCGATCACTTTGCCCGCGTCTTTCGAAATACGGTGTAAAGATTTGACAAATCTGACACTTTGATCCTCAAACATGGTCTTGGTATCTTCTGACGCGCATCGCGTCTTTAAGATATTTCGGAAACTCCCTTTGAAATTTTCAAGCTTTTCTGCGCAATCTCTGAGAGCATTAGTGAACCGACCTTTGAGAGCCGTATCGAAAACCGAGTTCCAATGAACGTCGACTTTCTGCATCAAAGGCTTTAGAAGGTCTTCGCCGAAGTTGTAGGCTCTGCGTGGGTTCGTGTATGTGCCGTCTCTTCGGCATACAGCCTTGAATGTGCCATAGTATAGGCCGGGTTCCACTGGGTCTTTGGGCGACTTGCCCCATCTCTCGACAGTAATCATCGCTCTATCTCCCGCAGTATTTGAGGCTATCGGAAGGATACGGAAGATTCGATTGTCGACAACGCCCTGTATGCTCGTACAAGTCGTCTGGAATCTGTTCTTGATGTCCTGTAATCGTTAGCTATGCACCCGGATGGAGATCGCTGGTACCTACTTGTACAAGTTCATCAATGACCGACACCGCATCCTCGGCATCAGCATCCCTGAAGTACGAAGCAGCAGCTTCCTCCGTACATGTAGACCACAACCGAAGCGACGTAAGCAATCTCCTGGCGTCATTCATAAAAGCCTCCTCATCGGCCAACATCTGATCTGCACCTATTTTGCGAGCGTGTTGCTGAAGTGCAGGTACGCCAGTGTCAGCAAGGTTCGAAAATCGACTTGCGACCTGTTCCCCTTCCAAGTGTCCTTGCAGCTTCTGGTATCCTTGCGAAGAAACACAGAATACAGGCAACGAGCTTGCGACGTATGCATCGGTTTCTGGCTCTTCGGAAGGGTCAAAATTTTCGTCATCTTCTTGTGCATCATCTCGAGCCAGATCCTGTAACCCAAACGCAAAACCCGCTTGAATGGAGCTTGTGGTATACTTGTTTCGACCCAGAACACATGCCGACCATTCTCGTGCCAGGATTTCCTCCTCGAGCATTTTGAGTTCCTCAAGCTCATTTGTATAGTTCTCTTTTCTACCTTTTGCTTCATCCTTCTTCGACCTGGCAGCCGAACGAGCCTGTGAAAGCTCTACGATCTTCGTCGTTATGGCAGCCACGGTCATACCAGGCTTGGAAAGGTCTTGGACAACAGGTTGAGGAGTGGCCGGAACAGTCGAGGGAACTGGTTTTACAGAAGCAGAAGCCTCGTCGCCTCCAGGCGACGATTGACTGGCCCGAGACAGATAGTTGTCAAATCTTGTTCGTTTCGTTGGTGATTCCATGGCAGTCTTCGTCGTTGCGACGTTTCTTTGCCAAATCAGTAAGCGAAGGTGGGTGAATCGGGCTCTTAGTGCTGGCGGCAAGATTTCTCAGCTGTCGATAGGCCTGCTCCTCCTTGTAGATTCTCGCATGACGCTCCTTTGCATCTTGAAGATCTCTTTTCGCTTGCGCCAAACCTAGGTTCGCAGCATTCAGATCTTTGGCAAAATTTGTCTTGGCCAGGTCAATGTGAGCAACTCCATCAACGAAATCTTGTATATGGTCGAGCTCGCGTCTCGCTTCACGAATAACAATTTCGTCGCTCTTTGAGCACACGAAGCTGATGCGACTCAATGTACCATCGCGGTGTAGTTGGCGTTTGAAGCCCTCGCCGAGAAGATGTCGAGCAGTTCTGTCGTCCACTGCACGAATGATTGGAGCCATAACCCAAAGCGCTGCGCAGTTCTTCAAGTAGCTTTTCGCAATGGCAGCACGAGCAGAATTGCTATCAGCAACTCCAGGCAAGTCAACAAGCACACATCCCGTGCGCAATACAGGCGCTTTGCCATAGATACACACTCGACTGGTTAGTGGCCAATATTCAATATTGTCCATTTCTCTAGACGAAGACCAGCCAATGTCAGCGTAATGAACGCCAACTTTCTCTTTGCTGTCAATATATCTCTGTATTCTATTATGTAGCTGCTCGCTGGTAGCATCGAAGAATTGGAGAGCTGTGCCTAAGTAATTTGAGACCTCCTCTTTTTGCATTAATGTTTCCACCTCCGCTTCCGAAATGTTCTTTTTGCTGATCGAAGGGTAGACTGCAGTGATTTTTGAAAAGGCAATCCCTGCTTCGGAGTCCTCGTCATGTATGGAGCCAGCCGCTGTGTTCACGTCGCCAAGTAGGATATCTAGCTCCTTTCGCCATGCTTCTGGTGAGATGAATTCGATAACGGCTCGCCATGGAAGACCAGGTTGATCATTGTACGATATCTCTGTCACGACGGCTGTACATGCTCGCATGCAGTTCGTGGGAATGACCTGCTTCTCTCCGAGAAGAGCATTGATTATCGATGATTTACCACTGCCAGTAGCGCCTACAATGCCTATAATGACTCGTGTGTTACCAGATTTTGCAACGACTGTATCGATCTGCTTGATCCACGGGGCCAGGATGTGTGACTGTAGTTGCGATTGCTCAGCATTTTCCAACTGTTGTTGGAGCTTAGCAAGAACTTGCTGAGCTCTAAAGGTAGTTGCATTGAGCACGAAGGAGCTGGCATCTTCTAGAGATGGAGTCTGCGAAGTATTATCAGCCATTGTAGCGTCTGTAGAGCTTGGGAAGAGTTGTAGAAAGGTCAATGAAGTAAACAGTAGGAGGATAAGTCGCTGCTGAATTAAGATATTCCAGTCTTCCTGGAGTGAAGGTAACCTACAGCGACATTCACTGCTGTGACAAAAGCATTGCCCCACCTTCACCTGCACAATTCACACGTCGAGGAATATCGCCATACCTAAGAATGGAGCGAAGCTAGAATTACTAGCACTATGACAGTACAGAAGAGTCGTCTCGAGTAGCAGAGGTCACCAGCGGGTTATGAATAATACAGCCGCTTCACCATTGATATATCATTTTAATCTCTCTATGCAATGATGTTGAAGAGAGACATGATTCAGATGTGAAAGAGCTAGATCGTCTTGATCTGACGTTATGTAGGTATTATGATTTGCGCCTGAGGCAATTCGAGATCGAGCTCTCAACATCGTTGAGATTTTTGATGTCGTCGACAGTGTTTGATGAGAGCTCTAGGTGAAGTTTGTGCTGGTTTTATGTTGCGCGTAAAGCTTGCGGACCGTTGTCGATTGTGAGGAAAGAATGAACAGAAACAACGTTTGTAGTAGTAGTTGGTCGGAGCACACGCGTATCGAGCTACTCGCTTGGCACTTACATATCAGGCATGAGACGAGCAGGAGCTCATCAACCACTAATCAGTTTGCAGTGGCCCATTGCGAGGAATTGGGGCGTGTGGAAAGCACTGCATCTCTCTGTAGCAACACGCCGGCGCCCAAATGTCGCGATGTCGCGCTGCATTATGCTAGCATGATACTGGCACGAGCGATCAGCTTGCTTGCCTAGATGGCCTTCTATGTACACTGTCCGCGCTACACGACATCCGTCAGGACCAAGCTGCTATAGTAGGGTTGCAGATATGGCAGATAGGTCATCGCTCAAGAGACCGTGTCCTGAGCCACTTCAACCCGAGGATATTCGTGCCAAAAGATCAGCATTTTTGTCGTCGCTCTCCAGATCAGTATCACCTCCAAGACATAGTACAGCCTCTACTCGGAATGACAAAGCTGGTACAGACAATCATCAGCTAGTCCAGAGTTCGCCCATACACCGAACCAACAAGGTTGTACTTCCATCGCCTTTCCAACTTACTAAAGTTACTGGACTTCTTCAGGAGCAGAATGTCGACACGGTCAGCTTGCATGACATCCTGGGAGACCCTCTAATCAAACAAGCATGGATCTTCAATTTCTGTTTCGATGTGAACTGGACTATGCAGCATTTCGATCCTGACGTGCGACAGCTTGTCGATGTTAAAATCGTGCATGGATCATGGAGGAAAGAAGATGGAAATAGGCTGGCTATCAAAGAGCACCTCCAGAACTGGAAAAACGTGCAAGAGATCCAAGCTTACATGCCGGATGCATTTGGTACACATCATAGCAAAATGATCATTCTTTTCAAGTACGACGATACTGCTCAAGTCATAATCCACACAGCGAACATGCTAGAGAAAGACTGGGAGCACATGACGCAAGCTGTTTGGCGATCACCACTTTTGCCGTTGCAGAGGACACCTGAGGACAAAGAGAAGCTCAGATCCAGTCTCGTAGGAAGTGGTGCCAGGTTCAAGCATGATCTATCACGATATATTAGAGCATATGGGAGCAAGCTGAAAACGCTAGTGGAACAGTTGAGCAAATACGACTTCAGCCAAGTAAGGGGCGCCCTCATTGCCTCAGTGCCATCGTACCAGAAGAGCTGCGATTCGTTGGAAGAAGCTTGGGGTCATCTGGCATTGAGAAACGCACTGGCTGCAGTCAACAGTAAGAAATCCACTGGCAGTGCTGAGAATCCTCACCTCGTCAGTCAAGTCTCCTCTATAGCTACCCTGCCTGCCAGCTGGCTTGACGAGACAATATACAAGGCTGCGAATCTTTCTACGGCGTCCTCCAGAATGCTCGAGCGAAGCCCATTAAGCACATCAATTGTATATCCAACACCTTCTGATCTTCGAAATGCCTTGACAGGCTACGCAACAGGTGGCAGTATCCACACCAAGGTTCAGTCTGCAGCTCAGCAGAAACAAGTGTCCCTACTCCGACCACAACTTCACAGATGGCAAGGACACCAGTCTAACATAGCAACACATGCTGGTCGACATCTAGTTCCGCCACACATAAAAACCTATATCTGCTTTTCCGCTAAACCTACGAGCACAAGCCCAGCACCGGATATCAACTGGGCGCTAGTGACCAGCGCAAATCTAAGTACGCAAGCCTGGGGTACGGTAGCGAGATTACCCAAAGGTGTCAAGGATCTAGGCCAGGCAGTGGTACACATCCAAAGTTTCGAGATTGGAGTATTGGTCTGGCCGGAGCTGTTCTCAGACACGGGGGTAGATTGCGAGAGCAGCAAAACGAGAATGGTCCCAATGTTCGGGAAGGACATGCCAGAGGCATCTCAGACTCTATCAACGGATTCAGAAGAGACAGTCATCGGTATGAGGATGCCGTACGACTTGCCATTAACTCCTTATGATCCTGATGAGATGCCGTGGAGTCCTTCGGCAACATATACTGAACCAGATCGATTAGGTCGGACATGGGATTAAGCGCAGCACTCCCACGGTTGTTGTGTCGTAGCGTCATTTGTTAGCAAGGTGTTGTAGGGATCGGTGCTATATCAATGGAATATAGGTTTGATAGGAGTATGGAAAGTGATGCAGTATGGTAGAAGACAGGCTCAAGGCCTGTAGCATAAGTAGCTAACGAGCATGAAGCAGTATACACTGTCCGGCCGATGTCTGCGACTCTACCATATCCCGTAAGCTCTTGCTATTCCACGATAGTACCCATTTCAGCTCTTGCTGTCGTATCCATCGCACTTTCAACACGTATCGTGCCGTGGAATTCCATTGCACCTCATACTCAGCTCTTGAAGGTGTCCCCAATCTAATTACCAACGGCCTCAGGCTGCTTGTTTGGATCATATCCATACTTGTCCTTCATCTCATTCACCAATTTGATGTAGTTTTGCTCGGCCTGCTGTGCTGTCATGCCCTCGTCAACGACCTTTTGCCATGCCTTTCTCTTGGCCTTGCCCTGTAACAGATCCGATTAGCTATGGCTTTTGGGGTTTGCGATGGACGACATACCTTCAGGTCGAATGTACCTGGAGCAGGAGATTTGTCGATTGGAGGATCTTGTTGGGTCTGCTTGAAGTAGGCGTAGAGCTGAAAGGAATACAGGTTAGCGAGATTGTTCAGAGAGCGACTGCGATCAAACACGTACCTTGAGCAACTCGTCGTTGTCAGGCTTCTTGGTCAATTGCTTCGAGGCCGTGACGGCGTCGTTGAACGCTTTGCTAGGCATAGTGGAAGTTTGTGATCGTTTAGCTTGTGGTGGTTATTGTGCAGAAAGAGAGAGAGAGAGAGTAGAAGAGAAGATAATTTGTCTACTCGTGATGATTTCTTAGTACTACAGTAAATGGCCATTCGCAACCTTGTTCCGCCCAAAACACAAACTTCCTTGCTCTCTGCCTGTTCTATGCGACATCCTCGATCCCGCGTTCACATGACGGAATTTTGTTGACGAGAAGCCACCGAGGCCCGCACCGTAAGGACAACACACCACACTTTTACGAAACCGTTGGAAAGGACGGAAATGACGTACCCCAGCTGCACGACATCCCACCAGCATAACAGACCTGAAGAAGCAAGTTGCGAACATGTGGGGCTCCGAGCGGTACAAAACTTTGTCCCCTTTCTTTCCACGGAATGAACATATATTTTATGCCTGTACCTAAGTCGATTAATGATTCATTCCTGGATCGTCCAAGGTCAATAACACTGCGGGTAGTTTTTATGCCTTTGTATAGCCTAGTATTCGATGGTATTGCCTGAGAACGCCTAATGGAGCCCTGAGTGCAGGCTATAGCAACTCAGCCCTTCCACGAATCTATGTTGTGGCATTTGATCCCAGCTTGAGACTAATGTAACTTCTTTATACGCTTCACTGATTGGGCCATCGAGGCAATCACAGCACGCGAAGCTGCAAGCTGAATTTGGCCCGCTAGATTCTCTTCACTCGTGTGCTGCAGCCATTACCCCAGCCTGACCTCGAGATCCGGCAACTGAAGCTTTCATATTCATCTGCTACTCGTTGCGCTGACAGCCATCAAAGTAGGATGTCCCTTCACGAGGAGTTGACTGCCCTAACTTCAACTTTTTCAAACTTTCTCTTCTTTCGAAGATTTGATCCTTTAAGTGCTAGAGTCATTCTGGCTCAACAGGCAGAACTTTTGTACTTACAAGAAGAATTAAAGCTATGTTCAGATCTCGACAACAACAATGCTGACCTCAAGGATCACTTGACGTCTTGGGGCGATATGCTCGAGGGTGTCAAAGCAGGTCATCCGATAACTCAAATCAGGAAATTGTCAGAAATGCAAGAGAAGTTGAGAACATACTGTTGTGCTCGAGCTCTCCGTGTCTCAGGAGGAGCGACTAATACCACGTAGATGAAACAATTTTGAGGATATCTTAGGTGCAGCAGTTGAGCTCACCTTCGCACCAGGATCGCATTAGTTCGTGGGATTGGCTCCGTGTTCAAAGAAGAGCCAACAACTTTCCCCAAAGCGTCGAGGCAGAAACGTACGACCCGTTTGGTCAACACGCCGTGGGCGTAGGACGTGACCTCTTGATCCTCACGCCAGGCGTAGACAAGCTGGACGATTGGCTTGCTAGGCTCGGTGACTGGCTTAGTGTAATGCTCATTCCCTTGTGGCATAGCAGTATCGGTCATGTGTTCAAGCCGGATGCTGCCAGCGATCCAGAACCCGGAAGGGTGTGGATGTACAAGTTCAGAATGTTGCACATATCTGGCAATTTTCCATGCTTCCTATTGTCCTCGTTGGTGCCCATTGTCTCGATTCAGAGCTTATACTGGATTCCTAGTTTTCAAGGAAGGCTTATTGCAATCAGCGTATTCATTCTGATATTTGCAGCTCTCTTAATGTTTGCTGCAAATTGCCGCTGCTTCGAAGGTTTTGCTGCCACGGCTGCCTTTGCAGCTGTTCAAGTTGTCTTTCTGCAAGGACTTGAAGGAATTATTAACTGTCAGTGATTCAGCAACTGTTGAGGGAGGGACATCTGAACCCAGCCCGTACGACACAGAACAGCGGTGGAGTCTGGGTGAAGTCGCTGGAAGACCATACAGGTTCAAAATTATTGTCAAAGTCGTTTTGAGTGGGACATCTCGCTTGCGACATGTATGCAGACCTGTTCGTTAGCACTGGCTCTATGGGTACGAAAGTTGCAGCAGAGCATGAAGGCCAGCTCTGATAGGGTCAATGGTGCACCAGCATAACGCGTGTGTCTGGATCGTGGGATGCATTGTGTTTCAAGTTGTTGAGTACCTGAAACTGCAGCTTAGCAGGGATGTGTTACGCCTCTGTAGGAGCCATGCGGGTCAGGTTGTTCACTGCACAGAAGCCTTCCAAGCGTTGGCGTAAAGGATTCAGGAAGACGGCGAGCAAAAATCTGTTACAGTGTAGTAATTGAACGAATAATGACTAATGCGAAACATATTCTCGATTATATTTGAGTACTCGCGTGACTCAACTTTTGCGCCATCGACTGCATCTAATCAAGACACGATGCTCTTGTCAGTGATCATACATGAAAGAGTTGTCTTTAATTCTTATAAGAACTTCTGACCATGATCGGAATATTTGACACCATCACGCTAGAGATACGAAACACCTACCAATCCACAGCCCAGCCATTACGCTCCAAGAACTCTGCACAAGCCTGCTTCAGACCGACATTTGGTGTCAGTGCATCGGGATGCAACTTCTTCCTAGTCAGGGGATCCAAACCGCTCTGTTTGAGATGTTTCAACAGCCCAACTCTTTCATAGCTGACTCCTGCTGGCGTGATCACAGGATCGTGCATGACCTCAAATGATATGGGATCAACCATCCAGTCTGGCACTACCCTCTCCTTACTTTCGGGATCCTTGCTATTTTCAAAAGCAGACCTCACGTTGCGCCGCCGCTCATCGAACTCGTCTTGTAGCTGTTGGAGCTCTTCTCCTCTGCCCATCTCGCCAATTGTTTTGCTCTTGAATCTTTCTTCAACATCAGCGACGTCTCTTCTCAACTGCTGCTCCATGGTCTGTTCCACAGTGGCCAGAGTATCATTCATTTCTCGTAGTCGACTTGTCTCCTTGGCCTGCCATACAGCCTGTTTCGCTTTCAAAACGGTCTGCCCTACAACCTCGACGGAGCTATCATTCGTGGCAAGACATATGCTATACGCCTGAAGTGCTTCTCGGTGTGCTTCACCTACATGCCGCAAGTTCAGTAATGCTTGTGCGAGGTAAAAATGCGCTTTCATGGACTGAGAATCTAGCTCGACGGCCTTACGAGCGTCTTGCTCCGCACCACGCCAATTCGAGAGACGTATTCGTGCTAGTGCTCTATTTTGAAACAGCTTAGGGTCGTTGGACCGAACAGAGATAGCCTGTCCATAGAAGTCCTCCGCCTCTTTGTATTGACCATCCTTGAAGCACTGGTTGCCTTGCTCTTTCAGCATGTAAGCCATCAAGGCGATTGCAGAGCCCTGCTGACAAACTTAGGGTATCGGCAGATGTAGCAGTCGACGTCTAGACCGTGATAGTGCTTGCACCGCTCGTATTAATTCCTTCTGAATGTGGCAGGTGTTCTTCGTGTTTATTGGTCAGTAAGCAAAGAGTCGTACGCCAGGACTAGCACTTTTGATCTGCCGTACGTTTAGAATCTAATTCCTGGCTAATGTGAGTGAGGCAATCATTAGACAACGACAAATTCTCCACTAAAGCACAACGTGTAGTCAGATACAACGCAAGGGATCTCCAAGGTGCCGTTCAAGATGCGGCTGGAATCGTTTGTGGCAGTAGGAATCGTTCTCAGGTCGTTTCATTGGATATGTCAGCTACCGATTGCGCCAGAAAGCGGTGGATGGTGATAGACGAAAGAACAAAGAAAAGCCCGGAGATCTGTCTGACCCGTTTCACCGGCATGGCACTATTGGCACGACCTGTATGTTTGGGTCAAAACACATCGCGTGGTGCAGCACGAACTCAGTAGATGTCAGGGTTGCAAAGAACGTTGCATGTTGGAGGGCAGGTGCGATTAGTTGTTGGTTGGCTCAAGTCCAAGGGTGGAAGGAGCATTCAGTAACCTGTAGAGGAGGAAGGATAAGCGAGGTCAGTAGCTGATCACAGTCGCTCATAACAATTCATCATTCCAGACTCAATATATAGGACGTTCCACCAGATCGATAGACGTGTATTGTTGTTGATCAGAACGACATTGCATATATCAACAGGATTATCGGCGTCGTCTGACTGTACCTACACTCTCTGAGACCTCATATCGGAATTGCCAGCTGGCGTTTGCTCAACTGCGCTCTGGTAGCTTATGCCCTCGGAGTTGACGCGTCTCGACAAGTCGATCGCAACGTTTATTGTTTTGTAAACTGCGCTTCATAATTGCTAATATCCTTCACTTTGTCTGCAGATGCGCTGCTCTCGTCAAATCTCAGATCGACCCATTCTTGCACCAGTTTCTTCGCCAACTCGAGCCCAATCACTCTCTGACCCATGCACAGAACTTGTGCATTGTTCGATAGCACTGATCGTTCCACACTGTACGGATCGTGGGCCGTGACGGCTCGGATCCCTTCGACCTTGTTCGCTGAGATGGCGACACCGAGACCTGTGCCGCACACAAGGAGGGCACGATCAGCCTAAAAGGACATCAGTCTCGGTTCTATAGAGAAGGGAATAGGTGGAATATACTTACCTCACCATTCTTGATTTTTCGTGCAGCATCAACCGCAGAGTGCGGATATGCTTTACTGTCTTCTGCTTCCATAACACCTACATCTAGCACCTCGGCCACACCCTTATGTTTCTTCAAAGTCTCCTTAAGCGCTTCCTTATAGGTGTGCCCTGCGTTGTCGCAGCCTACAACGATGCGAAGTGGTGTGGTCGCCATATTCAAGTATGCTGCTAAATTTGTGTAACAACGTGGTTTACAGCTGGTACAGATGTTGGTTCAAGCTTACGATCAACACAAGGTCAAATTTGCAAAAACAGAAGGCCCGAATATGCAAACAACTCTGAAATGCAACATCTCAGCGAGTTTATCCGGTTCACCAGCGACATTGAAGCACGCAGTTGCATGGCATGGCTCGCATGCATGCCGCTTCGAAGCCGACGTCAGATGAAAATGCCCCGAACTTTTCGAGGCGGGCACTCGGCGTTCTTAATGTGGGATGCCGACCTCTCGAGGAAGACCACACTCCTTACAGCGCTATACAGTAAGTACCGCATTACTTCGTGTCAAAGCTGACTTTGTGTTTGTGACGTGAACGTTTGAACTGCCGAAATTTTTGAGACTCACTGTCCTCGAACAACATCGTGTAAATACTCGATCGCACTCATCCAAGTACCAGGAGAACAAACTTCCCTAGCCACTGGAGGCCACTTCTTATTGACCTAGCAAACCATTCTTCGAAGAGCAACATGACCTCTACATACCCACAGCTTCCACTGAAGCTGGTACTGATGTCAACCAAGGCATACTTCTCTGCAGACCATACCATACAGTACCTAAGAACAATACTCGATCCAGAATCAGGTATAATGCCCTTGCCAGATCAGGATATTCTCTTCGGATTCATACCAGACTTCCTGTCGATATACCCTTGCACTCAACTACTTTCTGAACACGCCAAGACCACTTCAACAGCGTCGAAGCACCCACGACTGTGGCCATTACACCTTGGAGCCCAAGACTGTTTCTGGTCAGGAGACTACGGAGCTTACACAGGCGAAATTGTGCCGCCAGCACTGCAGTCACTCGGTGTCACGATCGTCGAGCTCGGCCATGCTGAACGTCGAAAGATGCTAGCCGAGACAGACGAAACTACAGCAAAGAAGGCTGCTGCTGTCTCGAAATTGGGCATGGTGCCGCTGGTCTGCATAGGCGAGATTGAAGCTCCAAACCTTCAGGGTCCCATGTCTGCAGCAGTTGGTAATGCAATGAAGCAGTTGAACTCGCAGGTCTTGACGTTGCTGAGTGCAGTGCCGCTAGACGCACCAGTGATCTTCGCCTACGAGCCTGTATGGGCGATTGGCGCTGCTCGGCCCGCCGGTGTCGATTACGTTGGACCTGTTGTGCAAGCCATCAGACATATCATACAGGATTTTGAACAGAAGAGAGGCCGCACTGGTCAAACAAAGGTCGTGTATGGAGGGAGTGCAGGTCCTGGTCTGTGGAGTGGCAAGACGAATGGTGACAATCCGCTTGGCCAATGGGTAGATGGCATGTTCTTGGGACGCTTTGCGCACAAGATTGAAGGTGTCAAGGCCGTCGTTGATGAAGTCGTACAGAGTATGTCATGAACAATGACATACAATTCAACCAGGTCCGTACACATTCATTGATATGTCGATTTATCACTACCAGAGGCTGCATCCTAAACCTAACTATTGTCCTTCGGTGCTCAATATTGCCACTCCATCTGACAGTCGTACGAGAGACGGATTGAATCTTCTTCATAGCTCTCGTCCGCCACAATACTTCGGGTTCGTCTGCCACCAGATCAGTGCGTCTAGCCGCGGATAATATGTTCGTCCCACCGCGACCATTACGCCATCTGGTCGACGGAAAAGCCGCATGGCGAAGGTGAAGACGAGGACGAGAGGAGAACGAATGCGAACATGAAAGGGATGATGAGGGATATCGACCAACTAAGGTAGTAACCCTAACACAAGAGATGATCTAGGAGGAAGCAGTAGTCCTAGCATAAGCACAAACCAACAATTTCACCAGTGTAATCGAGAGAACCTATGGTCGCGGCATATAACTCCACGTTAGTGGAAACCAGAACCCTCCGTCGAAGCAGTTGTCTCTGAAGTTACGAGCATGAAACTAAACGAACATTGACGATGACGAAGAATGAAGCAGCAAAGTGAACGCAATAGAGCCTGAATAGAAGCGCCCACGACAGATCAGAGCATTCACAGCAGAAGGCATATTGAACGTGGCAGAAATTGAATCGTTCGCGGCAGAGACTCAAGCATTCATGGCGAACGATAAACATCCACGAAGAGTAGAACCAAAATCACGAGGAGAAAATTCATGGTAACAATAAAACTGAATAGGTGAACAATCACAAGTTTTGGAAGAGGCCAAATGAATAAAAGCCATGGAAGGTGTTTTTGATGACATCTGATAGCTGATATGTAAAACAGATACCACAGACACTAATACTACTACCTAACGAGATCTAGCCGTTCGATCTTCTCCTACTAGCGGCACGAAGCACGGGCAACGACTACCACCCAAATCAAGACGATTAGCAGAGAAAACAACAAGGAGTGGAGCGAGTGGTACTGAGACCAGAAACTTGCTGGGAGGGAACTACAAATGATAGTATGATACTTGAGAGACAACATCGCCTGTGTGCATACTGGCCATAGTCTGTCCTAAAAGATACGCGAGTGCTACGTCGGACTGTTCTTCTGTAGATCCTTTCTGAGATGTCTTCCGGAATTCATTAGATACGAATAACATGGCTTGAGAGCCAATTCTGGTCTTGGATATTGATTCAATACTCGCGGTTCATTCTCTTCCTGACATGAAATCGAGGACATACTGTAGCATAGCTACTCGTGTTGAATGTGTGAACTACTTGCCGAACCGATACAGAGAGCCGCAACTTTGGTAGATTCAGTATCGTGGAGGAACATCACAACCATGCGAAGAACATCTGCCAGGCTACTGAACATGCGGGCTCTCACTTATAGGCTATGGTCGTAGGGAATGAAGCGTTTGTTATACTCATGCCGTCAAACATTATACTTGGACAATGACTACCTTGGCCACAATCTCGTCTGCTATGCCCTGAACAGTCCAGTCTCCTCGCAAGAACTTCTGCCAAATGCTTAGTCGTTCTGCTAACAGATCATGGTTGATCTTGAGGTTATCCACTTCATTGGAATTTCCACCTTTGCCTTCTTGCTTCTGCTTGTTCCTCCACTCCCTTTCAGCATCTTCACCGGCCTTTCTTACAATGACATCCTCTTCCTCGCTTTTGTATAGATCACACTTATCGCACTGTGTACATTTTGTGCCGGGTACAGGTCTAAAGTGTTCGCAGAAATGTCTGTATCCTTCAGCGCCTTCATTTTCTCCTGTCTTGCCGATATTCTTCCGACATAAGTAACACATGCTGTAGCCACAGACACAAGTAAGCTTGTTGCAACCAGAAGATTTGACGAAGGCCGTGCCGCAGCGAGGACAGACTCGCTTCACCGCATTAGTACGTGCTGCTTCGACTGACTGACGGAGGGAAAGAAGGAGTGGCTCATCACAAGAATGAGCATCGTGCCAGGCCTTGTGACATTTTAGGCAAGATCTGCGCTTGCATGTAGGGTTCTGGCATTGGAAGCGGATGGTACGCTGAGTGGAAGCAAGGCGTGCAAGTGAGGTGTAAAAGAGGGTTGGCAATAACGATGGCCAAACGAGACGGAGAGCGAGATACACGAAAAGTAGAGTTGGTAGAATGAACTCGCAGGCGAGGATGGCGAGGATCTTGCGGTGTCTCGAAGAGGGTTGAAAGGACCACTGGATGTGTTGGCGAGCTGTTTCGAGAGTGAAGAAATTGTCGGCCTCGATGTATGGACAGAAGGGACAACGTACAATCGGCAGCTGTGAGTCAAAGATCGCTTTTTCAGCAAGGCGTTCTTCAAATCTATCCCATAACTCTCGACCTGAGTGCTCCAGAAGCACAGCTTGTTCGAGTTGAGCCGCTGGAACATGACCATTGCAACGAGGATCAATAGGTGCAAGACATTTCAAAGTGCTCAGTGCGGGCTCGACAGACTGTGCCCAATTTTGACCAAAGATTGCCTCCTTCAAAGACTTTCGGACACAGTCCAAGCAGACAATATGCCCCTCGGTATTGCATGCTGACACGTTTTCGAACGGCGTGTCACTGTAGCAGATTTGACACTCATAGAGAGCCTCGGCTTGTTGGGCCTCCCACTCATTGAGCTGTACAGCTAGTGTGAAGTCTTGCTCTTGTTGCGATTGTGCCAACTCTGTTCGTAGTGGTCTTACGAAAAGTGCTTCCAGCTCATTGTCAAGCTCTGTATCTCCGGTGGGCACAAGTTCTTGGCCAATCCTTCCTCTGATCCAGAGAAAGGTTGGAAGAGACTGCGTATCCTTCTTTTTCCGGAACAATGATTGCAACGTCGCCCGCCACGACTTGTTGGCAATCTCTTGTAGGATGGGTCTGGCCTTTCCATATGCGTTATTGACCTCGGCAAGAACGGCCTCAATAGCACTCTTGTTGAGTGAATTGAACTCTTTTTGCAACAACCAGCTGCAAGCAGATCGGTACTGCTGCGTTCTGAATTGTTCCTCCGTATGAATCTGCTCGTCTTGTTCCCTAGGAGGAACCTGAAGTCTCCCTTTCATCCACTCATTCTTGTATCTATAGAGCTGCTCGGTACAGATCTCAAGACGACTGTCACCATCAAAGCGGCTCAATAGCTCCCGTAGACAGTCATACTTGACATCAGGGTAGATGCCGGCAAGCACTGCAAGATCTTCGTTCAGCGAGATGGCTGCATCCTGTACGGCATTCTCCTTGGTTAAAGCAGGAGACGAGTTCTTGACACGTAGTTGGTTGAGACGAAGTACTTCAGTGAGAGTAGATCGAGGGGATAGTGGAGGGCGAGAGGACGATTCAGCTTTCGGATTGCGCCTGGACGACGAGGTCGGGCGCCACATCGCAGGTGCTAGTCAGGGCACAGAACATCTTCGAACACGAAAGAGTAGAGACAGGTGGTTCTAATCAGAGAATGCACGCAAAGTATAGAAAGTATAGGTACTGGAAAGATCGGAACAAAGCTTGTGACTGCTGATGGTACCTGCAGAAACCTGCAGTGTCAAGCTCAGGTACAACCTTGGAAGAGCTCCAACGGTTTGAGGCGTTCCTTCGGCTTCCACAGAACTATCTGTATCGTCGTTATAGGCTCCGTCGGACCGTCTCGTCCACAATCACTTCTCTAAATCTTGGAAACACTATTTTACTGAGCCAAAAAGTAAAAACGATATCGAGTTGGGGCTCAACCGGCTACAGTCATGTTAGGCGCGTTGCATTACAATTCTGATGTATCAGACTCACGATTTGAACCCGGGACCTGTCACATTGGAAACGACCGTTGGAAGCGGTTGTAGGCATGGTTGAGTACCACCCGAAGCGACAATCATACGACTAGACCATTGAGCCGTAATTATCTGTGTGTTTTTCAAGCACAGTTTAGGGCCGAGTTTCAGCCGTTATGGAATATGTAACTAATATCGGACACCTCCCACAGCCCTGATCGTGCCACCTCACCAGGCCTTTCGCAGTTCGTCATATTGCTACCGAGTATCTGGGACATTGGCTTAGTTTTCGTTACCAAAGGTTTATTGCCTTCATAGTCCTATACTAAAGTTGAATAATCCAAAATGTTCTACAGTTTGGGCTTCGGTTGTCCCAACAACTCAGCACCTGCACCAGCTATACATAGCTTACCAGTCTCCTTGACCTTAGTCTGGAACACGATCGTAGTGCCCTCCTTCCACATCTCAGTGACCAGTGTTTGGCCAGGTATTACAGTACCAGCAAACCTGACCTTGATGTTCTTGAACAGTCCGAAATTCTCAACGATGTGTTTGGCACTAAAGCCGAAGAAGCACAAGCCGTGAAGAATTGGATCCTTGAAACCACCCACTTTGCTGAATTCTGGATCGATGTGTAGTGGATTGCGGTCGCCATTGAGTCGGTAGAGTGCTGCTTGATCGTCCGTCGTCTTCTCCTCAGTGACTGCATCAGGCGCACGCTTTGGTGGTTGATAGATAGCTGTTGCACGACCACGATCGGTGCCCTTCTTAGGCCCACCAAATCCACCACTGCCTCGAATGAATACTGTTGATTCGTTGTAGAAGATTTCTTCACCAGTCTTAGCATCCTTTGTGACTGTACCTGATACCACAACAGCAGCCTTGCCCTTGTCTACAACCTCGACAAGCTTAGGATACGAGACTGTATCTGCCTTAGTTGGAATAGGGAATTTGCGAATTTCCAGGTATTGCTCGCCATGAAGCAGCATCATAGGCGAGAAGTTTGGAACAATCTCGTCCATCGAGAACGGAGCGACGGCAGAGAAAGGTGGAATGACACCGAATGACGGCAACACTTGGAAGTCGTCATTGCCTTCGAAGGTGAGTGGCAGTTGTGTTCGCTTGGCACCAACAGATAAGTTGTAGAGAATGACTTCCCTATCGTCCCAATTGAACTCTGTACCTTGTGCTTTCGCAGATTTGGCCTTCTCGATAGAGGCATTGTAGTCCTCCGAGTCATCAGAAGAATTGCTCGATTTGTTCGATTTGTTCGATTTGTTCTCCATGTTGGCCATGATCGATTTCAGGCCATCTTGCCCACCTTCTGGATGGTCTGCTCGTCCATCATCAAAGTTTGTGATAACTGACCACTTCTCAACCACCTGCTCTGGAGTGAGCTTGACGTCGATCGGGAAGCCATGGCCACCAGATCTCTGCCATCTGGTTCGTGCCTGCCAACCACTGCCGACCTCGAAGAGAAGACCTGTTGGTGGATCTGGCATCTTGTCTGAAACGAGCAGCAGCACGAGAGGTGCAACATAGTCTGGCTTGAATGCTTGTACCATCTCCTCGGGCATGATCGTTCTGGTGAGTGCTGTGCCAGCATTTGGTGCAATCGTGTTGACAAAGATGTTGTTCTTTCGGCCTTCCAGGGCAAGTGCTCGAGAGAACCCAAGGATACCACATTTCTGCGGAATGTTAGTCAGTATATAGGTAAAACCAAGTCTTGACTTACTGCTGCAGCATAATTAGCCTGGCCAAAGTTGCCATAAATACCACTTGTCGATGTGGTGTTGACTATCCTGCCGTATTTTTGCTTGACCATGTATGGATACGCAGCCTTGGAGCACTTGTATGTGCCCTTCAAATGAACATCCAGAATGATGTCCCACATATCGTCAGTCATATTAGCGAAAGCCTTGTCCCTCAAGATACCAGCGTTGTTAATCAGAATGTCGATACGACCCCAGGTGTCAATGGCTGTCTTTACAACAGCATCACCATCGAGTACGTTGGCCTTGTTACCAACAGCTTGTCCGCCAAGTTTCTGAATCTCTTGGACCACGTTGTCAGGGTTCACTAGGTCGTTCACAACAACTTTGGCACCAAGCTTAGCTAGTTGCAAGCAGTAGGCACGGCCGAGACCCGCACCACCACCAGTAATCACAGCAACCTTTCCATCGAAACGAATCTCCTCACCTTTGTCGTTGTCGCCCATTTTCATTGACTCTTCTAGCTTAGTCATCATGTCTGCGACACCATCTGGATGCTCGCATTCGGAAAAGTCGTTTACGTCTGACCACTTCTTGAGGATCGCGCCTGGGGTCAAGCTCTCGTTAGCCTTAAGCAGAGCACCCTTAGCCCGTTCCCATCTCAGCTGAGCCATATGGCCTCCTCCACACTCGAAGATAGTGCCAGTGGTGTTCGCATTCGAGGAGTGGACAAGGACTGCAACTAGTGGAATGACCCATTCTGGCTTCAAGACCTCCAAGACTTCTGGTGGCATAACGGTTGCAGTCATTCTGCTCGCGGCAATAGGTGCAACCACGTTACAGAGGATGTTGTATTTGCGACCCTCTTTCGCCAGGGTCTCTGTGAAACCAACTTGGGCAAGCTTGGCTGCTGAATAGTTGCACTGGCCGAAGCTGCCAAATAGTCCAGCCGCTGAAGCTGTATTGATGATTCTGCCATACTTTTGTTTTCTGAAATGTGGCCAAGCAGCTCTTGCGCACTTGTATGCACCTTTGACGTGGACAGTCTGGATCAGATCCCAGTCCTGGTCCTTCATATTCTTGAAAGAGACATCTCGGAGAATGCCAGCGTTATTCAGGAGAACGTCGATTCGACCGAAGTTCTTGATAGCAGTCTCGATAATCTTGTCGCCCTGTTCGACGCTGTTGTAGTCAGCTACGGCTTTTCCACCAGCAGCTTTGATCTCGTCAACGACTACATCTGCAGCCTGCGAGTGGTTAGTACATCAACAGTATGGCTAGTAAGCATGCGACAGACCTTAGTACCGGCACCCTCTCCCTTGAACGAACCACCGAGATCATTCACAACCACATTTGCTCCTCTCGAAGCAAAGAACAATGCATATTGTTTGCCCAGACCACCGCCAGCACCTGTGACTACCACAGTCTGATTATCGTACCTCAGTTCTTGCGCCATGACTTGGGTGTTTTTGTCCACTTCCTTGCGTATTCAGAAGCTCATCGACTATAGAAAGCAGATACGGCACCTCAGGTCAATATAAGTGAATAATATTAGATAAACGCTCGTCGATGTACGGAAGTATGAGCGCGTGAAAGACCGGCTCTTGAGAACGAAGTGAAGAGCAGAAATGAATAACATATGACACTTTCAAGTCCATCTTCAACTATGCTTCATCATTGCACATGCCTCGGCTTCGATAAGGTCACGTGATTCCACACAATCACCGAGAGCTTCTCGGAAGCCTTCAGTGGGAAGTCAGCACGGCACTTCGGAATCCCCAGGTTTGGCTCTCCAGGACATGTGAATCTTATCCAGATTCTTTTTCTGTTTACATGTTCTCGCTGAGCATGCGAGCAGCTTGTCGATGCCTTCGCACCAGGAAGTACGCGACGAGGGACCTATCGCGGTCTTCTCTGCGCCCATTGCTTGTTACTTTGCACGCAAGCAATCCCCATCGTCCCCGCTTGAATGATCTGCCTGCCAGACGTGTCTGTATATCTACCAGGCAGGTTTCCACGTTAGAAGACTTTCCTGCACAAGTTTACGAGGAAGTCCATACAAAAGCTGAGGTACACTGACCCTTGACTCGTTCCACCACAGATCCTTCGTTTCCTAGCCCAACAAAATAGAATAGTATCGCTCCTTCAATTATGGCAGCTGCAATCATTCCAGAAGGTATACAGGATGACAAGGCGCAGCACGTCGTTCCATTCATACTCGACCTCCTCCACCAACACGAAGCGAAGCACGCCTCTTCCAAGCCTTTCACACCTGTGCCGCCGCTGATCGTAGGCCTAACGGCTCCTCAAGGTGCTGGCAAATCTCTGCTTGTTTCATTACTTCACAAATCCTTGACTTCCACACCCCATTATCTTCTCACCACGATCTTCTCCCTAGACGACTTCTATCTTCCGCACGACGGACTACAGTCACTGGCTCGAGCGAACCTTGAAAACCCACTCTTGCAGCACCGTGGTCAACCGTCAACCCACGACATACCACTTGTACGGTCAGTGTTCGCCAGTCTGAGAGAGAACAAGTCCACCAAGATCCCACAGTTCAACAAGGCAGCCTACAATGGGCAGGGTGATCGTGTGCCAGAGTCGGACTGGTTAGAAGTGAACACAGAGTCAGCCAATCCAGTCCGCATAGTGCTTTTCGAGGGCTGGTGTGTCGGTTTCCGGCCCATCTCTGACGAAGCTGTCAAGCAAAAGCACGAGGCTGCTTCCAAGCTGGCACAAGAGCCTGACTCAAATTACAAGGGTCGTCTAGGCCACAATGCCCTACAGAACCTGAGTACGATCAATAACTCATTGAAACAATATGACGAGATCACCTCCCAATTCGATGGATTGATCCACATAGACGCTGAAGACCCTCTGTTCGTGTATGAATGGAGGCAGGAACAGGAACATAATATGATCAAAGCCAAAGGAAGTGGTATGACCGACGAAGAAGTGAAGAACTTTGTTGACGGCTATTATCCTAGCTATGAACTGTATGTTGACGGGATGAGAGCAGGTGTGTTCAAGACATTAGCCCAAGATGGCTTGAGGGAGGAGCAAGATGTACAAAGCCGTCAGTTGAGGTTGATTGTAGGTAAAGATCGCAAGGTTAAAAAAGTAGAGCGCATTTGAGATTTCACACTGTTCAAGACGGCGCACTATCAGTGCCCGGTTATGAGCTGAATAGTAAAGTTGTGTAGACGCTTTCGGTCTACTGGTATGCTTCTGCCACTTACTGATTGCACCTCAAAAGTAACACTTATATCAGTGGCACATCATAAGTAGTATCTAGCGTCTATAGCTCTAAGCACGAAGTGAGAAGAATCTCGGAATAATTGAAAAGGACGAGCATGATGTTAGACTACAGTCAAAAGTTGAACCGCGTCTGAGCTTTTCCTATAACTGTCAGCAACACCAACAGAGCAAACTCACTGCCTTCCTGATCAGGCAAGCATAGTCCTCAAAACGTGTCAAAGAGGAAAGCGTGGTCAATATCCGACTGCTCGGTTTTGGCACGGGTATGTATGAGGCGATCGACGATATAGCGTGTATCGATGTATGCACGGCTAATCTACAGTAGCTTTGCCGTATCTGTCGATCTAGGAGGCGAGAATACCCAGATCTGTTTGATTGAGGAAGACAGTCGTATGTACGGCGTTGAGTTTTGACCTTGGCCATCGGCATACGAGCAGGGGTCGTACCACCCGAATTTTAGTCAAGGTTGTTGATGGAGATCTAAACTCTCCAACCACAGGTTGTAACACTCAATTGGATCTGCGAGTCTACTTTCAGCATACGAAGTGCATGAAAGTTAGGCCACGATGATTTGTTACCAGTGACGATAGAGACGTTGATCGTCTGATTCGTCATTCTTGACAGCGCGGTTGATGTGTCAAATCGCAGATCGTGTCATGTCAGGCTTGTGCCGTGACACAGACTAGAAAGTGACTAGCGATGACAGCAGATATCGACTCTCCGTGATCATGTGTTGATGAGAGACTGCGCCAGAGTGTCTCTTCTCGATGCATTACATGGAGTGGGACCGCTATTCTGGCTGGGACTCACTAAAAATGCATTCCATGCATTAGCGTGCGACGTCGACCTTACTGCTATCGTCCAGTGACATGTGAGCTGGCTCGTATCGACGTGAAGAGAAGCGTTGCACGTCACCTGCTGTTATCCCTGCGATTGATCTTCGAATGGTGACCGCTCCGAACAAAAAGCAGTGCCGCTCAATATGATCTATCAATCTACAAGAGGTCCGGGAAGGTATGAGCAGGTTGTCGACGTGTACGTAAAGTTTGTGGCTGCAAGATCTGAGTCTGCTGCAGAGTGCTGCATATCCGATCTGATCTGATCGGATTGACAATCACTAAGCTGTTATAGGAATTGATGGATCCTGCAGAAGGATGTGATCCTTGCGGGTTGTATTCTTGGCTGGACGCCCCTAGTACTGTCACTGGACCCGGGTACATTTCGTCAGAATCATCCTTCTTATGCTGTGGAGCAGCCACGCTATGATGCCAATCTAGATGGCAAGTTCTTCAAACTTTACAGAGTCTGAGAATGCACAAAATAATAGATGAGACTCCGAATCTAACTAATCCAGAACAGGTTAATCATCTAACATGCCTACGCTGCTGTCATGGACGACATAGGCTTGGTCGAGCAGGACTTTCTTGGACCGAAATAGACTAACAGGTAGAGTCGTTACAAAGGAACTTCCAATATATCAATTCCAGCTCATGCAGGGATATCGTGTTCTGACGATTCCTCAGTGTTCACGCGGAGCTCGTTTATGTGCCAAGAGACAAAACGTTGGTAGTCTTATGTTGTGTAACATAAGCCACCAGTCATGTACGTTGATATTACATGTTATCGGCCGATACTGCTCAGCTGCGCGGACAATCTCGCTAGTTGATCTTTTTTAGCTCGACTTCACTGAGAGTAAGGTTAGCCACGGTTCACTGCATATTCACCTTCCATACCACGCTGGGGATGAAAGCACAGCAGCAAGGGTAGACTCACAAAACGAGAGTGGCGTCTCCTGGTATTAATCCTGGGAAGCCTCTGTTGTAGAAAAGTTCGTTAGCCTCCATTCAATAGTATCACCGCTTGCGGACAAGCAGAGGTGAATGTTCTTCGTGGGTCATGTGTCGTTGCAAGTTCTTCCGCAAAACACAAGGCTTTGACGTACCTAGAGCCGTACGCCATGTTGCTCGAAAACAGTCAGCAGTAAACTCAAGCATAGCGTATCCATGGACAAAACCCACCCTGGTATGATCAGCACGGCCTTCTCGCCAAGAGACATTGTAGGTACTCCTTGATCCCAGCCTGCAGGACAATTAGCAGGCTCGTAAAGCCACACTCGCTCAGGACACACCTTTGATTACTCGTCCAACGCCGATGGTAGTCTTGAAGTCTCCTCGGCCTATTGAACTGTCAAATCTGTTCCTCTTATTAGGTCTTGATCTGCAAAATTGTCCAACATACTTACTGATCTCCTCTTTTGTCTGCAGCATTAGGATCGTAGAGCCATCCTTGAATAAAGTTATAAGCCATCTACGTGGTAGAGGTTGTTCATTTACCTGTATACTGTATGGTGACTGAGTCTCCCTGTCGAGGATATGAGCTTCCATCACCTTTTCTGAGAATTTTCTTCTCGAGTTTCTGTGACATGGTGTCGGATTTCTGCTTTGGTCGTTTGCTGTATTGGAAGACTGGAAAACGTGGGAGACCAAGGGTAGCTCTACGTGCACCCTTTATATTTGACAATACTCACTACACCAACGCAACTTGGTGGGGTGAGAAGCTGATAGAGTTTAGTAGATACAAACTACGGTACTTATACCTTTGCTCTCGTCGTGTCTGCTGGCATTGTATGTCTGATATGCTTCTAGAGTTGTAGGGAAAGTCTAGTGGCCTCGATTTCTGACACGTGTGTAAGCTGCAAAGATCGTTTAGATTCCGGTCTGCGTCAACGCACTGACGCAGACCGACAGTTGAGTTCGATCCTTGGTGTTAGTAATTTTGCACATCGTAACGGCGGTCCTCAATGAGCACATAATATGGCGGGTGCTACAAGCCAATCAGGGAGGTTAAGCTCTAGGGCAGATGTGCCGCGACAGGACAGGCCAGGAATTCGTGCCCGAAGCGTTGAGATTCCGAAGAACTCTGGATCAGGTGAGTCCGTGTTGATGCTTGCAATGACAACAAGTTGATATTTCGGACGAAGAAAGCAGAAGACAGGATGATGCCAGCTTCCGGAATAAGCTTTGGACGTTGTGATGATTTACCGACAAGCTGGGCAGGAGAAGTGGCCGACGCGTCGCTCTTGCACTGCTCTCGACCAGGATCGTAGTCCTGAAGCTGCTACGTCCGTGAAAAGTCATCGCTTCATCCCAAGCAGGATTAGGTTACGCTCATTGTCGAAATGCAAGCTGCAAGTCCTCTTCACGTCTACGGTTAAAAGTGAAGCAGGTAAACTCCTGATGATGGAACGCGACATATGTGACATAGTACATATGCAGTATTTGGCCATTCTTTTTTCCGAGAACATGGTTGTCTGCAGCTTGGGTTTATTGGCGTCATGCATGTCACTGGCGGCAATACTGCAAGATGGGCCAATAGCATCTGGAACCTTGACAGGCGCTAATTGGGAATTGGTCTCCTTGCTGGTCGACGCAGAATTGCGCGGAGTAAGATAGCCGAACAGCTACCCACCACGCAGCAGTCTGAGCAGATTGTTTCCAGCTTCTTACCGGTACATGAAAGGATCGAAAAGGTGAAGTAATCAAGGTAGGTACATCCGCGTCGTACGAAGAATCTCCTCTCCACGTTGTAGAGGCTCTGGACAATGCGACGTGTCTGGATAGTTATGAGGTTGTGAACCTGTCGTCAGTGATCTTGAAAGTTTGGTCGTTGCATATTCTATCTACTTCGAAATCTGCTTTCTACCAACCTGACACAACCAGCGACACATTCAGGCAGTTTGAGCTGTCGTCGCACGACATCCTGATCTGACCATCCTAGACTTTAAACCTGACCTAATACAACCGCGAACAATGGCCTCACCCTTGTTCAATATGCTACTTGCCCGTACCGCCTCCTATAGGGACATCTCAAGTATCTTCTGATACTCCTCATTGCTCTATGCGGGAAAGCCTCATACATGTGATTAGTAGAGCCGCAAGCCAAGTTTCCTCTGTCGTCCTTTGTGCACATAGCGCCCAAGATGTTCACCTATGCATCTGCAAGTATGTCGCGGAGGCTAGCAGGGTCAATCAGATTCGCATGCAGTGTGATATCCAACGCATTGTGGGCGTAATCACTTCCATCACGAGCTTTTGAGCGTTTCATGTCAACGAGCCTTCAGCGTCTTATGGCTTGCAACGTCTCTCACGAGTACGGAATCAGTCGACAAGGTTGGAAACCGTGGATCACCGAAGTTGTTACGAGAAGAGGCAGGTGACAAATACCACAGCTGCTCGATACCATTTCTTTGCAGGAAAGGAAGTAGCTTATCATAATTTGTCGCGACTTGTGCCATGCCATGGCTGTCATCAGATAGGCAGAACCGACCATGAAGCCGTAGAAACGCCTGTCAAAAACATGTTAGACGTTTCATTCAAGGTGGTATAGAAATTGTTCTTACCTGGCATATCTCAGACTTTGGATATGGCTCAGCCATACCCTTTCGCAAGGCCGCAGTATTAATCTCCAGAATGCCGCCATACGAAGCAACGAACTCGAGGTTGCGCAGAATTTTATTCCAAACACTTGTCATCGACTGCCACTCAACATTAGAATCAGAGCTCAGAAGCCTGATTAGGTCGAAATGGCCAACAACTGGAGGGCGTAGGCCTTGTAACATTTCATACTGCTCGTCGTAATACTGTGCGAACAGTTTCTCCTCCGATCCCACCAAGTTTCGAGCACGAACATATCCTGCATGGTCATAGTCAATGGGCACGCCTTTAACATGATGGATAGAACCTATAAAGAAATCGAAAGGATACGTTTCTATAGACTTCTCGATCAGCTCGCGAGAACGAGGTCCGCACCAGTCGCTTTCAAAGCCAATAGGAAGAGCAATTCGACCTTCATATTTGGCCCGAAGCTCTTGTGCTTTGTTATAGTACCTTGCCTCATTCATGACCAGTGACTGCAGCGTCGTACCTGCCTCGATCTCTTCTGGATAGCGGTCTTCATCGTGTCGCGGCATGTGCTCAGTGAGAGCCAAGACTTTGAAATCTTTGGATATAGCAGTTTTGATGATGTCCTCCAAAGCATCCACAGCGTGTCCAGGGCAGAACTCGCCGGAATGGGAGTGATGGGAGTGAGGCATTCTGGTCTGTGCGCATATGCGCCCTCACTTCTGATGTATATTTGTTGAATACACCCAGACCATTTCGATCTACAGTACTATGCACAGAGCGATGTGGCAGGCAAGGGTTGGCATATGGAATCACAGTCAAGATTCAACTCATTTTTATTCGACAGAGTTGAAGGCGTGGAAAGCTTGAAGCATGTTGCCGCACGCTCTGTACCTATAACGTGGATGACCGGTTAGTAGCGAACTCGATGCTTGAGAATCAAATCCTTCACGACTTCAAGTTCTCACTTTATCCATTTTTTGTACTCAATCAGAATTACCATACATAACACAAGAAAATCTGCCTCTTGTCTTTTCCACGTTCAGCTACATTGTTTGTTGTTCTCGAGAACATTTTACCTATGCTTTGACGACATCCTCGGGTCGCAAGCCGTGTTCGGGAACAGAGAGCACGGATCCAGGACCTACATGCAGCTTATGAGGATTGCTTGATCGTGAATCCGGACATCGAAAGCGAATATCAGACCTCTGCTCACATTCGAGTTTGCTTCCGAGGTTCGAGTGGCTCGACACGCAGGCAGAGTTTTGCTGTGCAGAGCATGTCTTCGAGCAGTAACTTGATCGAATATCCTGACTGGATAGTCGCAGAATTTGTTGCCCAACTGAACCGAGCCTGCATGATAGACACCCTGCAAACGGCCTTGATTGGATTACCCTCGACGTGCTGGCATCTAACCGGCCATCAGATCGAATCTGTGCAGCTTTGTGCCCTGTATTGATTTCAGCAGAAAGGAAGCGACTTTTCGGACCTTGAGCCTCTAGCTAGCGATCAATTAATCTTCCTTGAAACCTCACTTTCAAACTCTTCAAAAACCCCCGCATTTACGGTTGTAGACACCAAAGACGTGAACGAGAAAGAGGTCTGGGTAAACGTAATCGACTTTGTGGTTATCAGCAACTTTCGGACGTTGGTCAAACACGGGATTCTGCCATCAGACAGCTTTTCGCCCTTCGGTTGACTCAACAACCATTGCTACTCCTTCAACGGCTAATCGGAGTGGATCGCAGAAGGTTTGTGAAGCTTTGAAATATTGCTGCAATTGTAATCACTTAGGGAGGTTATAAGAAACGTTAGCTTTTCTTGATGAAGTTCGACGTAGATGAGTCGAGTGTCTCTCGCACGAATCTTCTCCAATACCTTCGTCCCTGCCCACTTCCCGTGCCACTTCTTGAGGGTCTTGCTTCTCTAGCCTACTGACCATCTATCACGGCATCGAGAAAATTTTATTAAGAGGCTGCATGTTCAACCATTCGTGCCATTGTAGCCACCAACCTAAGGTGCATGGTAACGATATATGCTAATGGGTAGGCCTGTGTGCTAGAGTAGTTTAGTGCAGGTCAAGCTCCTGTTCCAAGCTTAGTTCTCGTGGTGTGACCGTGTGCTAGCCTTGTGCTATCTGTTTCAGTTTTGTACGCTCATCGATCTTGCTTGCAAATAGGTAAGCAGATTTTGTCCTACGATCTGCCGTGCGAAATAGTCTCTGTCAAATCATGATCCAACAAAGATCTTCGCCACTACTCAACCACGTTCTTTGTCCTCCTCAAAGGACTTTTCCAGATGGATTTGCTTGTCTGGAATCTCATCGGTGTTCGCAACGATGGGAGAGCACTCGAAGAGTGATGGGCATTTGTTTGCTCACTATGTGATAATGGTACAATCTATAGAGCAATCTGAAACTGTTCGGACTTGGGTTGTACCACATTCACGCCAGTTCGAGAGGTCTTGAAGCTTAGAAAAAGGAAAAAGGTCCCTTACTCCTTGCGTTGCGTACAAACAAGTGCTTACCTCCTGGCCTCGATTAGGCACAACCCTTGTGTTTTAACTCTACTAACCCAGTTCTGGCGAACTAGCTAACATTCTGGAACGTAAAGCAGTTCCGCGATTGGTTACTGTATAGCACCTCTCATCCAGTTGAATACGCGGGACCACCCAGATCCTTCTTCGCTGTTGACAGACTGGTGTAGCTTTCCTACCGGGCACATGCATGACGTGCATCGTATTGGTACAGTAGCAGGTCTCATCAGAGCTACAGAACGCTAATTGTGCATTATCGTTGCGTCCGATCCTTTTATTATATGACCAGACTACAATCAGCAATTCTCATTCCGTGTACTGTGGGTTGGAAATGAGAAAGGTTCGAACCAGAAAAGAAAGTCTTTCCCAAGAGACTATTGTCTATGGATAAACAGGCTAGCCAGTGATCTGCAACCTGGGAAGCGACGTTACTTCTCAACAGACTCGCAGAGAACCTTCTTGTCGTGCAGGGTATTTGGCATATGTATTGGAAGTAGGACAATGACAGGGATAATCCTTCAAGAACGGAAACACAGTTGTTACAACGTCCTTTGCTGCAAAACTGCTCGTACAAGTTCAGCACATCGACAGAGGACGCAGTTGCAGAAACACCACAGGAGTAAGGCTTAATGCTAGCAAACGACTACGATTTCACAATTCTCCAGAGTAGTATGGGAAATTAACATCACTTCGTTGAAGAAGCGCGTAATTTTGAATCTGTCAAGCACGAGGAAGGCACGGGCTAGAAGAGCACGAGGCGCCTTGGCGTGATCAATCAAATTGCTGATCAAAGGTTGACGAATGAGAAATCTCTTCGAACAGGTCGGTGGCTGGGGTTTAAATGCTTGGACGGTGCTGTGTGGACTGCCTCACTGCTGGTACCTGACTTTAGCCAGCAGAGCACCAGAGCCAGGGAGGGTCTCAGAGTCGGAAGCTAAGCGAGAAAGGGCCTGATGGGATCCTACAGTTCCACCAATACCGCACCATGAACGCACCAACAGTCTTGTCTTTCAGGGATCCAGAACTCCTAGCCACATTCGAGTTTCTGCAGACCCCAGATGCGGCGCTGTAGCACACCCACGTTTTCTCCTGGCTGTCGTGCTAGGTCAGCGTGTTATTGCATGCATTGGCAACACTCTCGTCCTCTGTTCCTCGCCATCGCCAGCACACATGAACATGTTCTCGACGGCCCGACAGGATACACGTTGAGCCTCATGCTTCGTCGACGTCGCCGTGGTCGCTGCCCCTCGTTTTGCTTTCAATAAGCCCCTTCCTTCACCAGACGTCCTTGCTCGGCAATCACGACTTTCAACCTTCATCAACGAGCTCAACCATTTTGCAAGCTTCGTGCTCGCGTTCATTCATTGGATTTTACGCCCACATAATACCTTTCAGACACTCCTTGTACAAACTTTGATCATTTCTATTGTGGTTTAGGGATCGGAACAACGACGGATTTGGCATATTGCGACACAACCACCCGAACAACTTTTCTGCTCATCTCCTTCTCTCGAACACAATAGCTGGCTGGTCCGCGCGTCAGAAGCACGGTACTGGATCGAGATTGGGAATTGCTGCCACATCAGAGTTGAAACGGCAGAACCAACATTGAGGATTTCCAGTACTTTTTGAGACTGTCCGTCTCGACCATTCTTTACATTCAACTGCGCCAATTCATTCGAAGATGAGAGTGTCTTTCGTTACAATTCTGTCTGGCCTCGCGGCATTTGCTCTCGCAGAAGCGATTCCGGCCCCACCTCCAGGTCAAGAGGCGAGACCACGCTATTATTTTCCAAGAGAAGTGAAGAGAAACGTCAGGAGACAGGATCAAGTCGTCGGTGGTAGCACCAATGGCACCGATACTTCACCGACAACCACAGTCGCTGCTTCTGCTTCCACAAGCCCAACCGATGGATTAGCAGATGCTCTATCGGATGCACTTGCAACATCGACCAGTGCAGCGACCAGTAACCCGCCTGCCAGTTCTGCTACTGACGGCACGACCCCGGCTGCGGATACCACTACTCCCGGCAGCACTTTAAACCTGGGTCTCACGTCTGCGGTGAACACCGCAGTAAATAGTCTTACCGACACGAACACCAATGTGGCCACGTCTACCGCTACCAACGCTCCAACCTCGGCAGATACAGCAAGCCCTGTAACTATAGATAGTCCTAGTGCGACTGGCACTTCAACTCCTACTGCCACAGACAATGCTAGCTCCTCATCAGCGAATCCCGCACCTACTGACAGTGCGACACCCTCACCTACTACAGTAGGACCCATAGCCACAGATACTGCTTCTGCGCAGACTACAGATGCCTCAATCGCTGCAACTCCATCACCAACGAACACTCAAGCAGAAGTGACACCCTCGCCGTCTGATACTGCGATCGCACAGACAGATTTGCCTACAACCTCTGCAGCTAGTATTGTGGGCTCTTTGACAAGTGAGATACTCGGGACTGATACAAGCAACACTGTGCCTTCTGCGACTCAAACTCAGCCATCAAACACGGAACAGTCAGTCGTGACCACTCCAGACCCAACAGCAGGTGTAACTGGACCATCAACTGCACCTACTGCGGCTCTAACCTCCAGTGGTGAAGTTGTCAATTCTTTGACCAGCGAAGTGCTTCCCTCAAATATACCATCGGACACAATCGTGACGCCACCAGCTTTGACTACGGATGTTCCCACTACTGCTGGTGATACCTTGAGCATCCCTACGGCCACAACCGATGCCAGTGTCGTGACGCCCCCAGCCTTAACTACGGACACCCCTATCACCACGGATGCTCCTGTTAGTGCCAGCAATACCTTGAGCGCACCCACTGCTAGTGGTGACTCGAGTATTGTGACTCCTCCACCCGTCTCGGATAACCCTACCACCGCGAGCACTGGAGGACCTACGAATACCAATACTGCTCCACTGACCCCTACAGAAACCAATACCCAAGCCCCAACCAATACTGATACTACCAACATCCAGTCAGATATTAACTCCAGTACGGGTGTTCCTACCAATACCGCTACAGACGTCCCTACAAGCACGAACACTGACATTCAAAGTCCAACAAACACCAATACCGTGGTGCCAACGGACACTGCTACCAACACCCAAAACTCAGTAGATACGAGCACGAACACGAATACTGCACTGCCCACAGGTACGGACACGAGTACTGCTGGTCCGACCAACTCCAATACAAACACTGCTATCCCTACCGATGCAACCACCAATACTGCCACGCCCACTGATAACAGCAGCATCAATACCGACACTGTGACTCCTACCAACACAGCGGTGCCCACAAGCAGCAATACGAATACTGTACCTACGAACACCGACGGCAGCGCCACAGTCTTGAGTCCTCCCACTAATACAAATACTGCAACCAGCTCTTCGGGAACAGCACCTGGCAGTAGTGCGGCAAGTACCACGGCCAGCGACGCCCTGACTGAGCCATCGTCTAGTGCTTCTGTTTCAGCCACAGGTACACCAACCTCGTCAGACACAGATGCGGCCTCAAGCATAGTCGTGCCTACCAGCAGCGAGGTTACGACGACTGCACCTCAAACCATCAAACCCACGGCTACAAATACCAACACGGCTATGTCATCCGATTCTGTTATTGTCACTGCAACCTCTACCACGCCGTCTAGTGGAGCTCCTTCCAGCACTTCTTCTCTCATGCCGTCTTCTCTTCCCCGGATCATTCAGCCGCAAGGTGGTGTGCCATCGAAGCCTGACAATGGCACGCTCATCCAGCTTGGATTCACGTACGGGCTTAACTATCCCTTTGTCGTCTCCAATGCATGGGCCATGCAACAGATCTTCGACTTTTTGCCCCCGGGTGTTGGTGATGGTGTTGGTATCGACAAAGCGGAAGTGGTTATGCAATACCTCCAGCCATACAACACGTTGTCGCGCAATGGGTATATCACTACTCTGGCAATGGCTTACATACCTAATGATTCTGTAAATCCACTCTCCTTGGCGTTGCTCAATCCCAAGTCGGATCTCTACTCGAACAAGAACCCTACTGTCAAGACTCTCATGAGCATGCTCGACCCTTCGATACCATTGTTGGCTGGTCAATCCATTGGCGATGGCAATCCGATCAATTCGAACACTGCAACGACAACTGGAAGCACAGGAGGTAGCGAGGGTGGCGCTGCAGGAACAGAAGGTGCCGCCTCCGATTCATCTGTGAAACCATCGTCTATTGGGATTGGGTTGGGTGTAGTGGGTGGTGCCGCAGTCTATGGTATCGCAATGTTTATGGTTGCCAAGCGCTACAAAAAGCGAAAGAATGCTCACAGGAGAGCTAGCAGCATTCAATCTGGTAGCACTGGCAGCACTGCAAGTGGCCCAGCCGAGCACAACACTTTGATGACTGGAGCACGAACCAGCTATGGCAGTAGACAGCCTGGTGCACACAACAATGCTGGCCGCGATTCTAGAAATAGCGATCGAAGTGGGCAGTCCGGAAGGACGTACATCTCGCCACCTGTCATGGCAGAGAACAGTCTCGGTTGGAACTAGATAAATCGAGAGAATCGCTGTTGACACCCGATGCCCTCATACTCAGAGGCACTGTTCGAACTGTGCTTCTAGCTCCAAGTTGGGCAGGATACTAAGGAGGCACGGGAGATTTTGACCTTTCTATTCCCTTATTATTTGGACACTACTTGTGATTGCAGCTCAAGAGTGAGGAAGAAGACACTTGTGGAGATGTACTCAGTATATAGACGAAGCAGCGAGAATTTGTATAGAGATGTTGTTGAAGTGATTCTGAAAGAGTTTTTACTCTGTTGCCATGTATGAGCTTAGGCGTGATGATCACTGTCACGCGTGACTCATTGTGCTACCGCAGCTAAAGCGTATACTACAGACACGTCCAGAGTCTTGGTAGGTAAAAGCGTCTTCTACCTTCTATGGGTGGGTTGGTAAGACTCAAGGACCAGCTCGTGTCTAATGAACCATATTACATGTTGGACTAGTCTTCCGTCCGCTTTTCTATCTATTTGTCTAATTGAGTAATTCTACTGGACTATCCTTCTACGCGCGATACACCTTCATTCAACATACTGACGCGACCACAGTTATATATCAATACAATTGCCTAAGTCTACTCTTTCCGAACCTCGTATTTTCTGTCCTATTACGGGCATTTTGTACATGCAAGGGCACAATGGAGATCTAGCCCATACTCTTTGCTAAATGCCGAAGTCGCAGTTTTCTCCTTGAGCACGTCATTCCGCCAAATCTTACCGAGCCATTGCCCCAGAATCCACCAGCACAACCTTTGGACCTTTTAGAGCACTTCCAATTCATTTTAGCATTCATTGTACCTGAAGCTGTTGCGCTGCAGTCCTACGAGTCTCCAATTGAGCTTCGTTTGTTCATATGTGCCTCAGCATTCTGATATCGAAATTACAAGTCGTCGAACTTGTTCCTCCACCTTGAACAGCTCCTAAAAACCAGACACACGACTCATCATGTCTGGAGCCAGCTCTTCTTCCACACCGCCAAACGGTGTGTTGCAAAACCCAAAACTCAGTGCTTTAGGCAAAGCATTTTCACAAATTGACCTCGATGGTCACGATATGCCTCCGTCACCCGCACCGTCTAGCCCACGGCCTGGAAAGCAGTACTCCATTGCTACGCAGCTTGTCTATTCCGAGGGCAACGATCAGTACAATGCTAGCAGCGTGCCGATCTATCAGGCATGTCAGGAGACACAAAGTCGATGAACAAGTACTGATTTTTCATAGTCTGCCACGTTCAAGCAAACCTCAGCGACTGGTGGCGTGTCCAACGAATATGACTATACTCGTAGTGGCAACCCTACCAGAACCCACCTCGAGAAGCATCTAGCTAAGATTATGCGAGCAAAAAGAGCTTTGGTTGTGTCATCGGGTATGGGTGCTTTGGATGTGATTACCAGACAGCTCAAGCCAGGCGACGAGGTTGTTACAGGAGATGACTTGTACGGTGGTTCACACCGTTTGTTGAAATACCTCTCTACATATGGCGGAATAGCTGTTCACCACGTTGATACGACCGACAACGCAGCTGTACAAAAGGTTATAACTCCAAAGACAGCTATGGTTCTTCTCGAGACACCCACAAATCCTCTTATCAAGATTGTCGACATACCATCAATTGCGACGCTTGCCCACGAAGCGAACCCGCAATGCATAGTGAGTGTGGACAACACCATGCTGTCTCCACTATTGCAAAATCCTCTCGAACTAGGTGCGGATATTGTTTATGAGTCTGGCACAAAATACTTGTCTGGCCACCACGATCTTATGGCTGGTGTACTAGCCATTAACGACGAAGCCTTAGGAGAAAAGCTGTTTTTCACAATTAATGCTTCGGGCTGCGGACTAGCACCATTCGATTGCTGGCTGCTAATGAGGGGCATAAAAACGCTGAAGGTGCGTATGGATGCACAACAAGCGAATGCAATGAAGATTGCGAAATTCCTGGAGTCAGCAGGCTTCAAAGTGCGCTATCCAGGCCTCAAGTCACACCCACAGTACGAATTGCACAACTCGATGGCACGAGGACCTGGTGCAGTCCTCTCTTTCGAGACAGGAGATATTCTGTTGTCAGAAAGAATCGTCGAAACCGCGAAACTGTGGGCCATTTCTGTCTCATTCGGCTGTGTAAACAGCTTGATCAGCATGCCTTGCCGCATGTCTCACGCAAGCATCGATGCGAAGACGAGAGCGGAGCGAGGCGTACCTGAAGATCTCATTCGATTATGTGTAGGTATTGAGGACGGGGATGATCTCCTGGATGACCTCAGGAGTGCGCTCGTGCAAGCAGGGGCTATGAACGTCACTCTTGATGGCATTGAAGCCAGGAACCGAACGCTCGAGCAGGAAGACCCTCCGGAGGGAGAGATAATCGCTGCTCATGCTGCAGCAGCAAACGAGCCATGACGAATCAGTGGTTTGCAAAGCTCAACTGTATCTGGTCAGGAGTGGATGAATATGCGGTCGGCAAGCAATTTCGTCTTATCACATTCTAGCTACACATCAGGTCTCAAGTTGTTGGGGTTGTAGAATGAGGCATGTCTATATCTCAGGGGTACAAGAGGGTACCATGACACACGAATGTAACTCGTGTTAAACCCGTTATACCACGTGCAGGGAGGCTATGGTTCCGTATGCCTTCAAGTTGTTAAGACCCAGTAAAACTACTGCCATGACTCTCGATCTCTTCTACCTGCGGAAGCCCTGACATTGTGTGAACGTATAAAGCTTGCTATATTGAAATCATCGAAAATGTGGCGAAAATATGCACACACGCATAACAAGGCGGGCCTGGTGGCGCAATGGTAGCGCGTAGCTCTCCTATTGGAGATGTTCCTCATGCCTAGAGAACAGGCAGTAATACGTATAAGCTGAGGCTGTGGGGTTCGTATTCGACATATAGGTGGTTTAGAGTGAAGTTCTAACAAGCAAATAGTTCGAGTCCCACCTAGGTCGACTTTTTTGGGGGCATTGGGGTTGCTCTTGGGTCCGCACTCGTTGTACTGTGTATTTTTTGTCTTCACCTCGTCAAGAAGCATCGGAACATTTTTCCGAGCATGCTTCAGGGTGATGCGCGTCACCAAAGCCAAGCGAATCACAGATCTCGGGATTATGGATTTCGAGGATCTTTACAATCCTTGTGAAGCCATGTTATTTTGACATCACGAATCCCGTTCTTCGCCCTTAGATCAGCATACATTCCAATACGTGGTGCTCACGTTTGTCAAGATTGCTTCAAGAAGATGGGCTAGAAAATTCTTTAGGTATTCGGTCGTCATGAGTACGTCAATATCTAGCGAGCCGGTCATGGGTATATGTTCACATCGTGGCTACCTCAGGATGGTCAAGTACTTACAACACTTTGTTTGTATCAACACCATATTGAGAAGAAGTAGGTAAACATGGCACAAAAGATATTGCAAACAGGCCTTTCGGCGGGCATGTCAGCCGTCTCTGGCTTCCATTCGTCGAAACCTCATAAGATCTCCGAAGACTATGATGGCCTCCAGCATGTATTGCCCGACAGCTTCAAGCCGTCTCTGGAAAGCCGCTACACTTTACGCGGCCGCAATGGACAAGATGTTCATGTCCCGCTGATATCCTGGGGAGCTTGGTCGTGGGGTGACACCAGCACGTTTCACTGGTCTGACGATGAATTACCAGCTTTGCGCCAAGCATGGCAGAGATGCATCGAGACGGGCATGACATTCGTCGACACCGCTCAAGTCTACGGAAGTGGAAAGAGCGAGGAAATTCTAGGTGATTTGATCAACAACCACAGCTCTGGAATTGACCGCTCGAAGATATTTGTCCAGACGAAGTGGTTGCCAAATGTCACTGATCAGGCGACAAATGCTCTTCACCCCGTCGATGCACCAGTCAAAGAACTCCGAAACACCCTAGATCGCATGAGACTACAGTACGTGGACAGCTACATGGTCCACGGCCCAATCCACCTCAGCTCCATCAAACAAGTCGCTAAGGGTCTAGCGAAATGTGTCGAAGACGGGATGACCAAAGCAGTTGGTGTAGCAAACTACTCAGTCGACGACATGTTGAAGATGAAAGAAGCCCTAGCCGAGTACGGCATCCCACTAGCCACGAATCAATGCGAATTCTCGATCTTACGCCGCCTACCAGAAACGGAAGGTATGCTCGAAGCATGCAGGAAGAACGACATTGTTTTCCAGGCATATTCCTCCATCGCTCAGGGCCGTCTCTCAGGTAAATACGATATTGACAACCCTCCGCCAAAGGAGTACCGATTCAGTAGCTACGACATGAAACATGTTCAGCCTGCGATCGATGAATTGAGGCTCTTGGGCCAGAAGTACGGTGTTAGTGCGGCATCTGTAGCGATCAACTGGGTTATTTGCAAGGGCGCGCTGCCTGTTGTAGGTATGAGGAAGGAGAGTCAAGCGCAGGAGGACATAGCGGCGTTGGGATGGAGGTTGACGAACGAGGAGATTGCCAAGTTGGATAGTCTTGGGTTTGAGGGTAAGACGACGAAGTTGTGGCAGCAGGGCTGAGCGTACCAATGTGTGTTCCGTGATGTTGCTGGCTAGCGCTATGTTGTACAAAATCTGATACCATTAATTGACTTCATCTCTACTCGTTTTCAGAAATAGTTTACAAGAGACGTATAGCAAGTGCTCTAAACTCCTAGAGAGTCACGGGCCGTGCTGGCATTGCTCTCAAAACATTGAGTTTCGATCATGCAATCTTGGGGATAGTTTTGCCCTGGATGTTCAGTTGGCGTATGGCTTGCGTTCATGATGTCAGATATGTGGTGTTGAGAATTGATTGTGTACGAAGTGTTTCTGTTCGTTTCATTTGTCACTATACCTCTCCGTCCCATCAGTTGATAAGATAGTTCCTACAATCGTGCCTGGAGCTTTTCCACGGTATCTCCTAAGGCATACTCCTCCTTGAACTTCTTACTCCGAACCTTCTCGCCATCAGCAGGCGTAACATATCTCGCCTCAACTGCTGGGTTATACCCAAGACCACTGCTCTTACTGATCTCCTCAGCACTCATCGGAGCATCAGTGTTTCTCCTGCCATCAGCTCTCTTGTACACGTTGATAACAACAGCACCACCCAAACCAAGGTTATGCTGCAATGCAACGTCGGCATCCTTCGCAAGCCGACCATTCACACACCACCCTCTCAATTGCCATATCAACTCTGCGCATTGGGCAAGGCCTGTTGCGCCTAATGGGTGGCCCTTGCTAATCAGTCCACCTGATGGGTTGATGATGGGGCCCTTTCCACCATATGTTATGTCTCCTCTCCTCACCATCTCGTGTGCTTTACCCGGCTCGCTGAACCCTAATCCGTCGAGGAGAATGAGCTCGTTCGTGCTGAAGCAATCGTGTAGTTCGCATACTTTGATGTGTTTAGGTGTAACTCCTGCCTCTTGCATGGCTGCCTTGGCTGCTCGCTTGGTCATGTCAAAGCCGACAAGATCCATCGCACTTTTGGAATATAGTTGTGGAGAATCTGTCATAAGCTGTTGTCCTGCGATCAGGATCGCCTTACTCTTCAAGTGTGGTCGGGCATCGAGGAAGGATTGTGAGACGATAACTGCTGCGCCTGCGCCATCGGAAGTAGGACTGCATTGCAGCTTTGTAAGAGGTGGGTGTATCATGGGGCTGTTTAATATTTCTTCCAGAGTATACTTTTGCTGAAATTGTGCGTACGGATTCCGTTGCGAGTGTTCGTGAGAGATGCGAGCAATTTCTGCGAAGTCTTCGGCTTTCGCACCATACCTAGATTTTGTAAGTTGATTGAAAGCGACACTTTTGGCAACTACTTACTTGTCCATATACTCTTTTCCAGCGTTGCCAAAATACTGGGCATTTCTTGGAGTATCGTGCTTTCCTGCAGTCTCTTCCATCATGGCAGTTGACAATCCCATAGGGCTAGGTCTGTCACTCCAAACACTCTTGATGCTACCTGGACTCATTTGCTCGAAACCGATGACAAGGACACAATCGACTGCACCATTCCTGACCAACGTCCGAGCCATGTGTAGACCAGTTGAGCCCGTTGCACAAGCATTATTTGTGTTGTAGATTGGAATGGTGCTCATGCCGAACTGGTAGAAAATGCGCTGTCCGCTTGTTGTATCGCCATAACAGTAACATGCAATACCAGTCTCGACATCGTCGTAAGTGATGCCAGCATCCAGCATAGCCTTGACTCCTGCCTCATAACCAAGTTCTGGATATTCACGTGTTCGGCGTGGCTTTAGAAATTTGGTAAGGCCAACACCTACCACGTAGGCTGGGGTTGTTCCTCGTGGCGCCATGTTTCTTAGACCACTGTACAAGTCTTGAACTGATACGATAGAACTGCGTGAAGTTGTTTCGAGCCAACAAACGACCTCAATACAGTATCGAGCCTTTGTAGCGTATTCGGCAAGGGAGTTGTCGAGGTCGCATCGCTGCTTTGAGAATCTCCGCAGCTGATTGAGCATGGAGCCGAGGTCTGGGGCTGCATCGGAGAATCTTCACCCAAATTCCGACTTCGTTTTTGTTCCAATGGAATTGCAACTGTGCAATGGTTTGCTGAGAACACAAGTGCTTTTCAAACCATATAGATTAGAAAAGAGTCTTGTTCAATACATCGGTGTTAAAACACGATCCCAGAATCAGTGGAGGTTTTGCATCAGACACGATATATCAATGCTAGGGGTTAGCAATTAGATGATACTACGATCATCCGTTCTCAACATGCTGAGAAGGCCAGTACTGTCTATCATCGTGAATTCTGGGGGACGCCAAGTTGCGAAGTGTAGGGGAAGGTCATTCCAGCAGTCTCGTGTTCAGTGCTTTCTGGTTGGTTATCTGTTCCTGATCCAGCTGTATATGCTTCTCGTTTGTTGCTCGTACACCGTGAGCTCACTTTCGCGTCGAAGTGCCTGGAGGAAAGCAGTGCAATAATAGAGAGCACGATTGCAATACATCATATGAGTGGCGACCAATCCCAGTGTCATTTCTTTCCAATCGCAGCCATGCCCTAGCAGTCCAGTTGTGAAGGACCAAGACTGTTGAGACAAGAGTCCTACGGACTCTCGGTGAAGTTCAAGACAGAATGTCAGAAGTATTCGACTGATGCCGGCTTTTATTTGTCTTGGAGAGATCGATTCTCATTCTGCTCCAACCTGGTCTTGTGATTACAACTCCGGTATAACTGCTGCTATACCTCAAGGTGTGATAGGACTCAACGCCTCCTCCACAGTAGTTGTCAATTTGTCATATGAACCCTGTCTTTGCAAGAGATGTGCTCGCTGTGATCTGAAGTCTGGAAAGTGGATGAGGAAGGAGGAACCGTTAGACAAACTGTGCAAAGTGTGATCGTAAATCTGAGTGAGGCACAGATTTCGCCTATACACAACTACGTACTCGAGTTCGAAATATCGAAGTTAAGTAGTAGACCATGTGGTGGATGGGACTTTCATTACGCGGGCATGAATTCTGAACACCGTGAGCAAGCTGGTCTGCGATAACGTGTTGCAACCCAGTAGCGTTGTGGCCCAATGACAAAATCTTGATCGACAGGGTTTGGTAGAGTCTCGTATTCGTGCATATAACGGTCATGGCAATGTGCCAAGCGAAGTACTTGTAGCTTCCAGCACTCAAGACGGATCATATTCGATAGGCCACGTCGTCACGCCTTCCACATCAGCCGTGATTCACGTGATATGACGCTAGTAACTATAATCAGAGCACCGGCCCAGACCTATCTCCGTCCAACTCAAGCTTATATCGAGAAGGTTTTCTCACGCGTTTACTCCGCAATGGGAGTGACGATTGGTAACACAAATGATTAGCCGATTGTGTAAGTAGATACGTTAATCCACTAATTCTTAGAATTCGCCTCCACAATAAGCCACAATCAGTAGCCACCACTATTGAACAGGTCCAACCATCGGGCACTTTGGCGGAGTGGTTAACGCGCTGCCCTGCTATCATCCAGAGTATTCTGGGTAAGCTGTTAGGCAGTCCCTTCGGGGGCGCAGGTTCGAATCCTGCAGGTGTCGTCCCTTATGCGATTTACCACGTTCTCTTTTTGCACATTTTTGCTATCTCTATCTCCCTCCCAGAACGTGGCCGATTCTGCTCTGACCGATTCGGTAAAGCTTAGGCTAGCTTGGCTGACTACGGACAGCTACAAGCATTGATTCTGCTATTTTGTGAGAAACAACTATTTCACCTTTTGGTCTACGAAGGACGTTGATGTAGTTCAACTCTAAGTAAGAACTGCCACGGCTTTATTGTCTTACAGTCAATCACGATCATTCAGCTACGGTCATATACGATTTCGGATGTCGCCCATCTAGATGAAATGGAAGACGTTTGTATGACTGCTGCATTACCTTCAAAGCAGATCTTCACATCCAGAGGGCTTAATCACGCCCCTGTGCCCCTGTGAAGGCTACAATCGTCACGTGAAGCACCTCACAATCTGCTTTCGAGTGCAGCACAAGTACCTGAAATCTGGGCCAAAAGGACCCACCTCAACGCTTATCTTGGCTTCCTTCTTGCTGAAACTACCAACCACCATTGTCATAATGCGGGACGCAGTGACCCCTATCACTCCAACAAGAAACGCAGGACGGAGAATCTAATTTGTAACCAGTGCATCAGAGCCGGTTACTGCCTAGGTGACCACACCCCCTTCTGTCGCGTTGCTCTCGCTCGGTGACTCAAGTTGCGATGAGCAGCATTCCCATCAGACTGAGACGGTATCAATACAATTCTGCCCAATATCATTGAGCATGATGCATCGAATCATGACGGCCATGAGGCAGGTAAGAAGTCGAATATTCAGTCGAGTCATACCCATTCGGTGCCAGCAAGTCATACCCTCCACCTATACTCCAAAGCATATCATCCTGACCCCAACCACTAAACGAATAGCCCGACAAGCCTGTTGGCGGTGCATCGTAAGACTCAGCGCTAAGCGTAGGATCAAAATGTTGACCAAGGTTGTATTCTGGACTTGAATGAATGCTCGGCGAAAGCAGAGTGCCTGAATCTGTTCGCAGGGCGCCAGGTCGAGGCAGGAGTGATCGATGTGAGACTCCGTTGGGCGCGTTCTTGCCCCATTGTTTGAGAAGTCTTTCGAAACCACTTGCCATGCTATAGACCATGTGGTTGGCGCCTGCTCGGCAGGCTCGGAGGGTCTGGATCATGCCTTCTATGAGAGGCTTGGTTTGTGTTTCTGGGTGAATGTTGACACCGATCGCCTGCCATTTGTGCGCGATCTTCATTAGGAAGACTGCAGCGAAAGCGACCATAGAATGTAGGTAAAGTGGTATGCCGACAAGTGCTTCTCGATAAGCTGGCTCATCCATTGTGAATTGAAGTATGAAGTGTGCTGCATCGATGGCTCGAGAGGCAAGTGGTCGTAGGCTGGTGGGTAGATTTTCAAGGTTCTCAAGAGGTCGACCACGAAGAGCCAATGAGTTCAACACAAGCTCGCTGAACCCATGATGGAGCATGACACCTTTGGCAGGATAATCACCGATGTATTTGTCGATTGATAGCGCATTACGCCAGTGATCTCGCCAGTGTCTCGTGTCGTCCGTAAACTTCATGTGGGTGAGCAGAGACGCATCATCACTACCCATCATTCTATCGGGCTCCAGACCAAAAATCTCGTAAGCTTTGCTCATTACCACGAACAAGCCAACCTGAGAGATCAGTCTGCGGTCAGAAGGAGTAGTCGATGTACTGTTTACGAACACATTATGCTCTTTGATTGGCAGTAGTTCAGCAGTCACTGGAGGTCGTCCATATGCGATACTGAAATGGTGGTCGAGCACATAGAGAAGGTACCAGACTCGCGCCTTCTCGATGTGTCTGTTTCTTTCTCCTTCCGAAAGTCCTGGGGCATAGAAAGCCTTGTAGAATGCATGGTGTAGATTCAACTCAGTTGCCATGCGAATACATAAGCCAGAGAGTTTCCAGCTCAAGTCTGGTTGCCAAAATGCTGCGATACATAGTCCTCGAATATCGTCAAGTGTATGGAATCGGTCAAACATCACAGTAGAAACAAGTTCGAGAAATTGCTTGTGGCAGATGGCGTGTATAGCTTCTTTGCCCGGAACGTGCAAGGCACTTACAAGCATAATTGCGGTAAACAAGACAGACGAAGACTCGCGGACAGCCTGAAGTGTAACGTCTTCAGGTATTGCTGTATTGAACAAGTAACGCGAAAGAGATCGTTTGAACCTAGTCAATGTTAGTATAGAATCTCTAATAATCTCAACCCTTACTTACAACTCAAGCAGTTCTTCAGCATCAGCTATCGAGAGCAGATTTTGCGATACCATATCTGCCTCCATTCTGCGCTTAGCATTGCGTTTCCTTGGATTGACGCGTCGAAGGCGAGTTCTCAGGCTATTGAGCTGAGTAGCTTCATACAGACTACCCATGGGAGCAGGTGCCAAGTCCTTCTCATCCTCGACTGGATCTCTCGAGTTTTCGCGAGTCGTTTGGTTTGTCTGAAACTCAGGAACAGATGGTTTCTGAGGTGGTGGTAATGGTGGCTCAATGGCAACTTCGTTTGCATATGACTCCAAATTCGGCATTTGCAGCTTGTGTAGAACTTCCTCGAGGGCTCTCTCGATTTTCTGTATTATTGGATGCGTGCCACTACACGACAGTCAGCATGATCTAAGGACACTTCTTCGAAAGAGTCAATACCCTTCTTCACCCTCTACAGCAATACGAAGCCTCCTCGCGTTGATACACTCTATACCTAGCCTTTGACATCTCGAGCAACCCGTCATGCCCCGCTCCCAAGCATCACATTTGACCTTGAGCTTCCGACATGCGACACAAGCTCGACCTTTACGTGATGGCTGCTGTTCTGCCGGCGAGGTTGCTTCAGACTCGAACTTTGCTCTTTTGTGCGGAGACTCGCCATCGTTGTTGCTCGTCGACTGTCTCTTCTTGTGTATCTTTGGGAGTCCATCGGTATGGTGAGGTGATATGGCGTCGTCCTCGCGAGGAGGTTGCTTGATGTCCATCACGTGTGCAACAAACACGACTTTGACAGCGGCAATCTCGGCGTTGATGCCGTGTCACATAGTACTCGAGTACAGAAACACGCGAAGCATATACTGATACGGCGGTGAAAGGGCGAAAGTCAATTACAATCCGAAAAGCACGCCTTCAATGCACGATGAATAGAATATCCCGCGCTCGAGACAATTTCCATGGGTCAGGATAGAGAGAGGCGGGGAAATTTGCCACTACAACAAGCTTCCCTCTCCGGACGCTTTTGTCCCAGATTGAGTCAAGCGGCTGAACTTTTAGGAATGATGCTGTTATGGTCTCTACAGAACATGGAATTGTTCAAGCAACCCTGCTTTTATGATTGCCATCCATACCTGGATGTGAAACGTCTCTACGTGTTTGAATCTAACACAAATCTTAGATCCATGACCGTGAGTGATTCGGTTGGTGATCAGTTGTACCGTACGCCACTCTTGATATCACCAAATACCGCTCGGTACATGTCCAAGAAGTAATTTACCCTCGGCTTCCAGTTGCCACTCTTGCCAGCTCGTGGAACTGCTCGCTTGGTCATCGCGCTGGTCACATACGTTGAGTTGAGCGGTAGCATCTGAACATTATCCTTCTCCATCTGCTTCTGCTGTTCAGCAGTGAGATACGGAGCGACAATCTTCTTGCCACCAGCTTCCATGTTGTTGATCATTCTCGTGAACAGGCGGGCGCTAGCATCGGCAGCCAGCGTCCAGGATGCATTTGCGTAGCCTATAACGTACCAGAGATTAGGCACATCCTGAAGCATACAGCCCTTCCAGAGAAATTTGTCAGCGAGGTCGACAGGTTTATCGTCGACGAGCAGCTGCGCACCACCACCGACTTGGATCTTGAGACCTGTTGCAGTGATGATAATGTCTGCTTTCACTTCTTCGCCAGATTCCATAATCAGACCATCCCCGGTTACTGTCTTAATCTTGCCTGTTTTGATCTCTGCTCTGCCTTCACGATATGCTTTGAAGTAGTCCCCACCTGGCGTGATACACATTCTCTGATCCCAAGGTTTATAGCTGGGCTTGAAATGTGGATCCATGTCGGTTCCTTCAGGTAGCTGTTGTGCTATTCCTTTCCTGAGCATTTTGCGAGCAGCTTCAGGGAACAAACGGCAGTAGTTATAGATGAGGAGTCCACCGAGAAGGTATTTGAACCTGATCAAGCGACGTGATATCCAGGTTGGCAGCTTGGCTTTTATCCAAGCGTCTGCAGGATCATTTTCGGGTAGGACGAGGAAATAGCCTGGACTTCTCTGAACCTGAGTGACCATCTTTGCATCTTTAGCGAGATTTGGGAGAAGAGTAACAGCTGTTGCACCACTGCCAATGATGATGACGTTCTTGTTCTTGTAATCGAGATCTTCGGGCCAGAATTGCGGATGGACTATCGTGCCTTTGAAATCCTCTAGGCCTGGAATCTTCGCTTCCAAGGGTTGCTTGTAGTCGTAGTAACCAGTACCCATTATCATATACTTACAATGATAAGTTAACTTCTCTCCTCTATGCTCAACGTCTAAAGTCCATCTCTGGTCTGAAGTGCTCCAGCTAAGTTTATGCACAAAGTGCTCATACTGGATTTTCTCGTCGATATGGTGTCTCTTAGCAGTGGACTCCAAATACGTCTTTATAGCATCAGCTTCAGCTATCGCCTGTGGTTGGTTCCATGGCTCCCATGAAAATCCGAAAGTGTGTAAGTCAGAGTCTGATCGGATACCAGGATACTTGAACAAACTCCAAGTTCCTCCAAGCTCTCGTCTACCCTCAAGGATAGTGTAAGAAAGGTTGGGACATCTGGTCTGTAAGTGATAGGCGCTGTTTATGCCAGATATGCCAGCACCAATGACCACGACATCGACGTCACGAACGAGGGGCTTCTCAGTAGCCATTGTATGCTTCGGTCGTCTGAGAGGACTTGAGCAAGAGAGTGGTAGTGTCGGTGAAGGAATCGTAGAGGGAATATATCAATGGACGTGAAAGGAAAATGATGAAACTTATGGAAGACGTCCGATAGCGAGTCGGTCGAACGACCATCCACTCATGGAACAGCAGTGACTCTGTGGAGTGTCCGGAGCACCTGTAATTGGAGAAGTTCAACCACAGAGTGGCTCGACTTTGCATATCGCCACAGGTATGATGAACAATACCGAGGCATCTCGAAATAGCTGTCGTGAATAGGATTATGCAAAATTCACCTCAGAAGACAACCAAGATTATGTAGTAGCATGAGTACTAAGGGCCAAATCCAACTACCGCGTTACGAAGAACCATCATCAGAGTACTTTAGATGGACAGCTCCTACCATATTTGGCTCGATAGCTCTTGCCATATTTGGAACAGAGCAACACCGTTGGCTAAGGGTCAGCTCTGGCTTTGCTGGACTACAATCTACGAAAGACACATTGACCACCCAGCCAGGTCTCATCTACACGTCCTTTGAGTAGTTGGTCTGCGTCCCATATCATGTCTACCACCGCAAAGTCGGCAAGTTTGCCTTTCTCCAATGTGCCCACACTATTATCAGCGAAACAGCTATATGCAGCCCCAAAAGACGCTGCGGACAGTGCCTGACCCAATTTGAGCTTGAATTCCTCGTTCATGGTCTCTGCTGACGTTTCCTCGCGCGCTGATCGTCTCGTGGTAGCAATGTATAGGTTTCGTAATGGCAGATGCAACGCAGTGGGTGCGTCAGTACCAATCGCTACGTGTGCACCACCGTCTGCAAATTCTTTGTAGGCGAATCCTCGTTTGTGTCTCTCTGGTCCGAGCAGCGTGCGCCAAGCTCGATTCAGGATTGGGTCAGCGTGGACAGGTTGGATTGAAGCTGTAATTCCTAGTTCACCGAGACGACGGGCATCATCTTGAGATGTCAGCTCGAGGTGCTCGATTCGGTGCCGTCGATCTCGTAGACGATTTTCACTGGCTGACGGCGCTAACGTGGAAAGTACGTCCACTGCAACCTTGACCGTCCGATCACCTATTGCATGTAAAGCACATTGTAGTCCGGCAGCGTCGGCGTGCTGGACAACGGGAAGCAGTTGCTCATATGACCAGATCGGATCCGCATTGGTGGAAGGTGTACAGTATGGTTCCAGAAGAGAAGCTGTACAGGCATCAACTACGCCATCGCCGATGACCTTGATTCCTGCGATGCGCAAATCTGGATTGGTATCAAGATTGTAGTCACTATGTAGCTCAATCGCGCGGTTGACTTGAGCTATGTTTTCGGCGGGTATCTTGGATGGTTTAATGAGCCAATGAGCAGCAATACGAATGTTGAGCTGTCCTTCTTTGTTTCGCAGCTCTGTCAGTAGGGACCAAATCTCCTCGTCGGTTGCCATCTCGACCATACCAGTATAGCCAGCGGTATTGTACGCCAATATGGCCTCACGAATTTGGGACAACTTCTCTTCGCGGCCAACAACCTTGGACAGATGTGGCCAAACTATTGAGACTGCAGCTGCCTCAGACAGTAGACCTGTGGCTTTGCCATTTTCGTTACGTAAAATCTCACCACCGTGTGGATTGGGCACGCCCTCAAGCTCCATGTCAGTCAGTGCAGCTGTATTGCACCATGCTGAATGCAGGTCTCTGCTGCTGATGAAGATAGGTCTCGGATCTAAATCGTCAATATCACTGGCGAGTGCCCTTCCTCCAGTCTGAAAATGCATCCATCCTTGCACGAAAAGTCGAAGAGCATGGGGCTGAGCAGCAGCACCGGTCTTGATAGTGCTGCGGATGTCTTCTAGATTCTTGCAATGCTCGATGTCAATGGCTGTTAATGAACTCCCGAAAAGTAGAATGTGCATGTGGCCATCAATGAAACCGGGAACAATCATTCGCCCACCGACATCGTGTTCGTGAACACCTACCTGACGTGCATGTTGCACTTCTGCATCTTCAGAGCCACCAATGTGCTCGATCAAGCCGTTGTCAACTAGAATGCAGGTGGCAGCAGGTTCGGGAGAGTCACCAAGGCCAGTGAAGATACGGGCATTGAGTAGAAGAGTTTTTGATGGCATGTTCGACCTTACTAGGTCTCGAGAACGGTTTGCAGATGCTGGTTCGCACACTCGCTTGGACCGCTTGCGCTAGGGTTAGGGTTCGCTGCAGCCCAGCCCGGAAATGACGTGCCAGGTTGCCAATTATCTTGGAGTGAACTATTCGCGATAATTGATTTCTGTTTACTCAGGTCAATCCGAGTCTACTCTTTCTACGTTCCGAAGCTCGAGATCCAAGATGAAGCACTCGATTTATAGATGTTCGAAAGCTGTCCGGATGCGTCCCCAGCATAGTTTTCCGAGCACAGTAGAGCTTCATATTGCAGAACTCGCAGAGCAGCTGGCCTATAACAGCAATCGAGCATTACTACCACAAAGACGACCTCTCTCCTTCACGTCAAGTGCTGCTAGAAACCGGGTACAACCATCCATTCGACGACCGGCCGATTTCCACACTCTTCTACAGTCTTCAGCGACATCGAATACCCTACTATTAACCCTCTTCAAAACCAATACGTGCCATTCCTGTAGTCAGATCACACCCCTTGTGGAATCCGTTGTCCAGAATCGTCAGCAGCCCTCGCCAGGCGATACCTATGGCTCGATAGCCTTCGCAGAGCTAGAACTGGACTCGCCCGAACGTGACGATGGAGGCGGTATTGGTTGGTCTACAATGTACGATGTTGGGATTGAGTACGGCGTGCGTAGCGTACCGACCTTGATCGGCTTCGGTGGCCGCAGAGCTGAAAGAGTGACTGATCGTCTATCCGACGAGAAGAAGTTGAGAGACAGACAATTCATGGAGAACTGGATCAATGAGCAGATGAGCAAGGGTGATCCGCATCCGAATGAGGGTCGTGGATTGTGGTCGAGAATATTCGGAGGAGGAAGCTGAAAATATACAACTTTATCCCACGAATGATGTGCACTTTGGCAAAGAGACACTCATCCACATGACTCAAGCAGAAGACATAACATTCACTACGGCCTCCCACCTTTGAAGTATGCAGACGATTCGACGCTGTGTATGAAAGACAAGGAGAAGATTTACTGCAGGGGTCAAACCTGCGTCCCTGAAGGGACTGCCTAACAGCTTACCCAGAATACTCTAGATGATAGCAGGGCAGCGCATTAACCACTCCGCTAATAACGTTCGAAACGATCCACATGAAATACTACATCGCGACTTAAACACCAGAGGTCATTGTCGCTGTTGGTCCAGCACATGATGAGTTCTAGAGGGTTACGTCGAGTCAAATTGGCATGATAGGACTTGATACACGATTATCAGACTAGTCCTCAGCCTGATACTTTGTGAAGACAGCACAGATGTGCAGCTGCTGGCGCCAATCGACTCATATAGTCATTGGTGTTAGTGCTCGCATAGTACTCTTCTAGCTGCAGCATATACTTGTTGCTATCGTCGAATGTCACTATTCTGGCTCACAAGACAGAGCATCATCATTATTATTTGGCCACGAAGTACAGACCGACGAGCACGCAGCTGGATGAGGATCATGTCGGTTTGTCATTCGGCTTCAGGCAGAACACTGTGGTCAGTTAAGAGCTGTGGCTCATCTTGCGCGTAAACTTTCTATTCAAGTTTTCGAGGCTGAGAACGAAGCTGGCGATGACTTTGTATATGAAATATGTTTGTGGTGGTGCTTGCAAGTCGTCACCGATGCCTGGGGTCATACTAGACTGCGAGAGCTTACGCACAAGGTCATTATAGAAACAGTCGTAGTAGTAGTAGCCAAAGCTTTTGTGAGGCTTTAATTGCTCCTCGTTCTTGAAGCAGTCCTATTCCAGGTGCGGCCCGAATCTTTTGGACTGATGTTCCAGTCCGTTATGGGTGGCGCTTAAACTTCGGCGAAAGTCTTGCTCGTCATGGATGAATTTCCAGAAGCAAAGTCAGAGCATGAACGTAAACACGAACCACACATCTGCATCAACTGTCATCTTAGGCACTGCCACAACAGAACCACACTCTGTCACAGATAACCCAGGAAACAATCCAAGTCGCGTAACAGACCAGCCGAAACATAATGTCTCGCAAACCACCAACCGATACTTTCACCCGATTCACGTCGACCACACCTTCCTTTTCCTCTTCACCTTCATTTAACTCCTCACCACCATCACTGAAACAAAACAAACCCACACCACGACCTTCGCAACCCTCACAGCCAGCACCAGCATCAGAAACTCCACAACAGCGCGTGGCCCGACTCCGCGCAGCCCATCTCGCCAAACGAGCCGCAGAACTAAGCACATCAGACCGCATATTAGCTCGCGGACGAAGAGTAGCAGACGTCCTTCACAGAGGGACAACATACACACTCCTCGGTTTCTCCGCTGTCGCCTCGGTAGTCGCAGCCTACGGCCTCATCTCCCTAATATCCCACAACCGAACACAAAAACGTGCATGGATAGAGCGTGAGATGGACAGGTTGGAGGCTGCTCGCAGTGCGTTTTTGGCTGGCACCGCAGACGCTGAACAACTACATTTACTGGAGCAGGAACGTGCAGGCGAGGAATTGAAGCAGAATTATCAAAAGGAGAAACAGCGACGGAAAGAGGAGGGGTATTTCATGAGTGTCAAGAATATGTTTCGCTCGAGTGCGGCGGCGGGAGATATGGGTGCCGAGCCGACGCAGCAGACGCTGGCGGAGAGGGGCCAAAGCTTGCGAGAGAGCGAAAGACGGTTCCAGGAGGATCAAGCCAAGGCGCAGCAGAACCAGAGGTTTACAAGGGGAGATACTGAGGTTGAGCTTCAACGTGCTGCGGTTTCAGGAAGCTCGATACCCGGTGTTGGGCTGGATGAGAAGGGGAGGCCTGTACCGTTGAACAAGATGCAGCAGGTACCTGTTAAGCAGTCGCCGATAGTGGATGCTATACAGGGACAGGGGCAGGTAAGACGGCCAGGCCAGCTCGATATGCTGGCTGATAACATTTCGAGTTCTGGTTCGAGTTTGTGGTACTCATTGTTCGGAGGATCCAGGTCGTAATATAGATGGACACGGATGCAGATAATACGATTCTTTGTACATTAAAATCCGACAAAAGTTGGCCATATATATAGGAGCGCTGTGCCACGAGCCATGCAGAATAACAATGTCCGTAGACTGTATGAAAAGTTTACTGCTTCTGGGTCGTACAGAACTGCGTTGTGAGTCGTCCATAGAAACGGCTACAGCATGGCTGAGGAGCTTACTTTATTCTTGAGGATCGACAAAGACAAAAAGAATTGATAGCCTTGCTTCCAAGCATCACGAGAATGTTCTCAGATTCAATCAGTAATGCTCAGACCTAGTTTAGCACAGTTTTGCTCTGTTACCAGTCTCGAGTACTATACTCAACGAAATAGCTATGCTGTAACATATCGCAAATGCATAAAACCCAAACCAAAACCGTCTCAGTAGCACACGCTATACCTCTTTCCCATCTCAAACGCCCGTCATAAAATCGCTTGCCGTCCAAATGAGCACATTGCTACCAAAATCAGAGTTGTTACGACCACATAATGTGACTATAGTGGCCAGGAACTCTGGCAATACACTTGTCGCAATCCGATTTAAATCCCATGTGCAACTTCGCCGTCCGTCCGTTGCTTTGCTGATTTTCATTGTAGTGACCCATTCCGCCCGTAGAGACCGGCCTTTGCAGATCTGTGATGGTGCTCATGCGAAAGCTGTCTGACCGGATGAAAGCGTTGTAATTGGAAATACTCCCATCGAACCCGAGGCCTCTAGTCCTTGGACTGACGTTGGAGCTGTGAGGAGACCAGTTCTTACCTGGCGAGGAGTCGATGGTGGGGAGGTCGTTGAGATTGTCTTGAGAATGTACTGACAGATTTGTGAAGGAGCTGCTCATTTGCGAGTCGTCTACACCTGCCATGGCTGAATCTTCGTCGAAAGGTTCGTCGAGTTCTGGTGCCGGGCTGGGTGGACGTTGGACTGGAGGTGTCCAGGATTCTGCGTCCATCATGGGGCTAAGTATGGTAGAGTGTTGAAGGACGTGGGGTCTTAATTGTCGTGCTGCGGCAGAAGCGAAAGACGATTCGAATGGACTACGTCCTGGGAAGGATGATGCGACTGGTGTAGGAAGGCGGTCGCGAGCAAAGTTGCTTGTTGTAGGGCTCGCAAATTGTGTGCCGGTTGCTGGAGATCTCATAGGAGACATGAGGTCGTTGGATCGGGCCCTACCGATTCTGATCGGTGTTGGCGGTAGATGTGTCGTTTGCTTAGGTGAATTTATATCCATCGCTGTAACTGCTAGGCTCGACATGTCTGGATTCGTCGTGATACGCAATGCTGATTTGTCAAAGTTCTGTAGTCTACCAGTAGGAAACTGGTGACGCTGCTCGTCTCGACTGCGATAACCATAATCCTCTGGTATGCTATCCGGCGTCAAAGTTCCTGGTATGCTGCCAAATTGTTCGAAAGCTGGTGTCACAGCAATTGACGGTCTGGTTGGCGATCTTATCGGCAACTGTCTTAGATTCGGTTTTTTTGATACAAATAGGTCATGTTCTATCATTAAATCGTCGTCTTCATAATGTCGTTTTCTTTTGAGTTCGAAGCTGAATGCTTCGCTTAAGCTGCCTGCAGCCATGTTCGCGTCGCCTGATGTGCGTTGAGACAAAACCGAAAGGATGCTTCTTGAGCGCACAGCGTGCAGTACCTTTCACTTTGAAAGACAAGGAAGACAATGGACAGAGCCGCATACCGCGCCTGCTGGTTTAAGGTTGATGAAACATTGGGCGCGTAGAAGTTTGTTCTTTCTAAGAAGCGAAGTGATGAGACGTTTCAGATACAACCACGTTACGGCACTATGAGTGACGATGACGATCCGTCACTCGATGCAGTGATCCGAGAACGACATATTGATGTGAGTAGAGTTGAAAGTGAAGTGATTGAGCAGGAGCAAAAACGGACTCATCTTCGCCCCTCGTAAAGTTGAATGTTCACGTGATACACGTCGAAGCACGCGTCTCGGGCTTGAAGGTTACAACTACTGGCACTGCTCCTACACGGTACAGTCGTAGAACTGACCTTAATATGGTACACTAGACATTGGCAGCCGATGATGCACGACTAGGTTGCGCGCACTGCTCTTCATGTCGCGGAGTCGACTGGCAGTCTACTGATTTCACCCCAATTTACATCGGTTGCTTGGTGAACTGGAAGTGCACTTACTGTATCGAATACATGCCTCGCTCGAAGCAAGCTCTATGGTCGATATCGTTACTTGTGCGAGTGCAAGAAGAAGTCGTCGCGAATTGTAGGCAGCTACGATCTCAAGTACGCACTTTGAGACACGCAAGGTAGTCACTCACTTTGTACCAGAAGATCCTGATACGACTCGTGGATATCAGTGTGTCTTCGCATGATAGCGCACTCAAGAACGTGTTCGATCTGTCAAGTGACCTGAGAAGAAGCCCTCAGGCATATTCCGAGATCTCGAACCAACAGTTCAGCACATGCCCTCAGAGTTTCGAGTCCGCCACAGAGGCAGACCAGAATTCCAAAAACTGGTCGATCTTGCATGAGAAGCACTCCATCCTTTGCTAATCGATCGTGCATCTGACCAATAAGAAGGACATTGATTGTCCATGTCAGCTTCCAGACTCCCTCATCCCCGCACAAACATGAACGTCCCCGCAAACTTTGAAGCTTTCACACGAACTGAACATCTTGCAGAGGGAAGTATTGGTTGGAAGCCCCGAACTTTACAACGGTGGTATGGATCATCCACCTGGAACCATATACAGAGTCCACGATATTCAGTATGGAGGCCTCAGCACGGTCTAAGCTCAGAAGTATGAGCGAGGAGAAACATAAAGCTCTTGTCGTGGCCACGCCCTGTTCTGTCCACCTCCGCTAGGACTACTGAGAGACACCATTTCTGATTGGGACTTACAGCATTTCGAAGCAGATTGTCAGTATGTCGAACCTTCACAATCCTCATACTGGAGAGGCAGCAAGTGGCACTGTCAAGGCCAATGGCGAGAATCAGCCAGCGCCTGGCACGTACGTCAAATGGTGAGTCTAGTTAATCTGTGCTTTCGCTGGTGACTGACGCATCATGATAGGGACGCTGAAGGTGTCGAGTACTATCAGAAAGGCGAGCAGGAAAAGATCCATGAAGTCTCGGCTCAGTTCAACCGCTTTCAAATGATGAACTTCAATGAACACCATCATTGCTTGAGAGGTACTCACCTCAAGACACAAGGCGTATGTGTAGCTTCAACTATCGCACAAACATCTGCTAACTCTCGCAGTGTGTTGTTGGCAAGTTCATTGTCCACGACAACCTGCCCGAATACCTTGCTCAGGGCATGTTCAAACAACCAGGAACCTACGATGTCATCATGCGATATTCCTCCTTGACACCCAAGATCCTTCCCGACAATCTCGCAGCTCCTCGAGGCATTGGTATGAAGATCTTTGGAGTTGAGGGCGAAAAGATCTGGGGAGAAGACAAGAAGACTCAAGACTGGACATTCAACAACTACTCCGTCCTCGAGCTTAGAGATCCACAGACTACCTACGAGATTGCGGACTCGCTAGAGCGCAACTGGAACGACCTCCCAACTTTCGCGAAAGAGCAGGGGGAGAGAGTGGACGCCGATGTAGCCACGTTGGGTGGCCAGTTGCCCCGCCAGTACAGTATGTGACTTTGTAACGTCGATTTCAAACCACACTAACAGATGCATAGTGGTCGCCATGCCAGAATACTCCCAATCAGCCTACCGTCACGGTGACTACGTTGCAAAGTACGGCGTCTTCCCATTGGGTGAGGCCCAGAAGAAGATTCAAGATCAGGTTGTGAGGGATGACGACCCAGTCAACATCATTTCCCAGCATACCCGACAATTCCATATGAACAACAAGGTCACCTACAGCTTCTGCGCCCAGATGCTTCAGGATCTCAAGGAGCAGTCTGTGGAAGACATTGGCATCGAATGGGATGAGAAGAAGTATCCGTTTGAGCAGATTGCCACCATCGAGTTCGAGCCACAGGACAGCTGGCTACCAGAATTCAGAGTCTGGTGGGATGATAGAATCACTGTCAACTCATGGCATGGATTGAAGGAACACAAACCGCTGGGAAGCACGAACCGTCTGCGACGCGTGGTGTATGCTGAGAGCAGGAAGCTCAGACTCAGGGTCAATGGTTTCAAGGACTACGTCGAGCCGGCGAATCTGCACGACGTGCCTGCTCCTCTACCTGCACCACAGTTAGCGCTACCACACCAGCCTGCCTTGCAGACTGTAGAGGTACGATGAGACCAGAGCTGAGAAGATGAATATGTACAGTCAGATAGCAGCCAATTTGTAGTATAGATGACTTATCAACACGCAGCTACTGAGATTTCCATCTAGATCTTCGATATGCCACCTGCTTGCCGTGCCTGTTGTTTCGCTTGTTCTCTCAAAACCCGCTTCAGTATTTTACCAGATGGCAGTTTCGGAATTGCTTCAACAAACTCGACACCGCCTTCCAGTTGCTTATACCTTGCTACCTTTGTCTTCATATGTGCCATGACATCCTCCATTGTCAATCCCGAGCCTTCTCGCTTAACCACAAACGCTTTTGGCAGTTCAGTGCCATCTTCACCTCGGGTAGGCAGGCCAATAACAGCTGCGTCAACAATGTCAGGGTGTTCGCCAAGTGCACCTTCCAATTCTGCTGGAGCCACTTGGAACCCACGAACTTTGATGAGCTCCTTAAGTCGATCGACCACAAAGCAAAGCTTGAATTCCTCACCAGTTTCGGGGTCTTTATGCGGCCTCACCTCGATGATATCGCCTGAACGGAAGTAACCCTCTGCATCCCAGGACGCTGCGGTTGCTTCCTCGTTTTCGAAGTAGCCCTTTACAATTGTAGGTCCTTTCACACATAGCTCGCCTTTCCCACTTTCTGTCACGTCATTGCCACCCTCATCCACGAGTTTCGCCTGCAAACATGGCATTGGAACTCCTACGGAACCCCAAGCAGTATCGAGCTTTCCTTTCGTACATGCTCGAGCAATGGGGTCTGGAACTGTTGTATACATGGTTGTTGTCTCTGCAAAACACATTCTGGTAAGCTAAATTTTGCATTACGGGGCTCATGATACTGACCTGTCATTCCCCAGACTTGAGTGAAGGTTGCGCCCCTACCCAATAATTGTTGGAAACGTGCCTGCAAGTGGCCTGAACAAGGCGCTGCCCCGGTATAGCCATTGCGTATGGAGCGCAGACTACAGTCTTTTCTGTAGTTCTTGCTTTGTTCATCCGCAAATCCACTCGTCACAATAGCATTAATCATAGGTGGTACAGGAAAGATCTCGGTCAGTTTGTACTTTGCGTAGTACTGCAGGTATGGTATGAGGTCGAAACGGCGCATGACGTACCCTTGGCGTCCTTCACGAATAACACTGGTAAAGACGGAGGGAGCAATACCTACGTGGAAGAAGGGCATAACAAGTACACCCTTGTAAGGATAGTCGCGCGGATTCCGCTCCCAGAACAGCTGGTGCTGGGCTACCAGGTTGCGATGTGTTGTCATGGCACATTTCGGTAACCCTGTCGTGCCGCTGGTGAAGTACAGCTGGGCGACTGTGTCTCTCGACTTGGACAGATCATCGAAGTTGACCCAGTCTTGCTCGCCATAGTCGAGAAGTTTTCTCCAACTCTGCCGGCCCTCAGGCGGAGACGTGGTGCTGGACGTGTCAAGGATAAAGAGCTTCTGATCAACATCGATGTCGTTGGCTTTCAGGGCGTCAAGCATATTGGGCAGAATCTCGGGCTCTGCTAGCACGAACTTGGCTTTTGCAAGACGGATGCCATGGCCGAGCTCTGCACGAGTATAAGACGGGTTGGTACCAACAGAGCATCCACCAGCTCCAATGATCGCAAGGATAAGAAGTGGATACAGGATAGAATTGAAACTGTGTATGCAGACTGTGTCCCCTGTCTGCAGTCCGTTCGCTTTGAGTCCAGCAATAAGTTGGCGAACGAGCTTGCGTGAGGTGTTGTAGGTGTAATGCTCAGACGGGTCGGCTGGATTGATATACAGCTGCGGAGCTGTTAGTGTGGCCTCTCGATATAGTAATCTGAGTGTTTCGCTAGTACTGATACGTCTTTAATCTCTTTCAGCTAGTAACTATACTTACCGGTCTATCACGAGCGTATGGTGCAGCATTAAAGGTGAAGGATACAATGTCCTGGTTCGATATGGGATATTCGCCTGGGTCAGGGAAAGGCATAATTGGTAGATGGACTTCGCCTCAATGGTATGCGAAGGGACTAAGTACCTAGATTCGAAGCTGGTGAGATAGTTAAGTAGGATGGGCCACGAAAGCAGCAAGAACAGATTCAGTAAGAAGCAGATCAGTTCCGAGGTAAATTGTGAGCTATTGCTAAGTGCTTATAGAGTGAACCGTATTAAGTTGTTGCAGCCATGGTACAGATTAAAGCTTACTTCAGAAGACGAAGAACAATTCCGAAGCTCTGACAAGCTGTGGGCAGGAGTGCGATTCTTGGTCTTAGCAACCTTCTCTCGTTGCAATTGGCTGGCACTGGGCAGAATCTGCTCGTGAATGTATTGAAAGGTGCAGGGTGGCAGAAATACGTGTTAGCCGAGGGGAGACTCATTGTTGCCTTAGGCTACAGTGCTTGACACGCTATGGATCAGTCTTTACTCTATCCGAACTAGCTTGTCGCGGTAGATGCCGTCATATCCTGTAAACAATCCCGACGCGGACTGGCCTTTCCGCTTGCAACCATTCAGATTCTCAGCAAGGTGAATCGAACCAACGTTTCGTATTTTGTTTTGGAACGCTTTAGCTGCAGGACTGGATGGAGGATCAAACTGACACTCCCTCATAATGCCGCCTTTTGTTCGAAAGCAACCACTTGGAGAGCGCATCAAATCGGCCTTGAATGTGTACGACTTTTTACTGTCAGTTTCTGAGGGGATCGAGTCTTATGGCTGGGATCAGGTCGAAAAAGCCTGGGCAGCGCCTATAGGTGTTGCGTTCAATTTGATCTTCCTGATCTCAAGAGCAAATGTGGGAAAGAGATCGAACAGCTACGATGATGTGTTTGGGGAGAGTACAGGCAGTGGATGGGCTGCAAGCATAGTATGTGTGACCATCATTTATTCGATGTCTTGCTAACAGGAACACCAGGCGTGGTTCTTCGTCTATCTGCTGACCATGATATGCTTTCTCAACACCTTCTACACTTTCTTTCGCAAGCGCCATTATCGCCTGTTCGAAGCCCCGGTCGATGTGGTTCTCAGCACTCCATCAGCTCACAGAGTCAAACTGAACTCCTCCCCCATCTCCTCATCACCCTTACGATACCTCTCACAACTTCTTGGAAGTGAATCGGCCGAGTCAAGAGCGCATCCTAATGCACGTGAAGATGTGTGGGAAATTTCACTTTGGGATCCCTTACCAGTATCCTTGAGACTGTTTTGTTACTTCAGTCCTGGACATGTCATTCTGTATTGGATGTTCCTCCCGACTTCTCCGGCCAACCCAAGACCAAGCACTACAGTTGCAACAGCAATCCTATTAGCTCTCCTGCTATCCCTCCAGCTATCTTTCATGAGCTCCTGCTTTTCACAACAGAGCAAGGACAGCGCTCTGATATCGAAAGAGGTTATGAACGAGTACGACATCAAATTTGTGCGACCCAGAACAAGCCCGTTGTATAGAGACGTGGCTACACAATACACAGAAGACAATTCATACAGCCAGGCGAAAGAGGACAGATACAACAACGTGGTGGTGTTTCCGCCAGCGTTTATAATCAATAGAGGATTCAAGACAAATCCAAATCCGAGTTTCGTAAATCAGGCCGATGCAAGTAATGGACCTCAGCAGCAAACTACAACACCTGACTACAGAAGTCCAATTCCTCACAATAACCTTTCATCACCTATGCGACCACAAACTGCAATTAAGCAACCAGTCTTTCGACCGAATGCTGGGGGTGGTAGTCTTGGAGTTTATTCGCATGCCGCCTCTCCACTCAGAAAGAGTGCCTCTACTAATTTCTCGCCTGCCAAGGGACAGTATCTCAACGATGTGGCAAGAAATAGAGGCAGTCAAAGTCCAGACAAGCGAAAAAGCACCCCTGCTGGTGGCTTAGTGAACACGAATGTAGCCCGACAGCGATGGGGCCATCTCAAGCCGGATACCGCTCGACGGGAAACAGGCAATTTTTAATTCTTACCTTTTATTCGTCTACGAGATACCCATGTACAGATAGCAAGAAATCTAAAAGCTAGATCCTAAGATACCGAACCAAAAGTGGAAGGTACGATCGCCCAATGCTCTTACCAAGCTCTGACCATGTACATCCTCACCTTCAATGGCTGACCCAATATCAGCTTGGACCACATGTTGATACACACATTTCTTAGACTGTATAGCATAGCAACCAGTTCGACGCAATGAGCTTCTCAGGACGCAGGTCTTAGTCGGAGCAGCTCGTGAGCACCAGACCACGCAGCTCATGCTGGTTAGCACCACACAAAGTGACCGAAACCAGAACAGCTCAGTTACGTGATGGCAACGCCACACTCAAATTGCTGAATAGCCCTAGCATATTAGTACCAGAACCCACTACGCCCTCCAAGCATACGAGGCTCAGGAATTTCACCTCGAGATGCAGTTCTGCACCTAGTCACCTCAAAGCGAAACAACGTTCTGCTTCTTTTATAGACGACTTCAAGGTACCAGGTACAGATTCGGTTGGAGCCACACGAGAACTTCAGGCCACCACCCAGCGGCAATTAGATGGTGCAGGCAGTCTTCCATCCATCGCCGCAGTCCTCTCGAGTGCTAAAGATCGAGACAAAAGACGGACCATTGCTGAAACAGAGTTCTATGAGCACACAGACCAGGAAGGCATCACAAGGAGGCGGAGCATAATGCGTACTGTGGATAAAGATGATTGCTTGATGGTACGGGGAGCAAATCCTCGTACAGGGCTGATAACTCCAGACGCAGTCAGTATTGTAGGCTCCCTCGATAGCGGAACTGGTCGTGTCAAACATGACAAGGGTCCTTCAGCGCAATGGAAAATGGAAGGTGATCAATGGGTAAGTATTGTTCAGGCTGGGAAAATGGACAAATCGAGCAGACCTCAAACTGCCATGGGAGCAAGCGGCAACGACAATACACGACCGCCTATTGCTGGTCGTCAAAGAGCATGCCGGCGGCAGTTCAGCCCTCTAACTGAGGAGAACCTTGAGACATTGTCGACCATACAGGAGTCCTCCAGCAGTGGGACCCAGACGGCATTACCACCCACAAATATGGCGCCCAACGTCAGCAAGATTCGCAGAAAGCCTGTAGGCAGTCCTCGACAACTGGATCACAACCTGTCTGCACATTCTCATGCCCGCAATCCTAGCGACCAGACTGTCGTACGAAGTCCCATATCAGAAAAGAAGGCACAGTTTTCCTATTTCAGTCCTGATGATATTGGCCGTGAGTTCGCAAGCCGCAAGGGCCATCGCACAAATGTCATGGAGAACGAGGACGACTCTTTTTTAGGCGTGCCTGTGAGGTCTCAGTGCCCCAGACCACTACGACCCAGAGGCTTCACAAATACGAAGGTCCACCTAGAACAACTTCAGCGATCTCTGCGGACGAGCAGTGGCCCATTCCCCTCTCAACCCTCCAGGATGCACCCGACATCCTACCACGGCACTACACAACCACTGCGGCCCAACCGACCACCAATGTCGCGAACGCCATTCGGCGGAGTATACCTAGAAGAAGGCAATCTTCATCCTCTCAGAGCAGCGAGAGCATTACTCCCAGACGTTGCTGTTGGACCCGGTCGCATGAGGTTCTACGCTCAAGGTCGAGATTACCAAAATGGCCAGACAATCCAGAAATCAAGCAGCTCAAGCGCTCTCGATCAGCAGCCAATAACGAGCTACCACCATCGGCGAGCAGGGACGAACTCTCATTTCCCCATCCACGAGTTCGATACGCATCTCAGAAACGCGGGCAATCATTTCCCAATGTCTAGAGAACAGGTCGAAAAGATGTCTCCCCACTCAATAGCACGAACCCGGAATGGTACACTATCGAAGCAGACTATCCAGGACACAAAATTCCGGGAAAGCGGCCATACCAACCGCAAAGAATCGAACGCGAACGCGAAAGATACCCGCATAGACAGTTCTGTCAGACGTCCGGTATCACAAAACCCACCAAAGATGGAGTGCCACGGCGAAGACACTCGTCAGATCTCAAAGGCCAAAGTCGGCTCGACAATTATGGAGTCAGCCAACCCATCGAGCCAGACTGGTATTAGGGAGAACCTGTCAGAAAGCGAAGACGGAAGCGCCGAGTCGGCGAGAGAAGATGCTAGCACACCAGCAACTTCGATTTCGGGAAGCACAAAGGCTACCACAACGAAGAATGCAGCCTTACAGCTCACTAGAACAAGCCAAGTCCCTTCACGAGCTCAGGACGGTATTGACTTGCGTGATCACTCGATTTGTTGTCCAGAATGTTGCGTAGTGCTTGATTGTCATGAGGGATGTCTGGGACATCCAAGTCCGAGCGGTAGTGCCGCAGAAAGCGAGACTTCTAGTCTCAAATCCATGGGCGTGTTCGACGCTAATTTTGAGACTTCTGTCAAAGCAGTCAACAAGGCTTTGCTTGAGTCAAGAGAGACTCGTGACAGCAGACTGGCCAAGTTGCGTAATGCCATTGTGGAAAATTTCTGGCACGAACCGAATGCTCAACAGAGAACTCCTGATAAGCAAGAACCACTGAAGCGAACACTTCGAGAGTCTCCTCCCCATCAGAAAGAAGCAACAAAGCAGGAGAAGGTGAATAGACCAACTACTGTGCCGGGTCCTCGAAGTTTTGATCGACGACAAGCAAAGGCTGCAGCTGCCGTTGCTGTGAAAGCTGAGGTCCATGACAAGAAGAGCACAAAACCCCAGTCTCCAATTCCTAGAGGACTGAGAAAGAACCACAGTGTTCGGAAGACGAAGGAGGAGTCGATAGTCGTCAAATTAGACGCGACCGAGCCCCTGGACGTCCAAGACATTGCTGAGGACGAGAAGGACGATCCAGTACCTACCTACATCGACGAGCCAGCACTTTCCTCCGTGGGTGCGGAAAATACTGCAACTCCCACTAGAGAGTCTGATACGATCAGTGTGCTTAGTAGAGTGAATTCACTGATCAGATACAACTCGTTTCGCATCTCTAGGTCGGATATGTCTGCTCACCTTCTTCACTATTTGTTGATGGCTACTATATACGTCAAGGAGATGTTGGTCGTCGTCCTTGACACAATCACAACCTTGTCATCCGTCATGTATGAATACAAGCGCACCGGAACCATTGTTCTTCCACAGAGCACGAATCTGAGTGAATTGGCAGGAAATTGTCTGCGAAGTATTCTGTACCTCATGATTGCGGCTTGCGTATATGCATTGGTTGCTAGGATCGCTAGAGTTGTCCTTGTACTATTGCGTATCGTGGCGTTGCCTCTCAAGTTGTGTGTCTGGGTTATAGGATAATCGGTGTGATAAATTTGCATACCACTGAAAGACGGACAGGTATGAGGTCACGAGTCACTGATTGCCAGCGATCATGCTTTTCTTGCTCTCATCCTACTAGCATAGCACTGTTACATTCGAGGAGCTCGCTTGCAAGTTCGGCCTAAATTGAAATACTGAAAGCAGTGAGTCCACGTAGTCTATCGTATCCGATTTGTGCTGCGGCATAATTGCACTTCCACGTCCACGAGCGTTGCCGTACAAAAGAGCTTCAGAATCTCCCAGCTGCAGCAATTGCATTGGAACACTACAAGCTGCTATCGACGTAATGTATCACTTTGAACATAGTGAAAATGTCAGCAGCACAAAGTACATGGTTTAAATTGAGTGGAGAGTCCTTGATTAACGGCATTGCTACCCTACTACAGCGCCAAAAAAGGCTTTACAACCACAACACAAATCGCTGTATTCTGGATAGCCCACGAACAATCTAGACAAGTATAATTTACAATTCCCTTCAAAGAAAACCATCCTCAGCACCACTCTCAGCAACCTCAACCTGCAAACGCATATTCCTTGCCTTTTTCAAATTCTTGTCCTTTTTCTTCTTCATGGTCTTGACACATTCTTTAGCTCTGGTAGTGGTCGGACTAGTAGGAGGCTCATCACTATCATCCTCGTCTGCGCCGTTTGCGTCATCATCACCAAGATCTCTGTGCTCAACGATCACGGTCCAGTTCTTGCGCTTGGTCGTGTCGCTTTGTGCGAGTTCTTCGGCGAAACCGACGCTGCGGTGCTTGCCTTCTTCGCATTGGATGCTGACGATGAGTGTCGTTGCTGTTTCCTCGTCGATTTCCTGGTGGGTTGCGTCGTAGGTTAGAGCTGTTTCCATGACGGTCATCATCTTCTCCATTTCGGTGACGATGGTATCGTATTTGAGGCGGGATTGTTTCTCGGAGAAGACTTCGGCTCGGAGACGTGGTGAGAGGCCGCTGTATTTCTTGCGGAGTTTTGCTGGGGGCATGGGGATGTCACGGACGGAGAAGTTTAGCATCTCTTCGCCGTCTTCGGGGTCGTCGAGGGGGCCGTTGACGCGGCCGTGAGAGATGATTTTGAGGTTGAGTTTGGCTGCTGGGTGATCTGTGCCATTGACGTTGTTGGTGATTAAAGCTAATTGTTGGCGGGCCTTTGGGCTCTCGGTCTGCTTGTCCTTGGGACTTTGAGTTCGTTTGCCATTGGTGGTCTCTTTGGACTTCTTGGGAGGCTCCATATTGCCGGCATTGTCGCTGCTTTTGGTTCTGACACGCTTCATGTTGAGGTGGAGGTTGATGAAATTGTGATGTCTATAGCCTTTTGGTTTAATGAGCTGACTGTTGCAAATGGCATACAATCAGCCCACTCATGCCCCGAAAGTGCCGTCGAGCAGAGTGAAAGGGCTTATTGCTATCATCTGCGCGATGATGCAATGGAGGTAAGTGGGTAAAGACCCCAACAATGATACACAACTCTGAAGCACGAGACTTCGTTTGTTGTTGGCAGGTTTGGTGCTTGGTGGAAGGGGACAGATCGAGTTGAAGTTGAGTACAGCTGTGTAGGACGACAAGCAAGGTCGACGGGAAATTGAGTCAGAAGAAAGACGGATGGCTCATCACGAGATCAACCCGTTGCACGACTGAGGAGACTCGAAGGTTCGTCATCTCCGAACCCCGGCAGTGGCTAACCCCAGATTGTGCTGGTTCCACCTTCCCCAGGTTCCTCAACTGAAAGGACCCTGGATCCAGCACACTATCTCTATTCGCCATCAAATCAGGTAGAGCTTGCTAATCTCCTTTTCGTGTATCTCATCTCAACAACCTGAGGTTCAAGATGATAGCTATCTTTTGCAGTCAGCATCGGCACTGCTGTTGCACAAATTATTTGAAGAAAGTTCTCTTTAAGAGAAGTATCCCACCGTCGCACTGCCCAAGTTTTTCAGCTCTACTCGACTGAGCCGGGCTAGTTGGCGCACATCTCGTAGACAATTATGATGTTATTGAGTACAAAACTTAGACTTCGGGAGAGTCAGTCTTCGTCTTGTCCTGAGTTGAAGTAGTGCTCGAGATCCCAGATTAGAAGCAGCGGATAATCTACTACAGATCGCTTGACCTTCCTCGTAGAGCACACTCGATTTGTTACCGCGACACATTTTCGCGTTGTGCCAGTGGTCCACTCCATAGCAGGTCTTTTATTCTATTGACAGGCGTTGACCTGTAATGAACTGCGCTTGTCGTTTCCCAGTCACTCGTTATCTCCTTCTTCGAGCTGCTGGTCAGCTCCGAGTCAGGTCTAGAGGGAATGACTTGGTTGGTTACAATCGGGTTTCTAAAAAGTTTTCATCAAAATCAGCCATGGCGGACTCAGATACCCCTATCACGATAAACGAGCGTATGTATAGAACTGTCAAAGAAGGCGCAGCATCCATTTTGGCACCTTACTCGAGAGACAAAGAGGCGAAAAAAAGCCAAGTCGCTCAATCTCGCCAGCCTAGGAATAATGACGAGGGCAACCAAGCAGTCTTCTATAATCCGATCCAGCAGTACAACCGTGACTTAAGTGTACTTGCCATCCTTGTCTATGGTGAAAGTGCGATCGCTATCAAAAAGGCAAAGCATGCTAAGAACGTCAATCGAAGTAATAAGAAGAAACAGAAGACGTCAGCAACTCTTCAACCCGTACCAGGAACGGCAGAGTTTTCAACCGATAAAGGAATTCCCGTGAGTAACGAATCTACTGCAACCAAGCGCAAGGCCGATAACGCCGGCCTTGACGATAGCACTGATAAGTTCAACACGAAGCGAGCATGTATTGATAATGGCGTTGACAAGCAGAGAGACGAAGGCCACGGGACGACTACCAGTGGGCACACTGGACATGCAGATCACCAATCAACTTCCGGAAGTCTCGCGCAAGCAGTACCTCCCAAGACTAGTCCGGAGAAACGTCCTTACCAGACTCCATTCGCCATCCTCGACGCTTTGTCTGCCAGTGGTCTTCGTGCCATTCGATATGCAAAAGAAATACCATTTGCCACGACTGTGGTAGCCAACGATCTGCTTACTGAGGCGGTCGAAGCCATAAAACTCAACATCGAACACAACAAGCTCCAGGGCAAAGTCTTTTCCAATGTGGGTGATGCTCGACAGTTCATGTACAGCAAGACTGGCAATGAGGTTGTGGACCCAAAACCTGGCTACGTACACAAGTTCGATGTCGTTGACCTAGATCCTTACGGGACAGCTGCTCCTTTCATCGATGCTGCACTCCAAGCTGTGGTTGATGGAGGTATGTTATGCGTCACATGCACCGATGCTGGAGTATGGGCTTCCAATGGGTACCCAGAGAAAGCGTATGCACTCTATGGTGGTATATCTCTCAAGGGTAGTCATTCACACGAGGCAGGCTTGCGCTTAATTTTGCACTCTATTGCAACGGCGGCAGCAAAATATGGTCTCGCTGTTGAACCACTTCTGTCCCTATCGATCGACTTCTATGGGCGCATGTTTGTTCGTGTACACAAGTCTCAGCAGGATGTCAAGCTGTTGGCTGGCACGACGATGGTAGTCTATAATTGCGATCAGGGCTGTGGTGCTTGGCATACTCAGCTCGTGGGCCGAAATCAGGAGAAGAAGGCCAAGAACAACGAACCATATTTCAAACATGGTTTTGCGCAAGCACCCTCTGTCGACAAATACTGCAAGCACTGCGGCACAAAGATGCACCTCGGCGGTCCGATGTGGGCCGGTCCACTGCACAACCCTGTCTTTGTACAGAAGATTCTCGATAAACTTACGACCGCCGACAAGACTATGTATGGTACAACCGAGCGAATCAAGGGCATGCTCACTGTTGCCCTAGAGGAGGAAGATATTGGCTGGCCTGTGAAATTGACCCACAAGGCTGCAGAGCAGTCTTCGCACGTGCCGCACACCAATAGAGGCCCTCAAGTACAAACAGATGACCTTGACACGAATGCCTCGGCTCTTATTGCTAGAATGCCGCCCTCTTTGCTGTCACCAGCTCCTTTGTTTTTTCTTCCAACCTATCTTGCGAAGGTGCTAGCCATGCCAACTCCAGCGGAAGATCCGTTAAGAGGCGCCTTCCTCTCTCTAGGCTATACTTGTACAAGATCACACTGCAAGCCTGGAAGCTTCAAAACCGATGCTCCCTGGGAAGTAATTTGGGAGATCGCGCGGGAATGGGCTCGACAGATGGAGAATGAGATATTGCCACGCCTGTTTGGGGAAGGAGAATACACTGATAAGGGCAGTGTCAAGAAGTCAAGTCCTGGATGGAACATTCTGAGGCGGATACGTGGCCGGTACTCTGACTCCTTGCTCGCGGTCAAAACCAGAGAACGGTTACTAGAACAATTGGGCCTGGGTCAAAATTCGACTGCGGTTGACTCTGTATTAGATCTGCAAAGCATTTTGAAGAGCGCGTTGTATGACCTAGGCCACCGATCGAGGCAACAATCCTTCACGACGAATGGTTGTATTGACTCAAGTCGCAGCCACAGTACTGTTCAGGATACTAGAGTACCAGGCACGATTACCTCCGCAGAATCCAACGGCTCAATTCGAGGATCTCCTCCAAATCATAACGTTTCATCCATGTCAAATGATCAAAACTCCAGCATGACTGGCAAATCGCTCATCGAAAACGGTGTAGATCCGTCAGAGCTGAACGTCGTTTTCGATGCGAGGCTTGGACGTGCCTTTCGGGAGTCAGGAGGCAAGCTGGTAAGATATCAGATGAATCCTCGAGCAAACTGGGGTCCTATGGTCAGGGCTGGTAGTGGTACCTGAATCTACTTCACGAACGCATCCGGTATGGGGTGCTATATACTGGTTTGCAGATGAGCCATGATACCTAGTCATCGATACCAACGACGTTGACCTGTAAAGCTATGAATTGTATCAACCATCGTTCCATTCCGGTATCCCTTCTCAGACCAATTCTCAGTCAATATTTGTCCCTTCGATCAAGAATCGATTACACTCACAAATCCACCGTCATTATCAACTGATTATATTGTCCTCCCTCGACTTGTGGTACCACGACCATGCCGCCTGCTAGGAGACCCACGATGGCGAACGACGCGGATCAGACAGCAGATTTTATGCGTCCATGTACACAATGTCAAAACGCTGGGCAACCACGTTGTCACGCCCGTTTGATACACAAAAACGGAGAAGCTTACTATACCCTGATGTGCGCACCATGCCTCGGCGCGAGCAAACACAAGTGTTCACATGCTGAAGCATTTAAACGTGATCCAACGCAAGCGCTAGCCCCAATGCAAGAACACGAGATAGCACGAGCGCAAGCAGAAGCACAAAGACAAGAAGCTCATGTACAATTATTAAGACAAGCTATAGCACAAAGACAGGCAGCTCAGGCACAGGCACAGGCACAAGGTCAATATCAGATTGCCGTAAACAACCCAAACCAATACATTGATGACACACTACCAGAGTACAACGCTTCTAGCCTCCCGTCTACTCCAGAGTGGGTCGAAGACTGGCGAAACATTGAAGACGGGCCACCCGCCACTGTCAACCCACGGGATGTTATGTACAACCTACCGAGATAGAGCGTCTGACACAAAGACGTCAAAAACCAATTGGCAAAGACAAAGGCCGAGTGTCAACGTCCTATCTCTCATTCAAGGCTGAGTGACACAGACAACCTCGAAGCAGTTACTTGAGAGTGCTAAGTGCTAAGTGCTAAGGACATGTTTTTAGTACGGACACTTACTGGCTTTCTCGAAGGGTTAAATTTCAGTTGAGCTCTTGCTACGAGCAGCGTTCCCTTTTTCTCTGTCTATCCAATTCTGGAATTGATGTTGTTGTGTGTTGAGCTTTGGCGCTGGAGGATAAGCATTTCAATTCAGCATGGATGTTGGCGTCATCTGCTTTCGTTGGGGGCTGGTTATGAGCTGGTTGTTTTAAGCATACACATAGCTGTGCTTTCCCACAGCACCAGATCGAATACATATATTGAGCTTGAAAACCTTCCCAAAAATTGTGCGTTGATCGGTCCTGTCTTGAAAGCTTCAGGATAAGTTGAATGAGTCATTTGGAGAGCAACCTTCTCATCTCAGTCGAGACACAGGAGGATCGTGGATTGCCCGAGCGTTTGGAGAAGGGGTTTCTGCAAATTCCCGAGTAAATTACTCGACCTTAGTGCATAGGCTCTAGACATCGGGTAGGTCTTGCGTATCACACGCCGAGTTCGCGGCGAAGTCGTCTTTCACGTAATTAAGAAGGGCGACATAGTCAAGCCGTTTTTGGTGCTTCATTAGAGCCTTTCATCATAACATGGAGGACAGGCATTTCGTCGCGAACTGTTTCCCTTAGCAATGTAACACTACTCCTGCTGATTCCATCCCAAGGTCCGAGAAATGATTAGATCTCTGCTAAGGTTCATGTGTCAGCTGGTGAAGGCGATGTACAAGCAGGCATGCTGGACGACCTCGGCGCCAAGCTTGATGCCTAGACTGTTCTCAGAATAGCGCCAAATGCCCTTGTAACAGACTGGGACACGAAACGGAGAGCTCGAGTCAGTGTCTTCGCGAACTATCCAGTAGCAGCATTATCACCATAGACATTACCCTTATCATCGGCAGACGCCGCGGCACTGTAGAAAACAACCAATACCATGACAATTAGGACCCTTAAGAAGTTCGGCCCGGAGTCAGTTGCAGCTTTCCTGTGGCCAAAGAGCTCAAATACTGATTATTCCTGCCAGGCAACTTCTTACTGCTCCACGGCGTACACCAGGATTCCCTAGTCCTGATGGACGTAAATTTGTCTTTACACAATCTCTATACTCATTCGATTCCCATAGCAAGACATCAGAGATTGTAGTGTTTGATTTCGATACTGGTGAACAAAAAGTCGTTAGTACCGATGTCAAGGCGAGTGAGCCACGATGGGTTGGTGAAGGTAGTCAGCTTGTGTGGCTAAAGGAGGGCGAGAATGGCAATACAAGCTTTATTGTAGCTGACATCAACTCACCTGGCAAGACCTATACAGCTGGCACAGTCGCTGGTCCTGTTACGAACCTGAAGCTGTACTCCATCGAACCTGGAATGGTAGCTGTAGCTGTCGCTGGTAAAGCGAACACAGATGGCAGCCTGCACAATCCAAAGGACACGCCGAAGTCATACACAACAGCAAAGCTGTATGATGCTACATTTGTGCGGCATTGGGACAGTTATGTTACCAAAGAGCGAAATTCGATCTTTACTGCAGTCCTCAAAAGAGCGCCAGCTCGTGTGCACGGTCGAGAGGGAAGATATGACCTTGTTGGCTTCACTAATGCTCTCAAGGGAACAGGTTTAGAGTGTCCCATACCACCCTTTGGTGGAACAGATCACTTCGATGTTGGCCGCGAAGGACTGATTATCGTTGCGAAAGATCCTGACTTGAATCCAGCTACTCATACCAAATGTGATGCTTACTGGGTCCCCAAAAAGGACCTTATGGACTTGAGTGAGCCGAGACCTCACAAAATCTCTGTTCCTGGCTACGAAGGCGCGGCCAGTTCACCTGTCTTTGCCTCTGACGGTAGTTTCGCATTTCTCAAGATGCAAGAGGACGGCTACGAGGCTGACAAGAACCATATTGTACATGCTTCAGTCAAGCAGTCGATTTCGTCCGAAGTGCCCGAGTTCACTACTCGCATATTTGAGTCTCAGGATCACATTCTGGACATTCCACAACACGAGTTCTGGTCGCTCAGTCCATCAGCCCTGCTCTGGTCGCCTGATATGCAATACCTCTATATTCATGCAGAGCACCATGGTGCAGGCTGTCTGTTTGCTCTTGAATTGGGTTCAGAAACGAACAGTAAATCTGACAGTGTCTACCAACTTACTGACAAAAACTATATCCTCGAAGCCATACCAGTGCCCAAAACTCCATATTTGCTTGTGACAAGCAACAGCCTTGTTGATAATAGCTTGTTTTATCTTCTGAGTACAAACCACCACGATCAACATGGGCGAAAGTCAGCTGTTCCGATTCAAGACACGCTCATGGTAATCACGCTTGGTCCTCCTTCGTCAGCAACCCCACCAATTCCGACTCAATTCATCTCATCTTGCTCTTTCTCACACACAAAATTTGGTCTTTCACCATCCCAAGTGTCACACCTCTGGTGGAAAGGCGACAAAGATCATCCTGTCCATGCTCTCATGATGCGACCAAGCACATTTGACCCCAACAAGAAATACCCACTAGCCTATCTAATCCACGGCGGCCCCCAAGGCGCTTGGAACGACCAATGGAGCACGCGATGGAACCCAGCACTCTTTGCAGAACAAGGCTACATAGTCATCGCACCCAATCCCACAGGCAGCACCGGCTACGGCCAACCTTTCACCGACGCCATCAAAGAAAACTGGGGCGGCAGTCCCTACATCGACCTAGAAAAAGGCATCACATACATTGAAGGGAATCTCTCCTTCATCGACACCTCGCGCATGGTCGCGCTCGGCGCCAGCTACGGCGGCTACATGATGAACTGGTTCCAGGGGCATCCTCTCGGCCGCAAATTCCGAGCTCTCGTCTGCCATGACGGCGTCTTCAGCATGATGGGCCAACTCGCTAGTGAAGAGCAGTATTTCCCCATCCACGATATGGGCGGTACTATATGGGATAAACCCGAGTATTACAGGAAATGGGATCCTGCTAGCCCAGAACTTCTTAAGGAATGGAGCACGCCTATGCTGGTTATACATAATGATCTTGATTACCGATTGACGGTGTCTGAGGGTTTGAGCGCATTCAATGTGCTTCAGAACAAGGGCGTTGAGAGCAGGTTTTTGACGTTTAGCGATGAGGGTCATTGGGTGTTGAACCCGGAGAATAGCTTGGTTTGGTGTCTTGTTGTGCTGAATTGGTGTAATAAGTTTGTTGGGTTGCCTGTTGTTAAGGATAGTACTGGGAGGACGGGGGATGAGTTTTGTAGGCAGGGACGGAGGAAGGAGCCTAGTGAGAAGTGATGTGGAAAAAGTATATTAGAACGGCTAATCAGAGGAGTAAAGAACTGATAATTTTATGTACAATATCTAGATGGCTGATCTAAGCGCAGTGGCCGTAATGCAGTGCTAACAAGCAAAAGTGTTGTTGACATTGAAGAGAAGCAAATATACACCAATAGTACCGATCGCTCAATAGCGACGTACTCCCAAACACCTTTCATTATTCGTGAGTGATCCGATATTTACCGTCGCCGTCACACGAAACTTCGACGACCCATCACTCTTCAGTCCCATCAGTTTCCGCACGACTGGATCATTGAACGCCTCTGCCGCGCCGGGCAATAAATTTAATATAGAGTCTGTTTCTTGTTCCGTAAGTTCCTGGATGGTAGAACTCTATTTACCACCCGTCAACAGCTGGTTGACAATCTTGGAGACCTGGGCATTATCGACAGGTCGTCCATTGAAGGGTCCTCCGGCTTTGAGCAGTTCTTTGAGAACATTTCCTGCTTTGACATCTGCGCCAGAGGCAGCTTGTTTGAGACTTTCGAGGACCTTTGAAACTGTTTCCTGAATCTCTTGGTCGGGTACTAATTTTACTTCTCCGGCCAATTCATCTATTACCTTTATTTCTTGCATATTCTTCTCCTCCAGGTCTTGTCTGTTGGCAGCCTTTGCCTCAGAAGCGGCAGCCTCACTTGCAGCTTTTTTCTTCTTCAGTAGTGCTAGTAACTGGATATCGGTCTTGATGGGTGTGTTCGTTTTAGAGGCATTATTGTATTCGGTGATCATGGCGCGAAGTACGTTGAGGCGCGGTGTATCCTTGGCTCTCATGGCTGTCTTCAGGTCGCCCTTGATCTTTGCGAGTAGGGGAGGAGCTGCGGCATCTGTGGAGGAATAGCGGATCTGCTTCCGTCGCGGCAGGTCGTTGAAAGGAGATAACCTCATCTGTCGAAGCTCACACTGAGGGCAGACATATGGAGTTCTCCTAGTCTCTCTAAGAGCTGTCTGAGCGACTCCGGTTCTTAACGAAGCCATTTCTTATGCTTCAAATTGGTACAGAGTGATACTTAGTGGCAAATGAGAGGAAGGAACTGTCATACGTTGATGTGTGAGACGATGGTAGGTATACTGGTAGCTAAGGACGTAATGACGAAAACAAACCCTTTCCGACTTGCAATGGAATTGTACTGCAGCTTTAGAAGATGAAGAAACCAAAGAAGAAGTTGACTTTCTCGAAGCTGCTTTCAAGTGCAACTTTCTGGTCCGGAGTTGAACCGACGCGTTTGGCGCGTCTCGGTCGCAAAGGCCAAAAGTTTCCAATCCAAGCACTTGCCAAAGTCATAGTTTGGCAACCACAACTTTCGCACAACAAATACCTCCAAGAGATTGTCAGGTTCTGTCGCCAAAATCTGTGTCTGCCTTTTCTTTATTCTCTAAGCCGTCGCTTCTGGTTGATTCGCCCACCGATGCGGACATAGCTTTGTTTTCGCGGTCGAGCATCGCCAGGCTCACACCATGGCCGAGTACGCAACTCCTCCACGACCCGGCCCTGGTGGCTATACAAACACACCCGCTCCCCAGGCTCGGCTTCCAGCGCCTTCCTTTACTGCAACACCTGCACCGCAAAGATACACCCAGGCAGGCGCAGCCATTTCTGGAACAGGCCCGAGTCAGGCAGCCCTGCCTTCACATCGTCCACAAGAGAATGTGACTGCTGCTCAAAGAACTAGTCGAGCTGTCAATGAGGCCTTGAGATCGGTTGAACGTACCAATTCGCTTGAGGAGGAATATGGTGGTCGGCTGGCTCAAAACTATGATATACGCAAAACTCCTGTATGGGCACCCTTCGAGAGGTTTCGGCACTATGTTATTCCTGATCAAATATTCGAACAATTAAATCGCGCCAACGTGGCCACTAACATGGGGCTGTTCGCTGAATTGCACTATGCATGGGTCACAGTCGATAACGCCCTATATCTGTGGGATTATACTCAGAACAATCCTGAGCTACTCGGCTTCGAGGACCAGAGATACAACATAGACTCGGTGCAGCTAGCCAAACCGAAACCGGGTGTGTTCCTGGAATCCATCAACCACATGATCGTGCTCGCTTCTACTGACCAGATCATGTTACTGGGACTGGGCGTGGACCCAAGCGCACCCACTACAGCCTTGTCACTTTTCCAGACTGGTCTTACTGCTTCTGTCAAGGGTCTTAGAGTCAACAATATAGTTAGTTCTGCAAGGACTGGTCGTGTTTTCTTTAGCAGTGAAACGGACAATGAAGTGCGTGAGTTACGCTATCAAGCTCAAGATTCCTGGTTCGCGAGCCGCTGCTCTATCGTCAACCATACTCAAGGTCGCTTTGACACCTTTACTGGTGCCTTGAAATCCTTCACTTCTGGCGAGACTGAATATGTTACCCAGATGGACATCGATGACTCGCGAAATATCCTTTACACTCTATCCTCAAAGTCTACCATTCGAGCATTCTATGTTAGCCCTGATGGCTACAGTCTTGAGAAGAAAGCTGAAATCACCATTCAGACAATACATCGCAGCATTGACTACACCCTACAGAACGGTCATATTTCCGACAACACAAAACTTGTATCGCTGAATGCGATTGGTAAAGCTGAGACACAAGCATGGGTTCTAATGACGACGACTGTCGAAGGGTATCGTATATACCTCAGTGGAACTTTCAGCTATACTGAACCTAGAATACTTCAAGCTCTTGCTGCAAATCACACACGAACCCCGCCACAACTACGACCTCCTCCTGATGATGCTGTGCAAATTCAACCCAATGAAAGAAATGCCTATCTCACCCAAGTCATATCAGCATATCGCTTCCCTCCAGGATACTTCTTCGCCGCCATCTCGCGCTCGCACAACGCTTCTCAGGAGCATCTCTTTGTGTCCGTACCCGACTCCCAAGCTGATGTCTCCTTTCAACGTTCACAACAAGGCACTCCCGAGTCTTCGTCATGGATAGAACTTCATAGTCAAGTTATGGCCATTGGCTTGCAGACACCGTATAGAGGTGCGACATCGATGCCAAAAGGGTTTGGCTATGAGCTGGCCGTGCAGTTCGATGAGCCAGTGCCAGAAATTGCAATCTTGACCAATACTGGAGTGCATGTCCTACGCAGAAAGAGATTTGTTGATAGCATATCAACGTTGATTAGACAGGGTGGAGCTCAAGAGGGCTTCCAAGTCGAGATTCAGAAATTGATTCAAAAATACGGTCGCCAAGAAGTCCTTGCTGATGCACTTGCAGTTGCTTGCGGTCAAAGCCTTGAAACAGCTTCGGAGCGAAAACTACGGATTAACGATCCTGAAGTTCTCGAAGCTGCACGAAAAATCTTCATAGAATATGGTGGTCGACCGAGCATAGATCAGAACCTCACTTCAGCTGTACCTGCCCCAATAGATGCAGTCCGACCCTCGCCAAGATATGAAGCTGCTGTCAGGTATTTGTCCAGGTTGATTAGATCGACATGGAATCAGCCAATAGCAAAGCAGGAAAGAACAGTCAATGGCATTCAGATAGTTTCTGCTGTAAAGGTTGAGAAACTTCGTGCGGTGCAGGAGAATCTTACATCGTTGCAGAGGTTCTTTGACACGAACAAGAGCTTCATTCGCGGACTTAGCGGCCCGGACGATCTGACAAGACAGACAAGCAAGGACGATGAAATTGCTTTGCAGGGTGAACATCGAGCCTTGACCTCACTAGTCAAGTTCCTGTCGGAGATGATCGAGGCAATATCTTTCGTGCTTGTGCTTTTCGAGGAGAAGGTGGTTGAGATAATACCTCTATTGTCAGAAGACTCGAGGAAGCACTTCATGAATTTGACTTATGAGCATCTCGTTGCGACTGAAGTCGGGATCGATATCGCCAGAGATCTCGTAAGAGCTATAGTGAATCGAAATATTGCGAAGGGCTCCAACGTTGAGACAATCGCGGAAGCATTGAGGAGAAAGTGTGGTAATTTCTGCAGCGCTGACGACGCGGTCATCTTCAAAGCCACAGAGCTCTGGAAACGTGCTCAAGAGTCAAGAGCTAATGTCGAGGCGTCAAGGATAGCCCTCAACGAGAGTTTGAAACTCTTTGAAAAGGTCGCCGCGAGCTTGCCGTACAAGGAACTAGACCAAGCTGTCACAGTATACAAAGAGCTTGAGTTTCATGCAGGTGCCATTCAGCTTGCATTGCGTGTAGCCTCCGGAAAGGATAAAACAAATGAGGCTCAAGCTTGGGTTTCGGATGGCAAACCAGAGAACGATCCACGCAGAGAGAAGTTTGAGATGAGAACACAGTTCTACAGCTTGGTGCATACCGTCCTGGAGGCTATCGATGCAAATATACAAAACGGTCCACCATTCGTTGACGGACGTCCTTCAATTGCTGCAATTCGTCGTGACGAAGCATATGAAGTCATCGCTCACTCAAAGGACGAAATTTTCCTAACCAACCTGTTCGATTGGTACTTGACCAAAGGCTGGACCGAACGTCTGCTAAGCACCGACACCGTATCCGATTTCATAGTCACCTATCTACAGCGAAGGGCATCTGAAGACGTCAGATATGCTGATCTTCTCTGGAGATATTATGGCAACAATTCTCAATTTCATGAGGCAGCCAAGGTACAGCTCAATTTGGCACAATCTGACTTTACGGATATCAAGCTCGATCAACGAATCGAGTATTTGTCTCGAGCACGCGCTAATGCGTCAGCTTTCACAACGAACAACAACGCTGCGAGTCGCAAGACTAAGCAGAAACTTCTTACAGAAATCAATACTCTTATTGAGGTGGCCAATATACAAGATGACATTCTTCAGCGATTGAGTAACGATACCCGTCTTACAGGTGACAAACGCGCCGAAGTCATGAACGAGTTGAATGGACCAATGCTGTCAATATCAGATCTTTTCAATAGGTTCGCTGACAGCGCTGGATACTACGATGTTTGTCTGTACATCTATGCGATTGCAGACCATCGAGACGCGGCTCAGATCAAGAACACTTGGGCACAATTTCTTCAAGCAACGCATGTCGCAGCACTACAATATGCGCAGGAATCGCAACGCGGTGAAGCCCAAAGAGGTCAAGAAAACGTGGCTGTGCCGCTCGATCAGGTGGTGGCAGAGATCCGCTCAGTGGCTCATAGACTCAAATCTTCTGAAGCAGTCTTCCCTGTACCAACACTAATAGAAATGCTGGAGCGCTACAACACTCAACACCTTCAAGGAAACGTCGAGGCCAACGTAAACGAACTCTCAATGAACCACTGGGTCCCCGACCTCTTCTTCGAAACCGAAACGTCCTACGAACTCATCTATGATAGCTTAGAGACCATCTACCTCGCCACCAACCAACCCACCACATCCTCCACAGAACGCAGAATCATCCTCAGCGACCTTCTCTACGTCATCGACCGCTGGCTCCAAGTCAGCCTCACACGTGCTGGCCAGGGCCCATTCGGCGGTGAAGCTGGCCAAGAACGAGTCGAAGAACTACTCGTTTTCGTGACGGAAAGATTCAGCGCACAAGAACTCGGCCAGGCTAATTATGTTCTCGCATCGGATCTGAGACAGCGAATTATTGATCTGGTGGCTTAGGAGACCACGCTCGATGCTGTTGAGGGGAAGAAGAGAAGCGATAAGGGCAAAGCGCGACTGTAGTGGCCGTGGAGCCTGGGGTTTTGGATAGGGTATGTGTACTCCGTACGGCTTCTGGCGAAAATTTGTGCGTGGTCGGTCATGCAGTTTATGTAGTCGGGTGGTCGTGTTAATAAGCATTCTATTTGTTGTCTTTGACTTTTTATGATGAGTCTGAGTCTGCGCGCAACCAATAGTACAAAGCATAGACATGCAGAGATGTGAGAGCTACTCTCATGCAGGCATCTCTGTAACAATCATAACCATTGGGGGACGGCCAAGTCGCCGGGCACGAATGTCTCTTTCAAAGGCAGCTGTCGTGAAAGAATGCAAAAGTAGTTCACATTACTACACGAAGATAACAAAAGCCCTCGATATCGCCAACTCCAATAAACGCTCAAAATAATCTAGAAAACCATGAATCTTAATTCATAAACCAACGATCAGCTTGAACCGATGAGAGAACCACAGCTAGCGCTCCACATGCCTTTCCTGCCGCTGCGATACCTGCATCACGTCGAAACTTGCTTGGCCGCCGAATTCGCAGGTATTCAGATCTCTGTTCAGATATGCCTGTAGATCCGCGCTCACGCCGGGAAACATTGGTGCAGTGAGTTCGGATGGATTGACGAACAGCATTCGTGGGTCAATGTATGCCAGTTGTTGCTGTCGTTGTTGCGGCTGCTGATTGTGAAACAGGTCGAACGCGCTTGCTTGTGTTTGGTAAGACTGCGGTTTGGGTTGAGCTAGAGAGGATTGTGATGCTTGTGCTGAGCTCATGGTACCATATGCCGAGTCTGTTCTAGAGTGCCGGGGTCGTGGTTGGTACGACTTCGAAGAGAATGGCAATTGTTCGGAAGATGAGCTTGTACTTGGGCCGAGGAGTGCATCGTCGTGCCAGTCAAAGCCAGCAAGATTGGACAGTTCTGCCGCTTTTGGATCTGGGCTGCTGGACAACCTCCACTCCTGAGGAGCAGGAGCGAATGAGACACTCTTTGTCGATCTCGTAGATGTTGCGCTGGAAGGCTCGAGAGGTGGAGCATTGGACATGAGGCGAACATCGTCCCCGGATGCCCAGCTTTCGCCACCTGGTCCATATCCAAGGTCTTCCCCAACGTGCGTGGGTACTCTTGGGAACGATGAGCTCTGTCGAGATCGCACGGCATTAGAAGAATGTATCAATGGAGCTGACGATTGTGTAGTACAGGTGGTAGAAACTATCAATGCCGGCCTAGGCACTCCTCGATTGCGTTGAGAGGAACACGAGACTGACGTCTGTTGCTCTTGCACAGAAGAAGATTCTCTGGACGATCGAGAACTTTGGCGGGTCCCTGAACCGGACGCCGTCGAGACAGGCGACGAAAGAAGTGAGGCATGTCTGACGGAGGTACTCGTGCCGCTATTGTGTAGTTCCTGCATTGTTTGTAACATCTGACCATTAAGGAAGTCACGGGTTGGTGTTGAAGCAAGCCATGGCCGAGATTGCGATGCAATGTCGAGTTTACGATTGAACAATTCGACGAATTGCTCGAGCAACTCTGAGTAGATGCCACGGGACTGCGCTCTCTCGATGTAGGGACTATCAGGTAATGGTGATCCAGGGAAGATGATTGTGAAAATTTCGAACCATAGATCTTTTGGATCCTTGCCTGGACGTTTAACATGAATCTTGACTTGCTTCGTCTCGTTGATTCGTTCAGCATAGGGGCAGTCTCTTGGTTCGCAGGCCTCCGGCAATGAAGAGTGATCCTGCAGCTTGTCGTTGGTATCAAATACCTCAAAGCACCGTCGGCAGTAGAAGCCAGGATAGTGATGGACACGCTTCAAGTGTTGCTTCATACGAGATATGTCACGAAACAAGCCTTTGACGCAACCACGATAATGTAGCTCGGTAGTGTTGCCCTGTGCGTACCGAACAGGATCATGCTTGTGGTAAGGACAAGCAAAAAGTTTCTGTGGCTCAGCACTAGCCTCATGCTTCTGTCTCTTTGAGGCACTGGTATCGCTTTCTTCACTCTCTTGATCCTCTTCAGGCTCATCGACGCTTCTATTCGAAGGTGTACGACGATTCTGCTCTTGTATCTTGTTGTTCGTGACAGAGTCTGAAGTGCGATTGACTGAGCCTGCTGACTTGCGCTTGTTCGAGTTGGCGTGCGTTCGAATTCGTGTCTCCTCACTTTCAATGGTAGCAAACGCAACATCCGAAGCAGCTTGTGATGGAAGACGTTCGACTTGAGGCGGTTTTGCTTGCTCGGTGAAATCTAAAGCAGTGCTTCTTGCAGATGACGACAAGCGTCGAGCGAAAGAACGTGAGACCTGTGAACCTGAGCGAGAAATGGGTGGCCCATAGAATTGACTTTGTGAGCTTGGGGAGTTGGAAGTAAAACGAGCACTAAGGTCGGCGCGTTGCTGAAGCATAGCAGCAGTCTGGTATTGCTGCATAAGCGTGGCCTCGCGCTCTTTCGATGCCGACCAGGCTTCTCGCTCTCTAAGGATGGCTTCTCGCTCACGTAACGTGACTTCCTTCTCTCGGAAAGCGATGTCCTGCTCTCTGCGTTTCGTCTCAAAGTCGCGGAAGATATCTTCCGAGGTGACCATAGGTAACGGCAAGGATTGACTTGGTTCCTTCCCTTTCTTGGACGATGCGAATCCTTTTGATATGGCTATATCCTCAAGTGTCTTCGAGATTGGAATAGTGCTAGGGTCGACCGAATGAACACTATGACCGCTAGAAACAGCAGATTCTTTGTCTTCAGTCAAGTCTGATGGCTTGTGGTTCAGCGACAGTGGTTTGTGCACGCCAGTTCCTGGATTGGTCGGATGCCTCTTGATGTTACGTGTTTTCTCGACCAATTCGTGCCGACAGGTACGACCTTCGTGCGCACAGTTGGCACAGTAGAGACAGTCACCACCATTGCACAAAGCACAAGCATAGTGAAAACCATTCATTTTGATAGCACCATGACAGTAGTCACACTGCATCTGCTTGGAGAAGGTCGTCACCGGCAAGGTTGCTGGAGTTTCGCTAATGGTAATTCCACGGCGAGGGGTAGAGGATGATAGACATGGCGAAGGTGACCTGACGGGCAGGGGGAGTGTATCAACATCTATGTGATCCTCCAAGTCCTGCTTTGTAAAGTTCTTGTGGAAGAAAGGATGTGGTGAGAGCACATCAGCGGCGGGAAGCTCTGCAAGGTAAGGTTCAGGCACATTTGTTGCAGACACTGGTCCAGCTTCAACATCAGAAGGGTGAAACCAGCTTCGAAGGTCGTTCTTGGAGTGGAAATCATTGACATGAGGCGGTTGAGATGGTGTCGGAGCAGCAATATCTTGTGGTGTCAGAGGTGCTCTTTGAGCCGGCACTCTCTTGGAAGAGTGTACGGACCTGCGAAGAGTATCTTTGACCTTTTGCCTGACTGACCGCTTAGGTTGTGGCTGAGAGTGGTGTGCTTCGCGGGTATTCTGGTTCACCTCGAGTTGACGAGAGATTCGGTCCTGAAACTGCTTCCGCTGATATGCATCCAGCTCCTCCAATTTACGTTTCTCCCGCTTCTCGGCCTTCCGCTGCTCACGCCTCGATAGAACAGGAATTGTGTCAGGATCATAGTCGTTCTCGGGTTTTCTGGTGATTCGCCTAATCAGACGGATTGGTATCGAGCTCTTCGACCTACATATAGCGACATCAGGGTAGGCCGGTGCGGGAGTGGCGACACGACCGTGGTGAACGGTACCGTAACAGGAGCGCCTCGTGACTGGCGGTAAGACGCAGCTTGGGAATGTAGTCTCGCAGTCGGTCATGGTGGGTGATCTCGGATGAGCACAGCTTCACGAGTGACACAGTCAAATAGACAAGAAATACCACTCAAATCATCAGGTATATCTTCTATGCTCGAGGCAGCTATGTGAGCAGCCTCAGCAAGACAGTCCAAGCTATAGAGCAGTGCCATGACTGCCAGGCTGCGACTGACACCAATGTGCATTCGCAAAGCAAAAGTCCGACTTGAATGAACATCATTGGAGGAATGTACCACAAAAACGCCTTATGAGCCACATTTTCTGCATGTGGGTACTGCTGGGGCGTCTTCAGGCCTTCAATATGACTCGATGCTGCATAATTCATAATACCACAGTCAGCTGTACAGCGGTGTCGATTTTTTGTACAGCTCTTTCTGCATGATGTGCGAGCTCTCTCATGATGTACACGATATGTGATAAGTTGTGAATGTTCGTGGCAATTCTATCAAAAAGAATGGATCTTCAGGGCAGATGCGGATCACTCGGGAAGCGGTTCATCTCGTGTGGCAGGTGCAACGTGGCGCTGGTAACCAATCGGCAAGGCGCCGGCTCATTGTGCACATGCACTTCTCGGAAACATATTCTGAGTAGATAAGTGAATATTCAAGCTATAATATAATGTCCTCGTGTGATTCTCCAAACCACAACATAGCTCCCCACCACTGACAAGCCAAACAAGAAGAAGTTGTACAGCAGAAACGTGAACATCAAAGAGTCGAACAAAGATGACCACTCCAGACTTCAGCAAACAACGCTCTGAACATACAACAAGCCCTGAAACTCAACCTTAGCACTGACAAACACCTCTCTCACGTCCTTCGTTGCGCCTGGTCTTCCGCTCACTAGGCTGGACCGAGGAAGGGGCCTCCATGGAAGGGCACAATGAAGAGTGGATGCCTTCTCTCGTCGATTGTCGGAAAATGTCGTGGCTCTGATACTTCAGGTTTGGCATCAAGTTCCTCCGATCGTTCATCGTCTCTTTGACTCCCAAAGTAATAAAGATCAGCTCGCCCTTCTTTTGCTGCCTCTTTCAATGCAGCCTCAACAACCTCTCGTCTGCGTAGTCTGCCTTCCTTGAGTTCGACGGCATTGGCTCTCCCCCACCAGTGCTCGAGGGCTCGGTTCATACCCTGCAAGTCTCTCGATATTTCCCGGACTGTTCCATCATGGTGACGTCGCTGCCAGCCTCGTGATGCATAATCGTCTCGTCTTTGTTGCGCGCGTTCGAGCTTATTGACCTGCTCGTTCCGAGTTTGTGTGGCTGCAGCTATCTGGGTCATCCAATAAACCAGATCTGGATGCGCACAAACCGCACAAGCGTTGCGAGGAAGAAGCCGACATCCATTGGAAAACAGGCTGATGTTGGTATTGCTCAGATCCTCACATCGTTCGTACCAATCGCCAGTGGCCTGGCTTTGGAGAGCCTGTCGCGCACATTGTCGCCAACAAATCTCTGCCTTGCTAGGATGTGGTTCATGTGGTTCCTGGGCATTACACGCCTCGGTGTATACTATGACTCGGTAACACATTTTTCGTGAGGTTTATTGTGAAAGGGTTCTGAATGGTTGTCTTTGAACTGAGCACAAGGGTTTAGTCGTGGATTGAAAGATTGGTACTTCGCTATTTGGTGCATCCTGGCAGATAAAAGGCACCGTGAAGCTCTAATAAGTACTTCTTCATGGCGTTTGCGAGACTTGTCCGTTGCGATAGTCATCTCAAATCTGACGCTAGGCAACGTGGACTCTGATGCAGTCTTTGGCTTGACTGCTGGGAACGTGGCAATCGAACGTATGCTTGAAACACGAGCTGCCATGGTTCCCGACAGCGTGGTAGGCCCATGACTCGAGCAGAACGTTCGCCTTCTAAATGGATTGTCAGTCATTGGAGCTGTTTGTCAGAGCTCACCATCAGTCTTCCACATCAAAACCATCAAGATTAGAGCCCGCGAGAACAAACGTACTTACACCAAGCAAACATGTCAACTAACGCAACAACTTGTGATCTTCCTTGTATCCTGGACAGAAAAGAGGTGAACTCACGGGTACACAGGGTCATATAGACGGCAAACACTGGTGGCGTGTCATTGGGTAAGACGCCGACTTGTACTCATTGCGAGGTTTGGAGGTCGACAGCAGATTAACACGAATGGTGGATAAGACGACGACTCACCTCAACTTGCCTTGCAAGCAATTCTGAGTGATCACGCACAATCTCGAATAGCCTACTTTGGTGTCCTGTGTTATCTTGTCCTGCATTCACTCCCCGCGCCACAGGATCGCCTTACTAACGTACTCCCCACTCATTACATGCCATTCATCATGCCAACGTGAGATTCACTGCCCTTATAGCTCCGAAGATCGCGAAGCTGTTAGGGAAAGACGCACCCTATTTGCGACACAGTCTATGGCGGCATAGTCCGAACGCTTTTATCCCTTCAGAAATCGATATGCTGTATAGCGCAGGACATCTTTGCAGTGAACCTCTGATCAGTATAGATGGAGATTGCCTCCATCCAGCTGGATCGTGCCCAGTTGTGCGTAATCTGACCAGCTTACAGAAGAGGCGGCGTTCAGCACTGCGCTGTTATGTGTTATGCATAGATGAGTACAGGAGTTGAACACGTGCTGCATGATTCTTGTTGTGAACTAGTACCCGAGATTATAGAAGCTAAACAAAATGTTTGTATCTTAGTTAGAACTGCAGTGGTGATGCGCGATCAAGTGGAACCAGATCGTCGTGGTTCGTGTCAGCTTCGTGATGTGATGCCTCAGGCAGGCTACAGCCCCTTTTGCACCGCGTCTGACCTCAAGTCGCTTCTATCTAACGCACTCGTAGGCACAAAGATTACATGTCTGACAATCGAGACTGACCTCTTCAGCCCATGTTTGATGCTAATAAGATGATCTGAGGTTCTCGGCAAGCTTACACACGCTAGCGAAGATATATGCAACCAGCAAGGCAGTAGTTCTGCAGTTTACAGTGCTGTCATCAGAGGATCGACTGTAAACTCGACGACTTGGTGCCAAGCCCAGGGATCATACTAGTCGAATCCTGAATCTAACTCCGGATCCGAACGGGGACATTATCACTGTCATAAAGACATTTATAGACACGATACGACTGGAGGCGGTTCATCCTCGTTCGATTTGCTCGAAGTATTGAGACAAGAGGCGAAATACACGTCAAATCCGTGAAGACTAAAAGGAGAAGAGAGCAAGAATCGCAAGAGAATGGCAAGCAAGTGGACCTGAGAAACCCGAATGTAGCACATTTGATGTTGTATTAAGCTCGAAACTCATGAGACCCAGTAGCCTTGGGCACTGCTCGCAAAGATACTTAGAATGTAAACATAGCCTGAAGCTCTGTACCTCAAAAGGAATCCATAGCAGTAGAGATGTATTGGTAGTCGACGCATAGAACTGCAGTACGTGTGATTGAGTCGTGTTTCTGGTCGTCCTCAGTGACTACTCTCAAAGCAGATGATGCCAGAGACCAACTCCTCCAGCAGGCATGTTGCCGGGGAATTGGATGGGAACATCGGCTCCACGAAATCCCACCTCCTCGGGGGTCACAGGACCGTAGTAGAATCGAGCTCGTGTGTTCCGATCGGTCTGGGCAGGGGCCGCCATCATTGCACCGACCATTGCCTGTTGATAGCTTTCAGCAGCTTGTTGACTATGCCGCAAATTTGCCAGATCCTGCTTTCGAGCTTCGAGCTGAGCTTCGAGGTCTTTCATAATCATGTATAGTGTCTCAGCTTCATTTTCGATCTGCTGCAAGCTTTTGCCGGCGACACTCCGAGCATGGAACTCACGTTGGGCAAAGAAGTCGGGGTCAGGGCCTTGATTACTCATAGCCATTTCGTTAAGAGCCTGAGTTCCCGTCTCGATATGGTGCGATATAGCTTGTTCGGCGTGCCTCTGAGCATCGCATGCTTTACAATCATCATCGCGTTCATTCAGGACGCTCTCGAGTACACCAAGTAGTGGCACTTTGTAGTAACTTCCTCGGTTTCCGCATACGGCGTCCGCGCGACCATTCATCGACATGTTTCTGCATTGTCTGTTGCACTGTTGATAGGTGGTGACGTGGCCATTCCGACACATCTTGTGAGGTAGGACAACAATGTAGCACATGTTGTAAGCGGACCGCTGGCTTGGACGTGGTTCTTATGTTTGGGACTTTGGTGAACTTCCAAGAGGTATGGTTTATCTTAGTGTATTCTAGTACAGACTCGTGCTTTGATTTGTACTGATATGCGTCGGGGTTGTACGTCTTTGTCGCTCTTTCAAGATGAAATCGTCCAGGAAATACAGCACTTCTTATACATTGGAGGATCGCCAATCTTGTTTGAAAGACGCCGTCAATGACTCTGTCGTAGCGACTGCAACCCACTCTCCAGTCATCGAGGTCGGACATTCTGTTTACGAATGCATGAGTATTATGTTGAACTGCATGGATTCGTGCTTGATGTGAAACCTCCAGACATGAATAATCTGCTTGTTTGCGCGGGTGCGACGTCGCATCTTGCTATGTCGGGAATTTTAGACGTGGTGAGGTGGCGGAAGAGCAGATTCTGATTGAGCATTCGAGCATCTGAAATATAAGCCAAAGCACATCGCAGTCAGACAGGCTGAGCAAGATGCTTCCGACCACAAGATGCAACCGGGCGACTGTCCATGAATCCTTACTCACCTCTTTCCGGTTTGTGAATTGAGTGAATGGACACGATCATGTGTTTCGAACGTCGAGCGACTACTCGAGGACGCCATGATGGCAAGTGCGTGGCGACATGGACTCATACTTGACAACATTGCGTGTATACACGCGCAGCAAGAGAAAGAGTTCCTAGGTGATCGACTTACTCGCTCTTAAGGTCTCCGTATATCATTTCTGCTGAACCTTGCCCTGTCACGAGACGCAGTCCTCGACGTATGCATACAGGTGCGAGCCATAACGCGGAACTCGGTGCCCGGTTCACTACTGTAGAAGCAGCTATGCTGCTTCGTAGCGACCTGTCGTTACTTGTATGGAGGACGATGTCCTTACCACAAAGAATTCTTGGTTGAAGTCGGAACGCGTCTCGGCAGAGTTACTGTCCTGGTATTGCAGTATATCGTTCTTGAACCGCTAGTTTCATTCAAGTATGGCGGCTTCACAACGGGCCGAGCTTATCGTGTTCCGACATGGATCTGGATCTGGATAAGGAACGATACGAGTGACGTGATATCATCGTCCCCCCGGGACGATATGCATATTGTATCCATGTCTACACCCAAGTCTTGGCTAGAATGTGTATAGCCTCACATTACATGCTATAGTGAACAATTATACAGTATTTTTTTCAGCTGAGAACGATCAGCTCGAGAGCCCAAGCAGTTCAAGCAGTTCCCTTGCTCCGAGCACACAAGTTAAGAGCAGCCAGCACAAGATGGACATCTTCCTGAAATATGCTCCTCATTTATCCAAGAGCGCGTTGAAAGGATATGGATCTGGCAACACGGCAAGTCCCATGCACGGCCGAGGGCATTTGCTGAAGCTGCTTGACCTGCCCTGCGAGGTGAGTGCTTCAAAGGTTACCCTGCATTCGAGCTGCTGACCAACACCCTCAGATCTTAATGCAGATACTCACACCTTTTTCGACACATGCGCTCCTTCCTTTGACCCTCACTTGCAAAGAAGTGCACAATCTGGTGCTGCGCATTCTGCACTACCGGCTACTCCTTGCTGCCGCGGCTCCGGAATACAAAATCATCCTCGAGGCATACCACCCAGCACGAAGGTATACGAGACCATACCTCTACTGCGAATACCTGGGTACAGATGGTCTTACTGCTGAACTTGATGGAGAAGAGTCCCTCTACAATGATTGCGACGGCGTGAGCGGCCGATTGGGCAAGCTAGGTGCGCTCTACAGCAGATTCAGACCTGAACATCCAGGCGTAGAGGGCACGATACCCGCACGCAGGATCGCTGGCGCTACACCTATCCTCGCTCAGCCTACAGACGGCACTGGCGCGACCGCATCTGAGGGCTGGAGCCAGAGTACTTCACTTACCACTCCCATCTACCTCAATGCAGGAGATGGTGGAAAGAGAAAAGTCATACATACCATAAACCTCGACGGCGGTGAGTTATTTGGCCAATTCTGTACATATGGCAGTCTTGTGCAGCTCAGCGAAAGACGTGGCGTCTTCCTGAGTACAGTTAACATCGTGCAACCCGGACAGGGCACGATCCGCGTCTGGCGAAACTGGCTTGTCGATCGTTGCCGAGAACTCTACGAAGCTGAGAGGGATGGTATGGAGCTCGATTGCGCTTCGGTCGCCAAAGACTCGACGATTCTCTGGACCGATTATCACAAAAACGTTGGCGTAAAAGTCGCTGTCAGACACAGAAACCTCATGCACAATGAAATGAACGATCTTGATGAGGAAACGCTGAGCTGCGATCTGGAGATACAAGGTACGAGTTCCATACATACCAACAACTCCGTACTAACCAAACACAGAGCTTGTCGTCAGAACAACACACCTCACCCTCGCAGTCGAGGACTCCATCGCCGCAAAGGCCGACGCAGGCAGAGGTAAAGCTCTCATCTTTGGTAGCTTCGCGTCAAGAGCTGCTTGATAATGGAGTGCTTGAAACAGATGGCCATTTGCCATCTCTCTCCAAATCAATGAGCATGACCTGACTGGACTGTTTCTATAGGTAAAAGAGCATACATCTCCTGGCGGATGATTTAATCCACAAGATGTGAACCACCGCACTTGATAGCTAAACCCACGAAACGATGAGTGGTCCTTGGTTTGGCGGCAGCATCAACACAATTGTGGCCTGAAGTATGCTAGCACGCCTTCTGGCCATTACTGCGAAGACTCGAGAACTTCGACGGGAAGTTCTTCCAAAGCGTCGCCAAGTACAAAACGCAGATCGACATGAGGCCGGCCGAACGATGCTAGACTCCGATCATAGCGCGAAATTTTCAGGTCCGAGAAGATAGTCCCATCAACTTAATATCTGTAGCCAAGCACACCGTGGCTTCGGATCAGAATCAATAACCGCAAATCAATGCAGTAGAGAAGCACCGATTGACCAAAGAACGAGCAAGATCAAAGCGAGAACAATACGATCATCGCCATTGAGACTTGTGGCGGTGCAATGCATGAGACGCGGTCTGCCAAATATTGGTGTATGGAAACTAAAGATCCCTGAGATGCAAGACTGCACCGCACGACTAGGAAAATTGGAGGTGCACTTGCTTGCAAGTAGGACGAGACATCAGAGCCTTGCTAGATTCTAACATGGAGGAGGCGAGTGCGAAAGAGTGTATGGCCTGTTGTGAGGGAGTGAGGCTGGGCGAGGTGCGAAAAAATGCGTTGTGAATTACAAAGGTGTGATGCAAAATATTGATGGTATCTTTATCTTCGATTCATATCTTCTCGATGTTTATTCGTGTCGTCCTGGCAGTTGGCAGCCACTTTCTATCTCTTCCCTGCGTTACACATTCGTTTTGTGCATTGACTCATTCGTTCTTACAGCAATAGCCCGTATCGGGTCCAGCTTTTTCCATCTTTACATCCAGGCAGGTGTCTGCACTTCCTCAGCTTGCGTAAATAAGCGAAGCGTCTCAATAGGTTGCAGTACCGAACAATTGACCACACTGTCCCGACTTCACCACGCTCGGGCTACTAGTTTGTAATATCCGACATTGCCTTCGTGTGCTTCAGACAAGGTCTCGTTACAGCACAACAATCAGGCTTGCCGAGACCGCTCGAGATATGTTATGCACATAGTCCTCCCCAGTAGTGCCTTGTAATCGACGTTCCGATCATGAAGTCTTATCGCAATGATCTAATTGCTTCTGTGGCGGCATGAAGCCAGGCAGTCTTTCTATCCGATTATTAGGATGTCGGTACAATTGTGTGTTGTGGTTTATGCTTGCATCGTATCTCAACTCGTGTGGGCTAGGGCTCATCCCGCAGCATCAAGCTACTGTCTAAGTCAACCCCTTTCCAGTGTCAAGCTGTGGTGTAGTCAATGTAAGAGTCGCATCGTTGTCGACGAATCAGGCTCAATTTATCCAATCTTCCTGCCGACGTTACCGATACCACTACCAACAACACTGACGATAAGTTGTCCCTCACTCTTCACACCATCTTCAGTGGCATCTCTGATACCCCAACCAGCAGTACCGAAAGCACCCATGTCTCTGGCGAGCTGTATGATCTCTTCGCTTGCTAGAACGTCTCGGCCCAATTGTACACGACCAACGTCCTCACTGCCCATGCTCATCAACATCAACACAGTAGATGCTGCTTCGGAGGATATACAGCCACCTCGTGATATGCTCTCAAGCAAAGCATATGCGGCTCTTCGTCCTACTTCCTCAGGTGTCTCACCACCTTCGGCACCAGATGCTGCATCTGCACTGTATATCACACCCGGTGCAGTACTTTCTGCAACGAGACTCAAGCCAAAGCCGAGGCCGACCTTCTTCTTTTCGCCAGGCTCTTTTCCGGAGTCAATGAGTTGAGCATTACCCACGTCACTGAAGATGTAGATGTCGCCCACAAGTCGGTTCAAAACTCCTCGGGCAACTTCAATCATTCGTGCGTTGTTCCCACCACTTACACCTGTCGCATACGCGACGCCTCGTATCCTCTTCACTCTTCCGGATCTGAGCATATGGACTGTCTTCGGTAGCCGTACCTGATGGCCAAATACAACTTGTACTTCTCCAGCTCCGCTTCTCCCTTTAATCGCGTGACTAGGGTTACTTCTTCGATTTACCCGTATCTCCAGGTCCCTTTCAATACCAAACTGCGCATACAAAGGCAGGATAGCGGTACGAACTGTATCAACACTTACATCTCCCCACCTCTCAGCTGCGCTCGTGATCACGCCCGGCCCTGTGAAGAGAACATTGACTTTGCCTTTGCTGAACGGCGCCAGCAAGCACACTGCTAGCACCAGATATGATATTCCTCTCGTTACGCGTCCGTCGACTTCATGTCTTAGAATTCCATGTGCGTCAGCGCCCCGTCCAGGTACACTACCAGTGATCAATCCTGGCTTGTAGAGTAATGTTGTACCTGTATAGCTGATCTCGATATGTGATCCATTCGTTAACGATTCGAGGAGGCGCAGTAAGGATATCTCGGAAGGCGCAAGGCCAGGATTCGTAGGGTTCGAAGCACGGATTTGTGAAACGTGTATAGGTCGACCGTGCAGGGTCGCAAGAATGAGACGATTGGCGAGAGACTTATGTGTGGTGAATTTTATTGGTTTAGTGACTGGTTCCATTGTTGAGTTATGAGTGAGGACAAAGTCTTTCTGGTGAGGCGGTCCAGGCAATGTAATGAGCGTTATGTGCTCGTATGAGTAGTGCTGTAGCTGCTCAATTGACCAGAAGAATGCCGAAGAAAAAGCAAATCTGTTTCGACGCACATTAAGAACTGTCAGACAAGAGCGGCCATGGTCTATCGCTGAAGCCCAACCCGTGCATCAGTCGCGCTTTCCAACGTCGCTGCGAAAACATGCTGCGACTTTTTCTCCAACTTTTAGATGCAATCGCCCACATTTGAGCTAGCTTCATTTGCCCTAGCGTGGTCGATAAGCCTCTATCGCAAACTCTCTTCCAGACCAGACCGCGGCACGTCATGATTGTTTCATACTCAGCGCAGGAAAGGCGTTCAGCAGAGCTTAGAGGTCGCTTTTCGAGGACAAATTCTATGAATCAGTAAGACGTATAATACTCGAGTTGATCTCACTACCCACCACGGAATTGAAGTGGTCTTATTATATATCCAGCGAGGCAACACGAAGCAGAGCAGCGTGAATAAAAATCCCAGATGAGAGCGAGAGTTCCTTTCATTGTCCGCACGAGTTCTCCAGGTCTCGTACGCAATTCGACTCAGGCTACAAGCAGAGTGAACTCGTTTAGATCAGGCTCGCCAAAAACTTTCACAACTTCAAGACATTCAAGGATGGCAATGGCCTTGAATTTGCCAAAATGGTATGTAGAGACAGACCACCGAACGGAAGAGTGGAGGTATTAATACATGGCGATGCAGGCTTGAAAAGAATTCTCATCTCCTTCAGCCACCAGTGAACAATTATTGTGTCTACCATCCCGACGATCCTTCTACCTCTGGTCTGACCGTGATGGTTGTCGGAGGTCCAAACGCGCGTACGGATTACCACATCAATGAGACACCAGAATTCTTCTACCAACACAAGGGCAGCATGTTGCTAAAAACTGTTGATACATCCAAAACACCAAACGAATTTGTTGACATTCCGATCCACGAAAATAGCCTGTACCTCTTGCCTGCGAACACACCCCATAATCCAGTGAGGTTTGCAGATACTGTTGGTGTGGTGCTGGAGCAGAAGAGACCAGCTGAGTCGATAGACCATATGCGGTGGTATTGCAAGAATTGTAAAGAGATTGTACATCAAGCCTCCTTCCATTGTTCAGATCTTGGAACACAAATCAAGGCAGCTGTTCAAGCCTTCGACAAGGATGTTGATTCAAGGACGTGTAAGAAGTGCGGTACCGTCAACGAATCAAAACCTGCGCCAGGAGAGATTGTACAGCCACCAAGATTCCCAGAATAGATTTGTTCATATCGAATTAGGATTGAAAGATGTGGACAACGATCAACCATTCCAGTCTTGATAATTCGGTTTCTGATCTAGTGCATTCTGAGCCATGTCAATCGCCGACTGTGGCAGTCCAGCCATTTTCGCCACTCTCAAAGCATGAGACTTTCTATTCACTCCTGGCCGGAGCCTGTGGTTGAATGTGAAGGATCCAGAATCGTCTTCGTACAAATCCGTACAGTGCTGAGCCAGGTACGACCAGTCCTGTGTCTTATCTGCCATATCGTGGAAGTGTGTAGCAAAGAGGGTCCGACATTTGTTGATGTTGTACAGGTGGTGAAGGCTGGCATAAGCAATAGCCGCGCCATCCTCTGGTGCTGTGCCTCGACCGATCTCATCCATGATCACGAACGACTTGTCCGTGGCGTCTCTAAGGATATGTGCTGTCTCCAGCATTTCAACCATGAATGTCGACTCATTGCGAAAAAGGTCATCAGCCGCGCCGATCCGGCTAAAGACCTTGTCTACAATACCAATTTCTGCATATTCAGCAGGTACATAGCTTCCCATTTGTGCAAGAATGGTTATCAGGGCATTCTGTCGAAGAAATGTACTTTTGCCTGCCATGTTTGGTCCAGTAATCAGCCATGCTCGTGACTTGAGATCCAGGTGCAAGTCGTTGCTTACGAAAGACTGACCCTGTGCTTGCAATCCGAGTTTAACCGTAGGGTGACGTCCTCCGATGATGTCGTGTATCGGCTTGGAGGCAATGACAGGTCGCACCCAATTCTCCTCGCTGGCCAGAGTAGCAAATGATGTCGTGAGGTCGAGCTCATGCATCACAGCCGCGTTCTGTCGGAGAGGCACAAGGTTGTCGACCACTAGCTGACGTAGTGTCTCGAATATTCGCTGCTCCTCTTGACGGATATCAAATTTGACGCTGTCAATTTGTCGTCCAAGGTTGGTCCAATCTGCCAGATAGAAAGTCTTGATTGTCTTCAAGTTGCCAATAAGGCTTGCACCAATCTCCGTCAGCATTTCCTCTGTGAGGCCCTTCGCCCGAGGCGTCGAACATACGTGGCCATACTTTGTGTCGAACTTGAGCACGAGCCTTGGTGACATAAGCTGTTCTCTTAGTCGTTGTTGTAATTCGTGCTTGTCCATGTTTAGTGCATCGAGCTTGTCGTGGAGATGTCCTAGGTCAGTTGAGGCATTCCTTTGCATTACGAGAGGGAAATCGTTGTTGACTTTGGGCGACGATGAAGCCTTTCCCAAGCTGACAGGGCTGTCTGTTTGGAGAACTGTTTCTGAAGTGAAGCCGGTTGCTTCGTCAAGCTCTTCCTGGATCATTTCTTGACCTTGAGTCAAGTAATCGGTTATACCTTGCTCATCGATTGAGCTTCTGATCTGTATACTCATTTGCTGAGGTTTGTCGGCCACGAAACAGGAGGTGAGTTTTCTTAGTGCTATGCCCGTTGATGTAGTGTCGTTCATGTGGGAATTTAATAGTTGCACCATGTCACTCATTCTTTGTATAGTCCTTGCTAGACACAACAGGTCTTCTGCATCACCACGATTCATCACCAATTTTTGTGCTATACGAACGATGTCGTAGATTTGTCGTAAGTGTGCAATGATCGATTGATGCAAATCCGACGCTGCCATGAACGCGTCTACCAAGTCGAGGTGATACTTGATCTCTCCAGGATTAACAGAGGGGTAGAGTAGACGCTCCTTAAGCAGTCGCGAACCGCCTTTGGTCACAGTTCGCTGGATAGTGTTCAGCAGACTACCTTTGCCTAGACCGTCGCGAGCAGTCTTGAGTAGTTCCAAGCCTCTAATACTGCTGCGATCGATGGACATAGTATCGACTTCTTCTTTTCTCTGCGGAGGCCGTGGCTTCAGCTTCAGATCTAGTAAGTGGTTGTCAACATAATCGAACAGTTGTTGACAGGCTGCAATTTCTTGTGATGCGAGTTGAGAGCGCTCAGTCTCTTGCAGCGGACGATCGAGTCGCTGAGTCCACCGTGTGGCATCGCCGTCTTCTTCAGCCGACCTCATAACAAGTCGTTCAAGCGGCAGGCCCAGAGACAAGGCAACTTCTTCTCGAACGTGAGCAGAGACATTCTTCGAAAGCACAACTTCTGCAGCACCTATTCGCATGAGGGCTGAAGACATAGTAGCCCTTTCAGTAGTCTGAACAAAGAAGTCACCTGTAGAAACATCGATCCAGGCGAGACCAAGTGTCTTTGATTCTTCTGCGACCGCTTGATCGCTATGGCCGGACTGTTCAGCGTTGCAGTGTATGGAGAGCAGAAAATTGTTCTTTTCTTGATCCAGAAAATCCTCGTTGACCAAGGTTCCAGCAGTTACGACTCGTGAGACTCGTCTTGGAATGGGAGTCTGTAGTTTTCCTTGCACATAGACAGGATATTCGTCACATATTGCGACTTTCTTGTCAAGCTCTTGAACCAGTTTCTTCAAGTATTTACCTATGAATTGCAGCTGAAACCCAGCCATTGACGTTCCATCCTTGCCTTTCGACGCGACTCGGAGGTCAAGTTTGGGGCCGTATTCGTCGGCGTGCTCGAAATACAGCTGAAATTGTCAGTGAAGTCGCAGAACGACATAGGACTTGCATGCCTCGTAGAAATTGCCAACTTTAGTCAGGACAACACAATCGGGAAACTTTCTCATAGCATTCTGCACAACTTCTAGCAGTGATTCTTGTCGAAGATCATCCTTGTCTGACGGAGGTAAAGGCTCGCTCTTGAGCGGGCCTTGTATCAGGTCCTTGGTCTGGCGCTTCGAAACCCGTTTTGCAGCGAGTCGGCTGCTTGTGACAAAGTTCCTAGATACATGCCGGACATTGCAAGGTCGAAAGACACAACACGGCCACGAGGACACACTTATAGAAGGTCTCCGGGCTCTGGCGATACTCACATAACGTGTGGCTGCGTACATGAGCACTGAAAGAAGGTGCAAACGCGTCGCTACTGGTAGAACGCGATTGCGCCCAACGTGCGGAGTCGTTGCTCAATCCACTTTGCTGGTGTTGCACCTGTGTGGATCTACAAGCCAAGATCGAAGAAGCTTTCAGCTTTCGGAGGTCGAAAGGTTCCACAACCTTTCATATCTGAAAGCTATATAAACATCGATGTACACAATAGGTAAATCAGCAAACGACAAGGTAGACATTCTGCGACTTGTCTCTGGCAAGAGTGTCCTTGCTTAGCCTACCGATCATGGTCTTCGTGGAAAGACTGTCGAAAGGTAGCATGCTTGTTGTCTCACTCAACAGCTAACTATGTCGGGCACGATCATGAGGTCCACCACGTATGTGCTTCAGCTACACAGGCATTGTTCTAGTGTCAGGTCTACTCACCCATGCACTTTGCGATACTCTCTTTCAAATCTTTCACGTGACAAGTTGTCCTATAGCTAGATCTTCACTTCTTGGACAAGGACTTATTGACATTCTCTAGCAATCGGGCCTCTACAAGCGCCGCTCATTGTTAGAATACTGACATGAGATGTCTCAGCTAAGAGTCCTTATCGCGGGCGCATCTGTCGCAGGCCCAGCAACAGCTTACTGGCTTGCTAAAGCTGGAGCCAAAGTCACGGTTATCGAGCGGTTCCCGAAGCTGCGTACCAGTGGACAAGCCATAGATATTCGCACCAGTGGTCACTGTGATGCGGAAAATGGGTATGGAGGCTGCTGTACGTGCCAAGACAACCCAGTTGGAAGGCATCAGCTTCGTGCGCAGCGATGGCCGTCCGTATGGAGTCATTAGAGCTACTGGGAATCCCAATCAGCAATCACTAGTATCCGAGTACGAGATATTCCGTGGTGACCTAGCACAGATCCTCTACGACCTGACCAAGGACAACAAAAATATCGACTATGTGTTCGGAGAGCAAATGGAGTCCATATATCAGAACGAGAAAGCAGATGGAAGTGTTAAAGTCGAGTTTGCTAACCGATTGCCCACCTCGGAGTACGACCTGGTTGTGGCTTGTGATGGTGCAACCTCGAGAACTCGAGCCCTAGGACTCGGTATTGGAGTGCGAGATGACGTTGAGCCTACGAACTGTTGGGCGGCTTACTTTCCATACCTGAGGACCCCAGGCCAGTCCAACGTATACAGTGTCCCCATACAGCTCGTACATAGTATTGATAGATGATTGTGAGGAGTGAAAGTGAAAATTATAGAAACCCTGACCTCAAGGCGACCAGGCATGAACACTATGCCCAAAATAGTCAGGCGCCATCTTGGAACCTGCACTGCAGTGGGATTGAGTTCGCCCGCCGAAAAAGTTCACGATGAGTTGCCTCATGCATTTGTAGCCTTGTGCTTGAATTGTGACCCACGAAGCTTTGGCGCACTGCTTCATACATATGAACATGCATACGTGCTCTTACACTCTCTATCGTTTCTCTTCATTCTGAAGGGGTCTATGATTGAGTCGATGACCGACCGATCTTGCACATAGCAGTCACAGACACGATCAGGAATAAAAGTGGCTGTAGACATGGCCGACCCCAACAATGTGTCGCAGTACAAGTACTCGGCGATGTCCAACCTGGTCCTCCAGGCGGACCGTCGATTCATCAACCGGTCCAAGGACGAGCCAACTGGAGATCCAGAGTCTCTAGCTAATCGCATCAGTATTAAAGACATGGGCGCAAGAGTCTTCCGAGAAGATGCGCCAAGGAAGAAGAAGCTTGCATCAGGCTTACAAGGTATTGAGCGCGGTTCGATCAGAGAAGGAGAAGATGTACTAGAACGAGAGAAGCGGAAACGCAAGAGGGGTGAGCCTGCCCAAGCTAGAGCTGCTGGTGTCTTGTCTGCGGGCGATGCGCTGATAGAAGGACTCAAGTACCGCCCTAGGACTCCTGCCACACGAGCCACCTACGATCTACTCCTTACCGTAACTGCACACAAGCTCGGAGACGCTCCCCAAGAAGTCGTTCGAAGTGCTGCCGACGCCGTACTCGAGTTTCTCAAGGACGAGTCGATGAAAGATCTGGATAAAAAGAAGGAAATCGACGACATCATTGGAGAATCTCTGACTCCGAAAGAGTTCAATGAGCTGGCAAATCTGGGAAAGAAAATTACCGATTACAATGCGCAGGAAGACGATGAAGCTGTAGACGGAGACAACGACGATGGTGGTGCTGAGCTTGATGAGCGCCAAGGTGTAGCTGTAGTCTTTGACGAGTCTGACGAAGATGAGGATGGTGCTCAGAGAAACGAGGTTCTGGAACCAGAAGAAGACGACAGCGATGCAGAACCAGACGAGACCAGATCGGACGCTGAACAAGAACCACGTGATGAAGATGCACAGGATGGTATTGTCGAAGACGAGATGGTCATCGATGGTGGTCTCTCCAAAACCTCCAAGAAGAAGAGCGACACAGACCTCGTCCCGATACACGACATAGATGCATATTGGTTGCAAAGACAGCTCGGTTCTATCTACAATGATGCTCACATCCAGCAAACTAAGGCTCAGGAAGTGTTGCAAATACTATCTGGGAAGTCGCTGAATGGCAATGACATCTCCCTTCGTGACATCGAAAACGATCTGATGGATCTTTTCGACTACGAGCAACCAGAAATGGTTGGCAAGCTAGTTACTAACAAGGATCGAATAGCTTGGGTCACGAGATGGAGACGTGCTGCCGAGGACAAGAATGCAAGACTGCTCGTCGAAAATGAAATGATCGAAGCTGGCCACAGGCATATACTCGACCAGTTACGTGGTAAAGACGACGAAGATGTCGACGGAGACAGACCAGCCAAGAAAATGAGAATGGACCTGATGGATCTTGACGTACCCAAGGCAGAACAACCAGCAGATGCAGAGATGACCGATGGCGGACTCAAACGCGGTCTGCAGCCTCAGAGGTTGATCAAGCTCGAAAACTTGGTCTTCGAGCAGGGTAACCATCTCATGACAAATCCTAAGGTCATCCTACCTCAGGGCTCTACAAAGCGCACTTTCAAAGGATATGAAGAGATACACGTCCCACCACCAAAACCAAAGCGGGACGCAAACGAGAGGAATATCCCAACCACGGAGCTGCCGGATTGGGCAAGACCTGGTTTCGGTTCGGCCAAGGAGCTCAACAGGATACAGTCCAGGTGCTATCCAACCGCTTTCCAAGATGATGGCAATATGCTAGTCTGTGCTCCAACTGGTTCCGGTAAGACTAACGTGGCTATGCTGACCATGCTCCGGGAAATTGGCAAGCACAGAGACCCTGAGACTGGTCATATAATGCTCGACGACTTTAAGATTGTGTATATCGCTCCCTTGAAAGCCCTGGTGCAAGAACAAGTCGGAAACTTTGGCAAGCGTCTTGAGCCGTATGGAATCAGAGTCAGTGAGCTGACGGGAGATCGACAGCTCACTAAAGCACAAATTGCTGATACTCAAGTTATTGTCACAACACCCGAGAAATGGGATGTCATTACTCGAAAGGCAACGGACAGCAGCTATACCAGATTAGTACGACTCATTGTGATCGACGAGATTCATTTGCTGCACGACGACCGTGGCCCGGTGCTCGAGAGTATTGTCAGCAGAACGATCCGCAAGATTGAGCAGACTGGCGAGCCTGTGAGGATAGTCGGCTTGAGTGCTACACTGCCTAACTACCGCGACGTTGCCACGTTCTTACGCGCGGATCCTGAAAAAGGTGTATTTCATTTTGACGGCTCTTTCAGACCTTGTCCACTTAAACAAGAATTCATAGGAATAACCGAAAAGAAGGCCATCAAGCAGCTCAACACCATGAATGATGTGTGCTACACGAAAGTCCTTGAGCATGTGGGTACTAACCAGCAGCAAATGCTGATTTTCGTTCACTCTCGAAAGGAAACGGCTAAGACTGCGAAATACATTCGAGATAAGGCCATCGAGAATGAAACCATTGGCCAAACTATGCGCACGGACGCAGCAAGCCGACAAATTCTGTCCGAAGAGGCCGAGACAATGCTTGACGCCAATCTGAAAGATCTCTTACCATATGGATTCGGCATACATCATGCTGGTATGAACGTTGCAGATCGTACCTCAGTTGCAGAGCTGTTCGCTGAAGGTCACATTCGGGTCCTGGTATGTACAGCTACTCTTGCTTGGGGTGTTAACCTTCCAGCACATACAGTCATCATCAAAGGAACTCAGGTATACTCACCAGAGAAAGGTAGCTGGGTCGAGCTCAGCCCTCAGGACGTACTACAAATGCTGGGTCGTGCAGGTCGTCCGCAGTACGACTCTTATGGTGAAGGTATTATCATAACTTCACAGAATGAGATCCAATATTACCTGTCACTCATGAACCAGCAGCTTCCGATAGAGAGCCAGCTCATAAGCAAGCTTGCAGACAACTTGAATGCCGAGATTGTACTCGGAAATATTCGAACTCGTGATGATGGTGTTGACTGGCTGGGTTACACTTATCTCTTCGTCCGTATGATCAGATCACCTGGACTGTACAGCGTTGGTGCCGATTACGACCAAGATGAGGCTCTCGAACAGAAGCGGGTCGATCTCATCCATTCCGCAGCTACTGTTCTAGAAAACGCTGGCCTGGTCAAATATGACAAGCGAACGGGCGTCCTACAAGCCACAGATTTAGGCAGGATTGCATCACACTACTATATCACCCATCGCTCGATGCTGACCTACAACTTACATTTGCAGCCAACCGTCAGCACAATTGAATTGTTTAGGATTTTCGCTCTAAGTGATGAGTTCAAATACATCCCTGTGCGACAAGACGAGAAGCTCGAACTCGCAAAGTTGTTGGGCAATGTCCCAATCCCTGTAAAGGAAGGTATGGAAGAGCCACACGCCAAGATTAATGTGCTACTACAGGCATTCATCTCTCGACTCAAACTTGATGGTCTTGCTCTGATGGCGGACCTGGTTTATGTTACTCAATCGGCGGGTAGAATTCTGAGAGCTATCTTCGAGATCTGTCTCAAGAAGGGATGGGCCTCGGTTGCGCTTAACGCTCTTGAGCTCTGCAAGATGGCCGAGAAGCGAATGTGGCCGACGATGACACCGTTGCGACAATTCCCGAGATCGATGTGTCCACCAGAATTTGTAAGAAAAGCTGAGCGTATTGACGTGCCATGGCAAAGCTATTTTGACCTCGACCCACCACGAATGGGCGAGCTCATTGGTCTTCCAAAAGCCGGTCGTATCATCTGTGACCTTGTTTCCAGATTTCCTCGACTTGAGGTTCAGGCTCAGGTGCAGCCAATGACTCGGTCAATATTACGGGTCGAGCTAAATATCACGCCTAATTTCACCTGGGATGATGAATTGCACGGAACAGCAGAAAGTTTCTGGATCATTGTCGAGGACTGTGATGGGGAAGAAATACTTTATCATGACTCCTTTATCTTGCGAAGAGACTATGCTCTGTCCGAGATGAATGAGCACCTGGTGGACTTCACTGTTCCTATTACTGAACCGAAGCCTCCCAATTACTTCATCACGCTGGTATCTGATCGATGGATGCATTCGGAAACACGACTGCCTGTCTCATTCCAAAAGTTGATTTTACCAGAGAGGTTCCCTGCTCATACTCAGTTACTGGACATGCAACCTGTGCCAGTCCAAGCTTTAAAGCGCAAGGATTATGTTGAAATTTACAAAGACTGGTCTCACTTTAACAAGATACAAACACAAGTGTTCAAGTCCATGTATGACAGCAATGATAGTGTATTCGTCGGAGCTCCATCTGGCAGTGGTAAGACAGTATGTGCCGAGTTCGCTCTACTAAGACATTGGGCCAATCCTGAAGCTGGTAAAGCAGTATATGTCGCACCATACCAGGAAATCGTGGACAATCGATACAACGACTGGCAGAAGCGCATTTCGCATCTTGGTGGAGGAAAAACATTGTCAAAATTGACTGGAGAGACGACGGCCGATCTGAGGTTGCTCGATCGGTCAGATCTTACACTTGCCACACCTACACAATGGGATGTCTTGTCGCGGCAATGGCAACGAAGAAAGAATGTTCAGAACACCGAGCTATTCATAGCGGACAACCTACACCTGCTAGGTGGTCAGGAAGGATATATCTACGAGGTGATCGTGTCACGCATGCATTACATCCACATGCAACTCGAGAACAATCTACGCATCATCGGCCTGAGCGTACCTCTGTCCAATGCTCGCGATGTCGGAGAGTGGCTTGGTGCGAACAAGCACACCATATACAACTTCAGTCCTGCTGGTCGACCGGTCGGTCTGGAACTGCACATACAGTCTTTCTCCATTCCTCACTTCCCTTCACTGATGATCGCCATGGCAAGACCAGCCTATCAATCGATTGTTAAGTTGTCGCCTGAAAAACCAGCTATTGTCTTCGTACCTGGGCGAAAGCAGGCTCGGGCAACAGCACTCGACCTTCTGGCTGCCGCCATTGGGGATGATAGCGACAATCGATTTCTCAATAGCGAACTCGACGAGCTGCAAGCAATATTGGAGCGTGTCCATGAACGTGCTTTAGCTGAGTCTATCACCCATGGTATCGGCTACTACCACGAAGCATTATCGTCGAATGATAAGCAGATTGTGACAGCACTATACAATGCTGGGGCGATACAAGTTGTGATTGCATCTCGTGAAGTTTGCTGGGAACTACCCTTGACTGCTCATCTTGTCATCGTTATGGGCACTCAGTACTTCGATGGTCGTGAGCATCGGTATATTGATTATCAGATCAGTGAGGTCTTGCAGATGTATGGTCGTGCTTCTCGTCCAGGACTCGATCCTATTGGTCGAGGTGTCTTGATGGTGCCGGCTGTCAAGCGCGACTACTATCGCAAATTCTTGAATGAGGCTTTGCCAATCGAGTCGCATCTTCCTGTGTACCTTCACGATGTCTTTGTCACCGAGATCAGCACTAAGACCATTACCTCAACGCAGGAAGCCGTCGACTGGACAACATACACATATTTCTATCGTCGCCTGCTTGCCAATCCGTCGTTCTATGGCTTGAACGACACGTCTCATGAAGGTCTATCAACACATCTCTCTGAGCTAGTTGAAGATACCCTCAAAGAACTTTCCGAGGCGAAGATCATTGACCTCGATGAAGAGGATGACAGCATATCACCTCTAAATCCAGCCATGATTGCAGCTTACTACAATATCTCGTTTATCACGATGCAGACATTCTTGCTATCACTCACAGCTCGCACGAAACTCAAGGGTCTCCTCGAGATTGTCACATCTGCTACGGAATTTGAATCTATTCAGATGCGACGCCATGAAGAACACATTCTACGTCGTGTCTACGACCGTTGCCCGGTCAAGATGTCAGAACCGTCATTTGGCTCTCCACATTTCAAGGCTTTCGTTCTTTTACAAGCCCACTTCAGTCGTCTGCAACTACCAATTGACCTCGGTAAGGATCAAGAGGAAATTGTGTCGAAAGTTCTCAACCTGCTATCTGCCTGTGTGGACGTCCTCAGTTCAGAAGGTCATCTGAACGCAACCTCGGCCATGGAAATGTGCCAAATGGTCGTGCAAGCAATGTGGGACCGCGACAGTCCTCTGTTACAGATTCCGCACTTCACGTCTGAAACAGTAGGCGTCTTGAACAAGGCTGACGTCAACGACATCGAAGGATTGATGGAAGCTCTCGACCCGTCCGAGAACTCAGATTACCAAAAACTCATAGCGAAAATGGGTTTGAACAACAAACAACTTCAGGACGCTGCAGCTTTCACGAACGAGAAGTATCCTAACATCGAGCTGGATTTCCAAGTGCTTGAGCCTGATTCAATCACCGCTGGCGAGCCATCCTATTTGGCCGTCAAGCTGACGCGAGGCGACATAGAAGAGGACGAAGAGCCTGAAGAGATCGATCTCAATGTCCATGCACCTTTCTACCCTGGCAAGAAGACGGAGAACTGGTGGTTGGTCGTTAGCGAGGAGAAGGAGAAGAATCTACTTGCTATCAAGCGTGTCACGGTTGCGAAGAGAGTCTTGGACATCAAGTTGGAATATCTTGTGCCTAAGGAAGGCCAACATAAGTTGAGTTTGCTGCTTGTCAGTGATAGTTACATGGGCGTCGATCAAAGTGTGGCATTCGAGGTAACCGCTGCACCGGGTGAGGAAGAAGACGAGGAGGACGGTGATGCGATGGAGGAATAAGCTCGCTCGGTTTGAGCAGTGCTGCAAACTGGCGGCATCGTCGTTGATAAGGCTCATAGAATCCAAAATCCTCTGCGAGGGTCATTATATCCCTGTCAAGTGCCTTGTATATGCAGCAATTGAGAACGCGAGGATTTCCGTTATACTGAGCCTGCAAATATTGTAGCTATCAAGTCCGAGATTGTAGTATCATGTCGACGTTGTGGAATTGGGAAAAGGCAGTTGTGGACGCATGGACAGTAACCAGCATCTTCCTTGCTTGCAAAGTGGCCGGCTCATATAGCCGCGTATGCACTGACAAGCAACGATCTCAGGTACAAAAATAGTCCCGCAGACGGCATTTTCAGGGGGTCCGATGCCTGAAATCAACCCAAAGTTGCTGGTAGGCAATCAGTCACTTTTCGCTTCGACAATATGCCTGTATCGATGATTCTCTGATTATCGGGTTGATTGGCAATGACGAGGACATGCGAATCCACTAGCCACGCCAGTGGTGCAGCAGCTCGCGTGATCTGACTACCATCCGTCTGGACTTGTATTGCTTATCCTGGGCGAACATAGAGTGTAGTGTCTCAACGATTGAGCTGAATTTGATCGTGTAAAGTGTTTCGGCAAAGCACTATAGTTGCGTGATAGACCATATCGGTTGTAAGGCCAGTCATTAGACGTGTGTCGACACCAGGCATGTCGAGCACTGATGAGCTATGGCATAACGATATCAGTGCTAATGCAGATATCCGCCATCCAGAGATTAGCGGTAGCATGAACGATGGCATCAAGGAGGCGCACGATCGCATTGATGGCAATGCTCAACACACGCTAACCAGGATGCCGGTAAGCCAACTATCTATAGATGGCGAAGCTGCAGCTCGAAGAACGGGAATACCACACGTTCATACGGTATCAGAATCACACCAAAACAACAATTCTACCAAGCCCCCCTCCCACTTCCCAATCGTGGACCTCCCCCTCGAACTCCAACGTCTAATCTTCTACCACTACCTCGGCGGCCCCTACGACATCACCCTCGAAAATAAACGCATCAACATGCTCTGCTCCCGCTTCCTCATCTTCGGCATACCATCCAACGCACTCCTCCTCACCTGCCGGCACTTCAACGACCATGCTGGTCCCATGCGTAAAGCGCTCTTCACGGGCCGTCTCGTCCTCCACAGCGTCTTTATCCTGGTGGACCTGAATCGACGGGAGAGGTTCGAGTGGTTACGAAAGAACATCCAGTGCTTGCATTTTAGTGATTCTTCAGTACATCCGGAGCGATGGAGTCGGTATTTTGATTCGTTGACTAGTTTGAGAAGGTTGGAGATCAATTTTCCGATTGTGAAGAGGTTGAGGGTGCCGGCGTCGTGTGTTGGTGGGGATGAGGAGCCGGCCGTGAGGGTGGAGGATTTGCTGATGGGTAGGGAAGATGCTCTTTTGTTGGCGAATCTGGATCCGTTTCAGATGGCATTGGTAGAGAGTTTGAGTAGTAGGAGGCTGGAAGTGGTCGTGACGCAGAAGTATGCTTGCGGTAGAAAGACGTCAGACACAGCAAGGGAGGTGAACCAGAACCAAGATGGAGTTATAGTAAGTACTTCCCACGACATGTCTTGCCTCGATTCTGTCTTGTACTGCTGTCTCGACGATTTTTACTCAAACACGATGCCCTGACGCTGTCATTTCTAGGTTGTCGAGATCAAACTCAACGAGAACGGAGCACAAATCATGAGCCGTAGACGAGGAGACTGTCATGCAGATGGGACAAGTTTTGTGAAGCGGCATGCAGAACTGTAAGGCTACTATTGCCCTTGGTATTCAGAGTCAGGAATGCTGACGTCAATTTATAGAGTCAGAGCGAACGGCAATGTCATCGACGAGGGTTCTCATAGGTCGATATGGGAGTGGTATTCTGCAATGAACAGTTGATTCTCGGGCTGAATATGGAAGCACCAGGACCGACCACCTGCGCCAATGGTAAGGTGGCGGGGGTTTCGTCCGGAGAGATGCTTTGAGTCTGCTCATGCGACGGCAGGTGTCAAACATGGACAACGACTGCGACGCAGGCCACACGCCCGTACTTCCACCGTGACTACCGTCCCGCTTTTCTCAACAATGACCCATATCGATCAGGAACATCCAGCGATCATCAAAGCAACCTGCAGTCGTCTCGGTGTTCGTCTTCGTGTTCAACATGCTCAGCGTATTGATCTGGGCCAGGCCTCTTTCGATCCAAGGTTGCTTGTATCATCTCGATTGCACAAATGCGTGAGGACGGAGGAATCCGCTGAGGCTACTTGCACGGGATTTGGTGTGTAACACTGCAAGTTGCGCCTGGTCGTATTTTCGCAAACGAGCCTATGATCTTCATCAGCTCTTACATGCCGGCTCTCACCTTCGGTATGATGTTCGAAGTGGCCTGCTAATATCCTTCTTCGGGTTGTCAGTTAGCAGATACGAATGGTCGCAGTGAAAGATGGCCTTCGGACGAAAGAAAAGATCTATTAAGCGAAACGTGCTCGACACCTTGTGCCTGATCGTACACGATCGCAGCAGCATCGCAGTTGTGCTCGCGTGTCCTTGCCAGGATTTTTATTCATTAGAGACAACTCCTCGATTTGCATGTGTTGCAACGTCTCTGACACCGGACATGCTAGGTGCATGAGGACACCAGATTAACGTTTACAATATTTAGAAAACAACAGGGACTTTACACCCGATTCCTCCAAATACTCGTCCGGCAAGTAGTAAATACAATAGTTTCAGAGACGTGTAGAGACCAAGAACCATTGGTTTTCAAAATCAATGACTCGGGCGTGAGTTTACAACTTAGCTATTAATGGTTAAAGGTGGACTCCTCCTGCCTCCTGCCACGACGCGCCCAGCTCTTGCCGAAACGTTCGTTTCGTTTAGTGGCCTCTGCCAATCACCGCGTTTTCACGGTTTTCAACGTGGTCGCGTTTTAATGCAACGATACCTTTGGGAATTGATCTCGAAAACGTCAATTGTCCGACGAACGTTGTATCCGTCGATCCTCTCTGATGCTGTAGGAGAGCAGAGCACTTCGGGCTGTGCGTCAAGATAGCTCACCTGCAACAATGCGTTGTGGAAGATCATCTTTGTTGAGGCAAAGAGGCGTCGCGATTGGCCACGCGGCGAGCTGAAAGAAATCCCCGTCGTGAGGCTGAAACGAGGAGCCTCAGATTCAGACCGGCTCCTGCTATCCCTCCAGCTAGGCTTGGCACTTCCGCATTCTAGACGCCTCCTGATCCACTAACCCCTTACCTTAGAGTTCCGCTGAGACCTCACAGACTTTTACAAGTGTCAGCGCGTTGAGTTTTTGTGTTGTCAGTTATTTTTATCTTTGTTCCTTCACCATCTTTTTTGTACTTTGAAGAGGCTGTGCCCTTCCACTCATTCTTTTCATCACTGAACAGTTCACCTATCTCAACGAATACATTCTTTAGACGATCAGCAACTCAACCAAAATGGCTGACGTTACTGACACAACCCACACGCCAGCTACGGTCAAATTTCAAGCTTCTGAGAAGTCGAAGGATGCAACAACAACTAATCATGAGGTCGCATCTTCCAGTGGCTCTACCACAAAACCAGCTCGCAATATCGAATTTCAACCACCAAGCAGATACATGACGACCCAAAGTCTGGGAGTCGATGACTACTTTGCTGGACCACGAGATATTCAGAAACACTCCAAACTCCCGTTTTTCATGCGAATGCATGGCAGTATTATGCCGAAGATGATACTGCCACTAGCGTTTGTATGTGCTTGGGCGACTGCCATAACCTGTATCTCCAAGCTTGTGCACGCATTAGGTGGGTTGGTCGATCTGTCGGGTATTCTGTCTGCTGACCATTCTCTACAGAGGTCGATACTGTACTTCTTACTGTTTTGGGTTTCGTCGTTGCTTTTGGCCTTTCCTTCAGATGTTCTACAGCATATGAAAGGTACAATGATGGACGAAAATATTGGTCTCAGTTGACACTTGCCTCTCGCAATCTAGCCCGCACGATATGGATCAATGTCGATGAACGAAAGGATGCCGAACATCCAGAGTATGCCAAACAAGATTTGCTCGGAAAGGTATCTGCGATTCAGCTGATCAACGCTTTCGCTGTGGCTCTCAAGCATCGTCTACGATTCGAACCCGCAGTAGATTATCCAGATCTAAGCAACTTGGTGGTTCACCTTCCTGGTACTATGGCACAACATGCTGATCAGTCCGGACTTCGACATCGTAAGCCATCTCCTCTGAAGAGACTTGGCGAACATCTTGGTGTTACCTTTGCTCAATCCAACCCTCGAAAGTTGTTGAAAAGATCACATCAAAACTTGGGAAATCTTCCACACGAAATTTTGGCACATCTGTACGCCTATATCGAGAAAGTAACAACCGACGACGAAACACTGAAGAGCGGTGTCTGCCAGTCAAATGCTTACAGCGATATTCGCAGCTTAGGCGATGTGCTTACTGGTACTGAACGTGTTCTGAACACACCACTGCCTCTCGCCTACAGCATTTCCATCTCACAGATTACCTGTAAGCAGAGCAATCCTATCTTCTCCCTTTTTCGAGCCAGCTAACCACGACACAGGGGCATATATTGTGGTGCTTCCCTTCCAACTCGTCAAACAACTCGACTGGATCACCATCCCAGCTACAGCCATTGCAGCATATATTATCCTCGGTTTGGCTATGATCGGCCGCGAAATCGAGAACCCCTTCGGCAACGACGTCAACGATCTTCCGTTAGAACTCTTCTGCACAGAAATTGCCGCCGACCTTGACGTCCTGACCAGCATTCCAGCCGATGAATACAAGAGCTTTGTCAAAGCATCTGAAAATCGACCCCTTTTCCCGCTGAGCTGGGGCACGGCAGCAGAGTGGGAGGCTCAAAGCATGGAGGAGATCAGGGAAGCTCTGAGAGCAAAGGCAACTACGAGCTCGAAAGATATTGAGTTGGAAAGAGCAAAGTCGAACAATGCTGATATTCAGGCTGTGTAAATCTGTTGGAAGATTGAAAAGAGATAGATATTGTGTTGGTCATCTGAGATGATCGTCTGGTACATAACACTACAATCAAGCGATGGCGCTGGCAGAAGAGTTCTCGCCGGTTCAACTTACGAATTCCCATCTTTAGCGAGCGAGCATGTATAGAACTTTGTATAAACTAAGTCGTTCAATTCTCGAAACTACATAAGTAATCTGACCCAACCTGCTCCTCTTGACTTGCAACCAATCACTCTCTCGAGGGGGTCGTTCAACGCACATAGCTTGTCACCTACCAGCTGTGTAATAACGTTGATAGCTATTTTAGATCGCAGGTACGATGTTCAACCTTCAGGTTCAGTGTGTTGTGCTACATCTTACCGAGCTGATCCTCACATGACGCAGCAACTACCGTCACCCGACTCCTTCTCCGTAGCAAAGTCCCTGACCGACGTTGCACTCGAAACACTACCAGGATTTTCCGTCGCAGTATCAGCACGAGCGTCCACCACATGCAGTATCAACGGCAAAATGGTCAACAGCGGAAACACAAACACGGACCACACCAGAGGACTAAACCAGCTGCGGAATGGTCGTCGATGACGTGCGGCGATGGCGAACATCACGGCCACAAGAAGTCCCGCAAGCGCTATTGGCCAGAACAAAGGGCTTGTAGAATCCCATCTCTGTTGGTCCTTGGTCTGGTGTGGCTTGTCGATGTTGGATATCGCGAAACAGGCTATTAGATGAGCGAAGGCGGTGAGCGCCCAGGGCATGATTATGTAGCCGGCGTAGCGTTGGAGGCGGGCGATGTGATCTTCGTTGAGGTTGTTGCTTCGTGGAGTTGCTGGCTGAGACTGGCTCGTCACAGGTTGGTAGGTGGTTGTAGCGCAGTCACTATGCGTCGTTTGTGCTTCCATATCCGGCACTTCCTGTCTTAGAGTTGTCGTGGACAATTTTGGTGCTATATGGGCTGCTCCAGGGGGTTCGAGACCGCTCTGTAGGTATCTTGTGGTGTATGATGGTGGTCTCTCGAGCTCAACAGCCTTGTAAGAAGGAGGTCGGCTGCTGTGGGATGGGGCAAATGGTGACGAGGATTGGGAAGTCTCATGATTGGTAAGGGCCCAAGATCCAATGCGAGGATTCATGGAAGCAGCCATTTCGCCGACTTGAATTGCTCTGGTATTATTCGTGCGGTATTGTCCTTGTATGTGCCCGTATTGTGGTAGAGAGGGTCAAGCTGGAGCAGATGTGATCTTATATGGCTGGCTTGCGTACAGGTCCTCGGGGTCCATATCAGGATTTTTGCCGAATGCAGGTTGAGTGCATTTCGAGAACGATAATATGCTCAATTCTAACACCGTTAAGGTTGAAGCGTATTTTCGAATAGTTCAGAGAGCGGTTCTTTCTGTATCAATATGGCCATCTTGGTCGCTCGGCCACTCAACTGAGCCTCATGGGGGAGAAGATAAGATCCATACATTGCACATCAGCCGGACGTCTCGAGCAAAGGACACATATCATCACGAATGGGGTCGTTCAGTTCAAGAAGCGCGACAGAGTATGAATGCAGCATCTCAATTATTACCAGTGCCTGGTCCTACTCGTGCCTGCGGTGCATCGAGCTCAGAGAGTGCGTTGAGAAAGAGACTTCAAGAAGTGGCTGCCTTACTAAGTCCACAACGAAGTCTTGGCAACAGAAGACACATTTTTCTTGCACCGCGCTCAGTCTCTGCCTTGTCTTTAGCTTGCCGCTTTTAAGCTCGGCTTACCTACCCTGCGCTTAACTTACATCCTTATTACCTCGCGCTTATCTAAGGCTTACAGTACTAAGCGCGTGCTAGGTTATGTGACGCGCTACCTGCCTGGCTGCCTCTTCCGTAGGACTGGCCGCATATCCATAACCAGGTCGTCGTTAGGTCTTGCCCATAACAATATCCTAGTAATTGCCGTAGCATTTGTCGTGGCTTGTGCATAGTTGCATAATAGATCGTGGCACTGTAGATTCTAACAAGTTGCGAGCTTACCTTCTGGATGATCGACAATTTCGCCATGCTCGTTATATACTGGGTACGGGAGCCAGTAATTGTCGCCTACTCGCTTCTCAATGAGGCCTTCATCATTTAGCCGATACACACTCCGTTTATATAGCCGTCTAAATTTACCCCATCCATGAATTTTGGCTTCCAAGGCTTGCATCCGGGCGAGTTTAGCTACGGGTCAAGCAGATGCGGCAGATGGCTTTAGGTCACGCCCATCTTCCATCTCTTTCTGCCCCGCTGCCGACGACCACCTGTTGTGGTGATGAACATTGTTGCACCTGTGACTGGAGAACATTTTGTTCTATCCTGATTCTGGTCGACAGCGGTACTCAGACACAAGCTTGTGAAATGCGAAGCCATCACCAACAACGAGGCTTTGTGTTGTGGTTGGGCTTGTTAACACCAAGAAAATACATATTATGCATGTCAGTGCGTCTAAGCGATTGTCCCTCTCGTTCATCGCCCACGCAACACGCTTATATGGCTATCGTGACGGAAAGTGGTGCTCCCACCATGAATAGGTCGTGCTGTGGTTGATCATAAGTATCTAGGATGCAATTTTGGAGACCAGTTGATTTCACGAGTGTGAACGGCACCGGAAAAGCCACCCACGACACGAAGGTTACGTTTCAGTCTCCATCTAGCCGTTACTGGGGCCTCGTCTCCAAAACCTTGCTGAGTATGTCGGACTGTGTATTTGGTGGAACGATTGACCACATAGAAACTGGGGACTTGCAGATTACACTTACAATGTTGCAGGTCTCGAAATTCATGACGGCAGTGAAGTGAGACAGTGAGCTCGCAGCCCCGCCAGCATTTCTAAGTCGCCTTTGCAAGGTCACTGACTAAGAGATGTCACAGGTTCGTTAAGTAACCCGTGTGGTGAGGAAAAGCTCGAGCACCTCTTCTTCAGATCTCAATACCGTCGCGCTGTCGAAGTCGAAGTGCGACACTGGACGTGGTTTGTCGTACAGAATGTCCAAATCACTGTGATAGTGAAGTACTCAACGAATTAAACAGCCTACACAGTAGATACCAGACATTGATCATTGCATACAGTCTTGCATCCAAGGTGTTCAATTTCAAGGTGGTGCAGAAAAATGTGTCTCCGTCTACATCATCCACCATTCAACTTCACGCACAATTAACAGAAATGGACATGCCCAAAATCTGCTCTGATTGGCTGCAATGCACACTGGAAAATGGTAAGGCAAAAAGGCAAGCGCCACGAACCAGGCTTGCAATTGGGTGACTGCCTTTTCTCTCAAGGTCATCATACTGATAGGCTGTACTCTCAATCGATAATAGTTAGAGTCTCGACAAAGCAAAATTCCGAACCCCGCAAGTTGTTGCTCTACGCAAAATGAGAGCCTTCTCTTGGCCGAAGTCCTCCTATCTTGTCATGGTAGAGTCGATCGCCTCATTGAAAATCATTAACTTCTGCTTCTGAAGATTGCCGAGAGGTGGTCAGTACTGGTGTGAACGCGTTGGACTCAGACTGGATCATTCACCATGCGACTGCTCTACAAAAATTCCAGGGGTCAAATCGTTTTAACCCGGAAGCTCTATCGGACACCATCCGACCCGTATGCTATACTGTCGCATACCTGGAGTCTAGAAGAAGATGACGAAGTCAATTTCCAGGATGTTACTGCCGGTCATTGGAAGGGAAAACTTGGTGCTCAAAAGCTTGAGTGGTGTGCCGACAGAACTAAGGAGGCGGGTCTGAAGTATTTCTGGGTCGATACCTGCTGCTTCGACAAGACCTCATCTGCGGAACTGAACGAAACTATTACTTCTATGTATAGGTACTACAAGAACGCCAAGGTCTGCCTCGTCTATCTCGCGGACATTGACAATCCTGACCGGTTTAAAGGCTGTAAATGGTTCACTAGAGGATGGACTCTGCAAGAACTCCTGGCACCCAACGATGTTCAGTTCTTCACGCCCAGAGGAAAGTACCTAGGTGACAAGAAATCACTCGCAAGCCAGATTCAGAGGATTACTGCTATTCCAGCAAGTGCCTTGTCCGGAGAATCGCTCTCCAAGTTTACGAGGAATGAGCGCCTAGCATGGGCGAAGGGACGAGAGACTAAGCGCACAGAAGACTGGTCATATAGTCTTCTCGGAATACTTCAGGTTGACATGTATATCAATTACGGTGAAGGAAATCGAGCCTCAACTAGGCTCAAGGAGGCTATCAAGGTAGCCGACGAGAAGGGCAATCCGAAAAACAGGAACAGAGCGGCAACTCCGACAACTTCAAAGACTAAAGCTAGTACCGGTAAGATCACTGTTCCGAAAGCTACGGAAAGGCCAAGAGTCTCGAGCAATCAGAACGTCAAGCAAAAGGCACGCAAGTCGAGTACACCAAGACTTGATCGCGCGTTGGGTGCTCGAGCTTCACTTCCGAATGGAGTCGTGACAGGTTCCGGACACTCACAGATACCTCAACGCGATAGAACAAAACAAGGGGCTAGACGGCCTGAAAGTAGGCAAAAGTCACGATCACGAGTTGACTCGAGCAAAGATACGAGAAGGAGTCTCACTAGTCAACAAAAGTCTAATACTCGAAACCTGAATACTGCAGGCTCGAGTCCGATGAAAAAGCCGAAACGAAGATTTCTTTGTGTCTGATACATTGGTGAAGGCGTACAGTGATCGAGTCAGGAGGACAAAAGTCTTGCTTCTTGTCTTTGAGACTTTCCGCATGGGATATGTTGTGAACTTCGAAAGTTCGCATAGATCTTCGCAACGCTGCTCCATCGCAAGGTACTCAATCATTCCGGGTGGTCGTCATCACAAGACGCAGACTCACCTCATCTGTTTCCGATTCGAAGTTTGCGATGGCAGGAACGACAAGGTCAGGTTAGCTTCGCCTAGATGCGCCTGCTTCCCACCACAGAATTTTGGAGAATGCTATGCAGATTTGGGTGCAAATAGCATGATGCGGTCGTAATTGTACGAGACAAGGCTGCAGTATGACCTGTCTCCCGGCCGGCTTATCAGCTGATAATCGTTGACATAAGGGTCGCTATCATCGTATAGGACTGTTAATATGAGCAGGTGTACCAATAATCACCCACGCTCATGAGTGATTAATAACGATTACCATCGCTTCCTCATCCATCGACGTTTCGTTTACTGGACGCTGAATCGGTCAAAAAGAATATCTGATAGAGGTGCCATCCTGCCCAACCATATGCACTAGTTTCCAGACAACAGTGTATTGGTCAACAGCCGTAACCCCGTGATGCTCTCACGTATACCTGGCGAAGAACGTTCAATGCTCACGACGATCGTAATGACTAAATGAGGCGACGAGCTCGATGCAGATTTCGCACCGCTTGGCATATCCTTGCACTAAATCATCACAAGTGAGATAAACTACATGTCTTACTCGTTGTCGACCATCAATCATCCCACCACTTCCTTGTTAGCCGCCATAAACCACATTGATCTGGTCTACGAGCATGTGATATTGCTAATACACTCGTCTTACTAGATTGACAGGAGCCATAAGCGAGTGTGCTCGAAGTTTTATGAAATTAACTGCACCATACTGACCTCAAGGCAAGAAGTTGATTGACAACTGCATCGAGCCACGACTTGATACTTTAGATGTTCTTGAGAACTGTTCCAACACATATGTCCTTTGGCCGTCACGATGGCACGTTCGACGACGACCATGACACGCGCCCGACCAGCTGTTCAAACAGATATGGAACGACCGATCGAGCCCTAACGAAGACCTCGCAATGCACACGTATCAGATTGCTTACTCACAGTCATATTCCTCATACGCCTCTACGCTGTCAAAGACGACCTTCTATGATTCTTTGTCATCATTTTCTCCTTCTCCTTCCTCATTGCCAGATCCGGCGAGTCTAACCATTGTTATACAGTTTGCTCGCCTTAACATAGAAAACTATTCTATGAATACCGTCTAACCAGCAAAGTACTCTTTGTGCTAGTTTGAGGCGCCTATACTCGGTCTGAACCATCAGACAGGCGCTAGCAGTACCATCACCGAGCGCATTGTGCACCTGTTGCGTTCAATCCTCCTGGTGACGCGAATATTTGTGTCAATTACCATTGCAAGTCTCCAAAACGAGCAATATGAGTTCCAATAAACGACTTCCTGCTGGTGGACGTGACTTTTCCCATGAGCAACAAGCACAAGCAATGCAGCAGCAGATACAGAAGCAGCGCTCGACAAATGTATCGCGTGCCTCAATGCGTTCAGCAAACGTGCCAACAGGACGTACGACGGCCATGCCACACCTCCAGCACACTCCAGCAGGATTCGCCTACATGGACAGCGCACCATCAGCCCATCAGCCGAACTCCATCCGATCACAATTTCCAACCACATACCCACCTGCACATATTCGCTCTGCAGCACAAACTGAGCCTCGTTCTCTTTGCCCACATATGACCCTAGCAGACTTCGAGAACGTACCCCTTTCCGAAACAGACGAGATCGCAACCAAGTTCAACCACTGGAGGTGGGTCAACGATATGAGGATGACACCGATACCATGGCTGGTACCTTCTCTTCCGATGTCTCAGAGACCGGCAGTATTTCGGAACACTCTCGCTCAAGTTTCAAACGATCTTACTAGAGATAAGGGACAACACGAACAGTCTACGCAAAAGCAGTCAACCAAGCACGGCAAGATATTCCAGGCCGCAGAACAGGTCCAAGAACAGCCAGCTAGCGCGACTCAGGGCCAGAACCAATGGACGAACTACATCGATCTTGGCGATGAAGACAACGATGCAGATTTTGTGCTTGACAAATGAGCGACTATTTTGATTGACACGTCGGGTTTTATTGGGTATTCTTAGAAACCTGACTTTGACCATCGAACAACGCAGCTTTTGTACGATAACAAACATCTTGTAAATGTGCATAAGAAAGCGATATATTCTGATTTTGTGTTACATTTTCTTCAACGACTTTGATAGCTCATCTCTGACACAATGAACAGTATTGAAAGGCATAGTAAAATGATCATACCTCATCAATCGTCAATCATCATATCTATCCTGCCTGATCCATTTCTGCGGTTCTCATGCTTATTTCAAATCTTTCACTTCTTCGTAATAAGATGGTTCTATCCCAATTGCTGCGGCACGAACGGAGGTTCGAATCCGAAAGTTAGCCTGTGCCATCTTGCTCAAGAGAATGTCCAATATCGACACAAATAAGAATTCCTGCATTATTGCTCAGATATAATTCTTCGAATACCCAGGATATGGTGTGTACGGACCTCATCCCAAAATCCAACCACAAATCTAAGTGACCGTATACATCATAGACTTAAGCAAACCCGACGACGGAGGCCGAGATTTTGAGCGAACTGCACAAGCGGTAGTCAGCCCAAAGAGATCCTCCTCACACAATTAAGCTCATCCTACCTCTTTTGTCTTTACGCACAGCCACGACATCTTCGTCCCTGCGACCACTCTGGTTAACAACGGCGATCTGACCGACTGGAGAAGGCTCGCGAAGCACCGGCACACCAAGAGGTGAGCTGTTTCTCCGGGCGCGGCGATCATACCTGACAAGATCTACTTCTCTTTCGCGTCGCAGGTCTCTGCGTTCGCGTTCGAGGCGGCTAATTTCTCGGCGGATGTCTGCGTCTGTTCGGTCGTCTTTGGAGCGTAGGGCTATGGCTAATGGGAAGTTGGTGTCGACACGGCCTGATTCTTCGATGACGTCTTTGTGGATGATTTCTCGATCTATGATGGTGGAGCCGTCGTCGATGACAGTGCCGCGACGAGATCGGGCGCGGGCTGTTCGGGCAGGCGAGATCTCGGAGTATTCTTTGGTCACTCTCTTTTCGACTATGGTTGTGGCGTCTTCAGAGCTGCTATCGCGACGAGATCGAGCTCTGGACCTTCGTGAAGCGCGCGTGCGAGCAGGAGATATAGATCTGTGCTCACTTCGATGGATGTTCTCAGTGAAGCTCTCGTCAATTGAGCCGCCGTGTCTCGATTTGTGTTCGTGTATGTCTTCATGGAAGGAATCGTGTACTGAACCTCGTCCCTGTGATTTGGCTCGGCGGGATCTTCTACTTGGAGCCTGAGAGATCGAAGAGCCTGGAGAAGGTGATCGTGCAATGGGTATTTCCCATTCGCGAACTGGCGGAGCTTCTGTTGGTGCTGGTGCTTCTATCAATCGAGTTTCAGTGACTCTGGCTGTGGTTTGGTTAGTTCCATTCGTTGCAGCAGATACACTACCTACTTTCACGTTCTCGATATTCCTTGCTCCTCGCAAAAACTTCGTCAATATTGTCCGGCCCGAGAGCTTTCTCGATCAGGATCGTTTTCTCGTCCTAGTGAAGATTAGTGAGAACGATTCTACCGCGGAAGACAATATTCTCCTTACCTCTTCGTAGAATGGGTAGCCAAGGTCGAATAACACTTTCGTGTGAACCAAGCGTTTTGGCATTCTTGTCTTGCCCTTCCTAGGATAAGGCTTCTCTACAACAGTCTCTTCTTTCACGACTTTTTCTGAATACGCCGAGGGTGGTGCAGCCTCAATGATCTCAGAACGTGCGGGAGCCCGACGATCAGGGCTTGGGCTATCATTCCGAGTTCGACTTCTTGTCCACTCTCGTTCACGATACTCTCGGAAACCGTCGTCGCCGTAACGATCAGGGTCTTGTACCTTCACATCGTCGTATATACGAATATCGTAGTGGGATGACCGAGGCTCTCTCTCACGCGGAGCTGGTGGGGGTGGTCGGTAATCATCGTAGTACCTTCGTCTTTCGAAGTCTATCCTGTCAACGCTAGACTGACGTCGCATCATTCTTGGTCTGGGAGGAGCCGCAGGTCGTGCGGGAGGTTCCGGTCTGAATGGCACCATTGCGCCCGCTCCAGCGCGGGGGTCGTAGTACTCATCTTCCTCGTAGAATCTGCGGTCACGCGATCCACGTGGACCGGAATAGTAGTCTTCTTCGTAGAACCGACGATCATCATAGGTAATAGGTTCTCGACGTCTAGCAGATTCATAAGGAGGCCGTTGTTCAATGACTGGAGGTGCTCGGCGGCCCTGTGTCTCGCGAGAAAAGCGATCTGAGTCCCATCTAGATGGGGGTGGCAGGTCGCCGTAGGCGAGGTCCATGTCGTTTCTCCTGTACCTTGCCATTGTGGAGGTTGAAGTTGTGCCTTGAGGCTGATGCTGACTAGGATACTACTGCTGCTGGGAGGAAGAGGTAAAGGGTATACCTCGTTGCTGAGAGCTCAAGCGAAAAACAAAGATGTTGTCCAAGCACGAGCAGTCAGCAAGTATGTAAGAAGTGCGAGTAAATACTGTCCCACCTGACGAATTGTGTGGCTGCGACTGACGGGATGGTAAGAAGTACGTGCAGTGGTTAGAGTTAACCATTACCATGCGACCGCCTGCACATGCAAAGAGGCACCGACGTCATGCGACGCCAGAGGTGGGCGTGGGCCATTGTAGCAGCCCAATTTCGGCCAACTTGGATACTAGCCCCCTGTTACTCGACGTCGACCAATTAAGCACGAGTCGTGACACCCAACTATGGAAGCAGGGCGCGTTCCTCGAACAACTCGAAAGGGCAGTCCGGAACACGAAGATTCTGTTTTGCTACAGCAACTAAGACCCAGTGCCAAGCTTGCAGGAAGCTCAAGCATGGACACGTCGATCGAGAGGACTTCAGCTGGCGATGAGGAAGCTGAGTCGTAGAACTATCTGAGATTGGACCGCGGCCATCAAGGTCATGAAGGTAAACTGGTACAATGCGCACAATGTATTCAGGCACATACTCTGGGGCGCAGATATCGCAAGAAACACTCCACGTGGAGCTTTGTCGTGATCTGCGCTCTAGGGCCGTGTTGGGCACGAAGGGCGAAAGTTCTGTACAGGTTTGCTACCTGTGTTGTGCATTCGACGCTATGCTTTCCGAAAGTCACCTGCAAGGCGCAAAATACTTTGGCCTGGTGTGTACGAATAGCCATGCAGCTAACCAAGGACTAGGTCATTATTACTGGATCTTACTCTTCGAAGTCAAAGTTCTCCTCAAGCGCACGAACATATCGCTGCCCATTAGCATTGCTGTCGCAAAGATCAGTCATCACTTTCATGTTTCGTGCATCGGAGTCATACATACCCAAACCCAGGTAAGGAAGGTACAATGCACACAATCGGGATTGCTCCTCCGATGTGTACCCCTCCCAGCTCAACATTTCCAGAATACAGGTCAATGTGGTGACTGCAGTGAGCATCGCGAAGACAAGCAGTTGCAATGGCAAAATCGGATCATCTGAAGAAATCAGCTCGATAGCCAAACATCAAGCAAGACGAGGAACTTACCACGAACAAGAGCTGGAATTGCCCATATGCTGAACGGCAAATGATAAATTAACTCAAGGAAGATAAACCCCCTGAACCAAAGTGGTGGTGCAACGAAGAACCGGTCTTTGTATGTGCTGATATAGTATTCCCTAATTTTTATGGTGAACGCGGGTCGAATAGAGTCAGGATATAAGCTAGAGAGGTCAACAGCTAGCAAATCGATCAGTATTACTTGCAGTGATTGTCTAACGTTTCTCTGCTATATACGCACCAAGCATTACTGGAATGTGGGTGATGAAGAAGACAAGATAGAGGAGATCGAGCTTGCGATTCCAGATTGAGGATGCCATGCCTGTGCGAGCTCCAATCACAACTTTGCTGTGCCGGATTCAACACGGAGCCTTAGTCTTCAAAACTCTCGGGCTATAAGAAACCAGACGAGCTGGTGATCTTAGCAAAGCGTCTTCGGTGTGGTAGGAATCTGGCAGTGTGGTGTGCCGATGTTCCTACAACCCCATGCAGATTTGCAAATCGACAAGCAAACCACAGTCTTAGGTATCACGTAGAAAGCATCGTATGCCAAATATGTTGCTGTTCTCTCGAAGGTCTCTAGCATGAAACACGTCGGATGCTCAAGGCTGTACGTTGCATATCCGTTCCTCAACCTTGGTCCCATTCTTGGTTCAAAAAGCCACCAGGCACGAAAGCTAAATGCCAAGCTCCTCTTCATGCAGGATGCTATAAGTTGCTGGCATAAGCAACACGACAGCGCATTTTAGCAGTCAGTTCACTTAATGCTTCTACAGATCTCTTGAGACCTTGAACTCCATGCCCAAATCACCTGCTATTCTTGAGATGTCTTGCATTCACTACCCTATTACGGTCGAAGGGGGCTATTGCATCAGTACAGTATCTGTTCTTGGGCGAGCGCTTTTCAGATGACACATGGCCTACGATCTGAATACAAAACGATGTTAGAGTTCTCCTCATCTTGGACATCCAGACACATCAAAGCAAGTATCTCATCTTTTCCCTTTCTGTTATTATACAATCGCTGCGTACCAGTACAACAGTGCCGTTGATACGTATACCATATCAGACCTGGCAGCAAAACAGTTTTCAAGCACATACCGTTACCCATTCTTCAAAATATTCGCCTTGAACCTCTTCCGTATCTTCTCCCTCGGTCTCATCGCTACCACTCTCGCTGCACCCACCCCGCAAGCCTCGTCTGGTCCAGCAGGCGTGAGTATCATTCTCATCGACGCCACTCAGCACCAGTGGCCCATCACTATTCCAAGCACGCGAACCTGGACACCCACTAACGTTGCTGAGTCGATTTCTTATGTTCATATTGAGAATACTGGCCACGTCCCATGCGCATTCTTCGGTGTGGATGGAGCAGTCGTCTTGAGCTTTCCGGACAACGTCAAAGACCTGGATATTGGGCCTCCGCAGACTATCGTAGGTGGTATTTGTGGACCTTTCAGGGTGGAGGACAAAAAACATTAGGCAGGAGACCATGCGAACGGTGCACTTTAGTTTGTAGATTTTGGAAGTTGCATAGCATTACTATAAATCTTTTCGGCGTATAGATCCCTTGCCCCTGTGTCATCTAATTCCATAATTTTTATGTTCTTACTCTTTGTACTCGACATCCACCAGCGGACATACCAGTAATCGACATCCCTCATGCGTGGTACCAGTCCTCATATGCAATGTTTGTGTAAGCCTTCAGACTCAACGATTTGAACTATGACCACATTTTCCGTATATAGATTGGTACCTCAGATATATGCCGGACATGCATGCCTCTTCATGTGATAGAGCATCAGGATGGTCTCCAAGTACACATTTAGGGGGAAAAGACATGTTGAATGCAGTAACTCACCATTATCCAGATAGAGGAGTAGAGGCCATCGAGTCTACGCTCAGCTCAGCCCAGTCAGCTTTTGTCTGACCGCGTGAGTCCTCGGCTACTCGAGTGGCTGGAAGCAACATGGTACCCTAGAAATATCTTGTTCTAGTAGTGCACCCAAGTCAGGCGTCGTACCAACATTGTGCAAAGCATATATTGGTCGTCGGTGTCGGACCATGCTTGCACCGGAGATTTGCTTAGCTGAAATAAATGTGATCATCATTTGCGACCGGAAAGCTCGGATAACTGACCCACGCTGATACCAGGCCGGGAGTTCAAGCTGTGAAAGCTACTGGTCGCGTGAGTATTTGCACGAGCAAAAAAGCCAGGGAGAAGCGGTGGATGCAGGACTCTGTCCAACGTACTCGTGTCTTGACATCTTTGCAAGCAGGATCGGAAGCAAAAGTCGGAGGTCTTGCTACTGAGTAGTACTGGACGTCTGTGAGTCGCGTGCTTACGAAAAACGAAGGCAGGCACGAGCGGAGGTGATGATGCAACAACCTAAAAGTAGGAGGATTTTCGAATTTTCTACCGGAAATTAAACTCGTAAACACCGCACGCAGTAAGCTTTCCCGAAGCTCACAGGCAAAATCTTGAGACGACAATGTCAGCTATCGCACATCAACCTGTCCTCACAAGACATGTATAATTATTACCTGCTTTTCGACAATATGGATGGGGCCCTATTGTCTTCCACCAATAAAAATCGTTTGATTATGTCAAATTTCCCCGCTACGAAAGCGCAACATTTCAACTTATGCTCAAACTTTTCTGCCGTGCTCGTACAGTAAGCACGACGCATTCCCACAAGCAGATCCGCCCTCTGTTTCCACAGAAGAGATGATCAACAGGATCCTTGCCAAGGATTAATACATAAGAAAAGCTAACGCTATATCGTTTAGTGTTTGCCATGATCTTGTGCTTGTACAAAACTTTACGTGCCAGCCTTGCCGTCCTCTAAATCCGCCCACCGCGAGCGAATCAACTCTGAATGGCTGACAAGTCTGTCCTGCGTCCGTGGTGTCTCTGCACCGAGCTTTTTCTGGGGTGACTGTCGTTAGTCGCACGACCAGGTGACGCTCAACCCGAGGACCGAATCAGAACTCATATTCGCCTCTTGGTGGAAATGGTTCTGACCGAGATTGGATCAATTGTGAAAGACGTGTGCCCGTACTTTCGATACAGTCCTGCGTCATTCTTTTGTCTACAATGTCCACGAGATTCCGTGCAAGCCGCAAGAGATTTCCACAAGGTAAGTTTTTGGCTTAATGAGCAGTTTGAGCATTCACGCCTGATTCGACCTCTCTTATAATATCTCTTGTTGATCTTTCTTACATTACCCTTTTCGATATTGAGCTTGCTGGTGAGTGTCTGAGCATTGTGGGCACGTGAATACCAACTCCCGAGGAAGACGGAAAGGCCGCACAATAAGAAAAATCGCAGTCATGGGCGCCGGTGCAATCTTGGAGCCTGTTATTGTCGTGACATTGTTGTTCGGTGGTGCATGGATAAATCGTGCGCCGACTGTCACATCTTCAGGTCGAGCTTCAAGATGGCAGTTTCCCGTAGGTCAGGATTTCCCAGGTGAATCAGAAGAGGTACACGACGAAGAGAAGTCGCAGTCGGCGTGCCCAAAGAACAGATCATTATCACCGTCATTAATGCTTCAAGAGAGCAGATGGCGGCAGCGGCAGCTACATATCCTGGGACGGACAAGAATTGTGCAAAGCCCAAACACAGCAGTATTCAAAAATAGATTCCTTAGTCGAGTGTTACAAAAGTTTCCATTTCTTGTGGAGGCGTGGTATTGGGCACTGATCTACTGGGTGAGCATCGCTGTAAGGGACATCGTTGCTCGAACTCTAACTGATCTTCTCGACAGGTTTACCAGCTAGGTCGTGCTTTCACTGCACTTACGATTCAAGAAGGGACTGTACATGTGGCTCGAAAGCATGCACTTCAGGTCATCGAACTCGAAAAGAGACTTCACATATTTTGGGAAATACCCGTTCAGCATTTCTTCATGGGCTATCCTGTGTTCATGCGCTACATCAACTGGATCTACTCTTTCATTCACATACCCGGAACGATTGCATTCCTTGTTGGGCTCTATTATTATACCATTACTAGCAACAGGCTAATAGAGAGTCGGTTCGGTCGGCTCGAAGGAAGCTTGCAAGGATCGCCATCAGGGCCTTGGCTCTACGAAGCTAGGAGACGCACAATGGCTGTCTGTAATTTAATGGCTTTTATCGTCTTCACCCTGTGGCCGTGTATGCCACCAAGATTGCTAAGTGACGAGACCGTTGCTGGCGACATTGGCACAATCGCACGGAGTTTCGGCTTCACGGATACGGTCCACGGTGCTGACGGTGCCGTGTCTGTCTGGACGGCTAACAAGTTTTGCAACCAGTGGGCAGCTATGCCATCTCTACATTTCGGGTATTCCTTGCTTGTGGGAATCACGATCATGACCACTCCTTTAGCACCACAACATCGACGGGCGAGATCTGTGCAGATACCATTTTTCAACCAATCTCATCCACAACTTGCTCCACAGGTCAAGTTGCCGCCAACACGAAGACTACTTTGTTTGTTGGTCGGATTCCTCTATCCCTTCACGATCTTGATTGCGATAGTGTCGACGGCCAACCATTTCATACTTGATGCAGTGGCGGGCGCCATGATTTGTGCTATCGGATGGCGAGTGAATGGCGTCCTGCTGAACCTGTTACCATTCGAAGATTGGTTTCTGTGGTGTCTGAGGATACACAAGCCGACATTCGAAGCATTTGAGACGGCCGAGCTTAACACATCTGATGCCGGAGGTGAGATTGCAACAGCTGGGGTGTTGTACCAGCAGTAGGGTATTGCGGGCAGTATTGAGCATGTGTGACGGTATGCATAACTCCTACAGTGAACTTTGGAACGAGACAGTCAGTTCAGGAACTTTAGGCAGAAGGATGTGATACAATGTAGGCTGATTTTGTACAAATAATTCCTCCTCCACTCCAACACTAGCGCGAAATTGATCGTAGAGTCAAGCGTACGTCAGTCTTGGCGCGTGGTGTCGCAGGTAGAAAGTCCGTGGCTGTTCTTGCACAGCTTCTCGTCTCCAACACATTTCTGCGACCAAGCAGGAAACTTATCCTTCTCTCCCATCACATTCCAACCTATACACATCTCCGCCGCCAACACATCGGCGCGTCAAATATACTATAGGTAGGTCTTCCTCTCATGCTCGCGCTCAACTACCAATCGACCTTGTTACTGCCATGCGCTCTGGCGCGTCGCGACTGCCCATATTTCACCACGAGAGACACCACATAGCTGCTCTTCGTGCCCATATCGACCTCCAATCGCGTTACGACGCTTGACTGACATCCATGCAGTTACTATACAGACGCGACACCTCTGTGCTCGCCAGCTCGGCATTGCCAAAGTCATGTCTGAGCCAAACGTTTCTTCCGAGGTAGCAGAGACTGTCGTACCAATCAAGGTGCCACAACCAGATGAAGGCGCACCACCTTCATTGGCACAGCCTGCATCAGGTCCAGCTGCGGAGATGCATGGAGCTCTACACGGTGACGCGCCCAAATCAGCCGAAACCAAGACCACTGAGGGTGAGTCGCTCTGGAAGCTATCGGAAGACGAGACTAATTCTGCCAGAAACATCAGTCGTCAATGGTACAGCGGACACAGCAAACACAGCAGACACGGCTGGAGCCAATACCGATAAAGTGGAGAAAGAGCCTGTAACCAGCAAGGAAACAGCGCCAGAAGAGAAGCCTACAGCTACAGACGCCGACACAGAAATGAAGGACGTTACTTCTACCGAACCTGCTCCAGCTGCTGGATCTGCAACCGATGCCAATGGCGCCTCTGCGGCCAAGTCGAAGCGCAAGTCTTCAGCTGGTGTACCGGAGCACCGGACCAAGTCGTTGAAGAAGAAGCAATCTAAGCAGAAAATCACAAATCTGGATGCGAAGCCCGGCGAATACTATCTAGCTCGCCTGCGCAGCTATCCTCCATGGCCATCCATCATCTGCGACGAGGCAATGCTGCCAGATGTGCTCTTGAATACACGACCAGTGACTGCTATGCTGGCAGACGGAACTTGGAAAGAGCCGTACGCTGACGGTGGTAAGAAAGTGACAGATCGGTCGTTCCCAGTCATGTTCCTGCACACGAACGAATTGTGAGTCTCTTCCGACCTGCATTTGGCAATACTGACCATAGTAGCGGCTGGATACCGAACACTGATTTGACACCGCTTGAGCCTGACCAGTGCAAGGATGTGCCCGAAAAGGGCAAGTCCAAGACTCTAATTGAGGCATATAAGGTCGCAGCAGAGGACCACGATATTCAACATTTCAAAAACCTTCTCATGGAGCATGATGCTTTTCTTCAGAAAGAGGAAGATGCAAGACAACAAAAAGAAACCGAGAAGGCTGAAAAAGCCGCCACGGCTGAGAAAAAGAAACGCAAGTCAGAGGTAAAAGTTGACGACGATGACGTCGAAATGGAAGATGCCACAGAGACAGCTCCGAAGAAGTCCTCGAAGAAGCGAAAGAAGGACGTTGAGGGTGATGAGGAGGGTCCAGAAAAGGTAACGACCCACGTCGATTTGCTTGTGCCAGACTAACTGAATACTAACAGCCTGCGAAGACCCCCAAGACAACGAAACTTAAGCTGACCACCGGCAAGACACCCTCGACCGACAAGAAGACGGACAAGAAAACACCCAAGGCGAAGTCTGACAAGAAAAAGAAGGCTCAAGACTCTGAGGAAGAGCAAGAGATGGAGAAAGAAGAAGTCGCGCCTGTCGACCCTGTGCAAGCACGCAAGGATCGTGAGAAGGAAGTCTTATTCCTGCGACACAAATTGCAGAAAGGCTTCCTTTCTCGAGACCAGGAGCCAGCAGAAGACGAGATGCCACAGATGGCTACCTATATCAAGAAGCTCGAAGCTTATGGTGATACTCTGGAAGTCAGCATCATTCGCCAGACCAGAGTCAACAAGGTCTTGAAGGGTATTCTCAAACTGAACACGATTCCGAAGGACGAAGAATACCATTTCAGAGAACGTTCGGTCAAATTACTGGGTGCTTGGAACCAACTGCTTGGTGCTGAGCCTGCGGACGCTGAAAAGTCGGGAGCTAAAGACGATAAGGCTAGTTCTCCCAAGACCACCTCTAATGGTACACACAAAGAAGCTGAGGAGAAAGCAGAAGAGAAGATTGAGGATAAGGTCGAGGAGCCTGCAGAGAACACAGTTTCGACCGAAGAAGCAGTGAATAAAATTTCTGCCGATGTTCCTGGTGATGCAGGTGACAAGGCTGCAGCAATCGAGGAGATTCAGAAAAATGAAAACCCGGCGGAAGAAGTGAAAACCACTACACCAGCCGCTCCGGCAGTAGAGGACAAAGCTCCTGCATCGGCTGAAGGAGCTGCAGTGGCTCAGGACGTTGTGAAAGCCAACGAGTAGCCTGTTGAGAGGCATCGTAATGGTCTAGCCGGACAATGTTTGATTTTCGCACAACGACTTTGAAATGCTATTTGTGATGTGCACGAGGGGTCGATGACGGTACAATGAGCTGGCCTGCGACGTACTCCGAGTTTTACGGCCACTGTTTGGAACGACGAGGGGTAGAGTGACATATTTGTCACATATTCACTATGCCAACAGGTGTCAGCAAAAAATGTGTATAATACGTACGATAAAAGACAGTACAGAAATATACAATGTTCACGAATCATTTCTGGGAAGTCCGTCACGAAAAGTTGTTTCGTCACGCCTTGATCGACCATCAGCTCTCGAAGCTGAGACTAAAAGGTTTAGCTCGTCCAGCTCGCACTTCTCCAGGACTCTGAGCGTTGACCTGGACTGGTAATGAACCAGTTTGAGATGCTCGATACTAGTGGTAAATGGGTGGGGCGGCAGGCACGACGGCAGGCAGGAGCGCCACAATATCGAGCATCATGATATCTGCAGAGATCTGAGAAACGACCTTTGTCGGATCATCATGATCGCGGCCTGTACGGCATGACAAAGCGGTTGTATGATATTAACGGATATGGTATTCACAATCCGGAAGGTGTTGATTACCACATTTCTTATGGCATGGCCAACCTGCCACCACTCGCTCTTGCAGATTTGCATTGCTCAGCAAATAACAACACCTACTACACTATGAAGCAGCTTATTGACATTGTAAGAAGCTATTCACATCTCTTTGTTGTGGGCTGGAACCGGTCTGCGACCATAAGCCACGACACTGAAAGAAATTGAGACAAAAGGAGATACGCCAGAAAAAGTTCTCAAATTAACAAAGAGTCACACCTCTGATCAAGCTTGAGCCTCACCAGAATGCACATATGTTTCAAATTATCGAATGCGTCTTGATTGTTTCTCTGCCAGCAAGACTTGTTGTTCGCTTGTGTTTGGTCTTACAGCGTTTCATCCTGCGTTAACTACTCACGCTCATATCCTACAAACAAGCATATAAACAGCAATTGATCTAACCGAACCCACAATGTCGCCCGTTGATCCAGTCTCTCCAACCTCACCTATGGACATCTCGCCAGGTACTCCCACAGCCACCCAGCAGCAATTCAGGTTTCCTGCACCACCAGTCATTTCACCCAGTTTGCACTTACCAAAGTTGGTCACCAGTTTCCAGAATTCTGGTAGAAATGCTAGTGAATTAAGGAGAATGTCAGCACAATTTCAGCTGCCTACGCCATCACCTCTGAGTCTAGGTCTGACACCACTTACTGCCATTCACCGCAGGGGTTCCACTCCATCAGTCAGACATGGTACAGCCATAAACCCTGATAATCTATTCTCCTCGACAGCAACCTCAGCTCCCGGCGCTTTGCCTCCGCCATATTCGGATCTGCCACCTGTTAGTCCGTTGGCGTCGAGACGGGTTCCAGCCCTTCGGAGGCAGGATGCCATGGAAGGTCTCAAAGATATCCAGGGTGAGGTCAGCAGCCCAATTATCCTGCAAGTCATTAGCCTACCACTGAGAGTGAGTACGAGACGATCGTCATCACCACAAGCGCCATCCGCAGAAGTACAAGCTCAACATGTTGAAGACCTCAACGAGGAGCTTGCCTCCTACGCAACATCCAACGCCCCGCGAAAATATAGACGAATTCTACCGAAAGACCAGGCAGGTATCGAACCACAAACAACAGGCGTCAGACTTCGCTCTCCTATCCACAAACGTCGCCATCGTCGCAACCACAGTCGCAATTTCTCACATTCATTACCTGTAGGGATCAGGGTCGCACGCAAACCGACTCCCGAACAAATCCACTATGCCAGGGTAGTCAACCACTACGCCACCGAACTCGTCCCTCTGATCAGCGTGCGTACTGGCGAAGCACATCCGGATTTTCCTAGCTCTTTGCTCCAATACCACCTCCTAACCCACGACCAGCTCGACAGTCTTGCTCGTCATTACCACCAGACCATCGATGCTGGAGATGAGCGGTGGGACTACCCGTGCCCGATCGCCTGGGGTAAGGTCTGGTGTGGGAACAACCCAGCTCCTACGACCTCTCTACCCAACCAGTCAAGACGACATCTAGTTGACTTGAACACCAAGAGACGCCGCTTCGGTCGCTTCATCGGACTCAAGGTCGAGAGTAGTCCTGTCCAATCCCCTCGAGAGGCACAAGAGCAGGGTGAGGGTCTTGTGGAGCGAATGGAACGAGAATGGAGGGAATCACTGAGACGTGTTGAGGATGAACATAAATTGAGGGGGAAGATGTGGGGACGACGGGGATTCTGATATGTCACGAAATGTAAAAACAGAACGATCTTAGTTGTGCAGCAGATGAATAGATTCCTGGCAAGTCGCCAGTGTTCTGTGTATATCTATTGTATCAATGGAAATGTAATTGCAAAAGCGCCTCTCCTTTTCGTTGTGGTCAATTTTATTTACTGTATACTGCCATGGTCAAAATTGCCGGCCTTTATGTCATCCAGTTATCTCTAAGCAGCCACTTGTCGCTCGATGTTGTTATGGCATTGACGGCCCTATTTTCTATCGTGACTCCACGCCATTGCTTGTCTTCAAGTTTCGCCTGCTATCTAGCCTTACAGCGCCAGATGTGCCAATATATCTTAGATTCGACTGAGACTCTAACACTGATAGACATCTCGTAAAGTGCTCCAACCAGTACGAACGATTATCCCATATTCCGATGACCCTGACCACCATTAAACACCACTTCGTAACTTTTGATACAGCAAAACCACATCCCTTCACATCTAATAAGTATCGTCAACCCTCATCACATCCATTCATCTTCATCCAGTCCCACCAGCCCACCTGGGCAACTTCTCCCTAACACTACTCACAGAATCACTAACCCGACTCGACGTCTCGCTCAACCACGAACTCCCCGAGACACCACTCCCTAGAGTCCAGCTAGTCTTCCCCCCACTACTGCCCTGCCCCATACTCTTCGTCTGACTGTCCTTCCCACTCTCGCTAAGTCCACTCCCTACCCCTTCTCTCTTACTGCTATTCTCATCTCCAGCATTGAAGATCCGCTCGAATTTAGCTTGTAACCGGCCCTCGACGAGAGACTCGATGAGGTTTAGGACGAGGAATGTACACGAGCCGATGGCGCGGAAGAGCGCCAGGCCAGCGACTGTCCACAGGATGAATTTCAAGTAGAAGTTGTTCGAGACTTCGCCGACAGGATACACTTCGGAAATGGCCATGGCGAAGATGACGTTACAGATTAGCCAGACGCCGACCATGTATGTTCTGACGGATTTGTAGTAATCTTCCTGCTGTTGGCTCTCGCTGACGCTAGGTTTCGATACTTCGAGTCTATCGCGTAGATTGCGTAAGGCGACGTCGTAACCGGAATCGATGTCGAGTTGTTCGCTGGGCATTTCGACCTCGACTGTTTTGCCGTCTGCGGTGACTTTGGCGGTGCCGAGGTCGGTGTGTAGGACGTTGTCGCCTTTTGTGCCCCAGGTGACGTCGTGGGTGTTGCAGAAGGCGTAGACTTGCAGGGTGCAGATGTAGCTGGGGAGGAGGGCGAAGTATTGCGCCGAGGAGGTGAACATGTGCCATGGGTCGAAGTAGAGGAAGGACATGATGAAGTACAAGCCTATTGTGGAGATGGTTGATACTATCAGATTGGTGAAAATGTTGTTGCCAAGTTGGTATGGGTTGTCTTTGTCGGCTTGTTGTAGGGCGTGCGATTTGAGCTGGATGACCACGATGTAGATGGCGGCGAATGTGGTGTAGGCCATGATGATCGAGTATGTGATCATACTGCCCATGTAGAGCTTTTTGGCGCCTTGTGGTCTGTTGCCGAGGGAAAGAATGAATTGTAGTGATATGAGGAGGATTGTGGTATACCGGAATATCGTAAAGATGTAGTTGCCGACGTTGTGGCCGAAAGGGTCGATCTTAGGGTCTGTGAGAGCACCAGCGACGAAGTAAAAGGTGAGATAGAAGTTGGCGAGGGAGAAGAATGTGAAGAAGAGCTGTACAAATTGGTAGACGAACTCAACATGTAGCAGAACTTTTCGGACAATGGTGTGGTCTGTGTGCCAGATCTGCTTGAAGTGTACCAGGGAGTAGACGGCTGCGAAGAAGGCACCATTCAGCCAACGTCGACGCTGTGAGATAAATTCCGGAACTGTGTCAGGGACGTCGGTTTCACCGTAAGCAGCTTTCACAAACTTTAGTACCCACTGTTCACCACGCTTTGCGACCAGCTCCCAGCAAAGGATACGATCCTCAGCGAGATACATGTTAGCGGTAAACACATCTGCGTCGTGACCATGAAGCGTCTCTCCTTTGAAGTATTGACTCAAAGGTCCGTAGCCTGTTGGATCGTTCTGGAGGGCGTAGTAACGGTAGGCAGATAACGCACCAGGAAGCACAGTGATATAGCCAAAGACCGACTCGATAGGCTTGTCCAGAATATTCGACATCTTGTATTCGAAATTCTGTGATGCGACAAGTGGATTCAGTAAGCCGAGCCAGCCTTTGCCTTTATCAGCTTTGATCTCACCAGCTGCTCCTGCAACGTTCGAGTCCTGATCGAAGGCTTTCCAGAGATGATATAAAGCTTTTGAATCTGGCTTGGTTCCAACATCCAACAGAATACACACATTCGGCTGCAATGCTCTGCCGAATGCATTGAAGAACCATCGATGGGAGTTAAGCTTTTTCTTGTTCTTCTCCTTGAGACAGAAGATCATCTGGCATGGCACAATGCCTTTCTCTGCGCCTTTAAACTTCAGACTTTCGTCTAACGATACCTGGGTGGTGTACTCGTACACATGCGCTGTGACCTCCTTGTTGTTGACCACGTTCTTTGCGATACCGTCCTGATAAACACCAAGAGCAGCCAAAGCATTCAGTGTCCGAGGATGTATCTTTTGTCTTCCGTCTGCTATGACGCAGACCACGATTTTTTGCCAACCATCTTTTCCCCATGTCCTCGACTTCGTTCTCGAGCAGAAGTGAGTAATGTTTCGCATTATGCCGTGCATTGTTCTGGTAAATTCAATCTCACCTTCATTGTACATAGTCACACATATGAGTAATTCTGTTTCTCTTGTCGTGATGCCTGTGTTCTGTCTCAGTTTGTACCCATTCATCACAAAGTCGTCTGGATCGCATGTTACAGCAGTGTAGCGCATATGCGTGAATTCACGCTCATCTCTTCGAGGTAAGAAGCTGTGTAATATGGTTGGAATCTTACACTCCAATACCAGCTCACCATTGATGAGTCGAACCTCTTTTGTGGTCATTTGAGCATCGCGTAAGCCTCTTCGATCGTGCCGACCGTCTGGCGCAGGGCCAGTATGACCATCCTCTTTCTCATCTACAATATCTTCATCCTCGTCTGTGATCGTCGAGCCTGATGAGTATGAATGCGAAGATCTCAGAGTCGCTCTTGGATCGTTGTCGGGAACAAGCGGCCGCCCATTTACGAACACGTCGTCGCTTGTACCTGCATCTGAAATAGGTATTGTGGTCTCGCTTGTGCCAGGCTTTGAGAATAGCGGCGCAGGTGGGAGCGGTCTTCGAGGACTACCACCATATTGCGAGGAAGGCGTACCTGGTCTGGGACTTCCATTTAGATCTGCTGGTTCGTATTGGGGTGCGATTGAAGGCGCGCGAGTCCAGTCTATTGAGCCTCCTCGCGATGGAGTGCTTGGCCGCACGGGTGAGGTCACACGGTCGTGCATTGTGTATGGAGGTATCGACGGCATTCTTCCAAGCCTTGACGCAGGTCTGCTAGGTGACATGTCTGCGGATGGTTGTGGTCGATGGTATCGTTCAGGTACAGGTCTGATAGGAACTGGTTGCGGCATTCTGTTTCGATAATTTTCATTAGCATTAGATCTTTTCCTAAGTGTCACACGGGCCTGAAGAGCTGGGGATGCTCCTTCCACAACGTATGTTGTGGTCTTGCGATCAGCTTGGTCTGGGGCTTCAGATGCCAACGAAGACCTTGGATTGACTATGCGCGCGCTTCGCAGGTCAACATTAGGTGGCCAGTGCACACAAGGTGTGATCACTTGCGACACAATCTTGTGCTTGAACGACTTTTCTCCGTCGATCCTCGGGGCTGTAGTAGAAGTGCTCACATACGGTCTCGTGTCCTCTTCACTGCTGGGAAGCAGTTTCATAGAAGAGATATTGATTCTTGGGTTGACGACATCCTCATCTCGTGGTGCGTCTGGGTAAGTCGGTGGCCCCCCATATGCCGGCGGATCTCGTGGCGGTATTGTGGGTAAATCCATCGTGCTTAAGCACAGACCAAATTGTATAGATGATAGTCACCATGAAAATATTGTCTATCCCTCGTGTGGTTGTGTTCCGACTATATCTGCAATAAACCGGAAGTTACACACTCAATGTGTAGCTGTAGTGCTATCCATCAGAGATGCGTAATCTCTGCAGGGTATATGTCATCCTGAACGCTAGTTGTTCGCGCTCCCATGTTTACCTATTGCAAACAATGTTGGCATAGCAACGGCCGTCCATGGTGGAACAAACGCCTGATAAGGTTGTGGTCGGAGAATAAATCACTGCTAAACACCGTTCGGCCCGCATTAAGTTATGTTTGGCATCTCTCTCAATGACTCGTTTGCGATCTGTGAAGATCCAGGTCGTGCATGGCTTGACGTTGCTTCAATGGAAATTTACGATACCCCGAACTGCGCCAGTGGCGATTTGGCACGTCAGTACTACGGCTAATCTAAAGCACACGTGAGCCAAGAACTCTGCTTGCAGTTCTTGGCGTGTATGGCTTCTATACAGTACATAACACCTTCTCTGATTCTCTACGTCCCAACTACATCTGCAAATCGTAGCAAGAAGATCTTAATCACTACGTCGTAGCAGTAGCGCTTCGTGAATATCATGGATCACCATCTGGGAATGGCCAGTTCGATGTGTATATACTAACGGTTTTTAGTAGTGCTTTGGACCGATCATGTCTGAAAGGGACATCACCTGGTTGCTCCTTTTCTACATCATCCCGAGCTGTCAATCTCTTGGTCTTTCTGACAGACAATTCATGTTGTATACTAACGGTAATAGGAAGTTTCTTACCTACTGACTTTAACCAGCCGCTGAAAACTGTTGTCACAGCAAGAGACGAGGATCCGAACACGACGTTATATAGGTATGGTTGGCGTCATCGCTGCTTGCGCAGGATGTGAGGTCCAGATTGCAATTGGCTTTGCTTGCAACCACGATTTCGAAGTCTTTGTTCGCAATCAGACATTATGGTCATTCTGAACTTTTCTAGTAATCACTCGACGTTTGCGGAAAGCCCACATCGCTTTGTCCAAACCGCCCTGTCCTATATTCACAGTTGTGGCATGGATCTCAAGTCCAGCTCTTGTTTGACCTGAGCCGCTAGAAGCGATCAAGTGTACCTGAAAATTTAGCGTTTCAACATGCCAGGAAAATACAACGCTGAGCAGAAGTGGTCCTCATCGACACGTTCCGACCGGGCCTATTCTCCATATGGCAGGACCACGACCTCACGCAATCAATTTGACGCCACACGATCTTCCAAAGCGACTGGCCGAGGGGCCCAAATAGAGTATTCCTACATACCTTATGAGAAGCCTCTTCCACCTCAGACACAAGTGCCACATCGCTATGATCTTCGCCGAACTAGCGCTCGTAGCAGCCGAAGCAATGCAGCTGGACAGACCAGGAAGACAAGCAGCGGCAGAGTCCGCAAGGCAGTGACAACTCAACGTCCGCCCAGGAGTCCAGAATACTGGTCTGATACTAGACTAGGCACAATCGACGCGCGTGTGGAGCAACAGGTAAATCACGGTCCTGTGTTTGATGTGGCGCATATCCGGGTCGCTCCTCCTCCAAGACGTTCCTCTCACGATCTTCGCATGGCCAAAGCTCGAAGCATCTTCGAAACCGATCCGCAAGCAGCACCTATATATGGTGTACCTTACGACGAAGACTCCCGAAAGCGTGGACAATGTTCAGCTCTCTATCATGGTCACCTCAATAGTGGCGTTTCCAAAATCATCTCCCCAGACCGCAGTCAATTCCTCGAGCGTCAGGAAGACATCGATCAAGGTATCAAATCGAGCTGGTGGGGCTTTGGCCAGACAAATAGCTCTCTCTCCCTATTGGGCGCCAGAGTTGCGCAGGAGGAATTGAAGGGAGTTTCATACTACCCGAGAGTGCAGAAATTCAAGAACACAATGCGTTTGCTCGAGAGGCGAAATACATTGGATCGATTGACATATAATGAACAGGAGGAGCTGATCTCGTGGTGGCAGAGTAAGTTTGGGAAGAGTGAGGACAAAGTATCGTCCTCGAAACGAGTGACGAAGGCAAAAAAAGGAGGCAGTTCATGGAATCCATTCAGTCGACACTATTGGAGAAGACGGCGTGAAAGGAAGGAGGAGGAGAGACGCCGAGAACAACTGAGGAAGGAGATGGAAGGACAATCTCTGAGCGAGAGGTACAACAGCAGCATATATGGTCCCAGCCATAACAGCACCGAGAGCGTGCTGTCGTATCCGCTTCGCAATCCTAAGTAGTCATTGAGGGTCAATAAGATAAGCAAACATCATGCTGTTGACCGGTAAGAATGAGAAGAACATACATATTGATGGGAGTCTATACATATTCTCGTATTCACAATTTGGCTCCGTACTCGTGTTACATGACAAGCTTCGTCATCCTGGACCTACCAGACTCTTGTTTCCACAATCTAGACCAAAGCCTTTGAAAGAGCCAGCTAATCCAGTGACTGAATTGAACTCAGGTCTGATATCTGATCTCCATTTGCGACTTCTTGCATATATCATGAGGTCACCAGGACTGAGTATGACTGATGCTGACTGTATGCTGGCATTTTGACTCTAGTATAAGTCTTTAACAGCAGTCCTACGAAGAAAGGATTCAACACGTAAGGCCGCGCTTCAAGATCTACTCTTCTTGCCTCAAGTTCAAGTTGGAGCAGGAAACACGAAAACCCTTAGCGCGATACACGTGGTCACCAAAACTACGCGCTAAGACGCGGCGACTCCAAGCTCTTTAAATTGCTGATGTGTCGATATTCGTCCTTACCATCACGTCGAATCGCCGACATAACCCAAGAGGCGTGGTACTGTACTCCGTAGAAAGCATCGCCTTTATCTCTCTGAAGCTGACAAGAGATGCTACCGGTAGGCTCTAGATGAGAGTGACTCTGGTATTCAGATCATATGGCTTCTTAATGCTGACAGCGATCGATACACTTACGTTTTTTCTTTTTCATTTTCTTTTAGAAAGATTCCCATTTCAAGCACTCTCGAAGAACCATGGGGTCACCCTTTGTGTCATGAGTGAGAGTCATTTGACTGTGACCATGATAAGCTCATTTTGCTAGCATTAAATCATACTGCCTGGACACTTCTTCTACTGCAGCCTCCAAGCACGGTGAAGTAGACATGATGTCAGGAGAGCTAAGATTAGAGATGATGGTAACAACAGGAGTGAAGGTCATAGGAGGAAAGTGGTTTTCTGACTTTCACTGCTCTTGCCAGCATCCTCACCGATCTTCACTCTACCTTCTAGGACGCAGCGAATCCCAAGACCTCATCGTATACCCAGATATATCCTTCATCTTCTACCTACATCATGTTCACGAGTGCTTTCCGTCTCATGTACACCACATTTTTCCAGCGCCTTCCCACCAGGTTGGAGTCAACGCTTCCACACGGGAAAAGAAGATACGTAATCCATACCCTTCCCTGTCTTCACACCACAACAATTCCAGAATAGCTTCCTGAACAGCACAAAACATGACGACTACAGCGATCGAATTCTCAGTTCCCAACGGCCTTGACCCCAAACAGTCTCTGAAGTACCAGCTCTGCCTAATCAACGACACAACACGAGAAACGACCCAGAAGCTTGTGAACCTTCGCACGGAAGCGATAGAGAAGCGAATCGTAGCCAGACAGGCCAACATCACATTCCGTCAAATGGGGAAGCAGCTCCAACCTCTTGTTCACAGCTTGTCCGAAATTAGCAACCAAGATTTGAAAATTGAAGAAGAGGCGGAAACCCAAGAAGAGGGTTCTGAAGGTTCACCAACGCCCACCACGTACGGTGCTTCAACAGAATCTGACACCTTACCCATGAACCACGAAGACCAACTTTTGACCGCCTCGGTCGCTGACTTCCAATCTGCTCGACAGCACGTTCAACAACTGCAAACACTAACAACAGAATGGCTAACTGCCTACGAAACCGGCGTTCTTCCCTCCGTCACTGCTACAGGAACAACTCCAGCAGCACCCTTCATACTCGGCGACAAACGACACCCGAAACAATTCCTCGCCACAGTCAACGCCCTACAGCACGAAATACACACCCACACGGCATTCTGGATGAGGCCTCTGATCTACCCCAAGGCAAATAAGGAGAATAACTACAACGACGACGATGACGACAATCTAGACGGATTAAGTTGTTTGGGCTTTGAAAAGGAGGATGACAAATACGTCCCGACAGGAGAAGATGTCAGGAAGGATCGAATATTTGTTTGTGGTATGGAAAGCATGGCGAGGCACGTGTGTGAGCAGGAAGCTATGGAGAGGAACGATATGGTGGTCGGAGAGGCAATGCAATTGCTTGAGCTTTTGGCTGGAAATTCGGCTTCTGAGCGATAGTTTAGAATTCAGGACAGTACAGCACAGCTGACGCATTGATGAGCAGTGAGAAGGTCAAACTGGAACTGGCAATCTGGTCAAGCGTCATCACCAAATCATACTTCGCTCTCTAACAACGCTATACTGCAGCTTTCTGTGCTACTTTTGTCTATACACAATTGTCTATCGTCATTGCTCGCTGCTCAATCATCTGTTTAGCAGTAGAAGTTTGATCAAGTGCAGCGTGGTTTACATCCAGCTACAGAACGATCAGTGTACGTACTATTCGCAGGTTTATCGTGATTCAAGAAAATATACTGGCGACTCATCAAAATCAGTCAGCCGGCCTATTTCATATTTGACTTGGCCTTGAAAGCAGCAATCAAACCAGAAGTCGATGCGTCGTGGCCAGAAGCATCACCGTCTGTCTCCAAGTCTTTTTGTACCTTCTTGGCCAAGGCCTTGCCAAGTTCCACACCCCACTGATCGAATGAGTTGATGTTCCAGATGGCGCCTTCTGTGAAGACCATATGTTCGTAGTATGCGATCAGCGCACCGAGTGTACCTGGCGTAATCTGTTCAGCCAGGATGCTTGTGGTTGGACGGTTGCCAAGGAAAGTCTTGTGTGGAACAAGGTCTTCTGGTGCACCCTCAGCCTTGACTTCCTCTGGAGTTTTGCCAAGCATAAGTGCTTCAGTCTGGGCCAGGAAATTGGAAGCCAACATTCTTTGGTGGACGCCGCCAGAAACTGGGTTGTGCGACTTAGCAGCCATGATGAAATCAGCTGGGATAAGCTTGGTGCCTTGATGCAGAAGTTGGAAGAAAGAGTGCTGTGAGTTGGTACCTGGCTCGCCCCAGAATACGGCACCAGTAGTATATTTGACATAATCACCACTTCGAGTGACTGCCTTACCGTTAGACTCCATGGTGAGTTGCTGCAGGTAAGCAGGGAACCGTGACATGTACTGGTCGTATGGTGCGACAAGATGTGTTTGTGCGCCATAGAAGTCGGAATACCACACACTGAGAAGACCAGCAATAACTGGAATGTTGTCCTCCAAAGGAGTATTCTTGAAATGCTGATCCATAGCGTGAGCGCCGGCCAGGAACTGATGGAAGTTGTCGAAGCCGATGTATAAAGCAACTGACAAACCAATGGCAGACCAAACAGAGTATCGACCACCTACCCAGCTTTCGAATCCAAACATATTCTTAGAGTCGATACCAAACTTCTCGACTTCTGACTTGTTTGTTGACAAAGCAACAAAGTGCTTGGCGATATCTTCTTGTTTTCCGGACTTCAGAAACCACTCTTTCGCAGTGTTGGCATTGGTAACAGTTTCCGCAGTGGTGAAGGTCTTGGACGCGATTAAGAACATTGTCGTCTCGGGATCTGAATCTTTCAGAGCCTCTGAGATATCAGTGCCGTCAATGTTGGAGACGAAGTGCATGGTCAGGCTTCGGTCGCCATATGCTTTTAATGATTGGCAGACCATAACAGGGCCGCTGTTGTAAAGTCAGTACCAGCTCATTTGGGCTGTGACTTCCACTTACAGATCTGAGCCTCCAATGCCAATGTTGATGATGGACTTGATCTTCTTGCCAGTGTATCCAGTCCATTCACCACTTCGGACCTGGTTGGAGAACTCTTTCATGTGGTCTAGCACGGAGTTTGTGTCCTCGACAACGCTCTTTCCATTGACCTGCATAGGTTGATTGCTTGTGTTTCGTAGAGCAACATGGTAAACGGCTCGGTCCTCGGTGAAGTTGATGGCCTCGCCGCCAAACATGCGATCTCTCAACTGTTCAACCTTAGCCTCTCGGGCAAGATCAGTCAAAAGTTTCAGAGTGTCATCGGCAATGAAGTTCTTCGAAAAGTCGAAAAGAATCTCAGTGCCATCTGCTTCGTTCTTGAAAGTTCGTGTGTATTTATTGAACCGATCTGGATCTTTTTCGAACGCTTCCTTCAGGACAATGTTTCGTCCCACGCTATTGTGGTGTTCAACGAGGGCTTGCCATGCCTTTAGATCCGTGGCTTGGGCGAACTGGGCGTCAGACATGTTGCGTGCTGTGTTGCAAGTGTAACCTGTAGAAGAAATCAGCCGGTCCAGAGTTTCAAGTAACACAAAAGGAACCTACTGCTCGAGAAACACAATTGATTTAGGTATAAGAATTATAGAATCGTGTAATTCTTATTTTACAATAATTAGCCAAAGGTTGTCGCGGGGCACCACAGCTGCAACTTCCCAAACACTTTTAGGCATGACGCAACGCCCCACCTGCTAGCTATGATCGAATAGGGATCATCGGCCAGCGACACGAGCCTGACTAAGTGCGGTAACTTCCTAAAACGGAATACCAAGCGAACGTTGAGGTGGTAAGGGTGCAGTGGTCGAAAATATTTGAAGCTGTGTTTAAAGGTCAATTGAAGAAAGAGACAAAAACAGATTTGCAAATCAAGGTGGATTCCACCTGACAGAGAAGAGCACATTTGATGAGTTCTTGATTGGCAGAGTATAATCTGCTTGATTACCGTTTGCACCATTCAACTATCTTCTCCTAGATAAGTATAGACAAAAGCTCTTCCTCGATGATGTTACTGGGCTCTCAAGACCTAGAGAAGCAGAAGCTGGACTGTCGCAAGGACAAAAAGTGCAGTGAGAGAAGATACAGCCCGATCACTGGCACCAGTGCCCCTATACTGCTGGGTGGTTGGACTGGCACTCTTGCTAGTGTCTGTAGGATACAACGAGGGGAACGACGAAGTAGATGACTGAAAAGTTGTGACGGTTGCCCCGACCGCAGTACTCGTTGGTTGTGGTGTGCCTACGGAAGTGGGGGATGAAGCCGTACCAGTGGTGACTAGCGTTGAAGTAAAGGTCCAGATAACTGTTGAGCAATCAGAAAGGGGCGTAGCACCTGGGGCTTGCGTTGGAATCGTGACCGGCCCAGTTCCAGTCGTGACAGCAGGGGGAGCAGATGGCCACCAGACTGTGCAGCTTGCTGAAGTACTAGTAATTGTGATGATGGTAGTGCTTGCTGGGCAGGGCGATGATAGAGTGGATTTGGTAGTATAGGTGACATCGCTAGTTGTTGTTGTTGTTGTTGTTGCCGCCGCTAGCGTACTAGTAGTAGAAGTTATGCTATCCGTGCCAGGACTGGTCGCGGTAATGGAACTGCTATCGCTATAGGTTGTATCCAGACCGGTCGTAGAGACAGTGGCAGTCGAGACGGATGTTATGGTTGTAGAGATTGTAGAGAATGTCGGAATGTAATCTGTAGTCTTTGAATCAATCCCAGCGCACGTTGTGTCAGTACCGACGCTGGCAGTCGATTTGTCAGGGATGCTTGTCACGAGCGACGATGCGCTGTCGGTGAGCGTGATGGGGATTGGAGGCACATTTGCAGAGGTTGTGGCGGGCGTGATCGTTTCTGTTCGTGTCGTAGTGCTCGTTGACTGTATTGTACTGTAGCTTTCGAGGACGGTAGTGTAGGTTTCGACGTTAGTGGGGCTTTCGACAGTTTTACTATAGCTTTCAATGATGGTACTGTAGCTTGTAAAGACAGACGGGGTGCAAGTTCCGTCACAGTTGGCGACGTCTATAGAAGTTAGGATCTACTGCAGCTTCTCTCCGGCAAAACCTACTGAGATAAGCACCATCTCTCCCCACGATATTCCCCAGTACTTCAGCAGCTTGCACACCGAAGGTTGAGAAAGCCGCAAGGAATAGCGGCAGAATTAAATTGTACATGGCGCAAAAAGGCGCTCTCGTGGTCCGGAGGATGGACGTCAACAGTTATAATCTTTAGAACGAGTGTGAGGTTGAAGCGGATGAAGGAAACATGGATCGAATAGAGACCATCACATCATTTTGTAGTTGCAAATATGCTCGCACCAGCTCTGGAAGACCAAGTTGTTTGTGTTCGGCATACCATATGCTGGAAGGCTGCATCGAGGAGATGAACTTGTGCTGCAGTATCCTCAAGGCTGGTGGTAATACGGGATTGTCCATTTGATCTCCGGTGAAGACAAGATTTGCAATCTGTGTACACCATGAAAACTGTAGCCTTATGCGGCTTTCCGTTGCGTTACGATCAACGTGTGTGGGATGCGTGGCTGGTGGCAGACTTGTCCATACTGGCCATTGCCCTCGTGTAGCAAAATCTTAGCACCGTTCGAACTATCGTTAGTGCACGCTGTTGCTGCTCTTCACAGTCTTAGTTACAACAGTACAGGCATCATCGTGTCAGGCAGGCATCCTCGATATTTGCCTACCATGATTTGGGTAACGCAAACTCTGTCCTAGCATTTGAGTCGTCTTGATCAGTGCAAGGCGCATCCTCTCTGGCTTTGTCGTCGATGGTGTTGATCCAGGCAATGGTTGATTCTCAGAAAGGTCATCAAAGCCGGGAAGATACACTTGACAAGCAGACTGTTGACATTAAAGGTTTACCACCATTGGTGTTCATTGGGGGTCCTTGATATTACAGCAGAGAACAGCTGCGTTGCGCAATAAATGTTTGTTAGCATTGCGCTTCCAGTCCTAATGTTCAAGGTGCCCCCCGGCTCAGTGAGCACAACCCAACAAAGAGATCTGTCAGTGATGGTAGTGAAGCTGGCCGATCATTCCCAGACTTTTCCAGTCACTAAATGTAGATCAAGTGTGCAGACCGTTGTGTTGCGCGTTATCGGCCTTAAGATTAATGGTTCTATGGTCAAACCAGACACTATTCGAAGCAGTCAAAGGGGAAAGGATTGGAGTAGTTTCTGCGGCAACATCGTGTTCATCCTCGAATAGCTGTAGCTTTGACTTGTCGACAGGAACTTCATGTTGCGATTGAAGTGCTTCCCACAAACAATATGCTGAAGCGATGTACTTCATTTGATATTCAAGATGCAAACGAAATCAATTGGTGGTGTTTCTGAGTACAAGCCTGACGGGGTCACGAATCTAGACACAGATCGCTCGCTCCAACTGGCAATGAATGTCTGCTGCCAAGCCGAAGGGGCGGGATATGGGCTCCACCGATATCTGCTGTACCAATCATTTCATCGCCTTTCAGTAAAGGGTTGCATCCTTCTGAAATCCCCAATCAACGTCGTGAAATTGCTTATCGAGCTTACCTTCTTCTGCCTCTGGCTCAAGCCGAGCTCTCAGCTAGAGTATTGGTAGCTGCTGTATGGCTACACTAACAAAACACGAGTCGGCGCAGCAGTCGGCATTCTGGTCGTCTCGGCATGGAGTACACGGTTCATCTTTCACTGCTCTCTGACACTACTCGTACGAATGACAAGATTCACTTTCGAAGCGTCAGAAGTGCGCAAACGAACTCTCAAAGATCATGATCACAGTCAACTATGATCATTAACAGCTTATGAAAGCTTATAAACAGATCCGTAAATGATCAAAGAATATTGCAAGTTGCCCGCTGGTGAAGCATGGCGGTAGGTCTTCTCGACTTCAGCAGAATGCAACGACGTTGGCAGCTACTCGTGACCCTCTCAGTCGTGACTGCTATCATACTGCTGTTCTTCGCGATTGATCACGCGCCGCCACCACCAGCCCTTTCAGATCCTGTACCAATATCGCAACTAGGAATTAGTCTACACAATCAGGGAACCCAACATCAACTGCTCAAGCCGAAAGACGTCAAGGTCATTGGTTTGATCTTTTTTGGTAGAAAGGATCGTGTCCAAATTTTGAAGTGTTATCTTGAGCGAAATCTGGCGGTAAATGGTGGTTGGCTCGATGAGGTGCACTGGGTGCGAAACACTGATCGCAAGGAGGATGTTGATTATCTGCACCAGATAATTGCTGCTAATCCAGCGTACAAGCAGATCGAGATCAAAGAGACTGGTTTTATCGGCTATGGCCTAGCATGGTCAACCCTCCAAGAAGACGCAATTTATGTCAAGATCGACGACGATGTGGTCTTTCTGGCGGATGACACGATACCGCGAATGGTGTCAACGAAGCTCGGTCACCCAGAATACCTTGTTGTATCAGCCAACATGATCAATTCTCCTTTGATGGGTTGGGTACACTACCACATGGGCGCGATTCACCCTTACCTGCCAGAAGTGATTGAGCCTGAGGAGGTTTCTCCAGAATTAGCGCCCGAGCGTGGCAAGCGACCTCCGCCAGTACAAAGAGTTCCTTGGCGACATACACAGCATCCCTTTTGGGAAGGTCCGGACGATTACTTGTTCGATTTTATGCAGGAACCACCATCGATGAGACACCGCTGGCTGCGGCTGGCAACGCCCGATGGCAACGCTGCGAGGCAAATCATGCGTACACCTATTTCGGATGCGCAGTACGACACATGGGGAAATAGTGTGCAGTCGTGGGCGATTGCAGCTCAACAGCACTACTCTTTTCTTGAGAATCTGTACGAGGATCAATTAGATCTCTACCAGTTTTCGTCGAGAGCGCACGCATGGATCACGGACTATCGCCGACTCAGCATTAATTGTATCGCGATCAACTCAACCGAGATCCTGTCCTACCTGCCGATGGATACAGTCGATGAAGAATGGTTGACTGTAGTACTGCCCAAGAAAATTGGAAAGAGTGTAGCTGTCGACAGTCACGCCTTGGCAGTACACTTCAGCTTCGGAGGGCAGGGTAATGTACAGGCAACGGATCTGTTAGGTCGATACCTAGACTACGCACAGGAGAATGCCTGTATGGCACCCTCTTCCATACCTAAAGGTGCAAAGGGATCATACTATACCTAAGTTACGCAAGGATTTCGCAGAAGAGAGTGCCGTAATCCGCCCCTATCTCGAAGAACAGGCTACCGTTCTGATAGCAAACGCCAAGACCAATTGAAGTCACACTTCGGAACCACGATATAGCAAACATGCGACCGTGCTACGGATCGTCCTAAATTTGCTGCATTCGCCACGTCGGTAAGCAGCATCGAGCAGGTCTTACCATGGCCAGCGACAACCCCTCTTCTTGTTGAACACCACGAGCTCAGCAGTTTTCAGCCATGAGAAAATAAGACGATCTGAGACAATTGCCTCCGCCACAAATCAGAAGACAGAGGAACCGTGACCACCGGGGCTGATAGTGTAGTGAGTTCGTTCTTGAGAGGAGCGTGGACCCCATCAGCTTCAAGTCGCCAACGTAAAGAAAGTCCAAGGCTATTGTATTGGAGCCAGCCATACGAATGTGACTTTGGTGCTTCTCAGGGGATGACTGAATAAGCTTGGAATCGGAGTCGATATCCTAGTGATTAGCTTGCGGTTGAAACCTGGAGTATAGCTTGGACTATTGGGCTATGCTGGGGATATTTATAACAGTTCGAATGGAACCCTGATCTAGAGGCTATCTGCCTTGGGAAACTTGGCTGGAGCAGTTGGTGTACGATCTGTGAAGCTTGCTTAGGATGCAAATATGGCATGAATATCTGGGCTGAATGTGGTGTGGTGTTCAGATCATCGAAGAAGAATTTCTGAGCTGTCTGAAATGTTTTCGTTTCATTCAGATACTTCTCTCGTGATCTTATAAGCTGCCTGGACTTGGCTGAATATATATGTAATCTTGCAACTGAATGAGTTTAGCATTCTAGATTCATGGTGTCCCGCTGGTGCAAGAACCTCGCGGGACGCGACACGATAGTAAACCGCGTTTTGTTGCGCTCGAAGCTGTATGTAGGACCGTACATTTTCTCGTGTCTCTCTACATTTGCGACGCCTCAAGTAATTCACACTCGACTCAAACACCGCCGTTGTGACTCTCTCGTAATCCTTGCGAGGTGCTCCCTTGTCATTTCGCACAACTCGAATCTGACCACAGTGATTTTCATTGCAAGCACCTCACCCGGGAAGCAGATCCTACCAAAGGGCAAAGAAAATGTATAATTCGTATCAAGGTTTGCGCTTTACCCTTGCTCCTGCTAATGGCTCAACTAAGTCTTCTTTCCAGGACAATATAGTCAATATGGTGCTCCACCTGGAGGAATGGGAGGAGGTCAGTCTACTTATATCCATGTTGTCTCTCAGTGACTAATATTCTATAGCCCCAGGCACAGGTGCGCCGCCCGGAATGGCACAAGTCGATCCACAATCTTACCAACAAGGCAGACCTGGTTATCCCCCGAACTTCCAACCTCCGGCGAATATGCCCAATATCAACTTCGCGGCTCCTGTCATTCGATTAGGCGCAGCAGACCGCTCGGGCCCAGGTGGACCTCAAGATAGAGACAGAGGTGGTCGCAGAGCTGGGTTAGGCTCGGGGCCAGACTACCGAGGGGACAGAGAGCGACCTCAGCCGATACAACCGCAGACGAAGGAGGAGATCATCAGAACACTATTTGTCGGAGGCATTACAGAAGGATGTGGTGGAGATGAGGGCATAGAGCGCATTTTGAGAGCTCCTGGGGGTTTGAGGAGATGGTTCAGAGCGACTGATGCGGAAGATAAGCCTTGCAAATTCGGATTCGCTGAGTACGAGGATGCTGAGAGCCTGTCTACTGCAATCGAAGTGCTAAAGGACATTTATGTACCCGTCAAACAACGTGCTCCGGACAGCACCGACGACACAGAAGTGGAGAAATCACGTCTCCTGGTAGGTACGGAATACCTGTTATGATCAAAATACTAATGAGACACTACAGATCGTGGCTGACGAGAACTCGCGGACATATATCGAGCAATACGAAGAATCTCAAGGAGGAGTTGACACCAATCATAAGCAGATGCTGATAGATCAAGCTCAAGATGCGCTTCGAGCAGTTTTGGCTGACTTGGAAAACCCTCAAGCGCGACCCAAGGAACAACCATCTGCCCTCGATCCAGACGGAGATATCTCAATGAGTGACGAGTCTAAGCAAAACGGCGATGTACTTACAATACAACTTTCAGCCGACGACGAGCTAGCAGACATTCCTGCTGAAATGAGAGAAACTGTTGCGAGAGAAATCGCAGCGTTCCGAGATCGATCCAATAGACGAGACCTAGAAAGGCTGAAGCGAGAAGAAGAGATCGAACAACAGGAGAAAAGCCGTATGATGAATGGGAGCCGAAGCAGGCTTGGTTCACCTCCTGCTACTGCACCAAGTGGCCCCAATTCTTCCAGCATACCCAGTGGACCACGTGGTGCAGCGCCGACTGGTCCCAAGGGACAGGCTTCCGGCTTTCCCAAGGACTATGTCAGAGGTGTCACTTTCGTAAACGGCACTGGAGTCAGTGCTGCATCAGCCTTTGACGACGACACGGACGCGAGTGATGAAGATTTAGAACGAAGAAGACAAGAGAAGATTCAGGCGGAGAGTGAGAAAGATTATCTGGATCAAGAACGAAGATGGCTCAACCGAGAACGATCCAGGAACGCAGCAGTTGAAAGAGAGAAGAACCGTGATGATGAAGAGGCTTCTCGAAAGGATGCAGCAAAGGAGATTATGGCGAAGCGGTTGAAGGAATGGATTGATGACGAGCAGGCTGCCAAAAAAGACGATGAATACTATAGAGACAAAAGTCTGTGGACGCGCAATCGAATCGCTTTCCGACAAAGAGAAGCCGCACACGACGACGCCGATCGAGCAGCCGAGCAGCGAGAGCAAGCACGAGATCAGACTCAGCGAGAAAGAGCTGGTCAAATGGCCGACGACTTCCTTTCTCGACAAGGAGACATCCTATCACAACCCTACGAGACCGAACCATCTACACCTACCGACACGATCCGACGAGAACCTGCTCGCTTCAAGATGTCTCTAGGTGCAGCTGCTCAGCAACGACAAGCCGCGAATCAGGCCGCCAAAGACACCCAGAGGCGGCCAGTGGCGGATGTCGAGGGTATGCTGGAGGACGAGGAGGGGGACTCTACTCAAGACCGTCGCAAACTCATACCTATCCCTGCTTCACAGCTTGAAGCTGCCAAAGCTCAGGCTCAAGACATGACAGATGAGGAGCGAGCCGAGGCTGCTAAGAACCTTGCCGCAGAGATCCCTAATGACAAGAGCGCATTATGGGCATGGAATGTACAATGGTCATATCTCGATTCAGACGTCATTGAGGAGCGGTTACGGCCATTCGTAGAAAAGAAGATTGTGGATATTCTTGGTGTGCAGGAGGAGATGTTGGTTGATGTGGTGGTTACGGCGCTGAACAATAAGAGACGACCAGAGGAACTGGCCAAGGAGTTGGAAGGTGCTTTGGACGAAGAAGAGGCTGACTCATTGGTACGAAAACTGTGGAGGATGGTCGTGTTTATGAGTGAAAGTGGTAGACGTGGATTGGGTGCTTGAGCTGCGTGAGCCACAACAGAGTCAGAACGTTGCGCACACTTTATAATTGACTGATTCTCACGTTGTGAGCTCGACACAACACAGAATGAAATGAGAAAAGCACTCACATTTTGTATTCACGACTTCCATGTCACAGGGGGATTGGGAATGCACGAGCCATCTAAAGTGGCACAAGAGGATGAATCTTCTGAGACTTTAAAACAGTATTCTTACCACGTAATCAATTGCGCCGGTATATCTCTTCGACAAGTTAGCAGTGCTGATCAGAATATCACACTTACTGGCTTAGCCTCAATCCATGTCGCCTTCGTCCTCAGCAGAGTAAGTCTATCTTCGAGAATGTCGACTGTGATCGCGAGAGCGTCGCTCTCTATTGTGCGAACTGCTGCGACGAGTGCTGCGATCAGGAGATCGGCGTGTAGAACTGCGACTCTCCCTACGGCGAGAACCTTGATTGCTGGCTGCCGAGCTGGAGCCGTAGTATTCGTCGAAAGCATCATCAAAAGCGTTTCGAGATGACGGCGGTGATTCCAGAGCACGAGTTTGACCATGACCGTGGTTGTGGCTGTGGCGACGTCTGGTGGATGGTGATCTTGTTCTTGATTGTGCTCCTGATCTTGACCCTGATCGTGCTCTTCCCAACGAAGGATCACGGTTCGCCATGACTATGGCCGCCATGCGCTCGAAATCAGGTCGACAGGATTCCACGATAGCACGGGTTCTGGCGAAGTCTTGGGCAAAGGTGCTTGCGCGACTGGATCGGCCATTGTTGGCTGGTTGACTTCGTGGAGCTGAGCGACCACGAGCAGCGTGGTTGGCACAAGGTCTAGCCACTCTCAGATGTCCTCGATGGTATTCTGTCTCGTCACAACCTGGCAAACCACATTCGACGAATTGATAAGGTGGTTCGGTGCGACAACCGCAGCTGTATTCGATGGGTGTCATGTAACACATGGTTTTGGTTCTTTTTGAGCTTGTGATCTCGGTGAATGTGTGTTCAACTTTGAGTTTAGATTGATTGGTAGTATTTCACGTTGTGGTTGGGAGAAATATGACCGGAACATTTTTATTAACATCGTGATATTTATTGTATCCATTTTAGACAATCAGTTCTTTGAAAACAAACAGAGGAACTTTCACTGTCAATGGTTGCGTGGTGTCCATCTAGTGTCGAGGGCTGGAACAATGGAATTGTGTACATTGTGCTTTACTTTTCATTGTACTGTGTTTTGTGGTCCGAGATGGTAGTTAGCGGTGATGAAAGCGTACGTCAATTCCAAAGTAGTAAGACAATGTGAAGGCGATGGGTAGATGAATTTGAGCATGATAGCATCAGACTTTGACACAGACTGTTCGGGCACCATGAGTGCTTCCTGATCGATTGTCATTTCTAGTTCTTCAAAAGTCCAAAGATGGCGACAAGTCCTGATTCTGAGGACTCTACAGAGGATGCCCACACCTTATGTTAGTCAAGGTAGATTAGCCAGGTGGTATGACACAGCCACCACAGATATTCCAGTACAGAGCCACTTTATAGTAGATAACGTGAACAGCACGAAGTTCCGTGGACAAATATTGATTAATCCGGTAACACACCTCTCGCGCAGATCTTGTTAAGCAATCAAAAGAATGAATTAAGGGAACGATTTTGGAGGGATTGAACGCGAGCTTTAGTTAGCGTGTCTGCGTTTTAGTGTTCAAAGCCGTGCTGTAGCATTCAGCTACAACATGCTCGGTCGTAAACAGTCTTCGCGTCTTTCCTTCGTCGTCTCGGTTGAGGTTATTCTGCACACAGCTGCACACACTTCCGAGCAGTCGGTCGTGACTCGAGTTATTCTCAGAACTCTTCCAATCGTGGTCTCCAACTCCATCGTACTAATGGTGTTGAACGGCTTCGGTCGACCGTGGCCCTCTCTTCCTAGCAGTGAAATCGGCCGAAAATTTGTGTGGTGAACCTTCCGGATGTGTCCTCCTCCAGACCATGACTTTTCTTATTGTTGATACAATTCGTGCTGGGCCCTGCCCTTCAGAGGAAAATTGCGTAGGATTGATTGACCTTATCTAACAGCGCGTGAGAAAATTACACCTACATTTGTTTGAGCACTCCACAGAAATCATGCAACAGAGTCGACAGTATCGTTTCAAAAACCGGCGACACACTGCGTGCACAGAGTGCTACCGGAGAAAGCAGAAGGTATGTATATGGTGCATCTACTCCAACAAGCTGACGTTTCTAAGTGTAATCGCCAGCACCCTTGTAATGTCTGCCAGAGCCGAGGAGCATCAGCCAAATGTTCCTACCAGCACACAGTGAGGTCTGTAAATGTCTTCACCCGATCCTACCTGTGTTTATCATCTCGGAAAGTGTAATTGACTTGGGATCGACAACAGAGACAGCACTCATAATGACATTGTGGTCAAATCATCCCCTCGCTCAACAGATACCTCACAGCCACCAGAGGATTTGGCGCTAAACGTTGGATATGCAGATCCAGCTGCTGCAGAAGGCCGACCTACTGCTCTGGCTGATATGCTCGTGAGTGCTATCTATTGCGTAATGTTCGATGAAGCTGACGGCAGCCCTAAGACGCACTCAAGTCAACTTCTTGGGTCCAATATTAGAACCAATAGCGGACTGCAGGCTTTACGTTCGTTATCGTCTTCGAAGCGAACTAGACTTGACGAACTTCTTTCACAGGTTCCGGAGGCCTTCCTTGTGCAAGCACTGGTGCAGGTCTTTTTTAGCGAAGCCAACTGGTATTTCACAGTCCTTGACCAATACTACTTCGAAGAGGTTCAGCGTGACTGGTACCGGTTCTCTGGCGACATGGAACAATGTAGCATAAACAGAGAAACAGTCTACTTCCCGGCATTGCTTTTCCAAGTCCTGGCACTAGCGTTATCCTTCGTGCCTGAGAAGTCAACTTGTGCGTTGTTGGTCTCTCAGATCTCTGACGACTTCGACTCTCTATCTCAGCAGTACAGTGACGCAGGCGAGGCCATACTAGTGCTACTTGGTCGACGACAGCCTTCAATCACGTCGGTCCAAGCTGATGTGGTTCGTTGCGCCTGGCTAAAGAATTCTGGGCAAGGATCGGAGGCCTGGTACAGCCTTGGAAATGCGTTGCGGTAAGCTCATCCACCCAACTGGTTATTACTGAATGTGCTAAGTGTGTTCTTGCTTCAAGTCAGGCACAGGATATTGGGCTTCACTTGGAGCCAGTGATGGTGCGCCACACTGGCGAGGTGCTAACGCCACAACTGCTTCAGACACTATGGCACAACGAGCACAAGAGGCGTCTGTGGGCCACCTTGTTCGCGTGGGAAGGGTGAGGTCAGCTCATGCGTACTGTGAGCATCAGTTGACAATTTTCTAGGCACATGGCTCTGCAGCTTGGAAGACCCCGTATGGTCAATGTATCTGACTGTACAATATCCGCTCCTCTCGATTGCGACCTGCCTAGAGAGCCATCGAAAACTTTGTTTCGAGCCTTCACCTGTGGCGATCGGCCGTCACTATACCGAGTTGCATTGCTCAAATATCAGATAGCACAGTGGATCCACGATGCGATGTCTCGAGGAGCATTCAACCGAGATTTCAACGATTTGTCTGCGATAGGGGTTCTTCACAAGCACGTAACCGATTTGCTAGCTAACCTACCATCCACTCTGCAATCCGTCGCGCCTGACACAAGTTGGGATTTGCAAATCCCAGAACTGCGGAAGCACAGACTCAATGCGGCAATTATCGTGGACGCAGTCTTGTTGGCCTTGCATCGGCCTCATGCGGCCAAGTATCGGAAAAGTTTAGACGAGGCCATGAATGCCGCAATCAGACTCCTCAATTACTCGCAAAAACTCTTCGAGGCAACTGAGCCGCACCACCACAGGACCTACACATTGATCTTCTACACAATTGATGCAGGTATCTCCCTAGCTACTCTGCTTGCAAGGTTTCCACGAGACAGCATCGATCGACGCTCAGAAGCCATAGAGGCATTGACACTATCAGTCTCTCGGCTGAGCGTCCTGCGGCAGAGGAATGTGGCTGCCATTGCTGGGGAAAGTGTGCTAAACAAATTCTTAGAGATACTACAACCTTCATCTCCACAACACAGTCTGACTACAGTCAATGGATCAACTCATGCAGCTGGTCCCCAACAGCAGTGGATCCCGGCTCAAAGCTATGGTGATGAAGTAAATGGTGTGCTGAACGAAGGTCAGCCTGATCGCTTGACCGATGAGAACAGGTTTTGGGAAGAAGTGCTGGCAACTGACTTTACATCTAACTGGCTGCAACAGTTCGACCTTGGGCTTGGGGGTAATCTGGATATGACAGAAGATGGCTTCATGTGGGACACCTTGCGCAGGTGGTGATCGTTTGACAAAGTATACACATTTCGGCCGAAATTTGGTTGCGACCACAAACATTCATGGAAATCAATGGAGAAACGAATCTAGGCGAAACACTTGATATATAAAGGTTCGCTGCTTCAGGTTCAGTCCTGGATTGTCCAGAACTACGATTGACTACATCTGACAAAGGTTCGCTGCTGGTCAAACTGGTCGAAGTCGTTTCCGCAAGAGATCTCACGAACAAATATCACCGAAACCCTACTGCTGCTGCGATGCCAGAGTACAAGTACACAGATCCTGTTGATTGTGCAGTCGATATCGATACGGATAAGATTTCAGGCAAGACAGCTGTTGTCACTGGTGGTAAGTACAAGACATGATCTCCTAGACTTGCCATACGAAACTGACGTATATACAGGCGCAAGCGGCATTGGCGAGGCATACGTGCGGGCATTTGTCAGCGCAGGGTAAAATCGCCTTGGTTGTCATGCTTTAAACACCGTTTAACACAACAACAGCGCGCACGTCTGTATCGGTGACCTTAATACTCGGAATGGCGAAAGATTGTCTAAGGAGCTGCCCAAGTCAGTCCTACGACCCATTGTATTCATCTACAGACAAACCTGACGAATGCTAGTGTCAAATTCGTCAAGTGTGATGTGACCAGCTGGGAAGATCAAATTGAATTGTTTAAGACAGCAGTTGCATTCTCGCCCTCGGGCAAGTTATCCTACGTCGTTACCAATGCTGGCATTTTCAAAGCAGACACGGTGTACGATGTGTCCGGTATGTCCAGCTAGGGTTCTAAGCATGCGAGTGCGGCCACTAAACTCCCTTACCTTCTAGCCTCCGAACCATCGAAGCCAGACCTCCAGGTTCTTGACGTCAACATCGTTGGTGCAATGTACACGATCAAGTTAGCATTGCATTACTTTGTCCAGCAGAATGGAACAGAAATTTCTCCTAAACAAGAAGATACTGCTCTTGTCCTTATCGGATCTGGTGCCTCCTTCCTAGACGGACCACGAGCACCAACATATGCGGCCAGTAAATGGGCCATGAGGGGTATTATGCACAGTTTGAGACGCACCGCCTTCTATCACGGTAGTCGCGTCAACTTGATTGCACCTTGGTACGTGTCTTCGTGAACATGAAGATAAAATCTTTCATCACTGATCCGGAGCTGACTGAGACCTTGATCGCAGGTACGTCAAGACCGGCATTCTTTCGCAAGAGCAGTTTGAGGGCGTCAAGCAAGCGGGAGTACAATTTGCCGAAGCCGAAGATGCTGGAAGATGTCTGCTCAGGATTTGCTCAGACTCTGAAATTAATGGAAAGACGTTCTTCGTCTGCGCAAGGAAATGGGCGTCGGCCGGCTATTTCGATTTGGACATTGATGATTACCATGATAATCCTTTACTTGAAGAGATTCAGCAGGAGCAAATGTGGTCTTCACCAGTGTCCCTGGGCTTGTTCCCGAGTTGAGCCAAGAGCTGAGAGGAACTTTGCGGTAGCATGAGGTGACTTCATAGGATGTCCGATGTTCGAGAGGCGATTCTTTCTCAAGCTGAAGGACGATCCGGCATTGTTCCTTGACCGTTGTTCTCTGTCACCCACGACGTCGCACTTTATTAGTGCCAGGAAGCACTATGTCAGGCTGATGAACAATGAAAGGGAAAATGCATGAGTCTGTGGTCAAACTTAAGCCGAAGCTTCAAGTGCCCAAAAACAACGAGTTAAGTACGTATATCAGATTACATAATACGTATATGATCATACTAGTAGCATAAGCCTTGAATGCTATCGCATTATCGTCGTCAGTTGACTTCCATCAATCATCCGTCAAACCAGCCAAGATTGTAAGAGCCTGCAGACAAAGTTCTGTTCTCCAGTCCAAGCAAAAATCAGCCTCAATCCTCCGTCCCATTGCGCCCTCACACCATAGCCGTGTGATACCTGTGGTCTTTGTCCTGCCACACACCCCTGCCAGCGGGTCCTGCTTGCGTCTTGTTCATCTAAAACCCATATCTTGGATTTCCGCTACGTCTTGATGGAGAATGGTGATTTTCAGCAGGTATGAGCGTTGTCCATCTGAATTGCGTTCCGTGTCGCAATCCTCCTTCACTTGCTAGGAGAAGACAATGGCGCTAACGAGGAGGCTGGGGTCGCAGTGGCGATCACAGGAATGGGAGCTCGAGGCGATGGCCTGGTAATCCAGAAACTTGTGCCAAGAATATTGAGGTGGATGGGCGCTTGAGCTTGGGGCTGCATTGTGAAGGTTGCAAGGTTGGATCCTTAGTCGCTAGGTCCTTTATGTGGTTTGTATAGCGAAGTCGTTGTTGTATGGGAATAATCTCTGGTCTTACAAACCCTGAGAGACAGCATCAGCATTATTATATAGTCCTTGTGCTTATGAAACTTCAACGTGACGCGTTCTATATCTTGATATCAGGCATAGTCGAGCACCGTGGCTGATGAGGCTGATCATTATCATTGCTCGGCGGAACGCTACGAAGAGGCACGGAGTAGCGGAACGGAACTTGAACGTGAATATGAAATATTGCCTGATACAGTAACTCTGCCTCTTAAAAGGGGGGTGCTTTTGTGATGGAGGTCCGTTCTCGTTATAACTCTGAAGCCTCCACAGGACCGAGCCAATGGACTGATAAGACACAAGCTCGTTTTTTATCGTGGACGATCTGCTTCGTGCACGTCAGTGGTAGCGCCATGGTTCAGATATCTCGCGTATCTGGTCCCTTATGTCGGATCTGATGCTTTATCAGTCGACATTGGAGGACGCTCGCATTACTTTGACTTTTCATCTTGTTGAGAATTCTTTTCCACGACTCGAGCACATCGTGTTTTGCTTCGTGACGGCGAGCCACCCTGCTTCGCTAGATGCCCAGAAATTCTGTTCGGGCCAATGGAATATATCAGTGTTTTGAGAAAGGCACTGATGGATCATTGAGAGCGCGGGCGCGGGCGCACGGTGAGCTCGACTAACGCACACCGACACTCGTCGACTTCAAGTGGTCGTCGTTCAACTCAATGGCATGTTCGCCACATGGTTGTTTGGGCTACCGTACCTTCTGTGACGTCAATATACGGTACTTTTGGTGCACAAACATGTAGACAAAAACACATAATACACTTGACGTCAAAGCAACTCTGCTTTTGTTGTGAGCAATAGCGATATTTGTAATTACCAGTAAAGACAATTGATCGACTACCATGGCCGAAGCAGTGGCAGCATTTTACGCTATTGAGACAGCAGTGGAAGCAGCAGCCATTAGTGCGCTTGCAGTGTCTGGCGCTACCGTACCCCTGCATGCCAAGTTTCAGAAGGTTAATGGAGCGCCATCTACGGCTGCTGCTGTTAAGGGCAGCACCACACACGTCGTCAAGAACAAGCTCTACATTGTCGGTGGTGAGGCCGCAGAACCAATCGATGACCATGGCATCCACGTCTTGTCGTTTGCGCCAGACTTTGGCTCTTCAAGAACAACACTTAGTCAACCACTAGATCTGGACTATGAACTGCAGAAGCCAGAGTTCGCTATTGAGCAGAGACCTCTTCAAGCTCACAGCAAACATCTAGAAGAAGATGTCTCCGTAGCTAAAGATCTTTCTCATCGTCACTCATGGGCGCGAAACAAACACGCCTCCGCGGCGGTTGACGATAAGATATATGTGTTGGGTGGAGTCTTTGCAGGTAGCAACAAGTTGCGGAAGTCTAACACTGAACACATCATTCCGCTAGATACCATACTAGCCTTTGATACTCTCCGGAGCACATATTCGGCCATCGCTGCGAACACCTCGAAGAGCACTGAAGGCATACCTGAACCTCGCTATTCGGCCTCTTGTACCAGTTCGCCAAATCCTTCGTCCGTACCTGCTCTACAAGGTGAAGGGCCCACGATCGAAGCCCACGGAACGATCTTTCTGCATGGTGGATACGATGTCTCTGGCCAGCCTCTTCACGATACCTGGACGTTTGACATTGGGACAAGAGCATGGCACAAGTTTCCAACGATAGTCGAAGAAGCTTTACACGATAGGTCCTCACCTGGCCAGATATCATATGTTGATGGTCGTCTCTGGTACGTCAACAGCTCAACCGTCATGTACCTTGACCTGTCTGAGCGTCAGCCACTAAGTGACGATGACGTTCCGCCAGTGTCCGAGAGTCTGAGTACAGGGCGAGTTGGAAGTGGTCAATGGCAGGTGGTCTATCCTACCCCTGAGGCTGATCCAGCTGTGCCAGCAGAGAAGTACAAGACCAAATCTGCCACAGCTGCAAAAGCAGATAGTATTCCTACAGAACCTACCAATCATGTCGCGCCTGTCACCACAGGTGCAGGCCGTTTATACCTCGTCACATGCAGTTCGACCAACCCGCAGCAAATGCATCTCTTTCAGATACCTTCTAGTGCCCAGACTGCAGCTAGCGTCAAGGATACTATTCGGGATAAGACCTCAAGTGCCATTTCAGCTTTGTCGGACGACTGGAAAAGTGGAAAGCACGAATGGAGTAAGATTGAGGTTCTACGCAGTACAAAGGAAGAAGGCGAACTTAAAATACCAAGCACAGATCTGGAGGACTTCTCTGTCGCTACCTGGGAGGAATACGGTAACAAGCTCGTGTTCTGGGGAGGCAAGACTGAAATCGATGACTACAAGAACGAGGGCTGGGTTTTGCAACTGGACTGAGATATGTTTGGAAAAGAGCCTGGAAAGGACAAAAGTTCCAAGTGCAACGCCGACTTTTCAGCTCCACAGAGTCAACACCTGGGACACGGCACAAGTTGCAACCCCACAAGATAGACTCCGACTCAGCAGGAAATAATCTAGTAAACCTTCAAAAGTAGAAGACGGCGCGGTGTCAAACTGTATCAATGCCTCCGAGCGACCTCGTTCCAGCTCTCACTGTTGGACCGCATCCTGCACGGCATCTTGTTGTGTCAACTGACTTCTTACTTCCATCAAAGCCTTGCCTAGGAAGTTCCTACCCCACTTCGCTCTAGGAGTGTCCCGAGCTTTGCTTTGACTGTATCCAATACCCCATACTCGATCTCGCGCACTTGCTTCGACCAGTTCTCTATTCCCAGTGCCAATCAGCAATTCTCCAAGTGTCATCTCCTCCAGGCCTTCTTCTTGTACCCAGCCATGTGGTGGGTACACGAACACATCATCGCTTCTGGCTGTACCCTGATTGAACTTCAGCCTGTTCGCCTCCACCACGATCTCATATCTGACCTGGTTCCACTTCTCGTCAGTGAAACCACGAACTTTCCTGCCCAGCGATCTCTGTTTCTTGGGATTATCTGTGTCGAGGATCTGCTGCGCGATTTCTGCATCGTTGAAAGTGAGGGCTTTGTGATACATCATGAACTGCTCGTTGCAGGAGAAAGTTGTGTTTGTCTCAGGGTCTTTGATTGGACAGGCGTACCACTGAGAGAAGAATCCCCAGGACTCATGAGGTTTCCAGAAGTAGACGGGCGCGGTAATGTTTTGCTCCTGCTCGGTTCGCCAGAGTGGTGTTGAGGGTGGTGCTTGTTGTTGTTGCTTGTTCTGAGAACGACTGGATCTGCTGTTCTTTCCTATGGCTGAAGCGGCTGAGGGTGTCGTTTCTCTCACTTCGTTCTTCGCCTTTCTATATGGTTGCACACGCGATGGCTTGGTGTTGGAGGACACTGAAGCTTCTCTCGGCATTTTGACTATGGAGCGTGTAATGCGCAATTTCAATCAAAGGAGTGGCTAAGTGAATGAAAGTAAAAGGAAACCCCACAAATGCCTACACTTCTTATGCTTACAAGACCAGAAATATCCATGCTAGCATTGGTAGGCTGTGTTGCCTGTTGGCTGAACTTGAGTCATGCCTATTGTGGCCCAGCGATCGTTCGCCAATCCAGCGCAGTGTTCGGTTTTGAGATGCACAATCATGAAACAAGCTCCATAGCATTTCGTTACACACATCTTGAGCCGCAAACTACTAGCGTAGTGGTTTAGCGAGGACTTGCTGCAGCCTGCAGCTCAGCAAAAGTACCCTACTAGTGAGTGATACCAAAATCGGAATAAAGTTCGCACTTCTCACGCCCTCAGCTTATGCTGAATCACTCTCTCCCACGTCTCAATACTGCTAAACAGCACGAATTATACATATTGAGTGCGCTGTTGGCAAATCCTATTGCATTGGATCAAGTATATCTGCAATAGATTGCTTGCGTTCAAAGCAGAGTTCCTTTAAGGAGGAGGTCCAAGTGAACTACTGGATTTCTAGCACAAATCTGTAGGGTTGAAAACGAATGGAGGACTACCGCGACTCACGCTGATAATGCTCGACTTATGACCGCTACCACCTCTATCAACACCATATCAGAAGTGTAATTTCCAGAACGCCACCAACCATGCCGAGCGCGCCAACACTTTCTGTGAGTTCTCACATGACAACGCAGCAGGAATTTTGCTGCTTCGCCTGCTTGTAAAAGCCCTTGGACATGCCGCTAAGTTCATCACTTTTAGCGACCAAGGTGTCCAGTTTCTCACCTCTTTGTAACACACTCTCGATAGTCTGGTGCAAAACAATCTTAGTCTCATCCAGTTCTCGTTGCACGGCCGCAATTCCAGTCTGCTCAACATTGATGGCCTCTTCGCGAAATTTCTTGCCTTCTGGCCAGTCGAGAGGAGGATTTCTTTGTGCGATCTCTGTTGGTGTGTACTTCACCTTGAAGTTATCTGCTGCTTTCGAGAGGATGGTCTGCGCGGCCAGCTTGTCGTATTCAGCCTCCGTTATTAGGATCGCGCAGAACCCGAATGATGTGTGGTAGACGTGGACCTTGCCTATTTTCTCTTCAATGGTGTGTCTGCTGCCAACTGGGGTTCGCTCCGCTACCGTTTTCGATGAGAATTGTATAAATTGTTTGTAACTGATGGTCCGTGAGCGCAAGTACAGTGTATGATCACAGTGGTACTTACTTTTCACGAGTGAACATGCTGAATGAGCTGAGGTCATAGTCTCCAGCCAACTCAACAGCCTGCTTTCCTTGATCTGTGCGAAGAATCTGCAGCTTGTTAGCCCGGGTAACGCATGTCCTGGTTCTTTTACGTGCACCTAGATAATATATCGTCTTTGGCCTGTTCTTGTTGCCCGCTACTCCAGTATTTGGCGCCGAAGACGGCGTCGACGATGAGCCTCCTCCTAACCAGGACATCTTTTCAACTTGTGCTTTCCTTCGTCGATGTCGTTTGGTATAGAGTTTTGGAGAATATAGAATTAGACCAGAATAGTCGTCAATAGGTATAGACAGCACAGCTCGAGGAAGACGATTTCAAGTTAAGAAAAATAGTAATGCCTGTTTTCCTGACAAGGCGGTGATCATAGTGAAGTCAGAGCGCCTGCATGGTGGCACATGCAAGCAACGTTATCCCCGAACCACAATGCGATTCGTCCCGCTCTCAGCCCCGGAAGTTTCTTTGTCCCGGCTGAGTTTCCAGACAGCATCAGCCCACACAGGCTAACCATTTTGAGATATCAGAGTCATCACTGCCAGGACGACGATTATTGCAAATTATTTGCCCTTGCAGGTTTGTGTTTTGGTTGATTTTCATGAACATTTCATTGTGATACTGCAGCTTCGACCACTGGCTTAGAGTGAGATCTCGAAACTTTCGTCCTCTGGCTATTGTAGAGACATCTAAAGCTTTAATCATGGAGAACGATCTTTCACAGTCTATACAAGAATGGCGGGCGCAGATGGCTGCTATGAGGCAAGCATTGGCAAATTTCAAGTTACCCGAAGCCGACAAAACAAAGGCCTATGAAATAGAGGACGACCTTGACCTCAATGCTGATGTTTCAGATGAGCCTTACGACGACATATGGGATATTGAAAGTGATCTTGATGATAGTGTCGATACAAGAGAGTCAAGTCCTGGTCTTAATGGCTTTCATACTCCCGACTCGACACAAGGCGTTTACGACAAACGTTGGCTAAGACATAGATGTTCAGACTTTGCGAACAGAAGACCCGGAATTGATGCTTCTGACCTCGAACAGCAGATCATTGCACTCCTAGCATCCGACAGTTCGAATGACGAACTTCAGATGTCCTTGGCAGAAATAATAGGCTACGACGACCTCGACTTCATCATCGAACTTATCTCACATCGCACCACAGCATTGAAGGATTCTGCCGCCAGCGAAACTCAGACGAATGGCCTTCTTGCAGGTTTAGAGACAAGAGCACAACGACAAGCTCGACTGCGTCAGCAAGACTACGAGCACAAACATGCTGCTCTTGCACCTGCCCACGATCGAACCGGTCCTGTCTACCCTCACGTCTTCAAGTCGGATTCAGCTGCAGCTGGCAACATCCTTAGCGTTTCTGGACAGCGCTTCTCTTTGCCTGTTGGCAGTGAGCGTTCTGAGAAGCCCAGGTACGAGGAATACTCCATACCTGCAACGAAAGTCGGCACTCAAGCAGCGCATCAGAAGCTCGTTCCTATTGCTGAGATGGACGGTTTATGCCAGCGTACCTTTAAGAACTACAAGACTCTCAACCGTATGCAGAGCTTGCTATATCCTGTCGCCTATCGTACATCAGAGAATATGCTAGTCTGTGCACCTACTGGTGCCGGTAAGACCGATGCTGCTCTACTGACTATTCTCAATGCCATTTCTCACAACGTCGAGCCAAATCCAATCGAGCAGCCCGACGCCCAAGATTTTGTCGTCAACACTAACGCTTTCAAGATTGTGTACGTTGCACCGATGAAGGCTCTTGCCGCGGAGATTACAGAGAAGTTCGGCAAGAAATTGGCTTGGCTCGGCGTAAAAGTGAGGGAGCTGACTGGAGACATGCAATTGACCAGACGAGAAATTGCGGATACGCAGATCATCGTTACTACTCCAGAGAAGTGGGACGTCGTTACAAGAAAGAGCACTGGTGACACCGAGCTTGTACAGAAAGTTCAGCTACTGATTCTAGATGAAGTACATCTCTTGCACGACGAAAGAGGAGCTGTTATCGAATCTCTAGTCGCAAGAACGGAAAGACAGGTTGAGAGCACTCAACGACTTATACGCATAGTCGGTCTTTCAGCCACGCTTCCTAACTATGTGGACGTGGCGGACTTCCTAAAGGTCAATCGAATGACAGGCATGTTCTATTTCGACTCCTCCTTCCGACCAGTGCCACTTGAACAACATTTTGTTGGCGTCAAAGGAAAGGCTGGCACTAAACAATCTCGCGACAATCTGGATCACACTGTCTTTGAGAAGGTGAAAGAGATGCTCAAGCAAGACAAACAAGTCATGGTATTCGTCCACTCAAGGAAAGACACTGTACTTGCGAGTCGTCTACTTTATCAACAAGCTATCGACGATGGCTGCGATGAGCTTTTTACGCCTGACCCAGCAGATCCGGCAGTAATTCGTGCTATGAGTGACCTGAAGAGTACCAAAGGGCGCGAGCTGCGAGATATCGTGCCTAAAGGCTTTGGCTGCCATAACGCTGGGATGCCACGATCAGACCGAAATTACATAGAACGAATATTTGCTGATGGCGCCATTAAAGTCCTTTGCTGTACAGCAACCTTGGCTTGGGGTGTTAACTTGCCTGCGGCAGCTGTCATTATCAAGGGTACACAGCTGTACAGTTCCGAGGCTGGAAAGTTCGTGGATCTTGGAATTCTCGACGTTCTTCAGATATTCGGTCGTGCTGGTCGACCACAGTTTCAAGACAATGGTGTTGGTTATATTGTCACGACGCAGGATAAGTTGCAACATTATCTGTCTGCAGTTACGTCTCAGATCCCCATTGAGTCAAGATTCTCATCACGTCTAGTGGACAACCTCAATGCCGAAATTGCTCTTGGAACAGTCACAACCGTCGCAGAAGCGGTGACGTGGCTGGGCTATTCTTACCTCTTTGTGCGCATGAAGCAAAACCCACGTGCTTATGGAATAGATTGGGACGAATATCAAGACGACCGAGTACTAGCCGGACGAAGACGACAGCTTATTATTGACGCTGCCAGAACTTTGCACCGAAGCCAAATGATAATCTTCAACGAGCGCACCGAGGAATTGCGATCGAAAGATGTCGGTCGAATTGCATCCCAATATTATGTGCAGCAAAGCAGTATCGAGGTTTTCAATGAGATGATGCGCCCTCAATCTAGCGAGGCTGATGTGCTGAAAATCATCAGTATGAGTGGAGAGTTTGACAATATTCAAGTAAGAGACAGCGAGGCACAAGAGTTACGTCGTCTCGAGGACAATCGTGTCTGCGACATTGAGCATGCTAAAAGCACTGCTACGGACAACAAAGGTGATGATAAGGGCTCGAAGGTGACCACCAAAGCCAACACGGAACAAGAGAAGGAGAAGAAAATCATCGAAAATCATGCCAAAACGAACCTCCTACTACAAGCCTACATTTCTCGATTGAGATTGGAAGACTTTGCTCTGGTCTCAGATTCCGCTTACGTTGCTCAAAACGCAGCTCGAATTTGCCGCGCATTGTTCATGATTGCTCTTAATAGGGGTTGGGGTTATCAATGCGAAGTTTTGCTGTCGATGTGCAAATCTATCGAAAAGCAGCAATGGAGCTTTGTTCATCCTTTCCATCAATTTGATCTGCCACAGCCGGTTCTGAAACAGCTTGATGATAAGGTACCGACTTCGAACATCGAAAGTCTACGTGAAATGGAGCCTGCAGAGATCGGAAGTCTGGTACACAACCAGAAAATGGGTGGTGTGATCACCAAATTGCTTGACAACTTTCCCACCGTTTCAGTGGACGCTGAAATTGCACCACTAAATCGCGACGTTCTCCGTATGAAGCTTTTCCTATACCCTGAGTTCTACTGGAACGATAAGCACCACGGCACCTCAGAAGCGTATTGGGTTTGGGTCGAAAATTCCGAAACCTCGGAGATATACCACCATGAGTACTTCATACTCTCTCGCAAAAAGCTTCATGACAATCACGAGCTTAATTTCACCATTCCCTTGAGCGATCCCATACCGGCACAAATCTATGTGAAAGTCATATCAGATCGATGGCTCGGCGCAGAGACTGTTTATCCAGTATCTTTTCAACACCTCATTCGACCTGATACAGAAAGCGTGTACACGGACCTTCTGGATCTGCAACCTCTGCCTATAACCGCACTCGAAAACCCTCTTCTAGAAGAGATATACAGCCCGAAATTTCAGTTCTTCAACCCGATGCAAACGCAGATTTTCCATACACTCTACCACACTAACAACAACGTCCTTCTCGGTTCACCTACCGGGTCGGGCAAGACCATTGCTTGTGAGCTTGCAATGTGGTGGGCGTTTCGAGAACGACCAGGCTCTAAGGTCGTGTATATTGCACCCATGAAGGCACTAGTACGAGAACGTGTTCTTGACTGGGGCGCACGACTCGCTCCTCAACTGGGCCTCAAATTAGTTGAATTGACGGGTGACAATACGCCGGATACTAGAACAATACGTGACGCGGACATCATCATCACGACTCCCGAAAAGTGGGATGGTATCTCGAGATCGTGGCAAACGAGATCATACGTACGACAGGTTAGTCTGGTAATAATCGACGAGATACATCTTCTTGGTGGCGACCGTGGTCCTATCCTCGAGATTATTGTCAGTCGAATGAACTATATTGCTAGCCAATCCGAAGCTGGTGGCATCCGACTCATGGGTATGTCGACAGCGTGTGCCAACGCTAGCGACCTTGGAAACTGGCTAGGCGTAAAAGCCGGAAACAATCAAGGATTATTCAACTTCCGACACAGTGTGCGACCTGTACCCCTTGAAATCTATATTGACGGCTTTCCAGAACAGCGAGGTTTTTGTCCACTAATGGAGTCCATGAACCGACCAACTTTCCTTGCCATCAAGAACCACAGTCCAAGCAAGCCAGTCATTGTTTTCGTAGCTTCTCGTCGTCAGACACGGCTGACAGCGAAAGGATTGATCAATTACCTGGGTATGGAAGACAATCCGAGGCGGTTCAATAACTTCGCGTCAGAGGAGGACCTCCAGCTTACCTTGTCCACCGTCAAAGATTCAGCACTTGCAGAAGCTCTTTCATTTGGAATTGGTTTACATCATGCCGGACTTGTAGAGTCTGATCGTACACTGTCTGAACAGCTATTTGCAGCGAACAAGATTCAGATCCTGGTTGCTACCTCGACCTTGGCCTGGGGTGTTAATCTGCCGGCTCATCTAGTCGTTGTCAAAGGTACACAGTTCTTTGACGCAAAGATCGAGAGTTACAAGGACATGGACCTGACTGACGTACTTCAAATGCTTGGAAGAGCAGGGAGACCTCAATTCGACACATCAGGCATTGCACGAATATTTACTCAGGATGCAAAGAAGGCATTTTACAAGCACTTCTTACACACCGGGTTTCCAGTCGAATCAACCCTACATAAAGTGCTCGACAATCATTTGGGCGCTGAGATTTCTGCAGAGGTCATTACCACGAAGCAAGACGCTCTTGACTACCTGACTTGGACATTCTTCTTCCGTCGATTACACAAAAATCCTACCTACTACGGCCTCGAAATATCAGCCGAAGAGCACCGCGATAGTCCACTCGTTGCTCGGCAGCTCGCAGCAGATTACATGATCGAGCTGGTCGACAAGTCGCTCAAAGATCTTTCCGAGTCGTCTTGCTGTACCATTCATTCTAACGGGGACGTCGATTCAACACCATTTGGCAAAATAATGTCATATTACTATCTCAGCCACTACACGATCAAGATGCTCCTTGCGAATATCACCGCACAACCAAATCCAGCGTTCGCTGACTGCTTGGCTTGGGTTTCACTAGCCACTGAATTTGTTGACCTACCAGTTCGACACAACGAAGACTTGATCAACGCAGAGATGGCAAAGAACCTTCCCTATGCATTTCCTGCTTCTGCGATATCTACCTCGCCTGGTACACCTGCAAATCCAGATGCTTCTTCAGGTAGCGAGCTGCCGATGTGGTCGCCACATATCAAATCCTTCCTTCTGTTGCAAGCCCACATGCTTCGACTGGACTTGCCAATCTCTGATTACGTTGGTGATCAGACCAGCGTATTGGACCAGGCAATCCGAATTATTCAAGCTAGCATCGACACTTTCACGGAACTGGACAACTTGGCTGGCATTACACAAATGACTCGGTTACTGCAATGCATCAAGTCTGCACGGTTCCCAGACGACTACCCGCTTAGCATCTTTCCTGGTATCAGCGAGATCTTCGACGAAACATTGGCAGATAAAGCACCAAAAGACCTTGTTCAGACTGCTCAATTGGCAAATCGATACAACAAGAACACAATAGACGCGCTTCTGAAGACTCTAGATGTTCCAGTTTCGAGTCGCAAGGAGGCCCAACGAGCCATTGACTTCCTTCCGGATCTCGATGTTACCGCGTCTGGAGCTGGACGAGAAGACGGTAGTTTGACCATAACTTTGAAGAGGAGGAATGCGCTGAAGGACAGAGAGGGCCGAGTATATGCACCACGCTTCCCAAAACCGCAATCGGAAGGATACTTTGTGGTAGCATGTGCTGCTAGCACCTCAAATGTCCTTGGTCTGAAGAGGGCAAATTGGCCAATAACTTCTGGTGCGGCCAATACCGCGAACGTGCCCGCTGGATCTGCAGGTGGTCCTAGAGCAAGGGGTGGACGCATGGAATCAAACACACGTCTGCGCATGCCGGAAAACCTAGTACTAGGACGGGACGTTAAGGTCGACATACTTGTACTTAGTGACGCTTATCCTGGTATGGAGTGGACTATGAAGGACGTTGTGGCGCCGCAGATGGTGCAGCAGCAAGAAGCACCGCAGACAGTAACTGTCCAGATCGATGAAGGCTTGATCAAGGGCAAAGCAAAGCTCACTGGTTAGAAACGGTTGCTGACTGCTTGATAACGGCCAGCTCTCTTCTTGCTTCGACTCTGCCAACGATTGAGTTACTACGTAGTGGAACAATATAGCAAGTACCTTCTTCCCGCAACAAAATTGTCAAGAAGCTCAGACTTGATCTGAAGGCTCAGTTTCGGTCATCAGGCAGTTCTCTACCAATGCCGCTTTAACGCAACTAAAACAATGTGCATAACCCGAAGGACCAAAATTCAGGCACTTACTTAGTAAAGACAAATTTGAACGAAAAAAGGGCGCTGTATGCAAAACAGGACTGGAACATCTGACACCTGGCTCCGAAGCTCTTCCGCTACAACTTTCGAGTCGCACACGTTCCAGATACAATTTCCAAGTCACTGCACTAGTTCCTGTAACTCTAATTGCCGTTCAGAGAAGATCGGGCTCCCAGCCGGTACTGGTGGAGGCGAATTCTGTGGCACTGGTGTTCCGTCGATACTCGCAATTTCAAGTAAAACATCCTGACTCAGTCCCGGCTTATGACGAGTATGCACCTCTTGAACGACCGGCACACCTAGGCTGACTTCTTTCTTTTTCTCCTGTACAGACTCTCTGATCCTCTCATGCTTCTGTGATATGGAGTCCACCCTGTTTATGCTAACTGTAGGCTCGTGCTTTCGAACGGATTGTGTTCGTGCAACTGTCACCTTTGCAGCTACGCTTGGCTTTCGAGAGAGTGAGACTGTGCGTGCCACGGAGACTTCTGCTGAAGGTCTCGCGTAAGCTATCATGGTTGGCATAGGTCTGGAATTCGAGCCTGGACCTGCGACGATTGGTGCTGGTGGTAGTGGGAGTGTGGCCGATCTAGTCGCATAACGTGGTCGTGCCACGTTCGGGCTCCGAGATGGGTATATGTGTGTGCCTTCTGTATTTGAGCGAACCAGCCTGACTGGGCGTACGCCGACGTGGTTGACTAGTTCATCAGTGGTTGATTTGGGAGCATATCTTGATAGAGGGATGTGTTGGTGGTTTTGGACCTGGAAAGCAAGACGAGGTGGAGATGGCGGCAGTATTTTCTCTCTAATGTCAGTCGACGCTGCCGAGGTCGTTCTTGCGACTGAAGTCATGTTGACATGTTCCTTCGCAGATCTGATTGGGGTTAACTCTTCGGCACATTCAATCACTGGCGACGGGACAATGACCTCGAGCTTCGATGACTTCAGACAGCCTTTCGCCTTTGCCTCTTTCGTAGAGATCATGCCAATCTTCGACAAGGTGCTATTGTCCTGAGACCTTGCGTTGCGACTGTGGTTAATGGGCTCCATCGGCCTGGCACTAATCGGAGGCACATAGCAGGCGAGGTGATCAGGCGTAGGTGGAAGAACAAATCTTTCCACAATGGCGATTGTCTCGTCTATTGCGAAAGAAGTCGTGTTGAGCTCTCTGTCACTATCGGTAGTCACAGTACCGATCCCTGTATCGCTTGTATTTGGTTGTCGCTGAAGCCTGCGCGCATTTGACCTAGATCGAGCGAGTTGTACAGCAGCAGAGCCCGGTCGTGTCATCTCGAATTGCTGACCAACCTGGCCATCTGAATTACGGAAACTCTTCACATCGAAGAATATCTCACTTTGACTGGACGCAGACGAGTGTACTGATGGAACATGCTGTTTTGAATGGATGAGTTCCTTGTTGACTGGTGGCGGGAAGTCTCCCTGTGTGTCTGCAGACTTCGCTGTGGGGCCTATTGCATTTGCCGTGAGAGAAAATTCTGATAATGGCGCTGTGGCAGATCGATTGCGATAGGGGCTCGTCATATTTCTGGACGGCAGAAAGGTGGATAGGGTAGGAGTTGTTGGGAAGAGGGAGTACTTGGTAGCGTTCGGTGTTTGAGCTCCAGTATGAGGCATGAATCGAGGGGACGAAGTGGTTGGAGAGGTAGCTCGTCGAACAATCTTTGGCACAGCAAGTTCTGTTTGATGAGGATCGGACCTGTCCGTTATAATCAACTTCTCCAAGCCCTTGCTTCTACGTACTAACAATTTCGACTGCTGAATGTCGTCAATCTCCTGGAACATGATACTGAAGGGCTCGAGCGGAGTTCCTGGTATACTGACTTGAAGTAATGGCGTACTGGTAACACCATTAAATTGACCTTCAGACTCTGTGCTAGCATCGGGTGATTCGACCTCGGATCCTACACGGTACTGCCTCCTGACGCTGACCTGTCTACAATCGTCAGAACCATCAGGTGACGGTAGTGGACTTTTGGGATTGCGCCATGGTACCCTTCCACTGGGTGGGAGGCCAAGCTTGTTGCTGTCCGGCTTGGGTGGTTGTAATTTGTAGAAGGTATCTTTGTTGAGATTAGATTTTGATCTGAAGAGAGCGCCGAACTTCCACTTCTTTACTTTGGTTGTCTGGCCCAGCGACGGCTTCTTTGGGCTACAGGCATGATATTGCTGTACAGGGCTCATCGATGAAGCTATGCTGTTGAATTGGGGAGGGCGGCGAGGACTACCAATAGCGAGTCCGATTTGAGAGGCGCGGAATCGAGCGGAAAGAGGTGTCTTCTGCAATGCAGAGTCGGAGCTCTTGGGCCTTTCGATAAGTAAGGTGAGATCGGGCTTTCGTCTTGTTCTGTAGCAGTCATCGCCAGCAGTAGCCGGCCTCGCCGCGGCGCCAAGCACCCGCCTCCGCGGCAGGTCGTCTTCGGCTGTGAAAGCGAAGTCGAAGCCATCATCAACGCGGGCGTGGGATGTATCGTGGCTTTTGCTTGGTTCTCCTTTGACTTTCCTAACAGACAGCCAACGTTGTGGCATCACGCTCGACAGACGACAGATGATCGTGGTTGACGTGCGTCAGCAACAAAACGGAAGGGAACGTGGGAGGAGCGTAAAAAATCAAAGACATCCAAGACGCGGAAAAAGGAGAGTGAATGTTTCAGTAGAGATCCAAAGTGAGTCTGAATCTCGCATAGCAAAGAGGCGAATGCTAGAATTGGCGATAATAAAACAAGAGACGACTTTACCATTGCTTGTCATGGCATGGGATGCATCAAAGGGATAAGTAGCAACAAGCATGGTATGTGCATCATGAACAGTCCTCAGTTGGAGCGAGGATGGCGAGATGAAGTGTCAATGGTGGAAGCGAAAAACATCCAGAAGCTCAGAAGCTAGAAGACGATGCTCGATCTCTCGTGTGACTAAGTATGGGCAAATTCAAGCAGCGTTGAATCGATTAGTGCTATGCCTGCAACAATATCGAAGGGACTAGCAGAATCGTGCGACTTGTTCATGTAGGAGGGGGAGACGAAAACCAAGACAGAAGAAGCACGCGACAAGAGGAATATACTTGGCGCGTTTCAATCTTAGAGCTAAACCTAAATGAGCACTAGATTTGTGACATGGTCGCGATGGCCTGGTAAACCCCAGCGCGAAACGCTCTGAGAAACGTGGGAGATAAGGTTTGGTACAATTCGAATGCTCAACCATGAGCGGGACAGCAAGCAATGCTCCCGCTATGATGTTCTTGTATCCGGCCAGCCTTCCGTTCACATAGGTAACTACCTAGAGAAGTTGTATTGTGTGCTTAATGCTCCTCGCGAACCTGCGCACACGTGCTGCGTATTCAGAAGTTGCAATCTCGCAACCTAATGGTTGGGGTACTCCTTGAAACTGGCGAGCTCCACCACGAACTGGCAGCACATACAGCCCTGGTCATTCAACATCCACGCTCATCTGAAACATCCAGAACAACGAACGTCTGGGACAAGCTGGAAATGGCTGCAGTTCTTCGTGAGATGCCACGTCTCCTCGACACATCACAACAGACGCAGAATGAGTTCCAAGCTGTAAATCGTGCTACCAAGCTGGAACAACAGTCGAAACCTCTATCAATATGTGGGCACGTTACCAATAAGGAGCACACTGTTCACTGTATCGCGTAACATTCGTATTTACTCCAATAATGCCGTAGCGACGGAGCGCGCGTGGCAACCCTGCTGGTTATGGTCTGTTCTTCGTCCATGGATAGGGTTATTTCGCTGCTTTGGCTTGGTTACATGCGACTTGGACAAGCGTCGAATCGCCATACACGCGCAAATGCCTACCCACCAATAAGTCGATCCACGTCCGGCTCTAGAGTATGTTTCATCGTCCGTACAGACCTATGACTAGACTGCATCGTGTCGTGTTCTCGAACAACGAGCGAACATTAGCTTAGCAACACCTGCCTCGTCTCCGCGCTTCCTCGGGGTCTCGAGTGAAAGAGTTGGCTGTGCTTCCATTGCCAAGGTCGTTGCTATCGTCTCCTCCGATGCCTAGACCAGCAGCAACTCCTGGCAATCCGAGCCAGCTCCTACGATGACCGTGACCTAGCCTGAAACTGCCCGTATTCATGGTGTTGGCCGATCGAGGATCTTGGTGAGAGAAGCAGTCTCCTTCTGATCCAGGCCAAGGAGTTTGTGATTGTTCAGAAGCCACTCTCTTGTTCCGTTGGTCTATCAGCTTCTTTGCGATGACACGGAAAACCTCTTCAATGCCGTCATTGTCCCGTGCAGAGACCTCATGACAGGAGTCCCATGCTGGATCCTGAGTCCAAAATATTGAACTGCGTTTTGAGTCGGGACTCATGACAGAGTTCGAAGCGATGTTGCCAGACTTCATGGTAAGTGGTGGTGTTGAAGAGGTGCTGGCTACCAGATTCAGACCGGCTAGGTGCTCAGCGACATAGGTGATTGTTCTTTCGAAAGACACTTGACGCTTCGAGGGATCGTCGACTACCAGGTCGACCTTTGTACCAACGACGTGTAAAATCATGCCTGTACCAGGTTTGCTCTCGTTGGAGGAGAATTCGCAGTTTTGTCGGATTTCTTCCAGCCACTCCTTCATCTCCTCCCAAGAGCTCTCACTCGTGACATCGTAGCACAGAATTCCAGCATGCGCTCCACGATAGTATAGTCTAGATATTGAGCGAAACCTCTCCTGCCCAGCAGTGTCCCATACTTGCAATCTCACAGTCGTATTCGTGTCTGAATCGTGTAGCTTTTTCGTGACAAACTCGGCTCCGATAGTGGGCTTAGTGGCCACCGACGCATTGGGGTTGACAAACTTCTGGACCAGACTCGTCTTTCCCACACCCTGGGCTCCAATAACAACAATTTTGGCCTCGACCACGGAGGCTGGAGAGTAGTCGCGGGATGAAGATTCGACAGATGGTTTCGAGGTAGATATGTTGGGAGCAGCGGCTGTAAGTGTAGTGGTGATGGCCGGCAGTGGTTTCTGACGTGGCATGTTGCAAACTATGGCTTGATGTTCCGAGAGGTCAGGAACAGGGATTTCGACGGTCTGATCATGTCAATTTTGCAGTTGTATTGCCTGTGCTTTCAGTCAATGCGATCAATAAGTGATAGACAATGAAAACAAGATCTCGAGCGACTATAGTTTGCAAGCCGGGTACGATGAGGAAACAAAGTCCTAACACGTAGTTAGCAGCAACAACCGTTTCATGATTATGTGCGCGAAGAGCACATGCATGGTGGGGGTCAATAACAGATCTACCAATGTTAAGGTTAAAACACCATAAAGTTATGGCTGTTGGTGGTTGCGCTATTGAACGCATTGTGGGTGTAAAAATGCTCGAACATCACCTTGTGCGGTTACGAATAGAGTCAAATGGTGCCTCGCACAGACCTCTGGCCGCATTTGTGCACTGCATGGATCAGGCTGGAATCAGAGAGTCGGTCAAGGTGTGCGGTGCTCATTGCGATTCGGAAGGGAAAGAGCAGAAGGGCACAGTTGGGACGGATCAGAACAATTGAAGCTTAAGCTTTTATACTCGTGCTCTCGCAAGTTGTGTTTCTCGAAACGACATGGGTGTCAAATAAACATGTTGGCGTGCTTTTGTGGGGATTCGTTTCCGCCTGAAAGCCCTATTCCAAGCCTCCATTGCCATCGACTACTTGTGTATTCTCATGAGGTTTCCTGTTGATGCAGAGCGTGTAACAGAAACCCGATTGAGGAAGCCACAACCTCAACGGCCAGCGTTTTCTGGCAGCCATGCTGTGTGGTCTACAAGTACTGTGGTACAAATAGAGGCAAGAGGAAGCCGCTACTACTATCTTTCCGGTCCTTTCCGGTGAGTTCCGGGCCAAGCTATGAAGCGGAAACCCAGCAAGTAGCAGCCTCACCAAAGACTACTCGGTCAATTTCTCGCCGAACCTCCCCTCAATTTGAAGCACAACAATAGTAGCATGAATTGTTACTGCAGTTTTCTTTGGCTGAATCGCTCACGCAAGGTATCACGGTCGAGTTATCGGAGCCTGTTCGTTTGACCACGATACCGGCTAAAAGTCCTTCTCATTGCCACTCTCGTAGTCGAGTGTTCCAACCCCGATCTCGACCGTCACAATTCTGCCGAGGTGGACTTTTACACTTTCCTAGGTCGCACAGGTTTGGCTCCGGCACGATGTCCGTATCCATTTTCAAGAACGGCAGTCTCCAGATTCTGTAGATCACCCCGTATTGCGTTTCGAGTAGCCAATGAGCGTTGACATGGAACAAATTGTCAAGCCAGCAAGCTCAACAGCGACCACTTCTACTTTGACCAAGATCTTTAATACCGGTGGCTTCACTGTCAGTCCGAATTCCTTCTTCTTGTTCCTCTTCGCTGCTCTAGTGACCACAGCCTTCCTCGTCGCTTGGGTTGGATATTCTCCACCTACCTTCTACACCTCTGGACTACCCTCGCCTGATCCTGAAAGAGCACCACTACTAGACGAACAGCAGCCAGAGTCAAACCGCCATAATGAACCGCGACCCAGCTGAGAGGCCCGAAGTCGGTGACCTTACTGGCGAAGAGATTGCGAAGCACAACTCCTCGGAGTCTTGCTGGGTCATTGTGAACGGCAAAGCTTACGACGTTACCGAGTTCCTACCAGAGCATCCAGGCGGCCAGAAGATCATCCTCAAGTATGCTGGTAAGGACGCCACCGAAGAATACTCCCCTGTCCATCCCCCAGACACGCTTGACAAATACCTGCCCAGGGAGAAACATTTGGGCGCGGTCAATATGACGACGGTAGAGCAAGAAACCAAGGAGGAGTCTCCAGAAGAGAAGGCAAGACAAGAAAGAATCAAGGCAATGCCTAAGCTAGAAGTATGTTACAACCTCATGGATTTCGAGGCCGTTGCAAGGCATGTAATGAAGAAGACTGCCTGGGCCTACTACTCCTCTGCTGCCGACGATGAGATCACAATGCGTGAGAATCATTCTGCCTTCCACAAGATCTGGTTCAGACCCAAGGTTCTGGTCGACGTCGAGAACGTTGATATGTCAACCACCATGCTTGGCACCAAGGTTGACATTCCATTCTATGTTACAGCTACAGCTCTTGGAAAGCTAGGCAATCCGGAGGGAGAGGTCGTACTGACTCGGGGTGCCAACAAACACAATGTCATCCAGATGATACCTACACTCGCCTCCTGCAGTTTTGACGAGATCTGTGACGAGAGAAAAGGAGATCAGGTTCAGTGGCTACAGCTCTATGTCAACAAAGATCGTGAAATTACAAAGAAAATTGTACAGCATGCAGAAGCCAGAGGTATCAAGGGTCTGTTCATTACCGTAGACGCTCCACAACTCGGCCGCAGAGAAAAGGACATGAGAACGAAGTTCGACGATACAGGTTCTAATGTACAGAACACGAACAACGACAACGTCGATCGATCTCAAGGAGCGGCACGAGCTATCTCTAGCTTTATCGACCCCGCCCTAAGCTGGAAGGACATTCCTTGGTTCCAATCTATCACGAAGATGCCTATCCTCCTCAAGGGCGTTCAAAGAGTCGAGGACGTCCTCAAAGCCATCGAATACGGTTGCGACGGTGTTGTGCTGTCGAACCATGGTGGTCGCCAGCTAGATACGGCACGATCGGGTATTGAAATCCTTGCGGAAGTAATGCCAATACTACGCGAAAGAGGTCTACAGGACAAGATTGAGATTTACATTGATGGTGGTATCCGAAGAGCAACAGATATCATCAAAGCTTTGTGCTTGGGTGCCAAAGGTGTTGGTATTGGTCGACCTTTCCTATTTGCTATGAGCGCCTATGGTCTGCCTGGTGTCGACCGAGCTATGCAGTTGCTGAAGGACGAGATGGTCATGAACATGAGGTTAATAGGAGCGCCAACGGTGGCGGACCTCACACCCGACATGCTTGACATAGGCAGCGCAAGGTCTCACTATGTCAACCAGCCAGAGGACACTTTGGCGCTGAGAGCCTATGATGCCTTGATCACGCCAAACGACATGCTGAAGCCAAGATTGTGAGCGTTAGGCTATTCGGTGAAATTCTTCGGGATCAGCGGGCTTGTCACGATTATCACGAGCGTATATACACTATAGCGACCACCAGTTTGGAATTTGATTACTTTTCTTGCCACCTATTGATCCTGCTTATGAGCATATTATCCTTCGTTTCCCCACCGAAGTACTGAGTTTTTCAACCTACACGATACTGCATCGCAATGTGCGCGCAGTACTGAGAAGGGTCCCAGTTCTGGATCGAGGTCTCAACCACCTCACACATCATGCCGAGACATGGTGCAAGCGAGACTGACTCGTGATAGCGATAACAAGTACCTACGCCACATCAGACTTGGATAGGTGTGGGTATGATTCAAATCCGAAAGTTGACACATGCAGCTAGGGAATGAGACTGGAATCGGCAGAAACTGGCTGGCCTCTCTGATTCGACTTCGTTGGGTACTTTCCAGGGCGAACAAAGGAGGATCTGATCTATTGTGCTTGATGAGGTCTCTTATGTCTGATCTACATCTGATACCTGAGTCGACATGTTTCATTTGCGGTTTAGTCAAGACTATAAGCTCTACAAGAAACGCCCGCCACAAAGATAAAATGCTCAAGGCTCAACTCTATTGGCAGATCTGCAAGGTGGATTGAGAACAATTGTTGAAACCATAAGAGACTAATGCCGATAGCGAAAAGCAATGCTCTACGAATTTGCAAGACGTTTGCACACCTAGATGACTTCAACATCCGCAATGCGAACCACCGTGGAGGAATCATTGAGCACGAAAGAGCTCTCTAGCGTACTTGAGCTTGACGATCCAGCATGGCGGCCATCATGCATCACAACCAACAAGACGACTGGAGAGAGATGTGGGAATCGTCCTGCTCGTATGGCGCATACACAAGCTGAGGAAGACGCCGGCACGACATGTGAAGAGCTCCTCGACCAGCAACCAATTGACGAGGCATTGATCGAGCTTGCTAAATACTGCCTGTGCCGAGGAGGGATGAATGCTGCGGGCGAGACTCACCAGGACGAGGCCAGCATCTTTGCGGAACAGTGGAAGGGCAAACTAATCAAGCACGGATATGGTTACCTGAAGTCCATCGGTCTCGTGGAGCTTACGGAACAAGCTGTTGACGGCAACATTGAACCTGCACCAGAAGCCATCGATAAGTCTCGAGTGAGTCTCTTTGAGCCTCGTGACTATGAGGATCTCGTCAATCATCTTGCTAACACGAGCTCCCACGATGGGCCTGTGTCTGTCAAACACGAGACGGTGCAGATCACGCCTGTCAGACCAACACGAGCGCAGACCCGAGAACATGACAAGGACGCATCGTTTCAGTCGTTCATTACCAGAAGTGTAACTCGAAATAGTCCTGCGGAGACCATGAGCTTACGAACCAGCTGGCAATATTCTGGCAAAGTACGCAAAGAAGTGCTTGATCGTCTTGATACACCTCCTAGTACCACAGAGTCGCCACATGTAGGGACAGGAGCAGAGCCCTTGCAGCAGGAATCTACAGAATGTGAAGTACTCGAGGGCTCAGTAAAAAGCTTGCGCCATCTGGTCCGTGGCAGGCCTTGTTATGGTCCTAATGCAGGAGTTGGGAAGTGGCAGTGTTCTGCGTGCACCAAGCAGAGTCGAAAGAGTTTCTGGGACTAGTTGTGACTGTGTGCAGCGAGGATAGACCTTGCAGGTCAGAGGTGGAAAGTGGTCTGTGTTCCACCCGAACTGAGTGTTGAATGGTACGTGTTCTTGTCGGCTGTGAGAATCTAAGGAGCAGATATTGCGGGAAATCATCTCTTCCTCGACTTAGTCTCTTGCTTGTTTATGGACTAAATACAGCTTCTTACTCTGTCCTATATGTATTGCGACAGGCCAACCGCGTAGTCGTACCTGGAGGACTGCCTACAGATCTCCAGGTTCTGACAGTAGGTACTCAAACATGAAGCGCGTATGCATCCTTGTAGCAATTATAGACACACCCTCCGGGCCTGCACCTGCCAAATGCGAAGTCGGCTAAGTTACTTGTTCATCGCGTAGTGTGGCTCGCTTAGTTTGATGTTTTCATTTGCTGCGGACGCTCAATTGCTGTCATTCGTCCAAGCGAAGGCTTCAGCATGAAGTACTCAACCCTACTGTAGTGTGATGTACTACAGATCGTCTACAACGAGCATGCTACTCAGTCTAGCAGTATACATCATGCTGCACTGCTCATCTCTAGTGTGAACCCGATCACGCGCATGCTGTTGAGTCTCACTATAGCTTGAACTTGTCTCAAGCTATAAATGGGGTTTCTTGCGACATGCCAGAGTTGGCACGTAAGAGACGCAGAACGGTGAGTGACACGGTGTTACCATCAACGTCGCAGCTGAAGGCTTATCTCTGGCACTATTTACAGCGATCTCATCTGGGCGCTGCGATGTTGCACGCCTTTTACTGAAGCATGGAGCAGATCTTGTAAAATCTTCAGAAGATCATAGCCAATTGGACGCTGCTGCCAAATTGTCAGATGACGGTGCGATGTTGAATTTATTGATGAGTTTTGACCCGGATGCAACCTATCTCCAAAAACGCTCCGGCAGTGCTCTTGGTGCGCCGCAGCAACTGGACAGTTTATGAATGTCAAATTACTGCTCGAACACCATGCTGGCATTAACGATCGTGGTGGCTATTATGGTACAACTCTACAGACTGCGGCCTCGAATGGCCACGTTGGTATCGTACGATATCTGCTCAGTAAGGGCGCCGACGCAAATGCGCAGTGCGGGCACTACGGAAATGCTCTACACGCCGCTGCCACACGCGAATTTCGCCAAGTAGCAGAGATATTGCTTGAGCATGGTGCTGATGTCAATTGCGAAGGCGGACCCCAGGCCTCGGCCCTTCTTGCATGTATTGCTTACTATAATAGTGGGCTGGTATTATTACTGCTTGACCACGGTGCAAAGGTGTCCAGAGACATGAGTCTGTGTTATCCAGCATACCATGGGCACTTGGACGTCGTCGAGCTGCTCTCGAAATGAGGCGCTCATCCTGATACAAAACAAGTGAGCACTTATCAAGAGTATCCATTGATAGCAGCCGCGATGTAGGGCCATCTACCGCTAGTAGAGATGCTTCTTACTCATGGTACGGGTCCTTTCATTAGGTCTCGGTCTAGTGGTCATACTGCTACCAGCGCCCGGAATGGATACATTCTGCGAGCCGTGCGCAGAGCACGAATTAACAGGCAAGGTTCTCTATATAATGTAGAATCGGAAGGAAATAACGAATAAGCAGACGTTGCATCAAACTATGTCTCAGATGTGTCGACTATCTTCATCATTTTTGCGTCAGCTTCACCATCCCGACTTGGACCCGACACTTGGATCCGTGACAACCCCCAAACACATCGGGACTAATCGTTATCATAATTGATGCCACCGTATGGCCCGAGTCTTAACTCTCTGAGCACCAGCTTGACTCTCGTCACGATAGCATCCAATTCCTCCACAATGCCACAATTCACCAGATGTTGATATTGCACTGAATCATTATCCTTCCACCACTGAAGCTCGCCTTCCAACTTTCTCTTATCTCGTCGGCAGAACTCCTTGGTTTGCTCCCAATAGGTCATACGCCATTCTAGGCTACTTCCGAGTACAGGCGTACTGTCGATTTTCTTGAGTACCTTCTGATCAAGGTCATAGAGGGTTAACCACTTCGTGAGGTGGGTTTTGACGATACCACTATCCCTCGTTCCTTGGTCTTTCTTCTGTTTCGATACTTCGTATGCGTCCTCACTCCTGCTGATGTCATTGAGCAGATTGTCTCGTTCTCGGATATGGTCTGGTTCAAGGGCTTCTAGCTTTTTGGTGCCACTTCCTGTGCCTGTGGCTTCGACGGAATCGAAGACGGCTAGAGCTGTGTGCCAGTGAGGGTTGGATCTTCCAGGCTCAAGCATGACGAGTATTCTGGGTTTGGAATAGACAGAGATTCATGGAGGAGGATTCATGCTGAAATACCAATGGGATGTGTGTTGTGTTTGTCAGTTTGTTGTGCTTGTCGAGCATAATTAACGCAACTCTGCTTGATTTGGTTCGTCGATTGTTCCCGGAGGAAAACTGCTTCGGGTGTCACTGTCACTCCAAGCGAGTACTTTTGGTTCGTCGATCTAGTAGGGATGACAAGACTTTGGATTTAGAAGTGTCAAGGGACATTCAACTCCTTCGAGGAAACTCACATTACGGACAGTACGCGACAAATCCAGCAAGCAGACCTCAATAGCCACTCCGTCCACTGACTACGCCATGTGCCTTGCCATCTTTCCCAAACATCTCAGAGAGACCTTTGGCAACTGCATCAGGACGTTCATAACCACTGAAATGCCCGCCACGATCAAATTCTTCCTGATACACAATCGGTCCCATCGTATGACGCCACGATTTGGGGTTATTGCAGAGCTCGACTGGGAAATCTGCTAAGCCCAGCGGACAATCGATGTAGCTTTGCACGAGCTGGAGGGTCTCTAGGTCGTGGGTCGCTTCGTAGTAGATGTAGCTCGCTACACAGTGAATTAGCCAAAGCTCGATTTGGTGCTTACGTAGTGGTGAATAATTGGGCACTCACCTGCATCTGGACCGGCTCTCGAGAAAACGTAAAGGCTCACCCAGAGGCAAACCTCATCTTCGGTCCACGGGTACCGATCAGACCAGTCCACGAGCTTGTCCCATATCCACGCTAGCAGACCGACAGGCGAATCCGATATCATATAGTTGATGGTTGCTGGTCTCGTCGATTGAATGGCGATGTAACCTCTACCCTCGCCTGGAACACAATATCAGCAAAGCTCATCGAGACATGCAATTCAACCTACCTGTACCAAACGGATTCCATCGTTCTCCCTGCTTCATCTGATTCAGCTCTCGTTCAGAATAGCTTGCAGGCTTCGGATTCTCATCTGTCCACTTCGGCTCAGATGCCCACGCCCAATTAGTGTGAATGCCCTTGACATGTTGCGGATATTTAGCTGATAAAGTCCTACAGATCAGGAAACCCCAATCGCCACCCTGAACAACATATTGGTTGAATCCTAATGCCAGCATCACCTTGTGACAGGCCTCAGCATATTTCGGGATACCGAAACCTCGCTTCAGAGCTGGACCTGAGAATGTATAATTTGGTAGCGAAGGTGCAACAACTTCAAAAGCAGGTTTGCCGTCGCCTCCCTTCAGCAACGGCGCCAACCTCACGCACTCAAGCACACTTCCGGGCCATCCGTGGACGAAAAGGAGCGGAATAGCATTCGGCGCATCGTTCTTGAAGTGTAGGAAATGTACGTCCACACCGCCGTGGCCATCAATATCCACTGTGGTCTCGAAATTGGGGAGTTCATTCAGCTTCTTCTCGTGGTCTCGCCAGTCAAACTTGTCCTTCCAGTGCTGGTAGAAGTGTTTGATGTCCTTTTCTGGTGTGCCGTAATCCCATGCTGGGTCGTCTTGCAGCTCTGTTGGCCATTGGTAGTCACATAGGTTACGCTTCAGACGGTCAAGCTTTGCTTGAGGGATATCGATTGTGTAGGGTCGAATCTGTGCCATTGAGAGCTAGGACAATCGTGTCCCTCTGCGAACCCTGGCGATCGGTCTGGCATAAAGGGCTTCTTGTCACCTTCGTATTAGTCCTTCACTAACATCTCCTCTTTCCCCGCTCGTGGGGATGAGCGATCGTAACCTTGATGAGCACTAGTTCGTTTGTGATAGTTTAGATTCAGTGAAGAACGATCTTCCTCGTGAGAGTCAGAAAGTCTGTCTCCTCTTCCTTGTACGAGTGCAGTTCATGGGGTCTGGTCGTTGCCGAGCGCGAGAAAGTCAAGCGGTTTCCGTGAGTGTATAGGCTAAATAGTGCAGCTACTTGAGCCATAGTCTTCAATATGCAGGGCGGCTTTAATGATAGATAGCCTCGATTTGCGAGTGATACTCGCTGTGTTTCTTGGCTTAGTACATGTTCGAAACGTGCTCAAATATCCTCTTCGTCTTCCTCAAGACTATAAGCCACAACCTCAGCAACATATGTCCTCGCAGGAACTGTGATTCTCATCGGAAAACCGCCATGATCAGGCTGCTCCGACGGCATAACCATAGACCTGCCACTTGCAATCTCATCACCATTCAACACTCTAGCAGTCCGTAGTGTGCCATCTTCATCGATCTCCTTTTCAGCAGCAGAAAGGATACCCGTAAACGTTGCTCTGGGATTAGTACTCTTGAAGGAGACTTGAAATCCTGCACCAGCAAGCAGAAGTTTACCTTCTCCTCGATGTATCACAAGACCGTATCCTGGTGCAGGCGTTCCAAGCACGAGAGCTCTTTCTACGACGACTTCCATGGCGATGTCGCTGAAGGTGTACCGCCATTCTTCGTGCACGTTGCGGCTGTCGAACTCGTCGAAGAAGAAGCCAAACATGCTTTCTGGACGTTGTGCTTGTGCTTCGAGGATATGGGAACTCAAGCGATGGAGTAGACCGTAGGTATGCTGCCAGATCTTTCTGTCCGCTTCGCTCGAGAGCACAGTGTCGATGCCGAAGGGACTACAGCCAATGCAGCTGTAGCTGCCATAGGAGAGCCATGCTCTTCTGGCACCTGCATTGTCCGCCCTCTGCTCGGGTATGAATAATGGTCTTTTCTTGTAACTATACTGCTTGCAAATCCAACCATAGTCATGGAGGTACAGGTTTGGACTGATGAAGTCGAGGTGGCCTTTGTCGATTGTATGCATGTACCAGATATCAAGTAGATGTGGCACAGGCCCACCAGAGGGGTATGCACCTACTTTGTGAGAGCCGCCAGCTACGGCTGATGTGCTTCTGCCTTTTGTGATAGTATTCAGGTCCAGTGTCGACAGGCCATCAGGACTCAGCCAGCAATTTGTATACATCGGAATATCATACTCCCTCTTTCCAGCTGTTACGACCCAAGCGACGTAGCGAGCGAAGACGTCTGCCATAAAAAGTTCCTCCGTTGCAACACCGTATCCAAATACGGACTCCCAACTAGTGTTCTCGCAATGCTCGAGTGCCTGCTTGAGATATGGCCAGCGTTTCCTGAACATCAGATGTAGTTCAGTCTCTGTCGTCAGATACTTCAACAGGTCTTCCGGAACTGTGGACTCAAAGCTGTCAGTCGCAACGTAAGATCGATCTCGACTGTCACCCAGCATTCCGCATTCGTTCTCAACTTGGACCATCAACACAGTAGAGTACTGCGAATCTATCTCTTTGATGTGGCGCATCAGGGCAGCGAAAGCTTTTGCGTCCGCCCTACAGGCTTCAACGTTGAAAGGACTCAACAAATCGACAGTCTTGAGCTTCCCGTTATCAACAAGTATATGAACCCTTGGAAAGCGTTTGACGTCTTGCTTCACCCAATCCGGCACGTATGTGGATGTGGCACTTTTGAAGCTTCCGAACCAGAGGAGGACAAGGTGAAGGCTGTGTTCTCGAGAGTCAAGGATAATCTGGTCTAGCTCGCTGAAATCGAAATTGCCTTCTGTCGGTTCAATCATTTGCCAGGTTACACTTCCTAGGACTGTGTTAATGTTCATTGACTCAATCTTTGGCCACATTTTGGACATGTACTCCGCAGAAGAAAAGGAAGAGTTGTGCATTTGACCCGGGAGCATCAAAAAAGGATTGCCGCCAACCATGAGCTGCTGTGAAGTCCTGGTGGGCCGAAGATATGTTGGCTCCACCGTGTCTGGAGACTCAGCAACTGTCTGTGGTGTAAGTGGTGCCATTCCCATTTTGCTTGGAAGTAAACTGATCGGTCTAGATATCGAGATCCGGACAACGGCTAAGTTCGTTTGTGCTGGTGTATAGGCAGTTGATTATGGCCGGGCTACAGGCAGTTGGTCCACCACAACATGAAGGAAAGCTGTAAGTGGATCGATTAGCCCAGAGCTGGCAGCTCCTGCTTGAAGCGGACAGGCTGGGTCGCTGATATAAGCACTCTTTGGACGTACATACAGCTGGCAGATGTTTAGTGCTAAGAGCCACCTCCAGGCATGCCTGAAGGTAGCGCTCACTCGATTTCAGGTGTCCTAGAATTAGAGGTTTATTACTTTGTGGGCAGAAGGTGCTAGACAGGGATCGCAGAGAATGTGAAAATATTGCAATGGTCTCAGGATATCAGGAAAAGTGGTTCTACGAATTGTGAAGTGGTGAGGGTTGCTGCATGATGAAGGCTAATCATACAACTCAGTCAGGAGAGTTCTAGCTGGTGTAAAAGAGTGGTTAGACATAACGTATGAGTGAACGACTGGAGTGCAAGAAGCTCTTTAGCATTTCGCAAAAATCCTATACGTCATCTAGGTGTGCCGTACAGGCATACCACAACACAGAGCGCAATTCGTGGTTTGGGGACGCGCCACGAATAGCAGAAGGCCATGCTAAACCAAACTCACCTTGATAGCAACTGCAAAGAGCATGTTTGGCAGACAGCCCTGCATCAAGGGCTCGTGTACAGACCTTGACTTCACGCAACCCAAATGATGATCATTCGTCATTGGCGCAGGTGAAGAGACGAAAGTATATGCTTGCACATGCAAGGCAGAGAGAGAGAGGACCGACAAGAATATCCGACGGTTCCGATCGTTGTCGTAGATGGTGAAACATTGATTGTGAATGTTGGATGTTGATGTCAGGCAGCAGCGAGGGAGGGCTTGACGTCGGTCGACTCGTAACGGTGAGACAAAAACGACACGAACGAGATTGGTGTGCGGGACAAGACGACGTGGAAGGGGTCATACGAGGGTACGAAACGCGTAAGGCGGCAACCGTGCTGAATCTGAGTGCTGGCAAGGGAGTACGTGATACGGCGATTGTGGTGAAAGTGAACAGGACGTCGGTGAACGGATGTGTGGATAGCGTTGAAGACTGTAAAGCTTTTCGTATCGCGATCGACTGGCTCGGAGCTCGGGATCGTACTATCCATATCAAGGTCAATACTCATGAGATGGTGCTTGCCTTTGGGTTGTTAATCTAGTAGAAGCAAATCCTTATGCTTTGTCCCCTGCCATATGCATTCTATTTCGCCGAGACAGCTGTCTGCTCGTGTCCGCCAGGTACGCGCGAATTTTGCTCCACCTCATCTATATGCGTTTGGGGGGTTGGTGCCGACAGATTCGAGATCTACTCGATCATTTCGAGTTCGTGTTGAGTAGACACAGGTTTGCGAAAGGGTACTACTGAGCTCTATTCAGCAGTGTCGAGCTCGTCGTGAGCAGGAGCAGGGGAGTCATTCGCTGAGCGGGAGTCAGCTCTGATCTTTTATGCCTGAATGTCTTTCATTTGGGTGTTCTGACCATTCATACCTTTGCGGTCGTCACCGTTTGTTCGCTCCTCACGATCTTCGTGGTCGTCCCGTCGTTCTCTGTCATCCCGACGATCCTCGCGGTCTCCTCTGTCTCGCTCACGTTCGCGGTCGGCAGGACTTCGAGATCGTCTACGGTCGTCGTAATCTCTATCGCGGCGACGATCGTCTCGCTCACGGTCGTCTTTCCTAGGGGATGCATCTCTTCTTCGTGGTGAAGGGGATCGGTGGCCTCGACGAGGAGGACTGCGCTCTCGTCTATCACCACCTTCACGTCTGTCGCCTCGAGCAGGACGCTCTCGATCGCGACCAGTATCGAATCTCCACGATGCGGATGGAGGAGTTCTCGCCCACTACAACTAGTCAGTAATTGAACATCGAGCCAATATTGGCATCTTACCTCGATCTTCAGAACGTCGTCCCTACCAATGCGTTTGTTGTGCATCTCATGGTATGCATCATCAGCATCCCGTCGAGACTCGTACTCCACGAAGGCGAAACTAAAGCTATGTCAGCGGGACATATCATGTGCGCGGAGTGAAAGTTCTTGCAGTCGGCTGGTTGAGGTTCGGGGCGCTGGGATGTCGCATCGAACTAAACGACCATATGCCTCGAATTCGTATGCCAGGTCTCGTGCCCGTGTCCCCTGACCGAAACCTGTCACGTACAGTGTGGTTCCTGATCGAGACATCCTGTGAGTTTTCTAAGACTGTGGTCTTTTGAGACTTCAATAATGATTCAACAGGTAACGTGGTTGAGAAAGAAATGGATAGATGAAATGGGTATGGAATAGTAAGCAAGGCAGAAATTGTACGAAGAAAGGCAGCTGCGCCGCTAGTTTGGCCTGTTTCGGATTGCCCAGCCACTTCCGACACAAACGCGTGTGGTTTCCCACAAGAGTTGCCCTCGGATGTGTCACGTAGACCCAGAAGCTCGGCAAATACGACTCACAATGAACGTGTCTGCTCTTCGATTTGCCAGGACGAATGGAGTGTGAAGCTTTTTCAATGCATCCAGTCATTCTCAAAGCCAAAGGGCTGCAACGTCGGGCAGCGGCAGCGAGCCCCTGCTGACTCTGTTTATTGTTTCTTTTACGACAGACACTCTTTTGCAAGCTGATATTGCTACTATCATCAATTCTGTGACTTGCTGCTCCTATCTTAGCCGCCGTTATCAATATTGCTCGGCGTCGCTCTCAGCCCGTTCTGATCCGTGCTAGCCTCCGATCTTTCACTGGAGGACCTGATAGACCATACAAGTATTGTTCCAGCTCGAGCGAGGACCTGTCCAAGCATCTTCACACATCCTGGTGTCCAATAACGATTCACAATAAATGCGCTCTTAGAGAGTCATGCTACCTACTTAAGAAGTCATTGTCACAGTTTTCCATGGCCTCCCGTCGACCGAGAGAGTCACAATCATACTGCGCTATTCCTTCGCTTCGTTGCATGCAATATACAAGCCAAGAACTGTTAAGTTCCCAACGCAGAGATGAAACTAGACGAGAAAGGCCCTGCCACTGTAACAGGCAATGTGGATGAAAGCTCGACGACCATGTCACAATTACATAAAATATCAGAGGTAAGCGATGGACGTAGTTACTACAATGCGACAACGCTGACTAGCACCAGAGTCCTATTGCAGTATCTCCTCCTGCCGTCGCAACGAGACTTCGAGAATTCGTTTCCACCCCATTCACTGCTGCTTTCTGCGCCGGTGGTGTAGCGGGAGCAGTTTCCCGCACAGTGGTATCACCTCTGGAACGTTTGAAGATTCTATACCAAGTGCAAAGTGTTGGCCGAAATGAATATAAAATGTCCGTCGGCAAGGCTTTGGCTAAGATGTGGAGGGACGAAGGCTGGAGGGGTTTCATGAGAGGCAACGGCACAAACTGTATACGCATCGTGCCCTATTCAGCCGTACAGTTTGGCTCCTTCAATCTCTACAAAAGATTTGTAGAGCACACCACAGGCACAGATCTGACTTCTCTTGGCCGTTTACTATGTGGTGGTTGCGCAGGCATCACATCCGTCACATTTACCTATCCACTCGATATTGTGAGGACAAGGTTATCCATACAAACGGCCTCCTTCGCGTCATTGAAGAGATCAGAAGGAAACCCACCTGGTATGTGGCCGACCATGATGTCAATGTATAAAAATGAGGGTGGTATGAGGGGATTGTATCGTGGTATCATTCCTACTGTGGCCGGTGTTGCGCCATACGTCGGTCTGAATTTTATGGTTTACGAAGCGGTAAGAGACTATTTCACAGCGCCTGGGGAAAAGAACCCTCCCTGGTACCGAAAGCTGGCTGCCGGCGCCATTTCCGGTGCGATTGCACAGACTTGCACTTATCCGTTCGATGTGCTGCGAAGACGATTCCAAGTCAACACTATGGCTGGGATGGGATATCAATATACCTCGATATGGGGCGCAATAACGATGATTGTCAAGCAAGAAGGAATTGCTGGTCTATACAAAGGCATTATGCCCAACTTGCTTAAAGTTGCCCCAAGCATGGCAAGTAGCTGGCTTAGCTTCGAGCTGACCAGAGATTTCCTGGTTTCGCTGTCGCCAGACGCCGAGGAACCCATATTATGAGCAGACTGGGTGAGTCGGAAGCAACAGAGAGGAGATATCAATCTTCTGTACAAAGTGCAATACTATATGGCCACGGCCAGCAGACAAGGCGTGGAGGAGTAGATTTTGGCCTGCCAGCATTACCGGCGTCGTACGGATACCCTGACTTGGAGCATTGTGAACTTTCGGCACAATTGTTGATGAATTCGATGATCCGCGATGGACTTGTATGTTGGCGATTTCAAGTAGCATCTGGGTAGTTTTAGAAGTAGCAGCAATTGAACGTTGTGGTCTCTAATTGTCCCTCTAACCATGCCTCATATATGCCTGAGGCATAAACAATGGATTCCACGAACTAGCTTGTCTTGGCACAAATTCCCCGGCCTGCGCACAGGAAATAGAACTCTGGCTTTGAGCAGAACGTCTCTGCGCACACGACAAACGTCCTTCTTTCCAACAGAACTCGTCAACCGCGATCATGGGTATGTCTTCGCCCTCAATACCTACTACTGCTCAATCCACACGATATGTGCGTTGATAGAGCGTTGTCAAGCACCGCAGATAAAAATGCGCTGCGAGTCATTGCAAAAACATATTTGCTGATGGCGTCTCTTTATTCTAGGTATCGATCTTGAACGCCATCATGTCCGGTCTAGCCACCGAAGAGCGCCTAAGAGTGACAACCCATATCTGAAGTTGCTCGTCAAGCTCTACAGATTCCTTGCTCGTAAGTACACATCTAGAAAAGATTGGTTGTGGGAAACCTGCAAGAAGACTAACGCACTGTGTGCTCCGATAGGACGAACTGATGCCAACTTCAACAAGGTCGTCCTCAAGCGACTGTTCATGTCTCGAATCAACCGACCACCAGTTTCCATCTCCCGAATCGTTGCAAAGACCTCCAGCGAATCTGCAAAGAAGGCCTATGAGGGCAAGACTGTCGCAATTGTGGGCACCATCACAGATGACAACCGAATGTTGACTGTACCTAAGCTCTCCGTCGCTGCTCTCCGATTCACATCTACTGCCCGAGCTCGAATTGAGAAGGCTGGTGGTGAGTGCCTGACTTTCGATCAGCTGGCTATGCGAGCACCTACTGGTAGCAACGTTGTACTGCTGAGAGGACCAAAGAACTCACGAGAGGCTGTCAAGCACTTCGGTATGGGACCACACAAGCACAAGAAGCCATACATCGAGAGCAAGGGTCGCAAGTTCGAGAGAGGACGAGGTCGAAGACGATCCAAGGGTTTCAAGGTCTAAAGAGGTGGCTTGGCACTTGTTGTCAATTTATTCTCTTCATAGAGTTATACGCGTTCTTGGTGCCATGGGGTTTTATGGTCCACATAGGAAACAAGAAGGCATCATCTAGGATGCCAATACTCAGAGCGCACAAAAGTATATGCCTAGAACACACTTGACAGTCACTATTTCACGATCCTGATGGCACAACACGATCAAAAACATCCGTGGTCGTTGCAGTGGTAGCAAGAGGGTCCCACCAATCTCGAGAACTGTCGTCGTGCTCAACTACTGATGAGCTCAGTAGTTTGGGCTCGCTACAAAAACAATGATTATGAATCACGCTCGTCATCTTTTTCGTCTCGTGCACCACTTGATCTTGCTGTAATGGTGAGTATTTTGTCGTGGACCGTCCCAAGTTCGGGCCAACTCTCGGCGGCTGCTTCGCCCTCCGGTTGTGATGTGTAAGCAGGATGACCTGTAACGGTGTACCTACTTTCGCCTACACGACAATAAAATGCACGACTCGTTACTGCCGTGATGGACGTCGTGTCTGAGTGGCCAGACAAATCGAAAGCTTTGGCATCAATGTCTCAACACATCATAACATGAAGTTTCAGGACTGATGATCTTCTTCTACACCTGAACCAATCCGGCTTGTGTATAGCCGATCAGCTACCTTCATTCAACATCGAGTCGAAGTTGGAGTATCTGCTGTCCGGGTATGAACGGTGTCTCCGACCTGGCATGAATATTTGAGCTCAGGTATAAGTATAGACAGCATGTCTCTTGTGTTACTTCCTACCACAGCATTTTACAGTCATCTTTCACCCATATCACTGCGACGAAATCCGATACTAACATAGTGAACACCATGGCGGAAATTGAAGCCTTTACAGTCTTGTTCCCCGAGCAGCGCATTAGCCAACTGAAACAACGCCTACAACAAGCATTGTTTCCAGATGAGCTTCCTGACAGTGGTTGGGACATGGGTGCTCCGTTGAGCGATGTAGAACGCATAGCAAAGCACTGGGCCAGCAAATTCGACTTTCAGCAAGCAGCAGCACAACTGAATGAACTACCACAATTCAAAACCAAGATAGACTGCGAAGGCTTTGACCCACTCTCCATACACTTTGTACACCTTCGTAGCGACAACCCTAATGCGATACCCTTATTCTTCAGCCACGGCTGGCCAGGCAGTTTCTTCGAAGTCTACAAGATAGCAAGACAGCTCACTCGAAGTGATAATGGTGGGCCATGTTTCCACGTTGTTGCACCTTCTCTGCCCAACTTCGGCTTTTCTGACGGGGTGAAGAAACGAGGCTTTGCAATCGAGCAGTATGCTACAGTGTGCAACCAACTCATGCTCAAGCTCGGATATGAAAGATACGTTACTCAGGGCGGCGACTGGGGTTGGTGGGTGACTCGAGCAATGTCTCTCATGTTTCCCAGCTCTATTCTAGCCACACACTTCAACATGGACGTAGGTGAGCCACCAGCATCGCTCAAGTTTACACAACCAGGCTCACGCTTTCCCCTTCCTGACGGAGCAACCCCTCGCGAACTTCAGGGTGCTCAACGAACCGCCTGGTTCCTCGACGAAGGTTATGGATACAACCTCCTTCAATCGACCAAACCTCAGACTCTGGCCTACGCCCTGGCCGATTCTCCGCTTGCTCTACTAGCTTGGATCTCCGAGAAGCTGCATGACTGGACGGACAACTACCCTTGGACAGACGACGAGATATGCCTCTGGGTGAGCATCTATTATTTTTCCACTGCAGGTCCTGCCGCTGCTACTCGGATCTACTACGAGATGGCCCACGACAGGAACGGGAAATACGTTCCTAAGGACAGTATGGGCAAAGGATTCGAAGGTGGAGTTCCAGGTACACGGAAAATCACAGGTGCGTACTTAAAGAAAGATCACGGTACAGGTGTCAAGATTGGTATGAGCCATTTTCCGATGGACATTCAGGTATTGCCGAGTTTGTACACAAACACGCTTGGGAACGTGGTATATGAGAAAGAGCACGAACGTGGTGGACATTTTGCTGCGCATGAGTGTCCAGACGAGTTGGTGAGCGATCTGAGGGAGATGTTTGGTGCATTGGACCTTCGTTTTGCCTAGATTGGGATCGTAAACGATCTAGTCCAATCAAGACCGATTGATCAAAGAAGCCAGTACCAAGAATGGTGTGTAGCAATTTCGGTCACTTTTGCTTTGTCAACACAGAACCACGAAACAGCCTCTATGATTCACCTCTAACATTCGTCCTGTAGCATAAAGAAAGCCACAATTCTCACTGCAACTGCTCATGCTTGTACGCCTTCTTTCCCACTCCATATTCACCCGCAACCTGTCCCTGCCCCCGAATCTTATACTTATATATCGTCAACCCTTCCAGCCCCACTGGCCCTCTCGAATGGATCTTATTCGTGCTAATACCAACTTCTGTACCGAAACCATACCTCATTCCATCCGCGAATCTCGTGCTCGCATTCCAGTAGACACCTGCACTGTCGACAGCGTTCATGAAATACTCTGCCGCGTTCTGGTCGGTTGTGACTATACTGTCTGTGTGAGAGCTTGAGTGGGCGTTGATGTGTGATATTGCGAGGTCGAGACTTGCGTCGGAGGAGGATGAGTCAGAAATTGCAGGCACAGTCTTGATTGCGATTTTGAGATCAAGAAACTCGGTGTCATAATCTGTCTCGGTTGCGTCTTGCAGTAATGCAGCGCTCGAGGAAGGTAGCTGCTTCTGTAGGGCGGATTTACTCTGTGGATCGCAGATCAAGCTTACTCCTCGTGCGAGTAGTGCCTCTGCTACGCCTGGTAGTATTGTTTCGAGGACGTCTGCGTGGACTAGTAGTGTCTCTGCTGCGTTGCAAGCTGCTGGGTAGTCACATTTACTGTCCACCACGACTCTTTTTGCGATTTCTGGGTCAGCGTCCTTGTGTAAGTACACTGAGCATAGTCCGTCTGCGTGGCCTAGAACAGGTATCCGTGTGTGTTCCTTGACGTATTTTACTAGTTCATTTCCACCTCTTGGTATTACAAGGTCGATGTAGCGGTCGAGCTGAAGAAGCTCGTCAATGACGTTTCTTGTTTTTACAAGCTGAATAGCCTGGTTTGGGACTTGTGTTTCATCTAGCGCAGAGCTGATCACACGTGAAATAGCTTCAAAGGAATGACTGCTCTCCTTTCCACCCTTGAGTATAGCCGCGTTACCAGATTTGATTGCCAAAGCGGCAATGTTCGCTATCACTTCTGGCCGTGCCTCGAAGATGATAAGCAGTACGCCTATAGGACAACTAACCCGCTCGAGCTCAAGGTTATCGTCAAGCCTCGTTCGCAGAGTCGTCTGATTCAGTGAGTCGGGCAGAGAGCGAACGTCCAGGATACCTTGGAGCATATCCTCGTACTTGCCTGGTTTGCTGAGATCCAGCCTTTTGACAAGTGATTGTGGTAGTGTACCGGAATTTGAGGCTTGCATAGCTAGGGTCATGTCATTGGCATTTGCTTCTAGGATATCCAATTTTGCTTTTGAGAGAGCTTGATGTATTATGCTCAAGGCTTCGTTTCGAGCAGTGACAGGCAGGATGGCCAGAGATCGGGCAGACAGAGATGCTGACCGTGCTGCATCTTCTGGTGTGGAGGAAGTGAGAGACATGGAGTGGAGGTGATCGCAGCTCGTTAGATTGGTTTGTCGGGAAGTGTTGCTCCTTTCTCGTTCGGTGTAGAAGGGTAAAAAAGCCTGACCTGTGTCTGATCCTTCTGAAAGAAAATTTCACGCCTGTCCAAGTGAACTCAGAGTCTGTGCCACGTGCAGTGCAATCTACACAAAAGTTGTTCACGTTTGGGGACTCGCACGGCTTGGCAAATCTATGTTAGCATACAATCGAGATGAAATGGTCTCAGAGTCCGGACAGCACGTTCACGAATACTTCTGAAGTTCTGACCACACTGTATAGGACTGACAGAAACTCGAGTGCTAGAAAGGAGACACGTATGCGAAGTCTGTTCGTCTTTGCAGTTAGTTCCAGCAATTCAAAAAGTCGTCCACAATTAGTCACCCAGACTTGAGCACGTGATCGCATATAGACCCCGATGGTGTTTCATCCCGTATGACATGGTGTCGAGCACTCTTAATAGACGAGAATATGAATCTCGGCCCTCTCAACAACGCACACGCAGTGGCTAAGGAGACCTCGTGTACGCGATTTCATGGCGATCGTTCGGCGCTTGATCCTTTACCAGTGCTATTGGTGGGACGACCAATTCCCCGATGCTAGAACGAATTCCTCAACACCTTTTACAGGGATTCACGAGCATTCACGAACGATCAGTATTGAAACGATACAGGGTCACATAGGCGTTATCAGGGAGCGAGAAGATGAAAGAGAGCGGGGCGTTCATTTGCTGAATACGGTTCGCAGCAGAACTTGCAGGAAGAGCTCGACTAACGAGGTCACCGAAGTGATAGCACAGAGTTGAGCTGTCACGACTTCAAAAAGAGATGTAAGAGAACCGAAAACCACAGCACGTCAATCGTCCAGGATGCATCAGTGCTTGGTCGCCACCGCCTCTTCCTCCACACCTTCGTCTTCGGTCTCCTCCTTGTCATCCTCGGTTTCGTCCTCGGTTTCACCCTCGTCAACAGTCATCGTAAGCTGCCCACCAATGGTCGATTGTGGCACAATATCGGTCGCGTTGTTGACTTCCTGCTGTGATCGCTGCTGATAACCTGGTACGGGCCTGCTTGCAAATTTGCCGGTACTATCTCTCGTCAATTCACTTCCCCATCGACCTTTGTCCAGTCCACGTTCCCTTCTATCTCTGTTCTCCTCTTTGCTTCTGCGCATTTTCCTCTTGAGGGGATTTACCTCCGGTTTATCATCGTTGCTCAAGTCAACGGGACTGCTCGCCTTGGCTTGTTTCCCTCCAGGCTTAGGCAGGCTGTCGAGTTCGACTGGTTTACCAATACCAGGCTGCTTATCACTGATCTGCTCTTCCTGACCACGCTCGTCTCCCTCTTCAATCACATTCGTATTAGCTATGTTCTTGACTGAATTTGCCGTCCCTTTGTTGCCCGTCGTAATCTCCTTGCCAGGAAAGGTTCCAAACCTGTCAGCCAACCCCTTGTTGGTAGGGTCACTAAACACGCTGCAGACATCGTCGCGAGCAAAACCATGATGTTCTCTTAAATGTCGTTTAAGTTGGACAAATGGCTTGGAGCGGTCCGACTCTCACAGTCTGAAAGGATGCAAGAATAGTTATAGCCTTCAGCAGCGACACCCCGTCGCACGTTAGTCTGTCCTTTGAGCGCAGCTGCTGGGTTCGTCGTCACAAGGTTGTCTGGATCTGAGGACTTGACTTGCATAGTCGGCATTGCTTCGAGGATGGATAGCAAAGTCGGTGAAATGTGTTGAGTGCTGACATCAGTATATGTAGATTAACATCAGCGATGGCCAGAGCATTCGTCGTGCTACCTGTATCTTGCGTATGTGTGTCGAGCGCGACAATGCAGTAGCCCAGATCGTAGCCTACATCACCGACAAGAGATTGTAGTGCACGCTGGACGTCGTCTTTACCGTTGGTGGGGATTAAATCGCTGGCATTCGATCCTGGATGTTTGAGGAGGTGCTGCATTACTGCTTTGCAAATGTCTCGCTCCAAAGTCAGCGTGTCTCCAAGCTGTTGTTTGAAGGAGTCAAGGGAAGGCGGGAGCGTAAGTGCTAGAACCAGGTCGCGAGTTTTGGTACTAATTGACACCATGATGGTGTTCACGATTGCTGTGAGGGATCGTTCTCAGTATAGATTCGAAAGATATGCAAAAGCAGTGGGGGCGAGCAGATCATATGCCCTTAGCAAGGCGTGTGTGATAAAATCGGACGCTATCGTGTAATTTCCAGAAGGGACTGTATGATAAAAGCTCTGGCATCTTCAGTCTAGCTGAGCATAGGAAATGTTCTTACCCAGTCAATCTCAGATGATGGTAAGTGCTGCCGTAGAAGTCTTGTTCTCTCACTCCAATTAGACCGATACAGTGTACATCGTTTCCCTGCTGTCCATTCGAGGCCTTCCTCAAAATGTACAATGGTCGTCAAAGAGCTCAACAAGACCGCAACTTGGGGTGCGCCAAAGATATCTTCTGGGTGCTTGGATGCCTGGAAAGGACAACAGGCGTCATGTTGGATTCTGGTTGCTCAATCCTTTGCTGTCTGCCAATATGTGAACTCTGTTTTCCTATACTGTTGCCATAAACACCAGTCTTGGACAGTAGATAGCTGTCAATATAGTCGTTGTGGAGTTTTCCATTCTGCATTATTGACTTTCACCATTTGGTATTGGACTGGAAGAAAAGAATCCTTCTGCCAGAGTACTATCGTCGTGTTGCTGGTTGATCTTCACATCATCTCTATTTGTAAACTCGTCCAGCTCATTTACACTTGAGGTCGTTCGTGTGACCGAGATACCTGGCAAGTCAGGTTCCGGTGAACCAGTCTGATTGTCAATCAGCTTATCAAGCTCGTCCGTACCATTGTCAAGAGAGTCTTCCTGGACATCGATATGTTGCTTGTGAGAGACAGGCTCTACTCCACCGTTATGTGAGTGTGCGGAGAGTAATGCGGAGAGGTCGTCGTCGTCGTCGTCATCATCTTCTTCTTCTGTCTGCTTCTCGGCATTATTTGATGAAGTTGGTTTTCGCGAAGCTTCTTGTGCCAATAGTGCATCCAGATCATCTTCGCCTTCCGAATCTACGTTTTCCGTGACCCTTTTGGACTGTACATGATTAGGTTGTTGATCCTGAGCAAGCAACATGTCAAGCTCGTCATCGTCTGGGCCGCCAGGCTCTATATCATCTTCACCAGCATCGCCGAAGAACATTGATATTTGCTCCTCCTCAATCGACTGCCCAGACACCTCCCTTGTGTCTAGCTGTTGCGCTTCAAGAGCACTTCTTTCACTGCGATCCTGTTCATCCACAGCTTTTGCCATATCTTCTCTCATGATGTGTCCAGGCTTACTCTCATCTATCCATGATTTTCTGTACATTTGCAATTTTTTCGTGTGACCAGCTCTTTCGACGAGTTGTAAAGCATCTGCAAATTTTGCTCGAGGATATAAACCATCGAGCCAATTCTGGTAGAAGTTCAGGAGCTTAGCAACGTCGTCGAATTCATGACCCTTGCCTTTCAGCCTCAACTTCCTCTTCATTTGTCCGGAACGTATTTGAGTCTTCAGCTTTGGAAGACCTGGCTCTGATAGCAGCCTGTCCGCATCAAGCTTTGGAATCTTCTTTCTCTGTCTTGTGATCTTGACTTCCTCGTCAATGTTTCCTCCAAAGACATCCTCTTCTGCTTTGCGTTTGCGAGGACTCAAAGTAGTCTTGTCGTCACGTTCTGTATTCCGACTTGGTCTGTCTGCAAAAGGATCGTCATCTGTGTCAAAGGCAGCGTCTTCGAGCATCAACTCGTCCACAGTTGTGCGTGTAAGAGGATCGGCAGCCATTTGGGGGTTGCACTGAGTGGTTTCACAACAATTGCAGGTAGGAAATCTTGTGCAGAGGTTTCTGGGATGTTTCGCGTCTCGAATCACAGGTTGCTGCAGAATGGTCCTCTTTCAAAATGGTATATGAAGCACCACACCAACATGAACGCGACTCCAAAAGCGCGTTGAGTAAAACGCGTTCCTGCCGAACGTCATATCCATGCTAAGCTAGTACCTAGATTGTGTTAGCTTTGAATGATGGTCACGTGTACTGGAAGCTCCGCATTCACTCTTGTAACCTCGAGAGCGCGACAACGTTATACTGCTGGCCATGGTAGACACAATGGAGACGCCCAATACGCAGATACCGAAAGCAAACGTACCAGGGAAGCGGTTTACCACCGACTATCCAGTAAGTCAGCTGGGAGGCATGAATCAAGTGTCTGCTAACACAACTAACAGCTCATTGATTCTGACCCGTACGTGCACTTGGTCCGTCGAAGCAAGGTTTGCGACTGACTTCAACCTGCTAGGCACTGGAGACGAGCCTTCCGATACGCCAGGCCGAGGGACTGGGCGATAGGTGCTGGCGCAGCCACATTGGGACCTCTATTTATGTTAACGACTGAGCGATTTGCACCTTCTTTCGCCGGCAAAGGCGCCTTTGGACCACCTTTCAGATTATCTATTGCGGTTGGTGTCACGGCAGGTCTTGGACTAGTATATCAGAGGTCATGCTTGCGATTTTACGGCTGGATGGAGAACGAAAGAGAGCAGGGAATGGATATGAGGGAAATGGTAGACAAGGTCAAGAAAGGAGAGCCGCTATACGGCGAGTCACAACTATCACCATATATGCAGGGCGTTGCTGCTAGAAACTCGAGGTTTAGTGCCCTCATGTTTCACATAGTACCCATGGCAAACTTTACAAACCACAACCAGGTAAGCCACAAGTCGTGCTGTTCGGTCGGGCTGGTCCTAACAATACTTTACAGCACGGCGTCGACACTGCTAAATACTACCAGCAAGCAGAGAGGGAATTGGAGGCAGCACGAGGAAGGTAGTGAGCAAGGACGACCAGTCTAAGTGTCCATGATGAAACTTCCAAGCAATATTCAATTTTCATCAGCAGACTTGACCACCCTAAATGCTGCCGTGCTTGTACAAACCTGGGTGCTTTACTATACAAGCATCACTGATCAATTTTCTCAACTTTTGCATGCCGACGTATGTGTTTAGTAGCCTGCTACTCCAGAGTTCCACTGATCACGCAAACCATTGTAACTTTCTCGACACGAGATTTGCTGGCGAAGACATGGCTCGAAGTCATTACAGCGTCGACGCTCACCACAACAGCTCGTTTTGTATGTCCCTGCAAGCAGTATTATCGTTCTGGAGAGCTGCTAACCAACAGTGAATTGAACTTGTTCATGTGACCATAAGGTCCGTGATGCATACTGACCAGGTTGAGACTGATAAGTCGATAGTATCCATTCCACGGCAACACTTGAAGTTTGAGCTGTGATTATCAATTTTACGATCACTAACTACAGGTACACTTCGCGACACAAAGCGCCCACGGCTCCTCGAAGCTTGTCCAATCATGTCTGTTAGACATACTCAAGAAGTCTGCAGCTCATAACACTCATATCTCAATCAGGAGACTCCCATATAGACAAAGCCGTATTACGCTCGCTGTCGCGATGGCAGTGCTAACAATGATTTGCTCTATACCCGATATTCCAGGTCGTAAATCTCTTTAACCAGACATATCTGCCGCAGCACCAGTCTCGAAATCGATATGGCCACGGTCAACAATACTTTAGAAATCAGCTATTCGTACAAGCAGAAGGTGACCAAATCTCGAAATCTCGGCTCAATACGCGGCTTGCAAACACGATCTAAAAGCCTTGCAATCACCATAATGAGCTGTTCTGGAGTGTATCAGATTCGTCGATTTGATGGAGAACGATGACATGGTAATGGATCGCCCGTTAGTGCAAGTGCATCGAAGATTGGAGACTGCGTCAGTAGACATCAGGTCGACTAGCTTGTAAAAATCTAGTAGGTCGGGGACGTCTTGGACTTTTTAATGATGGACCAGGATCTACCAGGGACAACGGCTACCACTACTTCAGCGGCACACGAATCGACCCATTTTGGAACAGTTTCTAGCCATAACTCTTGCTCGATTTACTCTCACTTGTGGTGAGGCTACAATTCAAATATGCAGGTCCAGGGATGTGAAGGTGATTGTCTACAACACATGGTGAACTTGAGGCATATTTGAAAGCAACTAACTCGTCTAGAGCTCGTATTTGGCAACTGAGTGGATATACTATCAGGTCCTACCTGACTTTGGACTAAGCCATGTGGCAAAGCTTTGGTCTTGTGCCGAGGTCGTTACGCACAGCCTGTCGCTGCTCGAATCATCCTTTGAATGCAGAAATGATGTAGAAGGTAGTCTTTCCTGTACACACGATTGCACAAACTTTGCTTACTCCATTCAGCCGTACTGGCACTGTACCGCAGATGAGGAGGAGAGCCTTCCAAGACTGGGGAAGATGTTAGGACGTACGAGTAGCGCCAGTCAAGCACTGGTACTTTGCATTAGCCAAGTTGCACGATTTCCTGGGAAAAGCCGTTTGTGGCCTCAAACGTCAAAGCTGATATGTCTCTTAACATTCCGCGATTACTCCGCGCAGTTCTTGAGTGAAAGAGCAAGTCCTTGCATCGCGCTTAAGCCCACCAAGGGCTACTCGTAATTGTGAGGCGCTTATTGGCAAGATTCTGTACGAGCATTCTCAAAGATCCAGGAAGTCTATACCCACCATGACTCTCCGCCACTCCCTGCCAGTGAGAACCCTTGAAGATGTGCTTTCCAACCACGACTCTGATGAAGATGTGGTGTGGAGGAATTCTAGCGAGTGCAACTGGATCACCGAGTATGCTTTCACACTTTGACTGAATGAGGCTAAAGTGTACTTTGGTCGTGCGACCCATTTCAAGCCCTCTAGAAACTTACTGGAGTATGGAAGTACAGTATAGGTTCGGCTCCAACAGCGACGTTCTCGCAGGGCAAAAAAAACCTCAGAACTATGGCACAGATACGTTCCTATGAAAGAAATTGTATTCGATCACTCTCCTTGCCTTGAGCATTTCTTTGTGAGCACACGCTCGGTTCTGTCTTGGACATTCAGTGAATGGGTCGATGAAGAAGAGGCCAAAAGGAAGAGCTGGAGACACTAGAATAATCTTGGACATGTGGAGTACAAGCAGCTTTCATGGAGCGGGCCTGAGCCGTGGATTCGAATGCCTGCAGGTCCAGGTTAGCCCCTAAGAGCTCGGACACCTGGAAATGACACAACTTTTGATCATTTGGACGAATCGATTTATGGCGCATTACTCTATGAACTTCCACCGCCCGCACGGCACCCTGACGCCTAAATTTCAGCAAAGGTACAAGCAACCATGACTGCACCAGACAGTGCTCCTAAATTGAGGGTATCTCCATACATGCGATTCGACGTCCTAGCGGTGTGCCTCACTCAAGCTCGCTTGTAGTTGCAATGGCCCGGCTAATTTATGCGCACTAGGCTCGTTAGGCGAGTGGTCAGAGATCTGTGACCCTCTTGGACAAACACCATGCATTAGAGTAAGAGTCTACACGAGATAATTCGCGAGTCCATCCCCAGGTTGACTCCATTATGGTGACTGTTCACACGCTCTATACCAAGGCCCACATCCTCGTCCCCAGTCCAGCAAAGGTCCAACCTCGCTAATCCACGACTGGAGATTCTATGTGGAAGGTCTTGGTCGAAACTATTCCTCGTATTGATCAAAAGAGAAGCTACAAATGATGCACCAACACAATAAGCGAGGTAGCAATTCACTTCCCTTGAACTCTGTTCTCCAGAAAAGCTGCTCTCCAGTCTTCACAAGCTAGTGATTACTGAACGTCCATGTCTTCGTCGGCGTTTTCGAGGTAATTCCCCAGATGAGAAAGCTGGGCCCTCAGCAAGTCTTAGTCGCGACTTCCCCAGACGCCCCCGAAAAATGCATTCGCACCTTCCGTTTAACCTGAGCAAAGTTCATTTTTCAGCATTTTCACAGACTCTCACATGCATGCTCCTGGTACCCCAGCAATGGTTTGTCGTGAGCGGTAAGGCATGCTAGTCAAGGCTGCATAAGCTCGGATTCACAAAAACCATCGCAAGTCCAGAGATCAAGCTCACACAGAGCCTTGCACAAGGAATGAATCAGGAGTGGCCACGAGTATTGCAATGTCTCTGACAACGCAGCAACTACGGAACATCGTCGTCACGGAAAGGATCTCCTCGATATTCTCTCTTGTTGGGGCAGCGTTTGTGATACTCACATTCGTCCTTAACGACAAGTTTCGCAAGCCCATCAACAGATTGGTCTTCTATGCAACGTTTGGTAATATCTTGACCAACGTCGCAACACTTGTGTCCACTTCCGGTATCGAAGCAGGGACAAACTCACCTCTATGTCAGTTCCAAGCATTCTTGTTACAATGGCAAGGCACACATCTAATAACAAAGCTCATAAATAACTGTGATATAGGTTCATGCCGGCAGACGCGCTATGGACGTTCGCCATGGCGTGTAATGTCTGGCTATCTTTCTTTCGAGCATATGATACTTCAGCCTTGAGACGTCTAGAGTGGAAATACATTGTCGCCTGTTATGGTGTCCCCTTCGTTCCAGGGTTCGTTTACATATTTGTCAATACACAAGAGAGGCGCAAGGTGTACGGTGCAGCAGTAGTGAGTCTGTGAAACTCCGTGCCAGGCCATATTTGCTAACATTGTGCTAGTTGTGGTGCTGGGTTTCGCTGAGGTGGGATTTTCTTCGCGTCGCAACCTTTTACGGGCCTGTTTGGGTCGTAATCCTCGCTACGATAGGCATTTACATACGAGTCGGGTCAATAATATTCAAATGGCGACGGCAGTTGTTGTCGATGGAGAAGGAACGTACCTTGAGCGGCACAAACGAATACCCTGCTATTGGCATTCTGAAGACGTCGGAGATCATTGTCACAAGAACAGAAACAGTTGTGAGTGGCGAGGAACCAGACTTTGGTAATGACCTACACAGTAAAGCATCCTTCTCTCGCACGATTCAACCGACCAGGCCAATCACTATGGTCAGAATGTCCCGGCCAAGTGGCGGCATCGATCCAAACAAGGCAGCGGTAAAGTACTGCAAATGTGCCATGCTCTTCTTCTTGGCTCTGATCGTAACCTGGGTGCCCTCAACAGTGAACCGGATCTACACTATCATACGGCCTGATGAGGTTGTATATGGACTCCACCTTGCTGCTGCACTTGTCCTGCCATTGCAAGGCTTTTGGAACGCATTGATCTATCTGGCAACCAGCACTTTCGCAATGAGATGTTTATGGCAGGACATTCTGGACGTCTGCAGAAGTTCAAGTCCTCGTCAGATGGCCATTCAAGTACGACGACAAGGTGTCTCAATCCATTCCAGCGAGCTTGAGGACAGGTCACGAAAGTTCAGCTCCGGTCAGACACCCTACGACGCTGATCGAGCTTCTTCGCAAAGCGAGCTAGTTGGTCAGGCAAAGTAGTGCTGGACGTCAGGACTACATCAAGCTCTTTCTTGGTTTCAAGAGTACAGTCATACTTAGTCAAATATGCATATTTACAGCGATATACCCCAGACTTCTATGTGTGAGTAATAGCGGCGTTATGGGCGGTCAGGATCTTGAGGCGAATGTTGCTCGATCTGAGCTCTATCTCGATGGTTTTGTTGGGAAACGATATGGAGCGAGTGCAACACGATGATGTGAGAATATAGTTTCCATGCCACTGGGCATGTACCAATAATGCAGTGGTGCATGAGAATTAATTTTTCTACCGGATTTTTTCCCATCTTATCTTTATGGCTGCATTTTTGACCGTTGAAAGCAAGGCTTCGCAACGAGAGATACCATCATTCTTGCCCAAGGCCTTGATTCAAACTCAACCTCTTCCTAGAACTTTCGACTAGTGCCACCGCTCTTCCAGTTCCCGGCGTCTTCCACTCCTCTCGCGACATCCCTCGAGCCATTCTCGAGACCCGTTCCGGCATTGGCAAGAGCATCACCAACAGGCTTGCCCATTGACCCCGTTGCGCCTGCGATGGTGTCACCAATTCCTCGCGTGGCTGCACCTGTTACACCTCCGACAGTGCGAGAGAGGCCGCCGACCGTGTTTCCGAGAGTCGAGGTGACGAATTTCGCGGCGCCGGTGACTCCGTTGTCTTGGGAGTTGGTCATTGTGGTATCTGGTATCTTGAGTGAGGGTTAGAGAACTCAAGTAGACGTTTTATTTATATCTTGGAAGCGCAAAAGTGTTCACGTCAGTAGCAGTATAGCAAAAAGGTAACGAGAACTTGCAGGCACGGTCAAGCATGTCTACCTATTTGGACCGCCTGGTGGTCGCAATCATTGAGGCTTCGCAGGATGAGGCCGGGAGAGATGCCTGTCGATGTGACGTCAAAGGATCTGAACGTGTTGACCAAGATCCAGGACTTGAAGCACGTTCGACAAGGCCAAGAATATTAGGTGCAACCTTCACGACTTGCGCGGCACTATGCGGGAATCAATACGTACGGCGGTGTTGCGTGGCAATTATAGATAGGGTGGTGGGGACAATGTGCAAAGAGTTCAAAATGCTGTCGCGACTGACATGCTGCGCCTGTAACGCGTCAATCGAACTTTATCCTTCGAGGTTCAGCGTCTGCTTCGAGCGCCAAACTCAAAGCCTGTGCATGCAGAACTGTCCTGTCACGCTGCAACATTACCTCAACGACGTTGGTTGTGGTTAATGGTACTCTCGAGAATGACACACCTTTGTGAACTACTACAAGCCTAGAACTACATCTGAATCGACCTCAAATCCAACCCACCAGGAAGCTCAGCCCACTACCTTGCTTGACCACCTCATCCTGTGTGAATCGAAGACATACTGTTTCCAACCATCGAAAGATCTTCCCAAGTCAGAATCGAGTCCTACAGCTTCTGCTCCCGCAAGTAAAAGCTCTCGACCAATTCAGTAACTCCCACATGGAGGTCGGCCAGGAAGTCCGCAGGAAGGAGCAATGCCAGCGAGACAATCAGTAGGTGCTGCGGCGGTCTGACGCTCGAAGAGCATAAGAAGTCGCTTCGTAACACCGCACGGTGGTCCTCCTGGCACGCCGCAGGTTGTGCCAACACCGACACAATATGTGGCTGCCGCAGCTTGTGGTGACCTAATAACCTTGCTCTACAACAGTATGTTAGCAGTTGCTTGGCAAGTCAAGCGATTATGTGGTAACCTGGAGACTTACATCGTTGACAGCTATTGGCATAGCTAGTGATGTACTGAGAACACTCAGAATAAACAAGAGTATGAAATGCATGTCGAAAGAGCGATGTGGTGGTTAAAGACGTTGAGTCGAGCTATTCTGTTCGGAGATATCTTGAAGTCTGACAAGTCTGATGCGAGTCTGATGGATTTGTTGCGATTCAATTTCTGCTGGATGGTAGCTGCTTAAGTACTCGACAGCAGAGGTCGTGGCATGGTACGTCCGGACTTGCATCATGGGGACAACTGCTCAAACATTCGACGTTGCTTCGATGCAACTGTTGCTAACGAGTCTTTAGATCACTCACAGCCATTGTGATATGGTCCTCATAAGGCATTGGTTCTGAGTCCTCGAAATCTAACGCGACGAGCTTCAGTGTGGATGAAGCAAGCCGCAATGCCCACTAGGATCTCACAGCCACTCTCCGTCAACATTGGCGGAATGAATGCAAGATCAATCACGGGTGAAGTGTCTCACTTGCTAAATTAGCTTTGGCGCTTCGAAATTCCAAAAGAATATGAGGGAGTGGAGTCGTGCCAAGGAAATTTTTCCCTGCGTTGTTGCTCAGCGCGGCTCGAGCTCCGAAGTGAGACAGAAAAAAATCGGCAGAAAGGTCAGGACTTATACCACATTGTGCTTAGTCCTTAAAGTACCGCACTGAATCGTCAACATCCTGGAACAATAACTCAGGGTTTCTTATGTGTTCCAGAGTCTTGCTCAACCTGAGACCATCTCAAAACACATGGCAAGCACGACCTTGGACAGTTTGACCTTCTAGCGAAAGAGAGCGTATCTTCCCCTCTCATTTTTTGATTTCGCAGCAAGCACGATGCCCTTCGTCTTCCCCTCGCCCTTGGTATTGGCAACCTTAGTTGCTGTGCTCTGAGCCTGCGGTGCACGACCGGCTGCTCCCACTTCTCTTTGAACCTGCTTATCAGAAGGTTTCTTGCTCTCGTGTTTGGCGTCGGTCTCAACCTTCTGCTTGGTGATGTTGTCTTGCTCATTAGGCGTGAAAGGAAGCCAGGTCATATCCGGAAAGATGTCCTTCCAGTTGACCCATTTTGCCTCTTCCTTCAACGATGCCTTGTCCCTCGTGTCTTTCTTGTTGCCTTCATCACACGTTGCAGGAGAACACCCGCCCACTTCGACCGACCGGAAGACTGGAATACCTTGAATGCCGAAAGGCGAACCATGGCCACATCCGCCATGATATGGTCCCGTGCCGAGTCCGATCCGCATCCCTCCCGCACCAGTACCTCCATGGCCTCCTGCTCGTCCTCGTGTATGGCCGTATCCGTGGGTGCCACACCAATCACGAGTTGGCGAACCAATCAACTCATAAGATCTACCATCGAGGCCATTCACCTTTAAAGCAAGAGGTCGAAATGATATTTGCGGATTCAGCTTCTGCAACCAATCCATCCCTAGTAGCATATCCTGAGGCTCGAGCGTTCCCGCACCCACCTCGAACTTCCATTTCACACGATATTTCCCGATGCGAATATCGAGGATTGTCTCATACTTTATCTCGTGTGTGGAGCCATCGGCCATACTGGCGTATTTTGGTCGTGCTAATCGACGCAGAGGAACCTGAAGTTGTTTTGCAGCTGTATCAGAGATACACGAAATCGTGCATCCAGTATCGACCATCAATGCCATTGGCTTCTCCTTCCGATTGAGATATACATGTCCATGAAGGATCATCATCTCAGGGTGGTTTTTTCCGCAGCCACACATGGTTGCGAATCAATATTTCGGGTGTTCACTGTGAGTGTTAATCACGAATTCGGAGATGGTTTGATGTCGAGGATAAACAGTCACTCTTGTAGCCTGAAGAATGTCTCCTACATAGCCTTGGAAAGAATTTGCGTAACTGAACAGGGTCTTTGCTGTCAACTAGCAGTGATGTAATGATCTTCGTGCTGATGTTAGTGACAGAATACAGCATTCCTGGCTCTGAACTTCGCTGGCAATGATCGTAATATTTGAGGCTCAATAGCCCTCTTGCGGTGAGTAAAGGCTGAAGATCGTACAATACGTCGTGAACCTGCTTTGGCTTGCGTGAACGAGGTTTGTAGTCATACCTGATGGAGTGGGATCAACGTCCCTGGTAGGCAACGACAAACTCAAGCTGTATTCATTGCTGCTTCGCGGCTAATCTCAACCGTGACATCGCATCGCGCTGTACCTCTTTCACGATATCTTCAGCTTTCATCACCGATTTCACAAGGCCGACACCTGTACCAGCGTAAGTAGTGATACGACCGTCAACGCCCCAGCCTGAGTCACCCTGCTTCATGGCTTCGTCGTGAAGTCGCTGGTTTTCCTCGAAAGTCATTCCTGATTTATCATCATAGAAGCTTTTGTTCAAAACACCTCGAGCGTTGTACTTCTCCGGCCACAATGTTGTGCCACGAAGTTTATCGTAAACCTTAGTACGTGCCGTGTTGGCGCCGCCATCTGTGGCTCGTACCACTTCTTTACGATAACCTTCCGCAATTGCTGCTTCTTCGCTTGCCAGAAAGCGAGTGCCAAGACAAACACCATCAGCTCCCAGCATCAACGCGGCAGCTGTGCCCCGGCCATCCATGATGCCACCTGCTCCAATAAGCTTGATATCAGCCATTCCAGCATTGTGAAGAGCATCAGCAACCTCGGGCAACAAAGATATGATGCCAGCGCCAGAATCTAAACCATGACCTCCAGCATCAGTACCTTGCACCACCAGCACGTCGACAGGCTTGGCATGTCTTGCGACATCCACAGCATCTGCTACCGAGCCAACTTGAATCCAGACCTTTGTCCTGCCATCACTAGCTTGCCGTATTTTCTCAGCCCAGTTCGCATAGTCTTCGTTATTATGAGCACCGAATTGCCACACTGCTGCAGGCTTCCATTTTCTTACTGCAACTACTGCCTTCTCCAGGTCTTCACTTGGCGCCCAGTTGAAGTAACCAAAGCCAATAGGCAGAATTCCGGTAGCCTCGTATTGCATTCTCAGGATAGAGTGGTCGTTAACCAGATTTGCGGCTTCTCGTAACCAGCCATCGAGCTTGTCAAGATTGTTTCCCGCGCCAATAAAGCCGAAGCCTCCTGCACCAGATACCTCAACAGCTAGTTGTGGAAGCGCAATCAGGCGCATCGGTGCGCACACCACGACCGGCGAAGTGAGCCAACCATGCTGTTCCGTTAGTGGAGGCATCACGATTGCCCTTCGATGAAGGAGTGCTACACTACTTCTTGGTCGAGCTCGCACACTGAAATACAAGCAGTGTCTATACTGATGCCGGAAGCAAGCGAGTGATGTTGTCAGCATCGGCTCGCAGCGAGACCAGTGCAGATGATCTGCGAGAATTCCTAAATTTGAACTCGCAGCGGCTCACTGACAATAAAATTGATGATTCACTGTGGAGTTAGCCATCCCTTGTGACCCCCCATCTTGATGCCTTAGGGTTATGAGGGCACGAGTGTACGGAGTTCTCCGTGGTATCCTTGGTGCTATGATTCTGAGTCAGGCACACCCAGGTTCCAGCACATTTCACACATCTTCCATACTGATAGAAGTCTTTCGGCTCTTTGTCACCAATCATTGCTTTGTGCTGCATGCTCGATCTCGTGTTCAGCTACAAGCATGACTGCATACAAGCCGGACTCAAAGGATGAGTTAAAAGCTAAATGACGGATAACTTCAGTGTCCTGGTTGTCTCGAATAACGAGAAAGACCTCCAAACGTAAAGTTCGAACGGCTCATTATTGAGCAGATGGCGTTTCTCGATCTCCATCCTTCAGAATTGTAAACTTGTCGATTGCAGCTTGGTACCACGATGATATAGGCTCCGACTATGTCTGGAGTTGGAGGTTTCTCTCAAACGTATCGAATGCAAACTCGTGCTAGCGATGTTCTTTTTCAAAGTTGTGATTGCAGAAGCAATTGGTTTACAATGTAAGTGAAATGCAGACGCAGGCCGACTGTATACTGTTTTCTGACGAATATGGCATCTTACGAGGAGGTACTTCGCCGAGAGTGAGTACATGTTGTTGAGCAATTTCGATTGGTGGTCAGTATACGAAGGCGCGAACAGCCTCTTGCCGATTCTACAACCAGGATCGAACGAGGACGATGGGTAAATTTGTTGACCATACAATAGCCTTTATCGGGTATAGTCGTTCCCTTGCTTCCAGTAATGTATGGAGCACAATAGTATTCGCGGAATTATCTCTTCCACAAATTCGACGCTAGTGCCTTCTGGGTGATGTTCACACGTGAGGCGTTGTTGTTGGGCACAGACTGAATCATGCCTGCATCGAGTCTTGCACTCGTGATAAACCCACTACAAGCACCGCAGACGTGCAGCAGTGTCACCATGTTAGACAGCAGGCAGACAATACTCGAGTCAGGTCGTGTATGTGATGACTACAACAACTGAGCATGTTCTACACCCTGCTTTGTGTTGCCTGAATGACTGGACACTGCCATGTGCCCTGCACAATCCATGCATTCACCACCATGCTTTCAACTGTCGTAATTAGCAACTCATGATATCCGTCACTCCTGTTTTCTTGATACCAGCGTTTGTTGCATGCATGCTAGGTCAGAGTTGACCTAGCACCACTCGGTGCTGGCACAATCTTTTGGGTCGAGATCTTATCACTGCCAACCCTTTCTGATTGCGGGAACAATTAGTGGAAAGGTGGTGATAAAACAAACAAGTTATTGACTACCTTGCTGCTCGAAGGCTCTAAGATGCCTGCCGCCGAAGCGAAGCGATCGCTCTCCAGTGGGAAGAGGCTGCAAAAACGAAATACACCTGCACATCGACTGCCTGCGTACCAACTTCCAACACGCCTTCGAGCCTCAGAAGATGCACAGGAAGACGTTGCTGCCCCAAGCAGGAGTAGCGATGCACCGGCGCAATATATGAACCAGTCAATATTTGGTATGATAGCAGCTGCGGGCTCAAGGACCGACTTCAACCAAAGGTTTGACGAGTCAAGCGACAGCGATCCTGACAATACAGGGCAAGAAGGCGAGTCGACAGCACGACGTGGGTCGAAGAAGAGTGCCAGATCAATACATGCGACCCAAATATTAGACGAGTCAAGACAGAAAAAGCGTTTGTCGCTACAACGTCTTACCCACTCGGTCACGCAATCTGTCCCAAAGCTCTCCTTACGGCCTTCAAAGAACCGCAAATCGAAGATTCGCCAGTTAGACTCCTTGGACGATAGGTCAGACGATGAGGATACAGGTGATCACAAGGATGCGCCTATGATGAGCAGGCTGTTGACTGCAGAAGCTCAGTACGAAGCCAACGAAGCGGCTGGACCTAGCCAGACTTCTCAGCTGGTCTCAACAACTGCCAGAGCAAGAGCCGAGTCTTCCCCTGCAACACTGCTTGCTACGCGCTTGAAAGAGATCTTTGGCTTTGATAACTCCGAGACTGTTGTTGCAGAGTTTCCATGCTGGCTTCTACAGAGCGTACTACTTCAGGGCTACCTCTATCTTACACGACATCACATCTGCTTCTATGCTTACTTGCCCAAGAAGACCAACGTTGCTGTAAAGACAGGACACTTATCCAAGCGAGGCAAATCAAATCCCAAGTATCGACGTTATTGGTTCGAGCTGAAAGGCGATGTTTTGACCTACTATTCGAATCCATCTGATCGATACTTTCCCCAGGGTAACATAGACTTGCGTTACGGAATATCTGCATCGATCGGTGGCGAAAAGGACAAGGAGCCCAGAGACTTCTCCGTGACAACTGACCACCGAACCTACTATTTCAGAGCTGATTCAGCAATTAGTGCTAAAGAGTGGGTAAAGGTGATTCAAAAAACAATATTTCGATCACACAACGACGGCGATAGTGTCAAAATCTCGCTGCCAATGGAGAACGTTATTGATATCGAGGATAGTCCCGTTGTCGATTTTGCTGAGACTATCAAGGTCAGAGTCGTGGAGAACGATGACTCTTACGCTATCGACGAATACTTCTTCTCTTTCAGCTTCGGCGTCGATGTCATGCACACCTTGCGCACTCTTTTCGACGACTCAGTACGGCGACGTGGCTCAGTCGATCTGCTTTCACCTGTAGCTGATGATGCTACAAGGTCGCCGTCACCGAGTGCAAGAAAACCCCTCCAAGCTGCCCGGGAGCCTTCCCCAATGTCTCCTATAAGAGAAAGTGTGAGGGCGACCCTGACACCGTACGCGCTTGGACCAGATGGTAAAATGACACCTCGTATGAGTGGTGATTTCATACGATCTGGCAATAGTCCATCCAGGACAAGCTTCGATCAGGCAGTTGAATACGGTCGTTCGAGCTTCGAAAGAGGACGGGCGAGCGAGCCCACCTCGCGGTTGCACCCCATGGCTGGAGAGAGACGAACGGCGAGATCGCCGCTCGCAAGACCTGCAGAGAAACCTGAAACTTCATACTTTCCTCCCACACAGGAGAAGGGCAGTGATTCTTCAACAGCTTCTCCTTCTTCACCTTCTAACGTGGATATGTCAGCCAGCCAAATCTTATCTCGCTCCGATGTGTTTCACGCCCCCGTGGTAAGAAGAATGAGCACTCTCGTTTCTGACGACACAGACAACGAGAACAGATTATCAGGTGATGAGCAAGATGCCTTTCCAAAACCGAGCCATGGACGAAAGGTCGCATTGCAAGCAGAAGCTATTACAGGACAAACCCTGGTCGGCACCGACCACCCTCGCACTGCATCCCCAACACTCCAAGAAATCGTAAAAGCTAGTGCTTATCCTTTGCAGCGAGCAGGTGCCTTTGCCGGCTATCTGAAAAATAGGTCTGAACGTATGTCAAGGCTTCTGGCTACCGAGTCTATGTCTTACCTAGAAAAAGTTTCTGGCATGTGGGCCGGTCAAAGAAAGCACTATGGTGAAAACGAGACTGTAATTGCTGAGGACCAAGATGTCGATCCTGAGGATGAAGAAGCTAATGTCGGATACGGCGACCGTTTTCGCACGCACTTTGCATTACCAGCAACGGAAAAGCTTCAAGCGACCTATTTCGGATTCTTGCACCGGGTGCTTCCTCTCTACGGAAAGATTTACATTAGCAATAGTAAATTTTGTTTCCGCAGTTTGCTACCTGGAACACGAACCAAGCTTATACTTCCTCTCAAAGACGTCGAGAACGTAGACAAGGAAAAAGGATTTCGCTTCGGTTATCATGGACTAGTATTGGTCATCCGTGGCCACGAGGAACTTTTCTTCGAATTCAGCTCTGTCGAGAATCGAGATGACTGCGCTGTGACCTTGTTCAAGCATTTGGAATCAATGCGCCATCTAGCTGGATCAGGCATTATCTCTCAATTGGAAGCTGAAGCAGCCGAGGCGGCCAAAATAGAGAATGTCATGTTACAAGAAGCACGTAGAAACCCGGGTGCTGCAGGTCTAGATGCAGTTGTCGCACTCAAAGAAGGTCTGCCCCCTGTCCAAGATGAGACCACACCAGTACTGTTTGACGATGGCAAAGCCTCAATAATCAGTTTCAAACCTCCTTCTGGGTTACGCGTCACATGTCTTACCATCGGATCGCGAGGCGACGTCCAGCCATACATTGCATTGTGCAAAGGACTTCTTGCTGAGGGACACAAGCCAAGAATCGCGACGCATGCAGAATTTGGACCATGGATCCAGAAACACGGTATCGATTTTGTGTCAATTGGTGGAGATCCTGCAGAATTGATGCGAATCTGTGTTGAGAATGGTATGTTCACTTATTCCTTCCTCAGAGAAGCTACATCGAAGTTTCGAACATGGATCGACGATCTTCTAGACTCGTCTTGGCAGGCCTGTCAGGACTCAGACATTCTCATAGAGTCTCCCAGTGCGATGGCTGGGATTCATATTGCCGAGGCGCTTGGTATACCCTATTTTCGCGCCTTTACCATGCCTTGGACAAGGACTCGAGCTTACCCACATGCTTTTGCCGTTCCTGAGCACAAATATGGCGGAGCATACAATTATCTGTCCTACGTGATGTTTGACAACGTCTTCTGGAAAGGCATCTCCGGGCAAATCAACAGATGGCGAAAGCGGGATTTGCAACTGGGAAGCACGAACCTCGAACGCATGCAGCAGAACAAAGTGCCATTTTTGTACAATTACTCTCCACATGTGGTCCCACCACCGCTTGACTACTCCGATTGGGTCCGCGTAACCGGATATTGGTTCCTTGATGAAGGAGCTGACTACCAACCTCCGCAGGAGCTTGTTGATTTCATGCAAAAGGCACGAGCGGAGAGCAAGAAACTAGTGTACATTGGTTTTGGCTCGATAGTTGTGGCAGACCCGGCAGCACTTACAAGGACTGTTGTTGAGGCAGTATTGAAAGCCGACGTTCGTTGCATCCTCTCTAAGGGCTGGTCTGATCGACTTGGAGATCCATCTGCGCAGAAACTCGAAGTGGCTCTCCCATCTGAGATCTACCAGATCAAGGCTGCACCACATGACTGGCTGTTCAGACAAATTGACGCTGCGGTTCATCATGGTGGCGCTGGCACCACCGGAGCTAGTCTGCGAGCCGGCGTTCCCACTATAACGAAACCGTTTTTCGGCGACCAATTCTTCTTCGGTAGTCGCCTAGAAGACCTTGGGGTAGGAATATGTTTGAAGCGAATTAACGTCACAGTGCTTGCACGGGCCATATGGGAAGCTGTGCATAGTGAGCGTATGATCTTAAAAGCCCGTAAGTTGGGGGAAAAGATTAGAAGCGAGGACGGCGTTCGAGTTGCTGTTCAAGCAATATATCGCGACTTGGAATATGCACAGACTTTGATCAGGGCGCGCAAGACTCAGTCCCAAAAGGCAGCTTCCGGATACAAAACAGAGGCTAGCGGCCAGCAGAGTGGGAACGGGACAGGCGATGGTTTTGGCGCTGTTGACGAGGACGAGGAATCGTGGACGTTCGTGGATGGTCTTGATGAATCATGCTATGGACAATCGAGCGAAAAACCGAGCGATAGTGCAAGGTTCAAACGTCGTGGCTAGGTGCAAGGCTTTGGTTGCATGTGTGCGATGTCAGTCTAGATCGCTCAGCTTTCATGCTTGGTAATGTAGCATGATCGGATCCAGTCCAAGAGCAATCGAGTAGTACGTCTGGACTGTAATGACCTTATCAGTAGGGACCCTGTCTCGACGTAATCTTCTTGGTTGGTCACTACGTTGTTATCATAGAGCTGCGAGGGTTTCTTGTATAGGGACTGCGTTCCAAATTAGTGGGAAGACGCCGTAGCACATTTATGGACGGCAAGCGATGAATGGGGTAGTTTCGTGAATGATTCGGTAGCTACTACTCGTCTTCTACCAGCGCCGGAGAATCTGCAGTTTCGAAGTTCCACCACCTCTTCTGCATTCTGCGGGACCACGCCTGAGGCATTGGAAAAGGTTTGGAGACATCGTGGGAATCCCCTTAGGGAGCACGATCCGTCATTGCTCCTGCTCGTATGGAATGACGAAATGGAAACTTTTCCCGTTGCATAACGAAAACATAATCCAGGAGTCGAGCAACCACCGACTTGTGATATTACGTGACTCTTAGCGCTAGCTTACATGTAAAGTCAAGTTCCGTTACTTGACTTTCAGTTACCTTACGATACAATTATTTTGGCTTATTTCACAGACTGAGACCTACTCGAGTTCCTTTCCTATCTACATCAAACGCGCAAGACCCACTATTGGATGCTGCCACGCTGTTTACGAATCAAAACACTCAAGCTCATGGGATTGTGGACAGGCGAGCGTAGTCGAGTCAAGAGTTTCCGGTATAGCTGGGTTTTGCTAACTTCCATTGTACTACTAGTGTCTGAGCATCTAGCACACGCAATCCACGACGAGCATCACATGCCACATCACGTTCTTCGTTGGATTCTGCTACTCAGCTCTACTTGTGACACAAAGATTGTACAAGGTGTTAGTAGGTTGTTGTAGCTATAGACATCTGAAGCTTCCGGGACATTACCCACTGGAGAGTGGTGGACCTTGGAGCTCTAGATTTCATTGAACGTGATCCGCACCAAGACCCGGTGATCTTCGCTCAAATTACCACAATTGAGCTTACACAAGGTGTCCTTGGCTGCGACTGCATGGCGGCCCCAGAGAGTTCACTCCTGCCGTGCAAGTTGTGGCGGTGGCCGTTGAGAGTTACATTCCATTATTGGTTGTGCCTGCCACATGCCACACATTTATTCAAATGTTACCTTTGCTAAGGGTATCTAGCCTTCCAAATAGTGCTCGCGAGAAGAGCGTGTCTCGTGCAAAAAATTTATGGGGTTTGGCTATTTGTCGGTCTTACTATTTATAACGCTATCCTCTTAACCTATTTGCTTTGTATATATTGCAATGATAATGGATCCCACTGGTGTATCTGAGGCTGTCTCTATGCCGCTATCAGTTCCGGATGGGATAAGACCAGATGGCGTCGCGGACTCACCCACCTCCTCGACGGGAGGTCATTCACAGCCTCGACAGAAACAAGTTCCTATTCCGCGAACCACAAAATCTGGATATGAGCGACCGGAGCGTGCAAGAACCAGCCATGCCTGTGAGCCATGTAGAGAACGTAAGACAAAATGTGACGGCGAACGTCCCGCCTGCCGAAGATGTCTTCATACTGGTATGACTTGTCATTACGGTTATGGCAAAGGATGGAAGAAACGCAAGTATGGCCCGCTTATAATTTACTCCATAGAGTGCCATTGATAACGATGGCAGAACTGTCGAAGACCTCACAGTCACGTCTCGGAGGCTCGCAAGATACGAAGAATTACTGGGTGAAATTTTCACCCTTGTGTCACCAGAAGTGCGTTCTATGATCAACGAGGCACGACAGCAGGTTGGTGCAAATGGCAGCTCAGCGTCTGGCCTCAAACTAATGCTGTGATCAGGACTATGGATCAGTTGATTCTGTAGAGTCTCGTATGGAGGTTATGGATGTCGATGGGTCCGGCGCGAGCCCATCACCCATGGGTAGATTTACCCCGTCCCATCCGCTGTTGACTCAGTCGGCGCCATCTCTCATAGGGTCGCAACCACCGCTACATCCTTCTGTTCGATTGGATTCGTTACCATCTCCGCTACCCCCATCACCAAACACAAAAAAGTCGCCAAAGGACGACTTGAGCAATAGCGGCGCGCTCAGACTACCTTCAATCACACCACAGGGATTTTTAGTGGAAGGCACATCATACCCAGAATTAGCAGGTCCTCATCTTGGTTCTGTTTTAGATGCGTTGCGAGGCTCAGAGCCGCGAGACGGAATGGCAGCTAGTATGTCGCGCGCGAACCCTAATCGTTGCTATTTGACTAATACATACAACAGTTCCGACACTCACAAAAAAATTGTCACCAGGTTGAGGATCTACTAAGGGTTATGAGATAGAATTGCCAGTGCCACAACGACTTATTCACCCTACATGTTGCAAATACGCTCTAACATTGCGAGGAAATCAGACATTTGGTCGCCGAGGTAAGGGCAAGAAGGACTTGAATTCTCCACAGTGCCTGACTCTAGTACGAAGAAAGGATACGTCTGTCTCTCGATGAGTGCTGACTTGCGACGAAGAGATATAAGATTTGATACCTGAGACGATGATCCCTTGCTGTCCGTCCACGAGCCAAACGAAAGTGATCGTTGGTCAAGCACCCAACAGATCCGACTTTGTCGCCTTGCACTCACTTGCAGTCGACCTCTCCATGCGGAGTCGACTATATTTGCGACGCACAGAAGCTCTGTGTTGCAGTGCTTCTGAGACTGTGGAACTGTCTGCAAAGCCAGTCAAAGTTGCAAGCCCAGTATAGTTTTATCCTGGTGAACTTTGCAGGCTCGAAGAAGTGCCGAGAAAAGTCCTGCCTGCTACCCGAGCTCGCCTGCAGTGTCTCTGTGCGAAGGATTCAGCAACGCGCTAAGCTCCACGGACGGTCAATCTTTATCTTCAGCTCCCACAGATCCACTATCACATTGATCCCCAACTGCTGCACCAAACCCAGTAATTATGGGCGTTATAGAAGGCCTATTCTTCAATACGATCACGATCTTCTGTGGTATGGACACTTTGTCAGAAAATCAAGGCGGGCAGATCCACGTGCTGCTTCCGCATTGTCATTCCCATCCGGCGACTGTGATGCAAGGACGGGCTTGACGGATTGAAAGAGAGTTTTCCGGCTGCCCCAGTATGGACACCGATACATGCTGTCCAACATTTCGGAAGCAATACCAGATACTATTCTACAACCTTCCAAGGAGGTGCTCTTACAAGTATGTCTATAGATGGCCAAGACGGGACCCCCAGGGTTCTGCGGTCTTATCGGCTGCTACTGGTAATCAATTTGAGCATTTGCTTTGAGGTCGCTCAAGCTCCAATCTACAGTACTGTAGGATATATTCATAGATTGACTTGCTATTCAGATCCACTCTACGATAGCTGCACGAAGTGGACGTTGGTACTCAAAGGTCGATCCAAATTGGATTCAGGTCATCTCGTGGTGGCTAGCTCATTCGGCAAACAGCAGCGATACGAGTAACAATAAGTCTGCACAGTATTTGAGTGTGAGTATTTGCAGAGCTTTGCATCATGGACACTTACTCGAGTACGAGTAGTCTGTCAGATCTTCCGATCAAGAGAGTCTGGACCTCAATGGGCTCTACTAACACCTCGGGCTGTTTTCTTAGAACCACCGACATCGAAGTTGCTCGATTTGATGACACCAAACCACGAATTAAAGGGATGTGCTGGTCCACCAATGACATTTATCATGCACTACTGGTTTGTGTGGACCTGCCTGCACGATCGACGATCTGAGTAGGTGCCGCGATAAAAAAAGTTTTGACGTACTTGTACCCAAATACTGGACTACACACTGAGTCATCTTTCAGGTCACAGTATCCTCGTCGACCTCACCAGGTGGCAGTTTTGAGATGTGGGAAGAACGTCCACCGTGCAAACGTTTGTGGGCCAAGCTTCGGTATCTTCTCCATCAGTAATGAAATGCCGATTTGTGGACCTTGTTATCTCGAGTTTTTGCTGTTCCAGTAATGGCGGAAGCATATTTGTTGGTTAATGGAGAAATACAGCCACCTGGCGGTGTGCCCGCATTTCGAGCAAAGTGGGATGAAATTGCTGGCTTGCCGATCCAAATCTTACTTTGGGAGATGCCGGAAGCCGTCCGCAAAGTGGTTCGTTTGTAGCAGTTTTGCCTATTTTCGCAGATACTTGACTGCTCTGTGGAATACTGCTTCTTTTCCCGATTTGTTCCGTTCCGACACTGAGCAGCTAGCGTCTTACAGGCGCGGTCAGCGACGTTGAGTCTGTTCCGCTGCGAGAGCAACCTGGAAACTTGTATTGTAGCGACGGTGGCACGTCAAATACGAGATACGTGGTTAAAGATTATAGAACCTACGCCCGCAAAGCAGATCTCTGCGCGTAGTGTTATTACGAGGACTGTCCGACGTTGGTCCTGTTCATAACATGCATCTAGCAAGGCTTGTCTGCTGCTCAGAGTAAGCGCTTGAGCCACGACTGTACTATACAGTACAAGTATTGTGGATCTCTCATCTCGCCAGCCTAGTATATAAGCGCCGCTGAAGTCCTAAAAAGAGTGTTGAACCACACGTGGATCGAAGCCGAAGATCTTACTGCTGTGCTTGTTTGTTCCAGCAAATCACCAATGCTCAAGGACGATGATCCCTAGAGGAGGATCGGCAGGGCGCATATATCGCTGGAACGCGGCCCTCCAGGAATACTGGATTCGGATTAGTGAGTTGCAGTATACTTCTATACTCTAGTACCACCATGCAGCGTGTTGATCGCGATACTCACAAGTTTTTCGGCCTCTGCAACTCAATTCTAAACGGACGCGTCTTGCTCGCCCGGGTAGCATGTCCTGCTCGACTGAACTTGCTCGAAGTTTGTCAATCTACAGTATCTAAAGCTTCTAGCGAAGCACGACCGGATGTGAAGCCATGCCTTCTCTTCTAAGGTTTCTACTCGAGTTCGTGTCGCATGGCATACTGCAGGGCAGAAAACAAGCTGTCTCAGCTCACCATCGGTTATCACAATGGTTGCTGCAGGTTTCTGAGCAGCTGGAGTGGAGGAATAAATTTCAACCAGGAAAATGAATGCGCTGGAGTCGCAGAAGCTAAACGAACACGTTTGTACCTGAATGAAATCACAGTAAGCTGGGGAACGCGAGACAGAGAGCTCGGCGTTGAACTTTCTACGAACTTTGCTGGGGTCACGACCACGAGCTAACCTCTCCTCATGGAATTACGCAGAGAGCACGTAACAGACATCTTTGAACGGAGTGAAGTAGTAGTCTATGGACTAGCGACGGATTGCATGCTTAACAGAGATAGAATTGTTCGCATTACGAGTATTGACTAGATATCTCCGCCTTGACGGTTGCGCTGCAGTGCCTGAACGATGTCTTCGCTTATACCTATGAGATAGCAGTACTGGAGGTCCTGGCTGCGACCTACAGCTTACGCTGCAGCAGAAGAATCTCCACTTGCGTGGTAGAAGGTGAGATACTGTAGCTTGAATCTCTTATCGATCGACTGTGAGGGAGTACGATACGTAAGATGCTTGGGTCTGCCGTGATCACGGCAATCGCACTTGTTATAAAATAGTCTTACCTGTGCTACTTCAGCACAAAGATGATTTGTTGTTACCTCCCTCTGGTATGCCTACGATGGTAAATTATTTGCCAACGTTGTTGAGCTTTCAGCTTGCGCCGCCCCCTTGAGGTGCATTAAACCTTCACCGCTACTTTCGCTCGTACTGCTTATGCTTGCGAATGCACGGATGTGACAGCCTTTGCAATCATGTTGACCAAGCGAAAGGCAGTAAAGGCACGGGACGAGCAACGTGTTCCAGCTATGCCATGTTGGGACGAGCTGAACCACGGCTAGGTCTTAATTTTCTGTCAGCAGCTCTTATCGATTGCCGTGCTTCGAACTGCAAGCTATAAGCGCCATGTGACACCGTGCTATTACAGGTATGCTGCATCAGTCTTCATGTCAGGAAGACGGATGAGTCAGAACGAACACGTTTCCTGAAATCGAGCTGGAACTGCACGAAGACAATTGGACGGTCAGATCATTGAGCAGTCGTGATCATTCCATGTAAAAGGTTGTAAGCCTGGACGCGGGGCAAGAGCTTAGCTGTGAGCTTGTTTTTTATGATTGGAAAACACCAATGAGCCGGCAGGAATCTTGCAGCTAAGAAGTCTTGCCATTCTTCTGTCAGGATGCACCTTCACAAATAGGTACTGCACGTGTAATGCAGAGGTAAGATCGTGCAGTTCGTAATCATGCCGTTTTGGCATGTTAGCGAGCATGCGCGGGGCATCTCGTCATACCGCAGCTGAAAGATTCTGGCTGAAGTCAGGGCAGATTGATATAGCTGAGCAGCTTCCAGTTTGCAACCCGACCTCATCCCTTCTGCTATTCTATAGCTTCACGAGCGGTGACAGCCACAACAAGAAACCATGGTGCACCTAAATAGAGTATCTACCTTGAAGGAGGGCGAATTCTCGCTTCCTGCTCGACGAAAGTCTACAGTGCCTGGTCTTGAGCACATCTCACTAGAGGCTCCTGGTGAGGATGACTTCTCTACCAGTGTCTATGGTTCGAGATTTGCTGCTCAAGATCTCCCGGCCCATGAGATTCCAGAAAGAGAGATGCCTCGAGACGTTGCTTACCGATTGATTAAGGATGAACTCAGTCTCGATGGCAACCCTATGTTGAAGTAAGCCTTGCGAGATGCAGGCAGGAACAGCTTATGCTAACCGTGTCTAGTCTCGCCAGTTTTGTTACCACATACATGGAGGAGGAAGCTGAAAAGCTCATGCAAGAGGCTCTTTCCAAAAACTTCATCGATTACGAGGAATACCCCCAATCAGCCGAGATCCAGAACAGATGCGTGAACATGATTGCTCGTCTCTACAATGCCCCTGACACTGGCGACGAAACACAGAATGCCATCGGCACATCATGCATTGGCTCCTCGGAAGCCATTATGTTGGGAACTCTGGCAATGAAGAAGAGATGGCAGAACAAGAGAAAGGCTGCTGGCAAACCCTACGACAAGCCAAATATTGTCATGAACAGTGCTGTCCAAGTATGCTGGGAGAAAGCTGCTCGATACTTCGATATCGAAGAGAAATATGTCTACTGTACAGACCAGAGATACGTGTTAGACCCTGAACAAGCTGTGGACCTCGTCGACGAGAACACCATCGGTATCTGTGTCATCTTAGGTCTCACGTACACTGGTGAGTATGAAGATGTCAAGGAGGTCGACCGACTTCTTCGTGAAAGAGACATTGATTGTCCAATCCACGTGGACGCTGCTTCCGGCGGATTTGTCGCTCCTTTCGTCAATCCCAACCTGCAGTGGGACTTCCGTCTCGAGAAAGTTGTCAGCATAAATGTCTCTGGTCACAAGTACGGCCTCGTCTATCCTGGTGTAGGATGGGTCGTCTGGCGATCTCCAGAATACCTTCCACAAGAACTCATCTTCAACATCAACTATCTGGGGGCAGACCAAGCTTCGTTCACTCTAAACTTTTCGAAAGGTGCATCTCATGTCATAGCTCAGTACTATACACTGATTCGGCTTGGCAAACGTGGTTATCGCAGCATAATGCTTAACCTGACTCGTACCGCAGACTACCTGCAGGAGCAGCTCGAAGAACTCGGCTTCCTGATAATGTCTCCAGGTCATGGTCGCTCACTACCTCTTGTCGCTTTTCGCCTCGATCCTGACGATGGTCACGACTTCGACGAATTTGCTCTTGCCCATCAGTTACGTGAACGTGGCTGGGTCGTACCTGCCTACACTATGGCTCCACACTCCGAGAAACTAAAGATGATGCGCGTCGTCGTTCGAGAGGACTTCTCCAAGTCTAGATGCGACAATCTTGTCAACGACATCAAGCTTGCCCTGAAGACCTTGACAGAGATGGATGCTGCGTCGGTCGAGAAGTACAAGAAACATGTCGAAGACGCCGTCTCACACAGACATGGCCACAAGAAGAGGTCCAAGAAGCCAAAGGGTAACTTGCAGGACAACCACAGCTTGCAAGCCACGCACGACAAAAGCCACCCAATCTGTTAGATAGTGTGTAAATCTTTTGTGTATATACAGCGAGCGGAAATGATTTCTTCGACTACCTGTGTTTGCCTGATTCGAAGCGGACTCTTTCCAACAACGGTAATCAGCTAGGCCAAGCGAAATGGTAGATGTTGAGTAGTATTTTTGTGGATGTCCTAACAATCCACAAACTTGCTAATCGCTGGACTTTCGGAGAACGTATATTTAATGGACTATGGGCAGTTACAAAGAGCGACTTATTTGAGTCATGCTTTGAGCACTTGATTGACTACGGTATCATAAGTCACTTATCCCAGTCGTTTATAACTCGACGAGTATACCTTGCCGTGCAGAAATTCCACCTGAGTATCCGAAGTCTATTGTGCTCTCTATATGTTCCTGTATATGTACTTATGTATGTGTTGTCTCTTTAGGTAGTTACAGAAATATCTCAAAAGTGCGCTTTGGGTGAGGCAAGCAAAATTGAATTCAGGCTGCCCCGAAACTTGGTATAGGAAGTGGGGTTATTACAAGCTCACGAAACAAAATACAGGTTGATACATGTAATTTCTCCGATAATGTGGGATTTTTGATTCTTGTACTGAACATAGAGAGACTTCTCATTAATTCTGTAGAGGTCAGGACTCGTTTTCGTACACAGGCGCATCATATAAGGGGCAAAAGTACAACAAAATTGGGACGACTCAATGTCATTTTCGGTCGTGCGTTGGTTCCTGCCTGGTTGTATGCGCATGCATCGTATAGACATAGTGCAAGTGGTATATAGGTTCGTAACTGTAACAGCCAGTAGGATGACGAATGTAATGACTGAATCGCAATTGTCCAAGAACATAGCGATCTAGACCACTCCAAAGTTGCGCCCAGCACGGCAAGTGCCGGACGTTCAGTGGCAACGTTCAGTGGCAAATGTGCAGTGCATTGCGTTTCTTGCCATCGCGATCGAGATCTCGGTTGCAGGACACGAAGATTTACAGAATTCAAACAGCTTCAGTCTAGTCTAGCATGTCTGACGGCAGATAGCCTTAAAGCTGCATCTGAACATAGGACGAGCATTCGACGATGTGAACTGCACATGCGTAGCTTTTCGTTCAGTGTTGACATGTGCCAAGGAACCATTTGCTGTTCCTGGATAGGACAGGTTTAGCGCAGCAGCTCACTCTTCGTGTCTGTGAATCGTTGTCGTCGTACACGGCCTCATCATGTATAAAGTAACAGTCTGCTCAGAGGTCCCGCAGGGAAAGGAGGAACGCGTTTAGAGAGCCACACTAGATAGGCTGGTGGTATTACCGATTGTGGTTCAGTCATAAACAATCGACGATTCTATGCCTGCAGGCCGGAGGCTTGACATGATTTGGGAAGGTTCGCCACCAGTACGATAATTAGGATCCCCAAAGGCCATGATACGTATTGAGACCAAATAAATGTACGAGTATCTATGTCAGGACAGCGGATCCATTCTGATTATTGAAACGATTGGTTCGGGTAATATCTGTTTATTAGCCGCAACTCAATGGCCCTGGGCGCTCACTGGAACCAAGATCGATCGTGATGGGGGCATTGGTACATTCACCCCTAGAGAAGATTTCCATAGCACAACCCCGATTGGCGCCTATCGGCAACCGGCCACATGTCGTCGCCGAAGAGTGGCGATTCGTGCGTGGCCTCACCACGTCGTATGGTTGACATTGCAACATCAAGAGTTCATCCAGACGAGATAGGAACCCCTTGATCTCGTCCTAATAACAATGGCGACACCAGAGGGAGATGTTGTGGACCAAGAAATCGTCCCGCAGATTCGTATAGCTTCTTCGATATCGCCCAATCTGCAACAACAATTGTCAGCAATTCAACGATTGGCGCGACAAGTTTTCGAGCCGGATATTCCTGCGAGTCAATATGATATCTGTCCTACAGTTGCTCCGCAACTTCAACTCGACAACTGGAACACAAGATTGCGCGACATGGACAGTGCGATCCTTTATGTCACCATCGAAAACTTCACAAGCTCCTTCAACAATGGTTTGGACGAGCTGGATGACGATCACGACCTATGCCTGGCATCAATGCAACGTACCGTGGATGCTATAGAGGAGCAGTATGTCGCCTTCTTCTTTGTACATCCGCGTGTCTTGCCAGATGCTGTTGCAACCTCAATTCCCGAATCATATCTCAATCAGCAGAAGGAGTCGTATCATATTTACCTGGCGGCTGTTCGTCCAGACACGCGTGGTCGAGGATTATTTCAACTGCTTCTGGATACGACGATAGTGAAGGCTAGGCTGTGTAAATATAAAGTGCTGACAATCAGTACGATACCAGAAAAGTTCCCAAGGATGTATAGCATCTTAAGTGGTGAAGGAACAGGATGGCAAGTTGTGGAAAGAAAGAGGGTCGTAAGCAAAGATGGTGGGATGGAGACTAAGGTGCTTTTGATGATGAGACTTTGAGATAGGGCGAGCTAAGTAAACTGATTTCGTGTCAACCGACGCTACACAACCAAAAGTGGATTGGTCTTATATGATGTCAAAGAATGAAGAGCAGTGTTGAGGAGGAGGAAGTGTTCAAAGGCGATTCGAACCGAAATGAGTATCGTAAGTTGGCCCACCGGGAGGCTTCTCCGGAGCCACAAAATAACATGTTGTAGCCGGAATTTAGTTCGCGGTCAGTTTCAGCCGCAGCACTCAGTTTCACTGGAGTACTGACGTTCGACACCACAAATGCGTGGTATTGTACGTTGCTTTCAAGTATATTATGCTATATATGATGCTTTTCGTTATTGCTTGCAATACTGGTGCGGACACGGTTCAGACCGTCATGATTCATCCTACTACCAATGGAGGCATGAAGTCAATGGTTTCAAATCAACGAGAACGCTGGTGCGAACCTGCCTTGTGATTGCACGCACCAGGAAGAATTCTCGAAGCTAAGCACTGGTTGTGCCAACGCAGCAGGTCGCGTGTTGCTTCATAAACAGTTGCCATTGAGTCGCTCCAGATGCGCCACCGAAGGCTCCGTAAGCTTACTGTCTCTTTGCCTCACGTGTTCAAACCGATCTACTGGATGTGGTGAGCTTGAATACTGCTGGCAAATGCAAAATGCACTTCATTCGGCGTGTTTTGTATCAATATATCTCTAGTATCATGATACTCGGATAGTCACAATGCCATTGGCGGAGCTGCAGCAAAAGTACTCATGGTCTCGAACGGGCAAGGAGCCCAGGGAGGTTCCGATACGTTGTTATCCCTCCGCATCCTTGCCGGTCTTGTGCTGTCACAGAATGGTGGCTAATCTAGATTTGCCGGAATCGTCCTTCGTGCCCGGTCACTGTAGTGCGGAAGGCTCTGATGCCCCACGACGAACAAGCACGTCTGACGTGCGTCTTACTCAAGTAGAAGCATATTCAAACAACGCTTGATCCACAGCTGGTATCCCTGCTGTGAACAGCACGTGCTGCAAGCGTGGTGCATAGGGAGATGTATTGTCGAACATGACGCGAGACGCGAGCGATTATGGCTCAAAGTGCTAGAAGTAATCCTCGTCGTTGGATCACAACTAGTGCTTTACTTTAGGACATTTGAATTCAACTTCCCCGGCGATACTACGTTCGTAGGTTCTTCACATACACCATGCTGACCTGAAGCGACCTCAGTCGTCTCATCGAAGGGGACTTGATGAGCTCGCAACCAGCAAGTTCATTCAGATTTAGACACCTTATAAGTGGTGATGATCGGCGGCGGCTAGTACGATGTGTTGTGACTTTCGCCTTGTACAAGTCTTCGGAGATGTAGCCAAGCTAATCAAGTGCTTTTTTGGATCAGACTCCGTGGATGCATGATCCATTTCGTGGTCTCGACAGCTGGCGCCCAGACTGTGGTCCTGTGGATTCCAAGGTGCAGTTCTGCAGATCGTAGAGACTGAGTCTCTCCATCCATTTGCGAAGCTCGTCAGAAATCGATCTCGTCTCTATTGAGAGAGGAAGCAGACATAGCTTCTACGCACCAGATACGGTACCACTCAGGTGGCTTGTCCAGTAGCCCGTCCTTTCTATTTAGCCTGGCCGTTTTTTGCATGGGAAATGCATCAGCTGAAGCATCAAGTCCATTTGGGCGACTACACCACCTTCATAGACGACCTGTGAATCTGGTGGTCAGCTCTTGTAATCTCTACCGACTAATGATCGACTGATATCTTACAGTGTGTTGGTCGACTCTTGTTGCTTGGCATGACTCGCCATCCACATTAACGAGGCCACGATGGAGGTCTATTCAAACGTGGGATCAAGTCGCTAGTCGAGCCATAGGCTCAAATTTGCTGCAGCATATGCAGGCCGAGAGAGGTCGTCTGCTATGCTCCCACCTGGTAGTAGACTCGGCCACTTAGCCCCTCGGTTCGAGGTGTATCAGGCGATCCTGGTTAGGAACCACGTTCCACATCCCGAAGTTCCTGTGAGGCGATATGTTGTGTGACGCTGGCAGAACAAACGACCCCGCTGTCTGATCCAGTCGGATGTGTTCGTGTGAAACCTTACCATGCACTGTAGACACCATTGAGGCTAATCGAGATGAAAGCAGATACGATATCGACCAAGTCGCTTCGCTCTGTTCGTTAGCCCGTCATAACTGCTGTCCCATTTTGTCTTGGATGCACGATTCGTTGATCTCTAGCAGAGTTAGCCTCCGGCGCGAAGCTAGTCGTTGTACTAGATTAACTCGATGCTCGACCATATTGCGCAAGCACGTGGTGTTTGAAGTAGCGAAACATTGAGGATTTTGAACATTGTAAGACACTGAAAATGCTCCATGCTAGAAACACCGGAACTTTCCGCTCGACTCGAGACTCTTTCTGCTGTATGTTTTGTGCGAACACGACTGCAACTAACCCCGTTTATATCGAAATGGCTGGCTACACCAACCGGGCTTGCCAGGATGTGCGAAAACGCCACAGCCGAAGGCAAAAGCGAGAATCGCTTATGTACCGCCGTGCGGCGTCAAGGCCTGACTACATCGCCATCCTAACAAAACAATAACGTAACCCATGTCTCGCTTCTGCGGAGGACGGACTCACTCAGGAAGTCCCGTACCTTGAATTTGCACGGTGTGAGCCAACCATGAAGATATAACGTGTACTTTGATCATGAAGCGGTAAGCTATGTGACTTGGATATCTTGGGAGCTCTTCGCGATGTTATCAACACATAAATCATGTATCTCCCTCTTATGAGACTGAACCATAGGCGTCTCTGCATGCCATTTCGCAACCCTCGACGTCCAGAAACTTGAAGTCCGGTAACCTGAATAGCCACTAGGGAACAGCAGCTAGACAAAGTGAGGAGCTGTAAATCGACAATGCCTACAACGTCGTGTTTCGAGAGCTTAGACGGTCAGTTCAATTTTTTGGTAGCCCTACCTGAACAGCTCGAGTATGTCCTTATTTCGTATGAACATGATACATATCACTGACTCCAATCGAAGCAGGAACTGCGTGCGACCAATAGTCATGGCTGTAAACAGCCTCGAGGTGGCAGGCAGGAGACTCGTAGCACTTCAGCAAAGAGGTGCATTGCGCCATGGCCAACCTCGTCGTAATGCAAAAGTGCAATTCTGTAATTGTGCAAGGCTGGGTATACCTTGTGGCGACCCGAACAATGACCGATGTCCTTGTACGAATGCAAGAATCACGTGCCGTCGACAATGTAATTGCGCTTGCTCGCTTCGAGTCGGACTTGATGGACAGGTATTTGTGCTTGCAAGGAAGATACAGGCAAGGACAGCCTTAGCAAAACTGCAATAGCCTTTGGGATGCAGGCGATGCGTACAACATTTTCAGCAAGTATGTCAAAAAGAAAGGCAGATTAGAAGTACAATTGCTGATTGAGTTGCCCGTTTCGTGCGATGCCATCAAGTAACGCAGGTACACCAACACATGGTTCTTTGGTAAGAGCAAAACCATTGCCAAAAGATGATCTGCGAGGTCAGGACGCGATGCGCGTCAAGGCTCTCGCGTGTGGTGAACAGCACCCACGTGATCTGTACCTTGGCGTACCTGCTTCCGCTGGGGCATTGTTGTCAAGGTCGCAAGTGACCAAAAGCACCTTTTCACGCTCTCTCTTACTATAGTAAACCCACTATCTCTTTAAGATACAATTCTTTACTATTCTCGAAGCATATCGTCCGACTTATCGAACTTACTTGCAAAGCCAACCACAGACGTTTCCACTCTGACTACGAATATACCTTTACGAAGACCACCCCCGTCCTCCATACCATTATTGACCAGAACTTAGGGAGCGCTTACCGCTCTTCTGTTGCTGAGGATAACAATCCGTCTATATAGTGGTAGCAGAAAGATCCAAACCACAGGTTACTCGAAAATATGACCGACTCATTAGCGGCTCAATTGAGCCAAATAGGTCTCAAGGACGATGCGAACTGGAAAGAGAGTTTGAAAGCTCCAACAAAAGATAGCAGACAGCAAACAGAAGATGTGACTGCGACAAAAGGCCTAGAATGGGAAGAGCTGTACATCAAACGAGAACTGATGATGGGTATATTCGAGGCTGGATTTGAAAAGCCATCCCCAATACAAGAAGAAGCCATACCTGTGGCACTAACAGGCAGAGATATCCTGGCTAGAGCAAAGAACGGAACAGGGAAAACCGCAGCATTCGTTATACCCACCCTTGAACGAATTAACCCAAAGAAACCAAAGACTCAAGCTCTGTTACTGGTTCCGACTCGAGAACTGGCCCTTCAAACATCTCAAGTATGCAAGACATTAGGCAAACACCTGGGCATCAATGTCATGGTTTCAACCGGTGGAACAGGCTTAAGAGATGACATTATCCGTCTAGGAGAGCCAGTACACATCATTGTGGGAACACCTGGCAGAGTGTTGGATCTTGCGAGCAAGGGAATTGCAGATCTATCGGAATGTTCAACATTTGTCATGGATGAGGCCGATAAGCTGTTGTCGCCCGAATTTACAGTTGTGATCGAGCAGTTGCTGAAATTCCACCCTAAGGATAGGCAAATCATGCTGTTTTCTGCTACCTTTCCTGTGATCGTCAAATCATTCAAAGACAAACACTTACGGAATCCCTACGAAATCAACCTCATGGACGAACTCACCTTGCGAGGAATCACACAATACTACGCCTTTGTAGAGGAGAAACAAAAGGTTCATTGTTTGAACACACTCTTCTCAAAACTGCAAATCAACCAATCTATCATCTTCTGCAATTCTACCAATCGAGTAGAGCTACTTGCGAAGAAAATCACCGACCTCGGCTACTCTTGTTACTATTCTCATGCACGTATGCTTCAACAAGCTCGGAACAAGGTGTTCCACGACTTCCGTGCTGGTGCTTGTCGAAACCTGGTCTGCTCTGACCTGCTCACTCGTGGTATCGACATCCAAGCTGTCAACGTGGTTATCAACTTCGACTTCCCAAAGAATGCAGAGACCTACCTTCATCGTATTGGTCGTTCAGGAAGATTTGGCCATCTTGGTCTCGCCATTAACTTGATCAATTGGGAAGACCGTTTCAACCTCTACCAGATTGAGCAAGAGCTTGGCACGGAAATCCAGCCAATTCCTTCCGAAATCGATAGAAGCCTCTACGTGTACGAAAACCCAGAGAATATCCCTCGCCCTATGCCTACACAAACTCAAGCTCTCCCAACGAACGGCTCTGCACAGGGTCAACCGCAGCAATCCCAACTTCAAAATGGGAGAGGTCACTACAATAATCGCGGTTACAGAGGCCGGGGTCGTGGTGGAGTGCGTGGACGTGGAGGTGGTAGAGGTGGTCAACAGAATGGTCTTCCTCAACCTACCCAAGCATAAGCCTGGTTGTTAAGGTGGTAGCGTGCGTTCTTGCACAACGATGGGTGGTATGGTTTGCTAGGAGTCATGTGTTCATGTGGAATACAAACCGTGGCCACCAGGTTTGATGATATACTAACTACCTTCTGTCATGATTTGATGGAATTGCTGACTTACGCGTGTGGAGTTTCTGTCCTTGAAATCAACAAGGGTTATTAAAGGAGCAGTCTTGAACGAAAAGACCTGGCCGGCGTTATTGCCCTCAAAAAGATCCAACATATTTCGTTGGGCGTTGGTGTCGTGTATCCTCTTTCATGGACCTTGGCAAGTCGGTGCCAAATTTTCCCAGACACTCTTTACGACGATCATGTTTGCGATACCCATCCGATGCTGGCTACTGGATTTTACGAACAATTTCTACAAAACTTAATCGAATGACCTTCTCTTTATCTGCCCCGACAACTCAACCTAACGTCACTCAATGCACCACCCGCACACACACATTTTTATCTTCTTCGGGGCCAATTCAGTCCTCGACCTAGAATTTCTTCTCCTGCCGTCCCAACAGGAGCATATGTTCACCAACCCGTGTCTACACTCCCTCGCACAAGCGATTACCCCAAAGATCCTGCACAGCAATAGTTGTTGTTCTCCAGCATGATTGAGCCTCAGATGCAGAGACATTGAACTCTCTATCGCGAGCCAGCAGTACTAAAGCAAAAAAACATAACAAAAAAAGAATAGGAGGAAAGCCAATAGCTATCAAAAGCTAGGCAATAGCCACGAGGAACGTCTCTATGGCGCGACGTCGAGTGAGCAATTTGACTGTACTCAGATGTTCTCGGTGATCGGGAGCTGGAAAGCAGGGCCCACAAGGCATCAGATCTTGAAATAGTTCGACAATAAAACAAACTTTTCTCTGAAAATGCTCGTACTGCTTGCGTTTTCACCATTCCGCAGCGGAAGCTGACATCTGACACACAGAGGAAGTAGTAGATTGCTGACCATTTCGAAATACTGACACAAGGTAGCAGGCAACTATGCTGCCCAGTTTCTGTGTGGGCCTGGCGACTTCGCGTTAATCAGTGTCGTGGTGCGGTGCATGCATAGTCCGAACTAGTCGTCCAACTTTCCTGGCGATTATGGCCAAGACACAATGACGTCGGAGCGTGCATTGCTAGAGTTCCAGGCACGTAAATTGAGGAGCGCTACTAACAAGCGAGCCTCCAGCTGCATTGAGACCAGTGTTTGTGGGGCACCAGGAGAGTTTGTAGCAGTAGGTATTGCTTCAATCTCATGTAACAACATACCTACACATAAGCTCTTCAGAATGGCCACTGGTCGCCGTTTAGCAGTGTCGCTGCTTGGTGCTGGGACTCAAGGTCGGCGCCTGGCTTACATGGTCGGTAAACTATCCACGTCTGACCCGAAACGCAGAAAGCTAAAACTTGTATGTCAAGTGGTCGAGCTGTGGCCGTGATGTTCACCTCATCGATTCTCAAGAAAAACAGCTGAAGGACAGCCTTGGATATATTGAACAGCTTCGGTCCTTACATAAACCACCAGCTAAATCGAGCGGCAGAATCAGAACACATACCTCAGATGCCTTGAAGGATGCCTTGAATGATTCATGGCTCGTCGTCGAGGTAAGAAGCTCCTATCGATGACTGTTGAAACACCAAATTGCCAGTAAGGAGCGGGCTCACGATCATCTATAGTGTATTCCAGAGAAACTTCCTCTCAAGCGAGACATCATCCGTCAATTAGATCAGGTTGCGCCAGCTGACACAATCATCGCCTCTAATTCCAGTAGCTACACGATCGGCGAGATCATCGCAGGACTGGACCTCACTGACAGCAGCCGTGTGCTCAGCACTCACAGCTATTGGCCACCCGAAACCAGCGCGATCGAAATTATGGGACACAAAGATACAGATCCCGAACACATATCAACATTGATGAAACAATGTGCCGATCATGGCTTTAAGCCATTCCATGTGAAGCGGGAGTCGACTGGATACATATACAACAGGATCTGGGCTGCAATCAAGCGTGAGGCACTCCTCACCGCTGCGGAGGAAGTCGCGACGCCGGAGGAAATCGATAAGATTTTCAAAGAAGTCTTGAAGACCCCCAAAGGACCCTTTGAGCAAATGGACGTGGTTGGTCTTGACGTGGTTCTGGACATTGAGGAGCATTATGCTGAGAACAGGGGCAACATTCCTGAGAAACCCAGAGAATATCTCAGGAAGCTTGTTGGCGAAGGCAAACTTGGGTACAAGAACGGTAAAGGTTTTTATGAGTATGATAAATAATTAAACGCAATCGCTTGATAATGTGATAACGGCACGTTTTGAGCACATGTCCCTATCGCACATCTGCGAGCACGTCTCTGGCTAACTTGGTGTGACAGCAGATCTTTCGACAAGGTTATCATCGACGGGCACATCGACCAAAACGCCATCTCCTCGCTCTTTCACTGTCAACATTCTAAGCTGACTGCAGAGTGAGGCAAGCAAGCCTAACAGGCAGACAATAGAGGATCCCTGCCACCGTCACGTATACTGTACTAAAATCGACTCAACCAATATGCCTTATGTCGTCGTTCCGTAGGCCTCGCATTGCTGCGGAGTTCAGGAACAAGGTCCTGTGTCGACATCAAGAAGAAAGCGACCTCGCTGCCAAAGAAAATTTCGACATACCAAGTCGGGCAATATCTTGTCAACTTCATCTGCAGATTCGCGATATAATTCCGACGATCAGCATCCCTCGGGATTATGATCCCGTATAGGCTGTGCCTTGGACGAAAGTCGATATTGTGAAAAGTTAACCAGGTAAGTATATAGCCGAAAGAAGACGAAGAAGCCAAAGCGTAACGACCGACTTCAGCGGGAACAAGTTGCAGGACATGTATAGTGGTAAGATCTGTGAAAGTTACTTTGCCTCTATATACAGTGAGAGGGAATATCCTTGAGATTGCAGGCCTGAGGCATCAAACCATTCTTCTACCTTCGTCACTGTGCACAGAAATCCGTGTCGTGGGGTTCTGCCTGGCGCACAAATCCTTCACCAGAATGCATGCCTTAAAACAACTGAGATGCACACAAATGCCTCGCCAGCCCTGACCACACAATAGAATGGACGTGGGATAGTTCGACGTATAACCGGTGTAATTACTTCGTCATCTCAAATCTATCGAGACGTACAAAATGTAAGCAACATGTCCATGTACCGCACAACTGCATGCCACGATTTCTAGATCGTTTTATCGATGGTGCTACTTAGGTAGCGAAATAGGCGCGTCCTGGCAGAGAGCTTCGTGATAGCAGTATTAAAGTTGTGAAGGCCCCAAAATATACGCTTTCCGTGCTGGTATTCAATAACTAGAACCATACCGCAAGGTCGTCAGTACGTCTGCCCAATCCTATCTCCTGTTCCGAGCAGCATGGTTGCTCGGAATTAAGAACAAGCATCACAACCTGAATTGATCAACCATGTGATACGCTAGCAAGACCGCGGTCAAGTCTCCTGACGGCGAGTGTGCCTCGACAAAGACCAGAACGCCCCAGTAAACCGTTTATACTTGCTAAATGCTTGACGACCGTCTCACCTACCTCGGGCATACAGCAGTTCGGCGTGTAAAAGCTTGTCGATAAATAAAGCATGACCTAAAACAGAGGCTAAGGAGAATATACACCGTCTTATTGTTTTAAGAAAGCAGTTGGTCGTACACGTCGCAGATGAATCAAGTTATCCTATGAATACCACTGAATATTCACGACGAGTTATGGTGCACATCTTCTCACTGACCTCAATCTTGTTATGCCAGCGCCTCGCAGTTGAGCAGTCTTCACTGTTTCTGAAGAGAATTGCACAACAAGCTGCAGTGTTAACAGATCCGATCTTCGTCCGGCTTCACTTTTGCTATCAGGATCGAGAAATTGCCAGGCAGTTGCGGTGTCACGCAAAAATCGTGATTGGGCGTGGCTTGTAGAGAGTTTCGGACGCTGTCCTTGCAGGATGGCTTCTTTCAAGAACTTATGCCTTAAGCCGAGAATACCACATACAAACACGTGCAAGGGCATAGCATTTATCGAAACCACGACTATGTTAGAACCACATCAGCAAGCACATCGTGTGGTCGTCACCAGATTTTGCTGAGTTCAAATCTATCAGTGTTGGCCAAAGTCTAGGCCTGTGAAGTAACCCTGTGTTGCTTCCAGTCTTCTGGAAACATGGCGACACTCGGTGGTTTGCGATTTCGCACTTCTTGACCAATAACTGCTTGCTAGTGATAGCATCTACCACTCCGCAATCTGGCGCCATTCAGAGTGTCTGGGGGTCCTGGCAGAAACAGATTTTCTCGGAGCGACTAGCCTGACATGAATTTGCATCTCGAAGTATTGATTCCCCACCTAGCTCAAGTTTTGCTCCGCAAAATCCACTTTGAGTCCAAGCTTTGGCACAATAGGCTTTTTCTAGAAGTGCTTGGCATGTGGGTGAGATCGGGGTGAACGTGGTCTGGGGTATGCTGGTGTTTGGACTGACTCTTGAGCGAGGCGTCGCTCTAGCAATGCACGTAGGCTTCGGTAACCTCGGCGGTATCCTTGCCTCATTCATCTTCTTGACCAAGTGGGCCCCACAGTTCGTCCCAGGTCTCTCAATCCTCATCGGCTTGAACGTCATGGCTGTTGTGCTCTGCTCAATCATGACCATTTACTACCGACGAGAGAACGCTCGACGAGATCGTGAGTTCAAGGCTCCACAGCAATACACTGAGGAAAAGGCCTTGGAGAGGACACGAGGCGACTATACGTCTTACTTCCAATATACTGTATAGAGAAAATGGTAGATAGTAGAATAGATATAGAAAAGACACACAGAATCGAATGTCTTGAACGTTACCCGCTGAATTTTCAAACCTTCTTTACTTTTCTCTGCGAATTTTGACGGAAACCCGGTAAATGTCGCATATGTTATGTACGTTTTATATGTACATACAGTTGTATATATCATATCTAGTTACTCGGTCGCGGAAGAACTAGGAGCGACTCTTCCATCGCCACAACGAGTCCAAACAGATTGAACGAGCTGTTGCGAGCGACATTGTCCAGCCGCATCGCAGCTGTGAAGATTGATCGGACTCGTGATGGTAGCGGCAATGTTCAGGATCTTGTTCGGCCGCGATACAAGGCGACTCTGGAGCGCCTGATGGGTGTCCATGGCAAAAGATCTCCTGATTCGCCATGGTGAGCTTCACAACCTTACAACCGAGGCTTGGTTGTAAAGTTGCACTTGACGCCTAAGCACGACTTGGATCATGAGCGACTCGTATAGTGTCCAGCGTAGTGCGGGCTGCAAGTTATCTGATTGCATAGCAGCTATAGGGCCTGGTCAGTCCTTCGCCTTTCGGCTTGCCAATGCGTGTAATAGTCCAGTTTGCTGCCGAAGCCTAGAGCTCTGATACGATCAGGATCTGTTATGTACCAGTGATCGAATACACTGTCGGTACTACTCTGCGCAGCTTCACCTTGCTCTATACCACCCCGAGCAGCTGCTGTAGCCGACGATCCGTTGGGGTCTTTGAATCTCTGGTCGCGCAGTCTGCCATAAGCATTAAGTATGATATCCCCATTGCCTAGTCGCTGCATTACCAGTCCTCGAAACAGTGCTATGGTGCCCGGAGCTGGATTAAATTTTGCTGCATCAATGTAGACAGCTACCGTAACGAGATCCTGAAAGGCGGTTTGAGGCTTGAACGTCATCAACTGTGTACCTGAGCTTGCTGGTTCATTTCGTCGATCGTTGCTTGTTCTCGAAGCAGGACATGATGAGCCAAGACTAGGATCTGTAATCTTCACATGACGCTTGGGTGGAAAAGGGGATCCAGCTCGCTGAAGCGTTGTCGCACCCGCCCATGAAATCACTCCCAAGGTTGTAAGCATATAGTTCTTTGACGGTATAGGTTGCTCTGGCAATGGTTGTCGCAGATTGAGAAGAGTATGGAAGGGTGGCGAAGGGAGGAGAGTAGGTTGGGCTGTTGCTGACACAGCTTGTGGTTTGGAACCGTGCTGAGTATGGCGATCGGGGTGTGGTGGTCGCGACTGCCCTTGGTCGCCGTGATGTGGCGGGAGTGCTGGCGGGATCTGCGAAAGAGCAAATGTTCCATCTCGTACTTGGTAAAATATGGAATCTTTGGCTAGCAGCTCCCCTTCACGTAGAGCTGGATGTGGTAAAAGCTGAAGATCTTCTTTCGGCGGTTCTTTGTATGACTTCGTCGTATGAATGGACTCAGCAATGAGTTGTTTTGACTCAGGCCGAGTAGGTGTTTCAGGGGAAACGTCATCAGAAGAGGATGGGAGTGAAGGCAAAGATGGCGACGTGGTCAGATCGAGGGTACGCAGGGTCTGACGGCGTTGCTTGATAATTTTCCTGTTGGACTTGATTAATTCGAAGAAGTCTGTGTCCTCGTCTTCGTGGTCTGTTGACTCTTCCGTATGAAGGTTATGCCGCGATCTCAAGACTTCGCCTCCAACGTGCTGTTCTCGTAATATTCCTACTGCCTCTTTTGAAGCACCTCCAAGATCGATGGAGGAAGGAAAATCCCGAGCAATGAGTTCTTCCCTGGCACTGGTAGTATCATTTGCCGCAAATCTAGCTCGCTTAGGTGGCGATGACCTCAAGGTCTGTATGTCTATCGGCTGAGCAGACGGTGGAGGCAAATTCATTCTGTCTCTAGGTTCGTCGCTGGTAGACGACTTCCTCTTTCGGCCATTGGCAGGGCTCTCCTCGAAGATGCTATCTCGGAGACGGTCTGTAGTAGTATCTGAACGTGCGATGAATTGGCAGTCAAAAATGGCCAGGTAGACAACCTGACCTCGACCATTTGTCCTAGGAGACTTCTTGAGCTGAAATCGTCGAATATCTACCAAGTCTCCAATCTCGACATCAGGGACACCTCCAAGTCTGCTCACCTGACGATGTAGGAGGGCTTGGACCGTGAGATACCCATCAGTGAGCAAGATTTTGTGCGCATAGCCACGTGGATTCTGTGATGTCGTGGCGTCTTTTGAGGCATCATCGCTAGTGACTTGATCGGGTCTGGGGTGAACGACTTCGAAGTGCGCAACTCGAAGGAGCAGCGAGTGAGGTTGCACCAGGGTTCGGAAAAGTTCTGCAAGTTGAGGTTCAAGTTGTTGCATCTAGGTGTGCCCTGTCTTCAAGCTCAAGAGCCATGGCAGACAGTGATGGAGGCTGTTGACCTGACCAAGCCTGCGCTCAAAGTTTGGATTCACAGAGGTGCGCACTCCGTGGGAGACACATCCTAAGTATTGGATACCTGCAGAGGTGCAATTGCTTTTTGCGACGCGTGAAAGCTCGTGACGCGTCGCGTATTGCAAGTGGAAACTCGGTATCCACACGGACGGGTCACTGTGTACAGCACTCCCCCCCAGCTCTAAGTTACTCGAGGACGATCTATTATCCAACACGGATGACTGATATACTGTATGACCATCTGGTTATCAGGTATTTACCTGGCTCCCGCTGTGCATAATACCTCATCTACGTTGTTACACTGTCAGACCTTGTAACACTCTGAGTATGTCACGTTTAAATGTGTACGTGATCGAGACACACTGTCGTCTCAGTACCTGTCCAGCAGCCTCTCCAGCACAATCAAATAAGTGACATACTCGAGTACACTCGATGCAGATAGTATCGAGTATATACGGCACGTTGATGATCAGACTAGACTGCCTAACAGCTATGCCGGCGAGCGGGGTGTTACAAGAATGTGTCCAACCACACGAGGTAGACCAAGAACACCCCTCTACAATGGACTTCGTAGCCGAGACCAACGGTTGAACTCGTGATCGCAGTGCGCCTTGCATGATGAAGTGCTTGCCTAACGTCGGGTCACAGCTTGTAGCACTTCCCACTTCCTTATCTCCTTCATTGCTGGAAATGGTCGAATGGAAGCTTTCAATACTGATTGAGAGATATTGCTACCTTGGTTTCCCTTCGTCCTCTAAGCTTGTTCTGCCGGTTTGCTGTATTGTAGACCTGTAACGAGACTAGTAAAATGGCTACGACGTTCAGCGAAGATGAACTCCAACCGATATCGATCCCAGAGGCTATCGAATCCGTACAAAGGCTCATTGGTGAGATCGTTCGCAAGAACAAGACATTGGTAGACTATTACATTCACCCCAAACCAACTCCTACCGAGATCGAGGGATATCATCCAAGACTACAGGTCTTGTACAGTAGATGCGAGATCCTTGCAGCACTTGAGATACCTAAGCTGACGATCCTGGTGGATGACGCTGCCGCATTGGTTTCAGCGTTTCTGTTGCCAGTCATCGACCAATTGCTCAATGCTGTTCATGGTGTCCAGCAGATCTTCATAAACCACTATGATCGCAAGCTGGAATACAGAGAGCCGTATAGTGCGGTATACGATGCTCTCGAATATCGTGAGAGGCAGTTGAAGAAGTTTCAAGGTGATCAGATGCGCAACCCTCAAAGGCGTCTGCCTGAATCCCTAACTCCAGCGGCGCCAAGCGCTGCAGAGCAGAGCTTTTGTCGCTTCGCCGTGGCATTCACGAATCACCGTGACCATGGCAAGCTTGCCCATGTCCACCCAGAAGAGCTCTTTAAAGAGGAGAGAGAAAAATTATTGAACAGCGATGGTGCATACTTGTCCTGGGATTGCCCAGGTTGTGCCTTCAAACTCAGGTATCATGTAGCCAACAGTCTTGCCGCTAATATACTGGCCACCGATGATGTGAGAAGCCATACAAGTGTGCCCGAAGTGGAGTACAGGCCTTCTTTCCTTGTCAAATGTCATCTATACCAGCGAAAATCTGAGGATACAGATGACAACTTCACACAACACTCACGCAGGACGAGTGATACGACTTTCGGAAACGATTCCAGGAGGAGCACGACGTGGGAGATCCCCAAACGGAGCAGCACAATCAGGCGTCAGAGTGATGCTCGTAATCCTCGTGTCTCAAATTCGTTCTTCTTCGGTGGGGCAAAAAAGACCAAGTTAGGACTGACAGAACGGTACGTACCTGTACGGGCGAAATCGTCCACATCTACATCAAAATATGGGTGTCCGTTCTGTTTCGTGGTTGGAAAAGAGTATGGTCACATGGACTACGAACATGGTCGCGATCTAGCGGAACACATTGCTGCCAAACACCACGTCGGCCGTGCGCCTTCAGCTCTCATGCTCGAAAAGTACATGGTTGGCTTGGACGGCCGTTGTGCAGAGAACGTGCGACGATGGGATCTGAACATCAAGTCGAAGTGAGAAGGTTGAGTATTGACCCTGCTGGTTATTCTCAGGAGGTACTGTATTTTGGATATTCAGGCAGCAGGAAGTTCGGTCCGAGTTCTGTCCGGATCAGCCAATTTTTTCGTAACTGTCCCCCAACCAAATTCCAGCATATTCAAAATAATAGTGCCAAGAGACTGCAGGCTTGACGTTCCTCGGATTGACCGGCTAAGATCATCATCTTGATGACGATAGAGTGAGTACCAGTAGTGGTTGTTGTTACTGTTCAATGAAGTTGCTACAATCTTGGTGAAAGGAAAACCTGGGTTTCACGTCAACGAGTATGAACCTGAAAACGACGGTGAACAGCAAGTTCTTGAGTCTTGCAGGGTCTTGGAAGACTGCCAGCAACAACCCTCACGAAGCATGATCAAGCATGGCCAAGTCTGTAATGATAGACGGAAATGGATTCCTGAGCAAGACAGGCATGTGCGTCTGCGATCGACCTGTGAGTCTGACGTAGTATTGTCTTTTTTGTGTATTTGGTTGCGGAGACTGAAGTGCCACCAATCAATAACTTGCCATATTCCGACTGGACAAGCTGAGTTTACCATTTTGTAAAATCACAGTTCGCTGGCTCGGAAAGCGATTTCCACCCGACTCATGAAATTGAACGTTGGTCATGAAAAAGTTGATACGATACTCGTATCACCACGGCTCGCGCAAGGCCTGTGTGACATCACACCTGCTGTAGACAAGCAAAAACGAGAGGAAAGTTGCCAGGCGCGGCCCAGCAAAAGCTCGAACGACAGTAGCATGCTTTGAAGATTCTTTCGTGCTTTTCACCTCGATCTTGTTCTTAATCGCAGTTGCAACCCTTGACGTGTCGCTATCTTTGGTGCTGTAGTTCCTGGTTCGCAAGAATGTCCCAGGTAAAAGCTGCATTGCACAAGATCCGCGACAGTGTGCCAGGTATCTCAAGTCGTAAGAAGGCGCAGCTCAATGACAAGCTGCCAGATCACAGAAGCCCAGCGGAATCTCCCGTTCGAGGAGGCGACGAGAAAGACGTCCAACAGAGGTTACAGTCAAAGGAGAAGTTGACCGACGACATCAGCGACTCAGATTCTGAACATCATGATCGTTCCCATCCGAAGGACCTCAACGACTTCCTTAGAGATAACACGGACCCTCCCGAGATACGCAAACATTATGGAAAATTGCCATTGATGCAGAGTGTCCCTCCGTCGCGTGCGGACCATGAGAGGGCGGAAAAATGGTGGCATCTGCGCGATATGACACCGGAAAAGGCTGGTCAGGAAGTCGTGTTCAGAGGCCGGATACATGTCATCAGGCAGATGAGCTCTAAGCTCGCCTTTATAGTGTTCCGAGAAGGGATCACTACCATTCAAGGTGTACTGCGCGCCAAAGAAGGAGGAGTTTCTGAGAACATGGTCAGATTTGCTGAGCACATGCGTCCTGGTACCCTTGTGCTTGCTAAGGGTCTACTAAAACAAGCAGAACAGCGTGTCAAGCTCACCAGCATACACGACGTCGAGATTGAGCTCGTAGACCTCCACATCGAGACTGCGCGTACAGTCCCTGTTCCTTTTAGCGTTTACGAGGCCGAGCAGGCTTCTAAAGACCACACGATCAGCGACAGGGTACGGTTGTCAAATAGAATACTAGACCTGAGAACCCCTACCTCACAAGGTATCTTCAGGGTGCAGTCCTCGGTTTGTCGCTTCTTCAGAGAATATCTTGACGAGCAACACTTTATAGAAATACATACGCCCAAATTGCAGGGAGGTGCTACTGAGGGTGGTTCGGAGGTTTTCAAGCTCAATTACTTCGGTCGTCCAGCATTCCTGGCTCAAAGCCCTCAGCTCGCTAAACAAATGTGTATAGCGTCCGACTTTCAGCAAGTTTACGAGGTAGGACCAGTCTTCAGGGCCGAGAACTCGAATACGCCGCGCCACTTGACAGAATACACTGGTCTCGATATTGAAATGGTCATTGATACGCACTACCATGAAGCTATGCATACGATTGACGCCTGCTTAAAGCATGTATTCAAGAGATTGTACGAAAAGAACAGAGCAGAAATCGATATACTCAAACATCATTTCCCACACGAAGATCTCATCTGGCACGAGGAAACTGTTCGTATCACATTCGCTGAAGGAGCACGGCTGCTCAGTGAGTCCGGCTGGAAGAACGACGATGGATCGCCACAGTCGGAGTACGAAGACCTCTCCACAAGAGCAGAGCGAGAGCTAGGTCGACTCGTAAAGGAAAAGTACAACACAGATTACTATATCCTCGATAAATTTCCCGCATCAGCACGACCTTTCTATACCATGCCAGACGCCGAGAATTCCAAGCTGACCAACTCTTTTGATTTTATGATCAGAGGTCAAGAAGTGCTCTCTGGAGGTCAACGTATACACGACTACCAAATGCTGAAAACCAACATAGAGAACAGCGGAATGGATCCAGAGACTCTACAAGAATACCTCGACGGCTTCGCTTATGTTGCACCACCCCATGCTGGAGCAGGTATCGGTCTCGAACGCTTAGTTTCTCTATTCCTTGAATTGGGCAATTTGCGGTACGCTTCTCTCTTCCCACGGGACCCGAGATCCTTCCCACAGGCACCAACTTCAGAACTACGACATCCAGAAGACACAACGCTTACCCGAAAACAAGGCTATCTGCAACCCCTGGAAAATCTGGTTGCTAATTATGGTGATGCAACCAATACCTCTTTCATGGACGAGCGGTATCGCATCTGGCGTGATGACAAGACGGGTGCCGCTGTTGCATATACTCCTGTTCACGGTCGGGCTATCTGCGCCGGCAACCCTCTCTGCGATCCGCGTCAGTATGCTGACGTAGCCGCTGCCTTTATAGCTTGGCTCCACGAACAAAAACGATTGAAGCCTATCTGGGTATTGATCGGCTCGCCCTTCGAGGAAGTACTAGGTACACGCTTTGGGTTCAGAACTTTCTCTGCCTCGATAGAACAGCGTGTTGACCTCGAACGCAACGTCCATCTCCAAGTCGACAAAGAAGTCGAGCGCAAGATTCGTCACGCCAAGAACGAAGGTGTTGATGTTACTGACTACGGTAACAAGATCCCCGACGAAACCAAAAACGCTGTCGACCAACGCATCAAGGACTGGCAGTCGGGCCGCAAAGGTGAGCAAGTCCATCTAAGTGATATCACTCCTTGGGTCGATCAATCCCATCGTCAATACTTTGTCGCAACAGACAAGGACGGCAAAGTCCATAGCATGGTCGTCTTGGCACAATTATCAATTCAGCATGGTGTCCAGATAAAGTGGGCGCTTGATTTCCCCGGCGCAACGAACGGTGTTATCGAGATGACAGTGCAAGAAGCGCTCAAAGCTGCTGCGAACGCTGGCAACAAAGAAGCAACGTTTGGTGGTGGCGCTGCACCTGAGCTGAAAGTCGGTCATCACGTTGGACATGCGAAGGCCGCGACTTTGAGCAAGACGTACCAGTCATTGGCCGCCAGGTTTCACGTCGAAAACAAGAGCGGATTCAGAGCGAAGTTCAACACCTGGAATGACAATACATATATGGCTTATCCTGCCAAGGGACTGGGTCAGAAGGGTATCAGAGCTATTGTCGACTTCTTCAGAGAGGATGATGGCAGCGGCGCACCTGTGTAATCGCATCTCGAAAGGCATTAATGCATATGTGTTGGTATAAATATCCAGTGTTTGCGAAGGTCATAGTTGTCGGACCGAAAACTGGAGGAGCAGCTGTCACTCCTGCTCCAGTACATTTGGATTTGTGCATGCAGAGGGTCGCAACAGGTAATCGGACAAGCACCTCGTACTCTACCCATTATATCGATACCTCTCCGTCGTCACGAATACCTATAATTTGCCGTGAAAGATCCCGACCATCACTCGTAGTGATTTTTCAGATTCTCTCTTGCGCAAACTTTAGAGGGAGGCCTTTACCAAATGTTTGGATATTCTATTCCGTATACAGAGTCCTAGCATGTTTTGAGAAATTCGTCGTTATATTCTTCCGCTTCTAAGAACTACTTTCACCGCATAAGACACAGATCCGTCATGTGCCACGCTCTCTGTCACCATTTCGATACGTGTGTTTTTCCAAATGGGTCTGGAAACGAATTCCATCAATGTTGTGGAAGGTGCGCTGGAACTGCTGTATAGTACTAGTAATTGCGAACTTCGGTCGTTTCATCTTTGATCATATGGGCATACAATACAATATATTCTCATTCTAGATCGTACCATAATACCACGTCTCTGACAGTTTTTGCTTTTACGGACTATCGCGACCCTTCGTGTGCGGCATGGTCACGCTGTTCTAAGGACGAAGGCTATCAGATCGCCAATTACTGTAATATTTCTGGATGTGTTGTAGGCCGGCGCCGCCTTGACACCGTTTGGACTCCCCATGCAATCGCGGTCAAATATTGGGTTGAATCGAGCAGCATTATTATAACTACTGCATCGAAAGATGGCAGCAAGTAGAGTAGGGTATGCAATGCAAGGGGTGGGCGCAGCTATATGGTTGACGCAAGCGTAGCACGTCCAAGAATTAGCGAGAGTACACACGACGAGACAGGAACCACGGAGGCGGCAGAGCATACAACGTAATGCCTTGTAATCAAATCAAACGACAAGTTGTATTGAATGTGCTGCTTATTTAAAGAGCTGGTCCGTGTCCATCGAGCACGTACCGTCTCCATGTCAACTATGAGCTTAATCCAACGACAAAAGTTCGGTACTGACATAGCTGTAAGTCAGAACCAATGTTCTGCTTCAGTCCTTGTCTGACATGGTGTAGGTATTGTGGTTTGCTAGTGGTCTCTCCTCCCAGATTGTATTGATCTTCCCCCTTCTTCGCGGATGAGTATTATGTACAGACGAGTTTGCAATGCTTGGTGAAGTCGATGCGGCGCTTCATACCAACAATTGCCCAATCGCAACTTATTTCTGCCATTCGGGTGCATCCTCATTCATGTACTTGTCCAAGCCGTCGAATGCATAACCACGAGGCTTGTGTACACCGGCGGTGAAGGCATCAAATACGGCTCCGATGTTTCTGAAGAAATCGTTCCCCATGTTCTCCATATCTGTGATGATGACGTTGCCGTCGACCTCAAAGATCAGCTTGAGTTTCTGCCACCGTCTGTGTGAGCGATTGACGATGTAGGTTTGAAGAATGGGTGGGTGGATAGGAAAGTGCCGAGTAAGAGGTGGTCCAACAATAGCAACGAAGCCAGTGAGCTCGATCTGTCGTGCCTTTAAGACTGCTCGTGCCTTTCTGACTGCTCTGCCGTCCACTACCTTAAGTCAGCCATTTTCTTGAAGGGAATATGGTTGTGGGATACATACCTAGATTTCCATGCACTGAGTCCTTCACAATGAATTGCTTCAAGCTCTTGAATCCGTACTTGTTATTGATACACTTGCTGATCTGAATGAGAGTATCAAAGTCTGCCGAGACGCATCGAACTTGACTGGCCACAGACGTGGTGAAGTACAAATCCTGAAATGTAGTTCTTTCCTGGCCTTTGTAGTGAAACAATGCTTGTTGCATGAAGGCCTTCATTCCATGAATTTTCAGGACCTTGCAGGTCAACATGGGTGTAAGCCATTTCTGCGGGACACATCGGTATTGTTCGTCATTGACTCTTCGCTTGTCGTTGAGACTCGTGAAGTGTGCATGGTTTACCTTGATGTTTGTGAACAGAAAGAAGTACATCAACATCTTAATCAGGACCTCCGCCGGAAGGTCGAGCAGCTCAAGGTAGCCCGCCATCTTACTGCAGATAGTGGTACCAAACTTGAAATACGTACTTGGGAGGTAAATTGAACGAGCCTGCAACTTTTGCAGGTTGCTTTGAATACTCGTGTAATGCCAAGTCCAGAAGTAGTGGAGGAATCATAGCGCCATTTTGTGTCGGTTGGCCCATGCTCGATGTAGAGTTGATTGCTGCAGTGAACACACATCCACCCACTAATGTCCTGCCACCAGGAATGAAAAGCGAGGCTCGGGGAGCTTTAGATTAGCCGTCTTAATCAATAAATCGAGTTGATGGAGAGGACGTATAGTAATGGACGTAGTCAGCGACCATAAAGCATCCTGCTGAGTGAAAGCAGTGTTTCATCGTGGTCGTTCTCGAAGTGGCTGCGCGTCCTCTAGGTTGACCCTGCCGGCACAGTGTGTGCTTGCTCAACAACACTATTCGAGTCCTATGTGAATGTCCAAACGCTTGGGATAGAGTAGGCTGATTGCGTGTTCAAAGCAGACTGTCCTGTCTTGAGCAGTACCTGTAGCCCCGAGCTTCCACGAGCTTTATCCGTTCACTATACTGATACATCCTTGTCAAGAAGATGTTGTCTTAACACGCATAGCCTGACAATGAGTTATATCATATGCACATAGTCAATGTTGAAGTGAGCAAACGTCCACAAAAACCAAGCCCTAAGGTTTTGCAGTAGATATAGTAATGACGTCCCAATGGTCTGCCGTAGAGTCTTGGCTGAGCAACGGCGACATCTGATGTCCGGACAGTGATATGTCTTGTTCAGCACGAATGATGTAGACAATGGAGGTCGTAACGATCACACAGTGGCGCTGAAAGCGCGACTGTATGTACTGCCATCTTGTAATGAAGGGATGGGGAAAAGTCTACAATGGATAAGACATTGTCCTTCCAGATCTGTCATCCGATACAGGTTGATGACGACCAGCCGACACTAACGAGATATCGACGCGTTTGCTAGGATAAACCCCGGCCAGCCTCACACTCAGACACGACTGGCCATACCGACGCTATTCCTTTGAAGGATCACCATCTCCGATATAAATCCTTGATCCACGTTACTCGCGGCACATTCGTCAGCCCTGGAATCGTCGACCTGCAACTCGAAGTCTCGCGTTCCCTAGATGGCTCGGATCTGCAAAACTACCATTCTGAACAGATCCTCCTTGCTACCAGCACTTGCTTAGTTTTGAGTGGGCCTCGTCAAGAATCTCAACTGAGCATGGGAGGACAAGCGAGAATTGGGAACTCCCAACACTGAGTGCAAGTACAAACACAAAGGACATAGTAGGGCGTGTTTGAAAGAGCACTACCCGGGAGAACGAAGAGACTACTTATACGCCTTACAGACGCGACTGCGAAGAGCGGCCCTACTAGCAGGTGTTGAAAGAGCAGGTAGATCTGGCAGTAAATTAGTTGGAATCGGGATGCTCGTATTGTGCTACACAGCGCACTTCATATCTTGCTTGTGGGGACGACTTACCACCATTTGTACTGCTAATCTCTGACAGACCGACTCGCCATTATCGAAGCCTTATTGCCCCGAAGATTAATTGCAACTTTCAGCTCTACCCTGCGACATTGACTTTGAGGGCGGACACCCACACCAAAACTACATACACAAGCAAAACAATGTGAAAAGGTGGTAAGATAAGGTCGGTCGAGGTAGTGGTAACATTGACGCGATAACCTTAGTCATAGTACTTCGCCTTTACACCACCAAGTATTTCCGTCTCCTGTTCTGGGCCTTTTCCATTAGGATATTTGTTCACATTTTTCTTCACTCGAGCCTTCACCCAATCACCTGCCGTCAGTCCTACGGCCTTTTCGTCTACAAGCTTATCATATCCCAGCCTCTCGAGCACTCTCGATCGCACGGGCTCAAGGCACAGGTCGCTTCTTGGTCGGACGAAATACAGTACGCCATGTCGATCGATATTCGCTTGGTCAGGAGGTGGAGCCACAACGCGATGAATACTTGATTTTAAAAATCCATTGGTGATGAATTCTAGGACATCTGCGAGATTGACTGTGATGCTCTCTGGGTATGGCTTTACCCATTTCCAGCCTTTGCCATCTGGTGTTCGGACCTGCAAAGACGCGATGGGTTGGCGGAACAGGAGGGTCAATGAGCCGAAGTCTGTGTGACCCTTGACCCAAACGTTGTCTATCTGCGCATTTTCTTCGGCAGTCTTCTTATGATACTTCATGTATCGCAGATGACAGTCGGAGTCCTGATCGTACTCGTGTGTCTGCAAGAAATAGTCCTCTGGCAGCTCCAGTACCAGTGCAAACAGAACAAGAAGCTTTCGGACTACCCGCTCATATATCTGCTTGCTGAAGTGCTCAATCTCGTCATAGTGGGCTTTGACGATGTCTGGGTGAGCTTGCTGGAATGCCGGGATGAATTTAGGTATGTTGTAAATTTCTGTATTGTCGTAGTAGCCAGGCTTGATCTCTCTTAGACCCAAAGGCTTGTAGCCATTGTATCCGCCATTCTCAAGGTCTGCTCTGAATTTGAGCTTCTCCTTTGTCGGTAGATTGAAGAGCTCTTTGCCTATAGCAAACTGTCGATCAACCTCGTCTTGGCTAAGACCGAAGTTTATGACATAGAAAAAGCCAATGTTCTGTACGGCGCTGAACAGCTGCTTTGTCAAACGCTCTTTTCCGCCCGACTTATCGAAGTCAGATAGATCAAGTGTTACAAGATCGGCCCAGTCAAGTTCCTCTTGAGTGACTGGAGTTTGCACGTACTTGGGTAGAGGCGTCGACGTGGTCAATGTCTCTACAGCAGCCATCACGACATTTGTGCAGAACCGGGTGGCCGTATGAGACAAACGTGGTAAATATCAATGAGTATCGGCACGTCGCTTCCACCCACTCCGCATGAGGGAAAGTGCTTGCGGGGATGGTCTTTGCAGACAGGGTTGGACGACAATGTGAAGCTCGGCAGAAGTATTGCACCATCTTCAAGCTCCAATTTTAGATGTGTTATTTGACAGCTCATGTTTTTGACTTGAATGGCGTTCTCTTTCTCACGAAAGATATGGGTTTAGGGTTGAGGTTTGATTGCTACACTATCAGTCCTCGTTGATGTATTGCTCATACACTTCAGGGTAAAACCTTTTCCCTGCTAACCGATGGCTTCGGATCTTGGTACGAAGCTGAGACTCTCCCCAGGTGTTATAACAGCCTCTTAGGAAAGCAGAATCAATGTTTGCACCCTCTTCTGACTCTCGCCCCTGCCGCTGGAAATGCTGAGCGAGTGAACTCAGAGCTTCTTCCTTTGTCAAATCACCTCGAACACCAAGGAAGAAGGGTACGCTGAATCGTTCGACTGGTCCGCCCAGGACACGATGTGTAGTGGCTTTGCAGGCACCATGCGTGATAACCTCGAAGGCCTGGCCGATGTTCACAACAATAGTGCCCGGAATGTTTGGCACATCTATCCAGTCTCCTGCCTTGTTGAGAACTTGCAATCCCTTCACTTCTGGTGACGAAGCCTGTAACAAAAATGTCCACCAACCTGAGGAGTCTTTGTGTGGACCAACACCCTGCGTGGCTGCGACCCCATCCGCTGCTGGATATCGAACGACCTTGAGCCTATTCTGGCCACTGAAGAATGAAAGAAAAGTATCTTCAGGTAATTGCAGAGCTTTTGCTACCAGACACATGAAATGTTCAGCGTGACGCGTCAAATTTGCCATGTACGTCTCGACAATCTGGCGTGCCTCGGGTAAGGAGGGAGGGAATTGGTTCGGACCTTGAAGTCGCTCATACAATGGGCGTTCTGATGACCACTCGCGAGGTGTTGTCTGCGTCACAAACTCAAATTGCTCGCGCAGATCTGTCTTTCCAGCTGTAGTTTCAGAGCCGACAGCGCTGTATCCTAGAAAATGAGGTGAACTTTCAAGCTCAATCTCTGTTTTTTCAGCAATAGGGATTCCGAAGAGTGCAGGTAACAAGTCGACGAGCTCCTTGACACAGTCACTGGGCAAGCCTATATTCTTGACGTAGAGAAAGCCGACTTCGGTAACAGCATAGCCTAGAGTAGTGAAGAAACTGTCTGGTGCTTTTATCAGGTCGTCGTAGTCGAGCAACGGGATGCTGTCAAATGAAGTTTCAAACATGGCCCGTAATGCGTGGTTTCATAGTAGTTATCTGTCTTTGTCGTACTTGAATATGGTTAGCATACCGGACTGTCAAAGATCTGCAATTTTTGTAGCTTCACATTCTGAGGGACGAGCTGAAGGCATGATCCCAGGACAGAGTGATATCACATTCAGCTAAGCAAGCCACTGTTTATGCAGCCAAACCTATCAGCTGATGTTCCATGCCCTCGCCATTCACGAGAATCCGATGAGAACGCTCAGGGAGCCAAGAGATTGAGCCGACCCTCTTTTCCAGACATCGGTTTGGGGGTTTGCGGATCCGAGCACTCGGAGAAGCAGGAGAAATGCTGATCAGATTAGATCGGAGCAAGAGTATGGCGTCAGCGTTTGGTGGGCGGCTTGCTTTTCGGTTTGTTCATCTTGCGATAAGTAATAGGCTTGTCAAAACATTTATCAGAGCGGCAATACCTCCACGATCGCGCCTTCCTAGTACTACTAAGCACAACTTGAATTGTTTCAGCTATATGATATTATCCGACTAGACAAATCCTCGTACACCATGGCCACCTTGCAAGAGGTTGAGAGCGAGGACAACTTCAACACAATCACCAAAGACGCACAGTCATCAACGCTGCTCGTTCTGTATTTTAAAGCTGCCTGGGCTGCACCATGCACTCAGATGACAACGGTTCTGCAGACATTGGCTTCGACTTACCCGAATGATTCGAGTGTCCTTTTCCTATCTATAGACGCCGAGAACCTTCCTGATGTCTCGGAGTCGTACGACGTGACTTCAGTTCCATACATCGTGTTACAGAAAGATGGCAAGACTCTAGAGACAATTGGAGGCAGTGACGCAGCAAAAGTCAGGGCAGCAGTTGAGAAATATGCATCGTCCAAGTCAAGTGGTGGAAAGGCCGGTCTACCTCCAGCGTTAAACGCCACAGCACCAGCACAATCGAATGGTGGCACCAGGAACCTCAGTCAATATGCTCCATCAAGCTCAGACGCTGCCACGGCGCCACAATATTCGTCAGAGACAATGTCTGGTTCGAAAGAGGAACTGGATGCAAGACTGGGTAACCTTGTAAAGGCCGCCCCTGTCATGCTCTTCATGAAGGGTACTCCGTCAGCACCACAATGCGGGTTCTCAAGACAATTAGTCAGTATACTGCGCGAGAATGGTGTCAAATACGGCTTCTTTAATATTCTGGCAGACGACGAGGTGCGACAAGGTCTCAAAGAGTTCTCGGACTGGCCGACATTCCCGCAACTGTATGCTAAGGGCGAGCTCGTTGGTGGACTTGATATTGTAAGTTGGGTAATGTCTTGTTGTGGCTAAAAGCTGACTTTCAAAAGGTTAAAGAAGAGCTTGAAAGCGATCCAGGTTTCTTTAAGGAGTTTTCGGTCAAAAATGAGGCAGGTGGTCCAGGCATTACTGCATAGCCATGTCCTTGGTTCTCGCTTTGAATGGTCAGCACCCTCTGAACTTACCGCTTTACATATTGCTCCGTGCCCTTGTTCCAGGCGTGTTTTAGAGTCTTGCTTAACAAATCTTGCCTGTCTCCATACATGCCCTTCAACCAGCGACTTCCACTGTTCATATCGAATGCTTTTCTAGCATGCACAACCCGTAGGTTATCAAATATGGCACATGTTCCAGCCGGTAATTTCGTCTCAAATATCAGTTCTGGTCGCTGTAACACTTCCGCAAAGGCCTTCGATGCGTCAACGAACTCTTTGGTGTTGCCATCATGTGCGGCTGGTGCAATAGAATTGACGAAAGGAGGACTCCAGAAAGTGCACTCGACATTCTGCATGAAGTCCGGATCTGCTACCCCAGTGATTTCTGCAATGGGACGGTGCTTCTCATTGCCTACCTTGATGACAGGCTTGTCGTCCGAGTAAAATTGGCCATCGTTCGAATACCCGTATCTGATTTTCGAACTCGCCAATCTCTCGACATATTTAGGGTGTTCCTGCCTCAGTATGTCCACAGCCTTGAACGTATCAGCAAACTCGGACTCTCCACCTTGACACGAATTCTGTAGACAATGCAGCAGTTGTACCCCAGGTGGCTCCTTCATGTATAGCAGATCCATGTGGAACCCCAATATCTTGCTGGTATATGCCACGTTCTTCGCCTGTGGAACCGACCTGACATTCCAATTCTCACCATAAAAGGTATTCCTATACAACCCAGTAAGCCGTCGGAGCATTTGTCTTACTGCTTCCTCCTCTTCAGGTACTGCTGTTACGAAAATCAAGCCATGTTTCTGAAAAAGTTCCAGGGCAGCTGCCAGTGTTTGCTCGCTTTCCAACAGCTCATTATAGTCGATGTCTTTGGTTTCTTGTTCAAAGGTCTTTCCATCCCAAACCGAGAGGACACGTGGGACGTCCAACCCGGCAGGCAGACCGTGTAGCACTTGAGTCAAGATAGAATGAGAATATTCCGAAACATGATTAGCATAACCAGGAATGTCATTGTTCCACTTCACCTTCCAGTTGCTTGAACCTGGATCCTGTTCAACTTCTGTGACGGAGATATTCGTGGGGATATCGGCATAGTTGAATTCTCTCTGACGAGTCGACGGGTCCACGCATTGGGTACATTGACACATGTCACGTAATAGGACCGGACTTTTATTGGCAAACTCCTTCAACGACTGGGTAGTGTATCCACGACCAAAACGCCTGGTAGTAGCAAGAGGGGTGACTGAGGCTGGTCTTTGACCATGAGAGCACAAAATCGTGGCAAACCAGTGGGGTTGGTGCCTGCTAGACAGCTGGGACGAGCAGACCGATGAGCAGGGTCGCTGAGAGACCATCTTACACAACCTTCCATGCCACCTTGTCAAATTCCTGGGTATATAAGAAGCATACATCCTTGGTGATACGGTCAACGATTGTCTTTCCCAAGTAGCACTTAGTTATCAAACCGGACCCGACGTAGACTCTACAATGAGGGTGTTGGCTGTGCTACCACTCTGTAGAATGATATGCTCGAGCTTGCAGCCCTAGCAGTCGCCTGCCTAAACTGGAAAGCTTCCAGAAGGAGACTCGAGCCTTCGGGATGTTTGTTGATATCTCGGAAGAACTTGCCGTTTGTGTCCATCTTACGCCTATGGGAGCGGCAACTATACTGGGCTTCATGGTGATACGTGTTCAGCACGATTGAATGTTGGAAGCAAACAGGAATGAATTGAGGGGTGCGGAAACAGTCGGGGTTAAAGCGTTTTGCCTCTAGGAGCGATCAGTGCTCCTCGAGCCTGGGCAACTGGAAAAGATAAACCAGGTACATCACCGATTACGCATCACGCATGTCGTTTCGCATCACTGAAAACCATCGCTTATTGTACCACTGTCTTTACTAACGTAGCCTTGGTTTCCTGCAATCAAATCGTCTAGCTTGTGCAGGCACATTATTATTGAGGCCCAAGCAAACGTGGCAGAGCTGTGACCCTTCCTATCGCCGTTCTCCAGGACTTCCATAGGCCAATACCACCTCATCAAGTCACGTATACCTGTCTCCGGTATTTCAGTCACGGACCAAGAACCCGTCAGGTGCACACTGATCTAGCTGTCGCAGCTGCCTAAACACGAACAACCTTTTGCACCTTCCACATATCTCAGCACCTCGCCATAGATCGAAGCATTCCACAGCTGTTGCAAGGATCAGGTCGGAGGGCCATGAAAGATGGTGGAAGCTGAACGCGAATCGTCGACCCCGACGTGGAAGTTTACACAATGTTTTGGCGATAAGGGTGAAGTGGAAGACATCACTGAAGCAGACATAATATCCACCGTCGAGTTCGATCACACCGGCAATTATCTCGCTACTGGCGACAAGGGTGGCCGTGTTGTACTATTTGAGCGCAATGAGACTGTAAGTGCTGCCTGATCTATAAGCTCGGATGCCAGGTACTGACCGTGAGTCTAGAAGAAGACTTGCGAGTACAAATTCCACACCGAGTTTCAGTCACACGAGCCCGAATTTGACTACCTAAAATCCCTCGAGATCGAGGAGAAAATCAACAAGATCAAGTGGTGCCGTCGTCAAAACGCTTCACATTACCTCCTCTCTACCAATGATAAGACGATCAAGCTATGGAAGGTCTTTGAGAAGTCGTTAAAAGTCGTTGCCGAAAACAACCTCACCCATGAATTGACCCCGGCTGGTGCGGGTGGAGGTGGTGCTCCGCAGAAGAACCAACCTGTCTTCAAGAATGCTACCGAACTCAAGCTGCCTCGGATGACCTATCATGACACCGTTGTCGCAGCTGTACCTCGTCGCACATATGCCAATGCCCATGCCTACCATATCAACAGCATTTCCGTCAACAGTGATGGCGAGACGTTCATTTCGTCCGATGACCTCAGGATAAATCTATGGAATCTCAACATACAGGATCAGAGCTTCAATATCGTTGACATTAAGCCTGCGAACATGGAGGAATTGACCGAAGTTATCACAGCAGCAGAGTTCCATCCTCATAGTTGCAATTGGTTCATGTATGCCAGCAGTAAGGGCACGATCAAACTAGCAGACATGCGTGAGAGCGCTCTTTGTGACTCTCATGCAAAGCGTGCGTTTTTTCCCTGACACTTCAAGGACCAACTGCTAATCGTGTACAGAGTTCGAGCAAGAGGAGGACCCGTCTTCTCGTTCCTTCTTCTCCGAAATCATCTCCTCCATATCTGACGTCCGCTTCTCCAACGACGGCCGATACATCCTTTCTCGCGATTACCTGACTGTCAAGATCTGGGATGTGAACATGGAAAAGCAGCCCGTCAAGACAATCCCCATTCACGAACACCTCAGGCCACGCCTCTGCGACACCTACGAAAACGACTCGATTTTCGACAAATTCGAGGTTGTCTTCTCAGGCAATGGTCAAAACGTGATGACTGGTTCTTACAACAACAATTTCATGATCTACCCAAGTGACCCTGAGCAAGAAACTGAGGTGGTTCTGCAAGCAGACAAGAGTGCCTTCAAGGCAAAGAAGGTGGGTGTACCTACTCCTATTAACTCGGGTACAAACGGCACCAAGAAGAGTGCCAGCAGAGCTGGCTCGCCTGCTGCAGGTCAAGGTGCGAGAATGCGGAAAGAAACGGATGCCGATCAGATCGATTTCAACAAGAAGATATTGCACATGAGCTGGCATCCGTTTGAGGATAGTATTGCGATTGCCGCTACTAATAACGTGAGTACCATGATCATATCCCACAAGATTGCGCTAACAAGCCTCAGCTCTTCGTTTTCTCCGCCTTGTGAGTGAATTCCATGCGTACCAACATACAGTGCGACAAGCTGGGGTCATCAACACGGTTCGACTCCGAATTTTGGAATGCAGCAATGAAGCGTCAAGCAAGCATTTTCATTTCTAGACAAGAAGCACATGGAAGGAAGTTTAGAATGGCAGCGCAGACCGATCGACCAGCTCTAGCTGGGTCAATGGATCATGATGAAGACGCGGTGAGCCAGCATCAGCTTCAAAGTTGGAGGCCGAAGGAGTACTGAGCACACTGGCAAAGCTCGAGTGGGTCTGGTAATTCAAATGTCACGGACGCAGCATGGAGGAGGTTACTTAGAACGGGATCGAGGACACATGGCAGACAGCTCTGCATGTTCTGATCCCAGCCATAGAAACAGAGAGCGGCAAGCAGCGACGAGAATGAGATTTTCTTCAAAAGTTGACCCATACATTGGTATTCGTTCTGAACTACACTCGAATGCTGCAACAATTCTGTCACCTCCAAATTCAACATCAAATACCGTCACGGGGCCCGCTTATGAGCTACTATGAGGCAGAGCGCAGCAGAGTTATTGAGGCGAGGGACTGCTACAGCAGCTTGACTGATGCTCCTGGACTGGCACCTAACCAGGCATGAACTGATCGTAAGGGACAAAAATCGTGCATCTTCTAGAGCAGACACTTTTCGGGTATGGGTGCGCTTGAGCTCCAGGGCACAAGCCCAATATTGACCGCAGATATTAGTATCACATACTCTTCGGGAGCTCTAGCCCGATGGCTCGAGAAGTATGAGGAAGAAAGGGAGATTGAACGCACCGGGCCGCAGTCCTCTGAAATGCTCGATGAGCTCGATGGTTTTTCAGTGACCCTGCCCACCCATACTATCCAACCCCCTTTCAACCGCACCATTCCTCTGCCCAACTTCTCCCTGCTCCTCGACTCTCCTATTCGTCTCCTCCAACTGCCTCCCAAGTTCATCGAGCGCACTCTGAATCCGTACTTGCTCAGCAGCAACCTCTTTCAACCTCCTCTGAATCTCGACTTTTCTACTCTCAGCCTTTCTTTTGCCTAGCTCGGCCTGTTCTTTCAGTTCTCTGAGACGAGCTACACCTGCTGCAAGTGTAGGTATTGGCGTTGTTTTATCTGGTTGGCGTGGTCGTTGCGCTTCTCGTTCCTGGCGTCTTCGCTCTTCTTTGCTGAGGTGGCTGAAGCCGGCGCCGTGGCGGGTTTGTGCGGCCATGTATGCGTGTTCGGCGCTTGCGTCGGAGGCTTCGCTGGAGGAGTTGTCGCTTGCGTCGGAGTCTGCATCAGCACCACCTTCGACGGCGTCGATTTGTTTCCGTATGGCGGCTCTCTCTGCGCTTGAATCGAGTCTCATGCTCATGTTTATCCTATTCTTGTTCTTCTTCTGTCCCAGCGTCTCATCTTCAACGAATTGCTCGAAGCCTTCTGCTATGTCTTCATCTTCGGGCAGGAGCCGTGTATATTCCAGCTCATTGTCGGCGCGATCTTTCTGTAAATATGTGCTGACTTGCATACGGCTAGGCTTGAATTCGCCGTCACTATCGTAGGCCTCCAGACTGACATAGTCGTCGTTATTCTTGACACTTCTACCTCTTCCAGCTGTGATCGTAATTGCAGATGCCTGTGCTTCTTTCGCCAGACGCTCTCGTCGAGCTTTCTTTTCGGCTATTTCAGCTGCAGAGGGTATAGCGCCAGGTTTTGTGGCAGTGGCTCCAAATTTCGAGGCAATGTCTAGGGCTTGAGTTTGCGGCTGAATGAGCGCAAGGTCGTTGTCGTGGTCATCTTCGGCGCTTGAGACTTGCGCACTCAGGTCTTTGGGAGTATTTGGCGTGCTACCCTTTAGCTCGTCTAGGTAGGATTTCGAGTATGTCGGTCGTTCACCATCTCTGTCGCGATCTTCTCTCGACGTTTCCACGGCTCGGGACACAGCTAGTCGACTGGAATTCTGCGGCCTCCTCGCTGTTGACACATCGCTATCTCCTGCAATTACGTTGGCCACGCCTGGATCGAAAGATATGCGTAGTTTCGATTTCTGTTTTGGTGCTGTGGTTGGCTTCCTGACTACTGGACCGTTGTCTTCTGTGTCTGCATCTGCCACGCCGTCAGTAGACTGCTGAGCTATCCGGCTGTAAATCGTTGTGTCAGACCCATGCACTGTGAGCAGCCGTGGAGAAGGCATAGACTTACCATCTTGTGTGGACTTTGTAGTATCGTCGTCGCGCGGCTCCGAGGATGTAATTCGTTTTGGTTTGCGACGGGCGGCGAAGAGGGATGCCATGGCTGTAGAGTGTGTCCTTTGACTGGAGGTAATAATCAATCTGCAACTGGTACACTCTATGAAAGAGCGCAGAAGAAGTGATACGAATTGTCGTCGCAGTTGAAATCTCCGCCGGACAACTTTTCCGAACCCAAAAAGTTCAGTCTCATGTCTATTGCGGTCGCCAAACTGCAGTCTGCCTGTGTATATTTCGAACAGCCGATTTCGTGCAAGACCATAATACGACCACAGTGATTCCACTACTACTGCAATAGGTACTGGTTCTTCTTCACAGCCGCGACCATGCCTCAAGCTCAACCCGAACTCAAGAAGGTATGTGTCTCTGCTCCTACAATCACTTTACACGTATAGAAAAGCTGACATTTGCTTAGTATATGGAAAAGAGACTGTTTGTACAATTAAATGGGAACCGAAAAGTGATTGGTGTACTGAGAGGGTACGACGTGAGTATTGACTTTTTGATTACAGCGATGCGAACCAAGTAAGCTGACTATACCTGCGCAGGTCTTCTTGAATATCGTACTAGATGACGCGGTTGAAGAGAAGGCAAGCGGTGACAGACAGAGACTGGGTATGGTCGTGATCAGGGGGAACTCGGTGGTCATGCTCGAGGCTCTGGAGAGAATGGGCGACGATCGAAGACATTGAGCGTACCTTAGCGAGCACAAAAGCATACGATGGAAATACTACCTTCCAAAATGATGAATTGCAAGACTGTTTGCGACAGGGGTATCATGCTACGAAATGATAGAAGAAGGAACCTTTATGGCTTAGGACTCTCGTCCGCCCACCGCTTCTTCTTGAGCCTCCTTCCGAATCTCGACCGTTCTACCTCCTCTACCGGTTGCACGTCCCAATCCGGTGTCGCGCTTTTCGACAACTCTTCCGTCTTTGGCAGTTTCGTGCCCTTCGCCATCGAAGTAGCGTTAGTGTTCGGAAACTGCTCAGAAGAAAACCTTGCAGAAGACCTCAGGCACTTCTATTGCCCTGGGTCAGGTTCGGATATCGATGCTCGACCGATTTTTAGCTTCACCTTCAATGATCCGGACTGCGAAGGACGTTGACTCGGGGGTGGTGTTGGTGTTGCTGATACAGGCGGCGTTCTTGCATGGGAGACAGATACTTTCTTGTTCGTCAACTTCAGTGTCAGGCCACTGCTTTTCACTGCCTGTTTTGGACCAGACGTTGCTGGACGTGGTAGTGTTGCAGCATCGGTCGCCTTTTGCGGTTGCCAGACTTCCCTCGCTTTGGTCCTCACCGAATCGCTTCGGCGGAATGTCAGTTTACCATTGCCTATGTACTCGCATCGCCAGTAGTGTGGTAATGCAATGGCAAACCGTGCTTCTTCATGTTTCTCGTATAGCATTTGACAGAATTCAAGCGTTGCCCTAACGTCTTCGTATCCCGCATCCGGATGACAGAGACTTTGCCACAGTGCTTTTTTGAGTACCAAGTTGTCTGCTAGCTCGACTTTTAACGCCTTGAGTGCTCCGTCGATACTCGTTCGGCGTTCCGCATCTGCTATTGGCGCAGCTACCGGTGCAGCATCGACCGTCAAGTCGTTCAGTACTTCGGGTGCTGCAGCGACGATAGGTTTCCTAGACCCTAGCCCCAGAGCTTTCCGTGCGAGCGCTTTACCGAATGCTTGTCTCATTCTCTGTCGAATGTAGGGCGATCCGACCGTAGTCATGCCGTGCACGAAATTGTGCAGCAAGCGATCCATCTGAAAAGCTTCTGCTGCAAGCATCTCATATGCTGTGCATCGTAGCATGTCGTAATTTCCTGGTCGAGCATATTGCAGAAAATGCATTGGCGTAAAATGCCTAATTCCCGCCCTTGATAATCGGGCCTGACACTCGAGTGCTGTTCGAGAATATAGATTCTGGTATGAACTGGTCCACTCATCCATGCGTCGGTATCGGTCAATCTCATCGAGAGCCTGCCTCTCTTCTTGCTGTTTGTTGCCCCACACAATCTGTTCGGCTAAGGTCATCATTCTAAGGTCATCCTCAGCTGGTGGCTCCGGTTTAGCAATGATGACACTGGTGAATCCTTTCAATAGACTCAACACAAAGTAAGCATCCGAGTAATCGTTCTGAGAGTTGTCGTTGAATTTTAGCTTGTCAAACAAGAACTTCCTTACTTCGTCCGGAGCATGTCCCCGTTCGTCCCTGACCCTGGAAATTGCTTCAAGGATGGCACACTGTACTCGGTAAGATAGCTGGTCCGAAAAGTCATTCGGCCGCGCCATGATTGCGTCGCCTTCTTTGACACAATACAGCGTCTCGTACGCCTTCTTGAGATGGAACAATCCAATCATTCCGATATCTTTCTCAGAGGACGCGTGTTTGACCATTAGTTCTGCCGCAGTTCGCCGGATCCCATGAAAGTAGCGATTGTCCATCATTGTCCGAACCAGAATAGACGATATCAGTCGACTGGCCGAGTACATCCCAATCGACTGAAGTGAAAAAAGCTGAGCATCAACATCTTTGTCTTGCTGCAATTGGGAAACAAACATTGGCCCCGGCAAGAAAGGACTGACTTTCGCAATCCATTCAAAGTCTGCATCTACTCGGATCCATTCGTACGATTCAGTGTTCATACGCGCCTCATCTTCGGCCGACCACTCGCTGATTTGCCAATCTGCCATTTCATCATCCTCCTGCAACACATCGCCCAAGCAATACAAGAGCGGTTCTTGCTCTTCGTCACCTTCCACTCGAGGTGCGTTTTTGGCTCGCTGTTTCTTGCTCCGTTTCAGTCTTTTGTACTTTGTGTTGTATGGCACCTCAATCTTTTGGTTCGCCTCTTTGATCTGAACAATATGCTCGTAGGGTGTGCCATCTGCTTCGTGTATCCGTATCGTCATCGGTCCAGTGAACAAATTTTGTGGCTCATTTGCCCAGACGCCATTGAACTCTTCTCGAACATCACGCATGAAGTTGTCGGCCTCCAATTCTTTAGCCAGCGCATTCTCTGCTAATCCTTGTCGTATCGTCATTTCAACCACTAATCTCTTCTTGTTGAATTTTTGTGCGATAGTAAATGTGGGGGTTCCTGCGCCTTTGACCCATTGGTTGACGAAGTCGTCAATCGGCGCGTGTAAGACCTTCTCGGTCATTTTGCAAAACTCTTGAGTTGGCAGGAGATTGTCCTTTAAATCCTCCATCCGAGCTCTGCTCATGAATTTTCCGATATTCGCCCCCATCTTATGTGAGCCGTGCTCTTTCTTGATCCTGTTGTCGAGGATGAAAAGTACAAGAGGCGCTTTGAGGGCGAGGAAGTCGTACTCGGCTGGATCGACGTGCAAAATCCGTCCCATATCCCAGATCGAAGGTCTTTCATGATCAAGTTCGCACACTTGATCTGCCACTGTTTTCATGCGCCAGCGATGCTCGTTGTTGCCACACAGCTCTTTCATAAAGAGCTCTGCAAGGAACAGTGCTGATCCAACCACGACCCAGGTGTCTTCGGGCTGTTTAGGAACAATCTGAATGCCTAGCCATTGTGTGGTTATTGTCTGTATCAACAACCTCGTGACTTCTTGCTGCGGATCGATGATCGATTCAGGATAAAGCATTCTACTGCTGCAGACCACTAATCCAGCAAATGATGCAGGCCGGTCAGGATGATCTTCCACGAAACAGTATGAGAATGATTGATAAGGATATGGAGCATACTGTGATGCGTAGTGATCAAGGGCGTCCGTTGTAGGCAAGCACGTGTATTCTACTTCCGCTTTCTTCCCTGGGAGACAATAGGCCATAATTGGAGCAGCGTTTTCTCCTAGCATCTCAATTTGCTTGGCTTCTCGAAGTGTGGCCAGGTCAACCTCCTCAAAAGGCCCGATCGCGAAACCGATATGCTGCGCAGACACATCTCGCGAGATAGAGTAAGAGACTGTTCGCTTTGTAGGATCACTCTTACTAACCACGTCGTCAGTGATTTCTCCAGGACATACATATACCATCTCTTTGGCCTCGAATGGCTCTATCTCAGATTTGGAGGTCGAGTCTTGTGCGGATTCACCAGAAATCTGTCGCAGTGCATCTCCAACCGTCCGTGGTCCTGTGATAGATATCTCCCACGTACAGCGATAATACAGGGAGTCGATACATGGGAATAGGCATGAGGCTCGGCCTGGAAGGAAACCTCCTCGAGTGTAAACATGTGGCCATCTGCCGCTTCCAGGAGGTCCAACGGAAAAATGTAAGGCATCTCGAGTGTGGATAGTGACGAAGTCGAACTGAACTTCTAGTTTCGTGTATTTAGATACTGCCGCATCCTCCAATCCTTCAGCAGCTTCCGCTTCGGTTTGTGCATTTCCTGTCACTTTGGATGATTTTACACCAGTTGCAGTTTGTACCACAAACTCTGGATTCTCTACGATCTTCAGGTCGGAAGGTAAGAAGATCACAAGTTCTGGATCAGGAGGAGCTTGAAAAGATCCACGCAACTTCTCCTCGATGATATGATGCTGATTCACAGATCCATCCAGGTGGAGGTTCAACGTATCGCATGGATCCGCATAGACAATATTGTCCGGCTTTAATTTATTGACCGTGATGTTTCTGATTCGGCATTGTCGCGCATTGAGTACAATGGCCTTCAAATCGGTGTATTCAGGAAAGATGGTTAATTGAGTCGAGCCCTTGATACGTTGGTCGAATCCAATATCCAAGTCAACTTTCTGGTTAATTAGAGTATAAGGCTTAGTTCGAACGATTGGTGAGGCATTGTCGGCGCCGTCGACCTCCATGCTGAGGACAGGATCATATCATTATTGTATGCAAGATGCGATTTCACGGAACGAGCGTGATCTTGTGTAACCAGTGAGATGCGATGCGTTTGAAAAGTTGCAAATGGAAGTTGTAAATTGTAATCGTGGTTCGTGACAGGCTGTGGCATTCCAGGAAACCGCGAGGCATTCTTCAGACAATTTATTCCGTTCGAGGCAGTCCCGTCACGTGAGATGAAACTTTATGGCTAGAAACAGCTGCACCAAGCTTGACGCGAAATGTTGCTTCGAGGTCTCCTTTTCAGTCGAGCTTTACCTCAGCGTCACTCAGATGTTCGATCCAAGGCATAGAGCTCTTACTGCCCACTGTCTACATCTATCGTTGTCATGAAGAAATAGTTTCATATTGCGGTCTCGTTGTTCGGCCTCGGAAGATGTCCAAAGGTACTACAGACCCTGCAACGAAAGAGTAAACCTGCAAGACGCTGATAGAGGTAGTCGACCCACTAAGTGTTGACGCCTTGCAAAATCTCAAATTCTACAAGTACTCGAGTGTTGATAAATCTCCTCTATCAAAGTACATTTTGCAACATTATGTATGTTACATACCGCAGCACTTCAGAATCTATATGCTGACGCCATCTAGTGGAATGGCTGTGTCAAGTTGTTGCCCTTGTGGCTGGCACCCAACTTGGTGACACTACTTGGCTTCCTATGCATCCTTATCAATATTGTGTTCGTTGGTATATTTATACCGGATTTAGAGGGGCCGGTATGTGCTCTTTCACTGCATTGGCGTATTGGTACTGAGCTTCCTTCCTCAACAGGCACCAAAATGGTTGTACTATAGTTTTGCAGCTGGAGTTTGGGCATATTCTACCATGGACAACATCGATGGCAAACAGGCTCGACGTACTGGCTCTTCAAGTCCTCTAGGGGAATTATTCGAGTAAGTAGTGCTGCCCCATGAAGGTGTTCGAATTGCTAACCGAATTTCAGCCATGGCATTGATTCTCTCAACTGCACACTCGCCAGCTTGCTAGGTACGGCAGCTATGGCAGCTGGTCCGACAAAACTTGGTGCTTTCATTGCACTATGTCCATGCTTGGCGATGTTCTTTTCAACCTGGGAAACATACCACACTCACACCCTGTACCTTGGATATTTCAACGGGCCCACAGAAGGTCTGCTGATCGCATCGATGATTATGATCGCTTCAGGGTATTTCGGCCCTCAAATCTGGGATCTACGACTGGTCGAATTGATCGGCTTTCCCGTACTGGTCGGATCCTGGAACCTTCGTGACCTGTGGGTGCCAATTATCCTGGTTGCCTTCTTCGTCGCCCACTTGCCTGGATGCGTATACCATGTTGTTGACGCACGAAGGAACGCCGACCTGCCAGTATTGCCTGTCTTTCTGGAATGGTTGCCAATGCTCATCTATACGGGAAGCATAGCTGCCTGGCTTGGATCTGATGACAGTCACCTCCTCCAAGACAACCATCTTACGCTCTTCTGCTTAACATTGTCGCTCGTTTTTGGCCGTCTGACAACAAAGATCATCCTCCACCACCTGACTCGACAGCCATTCCCCTACTGGACCATTTTACTGTTGCCACTCGTTGGTGGTGCAGTCCTTGCCAATCTTTCTCGGCTTGGTATTGACCCTGTTAGCCCAGATTTCGAGTATTTGTACCTTCAGGCATACTTCGTGTTTGCCCTCGTTGTGTATGGCAATTGGGCCTGGCGGGTTATCGGTAGCATTTGCAGATTCTTGGATATAAACTGCCTAACCATCAAGCACAAGACCAAGAAGGCTGCCTGAACGTTGCTGCTTCTCACGACAAACACATCGGTGTCTGATCAGGAGGTCCAGTTGGAGCAGTAGACGAGCCGATGCGTCGATCTATTGTGGCTCTTCGTCTCTGAAGTTCTCCTGCAGGCTCTTCACGTCGAAACCAATCAGCTCGGCTTTCTGAACAATAGCTCGAGCTTTGCCTTCAACAGGAGCATCGATCATCTTGCCATCGAGGGCCCAGGCACCTTTACCTTGCTCCTCAGCTTTCTTCTGAGCAATGGTGATCCTCACTGCCCATTCAACCTCTTTTGACGAGGGGCTGAAGATTTTCTCCACAGTCTTGACCTGGCTAGGATGGATGCATTGCTTGCCATTGTAGCCCATTCTCTTGCCTTGTTCGGCCTCCTCTTGAAGTGCTTCCTGGTCAGCTTCCGACTTGAATGCAGTGGTCACCAGGTCGATTATCGAGGGCAGGTTGTAGGCTCGAGCATGGGTAGCAATCATCTGTCGAGCATACAGAAATTCACTAAGTGACGGAGTCCTGGTGATGGACATGTCAAGCGCAAAGTCCTCGGCCGCGAAGGTCAAGCCAGATAGGAGATGAGGTGTAGCCTTGCATATATCGTTCAGGTTGGATAAAGATTTAGCAGATTCGATCAAAGCTATGATGGAGATCGGATTGGTAAACTCCTTGGATCTAGTGTGCGCTATAACATCGCTGATGAAGGTCAAATCGGAAGGTGATTCTACCTTGGGAACGACCAAGGTTGTCAGGTTTGATGATTTCAGAAGCTCTTCCAGGTCCTGCAAAGCCAGACCAGACCCAACAGCATTTATACGCACGGCTCTTTCTTTTACCGCATCCGGACTTGGTTTGTCCAGTTCCTTTCGTACCAGCGCTCTGGCTTCGGCTTTCCGCTGTGGTGTCACTGAATCTTCGAGATCGTACGCAACGCAGTCGACTGCTAGTGTCTGAGAGAGGATCAGTTCAAGGTTACATGTGTGCTAGAGATTAGATGGCTTCATCAAGCCTGTAAAGACGCGTAGTGACTCACCCTGGACTTATCGAGGAACTTCTGCGAAGAACCAGGCACTGAGTAACATTAATACTACAACGCGTTGCTGCTTTGAAAGCTTACCATAGAGCATAGCTCTTCGCAGGACGTTCTTGGCTGCCATATCTAAGAGCTGGACTAGCAAGCTGATATCAAGCAGTATTTACGTAGAGCCTAAAGCGGTAGCTGCAGATGTCCAAGCAAAAGCTATAGATATGCGACTTGATAATCGTTGATGTGAAGCTTGCGTTACATCTGCTATTCGCTTCACCTCGGTCAACCAGCTCCGCGATCGGATCGACACACATTTGCGCGAAGGTACGCGTCCCCCATATCGCCAACGCGCTTTCCTTGCTCTGAGAGCTGTGCAAGCGGAGTTTGAGAGAGCACGCTTGTTTGTTCTGTTGAAGCTGTTGCCTATCTACTGCTTGTGGCCTGTTTAGCTTCTGATATTTTACCAGTGCGCTATAAGCCACAGAAGGCGCTAGAGGTGTGACTTGCGATATCCATTAAATCCTCGTCGCTGAGACGCAGGTGCACAGTGTCAGTAGAGCAGAGGGGGTCGCAACATGCGTATGTATGCGAAAGTTAATCGGTCGGTGTAGAGACTAGCAAGTGGCTGTGGATGAAGCAATTTCACTTGCACTGACTGATGCTACTTCGCTATATTTACAGAAAGCACTGACAACAAATGTCTCCCCAAAATGGCGTTGATCCTCAGGAAAGCAGAAAAGCTGCGGAGCTGATACAAGTCAGTGCAACTATTGACCTCGATTTTTCTCGCAATCTTTAATGACATCAGTAGAGGTCATATAGAGGATATCGTACTCGGCGCGAGCTCAAAGGCCATGGCCTCGATCCCACGAGCAAATGGCTAGAGGTGAGAACACCTGTACCTAGTAACTCTGTTCGACTCTGACCTTAAGAGACTATTCGAGACGCGCAGTACCACCAAGTGACAAAGCCTAGAAGCCCAGAGCAAACCAACGCAGCGAGCCAGAAGTGGCATACTGTGACAAGTATAGCTCGTCATGCAGGTGCAGACGATTCCTCCTCGTCCGATGTCTCAATATCTGAAGCCTCGGATTCGGCGCCGGAGGAGGCAGATGGGAGGTCCAAAGATGAACAGATCAAGCGCGATCAGCGGAAAGCCATGGCTAAAGAGAAACGTAAAAGAACCGCCAAGATGATGGATCTACAGTACTTTCTGGAAATGGTTGACCAGAAACATCGCTACGGCTCGAGTTTGAGGAAGTATCATGCCGTTTGGAAGACACAAGATACCAATCAGAACTTTTTCTACTGGCTTGACCATGGTGAAGGCAAGGACTTCGAGCTCGAAGAGTGCTCTAGAGCTCGCCTGGAAAGAGAGCAGGTGCGATATCTCTCAAGAGAAGAACGTCAAGATTACCTGGTCAAAATTGATAAAAAAGGCAGGCTGATCTGGGCTAAGAATGGCGAGCCAGTATGGACGAAGGACGAATTGTATCGAGACAGTGTGAGAGGTATTGTGCCCGTCAAAGACAAGAGTCCCATCTGGAGGGAACACACGACGCGTGAAGGCGAGGTTGATTCTAGCTCAGGCAGCGATTCGGACACGGACGATGAAGACCAAGAAACCGAAGAGCAAAAAAGTGGTCTCGAAGGCGAGCGATACGTCAATGAGGATTTCCATCGCGCCAGAGGTCCTGCCAAGCTCAAGCATGTCAGTGCTGCTGTGCTTTTCAACCATATGGTCCGTCAAAGTCTCAAAAAGGGCCACAAATGGATATTTGTAGCAGACGTTAGCTTTCACCTGTACATTGGCTACAAGCAATCTGGTGCCTTTCAACACTCCTCGTTCCTGCATGGATCTCGCATTCTTGCGGCTGGCCTCATCAAGGTCAAACGCGGTCAGTTACGCAGACTGTCCCCGCTCAGTGGGCATTATCGACCTCCTGCTGCTAACTTCCGCGCTTTCGTTCACAGTCTGGAAGATGCTGGATGTGACATGTCACATGTGTCGATTTCAAGAAGCTATGCAATTCTCGTAGGCATGGAGGGATATGTCAAAACCCGGAAACGGATCAAGAAAGCAGAGAAAGCCGTAGGATACCAATTTGACAAGGCAGTACGACCTGAGAAGTTGAAGGCTGAGGAAGAGGCCGAGCAAGACAAATCTCAGAGTGCTAGAAAGGAGAGAGAATACCTCGAACAACAACGCCAGAACAATTCCCCAGAGAAAACAGCCAAGCGATCAAGCCACAACTTGTCTAAACGCTTATCCATTGCCTGGGGTCGATTGACTGGCAGGACTGCATCCAGCGATCACGACTCGACCGGAGTGACTGAAGAAAGAGGTACGCCTGGTACAGGGCCCGAGGATGGAGTCCCAGCACCAGAAGGGCGTCGACACATGGAACCGACGAAGTGATCTTGTGTAACATGGTAATTTGCGCTTACAGATCGGTGCTGACGCTTTGCTATCTCTGGACATGCAAACGGAAGTGCAAGCACCCGTAACTGCATAATCACCGGTTTCATCGAGCTTCGATAAGCCATTGTAGCTGCTTATCCGGGCTGCTCAGCATTGTGTACCTGCGTCCGCCCGTGCATCACGAATACACTATCGTCTGCCGGATAGCTACGTTCTCATCGCCAGCCGACTTCACCGCACCGAGAAGTGAGACTCGAATCGCGACAAATTCAATCCTGAGGCGAACATCCGCCGGCAATACCAGTATCAACTTGAGCTACAATACGAGTTTTTCTTCACAAGTGATGTCAATTGGTTCCGATGAACTTGAAACTTGCTTCCATCCCTGCAGCTAGCTTGGCTCTATCTGGGATCTGCCTGGGATGCCGCATGTGGGACCAAGGAAGATCCTGGCTCGCATCGCCAAACCTTCTTTTACCGCCTTGGAAATGACGATAGATCTTGGCTCTCTCTCCAGCCACCTCGTTTACAACTACTTACTGGAACTTCAATACTGTTCCTGCCCAGAAGGCGGCAACACTTTTCAAACCAGCGTGTGCCACAACCTGGAAAACGTGTACTCAAACCTTCGAGCATGAATTAAGTTTCGTGCTGAATCTTGATTCAACATCGCAGGCCAGCATCCACTGCTCGTCCTTACTTTCCTTGCGACTGGCTGTTTCAATCTGTAGCTGTGGCTCGAGGCAACTCTTTCGGCTCAGGTGCCGCCAGTTCATCACCCAAGCCACACCATGTGCCGGAACCCTGCTAGACGGGCTCCAGAAGATCAACTTGCAACGTCAAAGGATGCGACGCTCTCTCTTTTGCCCACCATCTTGTGGCCTGTGCAAGACTGGAGCACACTTTCATTCTGCTGGTTTTGGAACTGGTTGTGCAGAAGTTCGTCCTGCTGCTGACCGTCTTCTCTTCCAACGTTGTGGCTTCCAGGCCAGCTAGTCAGACACTTTTAGCAACACGACCCCAGATGTGACCAGGTTCTGTTTCACCATCCTGCCAAGGGGCATCCCAGCACTTGCATCTGCTTCTTGCCGCAAACCGATGTCTCTACCGATTTCACGTTCGACCTTCGATCTCTTTCAACGACGTGCTCCATCTTCCGCTTTGTGCTTGTTTCTTACTCGACCCCACCTCGTACCCTGTCACACATCTGTTCCCGGTCGAGCACTTCATTGGAGCCGCACTACATCCTGCTTGTTGTCCTACCACAGCACATCCACCCAGATACTGCTAGGAGACATTTCCATCATGTCCATTGTGACGCAATGCCATTCAGCTTCTTCCAACTTCTGGTTCAGCCACAATGAGGCAGGGCCCCTGCAACCTGTCTGTGCTACGACGCGCTGAACAAGCTCCTCTCACACAATGTCTCCATGGTAACTCGACGCTCTGTGACAGTGACGTATGTAGTAGACCTTGACGGAAGGACTCTCTTTCGAGCTTCAAGAACCCTCGCATCCCAAGAGCTTTCCACTCCCAAAGACCTCTTTGATACTCTATCACGCTTACACAGAACACTACCAATCTGTATTTTGTACTATTAGCATTTCTTTAGTAATACTGCGAATGATTTCCTGTATACTGATATAAGTTTGTTGATGACCGATAATCCACGTTCATCAGCTTCCTACGCCTACTACTCCTTCCCACCAACACCAAGTCGAGCATCCGAGACACCACCACCGCGCCAGTCAACTTCGCGCTCCAAGAAAACCACACCCTCAACTTCACGCTCCTACAAAAGCACCAAGGACAGCATGGCTCCATCACCAGCAGCCGGAGCAACTCGCTCCCAAGAACCCTCTACACCAACAAGACAAGGCAAGAGCCCACAATCCTCATCTACCCAGAAACTTAGCTCATCAAAACCAGCGCAACAACAAGCATCAAGTGGCACACCCAAGTCCGCGACGAGAAAACCGCCGAAGCTTGGAGCCTCAAAGTCGACGCCGAAGAAGCCGACTGAGGAGGAGACTCCCAAGCCAGCGGAGAAATCTGACGAGAAGTCCCAGTCGAAACCTGAGGAGTCTGAGAAGACTGAGGGCGAAGGCGAGGATGAGGGCCAAGGTCAGGGTATTGGGCTGAAGGACAATGATCCGGAGCCGGATGTTTCTGGCAAGCAGCCGGGCAACGATACTGGTGCTGAGGAGACGTCTGTGGCTGATACTTCTGAGCTTGAGTCGCAGGCACCTGAGCCGGAGGCTGATGATGATGATGATGATGATGACGATGACGCGGAGGAGGAGACTGAGGAGACGGTCACTGGCGCTCGAGATACAGCTGATGATGCTGCTGAGCAGGCAACTGAAACCGCTACCAAGGCCGCTGAAGATGAAGGCACAGAGGAGGAGGAAGATGAGGAGGAAGACAACCAGCAGACCGAGACTGAAGGTGGCGCAGAAGGTGATGATGAAGCCGACAACAAGGGTGGTGCGCTTGGTGGTCTCAAGTCAACAGCTGGTGGACTTGGCAAAGGTGTCACTGGCACAGTTGGAAAAGCTGGTGGTAACGTCAAGGACACTGTCTCTGGAACAGCTGATAAGGCTGCGGAAGGTGACGCTACTGGTGCTGCGACCGGAGCTGGCGAGGGTCTAAAGCAGGCTGCCGAAGATGCTGCTGGTGACGTCAAGGACACTGGTGAGGAAGCTACCGAAGATGTCAAAGATACTGCCGAAGGTGCGAAGGACGATGTTCAAGACACCGCTGAGGATGTTGCCAGTGGAGACCCAGAGCAGGTTGCCAAGGGCGCACAAGAGAAGGGTGAACGCGACGCAGGCGAGCTGAAGGAGACCGCCGAAGATACAGCCGATGGCGTCAAGGATACAGCAGAGGAGACCGCCGAAACTGGTCAAGACGCAGCCGAGAACGCTAAGGAAACTGGCGAGAAGGCTGCTCAGGGTGATGCTGCTGGTGCTGCTGAGGGCGTCAAGGACACTGCTGACGATGCGGTGGGTGACGTCACTGACCAGGTTCAGGACTTGTCGCTGCTGAAGGGTCTCAAGGTTGGTGAGAATGGCAACATCTCCGATAAGGATGGCAACGTTATTGGCAAGCTCACCGAAGGCGAGCCAGAAGATCTTGAAGGCTACGAGGTCGGTGATGAAGGAGAGATCCTTGACGAGGATGGCGACGTTGTTGGACGATGCGATCTTGCACAGAAGGAGGCCGACGATGTTAAGGACAAGACCGACGATGCTGCAGCTGAAGCCAAGGACACCACCGAGGACGCTGAAGACAAGGTCGATGAGACCGCTGAAGATGCTGAAGATCAGGTTGAGGATGTTGAGGATCAGGCTGAAGATGCTGCCGAAGAAGCTAAGACCTACATGCCTGATATCGGTGTGCTTAAGGGTCTTGAAGTCCAAGAGAACGGAGACATACTCGACAAAGAGGGCAACGTCCTCGGCAAGCTCGACGAAGGTGACCCCAGTGACCTTGTTGGCATGACTCTCAACGAAGAAGGCGAAATCCTTGATGAGGACGGTGACGTCGTCGGTCGAGCTGTCACTGTGCCACAGCCCATCAAGGAGGAAGCTGAAGAAGCTGCTCCAGAGTTACCTGGTCTTGACGCTCTCGACGGCTTGAAGGTCGACGAAGACGGCGCCATCAAGGATGATCAAGGCAACAAGCTCGGTCAAATCACCGAAGGCGACCCTGCTGACCTTGCTGGACTTACCGTCAACAAAGACGGCGAAGTACTTGATGAAGATGGTGATGTCATTGGCCGTGCTGAGATCGCACCTGAAGCAGCTGAAGCTCTGAAGGATCAGGTCGATGGTGCCAAGGAAGAAGCTGAGCAAATCTCTGCCGAAGCCGAGCGTGTCAAGGACCTTGAAGAGCAACTAAAGCCTAACCTCGATATTGTCGAGGGTCGCAAACTCAACAAGAAGGGCAATATCATCGATGATGAAGGCGAGATCCTAGCCAAGTTAGTTGAGGGTGATGCCAAGCAATGCGCAGGCAAGATTCCTAACGAGAACGGTGAGATCCTCGACGATGATGGAAATGTCATTGGCAAGGTCGAAGTTGTCACAGGTGAAGCCGCCGAGCAAGCAATGGAGGAAGCTCACCCGGAGCTTGTCGAACAGCTTGAAGAGGCTCAAAAGGCTGCCGAAGAAGCCAAAGAAAAGGGTGAAGATGCTCAAGAGAAAGGCGAGGAAGCCCAGGAAACTGGCGAAGACGCTGATGAGCATGCAGGCACTGCTGAAGACAAAGCTGAAGAGGCTGCCGCCAAGGCTGAGGATGCCAAGGAGGAGGCTGAGAAGAAGGTCGATTTCTCCCAGCTTGAGGGTCTCAAGGTCAACAAGAAAGGTGAAGTCGTCAATGAGGATGGTGAAGCTATCGCCAAGCTTGCTGAAGGGTTTGACCTGGACGCTGTTCGAGGCAAGAAGATTGGCGAGAACGGTGAGATCAAAGACGCTGATGGCAACGTCATTGGCAAGGTCGACTTCCTGCCTGATGCTGTCAAGGAAGGTCTGGTCGAGATGATCGAAGAGGCCAAGCCTGATGAAGAAGACGAAGAGGATGAGGAGGATCTGTCAGTGCTCGAAGGCTTGAAGGTCAACAAGAAGGGCCTTGTGCTGGACGAGGACGGTGAGGAGATTGCCCACCTTGTCGATGGTGAGCTTGAACAATGTGCAGGCAAGAAGCTCAACGACAAGGGTGAGGTCCTTGACAAGAAGGGCAAAGTCATTGGCAAGGTTGAGATGACCACCAAGCAAGAAGAGCAGCCCGAGGAAGAAGCAGAAGATGCTGCTGCCGAAGATGAGGGTCTGCCACCACTATCGATTCTCGAAGGTCTCAAGGTCAACAAACAAGGCAAGCTCGTCGACAGGGACGGCAAAGTTGTCGGTGAACTCATTGAAGGTGATGCCAAGAAACTCTGGAAGAGTGGCAACACGTGTGACGACCAAGGTCAATTCTGGGATGGCCGAGGCAGAGTCATTGGCAAAGCTAAGACACTTCCAAAAGAGGATGATGATGTCGAAGCTGAGTTTGCTGGTCTTGAAGGTCTTGTTGTCGTTGCTGATGGCTTCGTTGAGGATGAGAATGGCAACCGAGTCGGCAAGCTCACCGAGGGTGATGCCAAGCGCCTGGTCGGTCGATCTGTCGATGAAGATGGTGATGTGATTGACAAGAAGGGCAACGTTGTTGGCCACGCTGAACGATATGAGGAGCCCGAAGCTGAGCCCGAACCAGAGCCAGAAGCAATTGATCTCTCCGAGCTTAAAGGTCTCAAACCCAACAAGCAAGGCAATGTCATCGGCCCTGATGGTGTACCAATCGGTCGTGTTGTTGAGGGCAACGTCAAAGAACTTGCAGGACGAAGCATTGACGGCCAAGGTCAAATCTGGAACGATCGCGGTGAAGTCATTGGTCGCTGCGAGCTGATCCCACCTGGTGAGCGAGAAGCTAAACCCGAAGGACCTTTCGCTGGTCTGGAAGGTGTGGTTGTTCGTTCCGATGGTCTTGTCGCAGATCACGAGGACAATGTCGTTGGTAAGGTTGTTGAAGGTGATGTGAAGAAACTTGTCGGTCGACCTGTGGATGAGGATGGTGACATCATTGACAAATTTGGCAACGTCAAGGGTCATGCTGAGCCATACGAGATTCCAGAAGAAGAGGAGGAAGCTCCTGAGGATCTGTCTGCACTTGCTGGAAAGACTGTTAACAAGCAGGGCAAGGTTGTCGACCAACAAGGAAACATCTTCGGTGAAGTCGTCGAGGGTGATCCAAAGAAACTTGTTGGCTGCAAGGTTGATGGTCAAGGCCAGATCTGGTCTAATGACGGTAAGGTTATCGGCAAGGCAGGTCTGATCCAAGGTGGTGATGACGGCCGTGCTGAAGGCCCGTTCTCTAACTTCGAGAGCACCGAAGTCACCAAAGACGGATATGTGGTCAATCCAGCTGGAGACATCATCGGTCGAATCACAGAAGGTGATGTCAAGAAGCTCGTTGGACGTCATGTTGATGACGATGGCGATATCACCGACAAGAACGGTAATGTCATCGGCCACGCAGAACGCTGGGAGCCAGAACAGAAGGAACGTGAGGTCAACCCCATGTCTGGTCTTCGTGTCAACAGAGAAGGTGAAGTTCGTGACAAGAATGGCGACCTCATTGGTCGACTTACTGCTGGCAATCTTCCTCACTGCATCGGCAAGGAGATCAACGACAACGGTGATGTGATTGACCAAGATGGTAACAAGGTCGGTGAGGTCACGCTTCTCGAAAACATTCCTCAAGAAGAAGAAGAGGAGGAGGAAGGCCCTACTGAAGAAGAACTCAAGGCTCAAGAGGAACGAGAAGTTGCCAAGAATATCGGAAACATCATCAACCAGACCATCGAGAAGATGGATCCGATATGCAAACAGATCACTGAGGTATGTGTCTTCCTGCCTCTCATTGTACCCATACTAACATATCGCGTCTTCAGCACATCGAAAAAGCAGACAGAACACCAAAGGAAGAGCTAGACGAAGAGAAGCTCGTCGACGACGTCAAGCCTCTGATCGAAGAAGGCAACAAGATTCTCGGAGAGTGCAATGGTGCTATTCGGGGTCTCGATCCAGATGGTCACATCGCTGCTCAAGCCAAGGCACGTGCTGCTTCTGGTGAAGCTTCGCCCGAGGAGCACCGCGTTGCCGAAGGTCTGAAGGAGCTTACAACAAGAATTGTCACGACTGTCGACAATGCCAAGAAGAGACTTCAGGACATGCCTCATGCAAAGAAGAAGCTGAACCCACTTTGGGGTCTGCTCACCGAGCCATTGTTCCAGATTTTGGCTGCTGTCGGTCTGCTGCTCAGCGGTGTCCTGGGACTGGTGGGCAAGCTGTTGAACGGTCTCGGCCTTGGTGGTCTCGTCAATGGCATCCTAGGTGGACTGGGTATTGACAAGCTGCTCGGTGGTATGGGTCTGGGCTCGATTGGTGAAGCTCTGGGCTTTGGTGGTGGAAAGAAGAAGAAATAGATGCATGATCATTATATCTCATGCAGAGGATAATGGTTGATTGCATGCGTTCGGGATCCAGGAATTGCCCCTTAATTTGTTCTAGGAGTTGCATGGCTGGGACGGGACATTGTTTTTGCGGGCGGGAAAAATGCCTGTGTGAGTATTTGTGTTATAATATCATGAATTTCATTGTTCTGAAAAGTAACTAGCACATCTGTACTTGTCTATTATGTGAGCCGTGATGTTGCATCAATACCTTGTTTTATCTCACAGCTCTTTCCGCATTCCAGCTTTCGTACTCTGCTAGCATTTGTGTCGTGATCGACCTTGGCGTCCTTTTGATGGCCTCGAAGATGTCCTCTGCTAAGATGTCACGTCGAATTGTCTGGTCCGAGCTGAACGCGATTTCACCAGCTAACTGGCAAATCGCAACGACCTCAGCGCCTGACAGATCCTCGGTGGCCAGGACATACTCTCCAATCTTGTCTCGTGCCTTGTCGCTCAACTTGAGTGTTCTGCGGAACTGTTCCAGGAAAATGGCTTTTCTTGTCTCTGGATCGGGTGGACCGATATACACCACGTTATCGAATCTGCCCGGCCGCATCAGCGCTGGATCTATAGTCTGCGGCTTGTTCGTCGCTGCAACGACAAACACATCCTTGAGTTCCTCGAAGCCATCCATTTCATTTAGCAAGGTCGTTAGCACGTTCAACATGCTACTATCGTTAGCCCTTCGAGCAATCGCATCAATTTCGTCGAAGAAGATAATACAGGGGCTCGCAGCTCTTGCTTTTCGGAAGACTTCCCGTGTTGCACGTTCTGACTCCCCGACGTACATAGATATCAGCTCGGCACCCTTAACCGCGAGGAAATTGTAGTCTGATTCTGTGGCTAGAGCTTTTACCAGCATTGTTTTTGAGCATCCAGGAGGGCCATATAGGAGAATACCTTTCTTTTGTGGGATGTTGTATGATTTGAGCTCTTGAGGATACCTAAGTGGCCACTCAACAGCATTGCGTAGACGCTCTTTGAAGATCTCTTGACCACCAATATCCGACCATTTTACATTAGGCTTCTCGAGAAAGACTTGTTGCAGGGCAGATGGGCGAATGTGAGTCAGAGCTCTGACGAGGTGGTCTATGGTTGTTGGTGGACGTCCTACCGAGCCATTGTTCTGATCATGATCACTATGCGAATGTGCCTGATCGTTGGGTACGTCTTGAGTTGCTGAGGGTGTCGTCGAGTTGTCAGTGGCTGACTCTGTCTCCGCGTCTCCGTCGATGATAGATTCCACCTCACCAAGCAGTCGTGAAAGATCATCTCCTACGTAACCATGTGTTTTTTGTGCTGCTTCGCGTAGTAGGTCTTCATCCAGCAATCCATTGTTGAGCAGGGAGAGTATTTCATGCCGCTGACTGGCATCGGGAATTGACACTTCTATCTCATGCTTGAAGGCACTACCGGTTCGCAAGAAGCTCTGTAGGTCATTCGGATCTCGTATTTCAGCCACTATCAGCGTCGTCGGCGAGCAAGCATTAAAGACTTCCTCCAGTGTCGATGCATCGAGTTGGCTGAGCTTGCCTCTGATGTTAATGTGTACCAGCTGTGACGCGCTGAGGTTTGCCACTTTTGATCCCGAGCCTTTCCATGTCACAATATCTGCCCAATTATGCTCTGCTTCGAGTGCTTTCCTTAACAACGATTTACCAGTGCCCGCAGGACCGTATAAGAGGATGCCAGTCGCCTGTTGGAGTGGTGAGTGGTGTCTTCGAGATTTCGCTTTCGTGCCTCTTTCCGAGATATGGTGTGCGATCCGCCTGAGTTGCTCTTTCTGTTTTTGTAGGCCACCAATACTCTCAAAAGTGATCGGTGCTGCTGGCCTCTCTGTTTCGGCACCGATACGTACCTGCGATATACTCGTAGCTTTGTAGACTGTCTTCACAGGTCCCACTATCTCAAAGTCCTTCCGCTGTCTTCCAGCAACAATAGTGACCTTCTGTAGAGGCGCCATGTACCTGTAATTTTCAGCAAGGGCGTCCACTGCAAGTAACTCCCAGAGCAGTTTCTTGTCAAAGTCGAACACGTCTAGTGGCCGTAAGTGTACAACGGTAGTGTCGTCTTGAAGCTCATCCGCAATTTTGGTGACCACAATCTCATTGCCTAGCTTAATCTCACAGCGATCTTGCAACCATTTTGAAATACCAATAACTCCGTCCTTTAGATCTGATTTAGTAGTCAACCAGGAGATCGCAACAGCTTCCAGATCTCCTCCTAGGTTAGAAATTCTACATGGCGAACCATTTTTCAATTTCAGATTAAGCATTTGTGTTGCGGACACGAACACGAGAATAGGCTCTTTTTCTGCCTCAGAGGGCCGACAGCGAAGGGTAGTCATGACATCTGTTAGAGGGTTCGCGTCGAGAGAATTTGACTTGATGCAAGGGTAAAGTCGTGTTGACGATATGTACAAGCAGTGGCTCGGTGGATAGAGTCTAGATATGTGTTTGAATAAAATTTCAAGTTTCCACGAAGCACGAGGAGTAATGTCAAATACTCACACAGAACGTAGGTGCAGATTCCAGGCACACTTTGATGCGAGCATTACCAGGTGAGCATAAGTCTGGCGGCTTACAGCGCAATATCTACTCATTTGTTCAAGTTGATGATACCCTCGAGCCAGACGGTAAGGATACGGTGGTTCACAGATGAGGGTCGAAAACGGCAGGTATCGCCGAAGCAGTACTTTCCCAGCCACGCAGGCCACGGTCAGACCGTTTCAGCAGATCAAAGAAAGTGATTGAATTACTTTCACATCCAACTACGGCAAACGAAACACGATGCTCTTATGATGCTACCGTTGAAATGTAGAAAGCGCTTTAGAGACCCTCAACCACTGGCTTCTTCGCACTACGTGTGACCCGCTTCGATATGCTGCTGGTATCCGCACCCTTGTCACGCCCGGTCGAGCCTTCTGAACCATCGAGGGTCCCTGACTCTTCAAATTCGTGTTGCTGATCGTCGTCATCTTCATGTCTAGGGGCTGGACTCGTGGGTCTCTTCTCAGCCATTTCCTGCACCATCTTGGTAGTCTCGGCCTGCACACCATTCCAGGCACCACAGCTCTGACACCTCCACCTTCCCAATTCTTCCAGAGTCTTGACACCTGGCGGTGCCTGTCCATTAACCAATCGACAATTTTGACAGAGTAGAGCTAACCTGTTCTTTGCTTGCGCTTCGTCCTCACCTAGCATAACGTCCAGTATTCTGTCATACCAATGAGAAGTATGCTCGTATGCGGCTCGTGACGGAGGCGCCTGCGAGAAGGCGTTCGGGGCAAAGCCAGGCTCTTCTATAGTTACAGGACTTTGCATAAGACCCTGTGCAGTGGGCAGTGACTGAGTATCGTTCGGTGTGTGAGGACGGCCGGAGATCTGAATTGGAGGACTACGACGCTGGATATTTGCGGTTGGTGGAGGAGGGAGACCGGTTCTCTGAACTGGTGTCTGTGGTCTTGTGTCTTTCGTCTTGCCCTTCGTACCTTGCTTTGGGGCCTCATCCCTGGGTTGCGACGGTGGTGCTCCGCCATACTTTTGTAGCAACTCTTGTGTGCTATCGTACTTGGTAGCTTTCTTCAGTTGGGCAATCTTTTCCTCCCGTTCCTTCTGCAATCGGTCCACGTGAGATTGTTGCCTCGCTATCGACCAGCCAGAGATAGCCGTAATAGCTTGTCTGACTCCATATATCAACAGCGGAGCACCCACCAAACCTCCATAATGTGGTACAGTCCAGTCTTGAGGACCAATAACCAAAACAAGGATGAGTACTGAGATCAAGTAGGCTATGCTTGTGTATAGGGTCCAGAGTGCTTTCGCTCGTCGGCTTCGAGATCGTGTCTTGTCGAGGCTTACTGAGGCCGAGCTGATCTGACCAGAGAGCTTGGCAAGAGCCTTCTCGAATGAGGCAGCAGAGGAGTCGGACTGTGTAGATTAGTTGGGAGTGCTTCTATCAAGTTCTTGATTACCTTACCCTCCATAGCCACGACATGACCGCTGGTCAAGTCTGACTCTGCTACGATCCGCTACTATTGTGGACCAAAGGAACCTAGCGACCAGCTTGCCCAGTAAAGACGAAGACGCTCACACGACAAAATGAAGAAAATGGTTAGGGCTGTTACGTCGCTTGCAATTCGAACGCTGCCAGTGTGACGTGTTTTCGCGTGGGCCCCACCAGGCTTCTTCAGGCACGCGATGTCCGGCTCCGTTTAGTGGCTCCTCAGGCGTGTTTCAAGCTCTATTTTAGATTCACGGGGCTAAGAGCGCGTGTGCCCGTGTAGCTGGGACAGTAGGCGATAACTGTCTCTTACTACTGCAAGCAATCGACGACTCGTATCCTTTCCTGCTATCATTTCCTGATTCATGCACCTGCATTTGGGTCAAGCATGGGTTTCATGCCCTTAGTGAATCCTGGTACTATCTTCTTGCACTTGCAGAACATCCAGGCAACAATGCTGGGGACCCCGCACAGATACGAGTAGTCGGGATAGCAGATTCCTGAAATACATGCGGTCTTATCGCGCTGGAGGACCATGCACCTGTATCAGCGACGACAGTCGCTGACACATGCAGCATGGTCATTTTCAATGCGACGAGCGACCTGCATTGCAATCTCGACTGCTTCTCACTAGAGGCTCAAGTTTGGGGTACAGCTCAGGCTCGCCTGCAGTAAACTGCATCCTCGACTGGCAACATGCTAGCTCCATTGACAGCGCTGGGTCTTGCTGGTACGACTTTCGAGATTATCCATCTTGATATAAGGCTTACATCGACCGTCCGTGATGCACATGCGGCTGGCTTCGAGCAATATGTGAACGACCTGAAGCTTTTGGTCTCGGATATCAGGACATCGGTATCCAGATTAGCGAGCATAATTGCTGACGATACAGCTGACGGCCAAACAACCAGCGAAAAGCAAGTAAGTGCGTCCCCAGGGCATCATACGCAAGTGCACGTTTGTGGTATTGACAGCTAGCAGAGTTTGCTTATTGGATTAATGGAAAGGCAGGCTCTGGAAAATCCACCCTACTTTACTTTCTGATCAGGCACGAGAGGCTTGCGGATTACCTTCGCACTTGGAGCGGCACTGGGCGTTTAACTCTCGCTCACTTCTTCTCGTGGAGTCTGGGAAGTGCTTTGCAGAATACTGAAATGGGGCTCCTGCAGTCACTCCTATATCAGGTCCTTGCGGAAGACGAAAGCTTGGTACATCAAGTGTTCCCTGAATTATGGCATGACATTGACCCTTTGCAACCACCCAAACTTGAGTCATTATCTTTAATAGAAGTGAAGCGTGCTCTGAAAAGGTTGCTCGACGTATCGGCTGGTAGACGGTGCTTCTGCTTCTTCGTGGATGGCATCGATGAATTCAACGGAGACTACAACTCTATCATTGACCTTCTCCTAGCCTTCGAAGCGCCTGATCTCAAGTTTGTTCTGGCGAGCCGTCCAGTGGATGTTTGTCTCGACAGATTTGCCCATCTTCCGCAACTACGACTGCAAGATCTCACAGCTGGAGACATAGAGATTTACATTGATGAACGCCTGTCGTCCAAATACGAAATGTCCGATCTGATGCGTGATGAACCTGAAGCAGCCGTTGAACTTGTTCACGAGCTGAAGGACCGTGCAAGTGGCGTCTTTCTCTGGATCAAGTTGGTTGTTACATCTCTGTTAGATGGCTTGAAGAAGGGCGATGATGTTGCCGACTTAAAGATCCGGCCTCGAGCACTTCCTCCAGATCTGAAGGATCTGTTCGCGTCTATGCTTGGCAAGATGGAAGCGGGCTATCAAAAGCAAGCGGCTGTTCTCTTCAGACTCGTTCGTACAGCATCATTGCTTCTTGACGGTAGGGGCATGCCGACTCAATTTCTGGCAGTCGCCAGTCGCGATTTCCAGTCGGTATTAAATCGGAGGCCAATTGCATTCGAAACTGACAAAATCGTGGCCTGGTGCAAATATGTGGAGCGGCGGCTCAGAAGTCGATGCTGCGGCCTTGTTGAGATACACGAGTCGTCATACAGACCAGATTGGTGGCGCACTGATTTGGAGAAACTCGACAAAAGCAACCAAAATCTACTTGCTTCTCACGTTCAGTTTCTACATCGTACCGTCGCCGAATACCTATACCAGGATGAAGTCTGGGACGAGGTTGTGTGCAAGAGCTCCAAGAATACGGACTTTGAGCCGCATAAAAATCTAGCTTATGCTGCGCTGCACATGATGAAGATATCACCTCTAGCTGACGATCTTCCCACGATGCAAGCATATAGTTGGGCGAAGGTGCTTGTTCGTGCTGTTTCGGATTATGAGTGCAATAGAGGCAAAGCTCTTGAAGATTTGGTCGACGAGATGGATCTTGTTCTACGCCATCACACTTCTACTTCTTCTCAATTCTCGCACTGGTCTTCCTACATTGATCTTGATTCCGCTAGAAATATCGTACATGGTCATCTCGTGGTTCTTCGACAGCCATTGAGCAGTTTTCTGTCGTTCGCAGCTTTCGTGGCACTTGACATATACGTGGATTCAAAGCTCGAACGTCATGGACTTCAATTCGGCGCGGGAACATCGGTTCAAAAGATTATGCTGCAAAGTCTCTTCTCCAGATCCAGTGACTGGGTTAAGATTACATGGACGGATAGAGTCGATGTCGTATGCTCTATGCTTAAGCACGGAGCCAATCCGAACGAAACCTTTGAAGGGCCTAGTCTTTGGCAGTGCTGTCTGCAACAACTATTGGCTCTCAACTGTAGCGAAACATCCTCAGCGAGTCAAGTCACGCATCGGAAACGTGATCGCCGACGCATAAGCTCTACTCCAGGTCTTCCTCGTTCCGCAGATTCCCCATGTACTTGCTCACCAGCAGACTTCAGGGATTGGTCTCAGCTCATCATGGCCTGCTTGCACGCAGGTGGAAGACTCGCAGACATCGACTATCTTAAGCCTTGTGCACAGGCGGATCCAGGAAGCTCAGTATGCTACTTCCGCCAACTCTGTCAGCATCTTTACGGAGTCAACAACGAAAGTCATAGGCCACAGCCTCTACTCGGTCTGCCTACTCCACTCTCTCGATCCGTGTCGACGATGCACGAGAGAGACCAGGGCAGCACATACGGACAAATTTCGTTGTCTGGCTCCGCAACCGCACTTCTTGGCAACGCGTACACTTGGGGCGACAAGATCACTCATGTGCATCACAACTATTTCGGTGGTGTTCTCACCTCGAACGAAGTCTCTCACCAGGTACAGCACTCTGCTGAAAATGCAGGCGAAACAAGAACAAAACAAGACCTTACCTCACGACCAGAAAACGATTTCACCACAATACTTGCTCAATTTCAGAGTGATGTCGTAGCGGTCTTGCAGGCTTCGCCACTGGGCAGTCCAGGTTCTGAAAATCCTGCCTTCAGAGAGGCTAATCTTACAGAGAATGATAGGCTTATGGTCAGTGCTTCGCACTGGCGTGGCTGTCAACCTACCACTTTCAGCGATCGACAGTGCATCAATCCGAGTTGCATCACAAGCACGACAATTGGCTGGGATTATGTGCCCTTACTGAAAGGGCTGTTGTGCTTGGACTGCTACGAATGCTGGCGGGCGACTGGACAGCTCCGTGCCGAAACTAGAGGAAGGGAGCTCGTGCTGTCGGCTGAAGACCTTTTTGAGCAATCTTTCACCAATACCCTGCAACTCACGACGACTTGCGACTCTGATGACAGTGAAGAAGAGCTTTTTGACGCTCCAACACCAAGCACCAGGTATGTGGTCCCAAGCAGCGTGGACTCAGATACGAGCGAGGTATTTGCTACACCACAATCGATTAACATAAACTTCACAAGATCGGCTCCGTCAAGTCAACCGGGGTTTCATGATATTACATCTGGCACACCACATTATCTGCGAAGTTACAATGGTCGATAGAGCTGCTGTAGCATCGTTGCTGTGGTGAGCAGCACAAGCTCCTTCGTCGTGACCAGGTCGTTGCGTAAAGTGCCTACGAAAGCATTCTTGGATTATCCTCTATCCTTGATCTTGTGAAATACCTGCTCGCTCCTCTCTGTGGGGCTGCCCTTCTCTGAGTAGATCCTGCGTAGTCTTAAAGCGACGAGACGACCCTCACCATTGGTAAATCAGCGATCTCGTATGTAGCCAGCTCCATTCAGCACTCGTTGACGTTGATACTTTAAGTAGGTCGGTAAGCGTGTATAATTTTCAGCTCTTGCGCTTTTGCACAATGAGTGACCAAATACCGGGTCCTCTATACAGTTCATCTCCTTGAGCAATCAATGCTCATACTCCATCCTTCCTTCTATTACTGTCCAAAACTCCTTCACAGTTTCTCTCTGACCACTCGGCGCCGCTCTTACCGCAAGATATTTCCGATGTGTGATCTCGATATCCCAGTTCCCATTCACCCCATCTTCAGGTGGATTACCATCAACCATAATCCCTCCCGCCTCCGTCAAAATGACCCACGCAGCACAGACATCCCACGCCCAACATCCACCCTCCCAGTAGATATCCACATGTCCCTCCGCAACCGCACAGAGATTCAATGCCGCAGAACCCAAACACCTCGCCGAATGCACCATTGCACCACCTTCCTCCTTCGACCTCCCCAGCCGATTCCACGTATTAATCTTCGTCTGCCAATTGCTTCCGCTTCGATCACTGCCCCATTCCACCGCGACCATCGTCCCGTCTAATCCCGTAAAAGGCGCTGGTTCACGAACAGGTAACTGAACCTTCTCCTGTCTGATCCTCCAATCCCTCTTCCCCTCCTCCGTCTCACACGGCTCGAGCACTTTCTTCCACGCTCCACTCCCTTGAGTAGCGAAGTACATGATCCCCGTGAACGGATTAAACACCACTCCAACCACAGGGACACGCTTCAGCGCAAACCCAAGACTGACACTGACGTACGGATGGCCGTGGACGAAGTTCGTTGTTCCATCGATAGGGTCGACGATGAATGTTGGTGCATCGGTGAGGGCTGTCCCGGGCGTGTAGGTCTCTTCACCCATGAACTTGAAGGTCGGGTATTTGGACAGTAAGGTGGTGGAAATGAGCTTCTCGACGGCTTTGTCGGTTTCGGTGACGAGGTCGGCGGAGTTGAGTTTTGTGGAGGCGGTGGTGGAGGTGGTGGAGGTGGAGGTGGAAGTGTTGGTTGCGTGGATGATGGTGGTGCCGGCGCGCTTGGCGACTTCGAAGAGGGAGGAGAGAATTTCGTCGTAGGAAATGTTGCAGGATGTCATGGTGGGAGAGGGTTTGGGTTAGGGTTAGAGATAGGTTAGAAGTGGTGGGCGTGTGTATGGATTCGAGGACGTCCGCTTGCTTGAAATAATATTGACAAATTAATTTGTCAACTTCACTTTGGACGATAACGTGGGAAAGTTCTGATAGCAGAATTTGAGTGGATTGCTTCTCGCTAGACACATCTCTCGTCTCGAAAAGTGTCAGTGTTACGAGTTTGTCGCTCAGTAAGTCGACGGTACAAGACAAGCGATCAAATTATTGAACCTGGATCGTTAACTGAAATTATTCCCGTCACGACGATGTGTTGTGAAACAGAAAGTTTTGTACCCTTGCGTCATAGCTCGGGAGAGAATACAACGAGCGTCGGATAATGCAAGGTACGAGTCTAAAACCTGCAGTGTCAGCCCATAAAGTCAAGCACGTGGAGATAGATGCGACATGACTCGCTTCAGATTATCTAGAGCTTCGCAGAAACTCGACAACACCTCTAGCCCAGCCCACCGATTGACTCAGCCGTGCTTCCTCACTTTGCATAGCTTTCTGAAACTCTGCCACAGCTAACCGCAGTTCGTCGATACCACTAACAAACTCTCCGTGTAGTTTGAGAAGCACGGCCATCCAGGTATTTACAAGCTCGAAATCGCGACGTTGCTTCAGATGAGCTATGAGAGCACGGACGAATACTGCCATTTCTTGCATGCTCAGTGATCGTATATCAAGATCTGCTGCTGATGGTGACAGTCCAGATAGGTATGCGACCAGATCATCAGAATGAGAGGTAGCCGTGAATGTTTCCAGATGCGTAGATATGAGAGACTTGACAGGTTGTAAGGAGCTAAGGCGCGAGATTCTCGATCCAGCGACCTCGGAAGCTGTATCTTGAGCTATCGGCTGCGTTGCTGGCACGTCTGTTGTGGCTGCACCATCGCTTAGCGCAGATCCAAGGAAGAAAGGTGTGGCTTTTGGCTTCTGTGGTGGCTGTATGGGTTTATTTCGTTGACGTATAGTCTCCAAATGCAGTAGAGTTTGCCAGCGCGATTGTGGAAGCAGAGAAAGAGTCAGCAAAGACGCGTCGAGCTGATCGATTGAGTGATTGCTTCCAAGTTGTGCTGTGACATCCTCTTCTGTGTTCGTGTCGTCCATGGTAGCAAGCTGGCTGGTTACCTCGAATTCGGCAGCGTTGGTCAAGTCAATAACTTCTTCTTCCTCGTTTATTTGCCGTGACGAGATGTGCGAGAATAGGGACTTGTTGTTCCATATATTGATCCCGATATTGCCAGCGTGAGCAGTCGCGAGGAATTCGCCGGTACTCGAAAAGGCAACGTTGGTGCATGTTTCCGTCTTGAATGCGTCGATAAGATGACCTGTAGCCAAGTCAAAAACACGTAATACGGATTCCATCGAGGCAGTAATGACCCAACGACCGTCGTGAGAGAAACAATGATCGTAGATCTGTCCGACACAACCCCACAATTCACGAACCACTCTTCTTGTCTCAATGTCGATGATTCTGATGCAGAGGTCGTCGCAAGCCACGGACATCAGACCAGATACAGAATTGTATCTTACAGAGATTGGAGCGCCATCAAGCTTGATCCGCTCCTGAGCTTGACCAGTGATGAATTGCCAGAAGATAATATGACCATCCAATGAGGTGGAGACAGCAGTCTGATTCAGATTGTCAACGATGATACCTGTTATAGCATCAGAGTGACCTTTGTGAATTTTAGCGAGCTGGTTTGAATTCATTTGACCAATTCTCAGCTGCTTTGCCTGTCCCGCCTTTAGTCGAGGTGGAAACCTTTGTCGATGTACACCAGATTGAAGGTTGAACATGTCGAGACTGCCTTTTGCAGAACCGACAAGAGCGAAAGTGCCGCATGCAGTGACAGCAACACTAGTCACAGCTTCGTGGTCGCCAGTTTCAAAAGCCCAACGACCAGCCTTCTTACGGCCCCAGAACCAAGTTCTGGCGTATTTGTCGTTCTGGTGAGATGTCACAACACTTTCCCAGCCTATCATGTTCGACTCTTCAGCGTTGGTGAAAGAAGGATTCGTCCAAACTGGACCATTGACACCGCCCATACCACCATCTCGATTCAGACTGCAAGCAACACCTGTGATGGGGGGACATTTAAAATCCTCGACGTTAGCCTCGTCGATTATCATTTTCCCAACCTTCTTCGCTTTGTGCTTGATATTCCCCTGGCTTAACTCAGTGCTCTGACCATCTCTTCTTAAACTGAAACCCCACAGACTGCGGTCGTTGCCGGCCGAAAGTAACCATTTGCCACTCGCTTCAGAGCCATCGGTAGCGGCAGGAAGAAATTTGAGATTCGTAATGGAAGAAGCATGACCGCTTCTTGAGTGTAAAATTCGTGGGATGGGCGAGAACGGTACTTGGTCGAAAACCCACGACTTCAGTGCATTGTCTAGACCAGAGGAAACAAGGACAGGCTGCCCAGACAGGAACTCAATACCAGAAATCCCGGAAGCAATAGTCGACGACGAGGTCTCGTGAGCGCCTCGAAGCACACCGGTTATTTTGCCGCCTCTGTTCAGATCCCAAAGGGTAATGTCGCCACTCTGGTTACTGGCAGTCGCCATGATACCATCGTCACGGCCATCATCACCAGCACCTTGACCGTCCGTTCTGAACGCGATGCTCGTAGTTGCCTTACTTCTATCTGATTGCACGAATCGGGTAACGGCCTCCTCAGTCTCGGCGTCAATTATCTTTAGTGTACCGTCGGCATGTGCAACTGCTAATAGACCTACGGCAGGAGCGGCGGATAGACATGTAACGGAGCCTGAGGTAGAAGAGTCTGAAGTAATGGTATGGACAAGTTTGCCAGTGGATACATTGCAGATGTCGAGCTGACCATCAGACTTGCCCACGAAGATCTTATTGACAAAGGTTGGGAGGGTGCAAAGAGCAGTAAAATCTGCGTGTTGCGAAGTACTGTTTGTGGATGATATTGATGTGTAGTGCTCATAGGAATCGTTCTTCCATACTTCAACTGTTTTCCGCCCACATCCGACAATCCAGTTTCCAAGCACGAGGACTTTGTGAAAAGCCTGGTCAGGCGATTGAGGCTGCTCGAGCTGAGCGACCAACCTGCCTCTTCTGAAGACCCAGACTCCACTACCACGCTGCGCATTCTCATGACCCCATGCCACCAAGACTCGATCCCGATAGGCGCACGTTGCCGTAATCGTATGAGGACATAGAGGACTGCTGATGAAGACTAGGTTCAAGCCTCGTCGTAAGTCGTAGGTCTGTAAGCTACGTCCGACAGAAGTCGTGATCTGGAACGTGGTTTTGCCCAAGGGTACAGAGGTGAAGGGTACTTGAGTCGGCGATACAAGTCCTATTGTCTGAGACACTTATCAGTACGACTGCTTGTAACACAATAGTTCCCATATCGTACCCTGAATGGCGCAAAGAGTCTTGAACCTGGACCTTTGCTGGTGGCTAACCCAGTTTCGAGACGCTGTCGTTTAGCTGCTGGGATCTCAAATTCGCCCTTCATCATGTGTTACCAATTCAGCGCCATCACCAGGATATATACGTGTAAAACATCAAGTCAGGTCTGCTTGGACCACAAGTCAATATAGTGATGGGCATAATTCTGGAGCGCTGTGGCTTCAGGCCCAAAATTTTTGGTCGGTTGCACCTTCCCGATTGTATTTTTTGTCTTTGCGACAAGTCGCTCCTGCCAAATGACGTTTTCACCGCGCCATCAACACTTGAGCAGAAGCAAGTGCGATGAGCTTGTGTTCGCTCGCTGACCGTCGTGCATGATGCGACTTGAACGTGACAGCTGCAGCTAAGGATGGACAACTATCTGAGGACTTCAAGGGAAGTCGTGCATTCATCCTTATCGTCTACACCACAGTCTTGTTTACCGAAAATATGTCATGGTGGTTTCCATGCAGCTGATCCAGACATTCTCTAGCCAATTACCTCACTGCTTTCGCTCTCATCTCAATCCGCAATGTCTTCGTTGAAAAGAGTATCCACTTACCATTCTGTAGACTTTGATCCTCAAGATGGAGATTCCCTTGCTCCTGTCGTTCCAGCCAATTCTCACTCGACCTCATCGGCCACAAAGTCTCCTTCCATAGCCAGGAGAATATCTTCCACTCATTCGCTCCTGGCCACAAACAATGGATTGAACACGCAAAAAGCTTCTCAAGCAGAGGCCAATGTTTTCACTACAGCAAAGGCAAACATAAGCATGCCACCACCACTTAGGAAGCCTTCGAATGATAGACGCCTTTCTGCTTCTTTGGCTTCTGCTACTCATCGACCACCTCCTCGTCCGGACCACGCCACAGCCCCAGCTGCTGAGAATCCTATGAGCAGTCCACCTGCTTCTGCTAAGAGTACCGACGACCGTCTTCATTTGCGAACCTCTCCACAGCTTTCTACCACCGCTACGAGTGCCACCAATATTACGACCAGATCTGCCAACGATATGTCGGGTCAGGTGCTGTCACCACCCCTGGATTCTGCCACTGTTTCTGACATGTCGAGTCTGCTGACTTCTCCTCCTGTTGACCCTACTCCAACGGAGGAAGGCACTAGGCCCACACCGCTGGCTCGTGGAGAGAGTACAGCTGCTGTCGGCTCCGTCCTATTTCCGGACGTTCCAAAAAATGCCAAGATAGATGAGCTACGGAATGGAAGTGCTCTTTCTGCACGATCGCCACGAGCATCAGTTCCTCGATCCAATTCCACCAGACGTCTGAGTAGGACTACCTCAAACAACAATAGTATTGATGAGGCTAGATCTCTCATTGGCAAGATCGGCGTCTGCGCCTTGGACGTCAAGGCTCGTAGTCGGCCTAGTCGTCAAATTTTGACCCGTCTGCAGGACAACGACGAGTTTGAGGTCATTATCTTTGGCGACAAAGTTATCAACGACGAAGGCAAGCATTGCTCTAATTTCTATCATGCTGTCATATTGCTAACACTTTCCCTCCAGAGGTCGAGAATTGGCCTATATGGTAAGTACAATAGCCAACCTGTATCTTCTACATTGCTGACTATAGAAGTGATTTCCTCATTTCCTTCTTTTCCGAAGGCTTTCCATTAGATAAAGCTGTCAAATACGCCAAGCTGCGGAAGCCATTTTTGGTCAACGACCTACAAATGCAGAAAATCCTTTGGGACCGACGATTGTGCCTCATGATACTCGACAAGCTGCGTGTGCCCACTCCATGGCGTGTAGAAGTTGTCAGGGACGGGGGTCCAAAACTAGAATCTGCTGACCTCGCTCGACATTTCAAGCAAATAAGCGGAGTCTCCTTGTCTGGTGAAGACGGCACTGGTGGCGATCTACCCAGCACCAAATCCGTCGAGCTCATCGAGGACGGCGACGCCTTGCTCATCGACGGACAGATCATCAGAAAACCTTTTGTTGAGAAGCCAGTTAGTGGTGAAGATCACAACATCGTCATATACTTCCCTAGAAAACAGGATGGTGGTGGTGCTCGCAAACTGTTCCGCAAAATAGGCAACAAGTCATCCGAATATGTCAAAGATCTCATCGTTCCCAGGTGTGTTACTGAGACAGATACAAGCTATATCTATGAACAATTCCTGATCGTCGAAAATGCGGAGGATGTGAAGGCATACACAGTCGGTCCTTCATACTGTCATGCCGAGACTCGCAAATCTCCCGTTGTCGATGGTGTTGTTCGCAGAAATACACATGGCAAGGAGTTACGTTATGTCACGAAACTTACCGATGCCGAACAACAAATGGCCGCCCGAATTGCTAAGGGGTTTGGTCAGCGGATCTGTGGTTTCGACCTGCTCAGAACACGATCGGAAAGCTATGTCATCGACGTCAACGGCTGGAGCTTCGTCAAAGACAACGAGGATTACTACAATGATTGTGCTAGAATTCTGAAGTCCATGTTCTCGGAGTGGAAGTTCAATAAGGCAGGAACAGTTACTGAAGAAGTTTCTCCTGCAGAAACGCCTGAAGATCGTCACGGAAAGAAAGAGCATGCACACCGCAGTGCTCTGAAGACGATCCTCAAAAGTCCTAGCATGAACAGGCTCTCTCAGCTCGGCCATTCTCGACATCACCCCGAGCCTGTCAATGGCGCGGGCTCGCAAAAGTTGGAAGTCGTTGCACAGACTTCGCCTCCACTATTGGATCGAGGTCACTTCCAGAGCCTACCACCTCCCGCCAAGTCGATTTCACAAGATTTGCCTGCACCTATTCTGAGTCCTGAAACTCGCAAGAGTGAGTCTGCAGTGGATGTCCAGGACAAGGAAGACGAACAGTCAGTTCCCTTACCTAGCTCTAGGCACTCCTGGAAATTGAAAGGAGTGGTTGCTGTTATCAGACATGCTGATCGTACACCAAAACAGAAGATCAAATTTACGGCGCATTCACCGGTTTTTGTCGACCTGTTAAAAGGTCATCATGAAGAGGTGCTGCTTAAGGGCGAGACTGCTTTGTTGAGCGTGCAGGCAGCTGTGAGGACAGCTATTGAGCAAAAAAGCGAGGACATGGAAAAACTGAGGAACTTGTCAAATGCTCTGAGCAGGAAGATAGGACAACCAGATACAAAAGTGCAAATAAAGCCCATGTTCAAAAAGCGAAAGCACGAGAAGAACGACAACGATCCACAGCTGCACAAGACGACAAACGAAGAGACGATTCCCGAACACGCGGCCGTACAATCTTCGACCACTCTATCGGAGCCCACAAAGGCTGAAAATCCTGACAGCAATAACCAGCCGGATGCTGTTCAAAGGGTCCCGACCAGGCACGATTCGATCTCCGATAACATGTTTTCCAGGTATGCTGCAAAGGAAGAAGATCTGATGATAGACAAAATGCAGCTGGTGATGAAGTGGGGCGGCGAACCTACACATTCGGCGCGTTATCAGTCTCAGGATTTAGGTGCATACATGCGCGATGATTGGAAACTTTTGAACCGAGATGTTCTCAATGATGTGAGATTGTTCACCAGCTCAGAGAAAAGAGTAAAGACAAGCGCACAGATATGGGCTGCTGCATTCTTGGGACAGCAGGATGTACCCGACGAAGCTATTCAAGTTCGAAAAGATCTCCTTGACGACTCGAATGCTGCCAAAGATGTCATGGATAAGGTCAAGAAAAAGCTGAAGCATCTGTTGAGGGAAAACACGTCGCCACCTGAGGACTTTGCGTGGCCTGAGGACGTTCCTGAACCATATCTTGTGATGCAAAATGTGGTTGAGCTACTAAAGTTCCATCGTCGTGTGATGCGACACAACTTCAAGAAGCTCCAGGGTTCTGCAGCAGCGTCGCTCGCAGCGTCTTTGAGCTCGTCGCTCGACTCAGAAAAGATTAGCACACCAGAACAAGTGGACATATCCTCGATTCAGGCTAGATGGTGTACTGGCGAAGATGCCGAGCTCTTCAAGGAGCGATGGGAAAAGCTTTTCAAGGAATTCTGTGACCATGAGAAGGCTGATCCCAGCAAAGTATCCGAACTCTACGACACGATGAAATACGATGCCCTGCACAACAAACCATTCTTAGAATGGGTTTTTACCCCTAGTCAATCTATCATCGATGAAATTAACCGAGAAGAGGGTGTTGTCTCACAGAACATCTCTCCCGACAATGAGCACGTTGAAGATGCTTCCAATCAGCACACGAACCATCGCGAGAGCTCTGCTTCCTCTACCAATTTGCACGAGAAACACTCTCTATCTCAGAAGATGGGCTTCAGAAAGAAGTCTGTGCTCAGCAAACCTCCTTCTACACCCCCATTGATGAGCTACGAACAGGATGCAACCTATTTCAAGCTCTTCACAGGTACAGGTGAGACGAAGATGAAGCAAGACAAGCGACTTGGTCGACTTCGTGAGCTCTATCGTTATGCGAAAGTCCTATTCGACTATATCGGTCCACAAGAGTATGGTATATCCAATGATGAGAAGCTCGAGATAGGTCTATTGACCTCACTTCCTCTTCTGAGAGAGATTGTGCAGGACCTCGAAGAATTGCAAGCCTCGTCAAATTCGGCCTCCTTCATCTACTTCACAAAAGAATCTCACGTCTACACTCTTCTCAACTGCATCATGGAAGGCGGTATACATACCAAGATCAAGCGCGCCACCATACCTGAGCTCGATTATCTTTCACAAATATGCTTCGAACTCTACGAAGCAAAAGACGCCGAAACAGAAGAGACAGCCTATTCCATCCGTATCTCCATCTCTCCTGGTTGTCATACCATCGACCCTCTCGATGTCTCCCTCGACTCAAAACACGCCATAGGAACTGCGCCACGAAGGTCTCTGACTAATCACCAGGACTGGCGCGACGTCATTTCGACGCTGAAAGCTAAGTTTGATACTGTCCAACTTCCCAAGAGTTTTCTAGCTGTCAATGTGAGCGAAAAACATGAGCAGGAGGCCCGCAGAGCTAGTGAGATTGCAGAAAAGGAGAGGAAAGAGGCGTTGCAGGAGACCTTGGAAGCAGAAAGGGTAGAGGAGTGGAAGAAAGGAGTGGCAGAGAGTTCAGCCGTTATAGTGGCCACACCAGATGAGATAGAACAGCGTCTGGGCGACGGGAAGATCGTGGAAGGCGAGATTAGGAATCTAGGGACAGGCTGAGATAACGGCGGACTTGACGACTGCTTGTGTGATAAGTAAGAGTCTTACATGCATATTTATAGCGGAACACGGCACCACTGCCAGTGTAGATCTCTCAACGCTAGCGCGTATACAGTACAGCGTGTCTTCATGCAAGCATTGGTAAGGCAAGTCGATAACATGGTGTGTCCATTCATTGACGGGAATGTTGGACAAGACTTCCTCTTGTGTACAGTAGGTGTTACGACAAGAGTTTGAGATTGTTTTGAAAAGCGATGGTAGCGATGAGAATCGTCCTAGTATGCTATTGTACGACAACGCGTAAATACTGTCAGTGCTTGCAGTTCAAACCTTCGCGACCGAATTGCAAGATGTATCCGAGTAGCTCGTGTCTAGGAAGGAGCAGCAGGAGGCTGTCTCAAGAGGCTTGGTCGCAAAGCCAAGAGCAGGTACGTTGCCCAATAATTGAACAACAGCACAACAAGAGGCTAACTGGGATGATGTAGCATTATTTGGCCTTTTCGCCTACCCTATCTTTGGTATATAGAAGAGCCTAAGTGCGGCGCTGTCTCAGACACAAAAGGAAGTACTGAAGGCGCGACTTACTCACGATGACTACATGGCTTCGCAATATCCGGTTGAGAAAGAGGAGATAGATTATGTGATCAAGGAGTTTGGAACAGGGAAAAGCCCGAAGACACCGCAAGCATCGAAGCCGTCGAAATCACTGAAGGCACAGAAGGGGCAAGCTCACGACGACACTGCGGACGACAAGCAGAGCACTTTTTCTAAGTCATGAATATTGACCATAATAAGGCAGCAGATCCTCAGCCTTGTACTTCTAAGCGTATATACACACTTGGACCAACTGGAACTTCGTACATGTGGCATGAAGTTATAACAGCTGTGACACGAGCTCCTCATTTCCGATGCTGTCTTGTGTTACCTCGACGTTCAGTGCCGTGAAACTGCTGTTGTGACCACAGCGTATTGAATGACCAGTGTGGCGCACAATAGCATGCATGGTTAGTTACCCAATGTCGCTCTGCACGTTGAGCACACGAATGTCCCCAAACATACTGCGGTCTTGCCTCACAAATCTCGCTTTACAGCCTCTGCACGAGCGTCGCGTCCCGCCTGCGCAATCTGTTGACTTTCGTCCCAACCGTAGACGTAAGCATAAATTGCACCCAACGCCACGATGCCTGTGAAGAGACGTGGTGCGACAGCGGAGATTTTCTGTAGCATTGGAGTACTTTGAGACCTGTTCGGAGGCGGCATTGCTGGAGTCTGGTAGAGGAGAATCAGGATACAGGTGTATCAGAGGTGTCGGTACTTGATGTCGTGCAAGGTTCGATGTTCAGGGTCCTGATAACTTGACTTCAGAGAACACTTTGTTACGATGCCTGTAAATGACTGGTGTTGGAATGGGGCTCCACTCGCCTGTATCACTGTACGTGAGAATCGGATCTATTCAAAACCTCGATGGTCAAAAATAGACGAAAAGACGCCTCCTTTTCAATACAAATGTCGTGGTGGTTCAATTGCCTTGTTTACGGTGAGAACAAATAACAGCAAAAACCAGCCACCATCTCACTTCACCGTGCCAAGCCATTGAAACAAGAACCGACAAGACATCACGTGCTGTTTGCCCCAAAGGTCTTCTATACAAGGTATTGGCTGCCGCCTGTCCCAATCTCAACATAGGCAGTAAAGAATATGGGCAGGTCTCAGAAATGGTCAGAGGACACATCTCCGCCCAAACCAGACACCAGAACGTTGTACCACCTATTCTATATCAGATGAATACTTCCACAAATCATGGAGTAGATATTGATGCAGTGGCAAAAAGAGAATGTACACCATACTCTTTCCTATTCTCAGCAATACCGCTGGGTCGCCTCGAATTATCCTCCCAAACGCCGCGCTAGACCCAATAATCATTCCTCGGATGCCGCCAAACCGTTCAACATATCGAATCTTCACTCGGGATAGATTGTGCTCTGCGAGCTGTGGTCGAGCCAGCATCGGACCCCTTTTCCACTGTCGCGCAATGAGTAACATGTGCTTTCGGGCACACCTTGTCCTACATATCGGTGTTGGTTCGCAAGAGCAAGCGTGAGCGCTCAGCGGCGTCCTGAACGCCCTGAGACCACTTAACCAGGGGCTTTCAGATCGATTGCGGGCTCGCCTGTTTGATTCGAACCTGAACCGTGCCCTGATCCATCTCGTTTCTCGCTTGTACTACCCAAACACGGTAATACAGCTCCGGTCAGCTTGAACTCATGCAATCATCGTCAATTTCGTCTCGCATCAAACTAACTGGATGTGACCCGACAAATCGGGCCAAGTTTGGAGGATATCACGTCTTATACTCCAGTTATTGAAAATCCAGCAACACCTCTGAAACTGCTCGGATATGTATCTTCGTCCACTGATACGGTCACGCATGACGGCCTTAGCTGGTTGGCCTTCCACAACGCGCACAGAGTCTCGAGTTTGCTGAGAGATCGACCTGAGATCGTACTCCCAACTGCCTGCTCGAGTCAATACTGCTCCACCAACATCACCCCATACACCCTGCCATTCTACACGATAATCATTACTGCCAAGCAAAGTGTAAAAATCGGCTGACTCGTGCATGAGCAGATTTCTAAGCGCTGGAATCGGTATGAAATTCGCAGATATATCGTGAACAACACGCAGCTGGAGATCGGTCGGACGAAGGACTCCTGGCAGCGTAGCCAGCACTTGAGGGCTTGGATTGATCAGGTACGGCATGACTCGTGCCATACACAGGGCCATGGCGAGCCTAGTCCCTGGTAACATGTCAGGCAGTCGACGGGCAACCTGTTTTATTGTCAGCCGGCTGTCAATAAACTAAAAGTGGAGTGTGTGGGAAGCTAGAGATGTGACCCGTTTCAATGCGCATCAAACATCACCACGTACCTCACACGCCCAGTTTGGTATATTCCAATCATCGTGCGGCATTCGCTCTCGAAACAATAGCTCGCAATCCATTGTCCCAAAGTTGTTCAGTTGATCGTATGAGTAGCCACGGAAGAGCATTTGCTGACAACTTTCGAGGAAAGCCAGACACACCGCATCTAGGGGGTTGCTTGGACTTGATGTTGGTAATGACAATATTCTGTGCTTGTCTGGTGATGTTTCTGTCGCATGTGGAGAGGTCCTTGGTAATATATCTGGGACTGCCTTGAACCAACCATTACTCGACTCTGTCGATTGCGGTTCGCTCACAGACTCGGGGAACGACTTGGCACTATCATGCTCTTCATCAGTGGTGCTATTCGCTTCTCCCCAGGCGCCCCTGGCTTCATGGTGGTTACCATCAGGTAACCCATCACCAAGAGGCGTTGCATCACTACCAGCACGATTTGGCTCGAGATGAGCAGTATCGAGGGAGACAACCGTGCTAGCTTCGCTGGTAGTGGTCTCAGATTTATTCCCTACATCCCGTCGTTTTCTGTTGTGTCTTGGTTCGGACGACGCGTCATCAGATGATTTCGAGCTGCTTCGTCCCACTCTCTGATTGAACAAGCTCTGTACACCAATGGACAGAAGATCAGTCTCGTCGATCTCGATAGCGGGAGCGATGCCCTTTTCTTGAAGGGCTTGCAGATTCTGTTCTAAACACGACGCGACCGATAAGGCAGTAGCGTCACCACGAATCAACCTAAGCAGATCTTGTACTTCCTGACTGCCGCTGTACTTTAAGATCTGCATAACGCCCTGCAGGATGGATCGTTGTCGTTCTTGAGAAGCGGATCTGTGGGCAACCTTCCTTCGCATGTCTAACCTCAGATCGAAATGACACAATGAATCAACTTTTTGACATGCCTGGCAAGGACCAGGTTGTCCAGAGCACTATAGACAGCATCAGCTTGCGTGATTTGCAGTAAGTTGAAAGAACAATGTCTAACCTTTGTTTTTCGTTTCTTGCATGCTTCGCAAGCACTCGTCGTACGAGAACCTTGTCTTTGAGCACGTACAGACGTTGTTGTGGGAGAAGAGGTGGAGTCGGCGGATGACAAGGAATTACGAGATTTGGGCGGCACTGACCGCTTTTCTATGTCCATTGTAGATGGTAAGTTGTCGAATTATCAGAATCGAACTATGCGAAGATAAAACATGAAAGCCATGTATCACTTGAGGATAAAAGGGCCGGAGATGCAAAGTGTGGCAAGCGTCCAAGGGGTGGAGCGATATTTGGTGGAAAGAAATGTGGAAGGATGTTGCCAGTTGGATCGGAAGGTCGGTGCAGTAGGCGTCTAAAGCTAACGGTTTGAGATGCAACTATATCATACGAACTCGATCGCTCGAGGCGAGCACTCTAAATGTGTATATATTAAATGTCAGTGCGTTCACTCAGATCCTTACAGCCATTCCAGGAATCTTTACAATGACTGGATGTCGACCCTCACCTGTAATGATAATCAATGGCAGCAGTACCGACTACTCAGACCTAAACAATGAGCTCTTCGCTGTCGTCCATGGACGAGCTAATGTTAAATGGTATGACTTCCGTCTGTTTGCCGTAAGCACGAAGAACGAAATATGGTTTCTCACTCTTGTCCTGCACACGTAGTCGTGCGGCTGGATTTGTGGGAATTCGATGTGAAACGACTTTTTGACCGCACACCAGGCTTTCAGATGGAGATCTAGTCCAGCGAAGCTTATGTCAACTAGGCAGGCCCATGTCCACACATCTGGGCCGACTGGAATTCTCTCCCCACGATGACAACAAGGAGGGCAAGGGAATCAAATTCCAGCAGGAAAAGAACTTCGCCAGGACAGGCTAGTGCCATCGGCAAAATGGTTGAATTACGATAGCCACAGAGAGCTGCCAAATCGATCGCAGCCGTTGATCTACGTGTGGCACAGCAAAGCCCAAGAGTGAAACATCCTCGATCTTCAGTGGCGAGGAGAACGCCGGTCTCTCGAATCCGACCTGTCACAGTACTCGAGAGTCTTAGTATCTGAATTTTGATTCGATGGAAGACATCCCGTAGATGTGTCTAGATGACCGAAAGCCCACAGCGAACCTCGCACGAGGAACAAGGACCCGAGCATGCCTGTAAACTTCAGCTACCGTGTCTAGGGGTGGAGGACTTTATCCCCATTTCGGCGTTTCTGTCTCCGGCTAGATTGGCGTGTTTGGTGGTTGAATATCAGCATATAAGCAGGCTATTCCAACAGTAATAAAGAGACATTCGAATTTATAATCTGGTCGTGTGCTGCTGGTGATCGTCTGGCTGCAAACTGTCCCATGAACTCCGAATGCGACGCGTCAAGACGCTCACAACTCCAAAATACTCTAGTAGGGAGGGTGTCGCCCAGACTGTGTGATTCTGGCGGCTGCAAATGCCCATCTGACCTTGCGGGTCACCAGATATCCACATGGAGTTCGAGCTGGGACGTGACTCGTCGACCCGTTGTCAAATACTGGCACAGCAGCACTGGGATCTAGCTGATCCATGAGCAAGTTATCCTGTCTAGACTGTTCTCGTACAAGATCGAGCCAGTGAGGAGAGAGGCTTGGTAGGAAATGACATCGGATTGGAAACTGTGCTATGACCGGAACTGATATTTCTGCTCCACCGGAATATGATGCCGTATCCACCCACCAATTCAGGGTTGAGCAATGGTTGTGGGCGTCGAGACTCAACTGGATGGCAACGAAGCTAGTCGCCGAGTTCAGCGGCTCCGTGGTCCACCTGCGCAATTGTAATGCCGAGTTGTAACCTCATCTGGCCCTACATATTGTTAGCCAGACGAGCAGCAAGATTTGAGCACTACGACACCTACGACAGGCACTGCGAAATGCATTAGACCCACAATATCGAGATTGAGGTGCAGTACGAGCCGCAACAGGTATATCACGAAGTTCTATCGGTCGAGGCTGCTCATGCAGTTTCATTTTTGCTGGTTTGTTGATAAAACAAGATGAAGTGTTACGGTAAGCAGGTCTTGATAATTGATTACCTCAGACCATTGTGTGTGCAACAGATCATCAACTTAGCAGGTTTTTGACCACCTGGTGAGCAGCAGCCTTACGAGACATGGTAGGAGGTAAACCGATAAACAATAAATGTCCTTTTTAACGAAGGTACACTGAAAGTAAGTGGACAAGATATGCAGCGCACCAGCCAAGTTGTTCGGATCTCTAACCAGTTCATATCATTATCCGTCGATGGGTAGTGGTGATAAAATTGCTATACCATGCTCAACTCCTGAAGTTCGGTTGTAGTTCCTACAGACTTCTTTGCATCCTTTATTCACGTACCCTGCTTCTGAATGAAGTATTCTTTGTCTCGGGCGCAAGACGCCGTAGTAAGGTAAGTTAAAGTATGGGACCTGGTGGACTCTGTTACAAGCGATAGTTAATGAGATGACCACTATCAAAGCCGCCATACTTTCGGGTAGTCAAAGATGAAGCTAGGCCTCGTGAAAAGAGTGCAAGTCGCCTAACCGAGAACATTGGCAGGGCCCATTGAGCCATTTTTCATGCAGCTACTCAGCTCGATGAATCATCTTAAGATTTTGCGGCTGCACGGCGCAACTTACAGCTCTTTCCGCAAGGGCACCAGGTGTGGTACCCAGTGGGCCAGACGGTGGATGACAGTGTATTTTAGTGTATATTGGCGCATATTGTAGATAGGTTTAGGGCAATTATAGGTATAGCTGGGACGGTGACCAGCAGACCTACTCTATACTACTCTTGACCAGCATGTCCGACACACCAAATTATTCAAAGAGTAGATATAACACAGCCTCAAAAATAGTCACAAAGGTCACATTCCACCGACGACTCGCCGATTAGCTATGGCCCCAGCAAAAATACAGCAAAGCTAAGCCCTCGCCCGAGCGCTAAGTGGATCGAACTGTACACCACACCTGGTGTACTGGCGGAAAGAGCTGTTAGTGGCAATCTCGCGACCCGCAATGGCGCCACGGTCTTGGACACTCCCAGGTTTGAAGTGAGCATCTCCTGATGCACCGATACATGCTCTGAAGGATCCAGCAAGGACAGTTCAAGAAGAGGAAGCACAGCTAGTACTTGGATAAGCCATGTGCAGTATGACGCCAGACTTGTGCGACCTCACCTTGACCTCGTCAGCAGTCTTGTCCACCACTTTGTAGTCTCCTGTAAACTTACATATTATCCGTCTTACCTTCTACTTCACTTTCTCCGTTCCAACGTGAACGACAACGACTCTTTGCCATTCAGCAGGCAGGTCGCAATAACGTCGGTCAATTCTGTACACTATGAACGAAATTACCATGATGCATTTGCCTCACTGCAGATGTTATGATTCGAGAATGCTGAATCGCCTGTACGCACCATCTGGATATGGAAGACAAAGCAAGGTTCCCAACTTTAGGGTAGGAACTGACGTTATAGTCCATGATACTTACTGGCGCAGTGAAACGAAGGTTAGGCTGACTTCTGAATCGGATCACTAAATGGCTCAGAAAATTGTAGGTCGGTAAGGACACATGCCAAAGTAAGACCAAAAAAATAGCAACGAATACTCTACTTTCCACAACGATAAAGTGCATCAGACACTCGACATGTGTCCTGTCTCGAAAAGGACGGAGGGTCACGAAGGTCGAATGTGCAACAATGAGTATCGGACAATTCTCCAGTTCAGCATCGTCGATGAAACTGATCGGAATCGTAATCAGGTGTTTTGCATTGCGGCGCTTGGCACAGAAAGTCCACTAGCCTTTGGCCTGTGGATTCCAGGTTTGCCACGAAAATCATTCAAGTCGTTCTAGTGATGATACATTACATTTACTGGTCGTGGCTGTGATGTGGGAGAAATTGTGGCACTTCCTCTCGTACACGACCTATCCTTCAACATCATATCGCCTCAGTACACCTCGCCTTCACTAACCACACAGCGATTGGATATATTCTGCCTGTTCAGCAAACAACAGTGACTAATCTCATTTGAAAAAGGTAAGATTTATGCAACGCTCCAGCTCACCGCCGACAGTCGGCGCGGCCAGAACTGTGCAAAAGTCTCATTCGACGACAACATCATCTTCAGGGCCCGAACCAAAGTCATCACTCTTGCTCAACCTATTCAACTCACTGAGGCACAATCAGGCATCAGCAGTGGATGATCTTGTCCATGCGCTACGGCATTCTTCGTCTCAAGAGACGACGCAACAAATTCGACGCAATTTTCAGTCCCTACAGGAACAGGGTTTGATGTCGGAAAAGAGTCTGGACGAAAATGAGCTCCAAGGCTTGCTACCTGGGACATTCAATCATCAGCCCGAAGCAGAACCAGAAGTTTTAAAATACACGGACTCTCCACCATTGGCGATCTCAAGATATTTAGCATCATCTCCTGAGCCGACACAAAAGCCAAAAACGTCATCTATGCAGACATCTCAATTAGATTCTGCATCCAGATGTGAGGATCACCTGGCCGTCATCGAGTTTTTACCTTGTTCTCTCTGTGCAGCGCTTCTCCACGTAATGAACAGCTTTACTACTCCAGTGCTTGAAAAATATGCGTCAAGTCCACTCTTATCAACGCCTGCCGAGGATGAGCATATCGTGATCACCGGCAACACGAGAAGCTGGGACGCTGCTCGAAAACTGCCAGGGTTTGACCACGGCTGGGAGCAATACGCGATCGTCGACGACCAGATAAAGAACATGATGAGACCCATCGATCGCCTGTCAATATACAACGCTCGCAGGTGGTTGAAGTACGTTTCAGCAGCGTTTGCAGAAAGAGACTTGAGCCTTCTACCCGTTCAACTCTACCCCACAGCTGCTCAGTACGAGCACCAGAAAGATGGAATCGTGAATGCTGTCCCATTTCCCCACATCCGTACAAGAATCATCCTCAATCCAGACAAATTTCTCCACGACGATTTTTGGGCCCTCGCAACCACCGAACTCCGCTTTTTATGGAAATCCAACATGGAGGACGGTTACACTCGAAATGCGCGCACGGGCCTCTTCGAATTCACCCCTGAATTTCACAAATGTCTTAACGATCCTAATTGCTGGGCCTTGACAAGTGATTTCTTTGATGCCTTCCCAGAGTTTCATGGTGAGGCCAAAGTCTTTGAAACCCCGATTGTCGTTTCATGAAGCCGTGACGTGCTACGAAGAGCACAACCGCTCCTCGATCTTTCAACTCCGACTCTCCCCAACTAAATCGACCAAGATGTTCCTACAACTATTCTACCCCGTCAATCGTCATATCAAAAGTATTCAGTCTAACCAGGCATTCAGCGATAATAGCATCGCGACTGCTTAAGCATCAAGAGTGTTCTGACTGAGCTTCCAGGAACTATTTCATAATCGCATTCACTATCGACCACATTATGGTGAGAGACCACCTCAGGGTCGACAGTGGAGTGGTTGGTTGATCAATCTAATTTGCCAACGTTGGACAACATCTCAAGATTTCAGTGTTTTGCAACTCACGATTTCACAGGACGAATTAAGAGCTTGACCTGGCCCCTTGGCAAGATTGGCAGATCCGTTGTGGCAACTGGGCCTCAGCGTGTTCTATTGCCACCAGGCGTCCCAGCGTTAACTTGCTATTATGTAAACCCGACTGCACGCCAAACAAGACCAGGTAAGTGTCTTATTATCAGTCAAGTATTTAGAGCCGTAGTGTGACAGCTTACTGCCAGAGTTACAGAAACAATTATTGAAGACAGCTGCTGAACCCATACCTGCGTAATGGAGTGACTGCATGCTGTGCTAACTGACAGCAAGAACTAAACTGCTAGGTTTGCCAGTAACATTAGACTACTAAAGACTACAGCTCGGGAACGTACAGCCCGCCTGGTCCTCAGGCGTGTTTCCACCTGATGGTTATCTCACATCTCAACTATGTCAAGCTAGTCAGCGACCCTCTAACGCGGAGGCTATCCCATCAACTAAACCGAATACAACGCGGCTCACTCAGGTACTCACATGTCGCTAGACCTAACTTCCGTTCTCCGGCTGTAATCTTATGTCAGCTGAGACATGTGAAGGGATCACATTGACAAGGCTAACAGTACACGAAAACCAGAAGACAAACAGCACATAATGAGGACGTGCATCGAGGATAGAGTCGATATCGATCGTGAAAATCATACGAACGTAGTTGATGCCAAGCTTATCGACAAACTCGCAAGACATCTCTGCCTTCAATTCTAGTTCTCATCTGGAGGAGGAACATAGTCTGTTACAGGAAGTGATGGAACAATAGAATACGTATGTGATTTTCTTAGTGTTTCTTCTGAGGATGCGTATCTAGAAAACTGGTTCTATCCATTATCTTCTGTAATACTCAAACGGACAGGAATGCACGCATTTGTCCCCTTCACGCCGTTGCATGAACGCCGTAGTACCTTCCAAACCCATCTATGCATTTTCAGAGTCGTCCAAAGCAGAACATGCCGGTATTCGAGCGGGCCACCAACGCAAGTCCCACCTACCTGGAGGCACGATGATTCATATCGATAGCCACAAGCAGGTTTTTCGTCCTGTCATACATTGGTCCGATCCACCACTTTACGTCCTTGGATTGACACACTCCATCTCGTTGGAGCGCCCAAGCATTCTCTGCCGACTTATCTTCCTTATTACCCTTTGTCCTGTACTGTTCGCGCTTACATCAACTTGACCGTCAAAAATACTCCTAACTCCTCCACTGTCCAGACTCCTGTTGATGCTGCCACCCTAACAGCAGCCACCAGCAAGGCCTTTCTGCTCGCCACCACCAACTGAAACGCCACCTTGCTGACCAACAGTAACAGCACCATTGTCTTTACTCGAGTCCATCAGTCGCTTCTTGATATCGCCTGCTAGGCTGTAGAACGCCTTCTCGATATTGATATTCGATTTCGCCGAAACCTCCATGAAAGGTATGCCGAGCTCATTGGCAAGCGCTTGGCCTTGTTCGGTCGAGACTTGTCGCTTCTCGTCCCAGTCGCACTTGTTGCCAATCAGGATCTTGTTGACACCTTCGCTGGCGTGCTGCTCGACATTGGAGAACCATGTTCGAATATCTGTATCTCAGTATCAGTCTCTCATGCAACCTCTCCCAAGACTCAACACAACGTAAGGAACTCACTGTTAAAACTCTTCTCATCCGTAACATCATAGACCAGCAGAATTCCCATAGCACCTCTGTAATAAGCAGTTGTGATTGTCCTGAAACGTTCTTGACCTGCAGTATCCCATATCTGCAACTTCACTCTCTTGCCGTCTAGATCAATTGTCCTGATCTTGAAGTCGATTCCTATCGTCGTAATGAAGGAAGGTGTAAAGCTATCTTCGGAGAATCGTAACAGGCAGCAGGATTTGCCGACACCGCTGTCGCCGATCAGCAGCAGTTTTATCTATTTTTCTTTGTTAGTGACATTGTCGCTCTTCGGATGGTTTGCGGAAGGTATTCAGCACGCACTAAGAAGTCATAATTGCGTGCGCCCGACATTGTCTATCTTGTGGGGAGCGTTGTTGCACAGATGTTGAAGTAGAAGTTGACACTGAGAGGATATGGCTGGTTCAGGAGGGTGCAAGAGGAATCACGGTGGGAATCAGAATCAACAGGCAGGCGCGAACTGCAATTTGGTCTACAACGTAGTGTATCGAGTGCCGGTCAAGGGCAGGATAAAATGTGGAGAGGCTTGCACGCTTCCCTGACTGCGGCAGGTGCAAGTGATGTCGACGCTCATCAGACTCCTAGAAAAGCAACAGCCAATTGGTACAGGGCTTGGCGTACGCCACAATTACGTCACAAGCACATGCTGAATTCGGTCAGCCACACCTTGGTCTGCTTCTGAGCACGCGGAGACAGTGATAAATCACCGAACCATTACAATGCGGTACAACGATACATTTTTGAGAGAAACGCGTACGATGCCAGTACTACCCATGTGTCGCCTTGATTCTATACTTGTATGATCACATCTAACGTAGCCACTTGCTGTATGCCCACTGGATCCTTTGAAGCACTTTCAATTGACGTTCGACACCTTGTCGGGTTTGAAGCAGGTCATTCAAGTCTTCGATGAAATCTCTGTGCATCTTTCCTGGTATCAATTTGATTGCTGTCTGCCTCAGAACGTGGACATCGCACAACAGTAACCCGTTATCTTTGTATGATAGCATTCCGTCTTGTGTTATAGTGGCTTTGCTGAGCGTTCGGTCAATATTCCTGCAGAGATTGTTAGTATTGCTTGCACGATGCGAATCGGAAAACATACCTCAAAAGTCGCACTGAACCACCCTGCTGCTGCATCTGCTGTATACCTCGTCTCCTTCCGAATGTAGAGCTGAGCCAGCGGAATGCTAGAATAGCCACAACCATGCCAGGTGCAAGACCAACGAAGCCGAACAGTAATTCCTGGCTCTTCAGAATCGAATCGATTCCATTCATGGCGATTTCCACGTCCACCTTTGTCTTTTGTACCTGGATCAACAGCGCTCGCACAAGGTTGCCAAATATTGCGCTTCTAGCTGGACTTTGAATGTCTTTCTCGTAAGCTTTCAGGACTGCAGTCAGATCACCTTGTCGAACTCTGCTTCTGAGCTCGGCGACCTGCGACTCGGTGTAAGGTGTTCCATTCTCCGGGTTTTGTACCGCAAAGTCAATCACCATCCTCTCAAGACTTTCTCGGTCTGATCTCAGGCTGTCCTTGCTCATAACCGCCAACTCGCTGTTTTCATCATGTCGAATTGTGCCAATGAGTCGCTTGGTAGGCTCAATCACCCAGTTGTACCAGAAGTCTATTGTAGTGGCGCCAAGTTCTCGTACCCATGTCACGATTTCTGCACGTCGGTTGACGAAGATCCGGAGCAAGGTACCGCTCGAGAGGAAAAGAAGCAGTCCGGGTGCCCAGTACCGTATCCATCGCGACGGCTTTCCGAACTCCTTGGTCATTCTCTCCGATTGACGCTCCTGCTCGGGGATATGCACATCCAAAATGTGTAGTAGTCTGTTGACAAGCTGCGACGGTTCCTGATCCGTCGGGCCTCGATCAACCATGTCAATAACATCGTATTCAAACTCGTTCCATGTGCTTTTGACGGATTGTGCATGTGTGGTAATTCCCTCGAGCAGCCATATGCTCTTGGAGACATTGTTCTTCCAGCTCTTATGTGAATCAGGATCGTCTTCTTGTATAGTGAGACCTTCTTCTACAAGCAGACCGATGGCAGTAGCGCTCTGCTCTCTCAGCTTCTTGACATTCTCTTGTTTATGCCGTGCTTCGGTTCGACAAAGAGCAAAGGGAGATAGAATGCGTGTTCGTGCATGTGCCAAAGATCTGTCCTCGATACTTTGCTGTACTAAACCGTAGAACTCTCTCCATCCTTCCGATAATGTCTGTCCTGCTTCTTGAGCAGACTCTCTGATCAGGTTGTTTTGTCGGTATCGTCGTTTCGCATCAGCATATACCTCTTTCGCGCTATGCCAGAATTTTTGAGGTGAAACTTGTAGGATATAGAGACCAGTATACGCATACGAGCCAAGCACATCGTCCCAGTACCATATTGAGTCGTTTAGAGGTATCGTTTGATCGAGGAGGACATTAAGTATGAGGCCATAGACTTGGATGGCTGCTTTGCCAATAGCTAACCATTCGAGTTCATGCTCGTCGTTGATGCTTGAGGCTGACGCATCACCAGATTGTGGAATTTGAGCTATCGCTTCGCGCAACCTCGTGGCTCTCAGCAATCTTCTAGGACTCGCAGTCGTCGACAGTGCTCGTATCAGTGTTTTCAGCTTCGCGGCATGTGTTGAATCTGCTGAAGAGGCTGCCGTGATTGCACCATTTTCATTTCCTCCTTCCCCTTGAGTCTGCTGTTCTCGCTCTTCTGTCTCAGCCCCAGCTTCTGGAGGTGCAGCCCGAGCTAATTGAATTCTGTCGAGGATCGCATCGAGCCGTTGTACCTGATCGTCAACGAGCGACATCTCAAACACTGATCATGTGCTAATCGGCCATGGAGGCCTATACATATTCGCGATGTTGCAAGCATAGAGCTGAATGAGGAACACATGTCAATAAATCCGGCAAGTGCATCCAGGCATACCTACGTCATCAGTGTTTTGCGACCGCCGCAAGACTCTTTTGCTGTACTCGTACTTTCGTCAACTATACTGCCTGAAGAGTTTTTGACCTCTTGGGATATAGAGTCATGATTGTACTTCAAAGCTATAATGACAGTGTACGGGGTCAAATCAATTTGCAAAAACTCATGATGCATCAGTAGCGCAATGTGATGGCATGCTGGTAAGCTGTCGAGACAATGCAATTTTATCCCAGCTTGGTCTGTGACTGTTGAATATGCTTACAAGCGCCGGCCGATCTGTCCGCCTATAGTGTATGTGATTCCGTCTGCCGAAGAACAGTTTGAAGTACGAATAGTACCTAAACCCAAAATACCCAACATATGTACTCGCTCTGTAGTAATAAGTACGCCTGCGAGGTCTATGAGCATAGCCACCATCGGCATTCTCATGCTGATGGTAACGGCGGTATACACAAACAGTGGCCCGAGGATCTATATGACATTCAGCTGAGCTGGATAGGTCAACCATACGCACAATATATTCAAGGGCTCGTAGTGGTATGAGAAATTGAAGCTTGGACCTTGATATGAAACTGTAGCAAACACGTCAAACACCTGTCAGGGCACTCGGATGCTGAGATTAGCGGAGAACTAGCGTTCGTCTGGATCGTTCTAGAGATTCGAGCAGCCAATGAACAAAACCTACAGTTGAGCTGGAAGGACAAAACTGTGGTATTGTTGTCGATCGGATGAGCAAAGCACCGAAGTTAAGCTCAGTGGCATCACCCTAGACAAAAAAGTCCCTGAGGTCAATCCCTGCTGGTCCGAACAGCTTCACGCCACTCTTCTATTGGTTGTATGTAAGCCCGCCAATTCCTTCAATATTTTTACAAACTACGAATTGTCTGCCCTTCTTCATACACCAAACCCTTTACCGAACTACCTACACATTCCTCTAGAAGGCCCTGGTTTGACTTGCAAAGCCAACAAGGGCTAAACCGCCAGAATGTAGGCATAATCGTCCCAAACGTCGAGTTCCCACTGACCGCACTTTAGGAATTCGACTTTTGCAGCCGGCTATCCGGTATCCTATAGCGATCACTTCAACGAGATCGCAGCATACAATGTTCACCTCAACGTCTTCGAGAAAGCTTGGGCAGCATGGTACGCCTACATGCAAAACGATGTGCTAGCAACCGGCATCATGTCCTTTGTTATGCACGAAATTATCTATTTCGGCCGAGCCCTCCCATTCATAATAATGGACAAGATTCCATACTTCCGCAAATACAAGATCCAAGCACACAAGATGCCAACCCTCGCCGAGCAATGGCAGTGCGCCAAACTCGTCCTTCTATCACATTTCACCGTCGAACTGCCTCAGATATGGCTATTCCACCCAACCGCACAATACTTCGGAATGTCGACTAGTGTTCCGTTCCCCTCGTGGCAGACCATGGCCTTTCAGATCGCAGTCTTTTTCGTTTTGGAGGATGCATGGCACTACTGGTTGCACCGAGCTCTACATACTCCCATGCTCTACAAGAAAATCCACAAGCTTCACCACCAGTACAGTGCTCCTTTCGGACTGGCGGCAGAGTATGCCTCACCCATCGAGACGATGATTCTAGCTTTCGGGTCGGTCGGAGTACCTATTATTTGGGGCGCCGTGACGCAGAACCTACACATCCTGACCATGTACATATGGATCATCCTCCGACTTTTCCAGGCCATCGACGCGCATTCAGGCTACGAGTTTCCTTGGAGCTTGCACCACGTCTTGCCTTTCTGGGCTGGTGCCGATCACCATGATGTTCACCACGAGAAGTTTTTGGGCAATTATTCCAGCTCTTTCAGGTGGTGGGACTATGTGCTAGGCACTGAGGTCGGATCAGCCAGTAATAAGCAGGCTAAGCAGAAGAAGGCTGCGTCGGTCAAGACACAGTAGACAGTCGCACAACGCAACGATGTTTGGTTCTATAGCTGAGTAGATGCCCATCCGCAGTTGAGTGACCAGGTAAATTCACGTGAAATTAGCGACTCATTGGTCGGTGTTCAGGCAACAAAAGACTTATGTAAATATCAGGTGTCGCAAGCATTCCTGTCAACCCATTCTTGAACGCACATGGTGTGATGAAAGAGATATAGATAAGGTCAGATAATCAGTTGGTATCCCAAGTATTGCCTATTAGGCATCCCATTGCTTCTTTGCTACAGTTTGTAGGACTGCCTTAATGAATGTGAGATGAGACTGGAATCACACAGTCATTCCTCGATACTCATACATTAATCAATGCTGACTTGAATGCCATCGTGGCCTTAGCATTCCAGTGCAGAACAACATGTGCAGCGGGCTGATGAATTTGATGGAAGAGCATTGAGTGGCCACCCCAGCGGTGTGTCTCTTCACTCAACCATTTGGCTATCTCCTCTTTGGGCGGTCTATCCAGCCTGCATTGCAATATCCGTCTTTCGGAACAGCTAATGCAAAATGATATTCTGCCACGAGTTCAAAGAGAATATAGGATTGCTGACTGCCAAGTCCAGAAAGGGTGCCTGAAAATAAGCCACAGGGTAATTCTGACGTACTTCTTGTAAACAGGCCCTAAGTCAATGAGAGATTCGTCTGTTGTTCGCATGTCAGGCAGGAGTTGATGTCCCGCTTCCCATGCCTCATCATGCAAACCCAGCCATGTAAGGCGGGTCTCTCCATTATGCTCGATATCTACCAGAATGAGTGGCACGCAGTCGTCCTGCCCGTACCATCGCGGCTTGCGTGGATTTGAAGTCCTGTCGGAAATAAGGCCCCAATTTGCCCAGTCACCCCGCTTTGCGTGTGTACGTCTGTAAATTCCGAGTGGCTCGCTCATGCCTGTCGGCGACATCGATACTGTATCTGTTTGAGGTTGTCAATACACCATTGGGAGTCGATGCCTACTACAAATATTGTGAACCGAATCTTGTACGTGATATTTTTTACTTCGCAAGAATTGAATACACTCAAATAGACAGGGGCATTGACCGCGGCGAGTGCGACGTCCATGATTGTCAGCCAACAACACCATGCATCGGCACAATGGCTAATTGTGACTGGCTGGCTGTAGTGTTAGACTGCATCTTTGGTGAGATTTGTGCCACATCGCGTCGGCCGCAGGTCGAGGCGGTAGAGAGCACGATATCGAGTTGAGATGCGGACACTCATCGCCAGTCGTCACATAGCATACTATACAGGACCTGGCAGCCATCAAAAGGCCACAAGGATCATCTACTGTAATGGCAAAGTGAAGATCTCAGTTGCGATGTGACCGCAGGCAGTTGCACGAGCAATGTTTGCGACATTTGCACGCACTACTAGGAGATCGTCTTGGCATGTGCAACCTTGTAGAAACGTTCCTATCCAATCGATTGCTCCTTCATGCTGTCTGCCACTCTCGAAACAACATCTTCCGTTTCAAGTCAGACAAGCGCTCGACTTGTTACACACGAATTTAGGGACGCCGCTGTGTAGCCGCACATGAGCTTTCATGCTATCAACGCGAGCCTGAGCAATCTCATTCTAAGACGTCCGCCCACGTCTCCTCATCTTGTCGCTATCCTCCACGATGTATCTGATGCACGAGAGGTCAACGTTAAACGCGCAAACTCCAAGGACGTGCTGATCGTGAGCAGTGAAGATGATACCTGAATTCGAAATTCGGAACGATATGCTAACCTCATATGTACTGCTTTCATTGTCTTCTTTGTTTCAAGGTCGTCTCTTTTTTTCACGTTCACATCTTCTATTCTCGCAAAGTTCTGCGCATTGACTGTGCTTGACTTACTAACTGTCTTGACGGCTTTACTTTCATTCTAGACTGGTACTCTGTTTCGCGCGTTCTGGGGAATTTCGATGCATAAGATATTGGCTCGTCACTGGGAATTGCCTCCACCATAGCAGCACCTCCTCTGGCTACACGATTACGTTCGATACAAACTCGGTTGGGCAAGATTACAGATGTCTTTCCTCGATCCCATCGCAAGTGGCATTAATAGCCTTCTCAATCCCTTGACCTCAGGCCTAGGATCAGATGCAACGTCGGCCACAAGCGATGCTTCAACTCCAGCAACAGCGAGCATTGTGGAATCCACGACTGCGACATCAGTACTGGTGACCACTCCTTCGTCTTCATCTTCATCTTCGACCCTTGCAGTATCACCGACGTCTACTGCTACAATAAGTGCTGCAAAAACACCATTATCGACTTCTCAGAGACCATCAGAAACATCATCCTCCACACGCAGCACAGCATCCTCGTCAGCCTCTTCGATCGAGACCACCTTCTCTACGTCCTCGACTCGTGCTTCAACCTCATCGATATCCTCCTCCACAACATCGTCCAATTCGCTTCCATCTTCCCAAACTCGAACGTCAGCCTCTTCCATTTCGACTCCTGCCGCTCCTTCTGCAACCCCAGAACCAACAATTTCTTCTGTTTCCGAGCCATCTTCTGACGGCAACAAAGTATCCACAGCCGGCATCGTTATCGCCGCCATCGTCGCCTTTATCGTCGTTGTAGGCATAATCTATCTCATCTGCCGCTTTTGCCCGCCAATTCGCAAACGTCTTGACGCGTGGCATGTTAAACGACACAAAGAGCGCTCCTACCGAGAAGGGATTGATGGTCCCACTGTTCCCGAAAAGGATGTTGATGCAGGCGCTTATGCATCCTTGCATTCGAGATCTACATCGTCAGAGGTTGGGCAGAAAGTCGGATCTCTACGATTAGCATCGGACAACACAGCTACGGTCTCAACAGCGACGCTAGTTCCGACAACTGGTTTGGTGAAAGAAATTGACGTTGCGGTACCGCCAACAGCAGTAGTCCTCCCACCACTGCACCAAAAGAGAAACAGCCTTCTGAACCTCGCATACAAGCCGAATTCTCTCCTCCCCACATCTGCACCTCATCTCAAGACGCCATACAACTCACATCCGCACTATTTACAGGGATTGGACGCTGCCAATGCCACGACCACATATGACAGCCCTATACCCGTCCTCCAGCACAAACATCAACGGGGCTACACAATACCAACCTCACATACACACCACCCTCCTGCATCGCTCTCCCAACACAATAATGGCTACGGTCTCGGCCTCGGCCTCGGAAGCGTAAGTATGCTCCGAAACAACAGTCTACTCTCCCGAAAGGCTGGACAACATCCCAGACCAGAAACAACGGGACCGACTATCAACGCTACACCATCCAAGACCGCCACGGCCGGACACGGACGGACTCGAAGCGAAAGTCAAGAAGTGAATAGAAAGCCTTTACCGCCTGTTGTGATGAAGGAAAAGCAGCCACCACCTCTACCTCCTGCAGTTGCAAATACATACCATACGAGCTCGGAAAGAAGTCAAAGCGGAAGTGGCCGTGCGGCCTTGGCTCACTACCCCTCTACAGCTACACCTTCACCTGCAGCTGCAAATAGAGCATCTTGGACTCATGGCGATGAAGAGGTTCTGAGTGTTGCGCCGAGAGCAACAGAAACAGAGAATTCGACAGCTCCCGTGAAGGAAGAGAATGAGCAGGACCGCGAACCAACAATACCAGACATTCACATCGAGGCTCCCTCGCCTGCTCTGCCACAAGCAGTGGAAAGAATATCGCAAATCGGAATGGCAGTGTCGAGCACACCTCCGCCTGGTGATAGAGCTGCTAGCAACTATGTAGGAATGGCGAAGTAATTGTATATTGTTCCTTCTTTGGGTTAACTTGATCATGTTCGTGTTCCACTATCCTCTATATCTGTTTCGACTGTAATTCGCTTAGAACGTACTTCACACCATGACTCCGCGCTTTGACGCTAACGTTTCGCTTGTGTGCAAGTCAATGACTGCGGTTATTTCGTCTTTCTCTGAGCATTGCTCTCAATCATCTCAATCAATCGCATACCCACAGTCTCGCTTTCTTCCCAACCTCTTTGCCTATTCCAGAACCTATACATGTCATCAGTGTCGCGTAGACTATCATATCGTGCATCCTCTTCCAGGGACTGTCTCGTAATATTTGAAATTCCTGAACCACGCGTATTCATCGTCTTCAGTGCAGAATCACCCGGACTGGTCAATGGCTTGACGGCATCTCCGAGACCTGCATCTTCAAGAAATTTCCTTCGGACCATGAATCGCTCAGATCGCTCCTTGCGCATATTGCCGCTGTCTAGTTTGTGAATAGCATAGCGGACGACGTTGCGGAAGATAAGGAATATGTGTTCAGAGAAGAAAACTGAGAGCATGAGGTAGCCGAAGTGGATCTTGTTTGGTCGACCATCTGGACCAAGACCACCATTGCTGAACATGTGAACAAGAGCTGCGGAAGTGATACTGCCCAACCATGCAAGAAACTCGAGACTGTCAAGCCAGGGTCCAATGCTATCTGCACGTTGTGGGACGGGACGTCTTGACTCTATCGTGAGCTTGAACGTGTCGGCACGGAGCTCGAACCAGTTGTTGACAAAGTAAGCCACAGGGGTAAGAGGCCAAACAACGGAGAAGAGGACTAGATAGCCAAATTGAATTGACATTTCCCTGAGGTCAGCAGTAACATCGTATTCAGGTAGGTCAGCTTCCTCTCGTACTCGAGCCAGGAAGTCCTTTTCTTCGGCGTGGTCCGATGCTGCAATCGAAGGTACTGTGCCGCTTGATCGTTTTAGTGCAGAAGCTTTCAGGGCTTCAACTTTGTCTTGTCCTTTCCTGGTCAAGATAGGTACGATAGTCTCAGTTGCTAGAGAAATTATCTGCGACGTGACCGCAAAGAAGAACATCTGATTAGGAAGTCGCTGCGGATTAATACTGAAATTTGACATCGGAGGTGCTCTTGTCTGCTTCTCGTTCTCAGCGAAAGGTCGAACCGTTAGACTGAAGACGTCCAAGTATGGAACGAGAACTGAGGCGAATGGTATGTAAACAAATGAGGTAAGGAACATTGCCAGATATGAGGTGATAAAATTGATGACAAAGACCTTGCTGACCATGGCTTTGTCATGAGCTGATTGAGTTTCGTAGTTCTCGTAGTTGTTGAGCTGCTCAGCATACTTGGTTAAGAAGCCACTCACTATTGGCACACAGACTGTTAACAAGACTGTAGGGGTAAAGACCAGGAGTGACTTCAGTGGACCAGAATAGATCTCAGAAATGAAAACCTCGATTGAGTAGCAAGTGCAGATGACTATCCCCAGAGCAATGGCAGAAGCGATAGCTAGCGGAACTTGCAGTAACTGTCTCCTGAATCGTTCTTTGGCTGGAAAGAGAGCCATATCTTCTCCAGTGATAGGATCTCTGTGCACTTTTTCAGGGCGGAACTCTCTTCGTCGGGCCTCAAGAGTGCCGACATTCTTGACGCCCCATCTTACTGATAGTTCTATTTCTTGTCGTTTCCAGTACTCAATGAATACGACTGACCACATGCCGACACCAATCATATAGATAGGTGAGAAGTTGCCGAGTAGAAGCCAGATGGACGCTCCAAATGCAGCTGGGAATGTAAGGAATTGGAAATAGGACTGAAGGAAAGCATAGTAGTATGCAATCTATCTGCTATTAGTATAATGCCTGTAAATTGTGGTTCTGTGCTTACCTTCTCACCCACCGCATCTCGGACATGATCCAGGTCTTCTGGTGTCAAGAACGTCTTCTTCGTGAAGTCTGCTAGCCACTTCTTGTTTCTCTCGTGATTATGTAGTGGGAATATGGCCTCGACATTCTTCCATTCTCCATGCTTTGGTGTGATATTCGCTCCTCCATCCATTCGCTGGGAAGTGATCATGGCGTGGATCATTCTTAGACGCTCGGATTCGGACAGTGGTGTCTCCGTCAGAGTGCTTACTGCCTCTCTAGTAGGCTGGATCTGTCGTACCCCATGTAACCAGTCTCTTATCCTGGACCTGTAGATGACATCTGTAAAGGCCTCGTTGTTGCCAGCCTTGACGAAGATAAAGAGAGACGAATCATCGGCAGCTCGTACTTCAGTCTCGAGGTGGATTTCGGCAAGCGTTCGAATCAGTTTCTGAAAGTTGCTTGTAACATCGTATATTCCCGAACTTGGAATCTTGTACTTAATCACCAAGTCAACTCCCAGGTTGTCCTGAAGCACTTTGGGAGGCATATTGCTGGGCCAGTATAAGAAATGGTAGAGTCAGTCGGTGAGCTCTGCAAGCATGTTCAAATGGGCAGTCAGACACTACCCGGGACTGACTGGATCTGTGGGTATCTTTGTATTGCCTTTTGCTGGTGATGTATCCTCCGCTTGTCACACACACCTGCGAAACTGCGAAACTTGGAAGGAGCGACACACGTCATAACAGCAAGTTTCGCAATGACCACCCCGCAGCCAACGCGTCGTTTCTTTTGTGCAACCTGGAAGCTCTTCACGTCCAGATACTGCCCAGTTTTGTACACTGAGTAAGGAAACAATATTCGGCCTATCGCGAGTCGGGCTTGACGCTCCCTTGTTCAACCTGATCGATGGATGAAGAGTTTGCCAATGTCCACTTGTGTCGCAGAATCACGGCTACAGCTACGCAGTAAATGCCATACGCCCAAGGCTGTTATGGAACCACAAGCCTCTGTTTTCGCCTACGTGAAAGCGCTCTCGGCTCTCATGCATTCGGAAGCTGGCTCTAGGTTCGTACCGAGAGGACAATGTCTGCGAATGCTCTCCCATCGCATCTGAGTGGCATGAATGAACTTGAGGGTTATGGTTGGACATCTACAAAGGATCTCGCTGTGTGAGAACACGTCATCAATCAGGAATACGGTCAGTGAAGTTGCGATAATAATTCTTCCTGGTTGCATGAGGCCTTCGAGGAATCTTGTCCCTGGTCCTTGGCCGAAGGTTCAAAATAGGACTTGAGTGGCCTGGACACTCCACGCAATTTGAGCAATATCTTTCTATCAGTATTTTTAAAAGATTATTTCGCTGTTCCAGCAATAGGAGCGAACCTGTAGAGGCAGGTATAGTTTCAGCCTACAATAATCAGCACTATTGACCACTGCCTTCTTGCCTCGCAGGACTAAGCTTCTTGCATCAGTGAGCTGGCTGAGCAGTGCGCAAGACGGTCCACCAACCTGCAATGTGACACGCTCCTCAGCAGCAAAATCCCCATGTAGACCCGTGGCCGGTGTGTAATTGAATATCATGGGTGATCCATTTATGCAAGCAATTGATGTTTCGACTCGTTCGTGTTTCTTTGAACATCTATATGAATGAGTCTTTGAAGCACAAGAAGTCTTTTTTGTGATGTTCGAGTTTTCCCTTGTTACTTGGTCGGAAAACCAGTGTACAGTATGGTGAGATCGTTAATTTTGTATCAGCTCAGAAGGAGGCTGAACACGACGTTGGTGACTCGTTGCTGGGTTATAAATTTGCATTTAGACGACATCCCTACAAGTTTGGTAGCATATCGGTCCAGGCCACGTGCGATCTCGTACAGATATTTCAGTTTTGCCAGTCTCGTCTGATGCAAAAGGACGTATATTCAGCGGCTTATCGTCGGGTGTTACCATGCCTATCACACTCAAAACTGCTAGCGCCAAAGCTCGAAAGACTGCCGCCTGACTGCAAAAAATGACATCGTTGGCGATGATCTTCGCCTCAGCCACACACGAACCAACTACCTGCTCTCTTCTCCAGCTTCTCGCATCTTATCCATACAAGCAGCTGTAGGATCTTGCATGCTCCACGTCTTGCCTCGCTGTAGACCTTCCTCATACCTATCGTAACTCTACAACACCTCTTACGGATTCCCAAATCAACCAATAGTCCAGAACAAGACAACTGATAGCTCCTTCATCGCCATCCGAGCTCGGCGCCTATCTGGCATTCTCACTCACCATGAAGTTCACCTCAGCCATCCTCCTCTTGAGTCCTCTGTTGGCATCCGCCCTCTCATTCCCATCGAGCTCTGATCGCAAAGTTCTCGACGACCAGCACAAGGTCCCAGGCAGCCAGCCTCTCACCTTCTGCAAAGACCCTGCAGACTACATCCTCGACGTCCACAATGTCGACCTGATTCCCAACCCACCTGTACCAGGCGAGAAGCTCATAATTAGAGGCAATGGTACTTTCAACCAAGAGATTGAGGACGGCGCAAGCGTTTACTTGCAGGTCAAGTATGGCTTGATCACTCTCATCAAGCAAGATGCGGATATGTGCGAGCAGTTGCCAAAGTGAGTTCATGAGCAGTACCTGTCGAAGGAGATATGCTAACGAGGCAATTACAGGATTGACATTGAATGCCCGATTAAGAAAGGTTATATGGAAATCTACAAGGAGGTCAATATTCCAAGACAGGTCCCACCAGGGAAGTACACCGTTCTGGCCGACGTCAAGACCAAGGATAAGGAGCCGATCACATGTATGGAAGCCGTTGTTGTGTTTCCCAGGTAGTAGTTGGGGTTACTTGAAGAAGAATCTTTGCAATAAAGACGAGCTGTAATTGAGGCGAGACAACAAGAGTCGTGATACAAGTAAAGTGCTTGGTCGTGGTTATGAAGTGCGAGGGTATTGGTAAGACGAGATAGAGCTGCTTCCCCTACGACGAAGCTGAGCGCCAGAACGACGAGTGGCTGTCCTCGGCTTGGCAATATGTAGGTCTCTTCAGTCGTTGCGCGAATATGGTGGTAGGCACGTGTATACTTGAGACTCTGTAGCCTCTTGTACGACTGCGGCTTATAATGTCCATTATCTTGGCAGTATAGATCTTCCACTACCAAAGTGATCTGAGATGTCACTGTCGAAACAAAACTGTTGTGGTCCTTGGTTCTCTTGCATGCAAGCTGCGTTGACATTCGAACTTCTGCCTGTCCCTGACCGTGCCTGTCCACGTATTACGTTCCTCTATTCACCAAAGAGTCTTCTTACTCTCCTCAACACACTGTCCTTCTCTGGATCGTATGGGTGGTCCTTGGAAGGGATCTCAAGTACAGCTGGGAAGGCATCCTGGAACTTGTCTACTGTGCCACGTATCTTCTCTGCAATCTGGACGTCTGTGAGCTCGAGTCCCTGATATCCAATAGAGCTCAGTCCAACTTACGTGCTGGTTGATTAGGACAATACCTATGTCTTTCCGTTGCTGAGTAAATCTGTTGAATGCTTCTTCTATGACCGAAGCTTCAGTTCTATTGTCGCAAATGAGGAAATTCCGCTGTGCATCGGGAGGGTTTGTGACATGGCCAATTCCAGCTAGTAGGAGACCTGTGACTGAGCTGCAGGCACACGAGTCAGCAAAACACATGAATTGGGTCTTGCTTTTTGCAACAGGACTTCCACAGGCGAACCTACTCTTCGTCTCCAATTACAGCGAGGAATTGCCTGTCCTAGGAAAGTTAGAGACCAATCCTCACATTCGAAGCTTCCGTGTTACCCTATAGGCTGACGGCGGTGCTGCCATCTCGTACTCAGCTTCTCACTGTCTGCTGAGTGGTTCGAAGGGCAGACAGGCAGTCTATGGACACATGTTGCAGTTGAGATGCTGCAGCAGCAGCATTATCGTCAAGGGCCTTCGTCATTGGCAAGGCAGGAACGAATGCTGCGAACTTGCTGCCTCAGCAGACCATGAATTGGAATTGGCTTGCTGAACATGGTCAGACAGTCGATCGTGCGGCAACATACATGATCTTCTCGATCAAATGTCCCTGGATCGACCCTGCAGTTTCAAGTTCCTCACGACCTTTGCTCCTGCTGCTCCATCGTTCTCCGATTCGTCGTTCTTTTGAGCTTTCACCGCTTGTGCGCATCTCGACCAAAAATTTGATATTCGGCGGAAACGTGGGGTCAATACAAACAGCTTTTCGGCGCAAGCTAATTCTTGACTCACTTCCAGATCTAAATGCTACTATAGTTGATTGTGTTCCTTCCTGCATCTTGCTAACCATCTTTCTCGTCAAGCAACCAGTTTACATACTGCCACTGTTTTCTTCTGCTCTAATCCAAGCTCTATACACTTCTGCTACTACACTTACACCAGGAACCACTCTATACAGACATGCCTTCCGCCGAGACTGTCGAACTGAGCGAGGACGTTCGTGTTCTGGGCTACGATCCACTCATCCCTCCTGCCTTACTTCAGTCCGAAGTTCCTGCGTCCGAAACCTCAATTCGTACCGTAGCTGAAGGTCGAAAAGCATGCAAAGAGATCATTCATCAGCGAGATGATAGATTGTTAGTCATGGTCGGTCCATGCTCAATCCACGACCCTGCTACAGCTCTCGAATATGCACAGAAACTGCTCGACCTGTCGAAAAAGCTGGAAAACGATCTATGCATCATCATGAGAGCCTACCTCGAGAAGCCACGAACAACTGTCGGTTGGAAGGGTCTGATCAACGATCCCGATATTGATGAGAGCTACAAGATCAACAAGGGTCTTCGTGTATCTAGAAAGCTCTACGCAGACCTGACCAATATGGGTATGCCCATCGCCTCAGAAATGCTTGATACAATTTCCCCTCAGTTTCTAGCCGACCTGATCTCGCTCGGCGCCATTGGCGCGCGTACTACCGAGTCTCAGCTTCACAGAGAACTCGCTTCAGGTCTGTCCTTCCCAATTGGTTTTAAGAACGGCACAGATGGCAGTTTGAGCGTCGCAATCGACGCAGTCGGCGCAGCAGCTGCTACCCACCACTTCATGGGTGTTACGAAGCAAGGTTTAGCCGCTATCACTAAGACATCTGGTAATGACGACGGCTTCGTCATTCTAAGAGGTGGCTCAAAAGGCACAAACTTCGACCCAGAATCAGTCAGGGCAGCAAGAGAAGCACTCAAGAAGAAAGGCCAAGCTGAAGTCATGATGATCGACTGCTCGCACGGCAACAGCAAGAAAGACCACAGAAATCAGCCAGGCGTTGCACAAGTCATTGGCGATCAGCTACGAAAAGGTGAAGACGCAATCGTGGCGGTCATGATCGAGAGCTTCATTGAGCCAGGTGCACAGAAAGCGCCAGGCAAGGGTGACGGTGGTCTTGCAAGCTTGAAGAAGGGCATGTCCATCACTGATGCTTGCATTGACTGGAAAACCACAGTCGAGGTGCTCGAGCAGCTCGCAGACGCCGTAAGGACGAGGAGAAGCGTGAGAGGTCAAAATGGTAGCAACGGTCATGCTAATGGTCATTAAGTCTATTGGGCTGTGATAGCATGATCATGGATTTTAGGCGAGGTTGGGAGACAAAAGTTGTTTTTGATTGCACGAAATACCCTTCTTGAGATAGTGTTATTCATCACTAATGTAGACCTCGGATAGAAAAGAGGGTCGAACCATCACGAATGTGACCTATAATCATTAAGCCAGGAGTCAGGAATAGTGATTATTGCCTTGGTCGTCTGATGTCATCATCTCAATTCTCAGAGACGTGTCTGATAACACTATAATGTGTAACATTATCGCCGATTAATCATCTGCTCGCCATGCCTTCCCCATGTCCTATCTTTGTTACAATTACGACCAGCTACGTAGCATCGCCCTGACGTGCTGCCGCCCAAGGCCGTCAAGCCCAATCCTCGAGCTCGTTTCCAGACTCCGTAGTATGCCATTGTCCTCGTGCCCAAGCCAAAATCATATGCACAGAGAACCCATAACACAGTAAACTTTCCATTCCCATACCACCGAATCCCCATTACCAGAAAGAACACCACCCTATATAATGCTGACACAAATTTTCCACCTGAATCGCCTGCAAAATCAACCGATCAACCTGTTCCAACACTTTCAAACCTCCCTGCCCATTGAGCATCGCACTACTCGCTTCAGCGGCATTAAGCGCCGCTCCGGCCCGTAACTCCTTGTCTGTAGCGCCCTGAAAACTCTCTGGGTCATCTTTCAGCATCTGCTGGTATATGCTCGGTGTGCCGTTTGTGTAGCTGTGTCCCGGGCCAGATAGGCCGTCTTTGCCATTGAGGAGGATATTGTCGTGATTGGTGTTCATTGGGCCAATGACGGTGTGAGTGCCTGTGGTTGCAACCTCGACAACGCCAGGATTGTGGGAGGATTTGTGGAAGTCGCGGCCTGTGAGTTTCTCCTTGACGCGGGCGAGGACTTGCAGGGCACGAGCGTTTTGGACTTCTTTGGCGTCTTGGCGGATTTGGTCATTCTCTGGACCTTCTCGCTCGGCGATGTTGCGACCGAGTAGTGAGCCACCGACCATAGCTGGGTCGATGATGGACGATCGTCTGTTACGCCGGCCTGGCGGTGCACCTACTGGAGCTTGAGCAGCAGGATTGAGAGCTGCTGTTTCACCGTCGCGCTCATCGTTCTCGAGACCTCCATTGGTGTTCCCCGCGCCAGGAACTTCGATGATACTTGCGCGACGTTCAGAGCGAAAGTTTGGTTTTGGAGGAGATTCTCTGGTATTGAGACGCCAATTGAGAAGTGGATCGTGGATGAAGGCTTCCAAGACAGCCAGTAAGGACTCCTTGTTCTCACGGATGACACGCATCACATTCTCACATGTGATACGGAAGCTTCCCTCGATGTTGCTGACTTCCATGGCGAAGGTAAGCATGCGCGTCAAGCGGAAAGGCACACGCTCTGGGTACTTCTCACGATGCATTGCTACCTCGAAGCAATCACCGAAATCGATGTGAATGATTTTGCCAGTGGTGCGGTCGAGCATGAGATTCGAAGGGTGACGGTCACCAAGACCAAGGATATAGCCGACCATTGACATAACACCCAAGGACCGAGTGTATGTCGTACGACGCTCGAGCCAGGCCTCAGATGACTTCGATTTGAGCCAGAGCACTCGATAGAGATCCTTACCAGTTGTATTGTCCATCGCATAACCGAAGACTTCCACCTTCTGCATGAGAGTAAGATTGTCGTAGTCTGGTGCCATCTGCAACATAATACGATGCTCGATATTAAGGAGAATTCTTCTTGACTCTCGGTACTCTTTGATGAGATTGTGCAGTGTGTCTGAATTGGGTACCCAGCCGAGCAGACCCGAATTCTGTGAAAGAGGGATAGCCGGGAATGGCTGGATATTTAGATGCCGCTTGAAAGATTCCGTATCATCGTTGAGCAACGTGTTGACTAAGCCGAAAAGCTGCATAACCCGCTCATCCTGTCGGATATCTTCGTGACCCTTCAATAGGTGAGAATAAACAATACCGTCTGAGCCTCTCAGGCTCATCTTTCGAGGTCGCTGTTTAGATGCTATGACACCGAACACATGGTCAAAGCCGGATATAGTCACAATAGCTTTGCCAGGATAGTAGAAACCAGGTACAGCGAGTTCGAGGTCGCGAGCGTCTTTCAGTCGTGGTGAGACGTACTTCAGGTCTAATTGCATGAGCTGTGGTAGTTGTCGTGCGATCTTTCGGAACACAGCATAGTAGAGATCCCATGCCTGATTAAGGTCGCCTGGCTCTCTTGTTCTTCTGTACACATTGCAGAAGGTTCTTGCTTCGGCAAGATCATGACCAAATGCTTGAGCAAATGACACTTCTCGAAGTGTTTCCGCACCACGATCAAGTAGTTCATGCAAAGGAGCTAGTGTATTAAACATGCCCTCCACATCATCATCGCCGAAATACAGTCGAGAGGCCTCTTCCAGACCCTCGTGCCAAAGTTCGTGCCACAGGACTGCGACACGAATAAGTTCATGGCTGACAAGCTCTGCTTGTTCAACAAGAGCAGGACTGTGAAGTCTCATGCTATCCATAATATGAGATGCGGACTGTGATCGACGAGTGACAGAAGATTTCATAGCCACTGTCAACGGATATACAAGTGCTTGCGGGTGTACCTTGCCAAGCTCGGCCAACAGTCTATGTACGGCTTGACGGACGCGAGCATTAGGCTGATTGATCCGAGCGATCAACTGAGGAATGACCTCTAGCCACGTGTCGATGATCACTGACGTGAAGCCTTCGTTGACGATTGCATTAACCTCGTGGTGGCCTCCGTGTGCAAACCATAAGGTGAGCAGTCGCAACGTGTCTTGCAGCGAGCTAGTGTTGGAAAGTGCGATCGACTTGAAAAAGCCAGTAACGGCAGGAACGACGTGATTCAGTATAACGTGGTCAGGAAGCGATCGTCCTTTCTCTTGTTCAGACTGTTGTGCCAAAGACGTGACTACCTCAAAATTTGCTAGAGCATAGGCGTGCCAAGCCTTGTACCATGACTCGTTGTATTGTGTGGCAAGCTGATACGAATTGATGATGTCCTTCACTGCGTCTTGTGCCTGAGGATTGGTCCAATTGCCACGGAGAAGATACGCTTGCCATTCACCCTGTCGGCGATAACATTTCGCCAGCAGTCGAGCTTGCTGCTCAATTTCAACCTTGAAAGACTTCCTGAAGGCTAGTTCATTGTTGGTGTCGATCCCATTGGGAACGTGCCCGTTTTGCATACCGTTTGTGAGTTCTACTTTGGTGGCTTCGAAATCGTCTGCAAGCTGAGCGGTGAAGTCTCGTAAGTGGTGAAGTGCATGTTTCTGGTTTCCTGTAGCCCAATTAAATTTGAGGCGCGCGTATGCTACCGGAGGTGCAGCAGTACTTGCAGAGAAGTTACTAACTGCCCCTAGTGAGGCAAGAGATCGCTCAGCAAGGCCTATACGCTCTGACTTCCGACACAAATTGGCGAATTTGATCCATATCTCAGGATTGTCTTTTGGAGTCAGGACTAGAGCTCGCACTTTCAGCATTCTCTGCCATACTTCCACGTTTGCCTGACAACCAAGCAGTCGCTTATTCCATAGCTCTTGAAGCTCTCTTTGGCGTTTCGGCTCGTTTTGACAGAGTTTGTACTGGATGATCTCCTCTAGTTCGGCCAACATCTGTGTTCTGACCACAACGCTGTACGCACGATTATATGATTCTCCTATAGTGGCCGTAATTTCAGAAATGACACCATCTCTAGCTCTATCGATGTAGAACCGTGCATCATCGAAGTGGTTACGTTGAATGGCGAGTATAGCACCAAAGAACGCCCGATCTGGAGATGCATCTTTCATGACGCTGATGTAGTTGTCCATCAGCTCCCATTCGCCACGTCCCCACGCGGCAGCAGCTGCCAAAGCGGACATGTTTCGTCGATTTTCTTGCGAAGCGTTGTTCCAGTGTTCTTGAGCAATTTCTGATAGCATACGCCATTCACCTAGTGCATGCAAGCATCGCATCTTACCCATGACAATCTCAAAGTTATCAGGCTCAATGCGTTCCCGCTTCTGATATGCTGCCAAAGCTTCCTCCCATCTGGTCAGACGTTCGAACCAAGCTTCTTTGAGTTCCACTTCACCAAATGCTTGCGCGCGGCGCAATATACCAATGGCAGCGTCAGATTGTTGCAACTGATTGTTGATACTTATCAATGCTTCGACAGATTGGCTATTCTGATCCTGTTCGAACTCCAATTCCTTATAGTGCAGAGCCTTTGCCCAAGCATGACATCTGCCAGCAAAGCGTCCTAGACTTCTGATGTCAATTGGCAGGGACTTGTCGTCGTGTTCCATAAACTCGGCGAGGTTCAGTAGTATCTGTAGGATATCTGGAGGTATGTTGGGTGAAGTCAGAGCTTTCTCGATCGCTCGAATTAGCTCTTCCTGATATTGTTCATAGAGTTGCGTCCAGCATGAGACGAACGCGGAATTGAAAAGGTCTTTGGCTAATGGTTGATATACACCAGCCAATGTCGCACAAGCGCGCAGGGCATGTGAAGGGGACTCTTTCAACAGCTCCACGCTGAATCTGCGCATCCATTCTTGCCAATCCTCCTTCGTGGACTTCTGCGAGGTATCCCAAGCACTCTTCAAATGCTGCTGATTGACTGGCAACTTGACAGCTGTAATATTTATGTAAGGTTGATCCTCAGTAGTCAAGCTATAATCGTCTGCAGAAAGATCTTGTGGCAATGGTTTTCTCGATTTCAGCGCCTCAATCAGTCTGGTATATCTTGTTGAGCTAATTTGACCAGATATGGTTGCTCGCTCCATTAACGGTATAAAGTGGACGAAATCGTGGCCAAGGTGGAAGATCAACGCACAAACACAATCCAATGCGTTAGCTTTGAGAGCCCGATCTGCTGAGCTAGCAGCATTCTTCTCGGACGAAGAGACGATGTTCGCAAGCGGATGAAGCATTAGAGAGGCATAGTCTGTCAAGTTGACAGAACGTGACAACTTGCCTAGAGTTTCGATGGCTGACCTTCTTGCACTCACTACTGTGACTGGATCCTCAGCTATACTGACAACGGCTGGTACAATCATGTGCATGTATTCTTCACCACTCGACCCGAAGACAAGAAAGGTATGTAAGATACGGATTGAGGAGTCGCGCCTAGGATCATTATCGTTCTCGATGATACCGAGCATTAAGGGTAGCAGATCCGCAAGCCACTTCTTGAATTCTCCTTCGAGGGACTTCGATATTGCTTCGATAAGATTCAGGATGGTTGACTGAACCTGTTTGTTCACGTTCCAGAAGTCGCGTAGTAGCTTGATAATATCGGGCAGGTGGGCTCGTATGTGCTGTCTAACAATATTCACTAAAATTGCAAGTTGATTGAAGTATTGATCCAGTCTGCTGTGGTGAGAGCTTCGAATGACGCTGATAAATGCCGGTATTATTTGGCCAAGGAAAGGAACACATTTCATTCCTATGGTCTTGAATATTGTTACAATTGCGTCGATAACGGCGCTGTGGTACTGTACAAGGGTTGGGTCGGCAAGTATAGTCTGGAGAAGGATGTTGATCACCACAGTCGGGTAGTATTCCTCATTTGACGGAGTGAGACCTGTCATAATCAAGGAGACATCTGATACTGGTGGTGCTTCAGTAATGGCGAGAGTGTCCGTAACACTTTCGCTCAACTGCTGAAATTTGTAAGGATCCAGGGCTCCTAAAACGCCGACTAACTTGATAGCGTTCGTGCGTAGGCCGTCATGGGCTTCAGTCTTGATGATGTTGATCAAGATAACGAGAAGTTCAGGGTACTGAAGATAAGGGTCAATAACGTAGCCTGAGTTGACAGCTAAAGCGCCAAGTGCTTTCATTGCAGCATCGCGCTTCTCGTGAGAAGCAAGATCCTGGAGGGAGCTCAAAATAATGGGCATTATCTGCGGTATGTACTCTCTCATCTCTTCACCACCAACAGATGTCAGCTGGCCAAGAGCATTAATGGTTGTCGACGCGACGCCAGGGTTTGGATCTGTAGCTTTCGGCAGTAGTGCACTGACCATAGGTTTGACATATGTACTGACAAGGGATGTGGCGTTAGTAACGAACAGGCTAATCAGCCGAGCAGACTCTTCCTTGTGGCGAGCAGTGTTCGCGTATTTCAGTCCCGTAAGCAGGTTGACCAGCAGCTTTCGAAGAGGTGGGAAGACATAGGCAGGATTGACAACAGTAAGTCTGCCGATGATGGTGACAGCGGCCTCCCGGACTGGAAAGTGATCATCGTTGACTGAAAGGAAAAGGCAACGAACGTTTTCTGGCTTGGCGAGATGCCTATCGAATTTAGCATCTAGAGCTTCTAGAACTGTACTCCGAATCTCCGGGTCTGCATCACCAACAGCTACGGTCAGGAGCTGATCTACGACTTCGCCTACCACCTGTATAGCGTTCGTGCTTGACTGATGGAGAATGGGGTCTTGGACAAACAGCTGGCAACAAGTGAGAGCCGCAGCTCGTCGAATTTCGGAATTCTCGTTGGTGGCATAACGCAGGGTGACGTCGCGAACGAACTCGTTGAGATAGTGGCCAGAAAAGTCAAAAGTCCCGAGCGTCCTTAGAGCAAGGACAATATCCGAGTCTTTTGTCTCGATTGGCAGACCACCATAATTCTTTGCAAATGAAGGTAGGGGCATTGACCGATCTTTCGGGCATCCTAGTGGTTTGTAGGGATGTCTAACCAGGATCAAGCTGAGCAGGTCCAGCAGTTTCTCCTGTATAACAGGTCGAATTGGTGGGATATGATGTGCCATATCGACCAAAGCCATTTCCAGTGGCACCGTGAGGCCACACGCAAATATCGGGTCTAGCAGTGCTTCCATGTACTTGCTTAATGTCTGGCCGACGGCGTAAGCTAACATGCTGATACACGAAAACATCGGGCCCTCATCAACGGCCGCACGGTTCTTGGTCTTGGTGCTCAGGGATTCGCGAATGTAGACAATGATACCGTCGAGGTAGGAGCCGATAGCGCTTCCTACAGCTCTAGCAATTCTGCCAATAGCGATGAAAGCCTGGTTGCGCTCCTTCTCTCGCTTCAGCTGTGCCTGCAGGTAAATCATAAACTTGTGAAGGTAATTGTTCACAAATTCCAGGGGTGCATAGTCGGCAAGGACGGGTATAATCTGTACAACCTGGGTACGAATCTTAGGCTCGCGATGGTCTTTCAGGCGTAAGACATCTTCACAAGCAATGCGGTAGAAATCGTTCATGAACATGTTCCCATGTTGCAACAGTTCTTTCAGGATCAGAAGAGAGCCGTGTATGTCGTCAATGCTTGTGGTAGAACGTAGTCCTTCTAGAGCTCTTTGGTATATCTTCTGGAACCACTGGGCTTGGAAGGTTGGATCTCTTGCAACCATGACACCGAAACAGGCGCTTACAGACTCAGCCGCAGCTCTCCTGATGTTCTCTTTGGGGTCTCGAACAGCGTTCCATATCAGCTCAAATATCTGAGGAATAAAGCCGTAGACTAGGGTTGGAGAGTTCTTCGCCAGTTCCCGAATAAGCAGGACAGAAGCCAGACGACGCTCTTGCTTGCTGTCGGGTTGTAGCCATTCAAAGGCGCTTGTCATTTCTGCTTCAACCAGTTCAGCTGTGAAGGCGCCTCCAGGCCTGGCCAAGTGGCCCATGGCTCGGCAGGCCGCATCCAGGACAGCTGCATCGTTGCTCTTGAGGGCGGCTCGTAGGTAGTTCGAGTACTTGGAGGCTTTTTGAGCGGCGTCAATGGCTTCGCAGTCAATCAGACGGTCGAGAGCGAAGATACCACCGACTTTGTCAGTAGGATCTTGAGATTGGACTATCAGTTGGCTAAGTCTGCCTGTGATCTTGTCGTAGAAAGAGCCGAATCGTTCAGGTGACCATTCTATGATTAGATGTCAGTTGCTGCCATTCAAGGTGAACAGTCATTCTTCTACCTCTTGAAAGCAAGTTGACGAGATCTCGCAGCTCATTAGCGGCGCGCTGCTTGACCTCGTCGTTCTTATTGCGCAACTCAGTGAAGATGCGCTCGCTTGGATCTAGTCCTGCTGCTTGTGCCGCCATATCGACACAATCCACTCCTTCAACGACACATAGCCTCTCCTATGATCTCACTCACCATTTGAGAGCAGAAACTAGGCAGAAAATGTGACTGGAATAATCAGTGCCCTGTCACTTGACTTGGAAACGACCGAATAACTGTGAATACGCGGTGCGGGCAGACAGAATTGGAGCCAAAAACTAGCCAGGCTGTCAGGCTTTCCGGGTCCATCGCCGCAACTTAATTCACCGAACGAGAATTTCAGATTGAGGCCAACTCTTGTACTTGATCGAAAGTACACGGATACGAAGCTAAACTCTCGTATACTCCTATCGATTAACTCTCAACGTGACGTCTATGTTACACCATGGTGCAAACATGCTCCATTGACGCCATGCAAAGCTCCCTCTTCACAACCCTGCATAAAGCAAAGGTGTAATGAGAAAGACATCCTCAAGCCTCAAGTCCGACAATTAAGCGGAACTCTGCAGCATGAGGATTGTATGCCTCTCCATCCAACCGATATACTTCCAAAGGAAGCTGCGACCAGTGGTGGCAGGCAGATCAGGAGCTGTAACGCGTCAGTAGAAGGGTGTGCGGCATACACCTTCGCAGCAAGTGGCTTCTTGAGTGTTGTTACATTGTCGATGGGTTTTGCAAAACTGACTGGTCTTGAGGTTCGAGCTTCTGCGTTTCTGTCGCTTGAGCCGCCGAAGACTCAGCTCGTATCGTTGCATACATGATGTGATCACATCCTGCTATATTGTCAACTGTATGGGTATCATAACAGACATAAGAAAGACATGAAACCGCCCATCATTATTCACATATACCGTCATCTCACTTGCTCTTTTTACGGAGCGCTCTCTTACTGACCGATCTTTCTTTCTTCTCTAGGACTTTGAGCATGTGCTTTCTGTCGACCCAGCCACCGACTTTGAGGGCTTTCGAAATATCAAACTGTGACTTTTTGCCCAATCTTGGAATGAGTTCTGGACAAAGCTTTTCCAGTCGTTCGAAGAGTCTCGCACTTTTACTCGAAGGCTTTTCGCTCTTGGTCTTGATACCACCAGTCGCTTGCTGATCCCCGTCAGACGACTCGTCCTTGGCTTGTGTCAGTCCGATTGCGAGGGTATGAGAGGGTCATCGTCTCACGTCGTTTTTGTTAAGCTTTACATTTTTCGTGTCCCCATCCGGAGGAAGTGGCAAGACTTGAATGCTCGGAGGGGGTGGTGGTGGCGGAATACCTGACAGTATTAGTTTAGGTGGTCACTGAAAAATGAACCTGGCAATCTGATGATCCGGCTCACCCTGCTGGCTAATGTTCTTACCACCTTTCGGATGCATCTGCTGGTACACCATATACAGAGCCTTTCGTTGATCATAGTAAGGAGTGAAATCGCCGCCAATCACTGCTTCCAAGAAACTGAAATTAGTCATGCTTTCGTCTTGTGCTGCAAAATCATCCAGACGTGACAAAAGTTGATCGTGTATCTGAGAAAACAGCCGGAAGATCCGTGGCACTTCGGTGCTTCCTCCAGTGATGTTGTTGTCGGGACGATTTGGGTCGACGATCATCAGACGATCTGGCTTTTCATTGAGGAGAAGACGATAATTCTGCTTGTCAATATAGCCCGGAGGCTCAAGTCTTATGCCGACCGTATTGATATCGAATAGATTTCCATAAGTATTGAAGAACTCCACAAGCAATTCACCTAAATTGTGCGCCTTAACCACAGGCAGGTTCTGTATCAAGCTGGCGACCAAGCAAATACTTGCAAATCCACCAATTCCACCTACAGAGTTGTCGTTGAGGCCACGAATCATAAGGAACTGCTTAATGACAGCGACGATGATTGAAAGTGCAGGATGCGCAGCTGTTCGAGTCAGTATGATTAGCTGATGCCGACTGAAAGCACTTACCTTTCCATTTTTCGAACGTGCTGATGGCAACGATGCCAGTGTCGTTGTTGAAGGAAAGATCGACCTTAAGGCCAGTGGTAGAGTCGACGAACTTGATAATCGGCACTTTGGCACCTGCAATCACATTCACAGATCCAGGTGCTGCAAGCTGATTGTGCTCGAGGAAACGTCCAAGCTGCCACATTTTAGATCGGCTCATAGTGCTGACATTGCCCATGTTATAGACGAGATCCATATCTCCAGTTGGCAGGTACAGCCCAGCAGCGTACGATCCAAAAGACTTCAATTGTCCATTGCCCCAACGACGGAGCAGATTATTGAGTCGGCTGATAACATTTTCTCGCACGATACCCTCGAAATCATGCGGCTTCACCCATGCATAGAAGTCTACAATCTCTTTATGTAATGCCACCATAGCAGAGTCTGTCACTTTTGGCGGTCGTAGCCAAGGTGTTGGTGATATGTCTTGAGAGGGTTTCCAATCAGCGAGTACCATGCCATTAGCATGAAATTGTGATCTGCCTCGAGCGCCCATCAAGCGGCTGTTGTCGTCTCCACGTTTTCTCTTTCCCAGTACTGGATCTTGTTTGCTGGGAGGATTTCCCACAACATCCGCCTTAGGGCCAGTAGGAGCATTGGCAGGAGGGCTAAAAGTCTCGTCATCGAGGTTGTCGAACGATATGAAGTCGTCCTGTTCTGCGGCAAGAGTATGTGGTGATGACTGATCGTTTCGAGCTTTTCGAATCAGTTTGACAACATCTACGTGTTTTCCCGTCGAGCCAGGGACAGGTGGAAGTGCAGTGTAAGGATCGGGATTAGACCATCGAGGCTTAGTTGCCTCACCATTGTTGAGCCGACGTCTCTTCCCTCTGGCATCGTCCTCGTCATCGGTCTCTTCTTGCATCGACTCCTCCTCGCTGTCAGTCACGTTATCCACATCCTTGAATTTATCAACACCACCGTTATGCGTAAATACCACATCTTCCTGGGCACTAGGACGATGCGTCAACAGATCTCTTTCAGCAATTCTTGACCGGAACGAGAAGTCACCTCGACCACCACGACCACGAGAGGGTCGACCAAAATGGTACATAGCGTTTCTAGCTTCTGCAGGTGGCCGTGGTGGGGATCCTCGATCATATCTGGGACGATAAGAATTGTAGTCGTGGCGCGACATATTGGATGTATGGAGAGAAGAACACAACTGCGTAGGTCAATTTGTTCGGCGTATGCATAGTCTAGCAAAAGAATAGTTCTTGACCCAGGAAAGTGAAGGTCGTGGACTTTTGGAAGACGTAGTGTAGTGGCGGAAACCGCGCTTGCCAAGGCTACATCAGCCTTGTCACTCGTTTTCACGTCCTCGCTGTCCTCGCGCTATCATAACGTTTTATTGTTTCGCGTTGCTTACAGTCCATCTCCAATGGTTAAGGTCGCACTGGCAAACCCTTGCTTCGCAATCTTATGGGCCTCAAATCACCATGGAAAAACTGACCAGGACTCACAATTTTTCGGTCCCAACTCAATTGCCGAAACAGGCCATTGAAAATACGATAAACCCCAATTGAGGTACAATTCACTCTGGGAATGCAAAATAGTAATTCCACGCAGACAAAGCGCAAATATCGTGCCTCGAGGGTGAACGTTTGTGCTGGTCGTCAATGTCCTACCTTACCCCCCAGGGAACGGCGTTCACAGTTCATAACTTCTGTCTCTCTCAAGCTATAGACTGACTGACACTCCCTCGCGCTGCCGAAGCAGCTCCAACCGTTTCTGTCGTTAACACTAGGAAGCTCTAGACAGCTCAATGCTCGAGTGTTCACTTTGAAGCTGCGTTGATTCCCTCTCAAGCTGCCTTACCTTTACATGGGGTCATCGAGATACTTCAAGCCAGTTTCCAGTGTGCTTATGAGTCGACGGTCAAATGCCATCTCAGCAAAGCTAACCCGAGCAGTCCATCACTTCAACCAGAATCGCGCCGTCACACCATCTTGCGCTCTCAGTAGGCCTACGCTCACGTCGACAACATCAGGCCACTGAGAGTTGTGCCAGAAAATCGTTGCTCCGCAATTGGAACAAAATTCTCGAACAGCACTAGACGAGCTCTCGAAAGCTTGCATGGTTCCCATGCCGTACGTAAGGGATTCACCATTGGGGCTGAAGATGTTTGCTTTTGACACAAACGCCCATGCTTGAACTGGAGAGCCTAGGCCGAGTCTACAAGATCTACACGCGCAAGTGCCTGCAAGCCATTTGTCGCTGTCGCGGATCCACCACTTCTCGTCCTGTGGATTTTGGGATGAATGGGTGCGGTAAGGTGCAATAAGATCTGGCCACGGAGATGATCAAAGTCTCGAGTCGTTGTCAGGCCGAGTCAAGAAGAACTTTGCGCCGTCGCAAAGGCAGGCTGCGTCTAGCTTTGTAAATTCCTCCTTCAGGCTCTTTTTGGTGGGCTTGGAGACAAGATGCGGGCCATTCGTGCCTGTAAGATACGCATTGTTCTGTGGAGGGTGTTCGGCGACCGACGTTCGAGAGCCTCTCAGACAAAGAGACAAGCCGCCATCAAGCGTCTCATGGACGTATCGATCTTCTACGATTGTCTCTAGTGCCTCGAAAACTTGCTCACTGTGGATTCTGTCGAGAACACCTGATTGGACCCTCCAGCTATTACTGTATTCGAACAAATGGCTGCCACAGGTACTGCAGAAATACCTCGTCAGGCCCTCGTCTACCACAAAGGATTTCAGGTAGTCAACACTGGCGGGATGGCCCTGTATGGCAAGCGCCGAATGAAAGAGCCCACCGAGATTGTAGCGGCACACACTTTGATGACAGAGAGAAGAATCGATCGGGATCGGGCCTTCGAGCCGCACAGCACATCTGGCCTTGCCACACAAGCAAGTAGCTTCCGCCTCAGTCATTGTTGTACTCGAGTATTTGCTGCTTTGTGTCTGTAGACCGCCTCGAGAAGATCGGCATCAAAGACCATAGATCGTGGTGCTGTTCATCGTTTTACGTCGAAAATTGCGTCTTGACATTGGTAACAACTTGGTGATTAATGCTCTCGATAGTATATACAATACTAGTATTTGACTCGTTTTGAGTGCCTAAAAGTTGCTGACGTTATGATACTGTCAGCTGGTAGAACTTCCCCCTTACTACCTTGATTGGATGCACGAACCTGGTTGGCTCGCTCCAGGCTCTTTGTTCACAAGCACAAGTCGCTCCTGCAAGCGAAGCCTCCACGAGTATGTCCGTGGCAGTTGTGTCGCCGCCACTAGCAGTCGGCCCCACTTTTCAACCTTCTGCTGCCACTTTACATAAACCTTTCTTCCCTCCCTTATCACACACGAAAGTTCCTTTACATTCGCGTTATAAGCAACAAGAACACGCAAAGCACACAAGTCCAACTCAAGTCCTCGCTCAAACAAAGATACTATTCAAACAATCAGTATGGGACCATGCGGATGCTCCTGCGGTGACAACTGCGTACGTAAACACTCCGAAAACTTCAGGAAGTGTTGACTGACAAACTTCGCAGGGTTGCCCAGCTGGAAAATGCACCTGCAAATAAGCAAAGCACAATGAAATTGACCGAACTAAATGGCTAGACACGATCAAACATAAAACACAATGAAGCACATGGGGACACATTTGTGTCAAAACGTTCATCGATAAATTCTGTTCTATCCTATCCAATTTGTCTTCTGGCAGACTCCACAGTCAGCGGTGGTTGCAACAAGGACGTGGTGCAGTAAACTTGAGTATATGCTAGTGGAGGCATGAAACATGGATTCATACATTCGGAGCTGATTTGGTTCCAGTCACGAAGCCATTCCAGCTGATAACACAGAAATCCAAGTATATCTTCTCTACACGGTTTTTGTGCATTTGCCTTTGAAGTGCTCGTTGACAGTCCCATGTCTTCACCTGCTGATCGCATGGTGAGGGGCAGTCACATGCTGATCACCCTTATCGATAAAGGCTCGGAATTGTCTCTAACGAGCCTAGCTTCTTGACGCGTTGACTGGCTCCGCTTGCGAAGAGACGCGTAGTCTTCCAGCTCTCCTTCCGACCATCTGTGCTGCTCATCGCGTATTGAATACATGCTGACCAGATGTGTGGTGACAGCACACCTCACTCAACAAGGCTCCGCTCTAGCTGCTGTGTCGCTGAACACAGAATGGTTGTTATTCTCTCCACGAGACATTCACATGGCATTTACGTGGTTAGTCGCTGGAGCTGGTGAAGCAGATTGACCCAAGCAGGCGAATGGTGGCAGATAGGCCATCGTCAACTAGTGTGGCAACGCAATACCATTACTCTGATCCAAGAGGCCTTTGAATTTCGATCGATTCCAGATATGGTCCTGCAACGATTTTTGATGTGTGGGAGCATCAGAATCACAAAGTAATAAAGTATTAGATCCTCTGTTGGGCCTTTCAAAGTCCAGCTGCGACCTGTATACGCCGGATCGTGACGCTTGCAGACGTCCGACGTCTTAGTGTGTCGCTGCATATTCCTGCACTATGTAGCACACTATGAGTCTTATCCGTCATGTTTGATGACAATGCTGGCACAAGTGACACAAGAGGACACAAACGAGCAAATATGTTGGTAAGTACAAGTTGGAAGCCGCATGGACATATCAAAAGCATCTGAGCGCCATGAATGTGAAATTTTCATGCTACACGCCTAGTACCTTTTTGCGAGATTCAATTTTAGAGGACGTACCGCTTACACCTTCTTCGACTATCATCCGCTACAAATCCTGCAAGATTGTTGTTGATATGGAGCCAAGCGTTCTGATGTTACAGACGTTTCGTCTACTTGATCTTCCTGAAGAAATCCAGGAAAACGTTCTTATCAGATACTATGAAGATGCGTCGCTACACGTGCGATTCGGACAAGCTGATCAACACGGCTGGTCTAAACCTCAACTCTACGGCACGCCAAGCCTCGGGATAGAGATGACAAACCACGATATTCGAAGGATAGCTCTGGACGTTCGAGACCGATATATGCCTCGATCATTGACGGTAAACTATTCAGGAGATCGCCCAACAGAATTTTTCGACAACCTTCTCAGGCATCACGATCTCACCTGGCTTCGACAACACATTGACAACGTGAATTTCCCCAGCTTGAAACCTGGCAGTGTGATCACATCCTGGCCAAGATTGGTATCAATCTGGAAGAATGTGCGATTGTTCCATTTCACACGCACTATCGATCTGTCGCGCATGCCGATAGTTCCACCATATCTGCTAGCACAACCCACATTCATAAGACAGTCGGTTGTGGAAACGGCTCGGGGACAGTTCGACTTTATGTTGTTCCAGCTGATGGAACCTTTGAACCTGATCGGCCTCGTACACGCTCTGGACGAAGATGGTCGAGCAGATGCTACTATAGATGTGAACTGTACATCATTCGAGTTCAGGAAGGGGTTTACTGAGACAAAGTTGATCGATAGAGGATATGCCTATCTTCTGCTGAAAGCCAGGATCAAAGTCACGAAGGACGGCTATAAGGTCAAGGAACGGGTATGTGAGTTGGGAAGCATGACGGCTCGTTGGGCTGTTGAAACAGGAATTGTCGAGGTCGAAGATGCGGCGAAGAACACGAACGTGGAATTGAATGAGAGAATTGACTAAGTATTGAGTGAAAAAATAATGTTGTGCTGTGCCAAACAAGTGGCGAGAGTTTGCTAAAGTGATGGATATTTGGGCCAGTCCCCTAACAAAAAGTTCACACCTGCTCTTACACCTCTAAGTACCAGAAAGTTCTCGCAGATCCGGGTCACCACTACCAATCTCATTTCGAGCGATCACAGATTATTTCTCGACATCCCAACCTTCTGGCATCTCGCCCAGGTGAGAAGTCCCAGGTAATGCGTCCTGCTCCTCTAACTTCTGCGAAGATGAAGCACCGAAGTCGCAAACAGCAACCCTTCCGCCTCCTTGATCTGCCTGCGGAGCTACAGCTGAAGGTGTATGAGAAATATCTCGAGGATGTAAAATTCCGTGTTCACGAAACAACAAAAAATCCCAACGGATCTAGAGTTGAAAGAGTACCGGGGTTGAATATTGAGCTCGCTAGCCGCCAAGTATGTGCTGACGTCCGACAAATGCGCAGAGAATGCACGAATCAAACCCTCATCATGGACGAAAGATCGATCAACCACTGAGTCGGGACACTAGTCGCCAATCCCAAATACCACTGGGTAAGAGATCATATCAGCCAGCTGGAAGTGCAGACCTTCGGTACAACATTTGACAACAAATCTCCAGGAATGCTCGCCTGTCCTAGTCTAGAACCTCTGATACACGCCTGCCCCTTTCTCAGAGAAATCAACCTTCACATCACAGTCAATTCGCCCCCGAACTTTCTCAATTCACGAACCCCCTTGTGTTACTCACACGAAATTCGTGCACAGTTTACCAAGTTCATGCATGAAGTCGACGCTCCGCGCTACGAAGACACAGCGGTGAGTCTGCAGAACCTCGCAAACGTCTTGACATCACGTCATACCGATAGTCGTGTGCAAATATTCGTGACGGTGAAGTACGCTCATAACAAGGACGAGGAGTCAGTGTTGACCAAGGTAGGTCCCTGCCCCCAATAAAAGCAGCACCTGGCCAATCGACTGTGATCAAAAACACTGACATGTCAATAGTTCACACACCACATCATCAGCACCAACGAGATAAAGCTGAAGTTCAAAGAGGCCTCTTGCGCTTCTGGCCATGGGAGGTGGAGCGAGGGCATGATCAATCCACTGATCGAGCTCAGTTGATCCGATCGCACGTTGTGTACCACACGGTCAACTACCTCTACACCCATCGCTACGACAGAGTCCTCTGACATGCATACACCGCATTGTCCCGACACTGACCGTACTGCGCATGAGAAAAACAGAAAGATCGGCAGGACCATGCCATGATCCAATTGGACGATATTGGAGACCTCGGGTGGACACCTCGTCGATTGATTATGCCAGGATGCTGGAGTGGAATGCATTATTATGATGACTTTGTGAATCCGTTTCTGTATGTCGCTGCCACTACGCTGACAGGAATCACACGCCAAACGCAACCGAAAATTCAGTCTTCAACGACGTCGCTGCATGTTTGCATGTCTCTCTATCTTTACTCTGACGAGGACCTTAGTTTTTCATCAGACCGAACATTGTATGCGAAGGAATGGTGCGTTCGACAAAAGATGTTCCCGTACTACAGAAGCTCTAAGATCTCAACGACTAATTAGATTCGCTCAACGCAATGTCTCTGAGAACGGCGAGATCGTTGCAAGATAATTAAATCGCCCATGACGACTTTCATGAATGTACACCAACATGATTTTGGATCAACCACTTCAGCTTAACACGTATGCCCTCTCATCCACGTAACCGTTCTCCCTTTGGATCGAACAATGGTTCAGCAGCAACGGTAGCCTTGATCCTCTGTCCGAAATATTCAAGTTCCATAGCATCACCCACAGCGAACTTGCTTGGCAGCCATGCGTAGGCTAGTGGTCTGCCGATACTGTAGCCGAAAGCTGCACTCGTGACGTATCCGACAGCCTTGCCTTCGTGGAAGACAGGCTCTTTTCCAAGGACTACCGACTTCCCGTCATCGATAGTCAGACAAGTCAGTCGTCTGGCCACATTGTCATTGTTGCGGCCATCGAGTGCTGCTTGACCTATATAGTCCTTCTTGCCAGCTTTGACGGCAAATCCGAGACCTGACTCGTAAGGATCATGCTCAGAAGTCATGTCTGTACCCCAAGCTCGATATCCCTTCTCAAGTCGAAGTGCATTGAAAGCCACACGGCCAGCCGCGATGATGCCGTGCTTCTGACCAGCCTTCCAGAGGGCGTCCCAGAGTCGCTGGCCATACTCGGCGCTGGTATAGATTTCCCAGCCTAGCTCGCCGACGTATGATAGACGCATGGCTGTGACTGGAACGCCCGATATGCTCGCTCTCTTGCAGCGGAAGTAGCCCATGCCTTTTGGAGAGAAGTTGTCTTGGCTTATCGATGTAATTACATCGCGTGCTCGTGGCCCCCACAGGCCTACGCAGCATGTGCCGCCTGTAATGTCGCGTACGTGAACCCAGGAAGCTGGAGTCTTCTGCATCTGCTTTCGTGCTTCACGTTTGAGGTATACTAGATCGATGGGTCCGTTGCAACCGACTTGAAACAGCTCTTCAGTGAGTCTGGCAACTGTGATATCGCTTCGTACGCCTCCATCCTCATTGAGCATCAATGTGTATGTGACTGGACCGGTCTTTGGACCTGGCAGCTTCGAGACATCACCACTGCAAAGCCTTTGCAGCAAGTCAACCGCACCTGGACCAGACACTTCAAGTCGCCTCAGTGGCGTCATGTCGTACATGGCGACAGCAGTCCGTGTCTTCCATGCCTCTGCAGCTGCGATAGGTGAGTAGAATCGGCTCGACCATGCATCTCGTTCAACTGGCTGCCACTCTGCTGGCAGGTCTTTGACCAGATCTGCATTTGCTTCAAACCAATATGGACGTTCCCAAGCGCCGGCCTCGAGGAAGTATGCTCCAAGCTCTTTGTGTCGCTGATAGAAAGGACTTACACGTAGATTGCGTGGGGATTCTTTAGGTTGTAGAGGGTGAATAATGTCGTATACCTCGACGAAGTTTTGTGACGCAGTCTCCATCACGTATTCTGGAGTAAGTTGAACCTCCTCAAAGCGCGATAATTCACAATCAGCCAGGTCAACGTCGGAATGTCCCGTGGTCAGGACTTGAGCGACAGCTCGTGCTACACCGGCAGAGTGTGTCACCCAGACTGCCTCGGCCACCCAGAAACCATCGAGGGTAGGATGTTGGCCAACAAGTGACCCACCATCAGGAGTGAAAGAGAAAATTCCATTGAAACCGTCAGCAATTTCAGTCTGTTGGAGGGCAGGTAGGAATTCTTTAGACAGGGTCCAAGCCGGTTCAAAGTCCTCCCGTGTGAACTCAAGACGTGATGGCATCATCTTCTCATGGACCTCTTCCGGAGTCCTGCCTAGAGAGGCAGCGACGACTGGCAGAGGTTTGTGGCCATAGTACCCAATACCGATCTGGTCTCCGTGTTCACGGTAGTAGAGATCCTGGTCCTGATAACGCAGAATTGGTAGGCTGGCTCCATTCGGTTGAGCGTTGCGTTCAGCACGGCCAGGAATGCTCGTCGTTTTTACGTATTGATGCGCCAGAGGCAGCAATGGAACGGGTAAGCCCACCATAGCACCAATCTCGACGCCCCAGAAGCCAGCACAAGAAACCACAATATCGGCAGGTATGAAGCCGTTGTCGGTCTTGACGCCTGTGACGTGACCGTCAGCCTTCTCAATCCCTGTAACGGCTGTCTTGTCAACGTATTTGACGCCAGCATTACGTGAGCGTTCGATCAATAATTGTGTCGCCCGCGCAGCCAGTGCCAATCCGTCACTTGGTATGTGTATGCCGCCAAGTACCAAGTCCTTGTTCAATTCTGGATGAAGCTTCAAGCATTCTTCGGCACTTATCAGATGTGATTCAATGCCCCAAGAAGAGGCCCAGCCATGCTTGCGCTTCAGTTCTTCGAGACGCGCTTGAGTAGTCGCTACTTCTAGACCGCCGACCTGGTTGAAACAGCTCTGGCCGTCCTTTTCTAACGACAACATTTTCTCGACAGTATATGTGGCGAACTTAGCCATGGTCTTGGAAGGATTCGTCTGATACACTAATCCTGGTGCATGTGAGGTAGATCCACCTGGCATTGATAGAGGACCTTGCTCCACAACGGTAACATCTTTCCAGCCGCGCGAGGCTAGCTCGTCGGCCAGATTGGTGCCTACAATGCCAGCACCTATGATGACCACACGCCGTGAGTTCGATTCTGGGAGAGCTGCATGACCGTTGACTGTCGTGCTTTCCACGACAGTGCCGTTGGCTGTGCCGTTGACATGGGACGCGACAGCAGCAGGCTCCTCTTTGGGCTCACGCTTTTCTAGCAGCGAGGTGATTTTCGATAGTTGTGCCTCAATACTGTGTAGACGGTCGTCTTGAGCGTTGGGCTGTGGCGCGAAGACCTTCTTCAGTGGTGCTGTAATGCTGTCTGCAATGCCATTGCTTGCAGCACCATTCGTGACTGTGCCGTTGGTCGTGCTGCCATTTGTCTCGCCATTAGGTTGCATCTTGGCCGCAACCTTGTGATTATATCTGATCTTACTAGTGGTAGTCTGACCACTTGTTGGATATCTCGAACCAACCCTTATCTGCGCTCATGAGGACCATATACCATCTCATATACGAGCAGATCCTGATCATTAAGAAGGACCGCACCACCAAGTCAACCTCCAGGATCGTGTCTCGCAATACAGCATACCAGATAGGTGCTCCATAAAAGCCGTGGCAAAATCATAGCACCTCAATATGCATAACCAGAACTCTTACCCGTTCCTGTCTGTGGTCAGCCATGTCGAGGAATCTAAAACCCCTTTCGTACTAGTGCCAAAATCTGAGTTAACAAGGAACGGCTGTTGTGCTGTGTTCGGGTGGACAAGCTGCAAGATAAAAAGGTGGGGAAGGTAAAGGCCGGTATGTCTCTAGAACATCGTCAACTTTGACCAAAACGGGTTTACTTGATTATGGTCCATCGTGACTGATTCGAAGCTTGATCGCGGTGACTGCTCGAGGTGTCTGGTACGCTTCTCAGCAATATTCATATCGAGAGACGATGATTTATTAGCTATCTGCTGCATGTTTAGCTCGTGTAAATGCCAAGAGTTTTGCACAACCGTATATTCTAGCAGCTCTTGGCAGATTATTGTATAGCAAGCTCTCGAATATCACGCTGGAGAGGAACATGTCAAGTGCCTGTGATCACCTTCGTAGCAGTGTGACTACGTGTCTCCGACTCGAACAACCGCTGATACCGTCATGCAAGTTTGACTCTTCAATATTCCCAAGTAGTTTCTGTTTAGTAGCCAGTAAGACATCTAGATTCAAGTCTACACAAGCAGAGCGAAATGATGGCGAACACCAACATTTTGCAAAGGTACCGTGGTTCAGGGGGAGATAAGTACCTCAAGATTCGACAGAGGACAGCTGGCATTAAGTCTATGTCAAAAGTATCCAAGCATGCAATGTCAGATGCAATCCCTGCGCCATGAAACTCCTTAGCAACACCCCTTAATAATGACTTGATGTTCTACAACAAAATCACCAGACTAAACCTTCCTGGTTCATCTGACAGGCGAGGCCCGAGCAGAAATCGAAGTCCTTCTTGCTCACGCCTGCTGTTGTTGGCAGCACTTGACGAGCAGGCCATATCTCTTGCTTTGCCTTCTGTTCACGCTCGTAGTGTGCAACTACCGCGTCTCGAACATTTTTCTGGAAGAATAGAGGACCCTTTTCCATGCGAGGGTGCATCTCTCCGTTGACGAATATACCTGCATTGATGTTCTTTTGTGCCTGCTCGCATAGATATTTGTCCTCCGTCATGATTCGCTTGTACATTTGGTTGATCTTGTCGAAATCCTCCTCACTTGCATTCTTGTTTCGGAAAACTTCATAACGCATAGACGAACGGCCAGGTGCATACGGCACGAATCTCTGGATGAAAAAGAAGTTGGGACTATATTGTTGTTAGCAAAATTCAGCTTTTCTGGGGTTTGACACTCACGAGACATTCATAGAGGCGTTTGGAAAGAAGTATGTAGGGCAGACGGTGAGGCCGCTACTTCGCTGTTCAGCAGTAGTGGCCGTATCGTGAACAATATACGAGTCTTTCGTAGTGACCTTGTATGATTGAAGGTCCGCTAGGGCAACTATGTCGGGGTGTGAAGTTGGGCAGTGATAGCATTCGTTATAGTTGTCAGATAAGATCTTCCAGTTCCAGTCTCCATCCATATTCCAGGAGTGGTCGTATACGTAATCGTCAAAGTTGAACTGCTGTAATCTAGGCTGCGTGTCGACATTATCGAAGTCGTCCTCCCAGCTTACTTCTGGCTTCTCCTTGGCGTCCAAATTGACCCAAATAAAGCCGTTGTGGTCGATATGAACGTGTATCGGTAGAAGACCATTCTTGTCTTTATCGAAACCCTGTAGCTCTTGATATCCGGGTGCTTTTGCCAGCTTGCCATTCAGCCCATATGACCAACCGTGATACTTGCAAGAGAATATTCGTGATGTACCCTGGTCTTCTGTCACCACTGGGAAGGCTCGGTGCCTGCAGATGTTGTGGAATCCATTGATGTTGCCATCACGATCGCAGCACAGCACAAATTGAAACCCAGCAACATCATACTTCAGCCATTCGCCTGGCTGACTGAGTCTGACTTTGTGAGTGACGAACATCCATCTTCTTGAGAATATGGCACGCTTCTCAAGCTCATACATCTCCTTCGACGTATACCAGTTTGCGGGTAGAGCCCGGACCGGGGACTTCTCCTCTGCCACAGGCTCGGCAGCCCCGAAGCCGAAATAGTTCAAAATTGCTGGAGCCATTTTGTATAAGATTAGACACTGTTGTAGTTTAGGCACAGCTTGGTGTTGAATTGATTTTGCAGAAGCAACGGTCTACCTCCTTTTTTAATGGTAATGCTCGAGCACTTCGTTGTTGCTTTTGCATATCGTCTTCGTTTTGCCATCACACGTATCGCCCTGTATATTGTATGGTTCGATAAGGGTCTATACACCCCCATGGGGTTAACATGTCCATGCGCTAGTCGATTGGTGTCGGGCTGATAAGCCTTCCAGACGAGGGTAGAAAGATTTGGTCCAATAACGTAATCTTACCGCTATGCTAGCCGACTGACGGAGATCCACATACCTGATAAGGTTGTACTTTCCACCATTGCAATGATAATGATGCATGCAAGCCGTTTGACTTTGGGCAGAGGTGGTTCATGTAGTTTTCCCGTCGACACAAGAATGGCATTCTGCAACACGATGACAATCGAGAATCTCATGCCGTGCTCCGCCAGAAGTGAATCAGCATAAATTGTCAATGCGTGCCGACGGCATATGACGCCAAGTGCGGAGTTGTTTACGTCCAGAGCCAGTCTCGATCATTGCTGTGGGAGACTGATTCAAAGGTCGCTTCATCAATAACAACGTCGAGGAGGCGCAGTTGGTGCAACTCGTTAGGTTTTGTGAGATTCAAACCCACGATGTTGTCTGGAATGTGCACTGCGAAGGGCGGGGCGTGTGCAACGGATTGCCACTGTTTTGTCCACGAACGCACAAAGTGGACCGTTCAGGAGCGCAGTACGTGAAACAGACGATTCTGCAACCGAGTGACCGCACTGCAATGTCTGAGTATACTGGTATCCTCCGCGGTATATGTTGCTGTGGACGTTTCGAGGTGTAGATCAACATAGTCGCTTTGCACCTTTGCAACACAGTGTTGTCGCTCAAGGACCCGCCAGGGTTTTGGTCCAAAATTGACTATGTTCTCAGGTGCGATGGGCGAGAGCAGTCGTGTAGGAGAGTTCTGCTGTATCTAGCAGCATCAGGCTACTTGCGTGTTCTGGTCACAAATCGGTTCAGTCCTCGGAAGGTGAGACCTGGTGGGCTCAGTCGAAGTGAGGCTTAATCCGGGCAGGTTCAAAATAGCAAGTGTATCAACGACGTACTTGTGGTGTTGCAAGTCACATCTACTGCTTGAGGCCCGTACTCGACTGGCGAAGAAATTTTGCTTAAGGACATATTTCGATTGTGACCATGGGACCATGTTGCTTAGGATTCGTGGTAAAGAGATGTCGCTTAGGATAGATTGCCTCTGTGACATCCACGAATATTGTTATCGAAACGTAGTCGTTCAATCAAGCGAAGAAAGGTTTGAATGATAGTGCAATTGTAGAATTGATTTATTGTTTTCTCATGCTTCACGAGTCAAGATGACTCTATAGCGGTTGACTGGTAGTATTCGTTAGCTAGTGTGTTGAGCGAACGCAACTTTGTGCTTACTCTAGGGGTTTTGTATTGAAAGTGCAGCCGCATTATGAAGATGTTCAACGAACGTGGCGTCATCTGCCACGATGGCCTCTTCAGCGAACAATGCCTCCAGCAGGATTCATGGTCAGACAAGCGCCAGCCAGCGTATGTCCAAGTAGAGACATAAGCGATGCATCCATTGCAGTGAGCTTACACGAGCTTACCAGCAGCAGAGATAACAGACGATAAATGGACCTGTTTGAATCGTGGCTCCTCTGTCTGCGACCAGTAGATAAGGTAGAAAGTGCAAAGTGAGCCGGATTCTCGTTCCTTATATGTACGACGCGCTCGGAATCAGAAACACGGTGGTAGTTATACATATATATGGCTGGTCGCAGATACGCGCACAACCGAATGTCAGGTAACGAATTGCAGTGGTAAGACTTGCAACTTCGCGTCGGGATAATGGTTCCTAATGTGATCTAGCTCCGTGATTTTCTACACGAATAGAAAAGTTGTGACCGAGCCACACACCGAACATGCGATAGACCTGCAGGGCGGTGGTATTTTGATTGTGAACATCGTCTGACCTTCTTTGTTCGATCACAGGCATCATATATAGGCTGGATCAAGTATAGCTCGTGCTTAGAGGTCATCATCTTGAACACATGAGTAGGCATTACTTCGAATGGACACTTGCTATCGTTGGATAAGGAGGGCGCGACGATGTTCACGGTTGATGTGAATACCGTCTTGGACCTGGTAGAATAGTACGCATAGCTTCCGGATGACTGGAAGAGAATCGAACAATTATGTAGAATCACAATGAAGCGTGAATGAAACAACGACAGGCACAATGCATTCCGCAAGACTTACCATGAACTCCAATCAGAAAATCACTTCATGGACAGTACTCTCGTCGTGTCTTTTGACAGCTACTTCCAAGACGACTCGAACTACTTGTTTTCCCGGACGTGCACATTGAATATTCAATCTCTTCGCAGAAAAATAGCAATAAACCAGCCAAGACAAGCCATAGCTCATCAACACTATGCTTGGAACGATCAGGAGTCGGTGGCACGACTGAGGTCTGTAGGAAGACGAGATAGTCACGCTGCATAAGTGATAGCAATAGATCCTGAGGAGATTCAACTTTCACATATAGATCCATCATCTCGTTCCACTGCTGAGTAACGTCCAGATTTACACTGCCACAACTATTGAAACAGTAAGCAGTATATGCGTGGTCATATACCTTGACAGCTGCAAGAAAATTCTAAGATAGACAGTCGATGTGCCCGTGACAAGAGAGCCCTGAAGGCAGATAGACTGCATGGCGGATCAGAGACGTCCATCATGACATCCCTTAATTTGGGACCTACAGAGATGGTGGCGCAGTCAGCACGGCTGAAATAAACTGCGCGCTTAACACGCATGACCATCGAGGATACAGGGACTTCTTGCAGCGAGACTGATAGTCAGCATACAGAGATCGTTCGAATTGAACGCGCTGATTCATGAATGCTGCCATCGTATTGCTGAAGAGCGAAGTCTATCCACATAGTAGCTTTGTATTCCTGGCAGCTCGAGCTTCGAGCCAGGCAGGTCAGACGAGAGGCTTGGCATAATGTCCCTCTGCAATTCTCCATGTCAAATAGCTAAAGAGAAACTTCACAAGCAAAGTACCCCACGATGATCGATATCCAAGAGCGCCGACGCTGAATCAAATCAAAGAAAAATATAGTCGAGGACCGAGTCCGTTGGATACTCTTTAGCACAGAATAAATCTCAGCCAGTCCGCTTCCACTGGAAACCTATGTAGCCTACAAGCTGAGAGAACGCCTCATCGCGACATTCGAGGTTAGAAGCGTGATAAGTTGTCCCGTCCAAGGCCTGGAATGCGATACCGGAGAGCTCTCTGATTCCAACATAATCTGTGATCTTGGAACCCGTTAGCATACATTTTACAAGATGTCTCGCGACGACTGACTTTTTGTATTGTCCGCAGCTCTTTGATCAGTATAGTCCAGTCAGTGTCGGACGACTGCCGTGGCTGAAAAGAGATCGACTCTGTAGTCGCTACCAATAACCCTTGTCCGTCGTTGTGCATGCAAGAGTAACGGCCAATGAGTTTAGCTTGCTTGTGCTGTTTGTCAAAGTCGTTGGTTGCCGCCTGGGTTTCAGCCCGAGCTGGAGGTTGGCGATCTTTGTCAATCGAAGTGAGTGTATCGTCTTGCTGCAGGTATTGCTTTGCTTCCGCTTGAAGTCGCGCAATAGCCCATTCCGCTATTAAAAGGTCAGCCAAGTCCACTTTATATATTCTTCTCCAGTCAACGTACCGTGTGTGGGCACCCTCCACATGAACCACGTTACCGGCGAGGTGAGCAACCTATATTTTGGATACCGACGTGCGACGGGTGTCATGACGAAGAAGTCGAACCCGATAGAGAAGAAAATCATCTGTACGAGCATTTGCGTTGGAACCATGGTTATTAGTAACCACCAGGAAAGAAGAACACAAATCATGTTTTTGGTGTAACGTGGGTTGCGCCACTCAAAGAAGCTAGATCATCGTTAGTATGAGAATAGACGGAGTTGGCTGTGAGGTACGTACTTTCGTCCCATCTCCAGAATGTCTGCTGCACGTTCAAGCCAGTCGAAGGCGGCAGGACCGACGAGCTCTATAACGCGGTCGACATAACCTCTCGTACCATATTGTGTCACCAGTTCTGTAAGGTTTTTGGCCAACTCGTCACTATCTTCTGAATGGATTATGGTATCTCGCATTTGGTCAATACCTGGAATGCGCCAACCGCGATAAAGGGTTATGACGATGACATATAGGATCTTCTACATTAGCAAGACTGGGGCGAATTATACAGTCAGGCGACTTACTGCCATGCGTGTAATCTGGCTGAATATCAGAAGGGAGAAGTATAGTGACATGTAGCCGGCAGTTTCCCAGGGGTTCTCCCAATGTGATATGCTTCGGAACTTCATGAAAAGGGTCTGTAGAGGTACTGAGGCAATGACAACCCTCTCAAGAGAGGACGCGAGGAGTTTTCGATCAGGTTGTGGGAATTTATCGCCGTTATCGATATAAAAGTCCGCATGCTTCTCGAGCTCGTATTCCAGTAACTATCACCTGATGAGCATTGCTTAAGCCACAGCACCTGCAACGAAGCTTACCTTACTAGCATATTCCGACCATATTGGGCCTTTAGGTTTTGTGCCCACAAGAATCGGACCGAGGATCTGGGGACGCTGAGGTGGTCTGTCGACCACGGGCACTCGAGCTACCTTTCTGATATGTCGATCAATGGTCCACCGGACAAAGGAATCCTGCTTGAGCTGCTTCATTTGCACGAAAGTTTCGATTTCGGCATTCTTCTCAGATTCACTTGTCGCTTGGGCAATTTTGTCGTGTTGACGGAGCATATGCACATCTGCTCCATGTGAAAACTCCGAGTTGGCTATGTTTTCTGCGAAGTCGTTTCCACGTTGGTCTTGGACAGTTGACTGAAGTGCTGCAATTGGGTGATGCATGAAATCTTTGAGGGGTGGCACTTTTGGTTTCTCCTGTACGTTATACTTCAGTCGCTCGTTCTCGAGTGCACCAATAGGAGGACTGGGAGCAAGAATTGGTGCAGCATCATCTTGGGATTTACGAGCTTCTTTGGAAGTTGCATGGTGTTTCTCTTGGACAGCGATTTTGATTTTATTGATTCCATAGCGAGGATGTACCACAACAGAAAGTAGATTGTCGCCAATCGCCTTGCGAATAGAGGGTTTCTGGTAATTCAGAGCCTCTGGCGATGGACGAGGACTAACACCATCACTAACAGGAGGACCGACTCCAAGCTCGGCGCGATCCAGTCCATCCGACACGGTTCCGAAGTCATTCAATTTAGACGCCATGTCTACTTCGTATACTCACAGACGGGTTTTCCGCATATTGTGTTTAGTAGAGATGGTGCATATGGACGCGAGCTGTATGAAAATGGGACGACTTGAGTCAAGAAGCAAACGTCATTGTTTGAACCACGTGCAGTGCTCCGGAATAGTCTTCCTAGCCTCTGCATAGATTGCATTTCTTTTAGCGGCTCGCTTGAATATATCGTTGGTTCATCTGAGGCGTGATGTATAGTTGTTGACATGTTAAACAGGTAGGACTCCAGGGACGAACAAGAATGAAGAGCAAGTCCGAAGCACTATTCCTGCTAAGGCTAAGTTCCTTCTGCAAAACGTCATATTCGCGTTCGTTTGATTCAGGCAAGCACGCGTATCCCCAGTCGAGACTGCACGCCATTTTTGAAGTCCAAATGTCCGAACAACAGTACCGACTACAACGAGGAGCTGTAGCTACAAACTGCGTCCAAACAGCAATCAACATCTATTTTGACATCAATGAGCAGAGACACTGACGTCCATTGCCTAGCCAGCCTGAATTCCGGGACTGTTGAGCACGGGCAATTATGTTGCTGCCCAGCGAATCACTTCGACAATGTCTCCGGAGACCTCCCAAGCTAAACGCTGTAACGATCTTCAGTAATGAATCTGAAACGCATTTCTTAACAGCAGGATCTAATACACTTGTGCCTTGTATCTCGGCACAATGCGAGGCCCTGACTTTACAACCATTTGATATCTCATACTGTCAGCGCAGCCCCTGCATGCAAGATCCGTGGTTGCAATTATCAAGTAATATCGCAACAGGGGTATCGAACAACCTTACAAGACGAACTGAAAGAGCTTAGTCTATACCGAGTCTTTTGCTTGACGATAGAGCTTGTGGTGAAGACCTCCTTTGGAATACGCAATTGATAGGCAATCGAGTCATATGGGCGCGTTGGTGGTGACTTCGCTACCTCTACAAGAGTATAGCTCTAAGACCGTCGACGGAGTAACGAGCACATCGCACATCAGATGGCGCCAGTGGGAAAAGGTAGGACAGCGAGGCTCACGTCGTACCATGAATATAATGTTCGATCAATGCACGAAACTATTTGCAAATACCTTTGCCTGTGATTCGGATCACATAATCTTGTGGCTAGTCAAGGCACTCGGGTTCAAGATATGTATAGCAAAAGTGATTCGCTGCTGTGCACAACCCCTTTGCTAGCATTCCGTCTATAGGTGCAGGTATGTGTTATTCTAGATTCTAGAAAGCGAGCTCAGGCCGCCACGTGGGTGGCTGTTAACATGTGTATCGCATGGCTAAGAATGTGCAGCCGAAGATCAGTTTGTTGAAGAACCGCTCTGACCAATGTTGATATGGCACAATCAGGAAGTTCTATAAGAGGACCACCACACTCTCAGCATCGAGGTGGTGTTCAATCGTCTACCAGGGTCAGAAAATGCCTTCGACACTGTTTGCAAGTCTAGCCTTGACAGCACTAGGATGCTGCTTTCCTGGTGTAAATGCCTTCTGGCGCATGAATTGTGGCATCATACAGCTTGGCCGTGTCGACCCTATTGTCAACTATGATGGCATTTCAGGTCATGTTCACATTATTGGAGGTCCTAACAGTTGGTTTGTCCTCGCGACCGTCCTGCTTCACGCTAACATATTCAAGATTTCAATACTACCTCTAATTATGATATGCTCAGGAACTCCCTATGTACATCATGCACGATTCAAGAAGACAAAAGCGCCTACTGGACTCCCTATATGTATTACCAAAAGGCTGACGGCACTTTCCTCAGCGTGAAGAACGGTGGCATCATCATCTACTACCTGGAACGTGGCCAAGGCATTGTAACGCCTTTCCCTCCAGGCTTCAAGATGATATCTGGCAACCCAGGTTTGCGCTCGTACAACAGGACTACTATGACGTATGGTACTGCTGACAACCCAGGACGACCTGTGGCCGATGCGGTTTCGTTTGCGTGCATTGACTATACAAAACCTTACTCAGAAACAGCTGGTTTTCCGTCCGACATGAACTGTCCACAAGGACTACGTGCACAGGTTCATTTCCAGACGTGCTGGGATGGGGTTAATCTCTACAAGCCGGATAATTCACATGTTGCGCATCTCTCGCAGATTGACAATGGCATATGTCCTCCAACACACCCTGAGCTCCTGCCTCACCTGTTCTACGAGATGTACTACAACCTTGATAGCGTTGACACGTCTGATGGCGGCCGTTTCCTGCTCGCCACTGGAGATACAACAGGTTATGGATACCATGGCGACTTCCTGAATGGCTGGAACCCCGATGTTCAAGCTCGAGCTGTGTCAAACTGCCTCGCTAGCTCGGGCTCTGGTCAGATCGAAGACTGCCCGGATCTTAATGCTAGTAACGATGTGGCATCTGGAGCGAATTGTCCCCTTCAACCACCTCTAGTGGATGAAGAGATATCGGGAAGCTTAACAGCGTTGCCAGGCTGCAATCCCCCTACTTCGGGACCAGAGCGGGTTAGACAGCAGAATTGTCCCGGCAAGTTGATACCGCAGACCAATACTGATGGACAGAAACAAACTCCTGTACCTGGTAATACAACTGTAACTTTGTCGTCGGGAAGTAGAGCTACATATGCTGGTTGCTATGTGGATCAAGGCGACCGTGCTCTTCCAGGTGCGAGCTATACTGATTCTGTTAGAATGACAACAGAATCGTGTGGTGCTTTTTGTCAAGGTAAAGGCTATAGCGTCTTTGGAACAGAATACGCTCAAGAGTGCTTTTGTGGTAATACGATTACATCGGCAAATTCTAGTCAAAGTGACTGCTCGATGACATGCAAAGGCAACCTTGCCACATACTGTGGTGGACCAAACAGATTGAGTGTGTGGAAATTAGCACAAGCTGGAAGTAGCAGCAGCAGCAGCAGCAGCAGTAGTAGTAGCAGGAGCAGCACGACATCAACTGTTTCTACTCAGATCACATCCTCCGTCACATCAAAGACGATAAATACGACCTCATTAGCTGCTGCAGCTACCGGACCCCAGGTACAGAACGCCAATTACCTAGGCTGCTACACCGACTCAGTCGATCGTCGTGCTCTATCAGGTTACTACTCCAACAGCAACACTCAGACCCTCGACACGTGCCGTACAGCAGCCGAAAACAATGGCTTCGAGTACTTCGGCGTCGAGTACTCTGGAGAGTGCTTCGCAGGCAACACTATCTCGTCATCATCCTCTCCTACCTCCCAGAACTGCAACATGCGCTGCCACGGCAACAGCTCTCAGATTTGTGGCGGATCGAACGCCATTTCTATGTTCGAAAGTCTTCGTTACGTTGAGGCCATCAATAAGGCGGATGTCGCCGTCAATAACGGAACAGCAAGCGGCTCATTCGGCTATGGAGGATGTTACACCGACGCAGCTGGCCTCAAGCGTACATTGACTACGTACTGGTTCTCTGATGCGAACATGACGGTTGAGATGTGTCTAACCACTTGCTTCAGCAAAGGTCTCAGCGTGGCTGGTGTTGAGTATGCCAACGAATGCTATTGCGATACGGAGATCAGGAATGCTGCAATCGTGGCGGCTGATTCGGAATGCTCAATGAGATGTGCTGGTGACAAAGCTGAGTGGTGTGGTGCTGGAGGACGAATCAGTGTGTACAGGCAGAAGATTGCAGGGCGAACGAGGTGAACAGATTGAGTTTGGATGGATCAGACGCCTAAATGCATTTAGATATTTCGACAGTGTCCGTACTGCTAGACAGATCTCTACGGTAGGCCCGGGAAATATCAAACTAACTTGACCTGCAACTTTACACCGCCTACTCATCGTGCAGGTGCTAAGCGAAGTGCACTTTCACATGCAAGCTTAGCTTTTCGCACCAACGAATTCCCGTTGGTTGATATATTCTCCCTTACCATAATCCCAAGCATCCAGGCCCTCTCAGAACGAGCTAACCTCGTATTAACCGCCCGTGCGCACTTGCAACTCAACCACTACTACCACGTACTTCTGATATCCTTCAACGTGTTCCCATCAACTGACACCATCTTCTCTTTCCAAATCCTCATCACAACCTAAACTACGAATTTCCAACCACAATGTCTTCCTTCTTCAACAAAGCTAAAGAGATGCTCGGCTCGACCGGTTCAAGCAGCAGCCACTCTACCACCAACAACACAACTGGTGCGCCTCAACAAAAAGACGACTACGTAGATAAAGGCTTCGCCGCCATCTCCAAGCAGTTCGGCTTCAAGGGCTCAAAGGAGCAGAACGAGAGGATCACCGATGCTGGAAGGAGTTTCTACGAGAAGCAGACTGGCAAGAAAGTCAGCAGCAACGTATGTATACCTTGCTCGGATGAGGTGTTGCTTGACGACGAGGCTAATTTGTTGTTTTAGATTAGCAATTAGGCGCTGAGAGGTGTGGTGTCGTTGCTGGTTTTTTTTTTTTTTTTTTTTTTACAGAGGTTGATGGATCGGTCTTTACACATATACCCAGGGAACAATAGAACACAAGGCTGCTCCCTTTAGGAAATACTGCTCACCTCGCTTCTACGTTTCGTCTTTTTGTCAATGCTTTAGTTTTTATTCGTCAGACGTCGCGGGCTTGTGTGGCGGTTGAGATAACTTTGAATTCAAAGACTCGAGACTTGTCGTAGCTCTGCGTCTTTCCGGCATTCTTGACGTCTATGCTAGTGCATGATACCACGACCATCAACGTCTGCAGGCATAAAAGTTGTCGAACAAGCAAATAAAACATCTCTCACCGCCCAGAGCCTGAAGCTCATCATCAAATCTGCCTATCGCGTGTGGATCAAGCTTCGACTGCTTTGCATTTCGGTATTTCAGGTGCCGATGTTGTTGATTTTGTTCTCGATTGTAGTAAACGTGCCCAGGCAACAATATAGAAGGAAAAGGCGTTTTCGCAAATCAATATCAAGTATAGTTCAAGCATGAGAATTCCATGAAACGCAACGACCTTGAGCCACAGATAAGGCTTTTGATTCCCCCGATCGCTCCCATCACTGAAATTTTGATAATTTGAGTTATTGGAATGAGGTTGACCTATACTACTTACATCAAACTTTTCTGCACTGCAGCGGACTATCACATACACGATCTACCTGCCCTGTACTTACTTACGTGGCGTGGTAAACAGCCCAAGTACGCTTAATCACCAGCAAAGTCACCATCAGGAAAATGTGCATCGCTCTCCTCACCACCGCCCACCCAGCCTACAAGCTCATCCTAATCGACAACCGAGACGAATACATCAACCGTCCCACCGCCTCCGCCTCCTGGTGGCCCGACCCCAACTCCTCTGTCTTCGGCGGTCGTGACCTCCTTCGCCCCATCCAAGGAACATGGCTGGGCATCACGAAATCCGGCAAAATCGCGGTCCTGACTAACTTCCGTGAGGACACAGCGCCAGCACCGACGGCCGTCTCTCGCGGAGAGATTATCAAGAAATTCCTGACGGAGGATGTCGGGTCTACGGAAGAATTTGTGCGTGAGGTTGTGAATGAGGGGGTGGCGAGGGATGCTGGGGGGTTCAGTTTGGTTTGTGGACGGGTGAAGAAGGGGGATGTTTCGGTGGGGAGGCGGGAGCAATTGGCGGTAATGAGCAATCGTGCGAGGAGTGGGGAGGAGGTTCCGTGGATATGTGGGGATGTGGTGCAGACTGTTGGGTTGAGTAATACTCACTTCGGGGATAGGACGTGGCCGAAGGTGCTGGATGGGGAGGTGAGGTTGTTGGATGCAGTGCGAGAGAATCTTGTAAAGTATTCCAAGGCTTTTGAGAATGTTGAATCAAACGAGGTTGAGGGGTGGGTGGGTGCTGAGGCTAGGCAGGCGGAGGAGGCGCTTGTGAAAGCATTCCTGGAATTATTGAGCGATGATGCGCTCAGTAGGAAGGGTCTGAGCGCTGAACAAGGTCTGGAAGCTCATATCTTCGAGTTGAGGAATAGCATACTTGTACCACCACTTGGACGAAAAGACCCAGCAGAAATCAAGTCGCAACCAAAGGATACAAAGGATGGTGGTATGGATCTGAAAAGGGACGAGGTTGCAGCGGCACGAACGGATGAGGTTGCAAAAGTGCTGGGTCACAATGGGACTAAGAACGTGGTCGAGGATGCGAAGAAGCAAGGATTAGGAGTAAGTGGAATCTATGCAACACAAAAGCAGACTGTGGTCTTGGTCGATCAACACGATCGAGTACGATTTGTTGAGCGAACGCTATTCGACGAAAGCTGCGAGCCAGTGAAAGAAGGACAGGGAATCATCGACATTCAGTTCAAAATCCAATAAAGGATGAATCATGGGTGTACCTTGATTGATGCAGCTCACTACCTCAGCTCCGTGTCTTCACCTTCTTCTATCGGTGGCAAACTCTTGTATCTGTGAGCAGAGTCAAAGCAGGACGGCAGATGCAACAAATGCCCTCGCTCCACACGCACATACCGAGCATAACATGCTGCTGCTACATAGGTGGCACCCAAGCTAATGGCAGCAGGATATCTGAACTGATCCGGCCTCGACCATACGACGGTCATTGCAAACGTGCAAAGTTCAAAGAAGTTTTGCAGGGATGCTTCAGTGGCTGAGAATGTGCCTCGCTGGCTTGCGTCAATTGAATTTTGAACCAAAAGTTGTGCAGTCAAATCGAAGGACCAAAGACCGATTCGAGAAAGGATGACGCAGACGATGAAGAAGTAAGTTGAGAACACTGGTGAGGACTCTGGGCCTGTCCAGAATATAAGGACGCCTGGAGTCAAGTACACGAATTGCCAACACAAACTCCACATGCCTGCTCTTACTGCTCCAACTCGATGAATCAGATGTGGAGCAATGAAAGTTGCTGAGATTTCTGAGATTGTGGCAACAGTGCGAAGGATGCCAATGTGAACACTAGTCAGTCGAGGATAGTCGATGGCAAAGAGATAGGTGATCATTTGACCTGAAAAGCTGAGCACAGTGAGGTACAATAGAGACAAGGATAAAGAAGGCAGAAATGCTTGGCTTCTGGCATAGCATTTGACTTGCTGAGTGAAAGAAGATGTGATCGATTGGAAAGTCGACACAGAGATCCACGAATTAGCTCGACCTGCATCGTGACCACCTGGCTGTGCAGAGACAGTAGCCAGTGCTGGAGTCTTGCGATATACCCAGGCAACCAAAGCGATCTCAACCAAGAACGAAATGCCGTTCACAGCCATGGTCACCAGTATTGCTACAAAGGTAGAGAAGCCGTCTACCAGAGCAACAGCTAAAGGTGAGACCAGCTTGCAAAAAAGGTCGATTCGTCTCATCTGAGAGTTCATTTCTTGGAGTAAATCTTCATTGTCGTCAGCAATCACCACAGCCCAGTCTCGCTCCACGGCAATAGTGTTCATAACGATACAAAGCTTCTCAACGCACGCCAGAGATATCAGAACAGCGAACAGAGCATGGTGTTCGATTTCTAATAATGAATCCTTGCTTCGAAGCAGAATCAAAAAGATACAACAGGAAAGAACGACAGCGGCACGCTGACCCCATACCGAAACACGGACGACCAGTAATCTGTTGGTGTGGTCAATGAAGCGACCCACAGCTGGAGAAAGAGCAATTGCTGCCAGGGCTCTAACCAAAGCGTAGACTGACATGGGTAAAAGTGTTCCAGGATAAATCGTAGATAAGAAGAGCACAGCACCAAACTCGAAGCCTCGACTATTCCATGTTGATATGAAATGTGAGATGTATAGGCTTTTGGATGGTGCTTTCTTTTGGACGTTGCTGTCTGAGACATTTAGGACTTCGAGAGGCGTATAGGACATAGTAGGTGTGGCCATGCTGATCGGCACACTACCTCCCGCTCTTGCTGATCAAAGTCGACTAGTAGATACCAGCATACTTGTGTTTGTGTACTTTCGATGGAGGGCGTCGGAAGCCATTACTTTCCCTGGACTCATCCATCATGCAGTTGCAAAGACTCGAAAAACGATTCATGTGCGTATTGACTTGGGAAATGCGTCTGGGTGCGGGAGGGCGTCCGTAGCCGTCTTATACGGAAACTCATACCACCCTTTTGTGCCCGAGTGGACCAAACGCGTCAGGGCGCATTTGCGGAGGCAGTTATTCCGGGCATGTGCTCCCTGCTTCAGTTGGTATTGAAGTTCTATAGCAGCATTGCAGAGTCGAACCGCCTTGTCGCAAAGAGTCTAGTAATCTCGGCGATCATCTACCCGTCTGTCGTGACTGCGAACGTTACTAGGTGCTGCAAACCAACGTCCATTCCTTGTACTAAGGGGACAACATGGCTATGATGGCTACGGGAACTGGCAACACGTACGACGACGATCATGCGGTGCTCGACGATGACTTCCTGAACGACGGTAAGGCAATCTCAGAAGATATTGGAGATCAGAGTCTAAATTCTCTCCACAGACATTGAGCCAGACGAGCCAGCAATAGAATCAGATCGAGCACCATTGACAGGAAACATCCAATCCTCGTCCTCATCCTCACAACGACCACTAAACCAGAACTATCTAACATCGCAAATACCTGGCGAAGACAGACGAGCACCACAGAACACAATTGATGAAAGCGTGTGGGATACTGTATCGCGAGACCTGTTTGCAGTATGGGAGAAGATGAAGCAGGTGCTGTGGCCGAAATACCTGTTGGGAGGCATGCTACAGCGCAGTGGAACAGGCACAGCTGATGTCGAGAACCAAGGCTTTGGAAGAGATTTAAGAGGCTTGGTGGGAAGATGGCCAGACGCCGAGGGTCTTCTGCAAGGTGCGATGAGTGAAGGACTAAGAGACTGGGATTTATGGTATGCTTATGGCGCAGGTGTGCTGTCGAAGCTTTTGCTAATATGGGAGCAGGGGACCTCTTGTTTTCTGTCTTCTACTGAGCCTATTCCTTTCTATGAGAGCCGCGAAGGATCAGAAAGATCTCGTCTTTTCTGGTGTCTTCACCTTGATATGGCTGGGTGAGGCTGTGGTCGCGCTGCAAATCAAGCTGTTAGGTGGTAATATGTGAGTTGACTCCAATCTCGCAATAGGCCACGTTCACTGACTAACTGTGCAGATCTTTCATGCAGTCTGTCTCGATCCTGGGCTACACTATCTTCCCACTGGTCATCGCATCCCTGCTGAGCGCGGTCGGATTGTTCATGATCGCAAGGATACCAATATACATTGTGCTGGTGGCCTGGTCACTGGCGGCAGGGGTCAGCATCCTGGGAGGCTCAGGAGTAGTCAAAAATAGGGTTGCGCTGGCTATATATCCTATGCTCGTGTTTTATATAGTCGTCGGCTCGATATGCTTTGTGAGCTAGACGTGTTAGTAGGCCACCAGAAGTGCAATCAGACAACCCGACAATCAAAGACGTCCTCCGATCTCTTCCAAATGTGTAGTAAGTGAAATGACGTTCTCCAGTCCACTGTTTGCAGCCATATTTGCTAAGGGGAGGAAGAGCCGAAATTCGGGAAAGCGTCACTGCTCTTCAAGTTCCAGGCAGCAAGTGGAGATGGTTGGTCTGCAGCAGCCGAGCGATGGAAATTACAGCGTAACTTGGGCAAACATATTGTCTGTCTCAGGACGAGCGAATTTGTGTTACAAAGCACGACAACGATAAGTACCAGCTTTCTGTTGGCTTGCGTAGAAGAGAAATTTCTAGCACACCAATTCCAGCTCTTTGCCAGTCACTCGCGATCGGCTCAACCCCACTGCGCACTGATTCCAACTTCCACCCGAAATTAGGAACGACCTTGGGAATGAAACAGAAGACCAGTTCTTTTTATACTAGGTACCAACGCAGTCAGTTGTAGAATTCGAAATCTTTACTTCGTCTCCTGCCTTGGCCATCGTGCGACCAAATCCTGAATCCTCAACAGACATAGCGAGGCTGCTAAGCGCTGTGAAAGTCCGGCTCGAGTCCTGCACTGTATTGAAAAGTCTGCTGCAAGTTTTAAGATCAAACGCTGACTAGAAAGACTTGGCGGACGGGACCCTAATAGGTGCTGAGAAATGGTGCAGGAGCCGGAAGGCGCGACTGCCAAACCAGGCGTGGCAGTAGTTGACCAGCAACCTCCTTCCCCAACCGCTTCGACCTCTAGCAGAGAAGAAACAAGAGCCACGAGAGAGAAGTTGAAAAAGACCTCAATAGCTGGCCTGTCCCAGAAATCAGCCACTATCGCACCACACACCGACCATGCCTCGGTCACAAACGAGGAAAGCATAGTAGATTCTTCAGCTGAAAATCCAAATGGCGCTCGTGGTAGGCCTGCGAAGAAGAGGTCATTCGAAGATTTAGCAAAGGACGATGCAGAAACTGCGAGTGCTCTCGAAGAAGGTCCGCTCCCGAAAAGTGGTCACCACAAGAGAATGAGGTCAAGAGATGTCAATAGTGGCGATCATAAGGACACCTACGTTAGAATAGAAGGAGACGACCAGGATACACTGCTTGAAGAGTCTGACGTTGACGCTCTAAAGACACCCGGGGGCCCAGGCGTGTTGGTCGCTGCACCCAGTTCGAAGGATATGGATGTTGAAATTCCTCACAATGCACAAATTCCACCAGATTCCCAACCAGTTGCTCCCCAAGAGACTACGACCTCGAGATCTACAACCAAAGTTCCTCCAATCTCAGGTTTCGCAAATACCTCCTCCGCCTCCCCATTTGGCAGTTCTGCTGCTACGATAAACAAGGACAAGCCTTCAGAAACAGCAAAGACTACTTCAGGTTCGGCTTTTGCATCGTCTGGCCTATCTGCATTTTCGTCTTCTGACAAGTCCCCTTTCACTGCTGCCGCTGGCTCAAAATCTTCTTTAGGCGGTAGTGGAGGGTTTGGGGGTGGCCAATCTAACAGCGGTTTCGGATCAACTAAGAGTGGATTTGGAAATACTGCTGGCTTTGCACCATCAGCCTCAACTTTTGCAAGTGGCTCATCAGGTTTCGGAACAAGTAAAGGCTTTGGCAGCACAAGTACTTTTGGAACTCCCAAGCCGTTTGGCGCTGGCACCACGTCTACCTTCGGTAGTGGTGGTTCATCATTTGGCACCGGCAAAGCATTTACATCTTCGAAGAAGGAAGATGATGACGAAGATGATGAGGAGAACGTGGGCGACGAGGATCCTATTGACAGCGCTAAGGACGATGCTCAGCAGGATCCTCGTTTCCAGAAACAACATAGTAAGTTGACGTGTCACACGCGATCTCATTCACTAATGCAAGCAGTTGAAACCGGTGAGGACGACGAAGAGACTCACTTCTCGTCGAGGGCGCGGCTATACTTCTTCGATCGTGCATGGAAGGAACGAGGCACTGGCCTGTTCAAACTCAACGTTCGCACAGACACTTCTAATGCAGCAGAAGTCGACCCTGAGGCACAAACGTCGAAAGGAAAACGAAAAGCGAGACTACTCATGCGAGCTGATGGTACTCATCGTGTTATCCTGAATAGCCCGATCTTCAAGGGCATGCAGTTTGGAGGACCAGATGGTTCCGAACCTTCTGGCAAAGTCATGCACCTTCAAAGTCTCGAAGAGGGCAAGCCAGTGCCTCTCCAAGTCAAGGTAATACTTATGTGTTTTAAAGTCAAGACATTGCTAATTAGTTGGCAGATTGGTAAAGAAGAAGTGCTGAAGGAGTTATACACCCGATTAAAAGAGTTGGAAGCGGAAGCTTGATGATCCACTTCTGAGATTACGAGTTAGGATACATTACGTTGTGAGCATTCTTGATAGCAGGCGGTCTTATATAGCGTTCTTGGCTATCGATTGGTTAAGAACAGCTAGGACATCTGACTTTTGCTGGATCAACGAGCATGATACCTATGAAGCATCAAAGACCGATAAACGAGATACCCATATATTTCACTCGATAGCTCCGAAATTTCCGTAGCACACGCGCGACTGCGGCAGAGCACTTCAATCAATTTCTCGCAGCTCATATGGCTTCCAGGCTAATTCGACCTAGAGGCCATAGGCACTCACATACTGATGCCTCAGGCACCATGTACCAAAACTCTAGAACCTTTGTCTTCATTCCCATCAATTCATTTCTCTACACCTTCACTCGTGCTTTCTGTGATGAGAAGATGGCTATGCTCTACTCGCATATTCTTCCCATCTCGAAGGCTATACCTGTGCTGACGACCTGGTTGTTCACGACTATCTCGATCCGCATCTTCCTCACGATCTAGCAGAACGACAGATATACCTGGCCAAGCTGGGTATGCTGAGAACTCAGCTCGAAACCGCATTTCTCAAGGCTATCTATGACTGCTGAGCTATTTGAGATCAGAAATGCTGCTTTCTTTTACTGAGTCGGAAGCGAGAAAGTGTTTGCCCCGGTACCTGTTTGGTGTGGTACCATCCAACCATTGAATCCTTTAATGAAACAAATTTGAGAACCCTTATGAGCTGGAAACTTGCCCTCATGCTACTCAGTCACTGTGTTTGTTGCTGACGAATAGCTCGCTCGAACCACCGCTGAGTACTAGGATGCCTGGGTGCCCTTCCCGCACGTCTCTACCAATGACAACCTTCCGACCCTCTGAACACACACATAGTCTATCCCTCCCTCTCAGGTTGTTCACCGAATAATTCAGCAAAGGAAAGCAAAGACGGAAGAAAACACGAGTCCGTCTGGGTAGTGGACAGCTCAAGAGGGTGTATCTGTTGCCTGAAGTTGACGTGTAAGAGTAAATATCATGCTGCTTTCATTGGACAAGAATATCCAAGCAGCGAATATAGCGTCAGCCTACGCGTGTCTATGCCATACGATTAGGCGGGTAATGGAAAAGCTGCCCTGTTGGATACACGAGGCAGTAGCGGCACACCATACTAGAGCCATCTGGTAGATGGATTCTATTGAGGTCCCTTGTTGTGCGTGTGATCGTTCGACAATGCCCGTCTTTGTGGGTGTGCTCCACGACCATGTTTTCTGTCTGAGGGTCCGTGTTCTTGTCTTCCTTAACTGAGATGACTCCCGAGGAGGACGCTGGAATGGTAACCATTAGTATTGTGGGGATTTGGATTGGTTGAAGAATAAGGTGAGCGAGTCTAACTTGGAAATCAGAATTTAATGGTGGAGAAGGCCTTGCAGCAGCACATTTATCAGAGGGATTGCGTAAGGATGGACTCCTGACACGAAATATCACGACTACTCGCGAAGACGGCACCTTCACATGGCTCATGCAGGTCGCAAGTATCATCAGCGAATATTTGTTCGGCGGACTCTTGTACCGCATCCTCCTCTTGCAATACAGCCGACGAGGAGCCTGAGAGCCTGGCGCTCAGCATCCTTACAATTATTCCCTAACGCGTCACAACACATTCACCACTATCACTCTATAAACACTCGCGAAAAGGTATTTAATTGAGGTCTCCAGAATTATCGTCAACAATCAACACAAAAGGCAGCCTGCAGCGATTCCAGTGGCCCAGTGGGTCAGTGGGTAAGACGTCTGTTAAAAAACTCCTGAGTGTTGATTGCCGGGTACGACATACCCCTAAATGCGTCGACAACAAACATAGGTGTGGCACACCTCTAATGCGCCAACAACAACAGGTATGGCTTACCTTAATGCGCCGACCCTAATAAAACTACCCGGTTTCCTCTGGGTGGGTTTTCCTCAGACCTTTCGACTGAGTTTTTTGTCTTTTTGTCTTCCAATCCATACCTCCAATGCGCACGCATAGTGGGTGTTTTTCCTTTCTTTCATGCATTCACGGCGAGTGTTCCTTGCAGGATCCAGCATGCCTTGTTCGTTACAGATTCTTGTACAACTGCTTTGGAGTTTGAACAGGATGATATTGCGTTATGCTGCGCTCTAATCATGCTTCTTTCCTTTCCAGACACAACAGAATTCTTTGATTCATCTCCAGCAAGCCAGCCAGCGAGTAAGCCTTACAGCATGCATTTCCTCAGCAACTCAACCACGTACCCTTACTTCCTCTCATCTCACCCTTCCCAAAACTTCTGACAACCTACTCATCCAAACAGACTGGGACTCAGAAGATACTCAGTACGCGATCCAGCCCTCGAAGGCACGACACGATGCACAGATTACCAGCACAAGCTAGACAATTATCTGTGTTAGACACACCCCCACCACGGCAAAACACTCCAAGGTCAGTCAGTACCAAAGACGAACACGACCACAAGGACAAATCCGGACTCGAATTTGCACTTGCCCAGGCTCACAAGATTCTATTTCCCGGCTCTCGTTCCTCCTCCTCCTCCTCTATCTCCTCAATCCTCACATGAGTAACCA